TTTTTTAAATACATCAGATACTAAGTCATTTCATCTTTCTTAATGTCCCACAATGTATCCCTGTTTGTATCTCCTTAAAGTCCCAGTCTTGTCCCCACCACCTTCATCATATTTGTTGTCATTACTGAATTTTGCTCAGTGCAGAATCATCTGTCCAGTAACTCCAATATAAGCTTAATAAATTGTGTTATACTTAAACCGGTGTAGTCTGAATAGAAACAAAATAGTCCTCAGTCTTTCACTGTTTGCACTTGAACTCATTACACACTTTCCCTTGATTTTGTCAGTAGTTAACGCTGATCATGTATTTCCAAGTTTTCCCTGCCACTCAGACAGATTTGATGTGTTTTCTTTGTTTTTGACTTTGCCTCCTTCAGCCTGTTCCTTATATTATATTTGCAGACTGGCCTCCTGGTGTCTGGTTAAGACCATGCAGCGACTTCTATGTTGGAAAAACCGAGCCATAGCAGAAAACCAAAACAAACAAAAAAAATGCAGTTCATCTTGTGTCTAATGATGGCTGACCCCTACAGCCAATAAAATACCCACTTATACAGCAAACTTACACATCGTAACATCAACCTCCTGTCTTTGTGTCCTGCTGCAAACTCTACATTTGGATCTTGAGAGCCACTACACTTTTAAAGTAATCTCAGTTGTTCTGTCTGTTTGAACAGCTGAGTTTAACAAAATAACAGAATATGAATATTAATTTCATGCATGGTTTATCCCAAAAATTATGCACCTACTAATAGCATGTTTGAACAACATATGCCTCGACTATTATCTTCTAGAAGCTGTTATTTCTTGGAAGCACACCCCGGCTTTAGCAGCTGCTGGTTGTCCCTGTTTCATGTATCCAAGTCCCTCTGTAACCACTAAAAACCCGGATCAATTTACCCTATTTTTACTGTTATCAAGACATCTCCCAGGGACAACTTCAAGGTTTTGGAGCTAATTAGATTTAATAATGGTTCAGCAGTAGAGACAGAACGCTTTAGTGAATGAGGTGATAAAAAATGGCTGTCTAATGCTTGCATGGGCACAAAGACAATGAAAGCAGCCGTCACGGGAGGGACAGAGTGAGGACAATAAATGTCTATGTCTTCATTTCACACTAGACATCTGTGAGTGACACTGCATGGTGCCCCTGTGAGAGACAAGTAAAGAGCAGCACCCATTTGTGCATCGATCACTTTTATGCCCCTGGTCTGTTTGCATATTTTAGACCTATAAACAACATGAATGATGTGCCGTGTAATGCACCATAATCGAGATTTATTCAATCTGGGGTGGAGGGAGGAGATGTTCACAATCCAAGAATCAGGAGAGCATGGTGTGGCTTTGAATGTGTGTGTGTGTGCGTATGTGTGTGTGCACTGTGATTTATTTGATTTAATTAGATCGCCGATGTAAAACAGCTCGTGGGGAAAAAAAGGTAAAGACGAGTGCTGAGGGAGGCGTAAATAACACCCGGCTCTTTCCCCCCCTCCTCTGCCTCTCTTTCTTTCCTCCTCTGCCTTTCGTTCACTTTCAACTCTCTGATCTTTCCTCAGACCGTATATAATCTCTAATTTTTCCTCCATCCTTCTAAAGCCTCTTTTTTTTCTTCCCACTTTTTTCTCTTTCCATTTTGCTCTAAATCTTCTCCCTCCTCCCTTTCTCGCCCCCTCCCTTTCCCCCCTCTCTCTCTGCAGCGCTCCCAGCTGAATAATGATAGGGGGTAAACACCTCATTAGGTTAAAAGGCCCACAGGAACAATCAGAGACGGGGTAGTCAGCCGAACCTGTTTCTTTGTACGCTTGTGGAGACATTTTGAACACAGTGGGACATGGAGGAATTCAGCAGAGGAAGTAAAGGGGAAGGTGAGGCGATAAATTCAATGGAAAGGTTATTTCATATCAAGTTTGAGCAAGAAGCATGCAAGCGAGGGGCTACCCTCTGCTTTAACATCTCTTTTGGTTCCTACTCTCCTTTCTTTGTCTTTAAAGGCTGAGAACACACACATTCACACACACCCATGAATATCTGATTTATGGAGACTGATCAGCAGAGGAGGGGAGCATAAATCTACTCCCTCCGCTAGTAACGGCCAGTAAAAGCGGTTTATCTGACACTTTGAACTGCCTGCATCACGCTGTCCCAGCCAGCAATTGCTGCCTCTCTGATATCAGATGAGCAAGGTCAGGAACTTCATTTCACTCCACTACTCAGCACTTCTCACCTTGTTCACTACTTAAAGCTCCAGTGAGGAGTTTTTTTTAATGTTTGTTAAATTAACTGAAAATCATTCGGCTGACTTTTTACGATATATAGCAAAAAAAGCAAGCAAAACCATCAGGATTGACGATTTTTATATCATAGCTTTTAAAGTCTGAAAGCAGTGTGAGGGGGGTAGGTGTCGAGTTCCTCACAGGAGCTTTAAAATTAATTTCTAAAAAGTGGATCCATATATTCTCAGACTATATTGCCTTTATCAGGGCTGTCAGATGTTGGTATAGTATATTTTGTTTCTGTTTTGAGGTATTTTCTGCTCTTAATGCTCTGAAACGACTGTGGAAAATGAGTCAAATGGCTGAAAATGCGCACTGAAAGAAATCTTTATCGCTTCACTCTGTCCATTAAACTTCAAACCTTATAAAGAAGAAAAGAGAAATGATTTTTTAAAGTTCTTTACTTTCATGGTGGCTCTTTTAAACTTTTCACAAAGATTGATATCAGTGTTATCAGTAATAAACCTGTTTGTGTAGCTTAGCATACAGACTGTGAAGGAGGAGGAGGAGGGTTGAATAAGTAAATAAGATCTTTCTCTTAAATGATTCATATTCTCTTCTTTCTCCACCTGAGTGACTTTTTTCTCACCTCTTCTCTGCACTCTCCAGACTCCCTCTTCCTACAGGTGTTTCAAAGCAGCAGAATCCACTCAATATTTCATGCTGTAGGTGCTCATCAGATCAGTCCTTTCAGGGGTGAGTATAAATAAGGCTGCCAAACAATTAGCTTTTCCTGAATCATATCTGAATTTCATTGTTAAGTGTGATTAAATGCACTTTTAAATTTGTTTTTAAAATGTCAATATTTTGGATCTTCCAAAAGTTTTTAATTCCACTTAAAGTTTGATGATCTTGACTTGTAGATTTATTCATCAAATGATAGCTGCAATGCTACACCAGTGATGTGCAAAAACACCTTTAAAAAATCTGTCTTCAGATTATGAATTAGAGGCTGATCAAACTTGAAGTATTTTGTTGAGATTTTAGTTGTATTTGACACAAAGTGAAACTTTTGACATTTATAAACACGCCACTATAAACATATTAATGCTGACAACCCTCATTTAAACCAAAGTCGAGTGTAAAAAGGCTTGAAAATATAAATACATGTTTGACTTTTGAGCACAATGTACATTTTCTGCCTGGTTTGTCTGTTACTGCTAGCTGTACAGCATTTTAATGTTTAATGTGAGGCTGATTCGACATTAGACTTGGGTATATTTGTAGAAAATAAAGATTAAAGCGTCAATTTGGACTCCTCTGGGTGACTTTCACACCTAAGCCCCTGCTAGTCTGCATAAATATGCATTATGAATAGCTTCATCATTTATACATGCTCTGCAATAATGTATAGCTGAGAATTTTTAGGAGTTATGATAGCCGTTTTCTGAATTGTCTCCTGGCTGGCTCATCTTTGTTAATAATAAAACATGGATTCTAACAGTCTGAGCTACAGTAAATAAACATCCCATCTGAGAGTAAGTCTAACTCGATACATGACTTCCTGCCACTGAAGCAGTTCTCATGTTATAAGCTGAGTAGGCCAATGAAGTCCGATCCATACACCACAATCTTCTAGCAAATCTTCCCGCCATTTTCCATCTTTGTCTTGTTTAAGTCAGATTTGATTGATTGATTTCTGCTTTAGGAGAACAAAGTGTCCCATGGACGAAACTTTAGATTAACATTTATCCAGAAAACCTTGGGGCTATATTTATATTAATGGCTTTTTAATTGTTATTGATTTTCAAAGAGGTTTATCCAGAGAGAGAGAGAGACAGCTGAATCAGAGTGTCATTACTCACAGTATGAGCAATGAGGAGAGCATCAGCTGTAGATGAAGGATGCATTATTGCAAGCCATGACATTAACACCCATCAGTATATCAAATACAGGTGGATCTCTCAACTCCAGGTAAGATAGTCACTCCTACTCACAAATTTGGCAGGATGAACTTTATTAACATTCAATTTAAATCCAAGTCTACCAAAAATGCATCAACTATTAAATAGTTTAAAACTCTAATAAAATATGGAAAATAAACGCCTATTATGTGTAAATCTGATGATTCATGATCCTGTAAATTTGAAGCTTTGATTTTGGGTGTTTCCCTTTCAAATACTGTAAAAAAACGTCTTTTTCCAAACTGCATCTAGAAACAATTAAGATAAGTAGAGCCACGGGTTTTACTTAAAAAGTTTTGTATTTAACCAAAACAATAAAGTTTTAGCTGTTTTAATTCATCAGATTACTCTGAAGTGGACTTGACGGCAACTTCTACCATGTGGAGATATTAATACTACAATTAAAATAATAGCTCGAAAGACCAACCATCTGCTGCTTTTTCAGTTTTTAGGACTTTTGCCTCACACACACAGACACACAGACACACAGACACACACACACACACACACACACACACACACACACACACACACACACACACACACACACACACACACACACACACACACACACACACAGACACTCGATCAAACAGAGGTTGGACAGACTGCTTAAGTAAGCTTTCAGAAAGTGTGAAGGATTAGAAAAACACTTGAAAACAGCTGAAAAGTGCTTTTCTCATGATTTTATAACCACTTTTCAACTTAAACAGCTTGTTTTAATAATTGCTTCTCTTTTCTATGATTTTTAAACTTGCCATATTTTAAACCTGCATTCTCTTAATTAATAAGTCAAACAAAAATTAAAATTCAAGGACTCAAAGCAAGTACATTTTCTTTATTACATTAAGCAATCATACAGAATCATAAATATTCATGGAAATCAGCTTTCTCCAGAGTATGAAATAAAATGTGATGACCTTTAACCCTGCTCAACCTTCACCCCTCCACTTTGACCCCTTCTTGAAGATCTAAGAAGTGCTGCTGGCGTTGGAGATATTAGGTGGAATGGTGCTAATGGTCTTGTGGGCAGTCAAGAGGCCAGGGGCCACGCGAGGGGAGCAGCAGGGGCCCAGAGGGTTGTTGAGCGTCACATTGAAGGTGCCCTTCATGACTGTGTTCATGAGACCTGGACTCAACTGCAGACACACAAACAAAGACAACAGAAAGGGAAACACATTAAAGGGACATTCCGGCGTAAAATTAATTTGTCAGAAAAATGCCATATGAACATGTAAAAAACAGGAAAAACATGATTTTAATCGGAGTGGGTCTTCAAAGGGATATTCCAGCGTTAGATAAATTTAGGGTCAAACACACCGTAACACCGAGTTAGACTCCCCGTCAAGAGATGAATGTTGCCGACCGCTTGCTTCTCTAGTTATACCAACTTTAGTAACGACCACAGGATAGCAATACAGAGAGCCACACGCTCAACCAAAACACCACTCTATAGCCACAAATAATGCTCAGAACAGCACCTAACTTCATCAACAATACATACATGGTCCCAGCCATAGCACTAGCCACCAAACATCTTTTTAACTTTGTCGAGTCGCTTGTTTATACGGAGACCTCCGGGCGAGTCCATCTAATGCAGTGGGGTTTTGCAGCTCAAGGAAGAACATTTATGACCATTTCTTCATGGAAATGCAATCAGACAGAGACACTAATACAGAAGAACTACAGCGCACAGTGCAAATTGATTATTGAGTGGCGTTTTGGTTGAGCGCATGGCTTTCTGTATTGCTATCGTGCGGTCGTTACTAAAGTTGGTATAACTAGAGAAGCAAGCGGTCGGCAACGTGCATCTCTCGACAGGGTGTCTAACTCGGTGTTACGGTGTGTTTGACCCTAAAATATCCCTTTGATACACCACAAATTTAAAGTCTCTTGAACACTTCTAAGCCATCAAATCAGTCAGTAATGTCAGATAATGATGTGTCGCCCTGGTTACAAGGATGCAGGATTAGGTGCTGACACGCAGATAATAACCCACATGGTACTAGGGTTTAGGCCACTTCCTGCCTTTGGGTTCCAAGATGGTCCACATTACTTTCACACCTCAAGGGTTCACTTAGAGGCCAATCCAGACCCCTGTTTTTAAGCTCTTGATCCATACCAGAGTGCTCACACCACTCCAGATGTACCAGACTGTCCAAGGAAATGAGCCAGGATTAACTAAAATCATCCTTATAAAGAGACGTAAACTGTATTTGTACAGCACAACACCACATGGTACAGTGCATGGCCACTTGGGTTCGGTTTTATGCTTACAGAGAAAGTGGTAATAATAGTGCACCTCCATCATGTCACTGGAAAAAGCAGAACATAAAATAAATCAGCCTGTCTGCTTCATGCCTGACCTACATACGCTGATATGAGGAAGAGAAATAAATAAAATGTGCTCTTCAAAGTCTGACCTTTAATTCACCTCAAAGATGAGAAGCAGAGACAAGTAAATGTGTGTCTCTCACATGCAGATATTCTGTAGATGCATGTGACATGTACATTACACACACACTCACACACACACCCTCTGAACCTATTGTTCCTCCCACTCAGGTGCTACCTGAAAAATCTTCTCATATTCTATCAAAGCTCTACTCCCTCTCTCTCTCTCTCCCTTTCCCTTCCCTCCCAGCGTGCGCACACACATCAGTATGCCAGTGGTGCCACAGCAGGATTTAGGCACATCGGCGGGGCCGCTCAGATCTCAGTTATTGATCCTAATGGGAAAAGGGTTGTGAGTTCAACTCCAGGTCACCCTCAGGGTTGCCCATGAGGTCGGGGGGATGAGGAAGAGCCCTTGGAAGTGATTACACCACCGGCATGGCAATGATGGGTGAGATTACGGGCTGATTCACTGGGTCAAAGGGGGAGAGGGTGAAGCTGATCCATGCAGGGAAACAATGATGATGTTACTCTGTATGTACGCAGACATGTGAAGCGTGCACACAAGCGCAGAATAAAGAGTACTGGATGCAAAGTCTTTCCCACAACACACATACAGTGTCTGACACGAACAAGGAAACAACACAAGCATCATCCCGTACATGCATAACACGAGCAGCACAAAAGCACAGCTGCTTATTCTGTGCAGGACAGCAGGAATCTGCACATTCATCACGCTGGAAGATTACTGTTATCTCGCTTCCCACTGCACAGTGTAGTCATCATACTTTCACAGCTAACTCATCTGGTTGTCAGTGCAGTTTTAATGATTCGTTAAGGTGCTCTCTTATCTGCTGCCTCTGCGTGTGAGGTTTGTTTAGCAGAGGCAACACAGAGAAAAAAAGATCAGAGGCATATGGTTCGGTTTCATCAGCACCTCAGTCAGCTAACGCAGGTGGAACGGATCATTACGGGAATGCAGACTGCGTACAGTGTTGATGTTTGGCATTTAAGTCTTAAAAACACCAGGATCTCCACAGCTGGGGTGACAAGAATAATTATTCTCCCTCATCTACAGGTGCAAATTGGATAGCAGAGATGGACCACAGGGGTTTCAAGAGAGCTTTGTGGTAAAAGTTGAATGTTTTGAGTCAACTGTGATAAAATAATGTGTTGGATAAACTGTATGTTGCAGAGGGAAAGGAATAAACAGCCAGAGAACAGAGTAAACATGAGCATTCAAGCCAACAATAGTAAAGTACTCTGCTTTAAAGGTGGGGTAGGCAGGATTCTGTTAAAGAAACACCTTTTTTGTGGTGTACAAACAAAAAAGCTTTTAATATCAGTCACTAGATATCAGTTATTGATGACATTTGGTGATATAACGATATCGCTGTGTTCTGTTGTGTCTGTGTAGTCAACATTTTAAAATATTTGAGCTGCCCACTCTTTCTGCCAACACAAGCAAGAAAACGAAGTAAATACCGGAGAATCTGCTGGGATAACAGGCGCTTAAAAAGGAGGTAGACCGGACAAGAGCTAAAAAGCCAGATCATAATCAATAAAGCATAGACAATGGGGACGCTTCGGGATCTAACGGACCATGTTACCTTTCTGCTGGACAGGTAAACCGCTTTAACAAAGTAAGACAAGTGTCTGTAACAAAAGTGTTTCTTGTCAAACGGGACCTGCTGCGTGTTGTAGTGACGCTAAACTGTTTACCTCGGGTCCTGGAGTCACTTTATCCTCGTTGTAGAAGTCCTGCAAACATTGTGTTTGCTGGTAGTCTGTTGGCATCTACAGTAGCTGATACGAGCGAGCAGAAGTGTCTGTTGGTGGGCGGGGCTTGCTGGAGCAGAGAGGCAGGGAAGTGGAGGAGCTGAGGGGAAAACTGATTAGGAGGGGTAGTGTTTACATTCAAGATTTCTCCCCAAAACTGGCACTTCCTCAGATCATGCCTACCCCACCTTTAAGGTTGATCACCGGCAGCTTCAACCCGTCACTATGACAACAACTTCAGCATCCAACGAGGTGACTTGTTATCAGGGAGATGAGCCCAAATCCTGTCGCAGGAAGAGAAATCTGATTGTGGACCAGAAGTATTCATTAAACAAATTAACACATGGCGGACTAATTCAGCAGGATTTGAAGAAAAAAAAAGGATTAAAAAGACACCATATGGATTAGGGCTCGCATCCAAGAAGCTGAGAGCAAGAATCCTGTCATCTGTAAAATAAATGATTGAATAATAAGTCATGTTTATTTGTGAATTTTAGATGTAATTGTTAAGAGGGAAGTGGCTAAACACAATCATAAGCTGTGATTGGAGCTGTCAGTGTGTTTTTAACCGATGTTCCCATCTATGTTGTCTTTGTGGCTGTTTTTGAATCAGGAGCTGCAAATTTAACAACATTTTTGAGATAAACATTGACCATTACCGCGGGCTACATCTATTTGTGCTTAAGGTTGGACTCAGAAGCAAGAGTTTTAAAAAATTCATGTTTATCTTTTTCCTTTTTTAAGAAATACAGAGACCACCATGAAGTCCAAGACCTGGTATCCCTTGACCGAATTGAATTTCCACTTAAAAGGAGAAAAAAAAAAAAAAACTGAAAAAAAAAGTCAAAATGTTCCTTAAAATTCGAGCCAGAACCCACACTAACAAACCAACAACATCAAATATTCAGCTTTTCCCCCTACCAACCAGTATTTCTCATCCTTTTCATGGTCCAAACATGCTCTCAGCAGGGTTTCACACATTCAAAATTGAACGCACTCCAAATAATGAAATCATTTTGCATACTTAAACAAAAATTATGCAAACATGTTGAGGGGGGTATCTGTGCTTCCTCCACGGAAGCATAAAAATGTACAAAACCCTCACACGGACACATGGAGAGGAAGCACATATGGGGATGAAAACAGCACATCCGGAGAAAGGTTTGATAAAATGTCAGCAGTGTTAAGGACACCTTCTGCTCTGACTCATAAAGATCTAAATAACTTGTGCTTTGTACTCAGCGCTTTTATATATTCGCAAATATCACAGTTTTAATTAATATTTGCTTCCTCCAGCTAGTCCCTTAGGTGTTTTTTTAATATATGTATTTTATCTTTAACCCTTCCGTGTCTCTCTGTTAAATGAGCTTGACCAGTAGGAACAGTGTTGTGTGAGAGGGCTGACTGAGCCTGCTTTGTCGAAGTAGACGCTTCACATGGTGCATTTGATGGAAACACCTAATGAGTCCTCTTTGTGACCTAATGCAGTTCAAGCTTAAAGCTGTGTGATATTACAGACACACGTATGGATGGACGCACATATGCACACTCTAATGCTCAAATAGCTTCTGTTCCATTACGCCGCCGTCTGCTTCAGATTGCAGGCCCTCAGAGCACATTTTCAGCTGTTGAATTTAACTACCCTCTTTAGCTGCTCGATTTGCTGCTGTCTGTCTCGCTGCTTCTCTTCCTCTGCACTTTCCATCACTTCCGCGACGCCGTCTCACCTCATTCCCCGTCTCACCTCTCTCTCTCTCTCTTTCCTGCCTGTTCTCGACACTCTCTCGTTCCTCTCCCTCTCTGCACCACTTCCCACCGTCTTTAACTCCGCGCGGTGTGTGATGCTGTAAAGATTCACAGTCACACAGCTAATCACTGAGACAAGAGCTTAGACATGCGTTCAACTCAAAGAAAAAGGGAGCTACACCTCCTGAAGCTAAACTCTGATGGCTCACTCCCACAGATGGCATCAACACAGCATGTGTGCATGTTTCTTGATTAATGTTAATAGTTTTTCACCCTGTACATGCAGCATTTATAGATTCCACATATACAGTCAGATGTCAGTGAAGTCCCAGAGACTGAGAACAGTTTTCAGGGTGTTTGCATAATGTCTTCAAATGGTATTCATTGGGGGTGAATAAATATCGCACAACTTAGATTTGTGACTGAAGTCCAAACCCTTACAAAAAGACTCCAAATGTTGCAGAATAGCTTTGCAGATGTCATTATCTCTTGCAGGCCCCAAAAATGAAATTACAGTGCTCAGTTTTTGGACTTTAATTAAAATATCAAATTGGCAAAGACATTAGCGCTGCCACTTGTAGTTTAATTCCTTCTTCAGCTATGATCAGATGTGTGGTGTATTTGCAGGATAAATTTTGCCCATTGACTATAGAGGAGGAGGCGCATCATAATTACGCTTCTAATGTGAAGCCAAAGTGTATAGAGCTCCCCCTGGTGACAGATCATAAAGCCTGTTTCCTGCATGTTAACAGACGTGAACATTAAAATACAAACTAGAACATTAAAATACGTGTCTTTTTTTCCTACACATGCTTTCCATCATAACAGTGAGCTCTTATTAAAATGGATTAATTAGATTAGAAATTTTTACTTCTGCATTTGCTGTTTTTCTCTCATTTAATTAGATTTTTTTACTTGCTTTGATTTTTATGGCTATAGCTAGAGGCCTTAAATCTAATTAATACAACAGACAAGCTTCACTTCGACTGGTGAAATTGGAAACAATTAAACTAATGAGATAAGTTTCAATAATTTAATCACAATTGGATAAACAAATAGGAATAATTTGTATCTTGACAGTAGGGCTAAATGTGACTTGATCTGTGATTCAACAGTGTTGAGGTGAAAACCCTGCGTTGGCGGTCTGAGCTAGCTTCGGGCTATGACTCATCACAGATAAGACCAGTCTGTGAGTTTTAATCCTTGGAAAGACGTTCTGAGTTGAATTAAATACAAACTTTATTTTGATTAAGACAAGACCAGTTTGTGAATCTGCATGACTTCAGTGCGACTTTATCGTGAGTGAACTTTGTGTTTCGCCTGCAGCTTCTTCATATGATTGTTTATATTCATGTTCCTGCAACCTGCCTGCACCTGAGTTCTTTAATTTAAAAAAAAATTAAGAATTTTATCTTTTAATTATCTTAAAATTATCTTTTACAAAAAAAAAACCACATGATCATAGCCTTGGGTTAAATGAAATTAAGGCCGCTCTGAAATGTTTTAAAATTTTTAGATGTTTTCTTTCTGACCTTCGTAATGATTCTCCTCATGTCTCTGTTGAGCACTTTATATTGCCTTGTTGCTGAAATAAACTTGCCATGCCTTGCCTAATTATACCGATTTAAGTGCACATTTAAATTTTTTAGAGATATTTGTTTTAAATGATTATTTGATGTTCAGAGTAGGATGAAAGCAGCGGATAAACCAAAATAGAAAATGTAACAAACACAGAAACATAAAATATTAAATTTTCAAGTAAAGTCCACAAAACAGACGCAATAATCTGCTCTGCTGTGGACGGAACTGACCTGAAGGATCTTTGCTGTTGTAAGAGAAAGATAACTATGTCTCTTTGTAAGTTGAAAGGACATGGATCCTATTGCTTCCCTGCACACGCCGCACCTCCAAAGTTTGCAATCTGTATTGCGTTTTCACCTTCTCAATACAGTCAATGTTATTCTTGCATCACACTCAGCTGGAAAAAAAATTCTGCAGCTGAAGTTTCCACTTAAAGCAGAAAATAATGGAGCAGAAAGACTGGGTAACAGGCAGAGAAGGAGAGCAGATAAATGGAGTAAAACACAGCATACTGTGATGAAAGGACATCCACAGGCATGCAGCTACATAGGATCATGACAGAGGGTTTGACATGCATGTGGAAAAAAGACAAACCCTGTTCTGTCAATGTGGGGGAGCATCACTCCTTAAAAAGTCATGCACAGAGAAAAAAGAAGAGAAAAAAAGTGAAAAAAAGTGATGAAAAGAGAAGTTTCAGAGCTGACGCGGTTTTGTTTGTTTGATTGTTAGCTCTGCAGATTATCTGCTTCATCTATGCGCTGCTATCAACGGTTTATACATCAGCTGTTCAGCTGCCAGCTGAGCAGTAAAACTAAAACTTGTTCAAACAATCAAATTCCACAAGAACTCAAATTCACACATGATCACATGACTGTAGATATTATTGATTATAAGGAGTGCTGTTTTACTCCAAACTTTTCACTGGACTTACCGCGTGTTGTGGATAAATGTGCACCACAACTATCTCTGTGGGGCACTCTCATTGATTCTGATGAAGTCAAACATAACTGCAGCCCACATGGTGTTAATCAGAACTGTACCTGACTGAACATCTTGAACCTGGTCACTAACAGCACTGTTACACTGCTCGCTAATAGTAACGTAACCACCAGTCCATGTGGGCCAACTTTAGCATCTCCCTGACTACACAGGGTTCATCCTGCAGAGATAAAGTCCGAGTTTGTTCCTAAAATTCCTTTGATGGTTTCAGTTCATGTTGCACTTCTTTAGCTTTAATTTGCAGTAAAATGATGAGAAGCAGTTCACAGGATATGTGGCACTACTTTGAGCATCCTGGTAGGAACTGTTGGTCAGCCCAGTGCAAGCGCACACATATAGGTGAACACATGTACCTGTTCACACTAACAAAAGAAGGTATCAGTCCCTCCACCTTCTGAACCCTACCCCAATTCTGAGTCATGTACAGGAAATTAGGGCTCAAGTCGGACTTGTGTCTGATGACTTCCTCTCTGTTTGAAAATAGTTCCCTTTTTAAAACACTGCCACGCTCCAATCACAACCAATTCAAACAAGAGGATCTTGGGATCTTGTGCTGCATTCCAGTTGGACTCGAAAATATTCGCGCTCCGAGGCAGAAATTCATCTGGAATGCCCCCCTTAAGTCCGATTTCCGACTCGGAAAGTCAGACAATCAAAGATGGCATAATCCAAGATGGCAGCGCATTGAATCATAAGTAAATAGTAACAGTAAAAGCTCTCGTAATGTTTTATTTATCAGCACTTCTGTTCTGTTTTTCGTGAAATAAAATAAGTGGTTTATGTTGTACTGCCCAATGTCTAAATGTGAACACAGTGGTGGTGTTTGTAAGAGTAAAATACTGTGTTATGCGTTGTTTACAACTGGTGTAGCTAACAACAACTAACGGCAGCTGACAACGGCTAACAACAGATGACAACAGCTAACAACAACTGACAACCGCTAACAACAACTGACAATTGACAACGGCTAACAACAGCTGACAACAGTTAACTACAGTTGACAACCGCTAACAACAACTGACAACAGCTAACAACAACTGACAACCGCTAACAACAACTGACAACCGCTAACGACAGTTGACAATTGTTAACGGCTAACTGTAGGCGTCCAACTTCGTTTTCCAACTTGTTAACTGGAACGTCATCGACTCGGGCATAGCGTCATTTCCAGCTCCGACATCCGACTTCCGAGGTTACTGGAACTCAGCATTGTACACCAGAGCTTGTTCTTTTAGGTTACAGTTTCCAGGTTCAAGTGCTACAATAGCTTTATCACCATCCTGTTGGTCAAAAGCAATTAAAAAGTGACACAAATATGAAAGATTTGTTTTCACATCACTTGCTCTTCTTCCAACATGATGTGTTTCTTTCTTTAGCTAAACCATCTTCTGTGTCTCACACTCCCGCTTTAATTAAAAAATGAATAAAACATATCAGTGGAAATGCCCACCAAGAATGAACCAAAGGTAATTCCTTTAACACCACGCGGAGTATCGTGACTGTGAAATCGAGAAATGATGGCCGACTGAAGAGACATGAAGGTAGACGCAATGATGGGAGACACAGCGAGCTGCTGAAGACAAAAGAGGGAAGAGTTGAGATAAGTGCACAGAGAGACAGCAGACAGACGGAGAGACAGAGGGAGATAAAAAGAGAACAGAGAGCCCTGTGATAACACTGCACCCATGGACATGAACATGCTGATGAACTGTACAGTGAGGTTTAAATCAAACTCTGCGCTTTTGTCTTTGATGTTCACTTCTCAAAGTCGGCAGGGACTGGAAGCTACGTTCACTTTTTCAATCATCACACACACTCTCACACGCACACACACACACACACCAGCAGCTGTAACACAAAAGTGTAATCTATATTAAACACACTGAAATGGAGCAGACACAGATTAGGCTGTGGTTAGGTTTCATTACAGCTGTATTATGCTTCAACCAAAGAGTGCATTTGTCTCTGTCAGCAGTCTGTGGTGGCTGCATTAAACAACATTACACTAAATAAAAATGCACTCACTTTTCTACATTTCATTGAAGCGGGCAGCTCAATTAAAGGACGACTCTTTCACAAAGCTCCCTCAAGTGGGCGACTACATCTTTCCGCCTTGTGCTATAAAAGTGGAGATTGTTCAAAACCACAGAAATTTATTGACGTTTGGATTTTCTTTTTTTGCAAAGCAAAGAATTTCTTGTGCACGGCTTAAGGTCGCAGAGAAATTCTGCTCTGACACAAAACTCAGATACAAGTTTGTGGCCTCCTCTGCCTATACAAGATGCACAAACAGACTCGCAAACAAGGTCTCCATACGCACGCTCGGGTCTCTTCATCCTCTCTCAAGGAGTTATGTAGAACGAAGCTTAAAAGCTTGTTTACCTGATAAGCTCCAGGCCCAGGATTGGTGTTCATGGAGACTTTGAATCGATCTTCTCTGGAGGAGATCAGAGCCATTTGAGGGGAGGATTTCACACTGGGGTCATACTGGCCAGGACCTAAAGAACACACACACATAATTCATTCATATATGTATCATTTCATGTTAAGCTTGAAGAGGCAGGAAGAAGACAAGTAGATATCTACAAACAAAAGTATCTTAGATAAATCCAGAGATCCTACACAGTTGGAATTTCCATACTTTTCCATACCCTACTTTTTAGAATTATTCTTGGAAATGCCTACTTCTCTATTTTAAAATATGGAATAGTCTGGAAACATAAATATTTTTTCATACTTCTCATTTACCATACTTTTGAAGACCTGGAAATTGATCAAACTACTTCCATACTTTTCCATACTTTCCATACTTTCGTAGGAACCCTGTGAATCCATAACTAATTCAGTGTGTAAAGAAAGAGAGTTTTGAAGACATATAGTATACAGAAAAAAAAAAGGTTTTGGTAGATTACAGATAATAATCAAACTTTCATGCAGTCCATGGTTTTAGCTTATAGTTAGTTGTCTGATGCATGCTAAACACATGCTAAGATATTAATTATTATTCCAGGGTGTCTAAGATTAATTAAATCGGAGGTTCTCAACCAATCCAGCCAAAGGATCTACTTTCACATCCATAAAATTTCAGGCGCACAGTGTCATAGGAAACCTTCAAAATAAAAGCATCAAAGACTTTGAAGAAAACTTTTTTGGCTCATCTGTGATCTACTTTTGGTCTCAATCCACTAACTGAGAATCAAAGAATTGAGGACCCTTTGAAAAAGTAACATTAAGGTGCTGTGACAGATTACACAGAGACTTTGTATGAGCTGTTATATAAAGAAGAGGACAAATTATTCTGCTTCAAGTAAACTTTAAGACTTAATTCAGTTTCCTTCTTGAAAGTATAAAGCTTTCGATTTACTCATCTACTGCTCTTTACACAGAAAACATGGCAGTATTGGCGCATTGTACTGGGCTGGCGTTGCATGATATCATTTTTCCTTGTGCTGCAGTTTAATGTAGCTGTACTGTGATCAAAGCGGAGAGTACAGAGCTCTGAACCACCCCACAGTCCAGCTTCAAGACATAGCATGCAGCCAAAAACACTGACGGGATTAGAATTCACTTTTTACTGATAAAGTCTTCATGATGAGAAAAACCTTTGAAAACAGACAAAAGTAGACATGCAAATATGCATTCACATGCGCCTATTAAAAGACAGACTGGTGAGATAACACATTAAAACAGGACTGCACACACATTTACTGTGCTGCACACGAACACGAGCTGTTTTCTTTCAAGAAGAAAGACTTGCACTGAAGCCTGGAAAAACTCTTCTCAAAATGAAGAGGCAGAGCCTCAGGGTTTCGACAACACGCAACAGCGTCTCTATAAAGCCGTTTTATTATTTAAAACATCAACTGCCAACTTTTCAGAAATTACAGAAACAACTCTACAATTGATTTTGAAATGCTCCAATGGACCCTGGGGCTACAGACTATATTCAGAGCATTAAGAAAACAGACGAGGACAATAAAAAAGAGAATCCATCACCGGTCTGCTACAACCGAACAGCTCAGCACTCTGACCCCACTCTGACTGCGCTAACAGAAAGAGTTTAAGGTTACACACGAACACAAACCAACCAAGAACAGCATCACTCATGATAAAACACACAGAGACATTTCTGAGCAGACTGTAACAGACAAACTTCTTCTGCAGAGAGTTTGCATGTTTCATACATGTTAGATAGTTAAAGGGATATTCCAGCTAAAATTAATTCAGGGTCAAATGCACCGTAACACCGAGTTCATTTAATTTCTTCATGAAAATGCAATCAGACCGAGATGCTAAGGCAAAAGAACTACTGTGTCTGCAGTGCAAAAAGATTAACATGATGATTATTACTTCAAGGAAATAATAAAGAAATGATCATAAATGTTCTTCCTTGAGCTGCGTCACCCCGCAGCAGTCAGTAATGGACTGGTCAAGGTCTCACTACAAACAAGCGGCTGCTGGAAGAGAGTAAGTGAGTTGTGTTTAGTCTCTTTGCAAAAGAAATTAGGCAAAGTCTAAAAGATGTTTGGTGGCTATGTACTGTTGATGAAGTTAGGTGATGTTGTGAGCATTATTTGTGGCTATAGAGTGGTGTTTTGGTTGAGGTTTGTTTATGGCTCCTCAGGCCGCTGTGTATTGCTATCGTGCGGTCATTACTAAAGTTTTTATGACTAGAAAAGCAAGCAGTAAGCAACATTCATCTCCCAAGGGGGTGTCTTACTCGGTGTTACGGTGTGTTTGACCCTAACTTGATCTTACGCCGAAATATCCCTTTAAAGACCCACTCCAATTAAAATCATGTTTTTCCTGTTTTTTACATGTTCATGAGGCATTTTTCTGATGCTACATATCATGAGAAAAATAAGTGTGAAATTGCATTTTTGAGTATTTCCGCATTCAAATCGTTGTGAATCTCTGACAGACCCAAACGGCAGGGTCAGACACAGTGAGATTTCTTACATCACCAAGCATCTCCAAGCTCCGCCCCTCCAGCCCCTCTATGCAACAAGTGCGTGGCAGCGGATTGCAATGCCTGTAATATAGTTAATTATGATATAGACATTTGTCTCAGAGAGCTGAATCGCTCCGATGTTACCTGCTACTTCTACTACATCGGCAATGTTAGGCTGCAAACTAGCATGAAGAGGAGTGTGCAGAGCAGTACTGTCTCCGCCCTAGACTCAGAGGCGAAGTGCTAATAAACTACTGGAGCTCTGAGGAAGAAAAGCCCTTGAAAATGACACATGTAACGTGATTTTGGCTAAAAACTTCATAATCATAATTTAAAGACCACTGAGAACACTTTAAGAAGTAAAAAAAAAAAAAAACGATTGGAGTGAGACTTTAAATCATAGGACTATTATAAAAACTCGGGTCACAGGGGGCCCTGCATGATGAGGAATATGAGCCCCCCTGATGTTCTATATGGGCCCTCTCATAAATGAAAATTTAATAACCTGAAAAAATGATTATATGTGTGCATTACAGCACACCTATCAATGTGTGCGTTCCAGTGTGAGTCTGCTTGAGCGCACGACTTTTCCACACACTCGTGTGTGTGCACATCTGCGTCAGTGTGTGTGCGGCGGCGGAGGTGTGTATTAAGAAGAAACACAATTGCAAACAGTCCAAATCTATTTATATGCAAATTGGATTTTGGTTAAACGGTTTGGGGTGCCTCATGAGTTGAGTCCCTTGGTGAAATGGGGCTACTCATAAATTATCCAAGTAAGTCATGAATCTATCAATTTTGAAACAACATTTTTCAACGGGAGTGTAATTGAGGTAAATATTAGGTTAGGGGCCCGCAGAGATGGAGCTAATTGGACCGCATGCTGGTGAAAAGGTGGAGCTGTTAGGTCTGCGAGTAAACATGAATGAGTTGATAGATAGATAGATAGATAGATAGATAGATAGATAGATAGATAGATAGATAGATAGATAGATAGATAGATAGATAGATAGATAGATAGATAGATAGATAGATAGATAGATAGATAGATAGATAGATAGATAGATAGATAGATAGATAGATAGATAGATTTCAGAGTTTTGGAAAACATCTTTTGCTTCATTTATTTTTTGTTGCTGGATGGTGATTCCTCCTGAACAGAGGTCTTGCTCTAATAAAAATCTGTCTATCACAGAGTCACAAAGTTACCAAGAATCTATTTGCACAAATAGCAGGTTTCAAATTTAACACTCACTTTCTTATATACTGACTTTGTAAGCCCAGGGGGAAGGGGGGGACTCAAACCAAATTCTGCTCAGGACCCCAATTTGGTCCGGGGCGAGCGGGGGTAAGCTAATTATCAGTCTATTATACTTGCTCAACGAGGGGAGGTGAGGTGAGACAGCTGTATGAGACTTAACACACGCGCACACACAACAACAACTTGCTGCAGGTTAACTTCTCTCAGATGGGCTGAAATAACAGATGGTGATATTTCCTCATTAAAAAGACTTTGTTCGTTTGTTTGCTGTTTCAGTCACAGAGACTGACAGGGGATGGAGCTGCGTTTTTAGTTTATTGGTAACCTGGATTAAAATTCTCCATTTCTGGGAAAACCATTGGGGCTTGAACTCTTTTTGGCTGCTCCCAGCACACATCAGTGTTTTTTTCTTTTCTGGAAACAGGCATCATGTCACTCTGTTGCCATCTCAAAATAAATTGATCCCAGGGAAAAACTGATCCCGTCAAAAATGCAGCTACTTTTGTGAATTGATTTTCCCCCATCCGCATGAAGTGGATCAGTTTCTATTAGTATAATGCTGTTGTGTGTATTTGTGTGGATGTGTGTGTAACCTGGTATGCTGGGGTCACATCGCAGGAAGACGTTGTCCCGTGGTGCGGCAGAGAGGAAGCAGCTCTGCCGTCTCCTGGCTCCTTCACTGCGGGGTTGCAGGTAAGGACGTCCGTTAGCCTTTTCAAATGACTCACTCACATTATAAGTGTTAGGCGGAGGCGAGTCCTATGGGGAGAAAAGCTCTAAGGTCAAGAGAATTTTAACATAAGTGTAGGCGGTGGTATAAGATAGATACGGATTTGCATTTATGATGTCTGTACAGTTGACCATTCATCCAAAAGTCACTTCAGACCACGAGTTGTTATTTCTCCAAGTTCGCAAATTATAGACCTTCACTCAACCCTCCTAAATTATTGAAGAACATATTCTATTTTGTGAGAAGACTGCATGTCTGAGTTTTTTTTCCAGTTCAAGCTGTGATATTTATGTTCCTGCAATATCTCACCTTTGAAATGTCACAAAGGCATGTGGCAGTGGTGCCTGATGTGTTACGATAGCTATGAGAGTGAGTGTATGTAAAACTCCCGCTGTGTGAACACAATGTCATAACACAATGTCAGATTACACACTTGTACACCAAAATATGTAACCAGGCATTTGCTAATAGCCTCACATTGTTAAGATATGACGCTGTGATTGACTAATAGTAGCTGTTTTACAGGCTGATGTTAATGCTGGTTATGAGAGAGCAGGTCAGCTAACATATAGAGATGATATAAAATATTGATTGAAGTTTATTTGAACATTAAAAAAAATTAAAAAATAATTACAAAAAAGTAAAGAATACAACAACAAATGATAAAAATTGAAAGGGGATTAGGGCCACATGAAGAGAAAAAAAATATTACAGGAAGGAGATTGAAGTCAAAATTTCGAGATTAAAAAATCTAAATTATGTTGATAAAGTTGAAATTTCAAGATAAAAAATTTCCATTTCGAGATTTAAGTAGAAATTTCGAGATTACAAAATGACAGAATATGGTGAATAATGGAAAAATTTTGGGACGAAAAAAATAAAAAGTCGAAGTTTCGAGATTAAAGTTGACATGAATGAAGTCAAAATTTTTCGAATGTTTAAAATTTCAACTTTATTCTCGAAATGTAAATTTCTTATCTTGAAATTTTGACTTTATTGACATAATTTTGATTTATTAATCTCGAAATTTTGACTTTAATCTCAAAATGGAAATTAAAAAAATCTCCATCTTGTAATTAATTTTTCCTCTTCTTGTGGCCCAGTTCCTTTTTTGTATACAAAGTTATCCATGTTCAAAAAGGAGAAGGAAGAAGTCGAAACTTATCGAGTCTTACCCCTTCCCCGACTCTAATGATTTACATGTATATCATAATATTATACGTGTTATTTTTATTGATACTGTTATTAAATAACAATTACTAAACTTAATTAAAAATTATATCGGTTAAATGTAGGAAGAAAAATATGCGGTTCAGTAAACTGTTGCTGTCATTTTTTAATGAAAAAAAATACAGGGTAAATATTTGGGTTATGCAGTAAATTATATTTAAGTTTGGCTTCTCCAATCTTCCTCAGTGCTGGACCAGTTTTCAGAAATTGTTTGTCCCATCAGTTAAGCACCCACACATAATTAAAGATAGTGAAGTTTTCCCTTAATTGTCTAGCAGCTGTGAATACCTGCGTAAAATCTGTGCCAACTGTCGACAATAGAAGTCCCATCAAAAACTGTTGGCGTTTCAGTCAAGTCTCAACTTCAACTCAGTGAGTCACAGTTTTACCTGGCCGTGTCAGTAACACGACAGGAAATGTGTGAAAAAGTGACGCACAATCATACAAAACCCTGACATTTCTGCGGTCATCTCATTAGATTACATAACTCACTGTCCTCTGCATAAAGGACACACATTCATTATAAATAACAAATGACCCCTCGCCCATATGTAATCAGCGCACCCTGTCAGACCAGTGATAAAATTACCAATGTACACGTATTCCTGCATGACTATCAGCGCACAGACACAAGGACATGCAGTACATGTCACATCATTTACATGCAAATGCAGACAAGCAAACACACACACACACGCCCACAGACACACATGCAGACACGTCCTCCATCGTGGGAATGAGCGGTTTGCTCGCACCTGTCATTATCCTGATTCTTCACAGTGGTGGAGAATCATGGGGAACATTTCAAACATGTTACAGATAATTTAGATAACTAGCCTCCATAATAAGCTCATTACATACACAGTCGCTAATGATTCGCTCACAATTAAGAGCTACATCACAGAGATACCTAACCCTGAACAGCTAATGAATCGCACTCGTACAGTTTGGGATCATAAAAACAAAATCTTGGGTGAATCTCCAGGTTTCTAAAGTTGCACTTGCCCTGCTGCAGAGGAGTCTGAGTTACAGGGGATTTGTCTTGTCTGTGGGTCTTTGAATAATTGATGGCGAAGGCTGAATATAGCCGCACGATCCATTTATCCTAAACATAGCAGAGCTGTCATTTACCTCAAACTGTCATTTCCCCACCGCTGTTTTCCCCTTCTCCTCCAAGGTAACCGTCCATCTTTAATCATCGCTAACCCCGGCCATTTAGCTTTTCATTATCGACACAGTGGGAGGAAAAGGAGGCGAGGACAACGTGTGCACGACAACACAATACCAAACACATGCAGAGATAGTCAATTTGCAGGAGCGCACACATACACACACATCGCACCGGTACAAACCAGATTCTGTGGGATGTTGAAAGCAACTGTGGCAATGCTGGAAAACAAGACTGATTGAATGACAGGGAGAAAAAAAACTTTTGGCCACCTGTTACTGTATCCCGCGGTTCTGGTGGGTCTCCTGGTGGATTTGAGGAGCGCGAACACACATACACTGAGGGAAACACACACACACCTGTAGTCACAGATCAATCTAACAGTGCAGTGCAACCATCCTCCAACCTCTGCTCCATAATGTGCACATGCACCTGTCGAGAAGCCCTATGGTCCATAATTACACCCGAAACCTCAAGCCAACCACTGTTCCCAGTCGCAGTCTTCACCTATTGACAGCACTCAGGTTGTCTTTAATTACACGCTCTTGACATTTAGACAGCTCAATACTTATCTTGCCACAGACACACATGAATTCCCCCTTTTTTTAACGATTCTGTCACACTGTCCTTGACTGTCTAGAAAAAAAATAATAATCTCACAGTGTGTATAGTTCACCGCAGATGACGGATACACATTTGTGGCAGCCAGGCAGTGACACAGAATCATTGGAATTGAATATTGATGTGAATCTGGCACCAAGACCGGCTGTCAGGCGTGGCAGTAATGTCCGATAAAATCAGAAAAGAGAGAAAAAATTAACAAGAAATGATAAACTTTGTGGTATTGATGCATGAAAACATGTACTGCATGTAAAGACAGTGATCATGTAAGTTAAGTGGATGTAGAATTTTCAACCAAGACTTCTGTAGGAGGAATTCATCAAACCATCGAGTCATAGGAGACTCTGAATAAAGCAAAAGGTAAACACTAAATTAAGCAAAAGTGTCGAAGAGCTGACAGTTGAGCCCAACTATATAATCTAGATTTGATCCTGCAGTGAGTTTTGTTTTCCATCATGAGATTCTGTGAGAAAAAACATGGAAGGTGTTGAGTTCAGCTCTAAAAATACAACATTACAAAAAAACATGTTGTATTTAAGATGTTGCACTCCTCTGGTACATGAGCACAATACTATGTCAACAAGGATCTCCTCCTGAAGGTTCACAGGGGCATATAGGTGATGAGATATGTGTCTAAAGTTCAGGTTGGCAGCTGGAAAGAAACCGCTGCAATACTTAACATTTTACTCACTTTCTACTACTCTTGTGTGTGTGCTTTTTGACAGCTTTAAAAACAATTTGCCACGATCTCACACAAAGTCACAAGCTGGGTGTACACCGTGTGAATTGAGGCTAATTCTATCTCAGAGCTTCATTCACATGACGGATTTTGAAGTTGCACTGAATTTAAGCTTGATTATTTGTCGTTCGTCATGCAGTGTTCAGGGCACTTGAGGGCAAATCACAGCCTCATCATCTGCTCCTGACTGGTTGGATAATTTTCTTATGTGTTAGAAATTCAGGTGCTCTCACACGGTCAAGTCATGACCACCACCCAATTCCCAATTTAAGAGCATTTTGTCCTGATTGTGCCTCCATAAAAAAGCAGACAGTCGGTGAAAGCACCATGGTGACACGCTCTGATGTGAACTGAAGTACAAACTGATCAGACATTACATTAGGAGGACAATCTGATGCAACAGTTCTCATGAAAATCCTGCTTTTACAAACTTAATGTCCTTTCACACTGGGAGCGTTTTTTTCGTGCGATTATTTCGGACATCAATTTTTTTTTTCGAACCCGTATCCTGTCAATACAAGTGTCCACATCAGTGACATTTCCCGTCCTGCGATATTATCAAAACAGGCCTGCAGTGTGACCTGTTGCACAAGTATTGTTAATTTTTAAAATGTGGAAAATAAAAGACTAAACAAACTGATATAATTTAGTAGTTTGGACACCAATATTCTAAACTTTTAATTCATATTTGAGAGAACTACCTCATGAGGAACTATACAAACCTTTATGTGTTTGTTTTATCTGCACAAGTATTGTTTAATGTTGTTCATTAAAATAAGATTGGAGCATCGAAGGTGTATGTTCTCAGTACTGATAAAAGGTATCAATAGGTATCGGCAGGTCAAGCTTTTTAAAGATCGGTGATCAGTGCACCCCTACTGATCATGCATCAGAGAGGTGATGATTTTAGCCGACAGTGCTTTATATCTGTTTGTAAAGATGTCTTCATTGACTTCAACTTCTGTTTGTCAGTTTCCAAAGGAGACTTTGTTGATGGCTGTTCACGCTCTGACCCTGATGTAATATTCATCTGTACAGTGTGAATAACCAGGTTGTGCTTGAAAAATCAGACCTCACAGTGTGAGCGCATGATTCATTCGCTATGGTTGTGCTCCTTAAACAAATCACGGGTACAGTTTGAACTCCATCACAACACTCCCCTCCAGTGTATGTCAAGATCGAGGACAAAGGAGTTCGACCATGTGCATATTTACATGATTCAAACACCTGAGGGACACCTGAGCACACATATGACACTGGGCCTGTGATGTGTAGCATGAAACTGAAGCTATCAATCAATACGTTACCTTGTTACTCTGCTTCCCTCAAGAAAAGTAGTATTGAATAGAAAATCTGTATTCTGTATTACTTCTCCGATGACTGATTGTGGAGTGAAGCATGAGCCTCATCTTTGTGGTATATTGGGTGATATTGGGTAATAGGAAACGCAGCCTTTTCTTCGCCGCACGCCACCTTTAACGAAAGCTCCTCATGCAAATTTAACCACTGCTCTGCTTTAGTCATTTTAAGCCAAAAAAAAAAAAAAACATCACACTGAATCTCCTTTTACATCCAAACAGCATGCGATGCACATTCTCAGTTTAATGGCCAGTCATATAAGAGTTTAGCAAAATGCGAACGCAGACTCAGTCTCACTCATTATCTTCCTACAGCTTTTCTTCCTCGCCATCCTCTCTTGCACTAATGGCCACTCAAGCACACCTGACAACCATCCTGCTAATGATTCGGCTTAGTATATTCAGTGACAGCTTAGACTAATGGCCCACATCGCACATATGATGCATGCGTGTGAGAGGGAGTTTTTGTGTAAGCGAGCATGCTACTCTTGGCTTCATTTTTTCATCTTCTCATTACTCTTAAAACCTTTCATTCTTCCTGGAAGCGCTCAGTGCTATTTTCAGGCTTTATTTCCATTTTTCAGATCATTCCAGGGAAAACGACGTTTTTAATATTCTTATGTTGTGCATTTGTTTGTGATTTAGGGCAAGTTCTAGTCTGTTATGTGCATTTAAATACATTTGTCTTGCATGGATCCTAATGTATAAGCGGCCATAATGAATTCATGTATCTATTAGGAGCTAGTTTGAGGATCAGTCTGACAGAAACCTGGATATGATGTTTCCCTTCTATATGACCACATCTGCTAAATTACACATTCATGATATTGTGAAGTTAGGACTAAAGTGCGTAGGTCGTTTCTGTTTCTGAAAGCCTCACATCATTTAACTGCATCCTCTCTGCACTTTGTCCTCAGTGGCGCCTGCAGACCATGCAGATAATAAGCAGGTTGTATATCCGCATTTACAATCCTACAGATAAAAATGGTTAGACTTAAAGGTGGGGTAGGCAGAAATCGATAAAGGAAGCATCTTATTTTGTGGTGTATATACAGTCAATAGGTATTAGTTATTGATGACATTTGGTAATATAACAATATCGCTGTTTTCTCTTCTGTCTGTGTCGTCAACATTTTAAATTTTTTGAGCGGCCCGCTCTTTCTGACTGTAAACAAAGCCGTTCTCTGCCTCCCCAAACCTGATTGGTTGTGATGCAGACGCTGCTCCCCCGTGTCGTTTACAAGCCCAAACAAAGTTAGCATGCTACAATATCGGACAGTAGAAACCAACCAGAAAGTACAGAAAATTGTCAGAATCCTCCTTTAACCACGACTGCCGACACAAGCAAGAAAACAAAGTAAATACCAGAGACTCTGGCGGAATAATAGGCGCTAAAAAAGCTGGGCAAGAGCTAAGACTCCGGGTCAACATGGCATAAACGATGGATGGGGGACGCTTCGGGATCTTACTGACCCTGTAACCTTTCTGCTGGACAGGTAAACCACTTTAACAAAGTAAGCCAAGTGTCTGTAACAGAAGTGTTTCTTGTCAAATGAGACCTGCTGCGTGTTGTAGCAATACTAAATTGTTTACCACTTACTGGTTGTATAAGTCCTGCAAACATTGTGTTTGCTGGTAGTCTGTTGGCATCTACAGTAGCACTAATGCTTTTTCCTTTACATTGACTGGGCCCCATTTGTAATTATCTAAAGTATTTATCTGCATTAAATCTGAATTTAATTGAAAGTGCAATAATCGACATCCAAAAATTCTGCACCATTTTTCAAAGCTGGATATTCACTTTTGTCCTTCTGTTTAACTTTGGATGTTAGTAAATCTTATGTAACCAGAGTCATAGCTAAACAAAAAGCGAGCTCAGTCTTCTTTTGCTTGTTTTTCCTACTGAAAAGAAAATCTCTGCTGTGGAGTGTCATGAGCACAGCTGGTGTCTCATCATTGGGCTTGATAACCATCTGTCTGTTTTTATTAGTAGAGGTAAGGCTGGTGTCATAAGGCTTTAATGAGCTTTTAGACAGGTCTTCTATATAGATGGAGTGACTGTGGGGAACCATATGGGTCCCATTCGCTTCCTATTCACTCTTTATAGGCAGCAGTTAGAGTAACAATTTGCTGACAGCTACAGTTTCTGCTGTTTTGTTATCTTGTATATCTTTCGTTCTTCTTTATTTACTTAATTCTTGCATATTTGCTTATTTTTTTGCCAGAGCTATACTGTTTTCCACTCCAAATAAACAACCCCACCCTTCCTCCATCACTTTGCTTAACCTCTCTCTATACCTCTTTCCTCATGTCTGTCATTTCACGGCTTCATGGAGCAGAGACCAAAATGCTAATCTGATCAGTTCACATTTAAAATCCAGTTTAGGCTCTAAGTTTAGACCCAAGTGTTACTGTGACTGATTTATAGGCAATATTATTCAGTCATCTGTCCGTAGAGTCAGGGTGGTTTAGAGTTCTGTGTAAACACTGACACCCACAGCTGGGTCCCCTCTGAACCAGCAGCCATCCAGCAGAGGACCAGAAGGCCCGGGTTGAGCAAATGCCCAACCCAGGCCTGCTTACATCATGGGGGCCCAGCTCAGCTCAGCCTGGCCGCCTGCCTGGATGACTGTCTGCTTGGCTCCTAAAATCATCACCTGCTACTAAACAGCTGTCTGCAACCAAACACACACTAAACACACAGCTGCCGGAGAAAAAACAGGAACGTGCCCACACCTGCAAATGGGTCTTCGTACGCACACACACACACGCATGTGCTCATTGTACTACACACACAGCTGGTGGCCCCAGCTGGTGCCCACACTTTGGACAGGGAAATGTACACTTAGGTGCGCACATGCACACAGGAGACACAGCTGCTTACCGCGTGTGCGCATGAGGAGCCGGGTATAACAAGAGAGACGGAGAGGGGGTGATCAAATTAGGATTATTAAAAGTGTGAACATGAAGGGATAACAGAAGAATAAAGGCAAAAAATCATTATTAATAAAATATAAAAAGAAAACATGATTAAAAACCATCAAATTCAAGACGGCTGAAGGATTAAAAACTCAAAAGATTATGTAAAACATACAGGACGTGTATCAGCTCCATCGCAGCATCGTATTGAGAGCAGCACTGCTAAAGATACGCGGCGAGTCTATTTTTGCTGCTCTACGCTTCCAATCCACACAGAGAAGGCCGTCCTAGACAGGAAGTCAAGCACGAAAAACCACGCACGTCATCCGGTACTTCAAAATAAATCACCATATGCAAACTCCAACTGTGTATCAGTTCGTGTCGATGAGAATTACTTCTTGGTTATGGATTTATCAGTAACACAGAGCAACCCGATGGTTAATCCCTGATCCATGTGGACCCCAGCAGGACTTTTGCTAACTCTGTCTGAAGGTAACAGCACAGCATAAAGGAACATAGTTTACTTTATTAAACACGAGTAAACCTGCAAAACCGAAACTTTAAAGTCACGGTGCTTTTTCACATACAGTAGAGGCTCAACAGTCACTGAATTATATCCAAATTAGCAGGAAATCGACCACAGAAAGGCAAAACAACCTGTTGTGAGCATGTTGTTTCCTTTATACTGAGCCCGGCTGACCGGGGCTGTGCTACGCTGCTGCTGCGCTCCAAATATGCATCCTGTATGAAATAGACAACACTGCTCTACAGAGCAAATTTGGAATGCGCTCAATACAGATCCTGTATGTTTTTGGCTTTAGGCCAACTGTATTTTCTTACAACTTCATTATTTTCAGATGGATAAACACAGATGGAAAGAAAAGCAGATCAATTCAAATCAGATTGAGCTCAGGTTGATCCTGATACTGACAAAAGAGATCCACCTGTTGGGCTTCATCCTTGACAACAGGGTTTGATTACAGTAAGTATGAAAGCAGTGAAATGGCCAGATTTTTACAATACAGTATACTTGTGTGAATCTGTTTTCTTCAATGTAGCTCCAACTGTAAGACCAACAAAACTATCACAACTAAGAGACAACGTATAACTCTCCTAAACTACAGATATTTACACTGGTCTCACCTCTGACAGGCCAGTCAACAGCCAATCATAGTCTTGCATTTTGGTGTGGCTTATGGGGTGGGCAATCTGAATTAAAGGAGGGTCTGTGCCACCCCTGTCTACCTACTTTAGACACGCCCCTGTTACAAGGATGACAGGAACATTGAACAACATACACATGGTGAATAATAATAAGTCTGACTCTTGGTTGTTTTGCTTGTTTTCATAAGTTGTATAAAGTCCAGCCTGGTGAATTTTGTCCTCATGAAACAATTGCAACTTTGGTCTTCAAAGCAATCAAAATCTTTTACTGTTAACATCCATGTTTTGTAGTTTGTAATTATTGTTTTTTGTCCTTTATTGATGTAATGAGGAGCTGCAAACTGAGATGCAGTAAAAGCAAAGTAAAAAAGAAGGAACCACCAAAAAGTGCCTCAATACTTAATCATACTGCAGCAATGTTGGATTATTGTGAACGTTGGATTAAAAACTGTTGCCATTTTTGTGCCATTTATCAATTCAGGGACACTAACAGCTGAAGTAGAAACCTGTCTGACAACCTGTTTGGTTTTGAGATTGATCGTATTGAATCTCTTTCCTTTCCTGCTGTAATTTCCTATGAAGATGTTATTTAATCACAGCAGCGGATAAAGCAAAGTATGTCGGTATGGATTCCTGAACAGCAGAAGTTGTTTGAATGTGGCAAAAAAATCATGTCGTGTTGATCCACCTTTACTTGTAAAATGTCTTTTATTTTAAGTCACAGGCTGTTTTTGAGGAAGGGCTGTTTTTCAGTCGACTTGTTTTATAACAGCACGACAGCAGGGAGGTAACAATAACCAGGACTTCACAGCAAGAGGAGAAGACAAGGAAAGAGAGAAAAAGAATTTCACCGAGCGTATGTGATCTCTTCCTCCGAGCAATAACTTAGAGAGCATCCACACATCATAAAATCTGAAAGTGCTACACAGACAAGTTCTCCATCTGTGGCCCATCTCACACTTTAAGACTCCCTTCTTTTGCTCTCTTTTCTCTGTCTTTTCCTCTGCTGCTCATGCATACACACTCATTTATTCCAGTCGCTGGAGCCTCTCTCTTTCTCTCCCAAATTATCCCGATTCTCAATCTGTATCTTCACTAAATTGATATTTTTAACAGTTTCCAACTCCGTTTTCAAAAAATACAAGTTCCTATCCAAGCCAGAAGTGTTTTATAATGTTTGTCCAACCACAGAAAAACACAGAAAATAACCGCATCAGTGTGACAGAGCAGGAGGTGGCGACAGCGTTTGATCGGCAAATTACATCTAACACCATTGGACATTGTGAACATGCATATTGAGCACCTTTGTGAGCAAGTGAGCAATTGTAGACGGCATTCTTTCAACAATGTGTTCAACGTCAATAGCCTTTGAAAAGCACCAACGTTAGAGCAATTTTTAGCAGAGAGCAGTCAATAACTAAACGCAACCCTTTGCCACATGACTTTGTCCTCTCTCACTTCACTTTTTCCTGCATAAACAGCCCAAAAATACACTTATGAAAAGAAAAAAAAATTCTGGTTTCTCAAGATAATCAGGAGCATGAAAACAGCAGCCTCTAAAAGTTGCTAACAGATTTTTAAAGTTTATGTTAAATCCTTTCATGCCTTCGTCAATGATCAGGAGATTTTATAATCTAAGGAGGCCAAAATAGAGACACATAAGACGACAAAGAAAACACACTGCACATTAGATCAGACTGAAGTCTTTGAATTTAAGATTTCTGCCACTGCAAAGGTCAATTTTATTCTGAGACACTAATTGAAGATGTGAAGTTTTTAAGTATCATGATTTTGATTTCTGCCAGTACAGGAAAAGACTTGTAGTGAGGTGTTGGTTAAACTGGTTAATCGGTTTCTGTTTGGCTGAAATTCTACATCTGAGTCTAAAAACCAGAAATATAAGGTGACCGAGTTAAAATAAATGAAATGCTACATCCAGATGATATACAGGTGATCAGATGTTTATCTGTGTTTGATGAAATCTACTAAATTTGTACTTTTTTCTGAATGAGTGGCTTAAACTTCTGCTGTTTTCATCCATAATACACAGCAAATTTCAAAAGCTACTGGAAAGTTAAGGAAAGAGCACAATCAAATAAAATTCACCATTAACACAGAAAAAAGGGCACTTCATAAACAGATGCAATATTTTTTCTTGTAGGATGATAGGGGGAAAACCCGCCTCCTTCGCCTCTGATTGGCTAGAAAAGCTGGAAACGTCATCACAAGCTCAAGCCAAACGCGAGCTGTCGGCTCTGTACATTGAACAGAACATTACAGAACATTATTGCACTTCTGAATCGCCTAACCCTAATCCTAACACTAACCCTTACCCTAACCCTAACCTGATAGACAATGATGTTTCACAGCCATAAGGAATAACCAATCAGAGCCCAGCACTTAAAACCAATCAGAGGCAAAGGAGGGCGGGACCTTCCCCTACCATCCTCCTCCAAAAAAATTCGCGAGCGGGCTACAACAGAATGTTAGCTAGCAAGCAATGTGTGGGCATTTTAAACATGCTAACCGTCCTGGTTCATCTTTAATTACCTAAAATACAAAAAAAATAGAAACAACACTTTCTTTTGGTTTGACACGGTGATCTTGCTGTGATTTCTGGGGATCCCGTTTGACTTTTATTTAGCGACATTGCTACGCCGAGCTAATCAGCGCGCTGTTTCACCTGGACTTTTTGTTTTGGTAAATGCAGATAAGTAGTTAGGACAGGTAGATTAGGTAAACTGCCATAAATCCACAGAGGAATACCAATGGATTCCCATTACTCATTTCCTTTTTGATTTGTTTGCAGATGAAACAGAGTGGAAGGAGGATGAAAAAGAAAGACAGACGGAGTGATAATCACGTGTGGAAAAAGACAAGTCGATACCGCCACTGCATATGACGACATTACTACACTGCTCTCCCCTCCCCCTTTAAATCTTTCTATCCATCACGTTTATGAATTGTTCAGGGGGATATTGAGCAGAGCATGATGGGAGTGTTACTGTCTGAAGCCTCGGGCTGGAAGTGTCACCAAGTACTTTTCTCATCAGTCAATTAAATGCGCATGAGCACGTTTATGTCAGTGCGGTAACACATTACATGTGCATGTAAATGAGTGCATGCAGATACGCAGTATGTCTGTATATTCTGGGTGCCGTTACATATATTTGTGCATGTTTATGTGTGTGAATGTGTGTGGGGTGGGGGACATTTCCAGTGAGTCATATCCTCCGAGTACATATTCGTCTGTGCCTGAATCCTCACAGGGACTGGCATCATCATCATTACCCTGACAGCTGACAGTTAAATCCATATCAAATCTATAACTCCATTTTCCTGTTTTTGTTCCTTTCTTTCATCACCCGACTCCCTTGTCTCCCATAAATAGAGGCTGCAGCATGACACGCCATTAGCTGTCCATGGATATATCATAAAAATGCAATGAAACACACAGACAAAAAGTCAATAAGTGGCGAACCCTGGGCCATTGCATATTTTCCTATCCCAGATCCTTCAAGAATATCTTGCCAGTAGCATTACCTTCAATGCAACTGTCAGGCTTTTCGTCTGACTCAAATGGCTTTTTATTTATTTATCAGCTTTATCTCTTTAAACCCAAGGACCACAAATGTCTTACTTCTTGTCATCTTTCTTAACTTTTTCTCCCTCACTTCTCAGCATGTCTTTCTCTCCATCTCTCCTCTGTCCATTTCTCCCCCCTCTATCATGCTCTGTATAATTTCACCTCCTCGTTTTTGTCTTCTGCTCATTGTGCATAGCAAGGGGACGCTGCTGCTCCTCAGTTTGATAAATGTATGTTTAGCAAACACTCTAATTATCTCAACCAGAGCTAATAGGATAGATAATTACACATTATACACAGAGGCACTCTCTCTGTCATTCTCTTTGTCTTTCCTTCTTTCCCTCCCACTGCTCTCTCCATTCAGTGTCCTCCCTCCTCTCCCTCTGTCTTCCTTAAGTCCATTGTCTGCGCTATCTTTTTCTGAGAGCAATCTGGTGTTTTTCCACTCGTAATTGGCATTAATGAGGTTTTCCATGATGGCGTCAGGCCTTGCGGATGATGTCTGTCTGTGTCGCTAGACCAGAAAACACAATAAAGCAGCTACTTAATATGATTTTTATGTTGTGTGGCTCTGGCATTAGAAGAGAGGGACAAATCAGCAGTCTAGTCTCTGTTAGCTCGTATTAAAGTTACATCTAGAAGTATACGATTGTAGCAGCTAACATGTATAGAGCTGAGTCATATGTGATGCAGAAGCCCTCACGGTTAGCACTTTCCACCGCAAGATGACTGTAATTGTGGCACCTGTACCTCCCAACCTTTCAATTCCAGTTCATGTGAGGAAATTACAAGGTGGTTGTAAATGTACCACCGAGTACAAAGTCACATTATTAGTTGCCATGGCTTTAGAAGTGAGAGAATTGCACTAGCAAGCAGCTGCGAGAGCTGCTAAGTTAAGGATGGAAATGTCTCCGGTTATGAAGTGACTGTTTTTTGTTTTTTTTTTCTCTTCCATTTGTTTTCATTATTATTTCCACATGCTTGGTTTGTTATGAATCCTGTTTCCAATCACTGTCAGCGGTCAAAGTAATAAAAGCTGTGTTTTAATATTGTCTGTCTGGTTCCATCGTGCCAGTTTCACTCTGACAAAGGAGAATTATGAAGTGTTGTTCATTCACGGGGTGGCAGATATTAGCTCAGATAAAGTGAAATTTGTCTGACTGGCACAGATATTATTGCCTGTTTTCATCTGTTTGGAAAGACGTACATAGAGTCAACAGACCTGCTGGAACAAAACAGTGTTTTGCATCACAACAAAACTGGAACACAGATCCTCATAAACAGATCTTTTATGAAATATCTCAAAAAGGATTAGAGATTGTTTTTTTTTGGGATAAAAAAGAAACGTAGGCAAACACATCCTTTACTTTAACTCTTCTTTCCTTTAAAAGAAACTATTGTGAAGTTGTTTGTTAATGTAGAGACTGCCTCACTCTCTGGATACCAGCTTTATGAAGGTCATGCAGAAATACGCTTGGTTCATACCTGAAGCTGCTGCTGCTTTGTTATTTGAGGGTTCTGTTTTGCATAACTCAGCCAAAGTGACTGTGGGTAATAATCCCACAGAGGATGTACCATATGCTACAGCTTACTATCTTCCAACTGAAGTCAGACAGCGAGTCAAGTGATCTGTGTTAATCAGAGGGAAAAGTTAGAATTGAGACATAATTATTGCTGTGAGTTTTTCCAGGTTTATCACTATATCATATAGTTAACTAACCATGCTTGGATGATCAAACCAAAGCTGATCTTTAGACCGGCTTTATGGACAGACGTTATTCTTTAACTGCTCTGCTATGTTCATTTAGTTATGTATTTTATTATAAATGATTGATCTGGTTTAATTTAATCATCCATTACTCTTGTGTTGCTGCTTAGGGAGTGTATCAATAAACTAAACTCGTGACCTGATTCATGATGCTGGATTCACACATGAATGTAAACAGCTCAGTGTATGTTTTTATATCTCTGTTTTCACTACCCAAAACTGATTTGAAAGGATGCAAAAGGTACTTCTGTGAGACCATAAAGATGTTAGGGTTGTCAACGAATATTCTAAATTCCAATATATTGTATATTTGAATATTAAAAGAAAAAAAAAAAAACGAGATTCAAATGTGTACTTTAATATCTGAATATTAAATAAACACATGCAGAGAGAAATGGCGGGATGTTTGGAGCCAAACTTGGAGAGAGTGGTCTGGACTCCAACAAATTTTAGAAGCTCCATTTGGGGAAATTATTCGGATTTTGGGCAGACACAGTAGACTGAAAAAATGCTCAGCGAGATAAAGTTATATGCAAGCTAGATATTCTAATATGTTCAAACCTTTGTGTTATTTTTAGACTGAATATTTAAACATTATTTTGGGGCAATTTTGACAGCTCTAATAGATGTAGGAGTCAATGAAAATGTCTGAAGAGATGTCAACCAGTAAAATTATTCCATGCTAAGGCCCCCTGTGAGGAGGTACAGGCTCTTGCATTGTCATTAATTTGTGCTACCTGCAGAACAGATGTGAAATCACAAATGCATAAAGTAAAGAGTTGAAGATTGTCTATTGGGTTATTAATAAAGTATGGCAATCTTATATGCATAGATGATGGAAAATGCTAAAACATTATTTTCCTGGGTCGCTCATGTATCATCTATGTGTGGGAAATTCTTCATCTGCTGTTTCCCTCTACAAACAGCACCTCTGCTGTTGGAAAAAGGTACTGAAATTACCTCAACAACATCTTCCCACCATCCCAGAGGAGGAACAGCTTTGACCCTGTTACATGTTTGGTCCTATACTTTTTAGATGTTATAACAACAGCGTAAAAACCTGCCTTGAAATGGCGATATGTAAGCGCTCTCTGCATCCCTTCCCTTCTGCTCTGGTTCTTCAGTGGACTTAGTTTTAATCTGAGTTTTTTGTTCGGGAACTTTCCGTGTGTCTTAGGATTTGTCCTCCAGTGCTGCCTATAGTGTTGTCTCTTTGTGGGTTTACTCATGATCTCTATTGTTTTCTCTTGGAACCGTTCCTTGGATTTTGAGCAATAAACCCTTTTTTTAGTTGCTTTCTTCATGACATATATCTAGACTTTCTACATCTTGGTCTTTTTTGTTTTTATGTTATAGCAAATCATAAACCAGAGATGGAAGTTGTTTAAGACAGAAATCTGTCCTTCTGCTTTGGCATTGGTGCATTTAGCTGTTACTAAATGCCCTTTCATTCTGACATCTCCTCACTCTGAGTTTAACAATAACCATCCATCAGGACCTCTATTAATCTCAACATCATTGGCAACAGAACAAAATCGACATGGATGAGGATAGGCAGAAACATATTAGTGAAAGAGTGACTGACAGAGAGACAAAGCTCCTTGTCAAACCTCTCTGCTGTCGCTTGGAGGGACAGGACAATATTTCACTGATGTATGGAAGACAGAGGAATTCCACTGCCACGGGGTAAAACATCGGTCCAAATTAAATTCCACACTGATTCTCTCCCAGCGCCGCCCGAGGGTATCCCACGACCTCTGCTACAGAAAGGTCACCACCAGGAAGTGTTGGAGGAGAAAGCAGGAGACGGAGAGGGAGAAAGAAGGAGGAGGAGGAGGAGGAGGAGAGAATAAAAGATGAAGATAAGGAGAAATAGCTCTGGAGTAGACGTGGCAGGAAGGCGAACGCTCCATTCAGAATAATCTCTGCTTTCAGATCTGTCATTTTTCCTAACAACATGCCTTATTCTTTCTTCTTCTCAGACAGGTAATCATCTCCTATCAGATTTGGACCTGTAGCTAAAGCACAGATCTGACTGGCCTCATCTTTTGAAGTGTGTTTGACTTAAATTGCCATATTTTGAGCTTCCTTTGAATGAGGGTATGCCATAAGATAAGAAAAATCTACTAAAATAATAAGCATAGGTTAGCCACTGTTTCGGGCCTCTAGTCCTTATAGTCCTCTAAAATTTCAACCTTTACTGCAACATGAATCTTTTCAGTCAGAGCACAGACAACATCAGCATTCAGACATCAGACAGATCATTAAGACGTACTTTGAGACTTTCTTCTCTCTCGCTTTCTTGTCTCCCTTCTCATGATGGCGATTGTTTCCTGATTAGACACTTTTAATATCCATCGCAGCGGGGAGCTGTTACCAAGGATACAGCAGAGGCTGCAGCGCCGCATGTGGCTAACTGTTACAGCTAAGACGTCCCTGGGTGATTTTTCATTAACTGGTCATAAAGGGGGCTCAGTGTGGAGCCATTACAAAGGGCCTCAGATCTTCTCCACAGAGCACTCAGAGGTGGTGCCCAAAAAGAGGAAAAAGGAGAGAGCAGGACTTAGAGGGGAATATGGAGAGGATATTACATCTCTTAAGAACAGTTTAATGAGCTTTTGGGTTCCTTTTTTTTTCCTCTTTTCGGTCCAAACCCTGCGCTCTCTGCAGTCTTTGTGACAGCCAGCCATGCTGATTTCCTGAGGAGGGCTGTAGACGGACATGTGCTGCCTCTGTGACACATGGCGCCGCCAACTGCTTCTTTTCACCCTGACCTTGCCAGCTCCACCTGTGATTGCAGCCAATTATGTTTGTGGGTACACAAAAACAAGCTGGAGGTACTGCTATAGGGAGCTGAATCCAGTCAAAGCTATTGCTAAATATTTAATCACGCCGCGTGTCTGACATAAAACGAAAGCCAACCTCTGATCACTGAACTCGCGGCACCCCTCACTCTAAGTTTACACATTATCTGCACTGTATCAGCGCATGACAATGTGAGACACTGACACCTTTTAGACTGTGTACAGTCACGCTGTCAAGTCTTAAATCAGGATTTAGCACCGAGGATTGTGAGTGAGCCAGATCATCCATCAGCACGATATACTGCAGCCTGACAACAAACTACACAGAGCCATTGTGGTGAAAAATGGCAAACAGTGCAGACAGATATATGAGGTAGAGACTATAACAGAGACGATCAGCACCAGAATTCTTAATGGATCATTCTCTTCTCTCTAATGAGTGTCATCACACTTGCCGAGGTTCATTTATGATGTGCACACAAAGTGAGGAGTCCAAGAATCCACATCGTCTGGATAAACATCGTCTGTAGCACAAACAGGGGTGTAAATTTAGAAGTAAAAGCAAGTTTGTCCAGACTGTTAAACAAAAATATGAACGTAAAAATAGAAGTGGGAACAGATGCCACGCTCTGCTCTGTGGAATACAAACCACAGAGACATAAAGTACAGAGAGCAACACGGCCGTAAACACAGAAACTGGTACTTCTAACCACCAAGATAATAATATGACAACTGTCTTAGTACAAGCTGGACTCAGAAGGGTGGTACAAGAAATAAAGTGACTGTCTTTCTCCAACTCTCCACTCTTGTCCACTCTTGAATGCAGATGTATTAGTGATGCTGTAATGTGTCGCAACTGTGCTGTACTCCTCACTTGTCAAGGCAGGATCTCTCTGTCCTTTCCCTCTGAACTGGAGTCCTGCTGGTTTTCTGTCCTACCAGCTAGTTAATTGCTTTCACTTGGTGTCCGAGGTGAAAATCACTCTCTGATTAGACAGCAGGGATGGAAAACAGCAGGGCTCTGTGTCCTAACAGTACCAACTGATGAATAAAGGGCACAGGTGATGACTAAACAGCTGATTTTCTGATTTGAGAGACTGCTTTTAAAGCTGATGTTTCACTGTTTGTGGGTCACTCAACTCTTCAAACTGGAGTGTGAAAAAAAATCTGCCAGCACCTTTCTCTTTGTGTTTAAACCTCATACAGTAAAACTAAGTGAGGCATGTATGAAAGCTCCAAGATGACAGACTTAACCCAGTAAACCAGCACATCACAGCACCAGTCTTCATGCTCTCTGTGATGAGGACAGAATTACACTTTAAACTCTGTGTTTCCAGAGAGCAGTCTAATTTGCAGTGTTAAAATAATTTCTGTAGACCTTTGCCTCAAGATTCAGATAACACTTCTAACCTTTGGAGTAAATCAGAGTAAACACCAGCTGGTACCCAGAAGGGTACTTGAAAACACAAATTGTGTATCTGGAATTTTAAAAATGCTGTCGCATTCACTTAGAAGGAAATTTACATAATTTTCCCCAAGAACATAATTTTAATACTGGAGTCAGTCGCTAACCCTCACATCCAGCTGCTCCTCTGTGTTTCTTCATTAGCACATTATTTATATGCAAGTAAACACCATCCTGTGTCAAACAGGGTGAAAAACGGCAGCTTTCACAATGCAAACATAGCATCACGGAAGCGCTCTGTCAAACAGAGCACGATTAATAAGTTAGCAGATACTGCATATATACAGTATTTCTCATAAAGCAAATGTAAAGACAGGTTTTTGGTGATATTTCATCAAGCTTTGGATTTAAAATGGAATAAATCAATGAAGGCACAGCAGTCAGACTTTAAGCTGAGGCGTTCCTTTGCTCATCCCTCTTGTCAGTGAAGCTACACTGGTTAGTCTGTGATGCAAGACAACTGTGATCCTCCAATGGTCAAGTTTTACTATCAAAAACATCTATCAGCTGGAAATCAACCTCCCTCTCGCCAGCACATCTCTCTACTCTCTCTCAATTCAAAAACTCATCAGTCGAGTTGATCCACTCTGTGCAGCTGCAGAAACATGGCGTTGCAAGATGGCAGCCTCTGTGGGAGAAGACCCCCCCCATGTAGATATAAAACGCTCATTTTGACTGAACAAAACAATTGTTATATTCTGGTGATTAAACATCTAAGTAGACACAGAAATATTATGCTCCATCTCTACCAAGTTAGTTCAGCTAGATTCTGCGTACTGTACCTTTAAAAGAAGTCAAGTTTACATGGATCTGATTGGAGTAGGACATTCATCCACAAGCATCAGGCTTGATGTCAGTGGTTTTATCCTGATTAAATGCCAAATGCATGACAGACAGAGCCGCTCTGTGCATGTATTCTGTCTGCAAAACACCAAAATAGCAGAAAAGGAGACGGTTCCTTCTGCCTGTGTTAACAAACACCACTGTGGCTGCATCGCTGTATCAAACTTGTACAAAAACATCAGCGCAGCTGCATTCTTGTACATCGCTCCCAAGCCATGTCAATATTCTGGATGTCTATATTCTATTTCAATTTTTTATTTGTTTTGTAAATCCCTCCTAAAACATAGTAAGTTTCAGCAACAGGCAGGTTTTGTTATCTCCTGAAATGCCTCCATCCAGTCTGGTAAAAACAAAATTGGAAACTTGTCACACGTCACATGAGGCAGAAGTGCAGCAGAAATAATTTCCACCTGGACCAGAAACTTCTGGATGCAAATCTTTACTTGGCCTCAGAAAAACCAGCACTCTTGATCAAAGTGAAAGTTATTTCCCAATGAGCAGGATTTGACCCATTTCTTCTGATTGAAGTGTTTACATGACCCATTATTGTTCCGCTCGAGCTACTCTTCTGATTATTAATGGCCTGAATTTGTGGATGACACACTGAACATCTTGAGTCAAGACAACAACACAACAAGACAACAAAATCTAAATACCTTGACTGAAAACACTTGACTGTTACGATCAAAGAGGCGAAATTTTGGAATAAAAAAGTAAGTTAGAATTTTTTTATTTTGATTCTATCTCAAATAAACTCATTTTGTTTTCGCACTTGCGAGATCTTACAGCATAACACTTCAAAAAATTGGATTTTAATTATGCATATCATTGTTGTGAAATTATTACGCATATATGCATACAATGACACTATTTGTTTTGTTCATAGTGTAAATACTTGTATATTATCTCTATATTTTTACTTATTTTACTTATTTTATCTATTTATCTTTATATTTTTACTTATTTTATCTATTTATCTTTATATTTTTACTTATTTTATTTTATCTTCTATTTTATCTATTATTTATCTCCTCTTTTACTGTTTTTACTCTTTTTACTATTACTGCATTTGCACTGGAGTACTGTAACCAAAGAAATTTCCCCCTGGGGATTATTAAAGTATTTCTGATTCTGATTCTGATTCTGAGTCTGAACCAGTTAAAACCACTTTACCAAAACTTATACAAGTCTCATTTTGAGTTGTGATTAAAACAAACCTAAACTATGACTAAGGATAAAAAAACTTCAAAAAGAAAAGCAGTTTTAGAGAGGAACTGAAGATAATGAGGATGAATTTTGACCTGTTTTCTCCAGCATGAATGAGCGTTAACAACGAGGAAAAGAAACTGTAAAGGGAAATCATCAGCTGGAAAACAGGAACCCCCTGAAACAGTGGGTCAGATGCTTCTGCTGTGATGTCCCAATTCATGAAAGTAAAAACTTGGCGTGTGATGCTGTTAAACTTTGTCTTGGACTCCTCTGCTGAGTAAGATTTTAAAATCTTTACATCGTGAACTTGGTGAGAGGATAAGAACGTGTGAGACAAAGACAACCGTGAGGATCCGGAGGGAGTGGAAGTGGGAGAGACTTACTTTAGCTGGCAGTGACAAACGCTCTGTGGCTGATCTGAAAACAGCGGTGTGCTGCTGTTTGTAGTGCTCCTCTGTCTTCTTTTCTGTCTGAACACAAATACAGTAGCTTTCTGTCAGGAAATCACAGAGCCTCATATTTTAGACTTTTGATAGAAGAACATTCATCGTTACAGAAAGAAAGAAACAGAAAGAAAAATAACGAAAGACTGCAGTGATGGATCTTCCTACCTCGTACTGGCCTGGACTTGGGGCTTCTATTGATTCCTTATTGTGGAAGATGGAGCTGCGCTGAGCAGAGGAGCCAAAACCTCCCTTCCTGGTCCTCTGTAAAAATGCCTTTTTAAAACTCTCACAGGCTAAACCTCGATCAAAGACGTTGTAGGATCCTGGACCTGCACAGAGTACGGAAAGACTGTTATTAGTAAAACACTTCTGTTACGTTGAATCTATTAGTAAACACACAAAGCAGACACCAGACATGTGCAACTCTGGTGTACCTTTAGCTAACACGCCTTTCAATATTGGTAGAAAAAGAAGCACTTACATTGGATTAGCTGAAAATGACACTAAACTAAATGGTATATGGAGACACATATGTGTTACCTTTGTTTTCATTGTTTTCTCCACAACAGCAACGTTTTACAGTTTGTTTGTCTGTATGTGTGAACAAAGGCTTTGGTAACAGCTTGAGAGGAAAATATGCTCAGAAACACAAAAGAAGGAATCGTTGCTAAATACGCTCAAGCACAAGCAATTAAGAGAGACAACAGAACAAAAACATTGTGTTGTTACTGCCATGAGAAATGAGGTAAATATGGGAAACACTGGATAAACACCAATCATCAGTGACATTTAGGTTATCAGTTCTAGGGCTGGGCGATACGGCCTCAAATCAATATCACCATATATTGAGCAGTTTACCTCGACAGCGATAAATGGATGATAACTACTCCACAAGCTGCTCACCCCCTCCCACATTAACTTTGTCTACTTCGGCCACCGTCCTCCATCTCCTCACCTGTCTTTCCCTCTTTGTTACGGACTGGATGGGGTGGAGTCACATCTCTGGCGACAGCGTCTTAAAGGGACATGAGACCATAGCCTACCTACACACATCCATAACCAACTTTTATTTATTTATTTATTTATTTTTACACCAAATATACCGATATGGGCAAAATGATTGGTTATTGTTGTAAATGTCGATATCGGTAAATTTTCGGTTTATCGCCCAGCCCTTATCAGTTTTATCATTCTGAAATGATGTCGCATGGACCCCGTCAGTCCCCTAAAGCACTGAAACATTTGCAGAAGATCTTTTAAGTCCTGCGCAGTGAAACCTCCAATAATCAGATGCTGTTGTCCCAAACATCAAACAGAAGTTCAATTGGATGAGGACCTGGAGTATTCAGAATCATCAAGCTCCCTGAGATCACCTTCTACCATTGCTCCATGGTCCAGTTCTCTCAGCGTGGACAGCATGCTCAGCCTGCAGTTACACAGCCCCCATACACACTAAACCACAATGCAATGTCGTCTGACACTTCCTTATCCGAAGCAGCAATTACTCCTTCAGCAGTCTGAGCTCCAGTCTGTTGGATCAGATCACAGAGACTAGCCTATAGCCCCCCCAATGCTCATCAATTAGCCTCAGTCACTCATGATCCTCTCTCTTCTTCTAAGACTTTCAGGGATGCTCTGACTCAGTCGTCCAGCTATCGCTATTAGGTCCTCGTTGAAGTCATTTACATTCTTACAGTTCCCCCCTTAAAGGACAAAATATTCACCTAACTTTTTGCGCAACGTCTCCAGAAATGACAATGAAAAGAGTGAAGCCTTTCGAATCAATAGTTGGGTACAACAATGACATTTCAAGAAGAAAGTGTTGTTTTCACCTGTCAATTCTGCAGCACAACCTATATATCAAAAACTCTCCCTGACCTGCATTTGAACACCACACTGACATTTCATCTTTCCAGCCGTGTGTTTGTGCTCAAATCCAGTGATATACCTTGGGGTTTAATGTTGAATTGAAGGCCTGACATAAATGTCTGCTCTTTAGTGTAAAATATCAGGCTTGGAGAATGTATATAGATTTTAAACTTGTTATTTTTGATTGAAATTGTGAGCATGTGTTTAATCTAATATTTAGCAGCATGTGTGGTTTTAAGGGAGCATGCAAAACAGAGTACTGATAATATGATGACTTAAACGGGCAAGTTTTGGTCAGTAGATCTAAAAGTCACAGATGCATGAGAGGAAATCGATCGATATATTCTGTCTTTTTGCACACTCTGAACAAAACTGGATCCCTTTGAGGGAAAAACACGTCTTTGAATACAGTGTCTTCAAAAGAAATGTGTCTTTGAATACAGCTGGCAAACATGCACACGCCCTGACCTGACCTGGCATGGGAGATTTTTCATGGTTAGGATAGAAGCGCGCTGCGGTGATGCCAAATGGGCTCTTATTCACTCCTGTGGTCTTCCTCAGCAGCTCCAGGGCACAGCGCGGGTCATTATATGCACCAACAGGGGGCGACACTTCTTTCACAGGGCTGAACCTCTGAAGAAGAGACACAAAGGAAGGTATTGAAAGTGGTTTAAAAAAGTGACAGGAGAGAGAATTGAAGTCAAAGAAAGTCTATTTGAACTCTAGTCTCTAACACAAACTGAAACATCGCGGTTCAACGGATCAAAAGCTTTCTTTTTGTCTTCGACGGCTTCGATGGTTCAGTGGTACAGTTGGACATTTCTAAACCAGTTCGACATGATGGGCACTTTAAGTAGCAACCTTTGCCTTTAGTGTATGACAGTGGCGTGCACCGTAAAAGCATTCTGAGTGGTTTCTAGACTAGAAAAGCACTAAATAATCACAGTCCATTCACTGTTTCTTTCTACTCGTGAAAGAGAGATGAGCACTTTTTATGATCAACACATCTATCCCTCCATCTACCCGTCTGCTGTGGATGTTTAATATGGCCGTCCACGCCTGTGCTGTTGAGATATTTCTGTCCGCTATTATATTTTTCAACAAGAAGACGGCAAAGCAGATGAAAAAGACGCAACAAAAGGAGCAAAAAAGTCCTGGGAGAAAGAGTGAAAGAGCTTTAAATGCAAACAGACAGGACAGATTGGTGGGATAAGAAAGGAGAAAATGAGTTGGAGGAAACAGCATCTCCCTTGCAAAAATAATGATGCACCCAATCAGGTATGTAATGTTCTTTGACTGTTTAGCTGATATCAGGGCTTATTCAGCACGGCCGCTGCTGGGCTGCTTTACTACCAGGTACAAACGGGTTTATCTGATAGCCTAACAACACAGGCAATCAAGAGCCTGGAGCCGTTAAGTTGCCTTTTCAGTCAAAATTACTGAGGGTGAATAGCATTTCTGTGTTACTCTAAATTTCTCTTCAGCCGCTCAAAACTGAGCCATTAAGCTGCTTGTTATTGATGCAACGGCGGGGTAAAAAAGGACCTGATTCCCTCAAATGGCAGCATGTCCGCATTAACAAATCTCAGAGTGCCTCATCAAAGTGCCGTTCAAACTGCAGAGCGAACCTCAGATCTGTTGGAAACATACCGGTTATTGATTGGAATCCAGCCTATGGAAAATGGTGGGGAATGAAAAACTGCATTAAAAAAAGAGAAATAAAAGAAAGAGAGGAAGAAACAAAAAGGAGCAGCAGGAGAGGAAAGTGTTTAGTCAAAGAATGGAGAGACCATTAGAGGAGAAGAAAGAAAAGAGGTAGGAGTTACATGACGTGCTGTTTCAAGGCCAAAAGAAACTGTGTTCACTTAAAGTCAGATGTGGTTTGTGGCCATCTGTCAATCTAATACTGCTCCACTGGCTGTGACAAAGCATCATTCACAGGGACTGGCTGAGCTTCCCCTTTTCTTAAGGTGGATTTGTTTTATTTATACACATTCCTCCATAGCCAAACAGCAATAAAAGGAATTACCAAAGAAATACTAAATAAAAACACCAGTGTAGGAACCTCACTAGCTGCATTTACATGGGCACGAATAATCAGAATAAATACCTGATTAGAATAAAAATGCGTCATGTAAACACGTTGATCGGAACATTCTGATCCAATTCGGCTCAATCGGGAAGAAAATGAATTCCGATCGAGAGGGGTGGTTTATGCCGATCATTATTCTGAAACACGTCCATGTAAACACTAATTCCGATCGTGTCTCTCTTACCTGACTTGATCTTCACTCTTTAGCCTTTGGCTTATTTATTGATGTCAGTACAGGAGGTTTCATTATTAACACTCTGGCATAAAACATAACCGCGGCTGCTGTGTCTGCTCCTCCGGTAGCGATGTTTTTTTTTTTTTTTTAGGAAAGTAGGGGAAAGTCCCGCCTCCTTCACCTCTGATTGGCTAGAAAAGCTGTAAACATCATCACACGCTCCAGCCAAACGTGGGCTTACCTCTCTGTACATTGAACAGAACATTAATGCACTTCTGAATCTCCTAATCCTAACCCTAATCCTAACCTTAACCCGACAGACGATGACGTTTCACAGCCATAAGGAAGAATCAATCTGAGCCCAGCACTTCTAGCCAATCAGAGGCAAAAGAGGGCGGGACCTTCCCCTACCATCCTCCAAAAAAGATCGCTGACCACACAGGCGTAAATATAACTCATCTTCTGTGGTTGTTTTAGCAAAATCAGACAACTCTGCGCATGTCCAAATGCTTCTAATCTGAATAAAGTTTGGTGCATACAGACACGTCATGATCGGATATTTCGATTTTGAACCCATATAAATAGTGGATTCAGATTATCCGATCCCTCAAATTTTTAATCAGATTAAGAAATTTTGCCCATGTAAACGTGGTTACTGACAGACACCACTTCATCTGGTCATCATATTCTGATCATAGTGAGGCTGCCAAGTCAGGAGACGTGAGTGTGGATGTGTGAGTGAGTTACAAGGGAAAAAAAGGGTGAAGTGCTTTCAAAATTGTGTGAATATAGTAATATCAGATTATTGCTGGTGCATCATTTTTGGCAATGAGTTGCAAACTGCATGTAGATTCATGCTTTGCATTTCTGTTTTATTTATAGGGTGTCAACATTGCTGGAAATAAGGTGAACTTCGTAATAACCATCACAGACAATCCCCGCTCACTTTTCATTACAGTACAACATTTTTCTTTGTATTCCAGGATCAGATAAAGAAAGGTTTGTGAAGAGCCAAAAAAGTGAAGGGTCACCGGGGACAAAAGAGACTCAAATAGATGGAACAACATGTGAATAGAAAGGACAGAGAGAAGAATGAACCATAAATGAAGAGAGGGGAGAAGGAAATGAAAAATATCATAAAAGGAAGCAGAACAGAAAATGAGGGAAACACAAGAGTCTTTTAACCTTAAATATTCTGAGTATAAAAGAGGAAAAAGACCTAGAGTTAATGAAGACACAAAGAGAAGGGAACAAAAAACAGAAATGGGGAATGAGTGGGGGAGCAAGGGCAAGGGAGAATCAAGGAAAAAGCCTGTTTTGACAAAGTGTCGGATTGATGCTTTGATATTGGGAAATTGCGACGTCAAAGGGAGAAGAGGAGGCGAGGTCTGGATGATTCCAGCTGTCCCTCTTATCTTCCACCCTATCCCCCCCTCCTCTTTCCTCTTCCATTCCCTCCTTCTCTTGTTTCCTCTCCATCCCTCCTCAGGGTAACGGCGTCAGATGGAACCGGACTCACAGGGAGACGGAGATCTAAGAAAACTGTCGCTCTCAGTTCTGCACTGCAGATGACTTCTGGCATGTGTTTCACACACATACACACACACACACACACACACACAGTCCCAGCTCCTAGGTGGGTGTCAGTGACGACATCACAGGGTCGACGCACTAACACAGCATGTGTCAGGAAATTAGGTCAGAGTGCACTATAACACACAGACACACACAGAGATGAACACCCAGATGAAATGCGCTCCAGAATCTTGCATCAGTTGTTCTCACCAAAAAACTAGCAGAGCGTTTTATGTTCCAGACGTTATTAAGGTCTTTTCAGGCAACTATTCTGTGTGTGTGTGTGTGTGTGTGTGTGTGTGTGTGTGTAGGTGGGTGTGTCTGAAAGTGAAAATGTGGATGGATTCATCTGGATGCATGTCGGCAGTACAAGTGAACTTGTCTCTCTCATGTCTGTGTCTGTCTGCAGATGAGTCTGCCATGTACTCGTCTCTAAGTCCTCTGATGTGTGTGTGTGTGTGTTTGTGTGTGTGTGTGTGTGCGTGATCATACAGCGTCACATTGTAGCGGTGTGTCACAACGATAATTAAAACATCAGTCAGAGAGTTTCACAGGAGCGAATCTAAGGGGCAGTACCACAGAGGAGTTGAGCTCTTCTTCCTGAGACATTCAACTCCACATTTTCACATCCTTCATGCGCGCTCCTCTGAGCCTCTTAATAAACTCATCTTCACCCCCCATGTGATGGAACTCTCCTCTTACAGCACATCAATTAAACAAGCAAAGCCCGACGCCGTGTCTTAGATCTGTTACTTAATCTTATATATTCTATATTAAAAATCCACTCTCCCTTAAGATACTGTAAATTTAATATTTTACCGCCCAAAGATTATCCCCGAGGAGTCTCTTCAATATTTCCCTAAATCTTTTCTCTCCATACGGCGCAGTATGAAGAGTAAAACTATGAAAGAAGTGGATCTAGTCGGCCTTTTTTAATGGTACATACTTATCATGTATCACAGAAGCTTTTTGACCACAAAGGCTACCGTCTTCACCAACAGGAGGAATGAATATGGGAGTATTTCAATGTAGAATCTAGCAGCTAGATGCAGTCATGTGTGTAAACTCAGTCACATGTGAGGTGAAAGCTGTCTTATAGGGATGAACTGTATCTGAGTCTCTTGTAGCTTTTTGTGTTTTTAGGGATAACAAAGTTTGACTGTGATATTTGATTCATGTCAGTTCTGTCTTTCATTTTGTCAGGAGCTCCATCCTCATGGGTTGAAACACCTATTTTTACAGCAAAATTCAACTTATCTGATTTGAAGATATCAAGAGTAAGAGTTATAGATATATTTGCATATCTAGTGTTGTGGTTAGTTTGACTGTCAATGCAGTGGTAGACCAGGAGACTTAAGGTCTGCCTCTTTGATGGTGTCCAGGATGACAAAAATGTTGATTAAATCAGCATCAATTAAGAAAAGGAGAAGAAAGGAAGGCAAGAAAGGGAAATGAAAGAAGAAGAAAGGAAAGGAAAGGAAAGGAAAGGAAAGGAAAAAACATGACAAGAAAGGACAGCAGGACAGCAAAGAACAGGAAAGGAAAGGAAAGGAAAGAAAAGAAAAGGATAGAACAGGATTAGAGGAAAGGAAAGGAAAGGAAAGGAAAGGAAAGGAAAGGACAGGAAAGGAAAGGAAAGGAAAGGAAAGGAAAGGAAAGGAAAGGACAGGAAAGGAAAGGAAAGGGAAATTTAAGGAAAGGAAAGGATAGAACAGACAGAAGAGTCCTGTTAAGATGTTGGGAAGGAGACAGAGCAGACACTCAGATCTGTTTTGTCTCTAATTTCCTCAGGTTATCACCGGAAGAACTTTGCTTGAAAACGATCCATGTATCAGAGTCAGATACTTCTCCATACTGACATCAAAGCAGCACAAAAACTGAGGTCGACTCTTGGTGATGGAGAAGTGTCAGAATCACAGAAGAATCAATGGGCAAAAAAATCACAGACTGTCTTTACTGTGGACTTTACCAGACCCTGACCCGATCCTGTCAGCTTTGTACCTCGCTCTGAGAGAGAAAGGAGCCGCTGAACTTTGGCAGGTTACCGCAGGACTTCACAGGCTTCTCAAACTGACTTCTGATGTGGTACTGACCCGGACCAGGAACTCCCTGAGGGAACAAAAGGAAAGCAAAAAGACGTGCAGTCAGAAGACTTTCACCTTTGAAAGTTAAGTCAATTAGAAGATGAAAAAAAAGACACCAGGACAGCAACAGAAACAACATGAGCAACTTGTAAAAAAACACGGGCAAAGGTACAGCAGGTACAAACCTATCACTTCCTCTGCTTTGCAATCAAGACCCATTGTTTAAAAACTGAGTGGGAGAGAAAAACAGACTCACATTTTCTTATTTCATAGTGACAGGAAACAATTACATCTCAATCCTACACCATGTCAGAGCAGTAATTACCAGAACTATCAAAACAGCCCACCACACCAGGCCTCCCACTCACGGAGGTGCCGAACACCGCAGAACCAGGAAATTGCTGTGTTTGTGGTAAACTCAGGAGGTTTCTGAAGCAGAGGTGTTTTAACTATGTTTGCAGTCGGAGCGTGTTGATTTCTGAGGTGTTTGTTAGCAGTTATACACCGATCTCTGAGGAGAAACTTTGGTTACATTCCAACATGCTTCCTACAGTTTCATCGTTTTGTCTGCAGTTGCACACAGAGATAGATAATACGTACTTTACCGAGGATTAGGTGTGAAGTTTTGAGGGGAAAAGACACAGAGTGCAAGAGCACATAATTACATCATTTCCAGCTCTGTGCCAGACCTTTGAGTCAAAGATTTTTTAAGCTGTTTTTCTCTTTAATTACCAGGTATTTACTGCCAATCATGAAATCCACTCTTTTTATGAAAATAAAAATATGTTTAAATACCTGAAGTTACTTGAGGATTTTTATACAACTCAAATGTTGCTGGAACTCACCTTATAGTGCCAAATATCTTCCTCGAGCTCTGAATCAGGCGCTGTAGTGAAATTCATTCATCGGTGTGAACAGTCAGATCAGATTTTCTGCACCTTTGCATCACCCTAAAGCAACACTTGTCCCAGGCAGTACCATCTACACACTCTTGGCCACAATAACACCTCTACGAACACCTCTGAGGAGGAGAAGCAGCCATCGCACCTCGAAGGAAACCTCGTTCAACAAGTGACTCCTCGCTCCCTAACTCGGTCCTTTTCAGCCCACTATTACATAGGGATGAAACGGTACATGGAAAATATCGAACCGTGGTAATGTCCAATTACATCTCTGCCTCCACTCACACTCTGAAAATGCAGCCATAGTTGCCATGTCTGCTTATTGTCAGCTACTTTGGGCTTCTTATTTTGAAAAGCCACTTTAAGATATTGGCAGCTGTAAGTTGTGTTTCTTGGGCTTGTTCCAAAAGTGCAGTCGTTGTTTTGGGCTTGTTCTGCTCCCAAACCCAGAAGAGACCTGCTCCTATCAACCCGGCCTTATCCACTCGAAATACATAGAAATGGTTGCTTATTTTACTAAGCGGGAGAAAAGATAACCGAGAGGCATGTCTAGTGCGAGCGGAGGAGTCCAGAGACAAAAATTTGAAGAAGCACCGGCCGCCTTAAAATCTCTGGTGTGGGTAAACTTCAGTTTCACCGTTGAATACAACTACGAGGGAGTGAAAACTGTGGACAGAAATTTTACTGTCTGCTAACTATGCTTGACAGGTGTCCCTTACTTAAAAGGAAACACAAGCAACATGACCAAGCATCTCCAGTGTAAGAATCCTGATGTAACACTTGAAAAGTTCACACTTTGCTCTTTGCGCACAAAACACGAACCGAAACCGAACTGCAACCATGGCCTAACCATGTGTAGTTTTCTCTTTCCTGCGCTCTTCAGTTTTAAACCTCATACTTGCCTTTTTGACGCACAAACTACTGTCATGGAGACAAATCCATCCCAACAAGAACACACAAGGACACACAGAGTTACTGCTTAAATCCATGATGTTCACCTTTTTCTAAGATGGTCAGAAGTGTGGAAGCAGGTGGGTTATATGTACCGTTGCACCCCTACTTTTACACCCCATATGCTCACTTCCCTACATCCAGTTTTGAGACACTGGAATCTTGTAATGTCACATTCAAAACTACATAATCATGCAAATACAGCAAAGCAAGACAAATTTGCATTTGAGTAGTTTGATTAAGTACTGAGGCGGTCACTGCAAACACAGCTGAGTGAATTATAACTCATATGTATAACCAAAGCATTTATCTCTCTGTAAATGTGAAATATTTATCAACACACATTGGCCAACAAACCAATCCCAGTTGTTGGTTCAGTTTAAAGGTAGATAATCCAAGATCTAGAGAGAAAAAAACGCTGCCAGGGTTTTTATTTATTTTTTTGCTTCTTCTTCTTCTTCCCTTTCTCATTTTTCCCTGCGGGGAGCTGTTCTGCTTCCCCATTTCTAAAAATAACAAGTGCTGCAAACATCAACAACACAATCCGTGATTTTGTTAACATAGAATTCACATAATTTCAAGATGAACTAGCAGTCAACTTCATATTTACGGCAAAATACTTCGCTTTGCAACTCCGACTTTTCTCTTTTGGACTGCTGCGGTGTACAGGATAATGGTTTATTAGAGCTGTTGGCTCAGTCTTTGCCCTTGCCTTGTCACAATGCCTTTTTAATGGGAAAACACCACACACACACACACACACACAACGACATACACACACACACACAAACTCTATGGGACAGCAGCAGCCTCAAGCCATTAGAGGAAGACTGTCTGCTGATCTCTAGGAAGTAAAGGTGTTTGTCCTGAGTGTCCCCACTGTGGGTAATGACCCATCTGGCCAGTGTATATGTGTGTGTGTGTCTCAGGGTACATGTGTGATGAGGTCAGGTACTAATGATGATGGATGAGGGTGTTGCTACCACAGCAGGGGGTCCAAACAGAGCATGGTGCACACGTAAACACATCTACCGAAGGGAAAGTTATCGGGTTGAAGTCAGGGCAGATTTGTAGGATGATAGAAATTACTTCAAGCAAAGTTAGGAGGAACATTTACTACGAAAATGTCACGTATAATTATCCTTGCACAATTAAATCATCTGAAACCTAACCGAGAGGAGCGGCGGAGGAGCACGGCGTTCCAAGAAAGAGAGGACGGGGAAAGAAAAGACGTAGGTGTAAGTCCATGTCAGAGCAAATACTTTCAGCACTATCTCCACAAATCCAGTCCCAATTTTTTTTAAGACGCTGCCTCACCCACTCTCCCACTCCAACGGGAGAAATAAGGCATCACAAAGCATTTCTCCGCCAGCATACTCAAGTTCATATGCAGGTGAGTAACTCCCCTCAACTCAACCGGCTTCAATTTATCAGTGTTTGTGTGAGTGTGTGCGTGTGTGTGTATGTGTGTGAATAGGGTTGAGAGTCTCTGAATAAAGCTTGTGTTCTACTGCCCCCTATGGGCAAAGACATTCACTGGTGTGTTTGACTAAGACGGAGGGGAAGAGGGATCGAATCATTTCACTTTTAATTTCCTGGGCTTGAATAAATCCAGAGTAAATCCAAAGCACTTTCCTTGACTTTACTCTTACTGCAAATCAAGGTGCTCTATTATGACACATTCCTAATCTGCACTTTTCAAATCCTATCATGCTAAAGCCACCAGACTGCCAAAGGAGAATTAAGTCTTCTCAGACATTTAACTATAAAAGTTTCAAAGTTTTATCTCCAGGTTTTAAGACTTATCGTTTAAACTGTGCAGAGAATGTAGTTAAAGGGGTTATGCTACAAAGAGCGCGGGCAACCAAATGTTAAATGAAAGCCACAGCTGTCGCCTCAGCTTTGTTTACTTTATGCGCTGTTATATCTATTTGACAGTGCTACTTTTCTCTGAAGATGATTATAATAATGCTGTGTTTCCCACATGCTGGGTCCTGAGTGTAAAAGTTTCCTGCTGCTCTTCACAGAAACCCGTTAAATCAGGTCTGAAGTTCTTAGGCCGGTTACACAAGGATAAAGTCAAGCACTTTTATTCTTGCTGACATTATTTTGTGTAATATAAGTCCTAATAACACAGTATCAAAGACTACATGCAAGAGAATATGAGGAGGTGAATAAACAAGAGTAGAGTAAGAGTCAAGTGAGACGCTGGATCATCTGGAGTCAGGTTTAGCTGGTTGTTTGTTCAGCAGTGTGAGATTCACCCCAAAGCAAGAAGACTGAACATTTGAAAGAACACAGGCTCAGAAATTAAATTACTAATTATAATAAACTCCCTCGTTATATAACAATCTATCTGTGCTCTTCATCAAATTGAAAAAAATCGACATTTGTGTGTGGATAGAAAGCAAATCAGAGCTTGTATGAAGTGGGTTTAGACCTGCATTCATCAAGTGAGTCCAAATGAATCTCTTTGCCTGAGCTAGTGTTTGCTAACACATCCACCAAATCAACTCTAAGCCGATGCTGTGTCTATAGCTTCCTGCACTGCCCCCCAGGTGCTTTAAAAATCCTATCATGCAGGATTAATTACCCCTTGTGGTTATGTTTGCCACTTATTAGCACATTACATGACTGACTTTAAAAGGAATCCGTCCCCCACGGCGGCAGAGCCTGACATTGATCTGAGTCCTCCACAGCTTTTATCCCATTCTTGTAAGCCTCGGCCCGTACAAGCACACAGACACGAACATATTCTCACCTTCTTTTCCTCTTGCCTGGGCACCAGCTCGTGGTAGCGAGGGATGATGAGCTCAGCTCTGCCTCTCTGCTCCTTTTCAAGGTTCATATTCACATACTGCGTCTTTGTGTTTCTGAGACAGACAGAGACAGTGACAACATCTTTGAAAAATAGAAGACACAGGCAAACACGCAAAAGAGATAAGAATAAAAAGAGACAGACAGTGTTGCTCAGAACGTACAGAATAGGAAACCACAAAGTGGGAGGGCCGGGGAGATACAATATATTGAACAAGAGGGGGATAGAGATGTGTAATGGAAAAGCAAATAAGAAAATATAAACAAGGCAAAGATGGAAAGAAGAGGGATGAAGCAGATTAGGAGGAGTGAAGGGGAAGAAAAACGCTGACTGCTGCTTTTGTCAGTCAGAGTAACAAGTTATTTCTGAATGATTCAAACACTCAAATGTGTATCGCTGATATGCTTTAAACGCCGATCTTCACCCACAGGGGATTTTCTTACATGCAGACTTTCCCTCCTATTACTCAATTGATTCCTTTATGAATAGATGGACTGGCAGCGTGCCCGCCATCGTACAGTAAAAGTGCTTGGTAAGGCCCATCTTCCATACTATCAGTGGAAATGCCAAATATAATGCCCTGGCTGCAGGTGCAAAGCGACATTTCACTGTGTTGGGACAGCTTTTCTGTTTCGCACACATCTGTAACAGCTCAGCTGCAGCGAACACCTGAGATTAGACGTCCTGGGACACCTAATCTCACTTTTGTCTCATGATTAAAGCATTAGATTTGAAATACAGAGGGTTTTGACTGCAGATTAATTATAAATACTACTTTCAATTGTCTCTATCATCAAGTTAAATGCAAGTGAATCTGTCTTTTGTGAAAAAAATGGTTGCATATGTAATGAACCATTAAAAGAGAATAGTCAAATTACATGTACACTTTAAAGGCACAGTGCATGGAAATTGAGATAATATGCAACATCCAGTAGTCTGATTCTAAGCTGAAATGCTGCTTTGCTAACCTCCTGGTTCATCAATATGAATTATTTTGTGCACCGCGACAACCACTTTATTCTTCTTTGATTTAATGTATTATGTAGCAGCTCACTGAACAAAAGCCGCATATTAGGGCTGGGCGATAAACCGAAAATTTATGGATACCTAAATTTATGACAATAATCGACGTCATTTTGTCCATGTCAACATATTTGGTGTCTAAATAAATAAATAAATAAAAGTTGGTTTTGATGTGTGTAGGTAGGCTGTGGTCTCATGTCCCTTTAAGACGTTGTCCTATGTCAGAGACTTGACTCCGCCCCATCCAGTCCACACCAAAGAGGGAAAGACAGGCAAGGAGATGGAGGATGGTTCAAAAGTTGGAGCGACTGGAGCGACGGCTGAAGTAGATGAAGTTAATTTGGCAAGGGGGTGAGCAGCTTGTGGAGTAGTTATCGTCCATTTATCGTTATCAAGGTCAACTGCTCAATATATCGCAATATTGATTTGAGGCCATATTGCCCAGCCCTACCGCATATGTTACTAGTTTGCCTGATTTGTGCTACTGTGACGGCATGGCAGTGGAAGATGGCAGTCTTTGTGGGAGTAGACCCTCTGAAACGCTCACACCAAGTTAAAAAAAGCACAATTTTTATACAGGTGATTATATTTAAACGTACCAACAAACTCTATATTTAATTTCTACCACATCCGTTTGACTAAATGCTAAATGATAACAACACGTGTTATCCTTTAAGTACCAAGTTTCTTTCTTGCCAAGAGTACTAACCAACTCTAACGTCTGTAGGGTGAATAACAGGAGACAAAGAAACATAAAGCCCCCATCAACCCTCTGTGAAAGACTTCAGGTAGATGTTTAAATACAGATTTATTACCACACCATGGAACATACAATACTCACATCTCAGGGTAATATTGGGCTGGACCTGGTCCCTCCTGCACTAGCACCTCTCCTCTTGTCCCTGTCATGTTCCCGAAGTGGACTCCTTTATACTTCTGAGCTGAAGTCACCTCTGACTACAGAGAGAGGAAGATTAAAAGGGAAGAACAGACAGACACCGAGGCGGAGGAGCGGATGAAAGACAGAATTAAATAGGAGGAAAAAGCAGAAGATGGAGGGAGAGGAAGAAATAACAGGAGGATAAACGGATGAACAGAGACAGAGAAAATAATTTTGGTTAATTCAGACTTATCGGGTTTCTCTCCTGGCCAAGCCCATGAAATGTGAAGTTCAGCTAAAATGCCAGAGTGTGTTAGAGATCTTGGGGAGACCCTCTGTCCTTTCTTATCTCTGGGAGTTTTACAGCAGACTTTCTCTGCCGCCGCCGGCCCTTTAGATAGCAGCAGTTCACTCTGTAGCTTAACAAGTGAGGGAGTCTACATTTAGAAAGGAGCAGGCGACTCTCTGCCAGAGCGTAACAGAGCAGTATATGGCTGAGATCTCCTCAAAATACTGTAGGTTTACGAAAAAAAGTGCACATGGCTGTTGGGTTTTAAATCCGATCATAATCTCAGACGATCAATGTTGAACTCTGCAAATGTTGAGATCATTTAAAGGGATAAGTGAAAACTCTGACCTGCTTTTGGTGCTAACATGTCCTAATCAAGCATCAGAGTTAATAATATTCATCCTCTGGGGAATTTCAATGTTTATGCCAGAGGAGTTTTGAAGATAAAACCTGATTTTTGAGCACTAAGTTGACCTTATTAGACCCTGAAGTTTATGCTAACCTAAAGTTTCCCATCTGAGAATAAAGGAAAATCAATTCAAAGTGGGGATTGAGAGTCATAGTTCGGTCCTCTATTTTACTCTTCAGATACACCTCAGTACTTGAGCTGGCATGTAAAGGAAATTGAACTCTAAATCAAAGTCACTGCAACTCTTAAAGTCGTTTTTTTGTTTATGATCCAACTGCGTATGTGTGTCTGTTTTGGGAGAGTTGGTACAGAGTCTCAAAAAGTTCCTGACCTGTCTCTTCAGCTTTAACAGTGAAATAAGGATGAGATCTGAGGTTCTGTCCTCTTTCATCTACCAACCCAGTTCAAAGGGACGGAAATACAGAAACAAGGATGTTCAGCTGCTTCACCGTTTAGAGGAGAAACATAACTGCATCACACACAGTCACATGTGAGGTGGGATCGCAGTTCAGAGGTACAAGGAGAGAGTTTGAAAGTTTATGGGTATGAATGTATTCATTAAGCTCTAAAGAGGCAGTGATTTATTCTTTCAACAGGAATGAAGATCAGAAAAAAACAAAATTGGAGGCAGAAACAAGAAGGCTACATCTACGAAAGATATTTCAGTGCTTGCCTTGTCTGAATATAACAAGGATTTTGCTTTTTTCCGACTTGGTAACCAAAACACCGGTTACCCGGGTGTGACGTCTTTTTTTTAGCTTGGACATCTGACTTCCGAGTTAACCTGAACGCAGCATTAGGCTGGCTGAAATTGTCAGGGCCGAAAAAACTAGCCTTGCTGGGCCATCCAGTTGCGTGAATCACTTGCCGTTCCTTCCCACAACAGTCTGGACTTTGGCCAATTGGGAGCCCTAAAAGTGGGCGGGAGTACTTTCCTTGATAGACAGACTACTGTAGCCAATCACAGTAACCAAACATCTGACGTCATCACAGTGCGCAACTGTGTTCCCTGCTGGGCTCTCAAGCATCAAGTAAAGGTTTGGTAATATTTCAACGTGTGCGAGCAAACAATGTCTTTACGTCTTCTTCTGCGGATATAAACGCAAAGTCAACTGCAGAATTAACGGCGTTCTGAATGAACGGCGCTTTGAAAAGTCCTGTAGCATGTGTTAGACATCACCATCTACACATGGACCAATCAGGGGCTGCCTTTCACTGTTGTCCGGAGAACAGTGGAAACACAGTCACTGATTGGCCCGGTTTCTGATTTCTAATATTCGCTCCCAATTGGCCGAAGTCCAGACTGTTGTGGGAAGGAACGGCAAGTGATTCACGCAACTGGATGGCCCAGCCAGGTTACAAAAAAACAACCAAGAATGGTTTAAAATGCACAGAAGGAGCACAATCTGACCCACGGCATCCTCATATTCCCTTCTCACAGTAAAATCTGATCCTCTGTGGGGCCTGTCCAATACACTGTCCTGTCTTGGATTGGGTATCTCTGTAACATTCATTAAAATACTAAATAAAGACATACATTAAGGAGGTACTTTTCAGATTTCAGACTCTGGTTTCTCCACTCTCCACGGCGGGGAAATTCAGTCTTTAATACAGAGCATTAGTTTTAAATTTAGTGGCACAGATGGGAAGCTTTGAGTTCTGAATTTTTCACAGTATGACTGAATTGGAAAGTAGGCGCAATGAGTTAGGACTGGAGTCAAATGGGCGACATAGTTGATGCTCTGGCAAAGGTGGAAATTGAACCGACATTTTAATAAAACTTTTGACACCCTGTGCAGGAGCTAATGCTGCATTCGAGTTACCTCAGAAGTAAGAGGTCTGAGCTGGGAATGATGTCACACCTGAGTTACCAGAGTTTCAGTTACCAAGTCGGAAGAAAGCAAAATTGTAGGCAGAAACAAGATGGCTACATCTATTAAAGTTATTTTGGTGCTGCCTTGTCCTAGCTAAGCACCGATTTTGCTTATATTCAGACAAGGCAAGTGCTAAAATAACTTTCGTAGATGTGTTTGACTTCCTAGGTAACTCGAACGCAGCATAACTACTGATCTAATGGGGCGTCTGTCTTTGAGCTCCACAGATATGTGCGTCACCGGCAACACACTCATCAATTAGTCATCTTCAACCTTGTTAACAAAGTTTTAGAGGCAGTTAAGTCTTGCTTTGTCGATATCAAACTGAACCTTGGACAAAAAAAAATCTTGCAGATCTTTTTGTTTACTCAATATCCTTCAGACAGAAAAAAGCTTTGCTCCTTTGATATCTGTCTCACGCCTTATCATTCAAAGGCCGCTCTGGCCACTTTGAAGTCACATCCTCAGATAGGCACTTAATTCCGCCACTCTGCACTTTTGAACTCTGTCCGAGCAGCATGGGGTGGAAAAACCATTTGACTTTCGAAACAGAAATGTGTTAGAAGGAGACACACAAAAAAAAACAGAGGCTAAACTTTCAAAGTGAGAGCTGAACAGAAGTTGGGACAAAAAAAAAAAGAGCCTCAGATGGATGAACTGCTGATAGCCCTAAATCACAGCGCGCCTCTGTGCCTGCGCTGGTGTGTTGACACAACCTCGGCCAACACTCAAGGACGCTGTTGACTTTCTGTGGTCATTAACAGATGAGAAATGACTTAATTGAGAGCCAGGCCAGCAGGCATGTGCATTATTTTAAGTGAATATTGTAATATCGCTAGGAGAATAATTACTAATGGCTCTCTTTGTTGGCATGTAAAATGGATGAGCATTGGTGTGCTGCGGCTTTTTTAAAGTGGAGCTGCATTCATTAGCTATGGAAATGGGTTTTGGGCCAACTGACTGAAGTGCAGGTGGGGGGTGTCAGTGGTGCATTAGATCTGCCTAACACTAATGGACCTCGCCTTGCGGGCAGGCTGAGTACACTCAGACACACACTCGTACTGACTAATGAAAGCACACGTGTGCACAAATCACTACTTCTCATTTTCTGATGGATGTATATTCAGATTCCAACATAAGCGTGTGTGTGAGTGTGTGCATATCTGTTCATACCAGCGTTGGATTGTAGTAGGCTGGCCCCAGGGTTGTGTCTCTGGGAGGGGGCTGCTGCTTGCTAAGCACACCTACGGCGTCCTCCTCATAGCCATAGGCTTGGCCCGGGGAAGGAATGGATGGGATATCTGACTGGCGAACCGGTCTCAGACTTTTGGCCTGAAGCCACTGCACAGAGAGAAAGAGAAAGGGTGTGGAGAGGAGTCAGGGTTGGGGATGGAAAGAGTGCCCTGGATTACAAAGTGGCCAAACAATGCCAGGGGCCAATCTGAGGCTGAAGTTGAAAAGAAAAGGACAGAGACAGAGAGAGAAAGGCAAACAACAAAAAAGAAACGCAGGAGAGGCAAAAGGATGAAGAATAAAAGAATGATGAAAAAAGGGGGATTGTTTTTCTCCTACAGGGACAAAAGGGTTAAGTCAATCCCTCGTGTACGTTGGTGTGGTCAGAATGAAGACCACATCAGATAAAAGCCTCGAGGTCAGTCTTACCTGTGTCTGCATAATCTGGACATCAATCTAACACAGCAGGTGAATGTAAAGTACAACTTAGCCAGACTGATCTTAATCTGTTCCCCTACCACAGCTGTACTGCTGGTGAGGGCCTTTGCCTCATGTCATCCCTCACTGTCTTCTCACAGTTTCTAACACTATCCTCAGTCCAGTCGTCTGAATAAAGGCAAAAAAGCACAAAAACAAACTTTTTTTTTAAAGGGTAACCATATTTTTATCCTTCTGTCTTAGTCTATGTATGAGTTTGTTAAATTACCAGACCTTAACGCTTACAGTCATCTGATTTGCATCTATAATAGTTATGTGATGGTTACTCTCCGAAACTTGCCTTGATCCCAGTTAGAATTATTTTCTTAGTGTGATAAGTGTTTAAATGTTAAATCAAATAAACCAAGCTGAGTTTTATCTGTTTCCTAACTGATAAGTGAGACCCTCAAAAGGTTTAAAATTGTATTTGCTTAGTCCCAAAAACCGATAAGTGGTCTGCAGATGGCAGAAGATAAGCTTTGACTGACCGTCTGAAAGTATTGACGGTCACCACAGTTTGATGAGGTGCTTCTATACATATCATTTGTTTAACAAATGGCACAGAAACGACACTTCACAGAACACAGCGCCCGGAAAAGTTTTATATTTGGCTGTTTGCTGTTTGGCGTATGAGAAACTACCTTTGTTCGCCAGAGAAACACACTTCAAAATCACTGCCTGTGAAATTTAGTGAGGGTGAGTCTCCACCCTGTTAATATAAGACGACAGTTTTCTGCACATACTCCACAAAGGAAATGCACTACAAAAGCTAATTTACTGTGTGTGGACACTCCAACGGGCAGAAGGGAGAGAATCACTTGTAAATAACTCTCTATAGCTGGACTGGTCTTTTACACAGCATTCACACTTCGGCCATATGCTTACCATTTTTCTGCCAAGGTTCTGGGCCTGTCCTGCATTAACTGGCCCCACCCTGAGTGTGTTTCCTGAGGCGGGCAGCACATTATAGGCCCCAGGACCGGGAACCTTTGACACTACTTCCTCAAAGCGCTTGGAGCGGTTCTGAAGACTGCAGCCACCATGAACATTCGGCTAAGGAGACAACGAGGAGAGGCAAGCAGACACAGGGAAACAAGTATGAATTTAGCAACTTAAAGGACTGTCATGTCAACATTTTAAGTGCTCATACTGTAATTCCCCACTACAGTTTTGCTGCTTTTATGGCACCTTAACTGTAAGGGAGAATGGGGTAAGATGAGCCATTTTTCATATTTTGATCACTACATCAAGACAATCATAGTTTTGTCTCTGACTAGTGTATCTTCTTATATTTCAAGATGTTGTGCATCCCTGCAAACCAACAGAAGGAGTGTAAACATAACTGTCTTGACTTAACCCGTGTATGGGGTAAGATGACCATAGGAGCGGGGTAAGTTGAGCCATATCCCTACTACCCCCCCACTCTCCACCCCAGCCCTCCCTCACCTTCTCTCTCCTTAAATAACAGTCACTTCTTCATATTCATGTGTATTTTTATCGATTATACACTATTCAACTGGTACAATAATTCTTTTTATTATCATTGCATATAACTGCTAAGTGGTTCAGAAGATTCACAGCTGTATTCTTGAATAGAAAAGGTAACACAATTTAACAATCTGAACTGAAACGCTGATCCTCTCATCAGACTTCTTTACTTTCTCAGTTGAGCCACTTTATTATTTACACTTTATAAGTTGTATTATGACTTTATTAGTCCTCTAAACTAAAATGGTGGACTTTTATGTTAGGTTTTTGACCTCATGTTGTAGCTCATAGATACCACAATTGATGTATAAAACAAATTTTAAATGATCTTTTTTGGTCTGAACACAATTCTAATCAAACTTATGACAGACTAAATTCACTTTCAAGAGTGAAAAATGTGTTTTGTAAATAAATGTCTAACCCCTTCACCCATGTGTTTCTAACCTTCACAGACTCCATGAATTGATGCCCATCTCCTAAATATTTGGTCACATGATCAATGTCTTTTACCATTTCCAAGCAACAGGGGGTGGCTCAACTTACCCCACTCTCCCCTATGTGAAATGTCTGGGCTGAACACTACCTTGACAGGAGAGGAGTCATACAGTCCAGGTCCTGGTACCATCTTACTAGACTCATTGATAAGTGGTTGTCTGCTGGTCAAAGACAAAAATGGAGCATAGCCATCTGCAACATAGAAAAACAAAAGTTGGCTGACAGATCCCATTTCAACCCTCATGTATATTTCCTTTGTTTTGTTTCCAATACGAGCATGTACACACAAAAATTACCTTACCTTCTGCTGTTGTCTTGTACCCGGTGATGTCGTATGACCCGGGACCAACTGTAGCTGCAGTACTGCTCGGTGTCGTAAAAGTCACTCTTGGAGCTCGTCCATACATTTTGGCTTTTAAACGCGCTAAAAGTTTAACTAAACCTTCGTAGGCTGCTACAGACACCTGCTTAAAATTTCCGGGGAAATTATTTTACTTCGAGTCTCATTAAACCTCCTGAGTTTAAACATTCCTTCACGGCCGTGTTTCCAGCAGCGTCATGTTTGGACGTCAGGTTACCGAGCTTGCGTCGTTGCTAGGATACAATAAGTGGCTGCGCACACCGCAGCGACGTCTCTAAAGGTCATGCTGGGCTCAGGGCATTCATTCATAAAATGGCAGTTTACCTAACTTTTGTAAAATGTGTTGTCACTATTGTTATTAGAAGGTAAAGTAAATTCATCACTGATTCTTTTTCTCTCTCTCTTTTTAAATTTGAGTTAATATATTAAAGTTTAAAGCTTATGCCATGAAAATGTAAGTTATGGGCAGTCCCAAAATTAATGATAAAAGTACACTGCATTTAAGGAATTGATTTCCATCTACTAAAATTATTAAAGGTAGACCATTATGCTTTGATCTGGACTGGGTGACTTGTTTGTTAAAGCTACTATAAGGAGTTTTTTGACATCTATTAAATAGACTGAAATCAATAGTGATGCCTTTTCATGATATACAAGAGCAAACAATCTGCAACAAGACTGAAAATGTCTTTATCCTGATATTTAATCCCTTAAAGGGATATTCCTGCATTAAATTAATTTAGGGTCAAACACACTGTCACACCGAGTTAGACACCCTGTTGAGAGATAAATGTTGCCGACCGCTTGCTGCTCTAGTTAGACCAACTTTAGTAATGACCGCAGGATAGCAATACACAGCAGTCTGAGCTGTTCTGAGCATTATTTGTGGCTATAGAGTGGCGTTTTGGTCGAGGTTTGTTTATGGCTCCTCAGACCACTGTGTATTGCCATCCTGTGGTCATTACTAAAGTTGGTATAACTAGAGAAGCAAGCAGTTGGCAACATTCATCTCTCGACGGGGTGTCTAATTCGGTGTTACACTATGTTTGACCCTAAATTAATTTTACGCCGGAATATCTCTTTAAACAAGTGAGAGGGCATAGGTGTCAGCCAAGCAGCAGAAACAGACTTTTTTTGTGCAATTTACTCATAAAATATCTCCAATTTATGTCATATTTCACTCAGTTGCTAACAGGCTTGTTATTTGCAGAATGATTACCTTAAATTAGAAGACAAGCTGTACATCTACATTCTACAGAGAGTCACTGTAGGTATCAACCTAAACAAGATGCATGAGATATTTGAAGAGATATCATAAATTTGCAAAAGCTGGTGTCTCAGTTTTGGACTGATCTACATCTACATATTTGGACTAATAATACTTGAAAACTGGATGGGAAACCTTTTCGGTCCCGCTATGTGATTAAAGATAATCATAAACAATGCCAACTTGTCTTTGTTGTCGAACCCACTGTTCCTACATTATGTCGCCTTGTTGTGTCACTCCTGACACACTCCTCTTGTTATCATTATTTGCAGTTTTGAACTACTTCCTTCTGCACCATCAGACTGTACCAAAACGCTGTTAAGTTTTGGATAATGAGAACTCAGGGGAAAGCAATCCAAGAAACAATTGCCTCCTGCAGCAGTGAACTGCATCTTCATTTGACTTTCTGTCATGTCCCATAAGAACAAGGTTGTGTCTGTACACTTCTGTTTGATTTAAGAAATGTTGTTTAGCCCACAGAGGAGAGCCAGAACCAACTAGTGCATATAAAAACACTACAAGAGAGTAAAATATTGCTTAATTAGTTTAGACTCACATTGCCTTTTTTCACAAAACTTGCTTAGCTTCTCTACAAAGACAGTGAGACCAGAACAGAATACTAAAGAAAACTACCATAATGGAAAGAGTATGCTAGCTGTACTAAACTGAAAATCAGGGAATTAAGGATACAAGACCAGGTATGATTTTTTTCTGTGAAATGTTAGTTTGAGAAATGATAATAAAGCATTTTTTTTTTTTGATGAAAAAATGCAAATAACATGCAAACATTGCTGAAATTGAACGACGTTTTAACCAGGCTTTTCACAAATTGCCTTTTTATATTTCTCTTATTGCAAATGTTAATTTTAATCAAAGCTCTTATTGTTTATTTTATGTCATTATCTCTGTTCTTAGTCTTTTTCTTAATTCCCGTCATAGGTCTTTACTTCTTTTACCCCTTTTTATATGGTAAAGAGCTCTTACTCATCTGTTCATTTAATATTATTTTCTTGTTTTACTCTTTCTTTTTACCATTTCTATTTTTATTTTTATCTCCAGTGTTTCCAAAAGGTAGCTCTTTCCTCACATAATGTCTCGGTGTCAGACCTTGTCTCTTTAACAATATATCTTAAACTCTCACACTGTGTGCACTTGTGTGTGTGTGTATGTGTGGGTGAGTGAGCGAGGGTGGGTGTGTGCCTTTGTGTGGGTGTGGGTCCATGGGTGGGTGTTTGGGTGGGAGGGTCTGGTTTTATTGTCGTTAATTGTTGTTTTTAGTTCACTTTGAACTGCATTTTTGTCTGAAAGTGCCATAAAAATAAAGTTGAATTTGAATGACTAGGCATTGAGAAAAATGCTCACTCTGAGTGCAAAGATAAACCTGAGCGTAATACAAAAAGATGATATTTTAGAGAAGATAGGTATTTAGATAGGAACATACCCCAAATAACATATTGCTAGATTGAGTGATGAGATAAAATATTATTTGAAAAGTCTCTTGCATTTTCAGTGAATATCTTTATTTTTCTAAATGACTAAAGGCCACCATAAAGCTAGTAAGGCGTGCAGAAAACTACTGCTGCTCCAAAGAGGTATTATGCAGATCATTTGCTGTAGAGACTCAATTCCACCACTTGAGGGCAGCAGCAAACTTCAGACGGGTCTCCTCTGCATGAAATTTATACACAAACTAATGAATACTTTAAAGATAATCGTAACTGTGAAACACTAGTATCGTACCATTGAATAGACTGAATAATACATTCAGAAAATACGCTGGAATTATCGCTGCTTTAATTAAAGTTACTACTTGTGAATTTTATCAAAATGGCAGCAACATCGGTCATGTATTTTGAGTGAAAGGCCTAAAAGAGTATGCCTACACGCCGATAACTGGTGAACCACCTCCAAAGCAGAGGCCGAAAACCCTTCTATTAGTGTAATAAATCAATCAGAATAACTAACAGCAAGTTTCCCCTCGACTTTTGCTCAATTTCATCCATATAGTATCCTAAGAGAAGCATTAAACGAAGAGAAATGTAATTTTACGGTACGTACCTGAAGGTACCACGGACATCCCCACCATCACAGGCAGTCTGACATCCTCAGCAAGGTGTCACTCCAGGCAGCTGTTTTACCTTTTTACTTAGACAGACATTTTGATACACATTCCTATCTGGTTTTAGTATCATGAAGCGAATCAGGTCTTTCGTGCTTTTCTTGGTGCTATCCGCGTCCTTACTGTGCACAACCGAAGCCGCGAGGAGTCGGACCAGTAACCAGAACAGCTTCCGACGGGCGGCTAACGGCATCTACCAGACCCTGAGCAGCGTTTTCGGGGAGGACAACATCAGAGGGTTATATAAGGTGAGAGGGGGGATTCATTACCATGAAGAGAGGTTATTTTAGTATGAGTTAATGAGAGTTAAGGTTGTGAATTAGCGCGGTTTTGTTCTCTGATAATGGTGAACAGGAAACGAGCGCGCCCGAGGCCTGGCCAACAATTTCTACGGTTGCCATTTTGAAAAATTAGCATTTATCCCAGTTTTTATTCATTGATGATCTCAGACGATGTTGCCTTTGTGTACGTGATAAAACCAGGTGTGCTTTTGAAAAGGTAATATCTGCTTCTGTTGTGCAACTTCCTGATGCTTCCATTCATTACACTGTAATATTTCTGCACAGATGGTATTTAGCCGGTGCTTTCCAGGCCACAACAGCTGTTTGTTTATGGCCCCAAATTGTTATATATCTGCTCTTGTTCACACACATCAGCATGGTTTCTCTCATCTGTCCACCTGCTCTTCTTCCTGTATTTTTCAGTGTAATCTCTTAGTTCCTGTCTGTGGCCGCCAAAACTAACCATAGAGATAAGACATGGCAGCTGGGGGTGGAGAACTTCAAGCTCGTATCACCATATTAACTGTTAATATGAAAGGAAAAAGTCCTCTTCTATTAGCAAACCTACAATATTCAGACTGAGAATGACTAAATATCTTATATGAGACAATGTTAACTCCAATGCAGGAGCAGCAGGAGTATTAAAATGTAAAATTTCTGAAGTAGAAGTGAAAGCATCAGATGTATAAAAAAATATTGTGGTGTGGAGAACTAAGATATCAATCAATCAAAGTTTATTTATATAGTACTGTTCATACAAATAAAAATTGCAGCTCAAAGTGCTTTACATCAGGACAAGAAAAATAAAAGTTATTATAATGGACTAAAACAGACAGAAAAATATAAATGTGAATTTATTGATAAAATAAGGTAAAAAGTGACACTAAAAATAAATAAATTATAATAGTCTCACCAAATAATAGTTTGGTTTAGTTTAATAGATTATTTGACTAGGACTGTGCACGACATAGTGCTGAGCTGGAGTCAGCTCAACATAATTTACACCAGTGGTTTAAGGTCTGCTGGATCCAGGTCTGGATGTTTGGCTGAATCCGGAGTCATGTATATTTTCTTTCATTGTATTCGCTGTTGTTTTTTTCTTTGCGTTACATCGTTACAAATGTCTCTCTTGGAAAATCAAGGTGACTTACCTTTCTGTTTGCCTCTTTTTCGGTTTTGTAGTTTTTCTCCAAAACAACAGAGAGGTTCGTCCATGGAGTGGACTCGTTCTTGGACACCATCTGGAAGATCTGGTCTGATTTGCTGGATGTGATGGGCATCGACTGTAAGTTTTAATGTTGTTATCTCATTGCTGGCAGAGGGAAGGGAGATTTGTCAGACTGACGGTACATAACAGATTTTTTTTGTCTTCTTCTCTCTCTTTTTCCTCCATGTAGCCTCAAACCTCAGTCACTACTTCAGCCCCACATCCCTCACCAACTCTCCAGCCCGCGCCCTGCTCTTGGTTGCAGCTGTACTCCTAGCCTACTGGTTCCTCTCTATGTTCCTGGGGGGCTTCTTTTACCTGCTCCACGCCGTCTTCGGCAGGTTCTTCTGGCTTGCACGTGTCCTGCTCTTCGCCCTGTCTTGTCTCTACATTCTGCAGAAGTTTGAGGGTGACCCCGAGCGTGCAGTGCTGCCGCTTTGCTTCATCATGGCCGTGTACTTCATGACCGGTCCCGTTGGAGCGTACTGGCGTCGGGGAGGTGGTGCAGGCTCGCTCGAAGAGAAAATCGACCACCTGGACACTCAGATCAGGCTGCTTAACATCAGGCTGAGCCGGGTCATAGACGGCCTGGAACGCAGTGGGGAGCAGTAGGTGGCGGCCATGATGAGGGGGAGGGAGGGAAACGAGTCCAAACAGCTGCAGCTGATGTCAGAATGCTCTTTCCTGTGCACATCTGCAGCGACACAACTACTGGGTTAAAACAACTCTGTGGTCTGATGGGGGAAATCTAGCTTTGAAAACAGTATTTCAACTTCTTGAGTTGATTTTAGTTACAGAATATTTAAAAATCCTCAAAAGGTGTGGACACTTATCTTGGAGCTCACACAAATCAACCAAACACTTCTGCTTTTTTTTGTGTTTCTTCTTAAAGCTTTGACAGCGTTTTGTTACGTAAATGAATATATCAGAGAGGTGTCCGTGTTGTCTCAAAACTGGCCTCAGAAACTCTCCAGTTATGGGCTTGAATTTTGTGTTCGGAGAAGAATTGTCCATGCCTGTGCTGAAGTATATTCTACCTTACTCTGTTTATTTCTGTCCTTGTGAATAACCTGGGTGTTAAGATTGTTACACAGGTTTTTATCCCCCCTTAATTATTAAAGATAATGGAAATGGGTTGGGTATGATGCAAGGGACCGGTGCAAACATATATTTCTCAAATGTAAAAATCCTCAAGATGTTAAATAGTTGTTCATAGTGAGATTTATTTATTCCAGTTTCCACCCAAAATGTTGAAATCATGTAGAGCTAGTTTGTTTCATTAACTCATCCTTCAATAGTGGCAGTAGTTTGACATCAGGACCTCTTTTTCATTGTGTATGTGTATGAGTGTGTATGCATCTGGATGACCTGTGTGCGTGCGTGTGCGTGTGTGTACAAAGCTTGTAAATTTGAAAAGCACTGTATCTAAAAGGCACCATCAGATAAGAAGAAAATGTGGACATGCAGCAATATCTCAGGGACTCAGCCAACATCCATCTAAACAGGGAGAGCTGTGGCGTGTACTGGAATCATGTATTAGTACCACTGAGTCACACGCTCCTCGTATTTGGTTCGAAATCCGTCATATACCACGTATGGACAAATGGGTGCACACTTTATGTCATTGCATCATATCGAAACGACAAAGATTGATCATCTCTGAGATCTGACCCAGCTTTTCATTCACCTTTGATTATCTAAGGAGACGAAGTGGTCAGTGCTGTGCAAAGCCATGATTGAAATAATGTTAAGATAATATATGATACTACTTTAACAGTGAACTAAATGAGAAATTTACCGACAGTTATGTGCTTTAGAAACATGCTTAACATTCATCACATTCACTTTTTTTTGGGGTCTATTTCTGCCTTTTTAAATATTTGTCATAATGTGCCATCATGCTCTCCATCTCTTCATACTCCACTTTGCATCCTCTTTTGTCATCTGATTTCAGCTTATAGAATCTGGACTATATAAACATATTTAATTTTTACTGTTTTCGCCAACGACCCAAATGCTGTGCAGAGTTGGATGGCAGAAATCTTGTTTTACTAAGAAAGATCAACTAAAACAGAAGAAGGAAAAAAGCGTATTTACACTCTTAACCCTCAAATAATAAAAATTCTCAGCACTTGTTTTCATGCTTGGGATGCAACTAAAGCCAATGCTTCACAGTGTTGTTTGGGTGCTATGTCCTCGCCACTCCCAGAAAATTCCCATCATCTGCTTTTTTAAACCCAGTCAAGTGTCAGTTTCATCTCTTTCCTCATCTCTACCATGTATTTAAAGCTTGATGGTAACGAATTGCAGCTAAATATTTCAGTACTGGTTGACTTCATGAGGAGGTTTGCCCGTCTCACTCACTTTTGGTGTACATAATCTGGACTCCTCTTGCATGCCTATAATGTTCTGTTAATCGACATGTCTTTGACTGCCTACGTAGAGAAACCAGCAAAAACATGATGTGTGATGAATTAGCCAGAAGTTAACCATATTAGAGATTTGTATTATAGATAATCAACATTGCACTGATGACTGTACTGTAACGACCAAATGATCGCCCTTATGTGAGTGTTTATTTTTTACATTACAAGATATAACTTGAATTGTTGGCTCTGATCATCTCGACCGTTCTGTAGATCTAGTGATTTTTGATATGTTAGTGTTAAAGTGTGTCATTAAACAGCTGACTTGAAAATGGGGGGGGGGTATATCTGACTATCTGACTTGACGGGGGGGGGGCTGTGTATCTGAGGCCAATGTTTTGTGTGTGTTTTAGTAATGGTAGCACGTGTGATTATGAAGGCGTAGACAGAGTTGTTTGTTGAAGGAACCAGGAATTAAACTACTTAACGTCAAAATGCGCATAATTTCGCTCATCCTGTTGTAACTATAAAATAAAGTTCTGCACAGACTCTCCATCTCATAGAAGAAACACTGTATGCTCAAATATGCTCATGTACTACTAAACATTCCCGCTCAGATGTTGAATCATGCAGGTTTTCTGTCGGTTTTCTCGCTCTCCCAGATCGAATGCTACATTGAGAATATATTTATTATCTGTTAAATAGCTCGTGATTGATAAATTCAGTGTAACTTATTCTTATCATTCCATGTAAGCCTGCTTTTTGTTACATACTGTGCCAATATGTTGGGTTTTTTTTTTTGTTATTTCTGTTCATGGCATCTGATGAATCTTAAGTAGTTGCTGTTTCATCATTTGATATTTTTACACTGTTTTTTATCCAAATATTTCTGTACTTCAAAGATGTGGTACTCACCAAACTGTTTTGCCTGCTGTCGTCTACTCTGTGAGGGTGAGCGTGTGTGTCTCTATCAGAACTCTGTTTTCTTGTGGTGAAAGTGAAAATGAGGTCCAGATTTGAATAAATTTAACACCACGCTATGACAAACTTGTGTTTTTGATTCATTGATGATGTGCCGATGTAGTATCTCTTACAACTATGAATACATCTGTCGAAGCATCTAGAATTATCTCAATATTTAATTCGTTTTTCTTATCAAATGAGTTACTCTCATGAAAAGTTTGGATTCTGTCCTTCTTAAAGCAGCTGATGATAAATATTGAGTGAGGACACTAGGTGGCACTGAACTATCATCAACATTTTAACCTAACAAATACCTAAAACAGATTAAAGGTATCCGGTGAGTCCATCTGGACATGTATGGATTAACAAAATAATAGGACAGGAGTAGTCCTAGTCAAAAGTGTTCTCAAACAGGCAAGGAGGCCAAAGATTCAAGTTACAATTCATAATTTGGGACAACTAGGACGATAACTTGAAGGGTAAACTTTCTCATAAGAGGAAGAAAATCATATTTAGTAAGAACACAAGTTGTGTATGAAAGATACCTGCTTGATTCAATTGAATTAAACACGTACAAATCGTGACTTTTTAACATAGAAATCGAACGTGTTAAGAGGAGTCAGTGCTTTCTAAATATTAAACCTGTTTATACTTTTGCATTTGAATCACTATTTCACCTGTTCTAGCTACCCTGATCCATTTGCTGCCCTCCCGTTTTTCTGTTTTTGTTCCTCTGGGTTGCACAAAACTTGAAATTTAAATTTGACGATAAAACTATGAGGACTTAACGTATCCTAACAACACTTTCTGCCTGACAACAAGATCAAATTTGAATGTAAGACTAAATTTATCCACCCATCAGTATTTTGCTGCATAAGAAAAGGCAACAGTTACACAGGTACATGTTATTTTAACAAAGTGACCGTCTCATTGATCAATCCTGTAAAATGAATCAATGCTGAACCAACTGTATCCAAAGCAACTAACTGCAGGCAGATTTAATGATTCTTAATCAAATTTATTACAATATAACAATATTTGCGTTAAAAAGGAAAATACTTTGTACTTTGCATAGTAACCTTCAGTATTAAATACAGTGGGTATCGGCACTAGGCAATCAGCTAAACAGCGTCAGTTAGAAAAATAGAACAAGTATTTTATTAACGTTCCAATTCAAGTCTAAACTTACAAAGTCATTTTTTTTTCATTCCTGCGTCGGAGTGTATTTGGTCTAAAGTCTACTTGGTTTATTATTGGCATACTTATATCTCTTATAACTCTATTTCAGTGATGAAAACTATTTTCACAGCGTTCTGACTGCTGGTCGACCAATCAATGCAAGTCTAAGTGCATCTATTAATATTATCCAGGTATAAATGAACATAACTTTAGTGCTGAAAGTTACCAAATGGCTTTTTTCTGCTCTGGAACAGCTGCTAAAAATCAGAGAATACCTCCTGGCTCTTTCTTGGTCCAAAAGGCTGCAACCCAAGTAGGATCCTTTTTCATTTATAGCCTCATCAGTTGATAGTTTCTTCTACTCTGAGGGCTGGAGAATGGCTATGGTCACCATTCAGGTTGCTCAGCTGCAAAGAAGCTGAATTCTGCTGTCACTCTTCACCGTATGGCAGTCTAGTAGCACAAAAATGTCACTAAAAATATACAAAAAGAGTAAAAACAACCACAAAGTGGACGTGCTGCCTGCATCCAGCCATGCTGCTTGTAGAGTCAATGGATGTTTACATTCAGCAGGACTATAAGCTGCTTTAAGCTCTTTCCGGGTATTAGAAGCGTGCCACAACTTTTATATCCAAGCCACCGGTACCACCTGAACCTGCTCCTGAACCCTGGGCCTGGTTTGAACCCTGGTCAATCTGGATATAGTGGAGGCCGGAGTTAAAGCTTGCACAAAGCAGAGAGCTGGAGTCGGTAGGAACCAATGAAACCAGAGGACCCGCACCATCCAAAGATAGCGTCCCTAAACATGCTGAAAGAGGATAAAAGAGAGACGGTTGAAGAAGAGTTAGTGTAAATGATGTCTGTATATTTGAACACATGCCAAAGAACTGAAGGACTGTGTATCACATCTTAATAACAGTTCAACCTTACTGAAATTCACCTGTGAGAAGAGTTCGGACCAAACTATCTGCTGCTACAACACGATAAATACAAAATCATTTAATCCCCCAATAAAAGAAAGTTCAGATTAAGTGGGAGTACACTATGAAGCAGGATTTACACTTATCAAGGTCGCTTCAGGGTTAACTTTCAATTCTTCAAGATTGGTTCATTTCTTACTGAGCCAGATCACCATGAGATGATATTACCTGCTGTGGTCTGATCCCAGATTTTGATAGCGCCATCGTGGGAGGATGTAGCTACCCGAGCTGTGCCACCAGGAGAAGTAGGCATGAACATACAGCAGGCGGTGGTCTGGATATGGCCTCTGTACTCCACCACTTTACAGCCGGGCTGACGCAGGTCCCAGAGCTTGTAACATGAACACAACTCCACTAAGGACTGACATCATCTGTCCACTTAGATCTTATTAATAATAGTAAAAGAAAACACTCTAGGATTTCTGTATACCATTTGCAATGTAACTTAGAGAAAATATGCATCAGAATAGACAAAAAATGTGACACTTCCAAAACAAAAAGGTTGTTTTATATCAAAATGTAATTATACATCAACTGTTATCTGTGACTGATGGGCATCTTATCTGACAAACCAGTGGAACGAAAGAAACAATGCTGGGGTTGCAAGCCATCTGTGCGAGAGTGATTTTGAAGTGTTGTTTTGTTGAGCAGATAAATTCACAAAAAAATTAAACAAAGTACTAGTTGAGTTTGAAATTACCCTTCCACTTCATCGGACTTTACACGACGACCACACAAAAATATTTTTTCTCAAAACTTGTTGGACAGCCGTATCGCTTCCTAATCTGTGCTGACACTGACAGAGCCAACATCCACACTAACACCTCCAGTGTTCTCACCGTGGCCTCACAGCCTTGGCCTCCAAAGCCGTTGCTGCTGGACACCAGGTAGTTTCCATTCGGGGACACATCACAGTGGGTCTGGATGTATTGCTTGGCTGGGAAGGTGTTGGTCACCTGCCATGCCCGGCTGTCCCACACCCTGAGCACAAACATGAGCAGTATACTGTTAACGCTAAACCAAGATCATGAAGTGATGTGTGATATTTACAGTGTTTTGGTGGGTTAGCATCATCTTAAAAATTCTGTCTAGATGTGGTCATTGCTATTACACAGATGAGACTGATTTAAGTAAAATCAGAGATTAGGATTAAGGATCTGTTAGTTCACTATTTAGATGTGCTAGACTGAGAAAATCTAATAATTTCGACAACATAGAGCTGAAATTACAAGACTCTAAATAACAGGCTCTACTGAGTCATGTTAAGTCTAATTCTCCCATCACTCATGAGCCACAATACTTTAAAATCCCAAGATCTGATACCCCCTTGGGAATAACAACTGGCTACTGAATGCAAAAGCAAATCTCTCAGGGGCCAGTATCTCACAACACTATAGACTTTTGCTTGAGCACTAATTAATGTCTTGGTATAAGTAGCCTGTCAGGTTTTCTTAGAAGAGTTTGCTACATAAAAAGCACTGACAGTTCACCATTGGAAGAGGCTGACTGAAAAGGTAAGACATTAGGTACCAGCGATGGAGTTACAGAGCAACAACTGTAACAACTTTCCTGTTAGAGCAAAACTGGGCCTTGAACTCACAAATGACTTATAAACAGTTCGTTCACTGACTACTGGGATGACTGGAACAGATTTCTCTCTACTCTTGTGTCTCATTGAGAGCTCTGAGTCTCCACTGCATGTTTATATCAGTACTTATAATTAAATAAGTAACATCCCGAGACTGCTTTTAATTGTAGGGGAGCTAATAACATGTTTTTCATTGTAGATATTTTACAGTATGACAGCCAACATCTTATACATCATCAACAAGCTGATCTCCTTACCTTATGGTCTTGTCTTCAGAGGTCTGGACTACAGAGAAGCTGCCTGGCACCCAACACACATGAGTTACCTGCAAAGTTTAAAATGTATTTATAAAGTCAGATTAAACTGCTCACTGATTTCTGGTACATCCATCATAGTTTAACAAGTATTTATACAGGGTTTTGTACATTTTAAAGTACATATTATCCTTCTCACCAGGTTTCGAGAAATGTTGTGTCTGTGTTCACATTTTGCCGATTCTATATCCCACAGGCACATCCAGTTGTCACGAGAGCCGGTACACAGCTTTCTCCCATCTGGAAACCAAAGTAAAATCAGGTCCACATGTTTGGAGATCAATAATAGAGGCCTGCATAAAGTTACAACAGCAGTGTGAAAGAAAAAGCAGAACTCGTTGAAATATACTCCCACAAAATATACATGATATAATGAATTTCCCTTTGGGGATCAATAAAGTTCTTGTATTGTATTATTGTGACTATCAAAACTAAATTAGTCACTGAGAGGGGAATACAGGGATCCGTCTGAATCCAAGAAGGAAACATGAAGTCTTTACTGCAGATTGAAGATATTCATTTTCCCTTTCAATTAATCAAACTTTCGAATATGTATCTAATATAGATGTACTTGCAGATTTTGACTATCTGATGGAAAAAAATGGCTTTCCAGGTCAACAGAAATATCAGCCCCTGCCTTCTCTCTCTCTGATCCAAGTGCACAATTCACAGGCAGGAACAGATGACATCCATTAGACAATCAGTCAGCCCCAGAGACACACCCACACACACAAAACTCCATCCCTACACACATACAACTCCACGCCCACTACTACACACCCATTACCCCGAGTGACAAGTAAAAAAACATATCCCTGCCTCTACATTATTGTATTTAGAAATACACCAAAGAATGGTTTTCAGTCTGAGAAAGAACAAAAAAACCAACAGTTTTATCATTTATACAATTAAAGTTAAAAAAAAAAAAAGACATAAAGTTTTGTCATTTTTTTGACATATTTTTGATATCAACACTATCCAGTCAGTCGAGAATTAGTCAGTGACACATCTGGAAATAGATAAATACTCTAGCTTTTCAAATATTTAATCAGAGCAGAGGAATGAAACTCTGAAGGATGTAGGAGTGCATACCAGGGCTGACAGCTACTCCATTGACCACAAGCTCATGGCCACAGAATTCTTGTATAGGCTCATCCCCCTGGTTTAGGTCCCACATCAGAACAGTCTTGTCCCGTGAGGCACTAAAGATCCACGTACTACCTGGATAACACAGCACCTGTAAAACACACGCAGAGGCACAAGACAAAAGGATGCAGATTTGTACTTCCAACAGGATCATTTCATTGATAAGCATTGATGTTACCTTGGTAACCTCTCGGTTGTGACCCTGGAAGGACTGACACATCTGGCCTTGCTTCCAGTCATACACCACCACGGTCTACAGAGACACACAAATAAACACACAAGAATGCAGTTAATCATATGTTTATTTATTAGTCACAGAATTTATTATTTCAACTTTCCTTAAACGGCTAAACTGATCTTTTTATGCATTAAAAGAGCTCTCAGTGGAGGATTGAACCACTATTACACTGATTTATTTACTCATGAGAAAACCAGAGTAAAAAAACAAAAGAAAATAAACACTGTGATTAAACATCAATACTTTACCTGGTCACTCCCACCAGAAACACACAGATCCTGGCTCAGATTGGTGACAGTGTTGACGGACCCTTGATGTGCAGGATTGTACTGAACCACCTGACTATCATAACTGTTATCAGCCTTCTCCCCCTGAGACGCCCTAAAACAAAACAAACAGAACAACTATTTAAAAAAAGATTTTAAGACAGTTCAAGCACTTTTTATGAGTCAGTTAATTCACTCATTCATGCTGCTAACAACATATGGCATACATTAATCATATGAGAGAGCCTCATGGCCGCAGAGACTGTTGATGTTTTTAAGAAGAGGCTCAAGACTCACCGTTTTAACCAGGCTTTTCACTGATTGCCTTTTTATATTTCTCTTATTGCAAATGTTCATTTTAATCAAAGTTCTGAATGTTTATTTTATGTCATTTTATCAATTATCTCTGTTCTTAGCCTTTTTGGTAATTCCTGTCTTAGAGGTTTTTACTTCCTTTTACATGGTAAAGAGCTCTTACTTATTTGTTAATTTAATATTATTTTCTTGTTTTAGTCCATCACGTTTTTGTCTTTTTTTTTACCATTTTATTTTATTTTTTATCTTTTATTTTTATCTTTTATCTCCAGTGTTTCCCAAAGGTAGCTCTTTCCTTACGCAATGTCTCGGTAGGCCTGGGCGATTTGGCAAAAAAAATGATCACGATATATGTTTTCATATCGTCCGATCTCGATTATTTTCATGATTTGTTTTTAAACTGCCAGTTTTAATGCATCTTTACTAAAAACTGAAGAAGAGATTAGTTCAACATTTTATTAAACAGATCTGTTGTGTTGCCGGTTTTTGAGGGCACCGACATACCTTACACATCGGCATGATTTCTTGACGTCACTTTGGAAAATTCCCGAACTGCCACACAACCGACGTTGAATAATTTTCTTTCTCAACAATAACATCTTCGGAGGATGACTCAAAGTAACGGCTGACATCTATTTTGCTGCCCTCAGCTCCGCGTTTAGCTTCCCGTTCGGTAATTCTGTTTACTTCTGCAGCAACTTACAGAAGTGAGCAGGAACGACTCTGATTTTTATTGTTAATTGTTGTATTTAGAAAAATATAAATAAAAATAAAGTTGAATTTGAATGTAATATATGAACAAGTGTTATCCTTTTACTGTAAGCAATATAATTAACTTCATGTTACTGGTATCTGCTGATCTCATCCCAACGTAGTAAACTTTTTAGACAGCAAAGTGTGTTCCCAAATGTTTTACAACTTGAGTTAAATCCACACTCTTTCCTCTGTACACAACTTTGTCAAACTGGACCTGTCTAAAACTGAAGACAACATATTGTGTGGCCTCTCTAACCCGGTTATAATTAGTAAGTAGTGCATTAAAGGTCAAGCTGTTGCACACATCTTACCTGTAGAGCTCAGACCGCTTGCGAAACTTGCTCTGTAGTTTGCCCATCTCTGCCAGGATCCTTTAACCACACTGACACACAGAAAAAACAACGCCTTAGAAGCTGGGACGCAGATCATGGAGGCAATTTTCTACACTCTAGGTCAGTGAGCGGGGATGTTATACCACAATAAATCAAGCATTTTCTGTCACACAATATAATGGCACACATTGAACATAAAGAAATCAACAATGCATCGATTGTTCTCAGTCATTAATACTTAACATAGTACTATAACTGTGAATTAAGAAGCTAAGAGGCTTCACTTGCTGCTAATGTTTTATCTTATATTATATAGCAGGATTGTGTTCTATTGATTTCCATTACCTAACAATCAAACAGTGCTTTAAAGACTTTAGGGCACAGGTGTCAAACTCAAGGCCCGGGGAACAATTATATCTGGCCCACAAGATCATCTCATATTTGTATTAGTATTGGCCCACCAGTATGAGGTCTGCAGATTTCCTCCAGTGTAATAATGTAAACTTTAGTTCCATTATTTAAAATGTCCTTAATAAACCACAAAAATCTGGGAAATTAAAGAGTAAGGAAGATTTGATAGGTAGTCAAGAATGTGGGGGAGAAAATATTTGGTGTTTTGTTTCATGTTTTCAATTTTGCGTTTCAAGATTACAAGTCAAACATGATTGGGTTTTTTATTTCATGCTTTGATTTTGTTCAACTCGGTATTTAGACTTGTTTCATTTTTATACCTTAGATTCCAATTATAAATTTTAAGTCATATTTTGACCTTTTAAACCTGATTTCAACATTCTGCTCATGTATTTGCTCTTTAAAAGCATTATTTTTCTACTTTGAATATCGTGCTCTGATCTTTTGAACTAATAAATAAAAATAGAATAAAAAACAAAATGTTTCTATCTCAGATTGCCTTTAAACTTATCTTTTTTTAATCTTTTTTTGAGTTTCCAAATTATATATAATCATTGCTGTTTGTGTTTTGCATATTTTTTGATAAGGAGGTTGACAGTTTTGGTGAAATGTTGTCCCTGTTTGGCCCTCAGGTTAGACCTAAATCCAGATTATGGCCCTTGTTGTGGTTGAGTTTGACACCCCTGATTTAGGGGCTCACTCATGTAAACATCCACTCACATGTATAGTATCTTTCCTTGCATAAGAGAAAGACAAACCTGTATTCAGAGGGATTAGACCACACGTTCACACGCAAACACGACTTTCTCTATCACACACACTCACATAACAAAGCCTCTCTCGTTATCTCAGCGTACTCCTCAAACAAATCGACAGGAAGGAGCGGGTTCAAATCCTATTACAGCCGCATCATTACCGTCACAAGGAATTAGTCGCTCGAAAACACCTGTTATGAACTGGGCTGGGGAGCATTACGCAACATTAAAAACACGGAGTTTGACAGTTAAAATCTAAATCCATAACTGGTGGTACTGATTCAGTTCAGATGACAGAGTAGAGCGGGATTTCTTACCTGTCACCGGCAGGTGTGGTCGCTGTGAGACTCGGGCAGTGCTGCTAGCTCAGTAGCATGCTAACTAATCTTTATCCGTCATGCTAAGATGTGTGACTAGCTCCGTAACATGGAAATGCAAACGTTAAAACTTGATAAAGTCCTTCTCGACAAAAGTGCGCTCCGTTTCTCATGCACTGCCATTATAGTAAGTCGTCCAAACACCCGAGTAAAGTGCACAGAAGTGTTTTCTAACTGTACACAACCATCCCTCCCTCCGTAGCGACCGAGAGGAGACGCTTTCTCGTATCCAGGCGAGGATTGAGTCACGTGACTCGAAGCAGGAAGTAGTGAGAAGCTCTTTCCTTACAAAATAAAAGTCTTACATGCTTTTTAAATCTCGATTGAAAACATACGTATTTATGCTGGCTTTTAATACCCAGTAGAGTGGTGACACTTTATTTTATTGCACTGTAGTTTATTCTTTCGTATTTTTTTATTTATTCATTTTTCTTTTCTATCATAAAGCACTTTGGTTCATCGAAAGGGTTGTTGTAAAGGCAATCCTCAATGGTGGTAAGAATCATAGGCCTACATCAGCAGCAGCACTAAAATGTTTTTACTTTATTTTATTTTATTTTTACAGTAATATATAATTGATCATACAGAAAGCATCAATCATACATGAAAAACATAAATTATTGTTCTTGGGGGCCCTAAGCAAGCACTTAGTTCGCTTATGTCTTGGGCCGGCTCTGTGTAAAGTATAAATACAGAACATTTACATTTTTGACACATTTGGATTGATCGTTGCCTTTCTGGACTGCTATTCAATCAGGCACAGGCAGACTTGTGGTGGATTGGTTGGGGCTGTTGCCTTTAAGTGCCTGGGTTCACATCCTACATGTACTTCACAGGTGAAGTGGACTGCAACACTTTCTTCATATTGCAGTCTATAGGCTTAATTTCAAACAACCATGACAAAATTGCAAAATGGAAAACCCCTTAAAAGGGTGAAAGAATCTATTTTAAGATTATGTAGTTTAAGTAGTTCGAGCAGTATTAGTTTAGCCTACACATTTCCTTGCTTCTTGCTGGTAAAAAAAATACAGTGTATAAAATTGTTTTCATCCTACAGGATTTGGATGTTTCTTCAAAACTGAATCTTACTTAAAAAAGATTCTACTTAAGAACACATGACAGGTTAAAATGTTACTGACCTGTAGCTGTGTGTCCCTCCAGAGAGCTAGTTTTTGGACCTTCATTACAGACACAGGTTGAATGGCTCCCCAAGCTTGAAATCTGGGACGCAGTAGACTTGTCCCAGGACAGCTTATATTAATTCTCCAAAAATGATCTTGCTTCCTCTCTTTTTGCCTTTTGATTTGTGGTAGATCTAAATGTAATGAAGCTCTAATTTCTTGGTAAAGATAGTCAGAAACGATACGACTACCACTGACTTCATGAGCTGGAATTTTACAAACACATCTCATTCAATCAAGCACTGACTCATGATGATGTCCCCATTTAAAGAGACTAAATAGGACACTTAGTTAGGTTACAATCAACACAGCTCAATACCTATGTGAGGTGACCTCAATAGTAACTTAATTTGCAGAGAATGCTTCGAGTGAATATGACTGCAGGTAATCTCTTGAGCTAGATTGTAATCGTTGTATTCATAATCACTAGATTTTTATTATAAAGGTGTGTTGCATAACAAGTTATTGTGCTGCTCAGTAGGTGCCAAATCTGATTAATGCACTGTTTTGCACATGCACTGATTTTTGTTATTATCCAATGGTTCTTTTGGCATACTGCGGAGCATGGGTGATGGGTTGGGTATTGGTTCTCTCTTGCAATTGGAGTTAAACTGGCCTAGGTGTTCTGTAAATGTTCCACAGTTCCCATCCTAAACTTTCAGCCAAAAGTTGATCTCCATAAATGTGTGAGTGGAAGCTGGGTTGTAAACACAACTTCAACAAAGGAGAAATAAAGGCTGTACATGAGATCCCTGAGAAGGTCGAGAGAGGAAGGAGGTTGTTGTGCCTCGCCTACTGCCAGTGTACGGATTTGAAGCCAAAAAGCTCTCTGTATTTCAGTGATTTTTCTTCATTTCCTGAAACCAACATTGTGCAGTAGCGTTGTACGCATTCGGCAGGAGAGTCACCGAGAATCACTGTGATGACGCCCAGGACTTGAGCACGAACCAGTCTTACAATAACTACATGTCGACATCGCAAACAGGGGGGAGAAAAATTTATATTCTGTGAATCAATTTCTAAAGTTTGTCCACAGCTCCATAGGGATTGCTGGAGGAGGCAGGATTTATGACCTATACTGCAGCCCGCCAACAGAGGGTGCTGTTCTCGGAGTGGCTTCACCCAACGAGGAGAGAGACGCTGTCCATTCTATTTACAGTCTATAGTTGTAGCTCATAGATACCACAATTGAGGTATAAAACAAATTCAAAATGATCTTATTTTGGTCTGAACACAATTCTAATCAAACTCATAACAGAATAAATTCACTTTCAAGAGTGAAAGATGTTTTTCTTTTTAAATAAATGTCTAACCTCTTCACCCATGTGCATCTAACCTTCACAGACTCCATGAATTGAAGCCTTATTTCCTAAATATTTGGTCACATGGTCAATTTCTTTTACGAGGGGGTGGCACAACTTACCCCACTCTCCCCTATTACAGCTCACACAAAAATATGTCAACTCCAAACAAATATATATCTTATAGTTGTAAGTGTTACAAGGTGAATTGAAGAGCTATACTCCATAATTTCTCTATCTAAATGCATCATGCATGCTGACACATACTATGACGACTGTTGCTTATGTTTCCCCCACAGATTCAGCACAAACACCCATTGAAATGAAGAGCTATTACACAAACACACGCCCGTTCAGCTTCTCCATTCATGCATATTTTCTATTCCACAGGTTGGAGTGTATAAATACTCGTGTGTATGTGTGTGTGTGTGTGGCGTTGGTTTGACGTGACACTCCCCCTGGTCGATGGGAGGCCGACGTCAGCCTGCCAGCGGAGGAGTGGATGGCTTCAGTAATAAAAATACATGAAGAGAATTGAGGAAAAGGAGAAGATTGGCCGACGGGGGGGAGAAAGCAACAACACGACGTTTATTCCTTCCTCATCGCCCCTCGGCTTCATTGAGGGCGCAGACGCCTCTTGTGTAGCCCCGGACTGGGATGTGTTTTCGCCGCTGCACCGATCGCTCCGACTGAAATGCGATGTTGCGTGGAGCTTTCTTGGGCTTTTTTTCAGCAGACAGACACAGATAACTGTACTGTATCCCAGCCTAGCGGATTGGAGTGAAAGTCCGCCATATTCTGCCTTACCACGCCCGGGGAGTCGAGCCATTGGAAAATAAACGGACAGCTTTATTTACATGTGATTTCCCCCTCCTGTTGTCTTCTTCCTCGGAGAATTTTGAACGCGAGTGGATTTTGTTTGTTGGAAAATATCAACCTTGGTGGACTTTTTAAGAGAGAGAGAGAGCTGGCCGGGCATGGATGGCAATGCTTTCCAGTTAACGAGATCAGGCAGATCTGCACGGAGGATGTGTCTTTAAAGGATCTGTTGATCATATTGAGAAGGAAAAGCAGATTACACCAATTAAGATCGCACTGATATATTCATCTTACACTTCTATTGAAGCTGTCGGGAGGGACAGAAAGCGAACCGAAACGGGGGGAGGGGGGGTGAAAGATAATTTCTGAAATATCTAATTTTTCCTCCCAAAGCACAATCTGTGCGCTGTACAGACTCATTATAAAGGGCGTCCACGCTTTATTTCACCACAAGTAGGCCTGGATGAGGACGTTATTTGGCACTCACAGGCCTCAGTAAGAAGAAAAGGTGTGTTTTTAGGTGACAGTAATAATAATACAGACTTTAAAAATGACCCTGGAGTCCATAATGGCGTGTTGCCTCAGTGAGGAGGCGAAAGAAGCCAGGAGAATCAACGACGAGATCGAGAGGCAGCTCCGCCGGGATAAGAGGGACGCACGCCGGGAACTGAAACTGTTGCTTCTCGGTAAGCTCCACAACACGGGAGACACACAAGGGGAGGGAGAGGATCACAAATTCCTCACACTGAAAATACCTTTGTCAGGCCAGGCAGGGGGGCGGGTGTTTGTGTGTGTGTGTGTGTGTGTGTGGATAGACAAAGGTGGGGGTCCACTAATGGGACCTCCCACCTGTGTGAAGTTGGGTGAAATGTGTCAATGTGAGGAGTGAGGGCGCACAGATTGGTGCCCATGTAGGCCTGCACTGATACTCGTGTAAAAACCACCTCATTTGAATAACTGTAGCAGGTTAGTGTTGAGGAAACAAATACGTCTCCTAACCTGTTACCTTCATGCACAGAGTGGCCTGACTTCACTATAGAGGGCCCATCCAGGCGGTGTAAGCTGGGCCAAAGTCTAGTGTTTTATTGGGAGTAATCAAGACTGAACCGCAGCCTAACACTAACTCTGGCAATGATTACAGCACAGGTGCTACCCTATAGAACAGGCTGGAAGCACACTGTTCTAGCACATAAACATATGTGTGGTGGTATGCTTCATTTAAACCTGTCTTTGTCTGATTTCAAGCCCATGCAACAATAACAAAGACACCCCTGATGAAGTAACTATTCATCTAGTTCTACTTCTTTGACCATGAGTGACCTTAAAATTCACCATAAACCACTTTTACAAGAAAACTTTGAACTTTTGTAGGGTTATCGTATGGTAGGGGAGAGTGGGGTAAGTTGAGCCACCCCCTGTTGCTTGGAAATGGTAAAAGAAATTGATCATGTGACCAAGTATTTAGGAGATGGGCGTCAATTCATGGAGTTTGTGAAGGTTAGAGGCACATGGGTGAAGGGGTTAGACATTAATCTATGAGCTACAACATGTGGTCAAAAACCTAGCATTAAAGTCCACCATTTTAGTTTAGAGGACTAATAAAGTCATAATAGTAGTTCAGGGGTAAGTTGAATCCATAAAATGTACATAAAATATATTTACTCCATCTCCTTAAACCACCATTGCAGTAGCGTTGTACGCACTCCACCACTTGCGCAGTAGCACTGTACGCATTCGGCCGGAGAGTCACAGAGACGCTGTGATGACGCTCTGCTCAAACAGCGTATCCCCCGGGTGAGCTACAAAATCCTTAAACGCCCATAGGCTGTATCAAGTGTCAATCATAGAAAACATGAACCCCGTGATTGTGTTCAGACCAAAAAATATAATTTTGAATTACTTTTGTGGTATCTATGAGCTACAACATGAGGTCAAAAACCTAGCATAAAAGTCCACCATTTTAATTTAGAGGACTTCCGTATTTTTCGCACTATAAGGCGCACCTGATTATAAGGCGCACCATCAATGAACGTGTCTATACGCGTCTATCTTCCCTATCTATTTATCTAGTTCTACTTCTTCAACCATAAGTAGCCTAAAAATTCACCATAAACCACTTCTACAAGAGAACTTTGGTAGGATTGTAGCCTATAGTACCTTCACATTTTAACACTGTAGGGTTGTACATTTGGGTGGGAAACAGAGTTGTCAGTACCATCAAGAAGTACTAGTCATTCTGAAGAAACATGAGATAAACAAGTCATCCACTCACTGTACCGTTTTTAATTAGATTTGAGCAAAAAGGCCCATTAGCTGTGATGGCAGTGGCTGTAGAGAGTGGTGTCAAAAAACCTCTCTTCCTGTTCCAGTGCCCTCCTTGGATAAAAAGCAGGAAAACACACCATCCAGAGCCTCTCTCTGAAAGTGTACAGCAGAGTTTTTGCGTCTCATACAGATGTTTAAAAAGATGTTTCACGTTTGCATTACTATGAGGCAAAAATGACCAAATTGACCCTCCCTCAACCGGACTGTAAACTATGACCAAGTAGCGGTGTTTATATTGCGCTCTTATCTCTTGTGACACCCAACAATTGGCTCGTTATGCAAGTATAATCTTCAGCCAGTTTCTCAAACAGGGAAAATAAGTTTTAGGAGTAGCTGCATTTTCACATAAGATTTATATTCACTTTGTATTTTTAGCCTCAGCAGATCCTGTTGAAACAGACGACTATTCCAGAAAAGTTTGATATGAAATGCAACGGGAATGTGGTCTCGAGAAATCAGGTTAAATGGCCGTGTAGGACAGTGGAGCTGAAGAAATGCTTATACCTACACAAGTCATACAAAAAGGCAAAAATAGGAAAACACACTAGGGGATCTGAAATCAGATTGAAAGCAGTTCGACACTCATTTCAGGCTCTCAATGATAGTTTTCCTCGGAAAGTTGCACCAGCTGTACATGGCTCTGTACGCACTTTATGATCTTAGCGTACTGAGCTTTATTACTCACTAATTGCTTAATGTTCTGTGGGATCCATCTGAAAACTCTCAAGCCTAGTTTGGAAGTTTCTGAGATCTCTCACAGTGTCTTCAGCTCGGGTTTTACCCATCAATTTTGGCTTTTAGACGTCATCAATAGCCTTTTAAACACAATAATTGTTTTGTATCCACTGGGACTGTAGACATCAGAGCCCACACAACACAACATTTAATTCATCCTCAGGCCTTTTATATCCATTAAGATGTTGTGAACTAATGAGGCGGATGTATCGATTTCAACAATCATATATCAGGGCGCATGACTAAACATAACTAGCATCAGTGCCGAGGGAGGGATGGATTTGATAGTGTAACACTTAGGAGCACAAAAGGATGTTTTAAATTCCACCTGAGAAAGATGAAGTCGCTCGTTAGATTGATTTGAAAATGTTAAAACAAATTAAATAGTTTAAAACTCCTGGGAGGTGTTTAAGATAGCTATTAAAGTGATCAACATAAGCAAACTAGAACATTAATGACTAGATTGATAATTTGCATAATGTTGATGTATCCACCTTTGTTACTTTGAGATACATTTTCTCATTTAAAGACAACAAGAGAAGATTTTTTACTTATTCACATCACTTTCACAAGGAGATGAAATCAGCAACAGTATAAAGATTACTACTTTGTCCACAGGGGGCAGCAAAAGCAACACAGACAGAAAGCTCCTCACTTAAGCTTTAAGCAGAGTCAGAAGGATAACAGTATGCCAAGTTTATTCCTACATAAAAATAAACTTTATTGTATTTCAAAAGCTGGCATAAGAGAGAGAGCAAAGGAATTTTTTGTAGGAAATGATGTAGCTGCTTCAGGACATAATAGACCTTTCATATGATGCTAACAGCGCCTTTCTGCAAACAAAACTGGAAAGAAAGTGTATAATAGGAATTTTAAAAAGTTTATATAACGATATTAAAAGCTGAAACAGATTACAAAAATTGACATGTCACTTTGAGATCATCTAATTGAAAACCCTAAAGCAGAAAAGTCTTGAAACTTAAGATTTTTTTCAGATCAGCTGTCATCATTTCAACTCTATTGTTCCTAATCAAGTCTTATCCACCGAGCTGCTCTTCTGGAGGAGTAGTGTGCATGCTTTAAAAATGACAAGACTCATCGTTGAGATAAAATAGAGCGCTTCTCCTATACCAGATTTTCTAAACTTCTAAACCGATTTAATTCTTGTAAAGCGTCTGCTCTTTGAACCTTGACTTCTCTTACAGCATGACATTAGATCTGCAGACACATGAAGTTCCAGGGAAGAGAAGGTAGAAACTGCGGCTCTGTTACATTCGCTGAGATTCCAAAGCTGTGCAGTCATGGGAAGTTCAAGATGAATAGAGAGGAGAGGAAAGCAGCAGCTTGGTCTTGGAATGGGTACACAGTGACTGGAGGGACCTAAAGAATCTATGTTCTCATAAGAAGAACCGGTACATAAACTAAATGTTCAGCACATTTTGCTGCTGACTGTTTCTAAGTGTGTTTTCAGAGTGATTATCATCCTTTATGGACCCTGTTCTTACTTTGGTTCACAGAGAGAGATTCTTGTAGTGCACCACATATCAGTCATAGTGAATGTGTTTTCTTAACTGGGGATTAATTGATTAATTCAGACAGTTGCAACTCCCAGCTTTTAGAAGGCAAAGACGTCTCAAAACGTCTTTACTGCTTTACATCTGGGACCTTTAACTTTATAGCTGACTAATTTTGTCAGCTAATCTAATTTCCAGTACCTATATTGGTGTATTGGTCCTGTAATGCTCCATATAAGCAATACTTCCTGTGATACTTGTTCATCGTACTTTTTAACCTCATTTCTACATGCGCTGCACACACCTGGTTACTATCATTTGGCAAGGACTTGAAAGTGTCGGCCGCCAAAAGGGTTAAACCGGAATAATTATCAGACACGCTATCAGACAAATTGATTTAAAATGACTCAATTAAAAAAGTGGCACAGCCAAACTTGACTCCTCCAGAGACCGTTGGACCTAGTTTGTGAGGCCTGTCCCCCTTTTTATACTCTTACACACTCAGACAAGAGGAGTTTCCTCTGTAGTCACAGCCAAACAACTTTTTAAATCATTTCGGTGTCACGGCTTGTCCAGTCTGTATTCCTGCGCTCACATTTTGCATATCCTCCGTCAAAAACACTCGCAAAAGTGTGCGCTCACCGTCAGCTGTTTTTATCGGGCAAATAAAAGCTGTGGGAACTTTGTCAAGGCAGTGACTGAACAAAGTCCACCACAACCTTTAACAGGCTCTCAACAAACACATGGTTGTAATTGGGAGAGGAGAGAGCAATAAAGAAGTCATATGATTCTTGTGTGAGCGCAGCCAAGTTAAAGTGAAGCAATAGAACGAGCAGAATAAAAGTACAAAAAACCTGCTGATGATTTAGCAGTATGAGACAACCCCACCGCTGCATATACTGCACTCAGTATGGAGCGGTTTTATAGTTTTATAGTGTCAGCAAAATAAAGAATAACGAAAACCTTACATTGTGTGGCATTTTTCTTACTTGTATTCAAGACTAGTTGACGCTGATAAATCTGTTGCGTGGCTTAAGTTTCAGACATTTATCTGCTCATCTCCAATCATCACCTTAAGTTGTAATTTCATTCAAATGTAGTAATTTGTTGTTACAGTACAAATATCGTCTTTCTTGTCACTGTTGCTTGTTTGCTTTTGTATATCATAAAAAGACACTCATGTGCGTTTCAGCTAAAAAACTCCCCACTGGAGCTTTAAGTTTGTCACAGGGATGTATTTCATATGTGATGCAATAACTCAGTCGTGTTTTATGTCATGTAAAGAAAAAAAAAAGGTCAGTTTTATGGTTTAAAGCTGAAGCTCCCTGCTAATAAAATCCCTGCACTGGCTCTCCTTGAGGTGCTGTTGACAGTGAATTATTCCCCTCCCCTTCACTCATGCATTTTTAAAACCATAATGGTGAAGCATTGGATCTTTTTTGCATACTGTACTTTCTCTGTAACGGTTTAAAAGTTCCAGGCGTCTGTAGTATTGCACTAGTCAGTGAATCCCCCGGTCCGACAGACACAGAGTTCTTTCTTCTTTCTGTTTTTTATTTATTTATGTTGGTATCTTATCATCTCGCTTCCTCTCAGTCTGGCTATGTTCTCAAGTCAGTCCTTGGTATCCGGATATGGCGCTGAATCAGACATACTCCATTCATTCACGCTGACCTCAAACACGGGGTTAACACTGATAGACTGCATCAGTCTGAAAGATGACTCAGCAGCCTCTGATGGCCGGCGCACTCTCATACCTAGCATACCTGTTGCCTCTGTTTCTATTCCAGCGTCTCCTCTTCGTGATATGATAGAGCAGATCCAGATGTTGTTTTTTTTTTAAAGCCTGGATGATTTTGGCTAAATAGTTTTTGTAGGATGCACCAGTATTTATTCCAGTCTGATTCACAACCAGCTAAAAACTCCTCATAAGACCTTGAATCGCTTCACGAAGAAGTCCGAAGAGATAGGTCTTGTTTTTTTCTGCAGGGAGCATTTTTCTTCAATTAGTGGACTTCTTCAAATTTACTGTTAAGTTGAATCTTTGCTGGTACAGACTTTTATTCACTGACCGACCTTAGGTTCCCTGTGATAGAACCCCAAAGCCCAGCGGCATCTTTAATTCAAGTTATGAGATTACTAAATATTCCTTTTATAATTATACTTATATATTCCTTTGATTTGTCTATTTTTACACGAGACGCTGTGAGACATGAACTCCCCTGCAGCTCTTGTTTTTGTCTGCGAATACTACTCCTTGTCACTGAGGTTAATGATACAGTCAGGTGGACATGGTGAGCGTGTGGAGAGCAGGTGGTCCCGCCCACTCTTTTGTGCTACAAAGTGAATATTTAACCGATAAAAGAGCAGTGTGTGGAGCATTAGTATGGAGCGCTGACAAGCAATTTGAAATCTAATTTGGAACCACCCATCCATCTTTTCCCCCCTGCAGCAGCAGCAGCAGCAACAGCAGCAGCAGGCTGTGCAAGTCGATCCAGACATCCCCAGATGGGATGTATAATCCCTCCAGCAAGCTCGTGGTCCACCTTGGGGTCTCTTCCCAGGTGGATGTGTCTGGAAATCCTCCAGATCCTCTCAATGTGGAGGAGTAACAGGAGCTCTCTCCAGATCTCCAAGCTCCTAACCCTACCCCTAAGGCTGAGTTCGACCAGTCCTCACAACTGTTCCACCTTCACTTGTGACTTGAACTTCTTCATGTGGGGTTCACTCCCCATCTGGAGAACTGTGGCCTCAGACTTGGAGATGCTGTCTCTCTTTGTAGGAGCCATAATGCTTTGCTGATCGGCTATCTTGTGTTCAGTTACTTTTGTCTGGTTGCTATTGGTTTCGCTTGGCTTGGGTCACGTGGGAACTGTGTTTGAAAGCCGGTAGGTTATATAAGGAGTGGTCTCACCTGCACTGGGGTGGAGAGGTGAGCCTAGGTAGCTGTAATATTTGTTGACCGCGCTTTCTGTTCTTTCTACACATCGCAAAGTGTACACATATTCTATCTGATGTGTGTGTGTAAATCATTGGCGACTGTAGAAGCGTTTTTTTCTGTTATTAAAGCTCTGCAAACTTCGATGAACTGTGGATGCTTCTTTGGAACGGCAGCGGCATGTCACACAAATACACAGGACCTATCCTCTGCTTCAAGCTACTCTTCCTTGGGTACTGTTTGTATGCATATAATGTATTTTATTATGTTTATAATGAGCAACATTTAAGGCTAAAACTGGAGTGGGCATTAAAAACCAGTTGAGTGAGCAAATTCAAATATGTACATGACTTTTATAGCAGCGTGTTGTGATTGCTTTTAGTATTTTTAAGTCGAAGCGCCCTATAGCCTCACTTAAAGGACACTTAAAATGTAATCCTTGTAACTCTGGTTTTGTCGTTTCTCCCTTCCTGCTCATTTCAGACGTCTAAATTGTAAACCCTACAATAGAGAAGCTCATTTTCTCGAGGTTGTTGCATTTCAGCACCAGTTTAGTCTGCAGCTTGGTTTTCTGGGGTGATTAGTATGTATTGCTGGCCCTCAGTGAGGAGGATAATTTGGCTAAACAGGATTTATATTATGTAATACTAAAGCGGTGAAAACCATGCAGACTTTTATAGATGGGACTGTATGTCACCCTGGAATGCACCACATATACACTGCTGCCTGCCAAAGTTATTCAAGAGTTAGCGTTGAGGTAAAGTCAGAGCGTTCAGTCTGTGTGCCGACATTCTCAATGAAGCGGAGAGAAACTCAGCCCAGCTCTTCACACCCAAACAGTCCCTGTCACCGCGGGGAGGGGAGAGAAGTTGCTCTTGGTCTGAGACCAGACAAAGCAAACAGGCTGGGAGGAAAGGAGCCAGGACAGGACTTAACTGACTGAGTGTTTGAGTGGGTGCATGCTATATGTATGTGTATGTGTGAGTGTGGACACCTTTCATACATGCATGTTTATTCAGAGGGAGAGCGAAAGAATTATTACGATTATGAACTTAAAATATTTTTTTTATGCGTAACTTTGTGTTACTTGAACTTCACTTTAAAGCTCCATTTGTCAGGTTTTCTACATCACAAATAGATGCTGACCATGTCTTTTCTACTCTGTCAAAGTAATGTACTTCATAGCTTCATTTTCATACGTCAGTATTTTCAATCGTCGATCAGACTTATACAAAGGTTTTATGGGAAATCAGCTTTAACTGGCTCATCTTAAGTGGGAAACTTGATTTCTCACAGGACCTGCACATTCACAAAAAGCAATTCATTCATAAAAGCTAGACTGAAATGTTTAATTTTCTTGGGAAAGTCATCTTTTTTTAATTAAGCTCGAGTTCAGAGAAAGAAAAGGTTTCCATCAAATTTACTGAGTAATTCGACTGTATGTGTCCTGATGTTTTAACTGACAGTCTTCAGTAGTGAAGCTGCAGGGTCCTCCCAGCAGTTCATTGACTCTTAGACCTGGTTTATTCATCTGCGTCATACCTAGTATGTCGAGGCTTTGCTGTAGTTGCCCATAAAGAAGCATAAACCAGACTGTATTCAGAGCCCAGATGGTGCCTTTCTACAAAAGCAAAAGCTACAAACTGTGTCTGAGTCAGAGGCGCCAACTGTGAAACTTCAGGCTTTCTTGTAAGAACTCCATCCTCTTTCCAAAACTTTCCATTTTTGAGAAAAAGACAACTTTTATCGTAAGTTCACATGTTTTTTTTAATTTCCCAAAGGAGACTTAGAAAAGTCACAAATAGAAACTTGTCCACACGGTCTGAAAACTGGTTAGATGAAACCGTCTGCGGACAACAGAAACAAACTCTCTTCATCTTTCTCCTCTCTCTGTTTTACTTCTCAGGCACTGGAGAGAGCGGGAAGAGCACCTTCATCAAACAGATGAGGATTATTCACGGTGCCGGGTACTCTGACGAGGACAAAAGAGGTTTCACTAAACTGGTGTATCAGAACATCTTCACAGCCATGCAGTCGATGATCCGAGCCATGGAGACGCTCAAGATCCCCTACAAATATGAGCACAACAAGGTAAAGAGATCCTCTCAGCCAAACTGTGTTTGAGAAGAAGCAGATTTAAAGTTGTCGAATGTAGTGGAAGAAAAGATGCACAAAGTGACCAAACTTAGTTTATTTTTAAAGAGAGCTGTCTATCTCAGTATGTACAGCCATCCGTATCGTTTCCTGTCCTTTTTGACACTTCCTGTCTTTAAGCCCTCTCCGTCACACTGTGTGTATTTGTGTTTGCTTCACTGTTTCTGTGAATATCCAGGTGTAAATGCAAAAAAGAGAGCGCTGCCCCATGACAGTCTTTTAATTTACACCTTGTTTGCTGTAAATATCCTTAAACAGGATCATTAATTAGTCAATCAGACATTTTTGTGACTTCTACTCACAGTAGTTTGGATAAGCGTGTCAGCCTCATCATATGTACAAAGCTTTTGTTAAGACTTACTATTTCAGGTGACAGCTAACCACAGTACTGCTTCAGTTTGTCTGTGCGGGGCCACAAGCTTGACAGACTAATATCAACAACCACACGAGAGGAACCATAGGGCTTGTGCTAGTTTTTATGCAGCCTGTAGTTCAAATCATAGAGCATAAAGAAGATTATTTTATTGATGCAGTTCATAAAAAATTCACAAGTTATTTAAAAAAAAAAAAAAGGTTGCAGGTCTTCAGGCTACCCGGCCAAACAGGAGACCTCAAAAGCTGCTGGTCCAAATTCCAGCTCTACATATAGTGTGTAATATATGTAATATACCTTTACTGTTAGACCTAATGATATTCAGGTACAAAGCAGGTTAGCAGTTCAGCTAAAAGTTCATCTGTGCCGTTTGCTCCAGATTGGAGCTGTTAGCAACATTCCTCTACGCGTGCAGATCTGCACTGTGCACTCTCATCCTGACTGCACCAAATTATATCTACATATATAATGAACTGATTGGAGAAGGAAAGTCTTTACCTGTTTACCTGTAGAACTGATTCATGACAGCTGAATCTCACAATGTATATCCCACTTATTTCCTGGAGCAGGATAGCCGATGACAACTCAATCAGGTTTGACAAAAACCTTCAGTCTTGCTAAACGGTACAGCCTGTATTTGCAGGAATTGAGCCCCAGTACTGATTCAACCCCAAATTATTATAAAAACTGTAATATCAAATAAATATTAGCAGAAATTTATTTGTAGGTCATAGAGAGGTTTGTTGTCCTGGTCACTTGGAAGGTTTCTCACTGACATGTTAAAGTGCGTCAGTGCGGATAACCACCAGCTCTCAGCAGACATTAATGCATATTGTCCCATATAAATGTATGTAAATAACTCAGACACACAGGTACTTTGCTCTGCACTGCAGTCTGTGGAGCATGTAATTTTTTGTACATACTTTGTGAATTAGAGGATGTCTTTTTACGTCATTAACACAGGTTGAGCAGTCACAATAGCAATGCAATCCATAAACTATAACACTTCAAAACCTTTGAACCTGGTTTGGAGTTTAACAGGGACTTTTCCACTTTCTGCTGTAGTGGTAAAAGACCATTCTCTATGCTTGCTTCCACTTCCCTTAAGCGGAGTGAGAGTGAAACTGAATGTGCTGTTTCAGCCGAGCAGATTCACCACCTCTCAGCACGCAATGAAAACAACACGAACAAAGCATGTTCCTTACATTAGCTGTGTAGAAATAGAGCAGGTCGCACCATTTTGAATCACAGTTTGGTATTAAGTCTATCTTATGTTTGTGTGATGACATAAGTCTGCTTACGTAGGTGACTGAGTGAGGGAAACAACAAACAACATGTACAATAAAGGTTCAGTTTGTCGTTTGGTGAAATTTATCACAGCACGCCAATTACAATTTGATATGAGTGACCTTACACAATAAGAGTCTTTTACACAGTGGGGGGAATAATTTCACCATTATAATTTTACAGTGATTTGAACAACAACATGAGAATTATCACTAGTACATCATCGTTTAATGTGAAATGATTCAGAAACGGTTTCACTCCTCAGGCACATGCTGATTTTTTTTTTTTTTCATCATGGGACACAGGAGAGTTTCAAAAGGAATCTGGGGCGGTAAAACTTTCCCCTTTAATAGGCCCAGTGGGATTCAAATATTAGATCCGTGCTAAGCCTGAAGGCGTAAAGAAGTTCTAGATATGAAATATGCGAGTGAGAAAATAAACCAGTGACCTGCATGCTGATCGTGTGTAATGGTTGTAGTTTTTTTTAAGGTATTCAGAAAGTTTCAGGACGTTTTTATGAGTGAAGGTTTTGTTTTTTGTTTTTAATGTAGGACATGTGAGTGTCAGTGTGTGTAACTCCAGTTTTTCTGCTTTGTCTCTTCTTCAGGGTAACGCCAACATCGTGAGAGAGGTAGACGTAGAAAAAGTCAACTCATTTGAGAACCCTTACGTAGATGCAATCAAGAGCTTATGGAACGACCCGGGCATCCAGGAGAGTTACGACCGGAGGAGGGAATACCAGCTGTCTGACTCCACTAAATAGTGAGTACGGTGAAATGCCACACTAGAGATCCTCTCAACATGATAAGGCTAAATAAACCAAAGTACTCGTCTCCAATGTTTCTGTCTGTAGTTATCTGAATGCGCTGGATCGGATTGCACAGCCAGTTTACCTTCCCACCCAGCAGGATGTGTTGAGGGTTCGAGTCCCCACAACGGGCATCATCGAGTACCCGTTTGATCTGCAGAGTGTCATATTCAGGTGGGTGGAAACGCATTTTCAGCATCACGAATCATATCTGGGATGATATACAAAACAACTGGGGTCTTTTTCTCTCTGTGTCAGGATTCTACTTTGCATAATGACCCCTCAGTGTACATAAAAACATCAAGTTTTGATTTTGAGACGCTTTTATTCATTCAAATTCATCTTTGCAGCTAAAACTAGTCCCCAGGTTAAACCAGAGTTAGATTTTCTCTCTTAACCAGCTGTGAAACACTGCCATAGCTCATACCATGTTGCAGTTTGTGGTTGTTTTCTTCAATTTGGTTGATGTCCCTTTCTCTCAGCTTCCTTGTACGCTGTCTTTGGGTTTTCTCTTCACTGCTGTTGACTGATTGGTGATTAACTTTTTGTGCTTCCCAAATAAATCAAGAGTAATATAAAAAAAAAATATCCACCATGTTGGTTACTTGGAGTTTAAACTTTTGCCACATTGTCAACAGGAAAAGATGAAATCATAAACTGAATAAATAAACCAGACACTTGGATTAATTTGTCATAATGTACATGCTATTCAGTGTTTAACCAATCAGGATCAAGGATTTAACAAAAAGACAGGACACATGATTTAACCAGAGCTGAATTAGAGCTCTAGCTTGAATATTTGGATAAAAAAATGATTGTCTTACTCAGGTCGAGTTATGATATAATCAGCAATCATAGTCCACTGTTCTTATATGAATATTCAAATAACTAAAAGTCCATTTATTGTGAAAACCTCCCATAAAGTTTCAGTGGACGTACTTTCATTGCTGTTCTGTTACAGGATGGTGGATGTTGGAGGTCAGAGGTCGGAGAGGAGGAAGTGGATCCACTGCTTCGAGAACGTCACGTCCATCATGTTCCTGGTAGCGCTCAGCGAGTACGACCAAGTGCTGGTTGAGTCAGACAATGAGGTGAATCATCAGTACACCCAGACACAAACTACATCAAACTTTGTTACACATACATTATCTGTTTTCTCAAAAGTACATTTTCCCTCTAAAATATGTGTCGTGTTAGACCGGTTGTTTCTGAGGAAGAAGAAGAAGAGTTTAAGTCTATATTTAAATCAATGAAAATCAGATTCTCCTCCTGCCAGGATGTGTCCACCTCCTTTTCCCTTGGAAAGCATTTGTAAATGATCAGCCAGCTGTTTTGAATACCCCCTCAGGCCGTGTCTCCATTTTTAGAGGATGAGGCCTGCGTGTCCGTTTGTTAAAGTGTATTAATGAGCAGGTGTGTCCGTCTGTTTTCTTTCTGCCGCCACTGAAAACTCGTGATCAGAGCAGCTGCACGTCCTCAGTGTTCTGATGTCGTCACATTGGTTTTTAAGTTACCGTAGATGTCCTGTTCGGCGCTCTTCATGCTCTGTAGCTCATATGATGGGGTGTCTGAGGGTTGCTTTCAGTGTGGTTGTTTTGTTTAATTAAACTCTGAATGAAGTGCAAGAGGAGATATTAAAGTCTTGAAGGCAACATGGCCGCCCCTCCCTCTCATCTTTACTGCTCCCCCTCTGCTGCGGTAAAGCTTTTATTAAAATCTGTAATTAATGAGTATAAAAGACTGCAGTTTAATTAAGTGGTTAACACTCTGTCCTCTCTCTCTCTTTCTTTTTTCTCTTAATATGTCCTCCTCCCTCCATCCTTTCTCCCACCCTGTCCTCACCCACAAAATGACTGTAGAACCGGATGGAAGAGAGTAAAGCTCTGTTTAGGACAATAATCACATACCCTTGGTTCCAAAACTCCTCGGTCATTCTGTTCCTCAACAAGAAAGACCTCCTGGAGGAGAAGATCATGTACTCTCATCTGGTCGACTACTTTCCAGAGTATGATGGTAAGTAACAGCATCAGCAGCAGTAGAAACATAATAAAACTTGACCGGTTCAGACAGAAATACTTCTTTGCTTATCTCAGTACATGTCTGCTAAGGATGTCCACCAACCAAACCACTAAATTTTGTGACCCTGGATAATCAGAACAGAGTCAAGCAGGTTTAATGAAATATTAGTATATCTACAGTGGCAGGCCCAGAATCCAAGACAGATGTTGTCTTTGAGGTGTAGTACAGCCACCTGCCTCTAGCTGGAGCTAAAACAAGCACAGATGACAGATGGTGTCCTATAGCACAGCATATTTTGACCGTGTTTTGATCTAGAAATAAGAGAGGAAGTTACAGTTTATGTTGACTTTGGCTGGTTAAACCAACATTTAACTCAGCTCTACTCAATTCAACTCAAACTTTATTAATAGAGCACATTTAAAACAACCAGAGGTGACCAAAATGAAAACTAAAATACATAAACACAGTGCTATAAAATGGAATAGAATAAACAAAATTAAAATTCGTAAAAAGTGTTTGCCATAAGTCTACTTAGAACACATAGTAGAGATATGTCTTTCCAAGGCAGGCATGTTGATATCAACCTGCAAGGATGACCATAGGCTGGTGGTGATAGCTCTGCTCATGTCAGCCAGACTTCACAAACCAGTGTGTCATTGTTTACCAACAGACTTTGAAATACGATGTGTAGATGTGTTAGCTAGAGTGTGCTGAGTTTTCACTCTTCTCTTACATCTAGACTTGTTAGCCAATCAGATTTCACCTTTTTATTTAAACGACTAGGTAATTCACGACTTCAGAACATTCCTAGTCTTGGCTGTGGTTCATAAACAGTATAACTTTTAGAGACATGTCAAGTGAGACAACAGGCAATTGAATTTCCCTTCAGTGATTTATAAAGTTTTTCTTATTCCTATTCTTAATACAGGAAAATCTTAACAGCCACAGTATGATACTGTTGATTTTTGATGCTGTTTTTATTTATGAGAATACACCAGAATTTGTAATTGAAATAAAATTTAGACGTTTGTTAACGCAGCTAGGAGTATCTTAAAGTTTGCCATGCTTTCCATTTATTTCCTTCATTCCCTATTTGAAATACTGTTTGTAGTACATTTCCTATTTTAGACTACTGATTCAACTTTTGATCCAACCAAATTCAAATAATGTCCAAACCATAAAAAATATCATCCTTTGTTGGATTGCAATAGAAAGAAACCTTTACTAGGCAGGCATGTGATGAAAAAAATCTCGCTCTATTATCTGGAAGATGTCACTCATGCAGCATCATCTCCTTCCCCCGCAGGTCCTCAGAGAGATGCTCAAGCAGGGCGAGAGTTCATCCTGAAGATGTTTGTGGACCTGAATCCAGACAGCGATAAGATCATCTACTCTCACTTCACCTGTGCCACTGACACAGAGAACATCCGCTTTGTCTTTGCAGCCGTCAAAGACACGATCCTGCAGCTCAACCTGAAGGAGTACAACCTCGTGTAGAGCAGAGCAGAGCAGAGCGAGGCTGCGCACACACACTGACTGACTGACACAATCTGTGAAGAGAAAGATCACACACATTCATGACGAGAAAATCCGAAAAAAAAGTTATCTAATGGTTGCATAATATTAATTTATTTGCAATTTGTTGATCTCTTGTATGCCAAGAGGTTAGCAAAACATGTTATCTGGGAGAGGGAGTAATGAAATGTAAGGGGGTGAGGCAGATATTTGGAGGACTTTGCTGTTGAATATGCACATCAACAGTCCTCACTTTTGTGCATTAAGTTTTGCTTTGTTGTTCAGTTTTCTTTTTTTGACAAAAACGAAACTACTTTGTGCACTTACGGTAAAAGTGTTCTGATATATCAGAAATTGAATGAACGCAATCTGCTGCCCCCTCTCTGCCTTTTTATATCCAAGAAGAGAAGAAAGGTTTTCCTCCCCTTTTTTTACCCTCTCTCCTCACCTGATGATTAAAATCTGAAGCATCTCTATTTGACAGCAGGTTCCTGGAAAGCAGGCCTAAACTGTGACTTATAGATGATCTCATATTGATTTAGTAGCGATCGACTGCAATCATTGTTATTAAACGTCTGCATTAACTTCGGTACCATCGTATGAGTAGAGCATGTGCGGCCATCAAAGTATTTCCTGACATTTCGGGGTAGCTAGCCTCGGTCGTGTGTTAAGTGACGTGCACATGACTCTTCTGCAGCATCAACAGAACCATGACGCTCAGAAGTGTGAGAGAATTTGGCTTTAAAACACACTTTCTGAACTCTGAGTAACCAGGCAAGAAGGCGTGCACAGACCTCATCTCCGCCATGGAAACTCTGATGCTGCTGGTTGCTTCACACAGACTGAAGGGAGCAGAGGAGGTTATAATTTATGAGACAATGTTGTTGAATGATTATGTTCAATTGTGCCACATTAACGCTTTCTATTACGGTAACATGTGTATTTATTGCCAATGCCAAAACAACAACACAAGCACCAGGCTCCACCTCGCGCTGTTTACTTCTTTAAGAAAAGTGTTGACTGAGTTATTCCTGAAGTATTTAACAAAACAGTTTAACAGTATCTCCCTTTGACCTCTTACTCTCCAATCACAATCCAGGCGTGGCTGCAAACCCCGCCTCCTGGCCTGCAGTCACATTGTAGCTAAAACTTTCCGATCTCAGCCGGCCGTCTTGACTGTTGTAGTTCAGTAGCAGTTGGAGAATAAATCTGTCTGATAACTCCGTTTAAGGGCAAAGTGTTGACATTCAGTTTGTACCAAAGTAAGCCCTTCCTGTCTCCGATTGGCTCCGACTTTCATTCCTGACTTTTGAGTATTTTTGTAACGATACCCAAAAACACAAGCCTGTAATTTACATTTATTGAGGCATAGTGCAATTATGAATGCTCAAATCATTGTACATACATCTCTCTCTATATATATATGGCAGCATCTTTGTTGGCTTTGTAATCATTACTTTTTTGGCAGATTGAATGTGCGGTATTGAAAATATGTATCTATGTAATTGTATTGTATGTCCAATGGCTAATTCATTTTTTGGAAGAAAATATGTTATTTACATTTTTGTTTGTGTTTCTTTTTCTGAAGGGGAGGATGAACGTACAGCCGCCGAATTTTGCGTAGAAAGAAAAACAAATCAAAGTCACAGGGCTTATTCCCACTGAGCATTTTTGGGTCTAAAAGAGGTTGAAGGCTATGTTCACACTGCAGGTCAATTCCGATTTTTTAACCATATGTGACACATGTCTGATTTTTTCATGTAAGTGTGAACAGTGCAATTCAGATTTTTCCAAATCCAACCCAGGCCTCTTTTGTATGTGGATATAAATCAGATATGTATCCGATGTGACTGCAGTGTGGACGCTCAGGTCGCGTTCATCCGACCTATACGACATCAATATGCGACAAACGTCACCATTGTTCGACAACACAAACAGCAATTTGTGCTCTGTCACTTCATGGACTTATTCCGTTCACATTAGATGCCGCATTTGTTGTTGTAATGTGAACGACCGCACAAAAAGATCGGATTTAACAAAAAATCAGAATTGTGCATCATAACCTGCAGTGTGAACGTAGCTTTTTAGACATCTAAATGTAGCCTAGACGACGGATCTAAAATCAGGCTACCACAGGTCTAAAAATGAAAGTTTTTTAGACATTAAATTTAGACCAAGTCTACATCTGGGCTATACCTATACCACACTGTATATTGCTCAACGGCTATCATAATTATTTTGGTTACATACTTAGATCAGTTAGAGATCAGTTATTCTACTTACAGTTGCTTTTTGAGATAAATAGTTATCGAATAATAGGTTGAAGTGCAACGTCTTAATTCCTTTTAAAAGTATACAGAATCTAGACGGTTGAATTTCGGTCTAAAAAAAAACTAGACGTCTATTGCTCAGTGGGTTGCAACAGTTTAGATCATAAAGCGGCTTCAACAGCGCTCTTGGTATTAGGTGTTAATCACATTAATCAGACTTAAATGCTTTGATATTGGATTTTACTGCAAAATCTCTCAAAAAGTTAAATTTATGACTGTAACCATGGAAGATAGCTGGAGTAGTTCTAAAATCATCATTTATATCTCTTAAGTGAATCTCCACCCTTATTTAAACTTTGACTGTCAGACTGATGGAACTCAAAAAGGACTCGCCTCATTAAGATTACAAATGTCCCATACCAAATGAGGATTAAACATGAGAACATGGAAACTACTTTGAGGTAAAACTGAAGCTGCTGAAGTCAAATCATTACAGGTGCATCAGGAGAGCTGAAATTATCTCCTCCATGGCTTTAAATCCCTCACTGACTGGGCCTGGATTAAACTGATATGCAGAATTTGTCATCAGGGTGTCACAATCAGGACTCTAACCCTCCCCACCAAACACCTGCACAGTCTTCACTGACATGTTTTGGCATCAGGCAGCATTTTTTGGCAGGGAACCAGCTCTCACCTTGAGGTCCTGTTGTTTTGAGGTTTTTGGCCAGGGAAGTTGGTGGTCTCTAAAAAGTTAACTCTCAGACTGATTCAAAGTGTAATGGAGGTAAATGAAGACCTTACAATAACTGAAGCACTTCATGTCAGCTAAGAAAAGCTACTCAGCACAGATTTCACAGAGAGATTTTGTCTGCTGCTCTCTCCAAATTTGGTTTAGAGTTTCAGCTTGTCAGTGTTGATGATCAGTTTTAGTGGTGACTCGTCGTTGGGGACCTCAAATATCATGCGCAGACATCAGTACAATGTGATGTAAAGTAGATTGGGGGTTGGGGTTATGTGCAGGAAGAAGCACTGATGAAGTCTCTGACATCTAAATCCTACAAAGCTTTTGTGACTGAATTTTAAATTGTGCCAAGAAAAGAAACTGGTCAGTGACACTCAAGTTAACTTTGTAACTTTAGTTATCCTGTGACGTTACTGTTAACCTTCCTCCTGTGTTAGCTTTTACTACGCACCCACCATGTTTAGGGTCAGTTAAGACCCGTGTCTTAAATCAGCTGTAAATTACACTAAAACATTTCTCTATCATCCAATGTGGTTCTCATCTCTAGGTTACCTTATTAGGCTTCATTATCCATGAAAATATTGCTTATAAAAGTTTTTGTAGTGGGCCTCTGGGCCTTTTTTTGTCAGTATACCACTCACACAGACATCTATACTGAACTGATCTCACATGTCTGGACATGCCTGAAGCTGTTTTTCAAGTTTTTCCTCGCCACTGTTACTCATGTTAGATGAGATGGGCCAAATCCCATCTTAGGTTGGGTCTTGATAATTCATCAAACAATGAGCGTGATCTAGACCTGCTCTTGTTCTTTGAAAAGCGTCTTGGGATGATGACTGTTGTGAATTGGCGCTATAAAAATAAAATTTGATTGATTGATTGATTGATTGATGCAGGGAAAAAATTTCCTTAATCTCACATGATTAGAAGAGGATCTGACTGTCAGTGTGGTGACTGACAGTGCACATATGATTTCAGTTTTTGCTCTGATTATTAGATATTGATCTAAGCGGGTCAACAGTGACCCTAACACAACAAGTGCCATAATTCTAATAGGAGCATTTTATAATTTAGTCAATTTAATTAATTTATTTTGTTGATACAGAGGTTTCTGACAAAGTCAAAAAGTCTCGATCTAAAAAAGCTAATCTAAGTGGTTCTTTTAAGCATTTGAAACAGACCCTGACACAGGAGGAGGGTTAAGTCTTTGTTTATTAATCATATTTACGTTCACCTCTTTGATGATCTTTGACCTCCTACATGATTTGATATGTTGGGGATAGATGTGAATCCAGGGTGTGATTATAACCTCACTCTGTCACTTCCTATTGGCCTTCACGTCCTCTAGTGGTCGTTTGCAGACATGACAGTGAATTGGAGGAAACTTTTCCCCTTCCCTCGTCAGGATCATCACCTGGTATTTTGATCTTTTTGTCACACACTCGTGCTGAATAAAGAAAACTGCGCGTAATAATGTCAGCTTGTAAGACATGTCAGTTTATTGGCTTTATTCTCTTCTTTTTTCCCAATAAGAGCGGACTCCTTATCACACCTCATTTTACAAATGTCATGGATCACACACCTCTGCAGGTTGAAGGCAGCCCTGCGTGTGTGTGCGTGCTGTGGATGTCAACTTCCCATTTTATTCTCATCTATTTGCAGCTCGTGCCACGCCCTCCACAGTCCGCGGAATAAAGTTCAACAAGTGTCCTCCTGCCTGAGACCAACCGCAGCACCCTATCAGAGACGGACAGAGTCGATACTAAGACAACAAATAATACTAATAATTTTCTATTAGACCTGGGCAAAAAGGCAAGAAGATGTCGGGTGTCTTTTGTATCTGACTTTGTGGAGAGAGACAGGTTTCAGCGCTTTAACTTCAGCAGCAGAGGGGCTTACAGAGGAGTACAGAGGCCGTCAGGGTGAATGATGGCTGGATGTTGTGTTTCTGCGGAGGAGCGAGAGAACCAGAGGATCAGTGAGGAGATCGAGAAGCAGCTGCGGAAAGACAAGAAGGATTCACGCAGGGAGCTGAAGCTGCTGCTGTTAGGTGAGCACCCCTGAGCTTACACAGGTTTGTGAGGTTCGATGGATGAGTTTGCGCATTAGTTGTAGTTCAAGTTCATGAATTGTGTTACGAAGTTTCATATCTGCTCTCTACACTTCCTTTCTCCTCACTCCTCTCTGCTGTCCGGATGTGGTGCAGAGCGAGCTGGCACATCCAGCACATCCTGGATGTTAGCTGTACGCTCCTCTTGGTTTTACGCACCAGGGAGAGACTGATGTGAAACCTCCTGGATTCAGTTTTCTAGTGGGCTCACCCAATATCAAAGAGACTCAAAACTACCTACAGTTAATTTACAGGAAGTACAGATCATGATTATCTTATGCAATGGAATAAAAGTATGATTGTATGTAAACTGAGACTGGCGTTCAAATATGGGCTAAATGTGCGTTTGGAGATGAGTTTTGTCCCACGGTGGAGTGGAGTTACTATAAGAGTGTCTAATCGACCTTCATTGGCTTTAAACTCCAAATTTATGTCAGATTATGTGAGCACAGTTAGGGGTAAACAGATGTCAAAAGGGGTCATGATCAAACTGTCATGAGCCAGGGTTCAACAAAAGAAAAGGACCCAGAACAAGAACTTAATTAAAAAGAACTAAATAAAAAGCAACAAAAACTTAATTTAAAATGTGCAACAAAGAAATCCAAAAGGAACAACTGGGGACACAAGCATACACGCGCACACACATCAACATACAATGAACCAACCAGGAAAGGGACTATATACACACACACTGGGAAACGAGCAACAGGTGAGGCAGACGAGACACAGGTGAAACTCATGAGTGATTAACAAAAGGAAGGAAAACTAGAGAAGAAACACAAGGAATCAACTACTACAAAATAAAATGGGAAACACTGAGAACTGATGTAAAGAATAAAACAGAGAACATGAGGGAAACAGGGTCAGACACAAACTGAAAACTCACAAGACTGGATCACAGAAACACCAGGAAAAACCCAAAGAAAATACACTCTAATAACAAAACTAAATCAACTGAACATATTGTGACACAAACTTTACAACAGAGAGTCTTAAAGTGTTTTAGTCTTTCTCTTGTTACTGTAAGAGAGTTGACTTGGTCTTCTCTGATCTGTCTGAATACGGCCTGGAGACTTGTATTATCAACATTATATTTGTTTACTTGCTTTTGGTTCACTTGACACATTTGGTAAAGGTGTGGGAAAAGTGTTCCCACATACTTTCCACAGAGCACCCATGACCTTTTGGAGGATAAACATGGAGTAACTGGACGAGCACTTCAGGTACAGGAGTCAGTGTTGGGCCTCGGCCTGCGGTGTGTTAGAAAGCCAGAACTAGCTGCTGCGGGCGCACCTCATGCAAACATCATGCAAATGCCCTGTATGCAGGATGTGAGCCGTTCCTCTGCATCTGCTGCTCTCTTGGAAAGATCTGAGTAGTGAGTCTCTGCCGAAACCTGTACAACAAATCAGCATTTAATTTGCTCAACAAGTCTTCCCAAGTGTTACCCTCGATCGACAATCTTCAATATTTCTCAAAACAGTTTCAGACTCACTTCTTGACCTGGTCAGAGTGTCTCAGAGCTCTCTGTGGGTTTCATTAGGACAGAAACTCAAAGCCAGGTCTCTAGAGAAAATGAGTAGGAAGAAGGAGACAAGGAGATCAACATGTTGATCATACTTGGGTTTAAGTAATGTTTGTTTAGCTTAGTTGATGTTGGACAGCGAGAGAGTTCTAAAGTTAAATGTTCTTCAGCTCACAGGCCTTTGAGATAACTTTGGACATGGATTAAAACGGCTTTTTGTGGTTTTCATTTATGCCAGAGATTTCCCGTCACCTGCTGGATTAGTGTCAGGTATCAGCTGATTGTCGTTTTTATCTCCTCATATTCACTCCATGTTAACATTTCACCATGTCACATCACAGCATTCCCTAAACCAGGAAGTGTGTGTAAGGTTGTAATGTGGTCGGACCTGCATGTGTGTGAGAGTGTGTCATGTCGACTGACTGACTGACTGTGTTTTCACTTGTGTGTGTGTGTGTGTGTGTGTGTGTGTGTGTGTATGAGTGTGTGTGTGTGTGTGTGTGTGTGTGTGTGTGTGTGTGTGTGTATGAGTGTGTGTGTGTGATATCAGAAAATCTTTATTGACAAGTGACCATTTTTCGAAGTCTTCTTCTGGTCTTGTTTTAAATAAATGGCTCCCCCTGTTTACTTTGGAGATCCCACTTGGATCAATCAATTCATCAATCTTTATTTATATAGCGCCAATCCACACAAGAGTTATCCCAATGCACTAATCAAAAACTCACTAAACTCACAAAGACTTACTCTCATCCCATCTTCAACCACATGAGTGAAGCACTTAACAGCATCTATCAAGTTACAGTGGAGAGGAAAAACTCCCATTAACAGGCAGAAACCTCGGGCAGAACCAGACTGATGTTGGACAGTCGTCTGCTGAGACTACGTTGTGTCTAGAATACATCCAAGGAAAGTTAAACCCCCCACATAAAACATGATGCATTACTGCTGAAATAAACTTCAATTTTAATTTTTGAACCAAAAAAATTGAGGACAAAAATGTTTCTACAGAGAGTTTAGTAAAATATTCGCAAAGTGGGTTGTGATGATTTTAATTGATTATGTGCAAACGTAATACAAACAACAATATTCAATTAAATAACTATTAACAATAAAAATGATAATAACATGCTGCTTCATGCTCATTGGGATATAGATACAAACCACCAAAATGCAGCATTAATATCAATCATACCACCCCTTCACTATACATTTTCCTGCTTATCACCTGGCAACAAAAAGACAAAAACATGTTGAAGAAGAAGACTGATGTAAAGATGATTTTATAAATTTAAAAAGGATTTATGTAAATTAAAGTTACAGTTTTATGTCAAAGTTGTCGTACTTTGTGTGAAATAGATGGAATTCCCATCTATATATCTTTATCATTTGAATAATATATAATCAACAGGCCATGACGTTATGATTCGTAAATGTATCTTGTAAAAGCTGAAGAGACACTTTGAGAGAGAAAGGAATAAAGAAATTTACCTACAGAATATTTGATACTGGCGAGTGTGTTTGACTGAAAGAGTTAAGCCAGTTTGATAACCAGTGACAGCTTTGGTGAGAGTCTGTAAATAGCAAACTACTCCTCACTGATAATTTTCTATATAACTTGAAAATGAACACTTTCATTCAAATAGTACTGAAATAAAAATAAAAGTATAGTTCAAGCCATTAAAGATTACATCCTATATTTGTTTGTCATCATATCATCTGGACATGTGGCAACAACAATAACACATGTTGTCCTTTCATGATCAAAATAAACATGACAGTAAAACTTAACAAACAGTGATAAGAGAGTGAGGCCTCAGAGCTCATTTAAGACGGACTCTGTCAGGATGATTTGCCTCCATCTCAGTTTTCCTTCCTCTCCTCATCTCTAAGAAACTTGACTTGTAAACAAGGTACATTCAAATGCGAAGGATTTGTCTAAGCCTTGTTTGTGAAGATGTAAAGATTTAAGTATTCATGGTGCCATGCAAAGCAGCCAGGAAAATAGAGAAGAGCCGCGGTGTTGCATGAGGGCTCCTCGCAGTGCTGAGAAACAGGGACACACACGAGTGTACAATCACACACAAACAGACACACATGCGTAGGCTAACCTCACCCTGCGCATATGACAAGAGTCTTAACACACTAACGCAGCAACTTTCAATATTCAGGTCTGTTGAGAAGCACGAATTTGTTAAACAAATGATTCAGCATCATGTGGTCTGAAGGAGTAAATCAGGAGCTTGAGCCGTATGAGACGAAGCAGAACGTGATGGAGACTGTGAAAGAGAGGGACTGTGTGAGTTAACTGGGTAAAAAAATCAGCAAAAATACAGACTGGTCCTTTAATCGGGGGGTACAGGTTGGATTAATTGCTTTTTTAAAATAAGATTATAGTTTTTTTCAACCCATAACGAACACGCTGATGCCTGTATGTGCCGATAACAATGTTTGACCTCAACAGAGAAAGTTTAATGTTCAGTATACTGCTCATAAACACAGTACACAACAGTTCTTCACAACAGTATTTATACTTCTGTGAAATTATGCTGTGTTCCATATGCAAATATTATTTGAATGTTAATTTTAGTTTATAATAAGATCTCTGCTCACTGGGTACTCTTATTACCTGGTTTTCACGAGTGGATTTGGCCCTCACTGTTTCCATAAGGTACTGGAGAGAGTGGGAAAAGCACCTTCATCAAACAGATGAGGATCATCCACGGTGGAGGATACACAGATGAGGACAAGAGGAGCTACGCTAAACTGGTCTACCAGAACATCTTCACATCTATGCAGTCCATGGTCCGAGCCATGGAGATGCTTAACATAGCCTTCACTGACGCCGGCAACCAGGTACACACTGAAGCACACTGAGTCTACGCACAGCTTCACTTGAATCTCACATGTGTGAAGCTCAGTTTTAATTTTGGAAATTTAGGAAACTATAAAAAGATGCAGGATACAAGAGAGATATTTGAGACGTTAAAAGTTGCTGTTTCAGAGAAGAAAATGACCTAAATAAAGCTGTTGGACAGAGGCAAAAGTTATGCGTGATATCTAAAATACTTCAGTTTTTCTGCTTGTGCGTCCATAGAGCCATGCAAACTCTATCCTGGAGGTGGAGGTGGATAAGGTGGAGGACATGGATCCCAACCTGACGGCAGCAGTGAGGAGTCTGTGGGACGATCCAGGAATACAGGAGTGCTACGACCGGCGCAGAGAGTACCAGCTGTCTGACTCCACCAAATAGTACGTCTCTGACACAACAACTTCTCAGCTGTTATAGTGTTTGAGTTGACCAAGATTTATCCTGTTACAAATCCTCTCTGAAGTTGTCTCTCTTTTCTCTCTTGTCATGGAATTAGAAAATTGCACAGAGGGTGTGGATGTAGAAAAGATGGAGCAGTTCTCCTGGCTCATAGTTGTCATGTTCAACTGAGTGCACATGGTATAAAAAGCAATTTCCTTTTTCCTTGTCTTCAGCTATCTCACAGACCTGGACCGGATCGCACAGCCCTCTTACTTACCTGACCTGCAGGACATCCTTAGAGTCCGAGTGCCGACCACAGGGATCATTGAATACCCCTTTGACATGGAGAACGTCATCTTCAGGTGAGGTGTCAGTAAATTCATGCATGCTATTTGAAATGTATCACAGATGACCCCCTCTGATGGTGCTGTGATTGACAGGATGGTGGATGTGGGGGGTCAAAGGTCAGAGAGGAGAAAGTGGATCCATTGCTTCGAGAACGTCACCTCCATCATCTTCCTGGTGGCTCTCAGCGAGTACGACCAGGTCCTCGCAGAGTGCGACAATGAGGTGAGGGCTCGGCTCATCAGCAGACCAGGATCCAGACTGAGAGAAGTCAAACGTGATCACTGTCGCCTTTTTCTGTGCTGTGTTTCCAGAACCGTATGGAGGAGAGCAAAGCTCTGTTTAAAACCATCATCACCTATCCCTGGTTCCAGCGCTCCTCTGTTATACTCTTCCTCAACAAGACCGACATCCTCAAAGAGAAGATCCTGTACTCTCATTTATCCACATACTTCCCAGAATTCTCAGGTACGGACTGCAAGATATTAAGTGAAATATGATCTAAAATATACAAAAGGGAAATCAATACAGAAATTTAATGACAGTGGTTCAGATTGAAGGAAACTGTGGATACAGCATATTACTAAATCTCCTCCCAAATGTCCTCACAGTGCCTTTAAAGTAGGGCGACCATATATGAATCCCCAGAAAGAGGACAGGACTATGCGTGTGTGGAGTCACGGAGTCGCACAAAGTTAATTTTGAGAGCTTTTGGGTCGTAACAAGTGTCTTTTATGCACTTCTTACTGAGTAAGTCCATGTGACCCAAACTTGAAACTTCCACACAAAACCCTGAACATTTGAAGGATTTTATCACCCTATTGAAAGGCTCATATTATATAGGGTGACCATATGTCCTTTTTTACCCGGACATGTCCGCTTTTTTGGGGGCTGTCCGGCTTTGTGCTGGGAAGTTTATAAAATCCTTCAAATGTCCACAGTTTTGTACGCAAGTTTCAATTTTGAGGCCTGTAAAAAACACTCGTTACGACCCGAAATACTCTCGAAATTAACCTCATGCCACTCCATGACTCCGTCCCTGCATAGTCTTGTCCTCTTTTTGGGAAGTCAGAATATGGCCACCCTAGTATTATATTACAATAAGATTTTTTTAAAAGTCAAAACTGAATAAGGAGTTTCTTTTGTTTGTACACTGAGTGATTTCTCTATAACTCTGTTGGAATCTTGTAAATCTACCCAAAAAGGAATCTCTGTGTCCTTCTCAACAATGGGATGGAGCACCAAAGGTTAAAAAACAACAGCCAGGTCAGCAGTCTTGGGTCAATGAGGAGGTGATTTTATTAATCATGTAAAATGTGAGTGAAATCAGCAAAAGCAACTAAACAAAAGGTCTAACCACGGAAGTAAACTGTTACCAGCCCCACACACACCTGGAAATGGGTTACTCTTTTTAAAACACACTCAGGAGCGCCACACTGACCACTCAAGCACAGGTGAACTCACTTGACGTAATCAGGGTGCTGTGGGGAGAGTGGGTCTGGTGGAAAACAGTCAAAAACATGTTAAAAAACAGAATTCAAAGAGACTGTTGTTAGTTTTGCATTAAAATAATGCAGCATAAACCCCACTTTATTTAGCAACATGGTCACTGTTTATTGCACTTCATAGACAATGCTATAAGTTGTTATGATAGGGCCACAAACAAACAGAAAAATAAGTCCTCTAACAGGTCCTTGTCTATTTGTAATTCCCGCCTTTTGTCTCCATCATGCAGAGCTTTATTTGTCACAAAGATGTTAAAATATCAACCTTTAATTTCAGGACCTCAGCAGGATCCAACAGCAGCTCAAGAGTTCATCCTGAAAATGTACCAAGAACAAAACCCTGACAAGGACAAGACGCTCTACCCTCACTTCACCTGCGCCACCGACACAGAGAACATCCGTTTTGTCTTCGTGGCCGTCAAAGACACCATCCTGAGGCACAACCTGAAGGAGTTCAACCTGGTGTAGATAAGAGACGGAGGAAACGGAGGGCAAAAACAGAACAATTAGATTTGATTTAGTCCCTCCTTGTTACCTTATCACTGAAAAGATTCTGACTATTTACTGCAGATCTTCATGACACAGGAAAGTTGGTGTTGAATTGTTGTGATGTAAAGTTTGTTTCGTTTTGTTTCATAGTTTTTGTCCGAGTCTGAGCGGCATTTTCACTCAACTTGAAAAGAGCAGATTATATACTTCTTAAATACAGATATCATGAATTGGATACTGGCCCTTTGGTTTAATATTCAGGCATCTGATCATGAGTTGCTTTTAAGTTTTATTCTTTTAATGTTATAAAACACTTTCCTCTCTCACTGTGCCGTTAGTGCCTTATTTACTCAGGACAGTTACAGCCACTGATTCATGACGTTATTTTAGATGTAAATAGTTCAACTTGTGCTTTTTGAACCAAACCTGACTGTCTGTGAGAAGAAACTGAAATGATATTTATTAACATTTTAAATAAACAGATGTAGTGACTGAACGAGGAGGAGTGCTGTTCATGTGTTCACAGATGTTCGGGGGAATAAAAGGAAGAGAGAGCGGTTAAATTTCAAACACATATTTTATTAAACTGTTTTGAAAACAGGAGAAAAAAAACATGAATCCACAGCAGTGGAACATCTTTTTTTCCCTAAAAGCTGAAATGACAAACATGACAACAGTGACATTTAGTGGTGTTAAGCTGCGATGCAGACCAAACCAAAGCAAACCTTTAAAATGTTCTTCGTTGTAAACAGCAGCTGATAATTATTAGCATTTTTCTCATCTAAATATACTTTTCTCTGCATAACTCTTCAATACAGTTGGCATTGCATAAATGTGGTATAAAAACATAAAAATCACAAAATTATAATCTGTAATGCCATCATACAGACTATTGTGAGGATAGATATATACAGATAGCACACTTTATTAGATCAATATACAGCAGACTGATAATAAGTATGGTATAAAAATAGCATGCGTCTCTAAATCACACACTGAACAGTCGTCATCTTGCAGAAATGTATAAAAAAGAAGAAAAACAGAGTTAAGAGAGAGTAAAAGAAAACAGACATTTGAAATCACATGCGTTACAAAGCTGTACCCAAATATTTGAATAAGTCTCCCTTTTATATAGTCCAGTAAAATATACAGCTGTGTTAAATGTGCTACAGCAATTATGCTCCATTTGGCCTCGGTGTAATGTACAGTCTGATGCTTCTTCATCATGTTTAAGTGCGTATGTATGGCAAACAGAACTATGGCAGTCTAAAAGCAGAGGAACTCCTCATCCTCAGTTCAAGCAGATCAGTGACCGGATGTTTTCAAAGTCGAGACTTTGCATCGAATTTAATAAAATAAAACTCTAAAAATCAATGACAAGTTGAAGGTGTGCAAACAGAGTGATATGAAGTTTGGTTCTCTGTGTTGAATTAACCGAAATCACTTTTTTTTTTGGCATGCACATACACACTACTCACTCACTCACTCCCTTTCCTTTGAACACACACTTGAAGTCCACATACAGCTTTGTTTGTGTGTTTTTAGGTAAACAACAGTAGCATGCAGTATCGAACAAAGGCACTGACACGCTCACAGGATTTGTGCGTGAGTTTTCTTTTCTTTTCTCTCTTTTTTTTTTTTAATTTCTGAGCATTTATTTCCGATCCTTTGTTGGTCAGTATTTCGGTAAACTCTCTCTCGCATCCTCCAGTTTGGCAAGAACCCACTGAAAATGAACAAGATCCAGAGTCAGAGGGGATCGTATTACACTGACACAGACTGTATAAGTGCAAACGTCATTTTACCTTGGCAATCTCAGGAGTTTTGAAGTTGATGATCTTCCCAAATTCCTTGGCATGGAAGACAGACTTGACTCTCTCCTACAGGACACACAAATAGTGCTTAGTGTCACCTTTATATAGGACATGTTTTTTTTCTGAAGCTCTACTAAGGGAACAAAGTAGGGTCCGACTGATTTATCTGCCAATTTTAGCCCATTTAAGACTAATCGGTAATCGGCCAAAACTCGCTGATTTTCGCCGATATTTTCAGAAATAAAATGCGGAGAATAAGATTCGGTTTTACTTCGAAAATTAGTTGAAAATACTTTTATTGTCCGAGTTTGATCAGTCTGTCTTCCTGTTGGCGTGAAGAGCAGTAGCCAACAGTATATTTATATTTTTTATAACTTTATAAAAAATTTAAAAAATCGTCCGATTAATCAGTAATTGGATTTTTGTTTCCCCCTAATAATCGGTATCGGCATCAGTCTGGCCCTAGAATAAAGGTAGCTGAATTTGGGCTTTACAAGTTGATTTTGGTACCTTGGCCTCGATCCGAAGTCGGCGGTTCTCCACGATCATCGGCTCCTTGGTGAACTCTTCAAACAGATACTGCCACTCACAGGTCAGCTGACCAAATGTGCCTTTAGTCACAAAAAATATTCCCCTGGAGAAGAAAAATAGACAAGATTATTCATAAAATCCCCAATCGGATTCCGCCGGGTCCTTCAAAGAAGTAACTCTCTTGACAGGTACTGAGGTTATTCAAACATGTTCGGAAAAACACCAAAAACATGTCTGAGGCAATCAAGCTGCTCAAGATCAAACTGGCCAGAAAGTTAAAGCCCCTCTGAGGAACTTTCTGTCTGTGTTGACTTTGGCGCCCCCTGTGGATAAAGTGATAACTCATATTGTTGATGACAGAAAGACTCCTGTACAAATTTATGACTGTGATTATTTTGCAGGAGGTAGAGTAACTAACACTGTTTCTACAGAGTACCTTTCCCCTCAAAGAAGGTACAAGCGTTAATAAATTACATTAAAGTCATAGCCAAGCTTGTTATTAGTGGTTTCACATGCTTTGGTACATCATAGAGACACATCACTCTTTCATACCCCTTAAAAAACTTCTCTCAGGAGTTTTAAAATAATTGATAACACAATCTAACAAAAAAAGGAGAAGTTCAGAATCATACACTCACCTCTTTGTGATCATGAGGAAGTCAGAGTCGTTGACTTTGGCGTGAGCGAAATATCTATACTTGGCAAAACGCCCATTCTCAATTTTCTGAGGAAACAGAGAAAAAAGTGAAAAAAACTGCACGATTCAGAGAAACTGAAATGTTCACTTGGAATAAGCAATTTACATATTTTTTAAAACTATCATGAAGCAACCATAATCCTCTGCAAAAAGTGTCAAACTCAACGGTGATGAAACTGAACGTTTTGGGGTGAAAAGGGGAGAAATGATGAAACACAGACAGCTGCGGGTATGAGTTTGAAATGAGAATATTTTATTGAGAATGAGATAAGGTGAAAGACAGAACGGAAAAAACAAAGATTGACAAAGAAACAAACTCAGAATGATGAGGATTCATCTAAAAACAAGTCATCTACAAGCTTCCTTTGAGAGGTTACCATGAAATGATGAAAGGAGAGGGTTAAAAGGTGATGACGAGATAAAATCAATCAACAAAGACACGTCAGGTTTATGAAGTACTAACACACGACAATATATTTCTCAAACTTCCTTCTTTGTTTTTTTTTTTAATTTCCTTAAAGTGAACAAACTATCTGACAAGCAGACGGCAGGCAGAAACAGTCGAGCACAGACTACAAAGCACAAAAACTGCTCTACATCTGTCTACTAGTTTTTAGCTGTCCTCCTCATCACCCTCATCATCTGAGTCACATCTGTACACCAGCCTCCACTGTGGACATGAGAGAAGAGTCAGAGTCAGAGGCTTTCTGTTTGAGATCAATCTGACGTTTGAGTTTGTTGACATTTACTGATACACAGTTCTCTAAATATAGCATCTATTATGGAAGTAAATCTGTGCATCTGATTTTGAATTTGAATTTCCAAAGCTGATTTTTTTTTGTATCGAATTTAGACTTTGAATTTCAAAACCATCAAATTTCAAGCACGAGTTTTTATTTCAGACTAGTTTTTTTCACAATGATGGAATAATTTTGTGTAAAAAATAAATTGGTCTCTCAAAATATTTGTTTAGTGAAAATTCGACTCAAAAAAACTGTGAAATAAAATTACAACATAAAAAAAAATTAAATGTCAAATAATTCAGTGTAAAATAGAACGACTCAACATCTGGGTAACCAGGGAGAAGCAATTGATTGGATTCAATCTTCCTCTGGGGTCTGTGACCAATCTAACATTAATTAATTAATTGGCTGGATGATGGATGATTGAGACAGGAATCGATTGCTTTTCCCTGATTACCAGGATTTTGAGTCTGTCTCTTTTTCACTGAATTTTTTGACACTGAATTTTTCTATGCTAAAATTTTTTACAGTTTGTTTAAGTCAATTTTTTACTTAACAAATATTTTTGAGAGACCTTTTTTTTTTTTTTTACACTGAATTTATTTCATCAATGTGAAAAAAATGAATGTCACAAATAAAAATGCATGCTTGAAATTCAATGGTTTTGAAATTCAAAGTCTGATTTTGATGCAAAAAAAAAAAAAAATTTAATTCAAAACTCAAAAAACGAAATTAAAATTCAAAATCAGATGGCACAGATTTACTTCCATACATCTACTACACTTTGTACAGGCAAGCCAATAGAGTAAGACTGAGCCTGTCCACCTGAGTTTTCTATATGAAGTATAAAGTCAATAAAATATGAAAACAAATGTTAATCTAGTCAGCTAAAACAGACACATGAATGACTAACACAAGGGGTGCTGTCTAGGAGAGTAGCTCCGAGTGTATACATCCTCATTTACTAAGTCTAACACAACTTCTACACAAACCTAGTCTAGAGCTCAGACTGGGGATACAGATGGTGACACATTAAAGCAATAACCTGAATAAAATGAGGGGAATGCAGCTGCTTCAGTAATAAGACATGAAAGAGTTCTCATTAGAAATCTCTCTTAGTCCAAAAGAAGTCAGAGAATTGCTCCTCAGGTCCTCCATCTGACTAAAACGCTTTAACATGTCACCTGTCTGTCAGGAAAATCCTAGACTTGGCATCTATTTTATAAGCCAGATAGTGCAGCTCTGACCTGTAACTCAAAAGCACAAACTTCAACCCACTCCATCAAGCTCGACAGCTAAAATGAATCCAGCAGAAAAAAAAGGATCCGCGGTTTAAAACTTGTAACTTCAACACCGACATTTCAAGCAACACTTAATTCTAGAAATATGAGAACAATGACTGATTTAGACAGGCTGAAACAACTGCTGATAAAAGCAAATAAGGTTTAAATATGACAGGATGGAAAGGACAGTGAAATAAAAAATGGAAATCTGTGGAAAACACGGACAAAATGACAGAACGACACAAATGACTTAAATCACAAAAACGGAAGGAAAGTATTAAATCACAAAAAATCTGGCTGTCAAATTGAGTTTTCCTCCCATCTCAGTAAAATAAACGTATCAATGAGTTAATGTTAAAAACAGTTAGGTCATACCTGGAGCATCTGGCTGCCGATGCCCTCCCTCTCCTTATATGGGCGTATGACACCATCCTCATGGATGAAGCGAGGAGGACGCAGAGATTCAACATCTTGCGACGTCTCTGCCGCCCTAAAAGCCAGACGAGGAAATTTGAGACACACCTCGAGAGTAAACATATGACTGCATCCACACACAAACAGTGGTGTGGCATAATGCACAAAAAAATACACACAGAGTGACACACAAACTCAAGCAGTGCAAATGGAGAGTCTCAAACCAACAAATAACCAAACACGATCTTACCTCTTGATCCCTTGGAAAGTACTACTGGCCATGTCGATAATGCCTCCTGTCGGTCTGGCGACAGCACCAACCAAACCTTTCCCTACGCCCTTAAAGAAGCCGGCCGCTCCCTCCTTCTGAGCTCCTGCAAACCATAATAAACAACCTTAAACAACACCAAGCCTCCTAAAGGTAGAACATGTTATCACTTCAGTGTAAATGAGATACCTTTGATGGGTTTGGTGACAATCCCTGTGATCCCACTGACAAAACCCTGAAAAGGAAACACAAGTCAGTTGACTGATAGCAGCAGTTTGTTAATATAGAAGAATCAGCAGTGGCAGACTTCTCTTAGGGTCAAATTTATCCTTCTTAAAACTATCATTTAATCATTTAAAGGTTATCTAGAAGAGATTGAATCCAGGTCTGATCTGTGAACATTTTAAGTTCCTTTTCTTGGTGATCGGTGACTAAAGTTTGGGTACATACAGACACTAATCCCTTTCCACCCCTGGTCAGTCCTTCTCTCAGGCCGCTGGGCTGCTTGTTCATGGTTTCTCGTCTTTTCTGCTGGTACTCCTCGTCCATCGTTATGGCGGCGACACCCTTTGCCATAGCACCTGTGATCCTGGAGGCAGCACCTGCTATTCCACCTGGAGAGCAGAAATCAACTTCTGTCAAAGCAGCCTTTAAAATGTGTTTCATTTATGGGAACAAACTTTTGATATTCCTTTTTTAAATGCTGATTATATAGTAAGATAAAACAATAACAGTACATATAATACATTTAATTTAAAGTTAAATTATTGTGTTTAACATTTAAGTGGTTTTGATTCACACAAGACTGGAGGACCTTCTGAAAAAGACCAACATCTAACCTAAAACCAACATTTTCATGTATTTATGTACCGCAGAGGTCTTGGCTCAATTCAATTTTGATATGAGGAGATGCTTACCGACAGCACCTCCAACCAGAGCCTTCACCCCCAAAGCCATCCCCTCAACAAACTCTTCTGGTCCCTGAATGGCTCCCTGAAAACCACAGATCACAGTTAAAGAAGAAGAGGACATTCTGTTGAGGGTTAATCAGCTTTAGAAAATCTCTCAAATCTATCAAAATATATCAATTTTATAAATGTTTAAGGCCCTTGCTCTCCTGTTTTATCACATACCTGATAAGGCTCGTAGAAAAAGGCTTCCACTCCCTCTGACAGTCCTCTGATCAGTCCAAAAGGATTCCCGAGTACATCCAGACCCAGAACCAGAACATACATCTGTTTGATCGCCTAAAACGCAGAGACGAAGAGCAGAAACTTTAAATCTGACTTCCTGACAGCTTCTACTCGCTTTAGTTCACAGTTATCTTGCGTGTGGGTTACCTGCTTGGAATAATGTCTGATGACTTCCCATTGGAGCTGCTGGGTGGTACAAAACTGGAAGGTCAACTCGAAGAAGGCCAGCCTGAAACAAGAGAAGAGTTAGACGAGCGCTGCTGAGTTCGGTTAGTGTCGACTATCTGAGGGCGTGCACGTGAGCGTACTTGAACACGACATCCTGCACATCGGTGAGTGTGGCGCCGATGCTCTTCAACAGCAGGTTTAGGGACTGGACCGGAATGATTTCTTTGTCTCTCTTCTCCTTCAGGCCATCTTCTCCTCCCGTACTCAGAGAGAAGCTGAGGTGGAGCTGCAAACAAATGAAGACGACAGAGTTAAGCCGTTTTAAGCCTGGTTTTCATCATCTACACACAGAGTAGAGTCTGAATACTGTACAAACCTTGATGGGAGAAATGTGGAAATATTCATAGAGGCTGATGGGGGAAGTGTCTGCAGCGGAGACGTTGTCTAACTCCGTCCTGATGTACTCTATGTCCTTCTCAAACAGTTCCACCTTGAGGAATAACAAACACGCAAACATGTGCCGGGTTAGAGTGCGTCTCAAATTCAGAAATATCACATCTATGCGTCAATCTTTTTACATGACCATCTGACCTCCTGCTCTGAGCTAGTGATGCTGGCATCTTCAGGAGTGAACAGATCCAGGATGGCATAGAGGAACCCAAGATCCAGCTTCAGATCCATCTCCTGAATCAGCACCTTAAAGTACCTGAAGAAGACAAATATTTAGATCAGCTGTTCAGAGCAGCAACGATTGGTCAACAACAAGTGAGGAAAGAGTCAAATAGAGAAACACTAACTTGATGCGAGAGATATCCGAGTGCCCTGCGGTCCTCGTTACGATGCTGATGTCAGTTAAAGGTTTGGGCTCTGTCGGAGAAATCAAATAGAAATCAATTTAATTTTGCATGAAGAGAATGAATGAAGGTAGATTAGAAATAACATACTGTACAAACAGGATAACAGACCTGAGTCCATGGCGATAGACTTTGGCAGTTTTACAGGATAAAAGACGTAAGGGAAGATCGCTCCTGGCAGCTGATTCTGGATCTGTGGAGAGGAAGGATTGTACACTCTGAGTTATAAAGAAAGAGTGAAAAGATTTAAGGAAAGGAAGGACATGAGATCTAAGAAGACATTTATATGACTTTCATTATAGATAAGAAAAAGGTATAAACTAGATTTCAGAGGAGGTAAAGATTTACTTTTACATCTGAAGAAAAGATGCACTTTTTTTTGTTTTTTCATTTACCTGGATTCGGTGGATTTGGACACGATAGGAACTCTGTCGAGGTGAGACGCTGTACTCCACCTTCACCCCTGGCAGGAAATGCCTCCTGAGGGGAGCCTCGCACGGCTCCAACATCTGCATATCCACGCCGTTGGGAGAAAAGATCACCTGGAGAACAACCACAAACACCACAGAAGTAAAGAACTCAGGCCCACAGCTCATCTCTTAATGAACTTTGACAATGTAATTCTGAAAGGAGCTGAGCTGACAGTGTTAAGTGTCTGACCTTGTAGTTGTTTTCCAGTTCGACGATGGATTGGTCCACGGGTCCAGAATCAACATACTCCTTAAATTTGTTCTCCAGCATCTCAGCTTCTTTTGTGCTCAGAGTCTTCCAGCGATTCTTCTTCTTGGGTTTCAGTTCCCAGACCACATCAGAGCTGTACCAAGACAAGACAAATGAGAGTTAAATACATGATGGAGTACTTTGCTGTAAGATTAAACAGGAATGCCTAGATTTCACGCATGTACATATGAGTCTCACAGCAGCATGAAATAACAGAAGCACTTCTGTGGCATGATTCTTGGACAGCTTAGATAACTGTTTATTCATCTTGGCTGTGCGAAACTGAAAAGCATGCAGGCGTTTATTTTAGACAACAGGAGAAGCATCATTTCTGTGTGCTGTCAGCTCTCTACCTTGTGATCCCAATAAAGGACACCTCCTGGCTGCTGCTGTTGTTGATCAGAGAGATGCCCACATCCTGGAGCGACAAGATGATTTCTTGCTCAGCCAGCTGGGCCTTCTCGCTTTCGCAGAGCAGCTTGTAGATGCGCTGCTCCTCGGTGAACAGCACAACACGCTGCAGACCTTTGGATCAACCCACAACACGCTGATGAAACAGTTTGTTTTTCTCTGAAATCAAAGTGTTTCATTTAATGACTTTCAGGCTCTTTGCAGCGTACCTTCATAAAAGGAGATCAAGAAGAGTTTTCCCTCATTGTTCAAGTCCTGGCGCATGTCCTAAAGATGCAAGAGCAGAAAACACATGCAGCTTAAACTTCTTTCAGATATTACTCATGCTAATGAGTAGGACTAGGACGATACGCTTTTCTCCTGATTTGATTTTTTGGATGCTGATTCAATGTGACTTGCGATTCTACGATATTGTCGATTTCTTCGATTTTTAGTCTGCAATTTTAACATCAGTGAAACAGCTGAATAATTATGATTGTCTTCTGACTATTCCAGGAACCATATTTCCCAAAAAATACACATCACATGTAAGTCAGTTTTGAAGATTGAAAAAAAAAAAAAGATTTTTGAATATAAAATTTGATTTAAAAATTATAAAACAAAAAATCGCGATACTTGTGAATCAATTTTTTTCCCACCCCTACTAATGAGCATAAAAAAATGTAAGAATACAGCCTACAGAGTATTCACTGTAAACAGCTGACACATCTGTCATTTAGTCTGCAGGTTTTTTAACTTTTACTTCTACGGAGGCTAAAAGAAACCCTGAGAGTTATGGCACAAAAATCACTCTACTAATCTGAAATCAAAACATTTTTTCACTCATGTTTATTACCAAGGACAGGTGACAAAAAGAGTGTTTTTTTTTTATAAATGCTAGGCTACTTGGTGTGAGTGTGAGTTGACAAATCTGCACATATTTCTCCTCTACTGATAGCATGTTTTTTTTGGAAATATAAGTTGAAAAGCACTTTCTTTTTTTTGATAAGGTAGGATGTAATGGTGCCAAATTACCCGATACATGTATAAAAACAGCCGAACACCTCAACCATTAAATATCCTGCGTGTCAGTCACAGTACCTCCTCGCTCTTCAGCTTCCCACTGTAAACACCACACCTCCAGCACAGCTCCCGAGACCCTGTGGGTTCGGTCCAGGTGTAATGAACAGCTTTACCCGCCTCCAGCTTCTCCTGCTCAGCCTCCTTCTGAGAGCTGCATACCGAACAGACACAAATACAGACTGTAAACACCAGCGACAGGCTTATTTTCCACTGATTTAAGATTACAGTCAGCAAATATGAACAGACGGCGGTATAGAGAACAATATAACAGAGAGGACGTTATAACAGAGCCCAGACACCAAAAGTCTACTGCCATGACAACCAGAGAGTCCAAAGTCCCTTTCTGACAAAAAAACATACAGGAGTCACATCAACAGACAGAAATATGACAGAACATATATATACATATATATAAAACAGTCGACGACAGGACGGCAGCCAAACACTGAAAGAACCCCACTTTCCTGGGAATACAAGGTTTTAAATATGCACATTCTCTCTACAGAAGATGAAATAAGCCGGACGGAGATGAAAAATTAGAGTAAACCAGTCAACACAACAGAGCAGCTACTGAAAAAAAGCAGAAGGTGTGATTCCTCTGGCAGAATCCCAGCCTGTCAGCAGCGTTCGAAAACGAGGTTTTCTTCAAGTGAAGATGCTTTCAGACTTGAAAAGAGGTCAAAGAAACATATAACAGATGAGTCAATGAGTTTAGATGTCTAACCTGCTCCTTTACTTTACCTCAGTGGTCCTTTGGTATTTAGACCAATTAGCAGAATATCAATAAAAAGACAGATTTGAGATCATTAATAGATACGTGTGGTGTGATTCTTTTGAAAAGCCAGCCAGAGCCAGAGAGGTCTGTTGATCTTCATCAGTCGTTGGTAAAGATGAGGAGCAGGTTACACAAACAAACCAGAGTCAGAGTTGAAGCGGTCTTTTCTCCGTTTCTCTTTACCTGAACTCTTCACCTGAACATCACTCTGCACTCAGGCGTGCTGTCACAACAACGTGGCTGTGAAATCATCCTCCAAATGTTACATCAGATCGTATTCCCACACTGCATTATTTGTTTGCTTCTGTCCTAAATCAATGATCTTTATTGAGCTCTGAAAGTATTTTCAAGCTTCATTTCTTACCTTTACTTGACGCTACTGAAAGCTCTATTCATACTGAGATTACGTTGAACATTTAAGTAGCAATACGGCTCTACATTCATGTAAAAAAATAATAAATTCATGCTGTAATCCGTAAAAAAGTCTTGATTTCTTATACTTTGTGTGTGTAGTTTTGCATCTATTTGTTTGGAAGGACAACAGCAATAAACAACTTAATGCAGTGTGTTCAGATCTCCTCGTTTCTTGCTCTGAGTTTTTTTTTACTTTTCCTGAGTTCAGAGTGTGCCACAAGAGTTTCTTTTCTTTATTTTTTAACCTCCTCCTCATATTTTTCTACCTTTCCCCATCCCCCGAGAAGGAGAGGTCGAGTATCGAGTCAGGCACCCACGTTGGTTCTTCCGGGGCGCTGCATGACCCATGACAAACAAACATAAACGGCTTTGAGAAAAACAAACACTCAAAGTTTTCATGAATGATGAGTTTAAGGCTGCTGCAATGAGAGGAATTAATTGAACACATGAGGAAAATTGATATCAGTGAATTGTAGCTTTAAAATGTTGTTCGAGATTAGCAAATTGTCAACTTTCTTTCTTACAGTCAATTCATTTAATGTCAAGTTATTACAGTTTCTAATTTGAGCCTCTCACCTCTGATGGAACATCAAAGTCTGGTCTTTGGTGTGGTTGATAATTAGAAAAGGTGCCGCACCATCATGGTACTCTGAAAACCGGATGGTGGCTGAGTGCTCTGACAGGTTTGTATCTACGATGATCCCTCCCACCTGCAGAGGAAGAAAATCTGTCTTAATCCCCTTAAAAAAACACTCTTAAGGTTTCTGAGATCAAGAAGCCACTGTGGGCAAGTTCTATCAAGACCAGACATGTGCTGAACAGTCTTAACACCTTTTTTGCATGTGTGTACTCACAGAACTGTCCAGGTGCAGCAGGAGGCAGTTTTCTGGTCGTGTGAAGTCGATAGTTTGAGGAGGCAACAAACAACCTTCTACTTTGATCTTCAGCTTCTTGGTGTCGTTCTCCGGCCAGAAGGGAACAGCTGACTGATGATGAAAATACACAAAATCATCAACGAAAGAGTTTCATCCGAAATTATTCCGTATAAAAGTAGCTACCCTCTAAAAAAGACAGAAGATGGTTTCACATTAAAAACAGACCCTGTATTGAAAAGCTATGCACTGGTTGAAAACAGGCGAAATGTGGAATATTTAAGGAATTAACTAAACAAAATTAGGATACAGTCCGGTAAATTTAATGTGTGTTATTCATATATTTCTGTCATAATAGTGACTGTCCATAATTGTAAGAAAACACCCACAGAAACCAGAACTGGTGTGACTCTGACCTGTTGCGGTTGAGCTTCAGTCCAGTTGTCCTGCCCCTCTTCACAGATGTAGACAGTGTGCTTTGTTCTGTTGACCAGCATGTAAAACGGCACAAAGCTCACGATGCGAGTCAGGCTGAAGCTGCTTGCGTCGATCTTCACACCAACCTGCGGTTAAACAAACAAACAACACAAAAATACACAGATGTTGAAATCTGTCTTTTTTACATACTTAAGTCATTTATGTAAAACGTAAATAGTAAATCAGACAGTCGGTACATTACCAGGTAATCTTTGTACCGGCCTTTACACTTCACATCTCCATGACTACCCACTGTATCCAGAGAGAAGTCATCCGAGAGTTCACTGTCTGAGATCATGAGACGGACCTGGAGGATGACAAAAGGAGCTTCCCATTAAAACACACTCAAACTTGTTTCTGAGTACTGCTGACTCAGCTGACTCTTTAACAGTATTATTTAAGTGACTGATATTCTCACCTTATTGTTTTTAAGGAAGTATCGAGGCTTGAAGGAGAAGAGCAGCGGCATGTCGTAATCCAGCGGGTGTTTCCTGTGGATATCATCAGCCTTGTACTGCAGCAGCCGGCCCGTCTTGTTCACCATCCAGTACGGTGAGTGGATGGCGATCACTGTTTGTCCCTGGTCGTATTTCACGTGCACCGCTATATCCAACTCTGCCCGCTTCCTCTCCTCTCCCTCACCCTCATCTTCATCATGCTCTCGTAAAGACTGGAACACTATGAAGGTGATTTCTTCCTGGTCACTGTGGAGACTGTACGAGAAGATCATTTGTCATTCAAACTTTAACAAAATTAACGATTCAAATCATCATAAAAACAGTTCATTTTGAACAATACGCCTTAATTATAGAAACAACAAAGTGAAAGATTTATACCTGTACTGAGCAGACCAGTCCTGAGCCAGGTAGTCCCTTAGGCAGAGATCGAGACTTGACTGGTTGATGACCGCAGTTTGTAACTGGGCAGAGTGGCCAGGGTCCAGAGTGGCCTCCGGGGCAGAGACGCCGCTATCCTGGTGAAGAGCAAACAGAGAGGGACGCTGTTACACGACAAGAGGAGTCCCAGATTTAAGCTAGACCGCCTGTCTACCAAAGGAGCGCAGCATTCAGTCTTTGATATTTCTCTCTCTATAAACAAAAAGTCTAACAAAAGAAGCTGTACCTTTAAGAGCTGTGTTGTTAGGATATGGACCCAGACTATACGGAAAAGTCTAACATATTCTAGATGCTGTGAAACATCCTACCTTTAGTTTGTATGAGATGGGGTAAGGCAGCAGGTTGCGGAGTAGGATGGAAGGCCAAAGGTGAAGCACAAAGGGCACATCGAAGTTCTCCCCGGCACCTCCAGTGTGTTTAAATGTCACAGAATCTTTTACTGGCACAATGTTGGCTATCATCACACCGCCCTGATCTCCACGGCGCCGGCAAGTCTGCTGGAGACGAGTCTCGGGCTGCTGGTTGCTGACGTCTTCGTAACTGAAGCCCTCTGAGCACTCAAACTGCTCGTCCTCGCTGCCAGTATCGTCCTCTGTCATCGGTTGAAGGCTGAGCTCAGACCTGAGGGAGGCGGCGGAGAGTATATGTGAGTGTGTGTAATGATCGATCACCAATAAATAAATAAAAAAAAAACAGTCTGAAAGATGTGAGTGAGCTTTCACCTGTACGAGTCCAGAGGAACGCAGAACTCCTCAGTTGGGAGAGCTTTACCCAGACATGTAGATCCTTCGAACACTTTGAATGGGATTGAGAAATGATTGATGATCTGCGGGAGAAAAAAAGAGGCAAACTTTAAAGACAGAAACAGCTTATCACTGTATCTTCTTCTCAGATCCTCTTTTCAGATCAAAACGTCATAAAAACGTGTAAAAGAATCTGCTAAGTACCTGGAACGGAGAGCGGATCTTGATGTGCTTGCTGCCCTCCACAGAGTAAATCTGACAGACGAGGAAACGTGTGACTCCGGAGTCTTTGTGCATCACACTGTACATCCCCCTGCCCACCTTGATCAGGGGAATCACACTGGCTGAGGTGTGGCCCATTGGAGCTGAAGATTGATTGAAATAGATATTCAACAGAGGGATGCAAAAACTCTGACTTGCATGTGTAATTGTGTGTACATGTTAACTTACTTGGCTGTATGAAGTAATCTCTCCCACTCAATGAGATCATTGCTGAGAACTGGTCCGAGTCTGTCGTGGGTGAATAATCCATCCCAAGCGTCTCCCCGTCCTGGAGCTCCACGCTGCCGTTTATGCTCTGCATGCCGATGGGTGAAAACATCTCACTGTGGCGCACAGACACCGGCAGGCCCAGACGGTTTTTCACCACAAACGGAGCTTCATCTTTCTGGAAGGAGTCAGCCGTCTGCTTGGCAGCCTCAGCGAAAGCCTGGGGAAGGAGAAACCCATCAATATACAGAAGACTGCAGGTTTTTTTAAATGACTGCAGCCTTTCCTCGTACCGTGCCCAGGTTACTCAGCATGGACAGTCCACATTTAGAGAGGGTGATGTTGAGCTGGTCTTTACTGCTGACCACGATGACCGTCTTGTAGTCGGGAACATTGAAATCGACCTCATCTGCCAGTCCAATAGACTTCACCGGCTTCTTCTTCATCTGCTCAAAGGTAAATAATTAGACAAAGCCGAACCACTGTGTTTTTATATGTGAGCAAACACTAGACGAGTATTTGTATGTACCTTCAGTTCTAGTCTCCAAGGTCTAAAACCATCTCTTGTCTCATCTTCTAAAGGTTCCAGCAGTGGTTCCCACACTCCCATCATCTCATTGTAATAGTGAACCTGGAGGAGGAAACACACAAAATACATGAAACAAAACATTAAAAAAAATCTGATTACAACCATGTATGAAAACAAAACATCATCGTAAACATCAGATTTGAACTGACCAAACAATCTTATGTAAGGCTCTTTCTCAGTGAAGGCTTAAACTTTTGACTAGGATGAGTTTTTAGGACATAAATGCAGAAGTCATGTGTGGTACCTCTAGGTTTAGCTCGCTGTGAAGGTTGATGAGTGTTGACCAGTTTTTGACGTCTCCGTGGAAAGAGGACTTGGCCAGAAGCATGGGGATAGTACGGTGTCCGACTCCAGCCTCCAGAGTCAGACAAATTGACTTGATGCTCAACTGCAGAGACAAACAGACAGACAACAAAACTACATAAACTGTCTTGTCCAATGGAAACTGCGAACACTAACTTGCAAACAAAAAATGCGATAAAAGCATAACTGTTCCTCAGCTCCTCACCTGCAGAGACTCTCCTTGTGGTATCAGAGGCGCCACTGAAGCCGTGTCCTCATCCCCCTCCTCTTCTAAGAACCAGAACTTTAGGTCTTTCCAGCCTCTTTTCTCCCACAGGTCTACAGGGACTGGACTTTCCAGCTCCTCGGGGGTCTCCGCTGTGGGTGTCAGCGCAGACTGGATGGTGATCACTGTGTTGATGATGATTGGAGAGACCTGGGCAGACAGGTATGTAGAGCTTTTTTAGACCAACTTGTGGTTAAAAAACGAACCTCTACACTGACTTATAAGCTTTCATCCAAGACTTAAGTTTATCTGAGTGTTTCCTGATGCCTGTCATAATTTTCAGGAGAGCTCTGTGCTTCTCATCAAACAATTCTGACACTAGCAGTCATTCTTGATCAATACTCGTTTTATAGTGCAGTCTCGTATAACAAGAGACAGGTTTATCCCTTTACCACACATAAATCATTCATGATGCAATTAAAAGAAACTTCTTTACATTTGTATTACTTTGCTTTTCCCTCTCTTCTTAAAAAAAAAAGGTAATAACAGCGAGACGGTTACCTTTAGAGTGAGAGAATTGATGGAGACCTCCATAGCTTGAGGGGACGTTGGAGTTTGCGAACTCTGAAAGAACACCTGGCACGGCTGCAGCACTGTCGTCACATTGTTTTTACGCTTCTCGATCAAGAAGGGACACGCCACTACCTGCATAACATCAAAACAGGCCTCATTGAGTTGGTTCATACTTGGAGTCGCTTCTCTGGTGTGACATTAAATAAACGAAACAAACGAACCGTGAGGTCTTTGATAATAGCGGTCATCTGCGATCCCTCTGCATCACTTTTCATCGCCAGCTCACACTCTGTGTTCATCACCAGAGCAGGGGCATCGGCACGTGTCAGGTCAGCCACGAACACAATCTCTGGGTTACGCACCACGACGTTCATCTCCGTTTTCGACACCGCAGAGGAAGCGGCAGCTGAAAGAGGAACAGAATATTAAAGTGACACATCAATTCAGACCACATTACAGTTAGACACAAATAATGTATTAATTCAACTGTTCTTGTCTCTGATTAGACTGTCACAATGATGAATATGCCCTAAAGTATCAAATATGACCTTTCATATCCAGATAACAAAGATAAAAGTTAACTTACAGGACTCTTTGGATGTGATGGAGGTGTTGATATTCTTTTTATCTGATCCTCCAGTGCTGCTCTTGGGCTGTGGCACTTGAGTGAATCCCTGCTGGGTGGCCTTGAGGAAGATATCTGCCACTGTGAGCAGGAACTCCATGCTGGCACATAAGTACACATCCTGCACCACGGTGTCCAAAGTAGTGCCGTCACGACCCTGATGGTAATTCACCTCCACCATCATGTTTTGTTCTGCACCGGGGCGCATCGCCATCATCCTAGAGGGAGGATGGAGGTGAATAATGAAGAGTGGATAACAATGACAGGGATGGAGAGAGCACATCACAGAAGGAGCTGAGTATCTCTGATAAACATATATGTCTTTGGGTGCCTTCAGTACCTTGGCGTGACCATCTTGATCCTGGGTCTCTTGTCATCGAGAAGGCAAGCAGCCAGTCCCACTGAGGCCTTCATGGAGCCGTCGGAGAACATGTGGACGGAGGTGGAGATTGTGCCCAGAGTGAACTCTGCCAGCTTTAGCTGCTCGTCGTGTGAATCCAACAGCTGCATCTAAACAAAGCAGTTTACGCTGTTAGAAGGTGTTAGCTAGTGGAAAGTGTGTAACATCTTTTGACATACTGTGTGTCTGTGCATTACCACATTCCCATTGGGGCTGAACAAAACCAGGGTCATTGAATCAAACTTGAAGTTCACTTTGAGCGTGCTCTTCAGCTTGCTGGTTTTCTGAACTTCCACGACAGCCGCTGTTACAACTGTGTTACCTACATAGTGAGATTATCACAGAAAAGAAGCATGCTTAAAAAAGTCTAACTTTTATTTTATTACATACATGTGCACTCATGAGCACAATCAAAAACAACCAAAGCTCCTTACTGCTGGCTGGTCCCGTGGTTCCAGACCCCTGAGACTCTTTGTTGGAGACAGAGTCTGAGGAGGGGTCAGTGGGGGGAGCAGGACGAGGCGCTGGAAGAGCATCAGACTTCTCGGACAGATTCTCACTCAGAGTCCTCAGGACCACCGTCATGTCATCCTGGCTGAGGATCAGCTGTTGGGAATTCAAACACAGGAAATTTTCAAAACTATGCTCTGGCACAGTTTCTGAGATCAGATTAAGATTTTTTTTTAGATCACTCATATCGGATTTAAAATAATGACACAATTGTCCAAATACTAAAGCAACACAAGTAATGTCAGTAGTTCTATCTTTCTCATGCTGCCATATAAATAAACTTACATTCATTGGTTTGAGATGTGCGGTGATCTCTATATCAGGTATGCTGTGGTACCAGTTAGATGAGAGATTTCTCAGGATTTCCAAGTCCAGACTGACTGGCATGAGCACCTGTGTCTCTCCTTGAAAACCTTCATCTATATATGTGGTTCTAAAAGCAGCAACAACAAACATAAAGAGAGAAAGCAGACGGGTTTAATATGATTCTGATCATTTTGCTGCTTGTTATTCATAGTTCTCCAGAGGGCTGGTCTCTAACCTGTACATCTTAAGGTCTGTCAGTTTCACGGCCATTTTATCCACCACAGGAGGGATCTTGGTGTTGCTTTTACAGGGCTGTTTCTCAAAACAGTTCTTGACTGACAGAAGACCCAGGTCAGCGACGATGACATTGGAGGACGAGGAGGACTGGGGCAGGAAGATGACTGGTGCATTAAAGTGGACATTCAGAGAGATCCGAGTGCTCCGCTCTGCCAGCTCCTTTACGCCTGATGCCGCCTTTTCTGCAGCCTGGACTGTCACCTCAGCCAAGGCTTCTTTAGCCTCCTGAAAGTTATTGATGAATGCCTGGCAGAGAGACAGGATGGGGAGTTTAGAGTACTGAAGAGACAGATATAAATACAACAAAGGCTATAAAAGACATTCATGCTTTTGAACTTAAAGAAAAACTGTGTTTGTTGAGTTAGTAATTATGTCATATCACATTTGGTTCCATGATATCCACTTTTAATGTTGCCTTACAGAAGAAATGGAAATCCTCACATACTTTATTGGATCAACAAGAATGATCCCTTTCAGCCTAACTGAATATGGGGAGACCACCTGCAGTGTCTCAAGACCCTATCCCCAAACTATCGGGGTTGGGACTGAGTACCTCAAGTCCCTCGATTACAAAAAATGATCAAGGAATTTTCTGTACCTCAAGTACTCGTTCATAAACTCAAATCGTCACTGTTTCGCACAGATTATTTTCAAGGTGACACAACGCACTTACGTCACCCCAGTAGAAGGAGGCGTAAGCCAAGAAAAATAAATGATGTGAGGGGAAAACAAGAGGAAAACAAAAAAAGCGAAAAGAAAAAACAAAAGAGAAAAAGATACAATTAAAAAAAGGTCAAAAATGTCCAAGGAGGTTAGAGACACAGAGCGGCTCTGCCTGTCTGTCTCTGGTGTGGAAGAGCATCTCACTCTGTGGCTGCAGCTGTAGCAGGACACAGTGTCTGCAGGAGTCTCCTGCTGCAAGACGTTGTCACCGTTTGTGGAGTGACAGTAATATGTGTGTTTTCAGTGCAAAATAAAGAGAAAAAATGCGTGTGTTGTCGCTGGTCTGAGTGCCTTAAATCGTTTCGTTCGTGGTCCCGTTTTCCCCATTTTCACTATTTCAAAATAGCTTATCTTCACACAGATGGACTCATTTGCTAGTGCAGGTGACAGGGAGACATCAGCAGACACGAGAGATTTTTTCAAGTCTAGTTACAAGTTCCCAACAGGAAGTTTAACTAAGAAAAATAACGTTTTATCCAATTACTTAGTTAATCAATGAAATATTTGGTAGAAAACTCGATTACTAACATATTTGATAGTTGCAGCCCTAATCTGGGTCATGATGCTTGGGACAGGGATGTTTGATTCTCACCAGTATGGAGGAGACAAACTTGTTGAGGAAGATAACTTGGATACATCCCACAGTCAGAGTGACAGCTGTGTCAACTTTAGACATGTCCAGGTAGGCGTCTCCTTCTGTAGCATCTGTGTAGTTTACCATGCGGAAGGCGAACACCTCCTTATCTGCGATCGACACGGCCTGCAAAGAGACACAGGCAATTAAAGGAAGTGGAGAGAAATTTGACAAAGCCAACCATGGATGGATGCATGGCGAGTAATAAAAATAAAGAGAGGTAAAAATGTTAAGACTCAGGAGAGGAAACTTTGTGTTTGACCTTCTTGTAAAATGCATCTTTGTCACAGTCGAGGATCACAATGTTTTTCAGGTTGGCCAGAACTTCCATTTCCTTTTTCCTCATCAAAACCTCAGAAACCAGACCTGGATTGTCGAGAGAGTGAGATAGTACACACACAGAGGAGGATTTTAAACAGGTTGCATCATCAGACTGCAGCTAACAAAGAACTTTATGCAAGAGGCTTTTTTAAGTGGAACTGATGATTCATCGTCACAACTGTTTTAGACTGATAAAGCAGCAACAAAACACGAGCGAGTCCGCCAGGAAATATGTTAATACGTCAAAACAGGAAGTGCACACAACTCATCTACCTTCAATACTAATTTCAGAGATCCTGGCTTTCTGTCCGCGAATGAAAACCTTCAGACAGCGGAGGTCAGCTCTGATATGCAAATTAACCACATCTGCAAACTTTTTGACCTTTGTGCCTGTAGAAGAAAGGTGACAAGAAGAAAAGATAAGACACAGAGGAATTTCAACTTTAAAATGTGACAATCATTAAAACTCAGACCGGAAACACTCGGGGAAGTTACTTTTTTTTCTGGTAATGGCAGCCTCCTCCTTCTTCTCCTCCTCCCTCTCTGCCTCCGCCTCCTCCTCCTCGGGGATGGTGGGGAGCTCTTCCTGGCCTGTGTCTTTTTTAGTGGAGGGAGGAAGGAGGTTACTGAGGAAGTTCATGGTGTTAAGCAGAGCCTCGGTGTGGAGATGGACATCCAGGGATGAAAAGGTGACCTGATAGAGAAGCAATGTGAAATCATTAATAGAGAATAACACAATTACACTTATCTTCACTGTCTAGATTTTATAGTTATTTTAACTTTTCTAAGCTTAAGTTTTAAACTTTTTTACTACCTTCCAGCATGAAATGGTAAAAAATTCATAGTCATGCTGAACATTTCCCTTAATTTCAAGACCAAATAGGAAAAGCATTTAGATTCAAATTACGAGTAAATCAGCATTTTTCTCACCTTGATGAGCTGCTCTGTGTTGTTGTGCTGGGTCTTGAACTCAGGGCCGGTTTTGTCAGCCTGAAAAGACACAGAAAGGACGTCGCCTTGTCACTAATAATACCTCAAGAGGTGGATAACTACCTAAGATGTATCTCACATACCTTGATGTACTCAAGAGTGAGCAAGTCAACCTCTGAGTTATCCAGAGTGGTGATCAACTGAACCTGCTTGTCTTCAGAATCTAAACACAAGAAGAAAAAAATATAAAACATGATGTGTAAAAAAACTGCAGCCAAGATTTGCCTGATTATGTTTGTAGTAACCAAATCAATAAAATCACAAATAGTCAGTCTTGAAAGCTTCTACTGACCCATGTATTCAGGGCACTTGAGGCAGATCTCTCGAAGGTAGGTGTTAGATGTCATATCAAAGGTGCGTAGTTTCAGTTCAGTCCCCAGACCCTCTATGTCCAAGTGCAGCACTGTGACCTCCTGACCCCCAGACAGACGACACAACTGAACAGAAAACTAGCAGACAAAGAGGAGGGCATGTGGAGAAACAAAGGAGATAAGATCAGCATAACAGAGAGATGAAAAACTGAAATGGTGTCAGGCTCCAGGTGGTTGAACTTGTACCTCACTGATTTCAAAAGTCAAGATGAGGTCAGTCATGTTTTTCTGAACGTCATCCTTCAAAAGACTTTTCCTTTTGTGTAAGTCTGCATAACGCAGTGGCATAGGATTATCTGGGAAGAACTGTCGATCGCCGATTGGAGAGCTGGGAGCGTCGTAGAACAAATCTTCCTCTGATCCTGAGAGGTAAGAGAAACAAAATCAATGACCCCTCTGTTATGCTGCAGGTACAGACAAACTGTGCCGTGTATTTATATGGTTGTGAAAGTGCAGCTGGCAGGGAGATATTTAAAGTGTGTCTCTCACCCAATGAGGTGATGCTGATGGTCTCACATGACTCGAAAATGACAGAGGAGCGCTGGTCTAAGTTCAAAGGTCTCCTTGGGGTGAGTTGAGGGGTGAACGACTGCCTTGGCTGAGGAGGACAGAAAGTGTCATTATGAGCAACGCCTACAGAGAAGATTTACATGTTGATTATCTCTTTAACTTTAGTTGTTCTCACCTTTGGAGTGGTGGACGAACCAGAGCTGTGTGCAGGTCTGCTCTCTGGCAGCGGGATACTTTCTACCAGCTCCAGGACACTTCGAAGTTTGTCATCGGAAATGCGTAGGGACAGCAGAGGAAGCTGTCCAGACATCTTATACCTACACAATGCAAAAACAAAGACACACATGAACACATTTGACCTTTTTGCATTGTTTAACCCTATCAAACTGGGTGTGTTGTAAAACAGTAAAGACTCACTTTGCCATGCGCGAGTCTTTGACAACCATCGCCCTGCTGAAAACAACTTTAAGATCCACCGGCTCCAGGATGTGGAGCGGTGACTGCTTCTGCTTACGGGCCTTCTTCCAATCGCCATCTACAACAGAGAGAAATTTAACATTTCTTATTAATTCTCTCACACAAAAACACCATAAAAAGGTTGATTTGTTGGAGTAATGTTTGTGTCTAATGTATAACTAAAACAAATATCTTCAAAGCTTTGGAATTATAAGACAGCCAATACTTTAAGGACAGATTAAACACTGAATCTAAGATGATACACTTGATGTAGTTCTCACTTTATACATTGTGTTGCAATAATATTTCTCTTCAACAACATCGAAAGAGTTTGTTATCTGGCCAAGGATTTAATTAACCTCAAAAGGACCTTTGACCGGTGATATGAACACGCCTTTTTCATGTACCTGGTTTGCTGTAGAGGAACTGCAGGCTGTTAAGCTGTACGTCAAAGCTGTCATACGCTCTGGACATGATGTCTTCAATGTTGCTGGAACCCACTGACAGCTGAGGCAGATTTTTCTTGCTTTGACTGGACATCTAGGAAAAAAAGAAAGTAGTTTTTTTAAACAAAAAATAAATAAAATCTGGTTTAAATCCTTTGATTTTGCCTTTAGAACAACTGAGATGCTAATTCACCCGCATTCCTGTTAACTAAGTCATTAAATCAAAATTCAGGTTAAGTATTGGACCAGATAAGAAGTTTTATATAACTGATGTCGTTTAACTTTTTATCCTGGTGATGAACTTTGAACTTTCTCACCTGAAAGTGTCCAAGATCCAGCAGCAGGAGGTTCTGAGTGCCGTTGTAAAAGCCCGTCTGTGGAATGATGACATAGGAGGCCATCAGGTTCACCTTCAGGTCCAGAACTTTCTGGGTTTCAATAACATACATGAGACCTGAAAGACAGAATGCAATCAAATCATTAGCAATAACCAGAGCAGAAATGTGCTGAGAAACCATGTATATATAGTTACATGGGTCTTTCATTTATCATGCTTTTTCCATTTCTATGGAAATACACATGGCATGTCAATGTCTAATTAAGCAAAATTAATGTTTTGAAAAGACAGCAACCATTATTAACGATATAAAAGTATTCAAATGCCAAAAATCATTGTCATCAGACTTGACTTTTAGTAGAACATAACAATAATATCTAGTGGTCTTGTTGAACGCAGCCACTGAATTAAAAAAGGGCTTAAAACTGTCACAAAAAGGTTTCAGGAAACAATTAGCCTCAAGAAAATAAACAGGAAAAACACAACCATAGTGGCCTAGAGGTTTGGACATGCACTCTTTCTGTAAGCATGGAAAGAAATAAAAGCCAGAAAAAAACAACAGTGACTTAGGAATGTAAACAGCTGCCCTGCAGAGAGTTCAGACAAGGCCTGATACAGAGTGCAGGTCTGTACGCTTCAGGGGGACTGACCTGTGGCTGTTCTGTCTCTAAACTGCTCCAGCTTCATGAGGGTTGCGTTGGTGAGCTCATCTAGCTGCAGGTCATCAGGAGGCATGAAGAACTGGGACATGCTGTTTACTGTTATCTGCAAAGTCACACACACACAATTAAATTTAATGAATACCAGTTTTACTGTTTGTTCTTCATGTTTGTATACACACACACACACACACACACACACACACAGACACAACACTCACAGCATCATAGATGATTTCTAAGGGCTGGGACTCCACGTGAAGTCGTTGGTCGGCGCTCTCGTCCAGTGGGTTGGTCTCAAACAGGATGCAAAGCAGCGGGGTTCCTGCTCCTGTGGCTGCCTTCCGGGATGACAGGAGCGTAGGTGCAGGTCGATCACTGGCCAGGCCTGTGACTTCAAACAAACTGAGCTGGGCTGTGAGTCTAAATAAAAGGAATAAAAATAACACATGTTCGTGACAGGCATTTGGGAAGATACTGAAAACCAGGCTCTTAACAATACAAAGCACTTAAAAAGCAAAGGAGGGACCTCGTAAACATAATTAAGAGTTCAAACAAACTTGATAGCTTGTGCCCCTGGTCTCTGTGTGAGTGTGGACATGAGCTCTCCCACAGTCAGCTTAATGATCTCGTTCTTGTCCTTGTTGTCTTTGATTGACATTGTCAGCTTCTCCATGTGGAAATTGACTTTCATGTCTTCAAACTACAAAGTGACAAAATCAAAGCATGAGAAATTACATTTGTACTGACTAATACTGCCTAAATGGGACAAAGAGAAAAGGTGTATTATTAGTTAACAGGTGGGTGTCTGGGGGGCGTGACTCACATTCTTTGGCAAGTTGGGATTTGCAGCGGTCTCACTGTATCCAATGGCAGTGTAGAGTTTGGCTTTCTCGGCGGGGGTTAAAAAGTCATCAAAGCCTGACAGAGCAGGAGGAAACAAGTGGATTACTAAAACATGTAGGAAAACATGAGTTAGAAAACAAAACACAATAGTGGAGCACTACGACTGATTTTGTCACATGCATGTATCATCCATGGACACACGAACAAAGTACAGAGGTAATTCCTACCCCCGGACTTGACTTCTTTCTTTTGTGTATCTGGCTCTTCTCCCCAGTTCCACATCCAGCTGAACCAACCCTGGGACTCCTCCTCCTCCATCTTCAGTCCAGGACGGTAAATACACAAACCGGCTTTGCTTGCCTGTAAAAGTTAAAAAAAAGCACCTCTGAGCTGCAACATCATTCAATTTTACAAAGAAACCTACAGTTGCATCTCAGTGATGGTTCATAAATGCTTTCTTTACTGCTTGGCTGTTTGCTTTTTGGTATTTTTCCATCCTAGTTTTCAAGTGACTTCAAATGTTTTCTTTTTAATTCTATTTTGATTTCAGAAACTTCAACTGAAAGAAGTAAATCCTCACTGTTTTACGTTACTCTAGAAAGAGATCTAATACACATTAGTGGTTTGGTATTGATAATATTGAGCTGTAGTTGCAATTGATGGCTAATTGCTGTGTTGGGAAGACAATATTATCAGATGACTTCCATCCAGATGAGAAGTTAAGCCTACATTAAAGTATTTCTTGATACCACACTCAGCACTAATGCACAGAATTTCAGCCCAAACCTCAACCACTTGATGCAGCTGCTGGTAAGTGCTATCACTGTTGGTTTCTCCCACTTCTTATATGCGGTGAGCTCCAACAGACAAACTGAGCTTTTACTTTCCTCTATGTTTTTCTTGTAACTAGATAAATAAATGCCATCCCGTCTATAACCTCCGTTTTCTTGTCATGAAAGGTTTTGACTGGCTGGTATATTTATAAACTACAGAGCTGCAGTTATCTGGTCTCAAAATCCAGACACTTTGTAAAGTGCACAGAAAGCACAGAAGGTTAGAGAGGGATCTTACCTCCACTTCAGCCTGTTGTCTGGCCAATGTGATGTTAAAAATATCCAAGGTCCTCTCTGGCTCCTGTGAATAATCACAAGTCAAATTGATTAGAGCTCTCAGCAGCTTCCTGTTCCTCTGCGTAAGGAGGCGTCCCTGACTAAAAGTCCATTATGATTTATGTCTGGGAAGATGATACTTACAGAGCGGAGGACAGACAAGGAAAAGGGCTTTTGATTTAAGGTTCTGCGTCTCTGATATACATTACAGATTTTAAATGCACTTCAATCAATCCCTTTATACTGCTGCATGCTGGATAAATGGGTTGTGATTATAGCGAGGGAAGACAGTGAATGCAGCTGACTGAAAGGGTAATGAAATAGTAATATCTTTGCATTTAACTACTTGAATATTACATGACAGATATTTCAAAGATAATGAATCAGGTTGCTATTGTCAAGTGGTATTTGAAAGAACACAGGTGAGTAGACACTGCAGGTCTGGATCTGAACAGGCATGTATGACCTGCAATTAATGAACTTAAAGAGGTGAAAGTTGGTCCAAAAAAAGTCTAAAATAATAAAGTAATTCCACACAATTTGGCATATAATGGTATTCAATAAATGAAAAAATAAATAGGAAATTCAGACAGGAAAAGGGTCACTCCTTATAATCGAACAATAAATGCTGAAAGATGTGATTTAAGCTCCATTACCTAAAGTGCTTCAAAGCTGACATGAGTCTAAATATTTGGCTCTTATGAGATCAAAGTGCAAAGCAAGCTGTCCCACCTGTAGTGCTTTAAGCAGCTCCTCGGTGGGTTTCTTGCTTGTGATTTTGGTCTTGTACAGCTCTCTGTAACATTTTACCATCTGTCGGTGTCGGCGAATGTGCTCCCATGACCACATGTGAAGACGAGGCTTCACGTCTACCTCCAGGATGCCTTTGATCACGTATTTCCACCTGCAGGTTAGGAACATAAATGTGTCAAAACCTGCAATTTCCACGATCCTCACATTTTGGAGACAAACTGTCACATGTCAGGCAATAACTGGGTTCAGAATCTGAGTGTGTTTGCTGACCATGTTGTGGCGTTTTTGTGAACTTGAACCATGGGTCTGTACTTCCGGTATGGCAAATTACGTGACATCATATCCACCGAGCCCAGCAGCTCCAAGATGCTAATGTACTGGAAAGAGAGGAAGTCAGCAATTACTTACAGACACAGAGTACTGGCTGTAGTGGAGTTATCATCTCTGAGCAACAAGTTCATCGGTAGAAACGTCACCAACCTGGGGTCTATTAAGTTCAATGGCCACCTCACTGAGATTAACCATGAGGTCGACTTTAGGGGAGGAGAAGTCCACATCTGATCTGGGATTCATTCTCAGTTTAGCATCAGCTGAGATGGGGCGAAAAACTGTGGACCAGCAACAAAGAGGAGATGTTTTTAGGCAGATTGTCAACCTGTGGGTTTGTGCTCTAAACTGACACTCAAAGCAAAATCTGTTTGAATATATGTAAAAAAAACAGAGTCAGTGTTAGTTTATCAAGCTGTGTGATTCACACATTTTAAGGCCCAGCATTGTCAGCGCAAACATCACAAACCAAATGGCACCTCGTATTCCAAAAATGCTGATTTTCTATGATGAGTCACGAGTGCTGAGAAGGTTTTGAATGGTTTCATAAGTTGTGTAGACAAAATACTACACAACAGCTTTACAATTCCAATAAAGGTTGCCTCAGAGACACTTACTGAAGTCGTGGCTGACAGAAAGAGAGTTGTTGATCTCCATGCTACTCTGGAGACATCGCTGTAGAAGCATTAAGAGAGATTATTTCCATATTAGTGGACATATTTCCTCCATCGAACACATTTACAAATAGTCTACCTCCAGAGGGAGGCTTTGTAATTAAAGTAATGGCTTACAAATTGTACAAAGTCCTCATATTCAATGAAACGTGTAATGCAAAGATTCTGTAATAACTGAAAAATCTCTTAAATATTGTCCCTCGAATTAACCCTACTTTGGGCTCAGTTACCAGGAGGTTTCCTCAGCATTAAAAAAACAGAATTTCTGGCTAATGGTAACAAAGTTAAACGGTAATGAGAGGTCTGACTCACCAAAGCCTCGTCTGCAGTGTGATTGGAGAAGAGGGCTGAGTTGACATTCCAGTAAGCAAACAAGTTATCCAGCTGAACCAACTGAGATGGGGAGAAACACAAAACGCCATTAGAGTGGTGGAGCGCAGACAGAGTTCAGGTAAAAAAGAGCTGACAGCGCACAAGGATTTCTAAAGTTTGGATCAAGTTCAACTGAAGAAAAACATTCAAACAAATAGGTTTAAATCACATTTTTATTTGGTGTTTTAGGCCATAAATCCTTTGAGTTTCTCACCTTAAAGAAAAGGCGTGAATTTTCATCCAGGAGACTAGGATTCCAGTTGTTATCTGCTGTCTGTAAGATCAAACGAGCAGTTAGAGACAGAGTGTGGGATGGGATTACTTTTTCTCTACTGTGTACACAGAACGGACTCAAAACTCCTGTTTAATGTTTATCTGCAGATATCTTTATTATGAACGTAAAATGTCAGACAAAAAGGGCATTACCTGAAGGCTGAGGTTCTTAAGCGACACTCCAAAGGACAAAGGACAGTTTGGATTAGTGACCTGAGGAAAGCACGTAACAGTAATAAGAGCTAAGCCCGGGTCAGTCTGGTTTATCACTAATTGTTTACTTTACAAAGACAGATTTGAGCTTATTCTGAGTTTTTATTTATTCTGGTAAATGCCTTTCCAGTACATATTTACCCAGCTTGAATACTCACATCGTCCTCATAGCGTACATGGATGTTAGAAATCTTGACCTGCAGGTTTTTGATGACCTGAGTGACAAGCTTCTCAACAAAGGTGTCCTGTTTTTCGAGGCCTGGGTTTTCTGCCAAACACGACATAATACCATCAGTAAAACGCCTGATCCTGTCACACAGCTTTCCTAAAGCTTCACACGAGCAACATTTTTCAACTTCAAACAACCTACACTGCAGTCAAAAATGTCTAACAAGGCTTACTTTCAGATGTTTTCGAGCAGAACTTTGTCAAAATTTAAAAAGATTACTAAACTCAATAAGTGTGACAATCAAGTGTGAGTACCGAATTTATATGCTACTGCAAAGCTACTGTTCAATAATGCTCAAGAGACTTCTCTGAGTGTGTTCTCTCTGGAAATATTGATGCTTTAAAAAGAAAAAAAGCCCTTCTACTTGCATGTAAATGGCTTTTTAAAAGGGTTTTAAAGGCACATTTAATTGCAAATATTTTAATGCTAGTTCCTGTGATTAAAAAAAACTGATCCCACAAAATGTAAGAACACAGTATTGTTTAATGTAACAGGACTGAGGCTGGATTGCCATTTGGTTCACTTGGTATTAAGAGAAACAGCATGATAAACATGTTGGCAATGAGCTCACACATTGTGGTTTCCAGGCTAGCGGTGCAAACCACTGTAAGACTGAAGTGAACAGAAAAACTGCTGTCTGCCCTAGAACAGGAACTCACAACTTTTAAAACCATGACCACATCGCTCCAAACTTCTGATTTTGCTTTTTTTGTGTGGCGTGTTTCACATGAAACCATGATTTGTAAACTGCTAAATCTGTTACTGTTTACCCAACAGTGACCCTGCTTGCAACTGCCCTTTCAAACCTGTTAAATGTTACTTGAAGGTAAAAAGTCTGTTTGTTCAGCTAAAAATAGAGTATATTTGCTAGAATCACATATTCACACACAAACACATCAGCACAGTCCTCTTCGAATCAAGGCTAAGCTCTAACCTTGCTCAGCAGCTTTCAGTTTTGTCTCCTCTATTCGCTGGAGCTCCCTCTGACGCGCCTCTTGCAGCTGCTTTTCCTCTTTTTCGGCGTCATACTTGATACCTGGAAGAAATGAGAATAAAAGATGCTTACTTGAAAGGAAATCCCTGAGAGCAGTATCATAAAGAAAGTCATGCTTGAGCTTCCCGTTTGTCCTCACATGTACTTTAGGGTCATGAATAAGTGAGAGATGTCTTTTGTTTGAGTGAGCGCTACACAGTGTTCTGTCTGGAAATCAGTCGGGTAATTCATTGCACTGAACATGACACAGCTACTTCAGTTTGATGCTTTAGAATTTACTATATGTCATCTCAAACAGATGCAAGGATGTTTGAATGTGTTTCTTTGAATTATCTTCAGAGTAATAATGCAAAACAAGTGCTTTATTATTTGCCAATAACTTGCACCAGTTGGTCAAATATAATGAAATCAAAAGTATACATGTTTGTATGTTTAATAAAGTCTTTTACCTCTTTTATCTCTTATTTCCACTTACTGTCCTTTTAGCCTTTGTTTTACTTAAAATCTTTTCTTATTTTACCTTTTAGGCCCTTTATTGATTATATTGTTTTTTCCTGTTCATTTTTGTTTTTCCATTCTATCATTACTATTACCATCATTATTATTTTATTATGATTTTATTATCATTATTAATATCCTCTTTTATATTTACTATCCTGTTTCCTGCTTTCTGCCCCCCTTTTCTATTACATTTCTTCTTCTTTTCTATTTTATGTTTTTATTTTGGTCTTCATGGTCTCATTTTATGTTGTAGGGTTCTTGTATTGTCTGAGTTTCTAATGAGAAATGAAATTGGCCTTAAATTCGGAGGCCTTGTTTTTAACTGAGCTTTTGTTTTTATTTCCATGTGCTGATGTTCTGTGCTTTGCAACTGTTTGTCAAAGCACTTTGTGAACCTCTGTTACTTAAAAATTAAGTTATTGTTGTTGGTCTTAGATGATATCAGAATCAGAATCAGAAATACCATATTAATCGACAGGGGGGAATTGCTTTTCGTTACAGTAACTCCAGTGCAAATAACGTAGAAAGAGGAGATAAATAATAATAGATAAGTAAAAATAGAGAGATAAATAGATAAAATAAGTAAAAATCAAGAGATAATATACAAGTATGTACACTATATACAACACAAAATAGTAAAATAGTTTGTCTATGATAGTGGCCATACTTGCTGTGGGGACTATAAGCAGATATACACCATCCAGTGTCGCCTCCACAGACTGGGTGTAAAGGTTTTTCCATGGGATCTTCAGCTCCAGCCGTCCTATAAACAGAAATATACAATGAGAAAACTCCACTAGTGTCATGGGAAAGGAGACAGAGAAGAGAAAATTAAAAACAAACTCACCTATATGACCGGCTCTCACTTTAAAAGGGATATCAAGTTGACTCTGCAGCACAAAGGAAGTCAGGTGATGTTGTCAATAACCACATGAGTCCAACAATGTAATGACACTTATCTTTTATGAACTTACCAGGGCATTTTCTTTTATTTCAAGATTCAAGAGAACAGCATCGCCTGTGTTGAGAGGAATTATTGTTAAAAAAATCAACAACCGTGGGAAAAAAAACATATACAATCACATATTTTCAAGACCTGTCATAGGAAGATTGCTTAAATTAAGGGCTTTATTGTTTCACTAAGCTCCTACAAGTTGGCACCTGTCAAACAGTGCCCTGAAAACTTCCCCTGTAATCCTATGGAGATTGCTCTGAGCAGTTAGACCCAGACTGTCCGTGTGATCCTGTGAAAGGGTTTCCAAAATGAAACACGCTGGTCAGTCTGAAACTGAAATAGTACACGGGTGTGACCCTTAACTGCAACCCACAGGAGCACCTGCCTCACAGTAGCAAACACACATAAGGCTGCGTTAACAAAAAGCCATAACAGCAGACGGGAATTTATCATTCAAATTCATCATATATTACAATTCGGCCGCACAAAGTAGGAACATTTATCCGTATTTTTGATAAACTGACTGACGCAAATGACTGAGTCAGCCTGTCACACACGGCTGGAGGGGCTAACGTCAGTTAGCATTGGCTAGCTAGCTTGTTGAGCGAGCAAGTCCACTTCTATGACAGGCACAAGTTTCAGTTACCTCCCCATATGCCCAGCTTCAGCTGCGAGCTGTCGAGGTTGACAACGTAGTCCCCTAAAAATCTGTTCAGGACGTCAACCACCACGCTTTCGAAGACCATTTTGGCGTCTCTCTCACTTAAGTGTAACCATGTTTACATTCTGAGGACTCGCCTGCCACAACCTTACATTTGATGTCCTCAGGTGGGCGGTCCTCTGACGTCATGCCGTGCGTGAAGACGGCGTCAGCGTCATACTCCGTAAACCACGCCCACTAAGGGAAGTAAAAAAAGGCGCCACTTTACAGGTGAGTGCTGAAACGTTAAGATGTTGGAAAGTTAAAGCATAATCACGTTATATATCGAACAAAAGTCTGAATTTTAAGTTTTGTCTCTGTGGCCTTTCTTATTTTATTGCATTTGTGTGAGGATTTACCCAAATAAATGACCAGAGGATGAACGCTGTGGTTTCTTCAACTTCTCAGGTGAATCCACAGGTAAGATCTTAAATATACACCTGACAAGATTAGACAGGCCCTTGCTTTGCTTTAACTTCTAGGGTGTTTGACTGTTATTATTTCAGCAGTTCAGTCATCTACTGAGGGAGTATTAGATGAAGACATGCAACCAGAGGAAGTGCGTTTTTATGTGGTCGTGCTCCTTACCCTAGGAAGGGGGGTTGGTTTGTACCTAGGTTTGCAGAGGGGCGGAAAATTTCCAGAGACTTTCTATGGGAAGCTGAGCTGGGGAAAATAGCTTACATTTAGCTCCTATTTTTATTTGATTTTTGCGAGTTATAGATAAAATATATTGACCCCCATAATATTATCAAAACTTACTTGACTCTATTTTCCCCAACTATATTTAAGTTTCCTGTTGAGGGCCAACCTTGAATTTTGTAAATTTCATATTTATTCCTGTTAAAGTCCATTAATTTCCATGGAAAGTTTCCAACTTTGAAAATTCCCGAAATCTCGCAACCCTATTTGTACCTGTTTTTGCAGTGACCCACATTAAAGATTAAACGTTGTTGACCAATTCTGATGAGTCAAAATTGCAGACATAACTCATATAGGTTATATGAATGTATAATTTATTAACTATCAGGTTTGGTTGTTTCAGCTACCCTGAGTCATGAGTTTGCGTTAGGCTTATTATTTGATGTTTCTCTTACAGTATCATTAAGGTAGTTACTTCAGGCTTAAATTGATCTATTTTTGAAAATTGATTGCCGCATATGAGCACCAGAACTGGATAACAGAGCAATGAAAATAGGGAGCCTTGAGGAACTGAACAGTGTTAACTTGGCCTCTAAATTCCCCAGATCTTAGTCTGATCTAGAATCTTAGGCATGTGCTTAAAGCCCCACCTCACAACTCGCAGGACTCCAATGTTAGAATACGAAGTCCTAGTGTCAAATACCACAGAACACCTGACCTGTCGAGGTCTAGTAGGGTCTAAGTCTTATCAGGTCAGGACTGATGAGAGAGGAGCATGGTTTTATGGGTGATAGATGTTTATCAAAGCAGAGTTCTCTTAGAAGGTTTGCTGGGTAAAAACAACTCAATGGAACAGATAACACATTTTTTCTGTTTAATATTTATAGAGGTGATAAAACAACATCCACTAATTGCTAATATAACTTACAAACAACAAAAATGCTATCCAATTTGTCAGTCATAGCACTTACACTCACCAAGAAGGGTATAAAACTGAGGCACCACATTTACAATAATGAAGCTATTAAGATTCTGCACTGCTGATTGCAGGAGAACACATTTACAGTACAGTTGTGATTACATAGGAGGAAAAGAGTGGCATAAAAAGCAAATGGCACATACATAGAAACAATAAAATATGTCAATATGCACATGTACATTGAGGTTTGATTCCCTAGGACACCTACAGATGAATGGTGTTGGACAATTAACAAAAGTTCTGAATTTCCTCTCTTGCAGATCCAGAATAGAGCAGCTTGAAAACCAAGCAAAAGCATATTTATGTCACACTACAGTTAAATTAGTGGTTGACAAACCTTTGGGGAAGAGATAGACTGCAAAAATTAAGAAAAGTAATAACTACACTGTATCTTGTAAAACGTGTTCCTTGTCCCCCAGTATTCTTATAAATCTGGAATATTTTCCAAAACAATTATTTTACATTACACCTAAAGCTTTGTCTTATCAGTTCTTGTACAAAAAAATCATAAATATAATGGAAAAAAAACATACAGGAGGCTTAAAATCTTGTGTCAGATTGTCCAAATTTAGTTTTTCATGAAATAACTTTTAAGCTGGAGTAACTGGGACAGCGGTCTGGTGATCACTCCCATCACAGTCCGTCTTCTCAGCCCTGCAGCTGCAGGTTTGTTCACCACTTTTAACCTGAGCTGCAGTTTCACCAGGTCCTCTTTGCTGAGCTCCGTAAAGTAGAAGTCTTCATTAAACACAGGGTTTAAGCAGTTCCTGATGGTGGTGCTCTCCTGTTGCTGCAGCATGCCAGGGGTTAGACACAGAATCAGCGCACAGTTCAGAGCATGTCGGTCACTGTTGTGATTTATTTCCTCTACAGACATCACTCGGACTCTGACTGTGAAGTAGGCTGAGTTAGTTTTACTGGGCAGTGTGGTGAGCTCTGCGAGGAGGTGCACTTTACCTTGACCCTGCAAAGAGAGGACGTACTCTTGCTGAAGTTTCTCCTGGCTCTGAGGAGGGAAGAGGACAGACAGGGCTGAGGTCTGGGAGTGTCCCTCTGGGCTTGAAAGATAACATGTTGAGGTGGTTAAACTTATAGCTTCCCTCTTCTCCCGCCAGTTCCCTCTGTCCTCCCTGTTGTCAGTCAAAGAGGGGCAGGATGTTGCTCCCTTCAGACGGCCGCTGCAGGTGGAGGATTTGATTGCATGAGAGGAACTAAGAGGAGAAAAGTCACTTTCTGAGCTCTTGGTCTCTGACAGGCTCTTGCACAAAACTAGAGGAAGGAATCCAGATAGAGTTTTCTTAGCCTGGCTCCCCTCCTCTGCCAGTTTTGGTAGTGGGGTAGGAATCCTTCTGTCTACCATGTAAACAGGACGCCTGGAGTGGAACAGAGACTCTTTCCTTCTTGTGTTGGGACGCTCGTATATCCCAGCCAGACCATATGCCTCTGCAGAAAAGGGCAGAGGTTTCTTTGTAGAGGTCACAGGGACTGATTTACCCCCACTCTTCCTCTTCACATCATCTTTATTTCCATTCATAGTGTTTGAAGAAATACTTCTCATGGGTATCTGAAAGTGCTGGTGAAGGACCCTCGTCTCAACTTCCTGCAGCAGGTTTTTTTTACAAAGCTGGGGCGGCAGGCAGAACTCTGGGATCTTGTCTGGTGTGAGGATGTTGTTAGGAAGATTATAAGAGAGACTTGCCTTTGACCTGAGGAAGAATTCGTCCTCACTCAATCCTATGTAGCGACTCAGCTCAAGAGGAATACTCTCCATGCTCTCTCTGATCTTTTTCATGATCCACATGATGATTTTTTTTCCAGATTTTTAAGGCGTGCAATCAAATCCAAACTTTTTCCCTTTTGCTACAAAGAAGAAATTGTAGATTAGCACCAAACAAACAATGCATTTAACAGAATACACATTCTTGGATCTATTTGAAGAGGAAGTATAAAATTTTCCTCACCTGCAGAGGTCTTGATGTGCCTAAATGTTGAGAAAAAAATCTGTCTCAGTGACTGAAGTGGCTGTGACAGATTTTAAAGGGGTCTGCTGCAATGATCTGCTGCTTCTACTTGCGTCATAAACTGGCATGCATGAAGGGCACACAGCCTGATACAAACACACACACAACAGGAGCACACACAGCGGACAGTATAATCAGAATAATCAGAATAAAGGGCATCTGTGTTCAAATATAAGGCTGTGATTTCAGGAGATAGTAAAGTCATTCCTCATTTTGCATCTACACAAAAATAGGTAACATATAGAGGTAACATTTTATCAATAATAAACAAAACTCATACAGCATAATCATTTGATGTCTGACAGGTAAATGTATAAAAAATAACTTGGCTATGAAGGCTTTCTCAACGTAAAAAACAGCAGGAATTAGGCTGTGATTAAAAAATAGCAAAGTATAGACATGAGTGTTGTTTTTGTCATGATGGCGTAACTTTATCTGTTTTTCAGAGAGCTGCTGACCCTCGATGAAAGAGAATTTAGAGTCAGACGCCCCCCATGCACCATCTCAAAGCCCTGCTCCCCTTCAAACAGCGAGCCATCCATGCTCACCGGATGTTTCCCTCGAAGATCTCAGTCAGTTTGTGTTTTAATCCAAGTAAGACTCACTAAACTGTTTATTCAGAGCAATTTATGCTATTTATAAAAGTCAAAATAAAAATGATGGATGATTAGTAAAATAATAAATAAAAGGTCAAATTACATCAATGCAAAAAGTTTTAAATCGTTTGGTGTTGCTCATTAATTCAAGACTTATAACGCTTAAGTCCAACTTAAATCCTTACCCTCATTAGTAATATGATCTCAGTCATTTCAAAGGACTTCTCATTAAGTGTAAATTAAAAGATTTTATAGTCACTAAAACCCATATGGCATTGTCTGTCCGTCTAGATTAGTCTCTAATTTCTCTTATTATTGTTAAGTTGAATAGCATTAAGCCCTAAATGTATCTTTTGAGTCAAAAGAGCTTCATTTTTCTATATTTTAAATTAATTCCCTTTGGTCTGAATCTTGTTTGCATTTTGAGCCTGTTTAATCCCTCTGTATTCATGATATTGAGAGTTGTAGCAAGTTTCCCTCATGTGAAAAAAACAAATATTTATTTGAAGAGGTCAAACATTAGCCTCTGGTTCTCTGTAGATAAGACCAGGCTGCTCAACTGCTTGTTATTCTGAGGTGAGCTCTTTGACCACAAGAGGGCGCACAGGGATCAGATTTAGTGATACACAACCTCAGTCTCCTGTTTGTCTCAGATTCAACATTCATATCACAGATAATATGTTTGGAAAGCATTACTTATCTACTAAAACATACTAGAGCGATTTAAAAAGACGTGTCGGTCCAAAGATTAGTCAGATTTGTGTGAAGTTTTTCCAGAGACACTTGACATTTGTTTTATTACAAAGCCCTCTGTTATCGTTCAAAATAACAAACACAAATGCGAGACAAATGACAGCCGGACTGTTTGTGCACCACAGCCTTTTTTTATATTTGTGTGTGTGTGTGTGTGTGAGAGAAAGAGAGAGAGAGATTAAATGAATATGAAGATGATGATGAATACATTCAGGAGGAGTCAGGGGCCTCTGGAGCACCCAGGGGTCAGGAGGCTTTTTGTGCCAGTGGAGATCGACTTTATTACAGCAATAAAAACTTGGAGTGCTTTGTGTAATGGAAAGATAAATGATTGGGAGTCAGAGGGAGACCTTTCCTTTAACCTCTGTCAAGGCTGCAATTAACTTAAATGAGGGAACAGTGCTTGTTGCCAAATGCTCCAACACTGTCTGGTACATCAGAGTTAAACCCTCTCTGTCCTGGTCCGCTCCTATTTTTTCTAAATAATGGACTTTATTTTTATTTTAGGAGTTAAAGTTTGTTGATTAATAGGTGAGCGCTGTGCTAACTCATCACCCAGACTCAACACTTGGTTTTGTATTCAGCCTACATAAGACATTAGTAAAGAGACACAAGTTTAGAGATCCTGCCCAAAACACTTTGATGGATCATGTAGATATTTATTTAAACTACAAGTTTAAACAATACTGTAGATTAATATTTGAAGCTGCATTAACCAGCAGCTTCTGGCTTTTATTCTAGAGGTACGCAGATAAGACCTCAAACAAAAGCAAAATATCCACTTCATTTAAAAAGTTCACCTCCCTTTAGTCGCGCATGAGCTGTGAATGTCATAACTGATATATTACATCTCTTCCTCCACTGTAACTTTATCCTGAAATCCACCTGCCCGGAGCGACAACTGAACTTTTAGTCTCACATCATGGCAAAGACGGTACAATAGAAACCTCAACTGTGTTTTCACATAAGAAGACTCTGTCAGACTTCATCAATGAGAGAAATCACTCCTGACTGATTATTATCATACAGTGCAGCGGGATAAATGACACCAAAGATCAGACAAAATTGGCTTTACTCTTTGTGATTAGTCTTTGTTTAGACATTTTGGCTCAAATTTCAAAGAGTACGTTTATTTAATGCAAGAAACTAGTTTAAAAATGGACACCTTTTTTATACTTTATATGCTCATAACCATATCTTAAGATAACTGTACATGAAGTGATGAAGACACTAAAAAATAGTGTAATTTAGATACAGTTAGAATTTACAGTACTGTTGTGTTTTTCAAAGATTTAGGTTCAAAACGTAACCTCTAAAAATGGAAAGTTTGACAGTCCCCGAAAGTGATGGTGAAACAGTTAAGAACTTAAAACTCCTATGAGGAGATTTATCAGCCATATCAGGATTTACAAAAGCAAACAAGACCATCAGTGATAACACTGACAATTTTATATCACACAATAATTAATGCCTGAAACTGGTGCAAGGGGCATGATAAATAATAAGCACTAAATCTACAGGAGGAACTAAAATTAAAATACACCAAAAGTCCCTCATAGAAGCTTTAATGTCTTGAGTCAAATGGTAGATAATCTGGAAAATAATAGTCTGATAAAAATTAGAAATTTTACAGTATTCAAACTACTTTAAAAAATTATCTATCTAACATTGTAGTTTGAGTGCAGTCAGGATTACATGTGCTATTTTGTTTTTTTACATATATTTATAAATGTACATTTTCTAAACCCACATGAGACCAATTTGCAGCTGCCACCTTAGACCAAACCAGGTCCAAGGTGAATTTACAATGAGAGACAGCTCAGAGTTAAAAAATAATAATAACAGAAAGTCACTTATCAATCATAATATAAACATTTAGTGGAGTCAAAGTATATTTGATTTTTAAATATTATGAAATAATTTACTAATGAGTCAAAATATAATACTCAAGTACAGATACTTGAAAAAATAAACAGCACTCGAATAAATGTACTTCATTACCCCTGAAAACAAGCAGGCACAATAAAAACTATATGTCGTGTTTGCATTTTACATTTGCCAATCTTTTAATGCAGAAAACTTTGATGAGTTAAAGCACATATTTTTACCAAAGTAACCAAACAAATCATGTCTATAGATCCATGGCACTTTTCATTAGCTAAACCTTTGTCGTTACGTTCCTTCTGTAACTCTGCCAGTTATTATGTTTTACAATGCCTGATGAGATTGAACATTTAAAGTAAAATCTGTGCGGAGGAGAACAGCTGACAATACACTTTGTTAATTTCCATCTCACTTTAATCACTATTATTGAGAAGTCAGACGAGCCGATGTGGGCACTTAACCTCGGGGGAAATTGCTGAAGTTTTTTGGCCGCAAAACTTCTTCCTGTCTTTAGTCTGAACTCTTCAAAGAAGGTGAGAATGTGGGGACGATGTAGAGGGGAAACAGTGGGATGGATGCCAAAACTGCTGAACCACTGACCTGTTTTTGAGTCCACGCAAAAATGTAATAACGGCTAATAAGGTGTAATAATTTGGGCCTATAAAGAAAGGTGGCAGATTGAAGATGATATGGCTTGCGTTGGATGACCTTAGTTGGAGGACAGAACAGAGACAATGCACTTCAGACAGTGGGGGAGATAAATTTTAACCCCAGATCAGTGAATCATTGAGTAATTATGAAGGAGAAGAGAGAGGGAGGAGTACGGCAGTGGGAAACGGGTGACAGTCAGTGAAGATGGAAAAATTTGGAACAATTTGTTTAAAAAATATAAAACTTCTATAGAAAATAATAATTCAGGTACAACTTTATAACTCTGGAAATACTGAACAAAAATGCAGATTAAAAAGGCAAAGGAGGAAAAAGTAAAATCTTGGTCCAAGACAAGAAGAGTTACATTAATGTGCCGTGGTCCATGGTGACCCATCATTAGGACTCTCTCCTCTGACAGCTTCTCTCTGTCTGTAGGCCTGATGCCAATATGCTAATTCTCCTCATACTTCCTTCTCATTGGCTACCTCTAACCCCTGTCGACATGGGCCAGATGACCGTCCCTTTATCCTACTATTAAAGACCAGGGCAGCGAATAAGTCAAGGCGACCATTACTAAGATGAGAGCACATGCAGCCGTATGTCAGCTGCCTGCTGGCACTGAATCACAGACACTCTCATACCTCCTTATTACATTAAGCAGATCTGAGCGTGCAGAGTGTGGACAAATGCATAATGTGGCTTCCTTTAGAGTGCACTACAATGTTTGTTGATCCAGATACTGAAGATTCCCTTTTTGATCCTAAACTGCAGGATGAGTCCAGTCAGGGTCAGTGATGTGCCCCCTGAGGGTCATGAAGTCGCTGTGCTGGGCAGCCTACAGGTGTGAACATGTTTGACTTTAAATAACAATTTTAGCAGGTTTTCAACTTCAATTAATTGAGAGTTCTGGATTAACTGACTGAATATGAGCCATAGACACATTTATCCTTATATTGGGAAAATCCATCCATTCAGATAAGGATTAATTTTAGCCTTGAGTCAAAACAGTTAAGGCTTCGATTTCATATTCATTCAAGGGTGGCAAAAATTTACATCATTTACATCTTTTCTTTACTTTCTTTCCTTCCTTCTTTCTTTCTGAGCTTACTTTTCTTTTTTCCACTTTTTATTTTGTTCTTTACCTTTTTCTTCCTTTTTCTTTCCTTTCTGGCCTTTTTATTCAGTCATTTATTCATTTTTTTCTTTTCTTCCTTTCTGTCATTCATTTTTTCTTTTTTTATCTTTCGTCTGTGTTCCTCTTAAAATTCTTAAATTCTTTTTTTTCTTAATTACCATTTTTCTTTCTTTGTCCTTTACTTCTGTCATTCTTTCTTTCATTCTTATCTCTCTGTCTTTCTGTCTTATTTTTCTCTATTTTTTTCTTACCTTCTTTCTTTCTGTCTTTCAGCATTTCTCTTTTGTTCATGTTTCTTTTTGTCTTTCTTTTCTTCCTTTATTTAATTCTGTATTTCTCTTACATTTTTAGATAGAATCTTTCTTTCTTTTTTCATTTGTTTTATTTCTTTCTGTAGTGTTTTCATTTTCGGTCTGGCTTTCTGTTTTTTTCCACCTTTTTGTCTTTTGTCTTTCTATCTGTCCATCTTTCTTTCTTTCTTTCTTTCTTTCTTTCTTTCTTTTCTCTCTGTCTTTGTCTTTTCTTTTTTTTTTACCTTCCTTTTTTCTGTCTGTCAGCATTTCTTTTTTGTTGGTCTGTTTCTTTTTTGTCTTTCTTTTCTTCCCTTATTTTATTCTGTCTTTCTCTTTCATTTTTAGATATTTTCTTACTTTCTTTTTTCATTTTTATTTCTTTTTGGATTTTTTTTCATTTTCTGTCTCACTTTCTGTTTCTTTCTTTCTTTCTTTCTTTCTTTCTTTCTTTCTTTCTTTCTTTCTCTATCTATCTTATTTCTTTCTGTTCTTCCCTCACTGTAACCTCATCTTTTTGATAGTCATGATGAGAAAAGAAGAAACCCTGTTTCGGGGTCTCACACTCAGACTTCTCCTTATGCTCTCCAGTGACTGTATACTGATTCTTCTGTAATGAAACAATCGATTGCATTTAAACATGTGATATTATCGTGAAATTGTTGAACAGTACTGTGGTTTTATGCAGCTCTCTTTTTGAAATGACTCCTCTCATATTTTAATTATCACTCATGCTCGGGCTGAACAAAGAATCCTTTCGTGGCAATTATAGATTTAAAGAAATAAATTCAAAACGCTAGTGTTTCCGTTAGATTGAATAAAAAAGACTGCTGACTGTATCTAAGAATAATATTTAAGATTGTTCATGTTGGTGTGTGCGTGTCTGTGTGTGTGTATGAATGTTGAGTTACTGTGAATAGATCAGATCAATGAACTAAGCTGCTCATTATGATGGCCTGCTCTTGCTGGTCATTAAGAAAAACGCATGTAGAATTTGCCACCCTGGCCCCTATGAAGTGTGGGTAATTACTGCTAATGTATCATCATCTATGCGAGAGCAGAACGTTTCATTTCTGAGGGCTGACAGTGAAACACCTCTGACCTAAATGTTTTATTCATCCTTTACGCTCGTATTATTCATCTTAAAATCATATTTCACATGATGAACGGTTTTTCCATGGAGTCTGCTCGTGTTAATGTGCCGTACTCTCTCAGAGGCATTGATAGTTTATTGTGCGGTTTACTGTTATATTTCAGTTATTTAAGTGAGATATTGGTTCTCTTTAACTTTTAGGGTTGTTATGGATGCATGAGGTGTGATCAGCTTATTGAAGTATTGAAGAAACTTTGTCTTTATCTCTGGGCACCATCTCATGAGTATTGTTTATGCTTATTTATTTTACATTGTGTGTAAATAGTTTAATGATAAATAAGAAGTTTTAAAATGACATTTGACTCTTTCTGCAGAGTCTCAAAGTCATCAAACTTTGTTTTCTCAGTGACAGTCTGGTGAAAGAGAGCGCTCAACCATTTCTGTTCTCAGTTTTTCTACTCAATGCGTTGTGTATATAAATTTGCCTTAAAGCCCTGAAATCGTATCTTTGAAAAATTAAACTTTAATATATCTATCTTTCTTTTTCCATTATTCAGCTCTCTTATTGGTTTTAGATGATGGGTCAGGCAGCAGATTTGAATAATTCCTTCTCATAAGAGTTGAATTAAAGTTTGGAGTTGGATGCAACACATAATTAACCCTTGCTAAATTTCATGTTTTTACTGTCGTTAACTCTGAATTCTTACTGAATTCAAACTTCATGTTCAAAAACTTGAAATGAAACATATCAAATCCATGTTTCTTGTGGATTTAGTAAACGTTCAGAAAACTGGTCAATTTTCTTTTTGTCACTTGTTTTGTGAGTGACGTAATTCCAGTTTATGATTTGCACCTCTGAATTGTAGGTAATATTGTCAAGAATGTACATATAAGATGCACGTAACTCTATTGAATTAGTCCCACTTCTTTGCAGAAACACACTGCTTCCTCGGTTTTGTCTTAGAGATTTTTATATTTGCACACAGTAGAAAAAAACATACCAACATGCCCACAGTATCTTAAACATGTATCTGTATTTTCTAGCCTTCTCTCTGAAGATGCACGGTAAATCATTTAACACGCCGTGAAAAACTCTGACTTCTAACTTGAACCACATATACACTCTTATATGTGCATAAACACATGTACACATTAGGAGACCTCATGTGTTATTATGATTCCAGAGGCTTCTTACTCTGCTAACTGAGGACAGAGGATCATGGAGGGTAATAATGGCTGCATTATTACTCCTCTTATTGTGCCTTAATTAGTGGCATTTAATTATACACTGATGCAGTGAGGGCTATTAAAGACACTGAGGCCTGCTGATCAGGGAATTAAAGCAACACACACACACACCTACAGGCAGACTCACACACTCTTCATGTAGACATTTGTGTCAGCCCGTTAAAATTTCAGTTCCCTTTAACTAGGAATCACAGACACCCCGCAGTGAAAGTGTGTGTGGAAATGTGCATTTATTGGTGAGTTATATAAGAGGGGATAACCTTTGGAGGTTTAGAAAGAGAGGAAGAAAAGTCAGCCGAACTGTGTCTCAAAAATGTTCCATAAATAATCAACTTAAAATGAGCAAAGACTGTAAAATGTTTCCCCGCCTGTTAGAAATGATTCCTAAATAGCTTTTAATTCCTCACTCCCACGCCTCTCCTCCACTGGTGCATCTCAATTATTTGTTCAGAGGCTGGTGTGACAATACTGTCAGCTGGGGAAGCCTTTGGGATGCTAAACAGGGGACAGGAGGTTGAATATAAGTCATTTTCAGGGGGGGCTGAGCCAGGACAAGCTTCAAAGGTACGTTTTAAAGAGGCCAAACAAAGGAGCAAAACTTGATCCCATCGCCCTGCCTGCTTTTGAAGCTGTGAGGCTGCAGGTCAGAGTGACGGCTGCTCAGTCTTATGAGGACTATACACACTATTCCTATTCCATAACAGGCAAGATAATGCACATGGTTAAAAAATGTGTGTATGAAGGAGATGGCATAACTATAATTAAAACTTCTTTTGTTGCTCATGCCAAGTTTTCCCCTCTTTGTCATATTTCCCAGATTTTTGGAGACAAGGAAATATTAACATCAATCTGCTGAATTAATTAAAGTACAAAATCATGATCACTTTGAAGGAAATCCTGAGAGTTAGGTAGCCAACATTTCCCTGAAAAAGTCCTCACAGTTTAAAGAACGCTCATGCTTGATGTTGTAAAAATAGAAAAATTCTGCAGGATTATATCTTTTATTTTTAAATTAATGTAATTCACTCAAACAGTTGGAGCTAAAATGTAGTTTTTAAGAAAATTAAAACAGATTTTTTTCATTTAATTTTACTGGATCTGTTGAAGAAATTCAGTGAAAGATGCAGCATGCACTTTAAGGGGCAGCTGGAGGAGAGTGTGCATTTATGGAGGCTGATATGAAAGCAGAACACACCAAACCCTTAAATTACTGTACATACAGATTACACAGACACTTGAAACAGCACGAGATTTTTCCCCAAGACTCATTTATCCTAAAAATAAAGTAAGATGTATCCCACTTTATTTTACTTTATATTATCCTTATTTAATTTCACCTTTGTGTCTCAGTCCTATACTTAAAAGTCAAGTTGTGGTGTGTGAGTCCTGAAAAATGCGTGTAAACACAAGTCAAACATATTCTAAAAATAAGGACAAAACCAAAGCAGATTAATTTCAAGTTCTTTATAAATATCCTCACATAAATAGTTTTAATACAAGCATAACATTTTCAATGCACCGCAAAGTTACACACCAAAAAAAGTGCAACAGGCCGGGTTAAAAACATGAAGGCCTGTTTGTTTTGAGCCCGTCGGCCTGCCAAAGATTAGGATAAAAGTACAAACATAGTTGTAGGTTCGCATTTGTAAAGAATTTTAGATTTCTGTCTCCTAAATGAAAGCTTTCTTTGGGGTTTAGCGTCTCTACGTGTCTGATTGTATTTTTCAGTGCCACATTACAGCAGCCTATATGTGGTAAATGCCCTCACAAAGTGTGCAAATAAATTGTGATTTTAATTAACATGACTAATGGAAAATAATCGTTACACAGCACAATGTTGTCTGACTCTCCTACAGCAGAAACTTAACATATGACCTTGTTGGCTATGTGTAATTTTACGCAGTGAAAAACGTCCTCTTTATTTGTTTTTCTCTTCGATTTACCCGGTTAGGACAGCAGGAGCGCGGGGTGGAGAGGGTTGCCTTTCCCCTCCAGCAGATCGCTCTTCTCCATCACTGAGGCCGGCGAGCAGAGCTGAGCCGGGCCGGACTGCAGTCCCGTCAGGCCCGGCACGGGGCCCAGGGACGGGGTGGGTTTAATCGGCACGGGAACGGCTGGAAGGGTTTGCCCGTTCGCGTTGTGGTACAGGCCCTTCGTCGACACGCTGAATGGTGCGTACTCAGAGGATGCTGGCACGGGAACGCCCCCCATGGACTCTGACAGCATCCCCACGTGCGGCCACATGGAGTTGACCACGCTGCTGAGCTGTGGGGGCACCGGGTAACCAAGGTGGTGCATGACCGATGTGAGGGGTAGCCCGCTGGCCATCACGCCCTTATAGTCCCGTCCTATGATGTTCTCGATGGCGAAAGGGTGTTTGAACCCACCGGGCTGCGCGCACGTTATGCCCCCGTAACCTTGAAAGTGAGGGAGCCGACCCACTGAGCTGGCCTGCCCGGCTGAGTGGTCGTGATGGGCGGACGCTGCGGCCAACTTGCTACCCGGGTGGTGGTGGTGGTGATGGTGGAAGTAATGCATCATTGGGGAGCTCTTGCAGGCCATGTGCTCCGCGCGCAATACCTTGAAGCGCTTCCGTCTTCTGAGGAAGCTGCCATTCTCAAACATGTCACCGCAGTCCGGGTGGAGAGCCCAGAAACTGCCTTTTCCGGGCTGATCAGGCCGTCGTGGGATTTTGATGAAGCAGTCGTTAAAGGAGAGGTTGTGGCGCAGGGAGTTCTGCCACCGCTGGGTGTTCTCTCGATAATATGGAAAGCGGTCCATGATAAACTTGTAAATGTCACTTAGAGGCAGCATCTTCTCGGCTGAGTTCTGGATAGCCATTGCTGTCAGTGAGATGTAAGAATATGGGGGCTTCTGGTCGCTGTAAGAGTTTTTCCCAGGACGAGGCATGACTTCTCTGTTTTCTCGAAGTTTGACAAAAAAGAAGAAAAAAACTTTGAAGAAGAATTCTGTATGTTCTCTTACTTCACGGTCTTCATATCAGTCTGCGTCTGATGGATCAGCTCCAAAGTTCTCAGCCATCTGTTCAGTGGCTGGTTTTCGATTTTCTTGATCTTTATCAATAAAGTTTATCCTACAGGCCTGATGTTGTCTGATGAGATCCTCGAAGGGTTTCTGCATCCCAAGAAATCCTCTTGAGAAGGATTCGCTGTCTACTGCTCCTCTTGGCGTTGTGCGTAAAAGTCAGTCTCAGTGCGTAAAAGTTGAGAAGTCCTCTGTTTCCACGGCGGTTTCAAGATGTGAGAGGCCGCTTTGCTGCTCTCTCTTTCTGTATGTGGTGTGTGCTCCTGTCTTCCCTCCTCATGTGCGATGTTCCCACTCACTGAGCGCCGTTTTTGTAAGACCCCCGCAGGCCGCTGCCTCCATTATCTATTATCCAGACACTTAGGAAGGGACACGTCAGGGGAGAGCAGGGGGCTGCGTGTGTGTGTGTGTGTGTGTGTGTGTCAGAGACAGGAGGAGAGAAACAGGAGGATGCGTAAAAAAAGATGAATAAAAATGAGGGGTGGGTGGTGCTTTGAATTCACTGTTTGCCAATCAAAAAGGTTGTGCGTAAAGTACATTTGGACCATCCTTATGATTATGAATTTTGTCATCTGTATTTAAAAGATTTTCCTTCTAGTAAGTCCCTAATAGCCCCACAGGGTGGTCCTGACCCTGACCTTTGACCTCTCCCCTCAAAAAAACAGCAGCTTAGATTTGAACCAAATTAAGAAATGACGGTCAATTTGTGCGTAAAAATGTATATATCGGAAAATGATCGGGAAAAATATCGGAAATCATCTGATGCTTTTCCATGACTTGAAGATACTGATTTGATTTGCCATCTTTGCAACTTTCACCAAATAAATGAAAAAGAAAAGAAGATACAATACAGCTTCTTAGTTAAATTTGCTCGTGTGCACTTTCAGACTTTGCAAACAATAAATCATGTCTCCCTTTGCGCACAATCATCAGTGCGCTTACTCACACACACCACAGAGAGAGAGAGGGAGAGGCTGAGAGGGGGGGCGCTGTTGTTGATTAATTGCTGAGAGGGGAGTCCGGCGGCTGTCTGTCTGTTCAAACACTCTCCGGTGAATCCTACAAGGATGTAAACAAACTTCATCCCCTGCTCTGAATTGCGCTCAGCGGAGAACAACAAAAGCTGCTCCCTTCCCTGCGCATTATTTTTCTGCAGCCAGGTGTCATGACTGGGTCCTTGACGGCTTCTGTCTTCCCCGGTGCCCCAGTGGGCCCCCGAATACATTACAATAATTAAGCCTTCCGTGATTTAGCCTCCTAGGAGAGAAGTCCAACAATGTAATTAAGGGCAAGCTCGCTGTATTAGCTATGAATATTCAAAACTGTGTCAATTAATTAGCCGCTGTATCCTTCCAGTTATGTCTCAGCCCTTCAAGCCCACTCAAAAGGTCAACTGTGTCGACGGAGAGCATATTTTAAACACATCATGGAATTACAAGGAAATCGCTTTTTATTGCCTCAACACTTGAAGAAGAGTGAACAATTATGTGTTCACAAAGGCAGTGTTTTGTTTTGTTTTTTTAACTTGTCTTTTTTATTGTTGTCTTTGTGTGATTGTTTTCCTCGCGTCTGAAAAATGAGTTTGGAAACTCCGAGGCCCTCCGAGGCCAACGCGGGTAAAAAGCATCCTCTTTAAACGCCCGGGAAAGATCAATATTAAATCTGTTTTCACAAAGGGGGCCGTTAAATAGACACCGTGGCTGATCTGCATAACAAAATTAATTAGGTAGTCTACGGCAGTGTTCGCCTGCGCCAAACTCCTGGACAAATAACTAGTTGTAAAGCACACCTTCTGGGCATACGGAACATATGCTGGAATTATCCTTAATTGACTAATTACATAAATTACTCATTAAGTTTACAGCACATCAATTATAAAAGATGTATCAATTAATTTTGCATAAATTACAAGCGGCACGCTGCACGAAGAGGGCGGCGGAGGGAATGAGGGTCGCCAGGAGGGGGTCTAGTCTAAGGTGTGTGTGGGCGCGCGTGTGTGTGTATGTGTGTGAGGGACGGTCGTCTGTTTGTTTCCTGTCTCTAATAATTATTTGTTCAGCTTAAGGGCAGAGATATTCTTTCTCTGTCTCTCTCTCTCTCACGCAAAGGGAAAGTGTGGGGGTAATGGCAATTATACTAATAATAATAATCTTAAAGACCTCTCTTCAAGTCATCAGGGGCGCAGCGTCGCGGAGAGAGCCATTAAAATCAATTAGCGAGGCCTATTGTTTTCAATGGGAAATTAAACCGGTTTAGGACTGTTGTTCAGACGCTGTAAGCCTTACTTGTGTAATGGGAGATTATTCAGAGGCAAAACACGACAGATCTTGAGTGCGCGAACAGACACGAGTCTTAATGGACGAAAGCTGCGGCGTGTCTGCCTGTTGCCTTCATGAGTTATCTCAGTCATCTGCAGGTATAACTTCATTTTTCATCCCTGTGGTAAATTCAGTGTAATGTTTATCCAAACTGCTGGATTCTTCCCAAGCTTGAAGGATTGAAACCTTGACAACAACAGAAAGAGTATAAGAACAACATTCATATGAAAACTTGTCCCTGTGTTTCACTTCATGCACCTTATTCCAGGTGGCTTAACACTAAACACATTTATGAAGTTGTAAGATAGTCTTTTAGCTTTAATTCTGTCAGCGTTATCATTTTACTCTATAAATGCTGCCTTGTCTCTTTAATTTTGTAGGCTCATTAAAAGCCATTCCTTGTGGATGAACCTTTACCACATTCTGACTCGACATGATGAGGAATTGTGTTTCCAAACCGTGAGCTGGACAGGTCCAACATGTCTTATTGCAATGAAAAAAAGAAAATTAACATAAGATTCAAATTGGCACAAGTGATTAATATGTAATTAAAGGTAGGGTGGAAATTTTATTCTAGAAAATACATTCTTTTCACACATATTGAAGTTCTTAATATGATGCTCAAAAATATCTGTAGCTGTTGCAGGGCAAAGCGCCTCTTCAACCATTCAGCAAAAATTATTGGATAACAAACATTACCTCTTACCTTCCTGATTCAGACTCTATTGGCGCACATGAGTGAGTAACAGTGAGCATTTTTAACTACAACACACCTTGTTGGACTTCTTCCCTTACAAACAGAGGGTTGATTTGTTTGAAAGTACATTTGTCCTCATCTATTAACTTGTATTCAGGTTATTGATTTATTTTTTAACTTGTAGTTTAGTTAACTTCTTTACTGTGAACAATAAAAGGCCACAAAGATGATTATTTTCACAGTTAAATACAAAGCAAGCACCAAACATTTTTGACATTTAAAGCTCCTGTGAGGAGTTTTATTGACAGAAATGAAACAAACTGAAATTCATTTGGTTGCTTTATTATGAACTCCAAAAGCAAACAAGTCCATCAGTGACAGGATTTACAGCTTTTACTTTGTAATTTTTAATGCCTGAATCTGTATTAAAAGGAGCAGGTGTCAGCTGAGTAACAGAGGAAACAGCCCTGTATGTACTTTTTTACATGTAAAATATTCACTAGTAATGATATGTGGCTGTTGAAGCACAGTAGAAGTAGACCAAAGTAGGAAGACACCACAAAAATATGAAGATGACAAAATAAGAGAAGCCTGCTTTGTCCACAGGGGGCGCCAAAATGGACATAAACCAAAGTTCCTCATAGCAACTTTGGGTATCACTTCACCTGTGCTTTCTCTTAGCCTGTACAGTTTAAAGTGTTTGTAACCAACCTTTCATTATAGAACAAATTTAATTTACCTAAAGACACTTTCTGTTTTACGTCTTTCCTTCAGGTGTTATTTACCTCGACATCAAGGGCTGGAAAATGTGGCAAAAACTGAAAGTACAAAACTGGCCTCTTGAGGATGGTTCCTAAAGTGAGTCAATCCTCATTAACCTCCATGTTTACAGCTGGTTTTGCAAGGTGTGTTTTTTTTTTTACATAACTAACCTGCTTATACAATATGAAGACTAAAATTTCTGTTTAGGATGGCCCATTTTTAAATGAGTGCAGTAAGCTAGGGTGGCTTTAAATTGCAGACCTTAACCCATTGGGGTTTTGGGTTGTTGGTGCTGTTTGGATAAGTTTTCATGCAAATATCAGAAATGCAACTTACTGTGCTGATGACTGTTGTTACAAAGCCTAAATCGCTCACTAGATCCTTGCTTAATTCTAGTATTATTGCGTTGATGTCCGTGCTTACTCCTGTCAGTTTGTGAGTAAGCAAGCTACAATTTAGCTGTGAGCAGTCAGTAACTTTAACAAGTTTGTATTCTGGACCGCTGTCTTGTTTTGCTCCAACAATTTTTCATAATTTCAGGTCAAAAAGTTAAACATGATATTTGAAAACAGCAGTCACATCTGATGATGACACTGTGTCCACGTCCAGTTTTTATATGGTCTTTGATTTGACCAAACCAGCTCTCATAATGCTGTCATAATGCATGACAGTTGCAAGGTTTATTTAATTGTCTGATATCTTTATTTTGAACATGTTCATAAAATAACGAAATATAATTAACAAAAAAAAGCAATAAAAATGTAAACAGTCCACCTAAACAGCCATTTGAGCGACTATGTATGACAAAAACAAGCAGCTTATGATTAAAAAGTAGTGTGGATGAGACTAAGACTTATTTTCATATCCTTTTTCCCATTTTTTGTACAACTTTAACAAAAATATTCACCTGGTGTCAATACCAATGAAAAAAACATGAGTAAATGAATCGTTTTAACCAGTAATAAGTATCTGTCTTCTAATCTGCATAAATTGAATAGGATCTTGGTCCATTATTTTAAACAGAATAAAGTATTTTCCCTCCAGTCTCATGTTTTATGAGTTCTGTTTGCCCTAAAGTGTTTTCCCCTAACCCCCTCCCCCCTCATAAGGGACATGGTCCAGGAATCACATATGAACTTATGACACCTTTTTAAAAATAAGTGAAAACCTACAGTGTTTGTAATTATTCTTTATGCCAAGATCAGTGCAGCTTTTATTTTGGAAGTTATGACAGGAAGTCACATTATTATATCTGGCTTGACTGTTGTCTGAAAGAATAAGGACCTTTTGGCTTCCCAAATGGACTGTACACTAAAAAAAACTCTCCATTACTGTTCAATCACAGCATCACTACCTTCACCACATAGGAAACTGTATCATTTATACTGCATTAAAAAGTAAGGCCATGATGAAGTCAAGCAAATGTAAAAACACAACAGCAACCGAGAAAAGTAACATGCACAAAGAATTATTTCTGCAAGAGAATAAATTCACATTCGTTGACTATTCTTTTTTTAATTATGATCTTTTGTTTTAGTTTTGATATAGATTTAAATGAGATAAAGTTTTCAGCTGGGCTTTCTGCAAGTATCAGAACCTGCTGAGACAAAGCTATGTAGCTGAGCTTGTGTGTCATGATCATTTTCAGTCAGTCTAAAACCTGCATGGTATTATTTTGACACTCCAGGCCCTCCATGACAAGACAGAATTACCAGCACAACCACCAACTCAGTTGTTCCGGAACTACAGGTGAAACTGCAGGTTTACACACTTTTCTTTTGGCCTTACTATGATCCTGCTCACCCGTGTAAAAACCCAAATTCAGGACTTGTATTTATTCAACTCTTTTAGAATATAGGGGAGAGTGGGGTAAGATGAGCCATTTTTCATATTTCGGATCACTACTTCAAGGCAATCATAGTTTTGTCTCTATCTAGTGTATCTGCATATATTTCAAGATGTTGTGCATCCCTGCAAACCAACAGACTCTCAGTTGAGAAAGTAAACTGTATATAGAATGGACAGCGTCTGTCTCCTTGCTTGGTGAAACCACCCCGAGAACAGCACCCTCTGTTGATGGGCTGCAGTATAGGTCATAAATCCCGCCTCCGCCAGCAAAGCTTATGGAGCTGTGGACAAATTTTAGAAATTGATTTCACAGAATATAATTTTTTCTCCCTCCTGCTTGGGATGTTGACATGTAGTTATTGTAAGACTGGTTTGTGCTCAAGTTCTGTAAAGCTCTGTTTTGAAAAGTTATTAAAAGGTTCATGTTTTTTTTGATTGACACCTGATACAGCCTATTGGCGTTCTTGCATAGTTACCTGGAGGATACTCTGTTTGAGCCGAGCGTCATCACAGCGACTCTCGGTCACTCCCCCTGCCGAACGCGTATAATGCTACTGCGCAACGCTGGTTTTAGGAAATGAAGAAAAATCACTGAAATACCGAGAGCTTTTTGGCTTCAAATCCGTATACAGGCGGTAGGCGGAACCAAGTTGTCCATAATATACACAGTCTATGGCTGAGCCACTGACTCAACTTACCCCAGAACTACTATTATGACTTTATTAGTCCTCTAAGCTGAAATGGTGGACGTTTATGCTTGTTTTTTTTACCTCATGTTGTAGCTTACAGAAACCACAATTTATGTATAAAACAAATTTAAAATGATCTTTTTTGGTCTGAACACAATTCTAATGAAACTAAAGACAGACTAAATTCACTTTCAAGATTGAAAAATGTTTCTTTTGTTTTGTTTATTTTTTTAAATTAATGTCTAACCCCTTCACCCATGTGCTTCTAACCTCCACAGACTCCATGAATTGATGCCCATCTCCTAAATATTTGGTCACATGATCAATTTCTTTTTACCAGGGGGTGGCTCAACTTACCCCACTCTCCCCTACATTGTGCTTGCTTTGCATTGGTAAAGACAGACAGACAGACAGACAGACAGGCCATGTCAATGATAAATGTAATGTCCTCTTTGAATATTAGAGTGCAGGGGCTGGCTGACTTTCTATTGCGTGTGCATGTGTGTGTGTGTTCTGCTGTTCTCCAGGTTGTTACTCATACGGTCATCTTTCAGGTTAATTAAAATGCTCCCTGTCACACACACACACACACACACACACACACACACACACACACACACACACACACACACACACACGAACCACAGAGGCATTCTTGCAGAGACTTTTCAGCCCTGCTCAGGTTGGGTTTTGATGCACAACAACGACAAAATACCAAAATCACTTTTTATTAGGAGTCGTGTCCAACCGTGGAGATTTTCCCCCCCTGTCCACGAGGGCAGTGAAGGTGCTGAAATCACAGCAAACCACACTGGCAGTGAAAGGGTGCTGTCCGTGGTGCTGGAGAGCGTCTGTGCGTGTTTTCATTGGTGGACGCTGTGGCTATGTCGTGTACCGGGTTGTGTATGGGCTATAGGTGTGTTTGTCGTGTACCGTGTGTGTGTGGATAGCATATGAGAGCCGCTGAGGGGGTCTGCCGTACCGCAGGGAGCGCGATCGAATCACGGCGCGCGCCTCCGCCGGATCTCCTCTTCCTGCCGTCACACCCACTGCTCGGTGTTGTGGGTTCACCCCGTAGAGGAGGGGAGGACCCACAGCAGCAGAGAGTGCTGCAGTGCGAGCACAGCGGGAGACTTGCAAGCGGAGGGGAAAAACACACACACACACGTACAGACTCACACACACACGCACACACACAGACACCAGCAGGCTTATTATCGAAACTTGGTCTATGGAGAAATCTGCAGCGACGCCGTAGCGACGCAGGCCGACATGGAAGAGTATTTGCGGAGGGTCCAGAGGAGACTCAGGGTGAGTTAAACGCAGATTGTGGCTGTAAGAAATGAGACCATGACGGGCAGATGACTGATACCGCCGTGCTACAGGCTGCGTTCCTGTTGCTGAAATAGCGCACAGCAAAAAAAAGGGAAAAAGCCTCGCACGTCCCCTCGGCCCCCCAAAGCACCTGTAGATCTTCAAAATATGACAGAACGGGGGGAGGAGGGCGTGTTTGGCCCCGTACAATGAGCTCGTTGTGTTTACAGGAGCATCAGTGTGTGAATTTGAATGAGGAGCTGATTGCTACTGAGGGGGAGGCGTGACATCAACAAGTTTAGCCAGAGGCTGTGCTTCACAGCTATCTGGTTGCTCTGCAGATAGTGACTCATAATTTGCATTTGATCCATCTCCTCACACATTTCTATGGAAAAGCATCATGCAAACACTGAGCAGCCTAATGTATATGGATTAGCTGACTGTGGATCCTTAAAGGTACACATGTTTGCATTTTGTAGTAGATTAGAGATGTGTGGTTCTTGTACATGTACCTGTCTGTGTTTCTTGTAACCATTCAAACTGTCACCTGCACAGATGGTCACATCAGGGAGCTCTGTCATGGATTACACTCATACTTTAAGGCCCTGAGCCATGGAGGCCCTTAGACTGTTTCTCCTGAATATGTCTGTCTGAAGGTCCACATTATCAGCGGCCATGACAGTATCTTTTAATGGTTTGAACTGTGAGCACTTCCTTCAGTATAGTATGTGTGATGATGAATCATATTTGGCTTTGGCGTGGGCTATATCTTTATGTTTATTCCAGAATTTTTTTTCAGTGGAAGCTTGGCCAGGCTCATATCAATAGCAGGAATTGATCAGAAACAATGCTGTCAATCACTAAAGGGTACATAAACCATTATGCAGTAAGTGTCAGAGAGCATTTTGCTGTTTTGGTCCAAAGAAACAGAATCAGTCACTCATGGGCAGATTTGCATGTTTGTACAATGTTTTACTGACGTTCCACTACAAATATTGTCATATTTAGGACATCGCCATCAGTCACATGCATTTTTCCCCTTTAATTCCCATCTTCTGCAAACTATACTTCCCCTTGTTATCCTAAGTTTGTTGTGTTTGGGGGGAAGGCCTCCTTATCAACTTAATGTGGCTGATCTGGAGCTTTGGGTGAAACCACATGATCTTTATCTGCTGATGAAGATCATGTGAACTGACTTAAAGATTACTTCTGCCCAGCTGTAACAGATTTACAGGATTTCAAGTTTTGGTTCTTTTTTTTGATTAAACACTGAGCCTCAGAAATAGACCAAACAAACCAACCATCAAGTCCACTAAGTTGCTGTTCAAAGTACATATGATTGTACTTAACAGTCTCCACAGACAGGTAAAGGTGTGTATGTGTAATAGCTTACATCATACTGTTATCACATGCAGTAAGACACTTATTAACTCGGCATGTCAAAGCTAAAACAAACATTCCTCATAAAACCCAAACTGATCACTTTGCAAATAACACAAAGCTGATAGTATTTATGTGTATAAGACAGAGGCAGGCAGGTAAGAGCAGGTTTAGTTAGCATGCAACTAAATTGTGATATAAAGAAAGAAAAAATATAAACTTTAGAAATGACTTTTCTCTAAGTTCCTTGAGAGGACTTAAACTTTCTGTTGACTCTTATGGATAAAGGCTGTTTCAGATGGTAAGATATACTGACCTTCATGTGTGTATTAGCTTAGAAGTAAAAGCAGTTTCATCTTCTTATCAGTGACATATTTCCTTTTACAACAGGTCTGTTCACAGGGTTATTCAGCACTGAGATAATGTATGTACGAATGTTAGCTGTCATAGTGAAACCATGTAAGCCGTCTTCTAATCACACAAATAGTGAAACCTAAAGCTAACAGATTAGGTTGCTTCTTACAGGTAACTTTTAACTGTAGTGGTAACTGGCTAAAGGTGATGTTGGCTAGGAAGTGATTGCAAATGTGCTATAAGCTGTTTAAGTGAAGCTTCTGGTATCTGATAAGTATTAGTTATATTATTTTAACTTTGAATGTTGTGAGATGATATGTTTGTAGTGAACTGACTCTACATTGTCATGTTTCTTTGTTGGTGCCAGAGTTACAAGTCCGTTATTATGAAGCATCTGACATATGGGAATTTAGACAACACAAGCAATATCCACATCACCATCACCTTCACCTTCAGCACCAAACTACCAAGCGCTGAGTTGTTCACAAAGAGCTCGATCAAGAAGTTCCTCAGAAGTAGAAGAGGACTGTTTGGATTAAAGTGGTTGTGTCAGTGGACTACAGAGGAGGAGAGCTGAGTTTAAGTGCTCAGGTGTTCTATATAGAGTTGAATCTGGAGCTCTTTCTGAAAGGACTCTGCAGATCTAATAGAGTTTGTAATTCATTCCACCACCGAGGGATAACAGAGGAGAGTCTGGCTGATGACTTTGGGTCCTGTTTCAAGGATAGCACCAGCTGCTTTCAACTTGTAGATCGAAGTGGACAGGAGGGAGTGTAGACCTGTTGTTTGGCAGGAGCAGTTTCTGTTGTAGTAGCTCTTTAGGGGAGAAGTAGTGTTTTAGATTTGATGTAGGCTGCTCCTGGAAACCAGTGAAGGGAAATGACCAGCTGAGTGCCGCTTTAGGTTGGTTAAAGACCAAACAGACTGCTGCATTCTGGGTCATCTGCAAAGGTTTGACCATGCACGCAGTACTAGTCATGCAGCAGCCAATGCACAATATTACAAGAGCTTGTGTTATTTGCTCTTTTAGGTAAGGTCTGATCCTATTGCTGCGTTAGAGGCCAGAAACTGAACATTAACCTGCAAGGAAAACTGGCAACTGGTGGTGCTACTTTTCCATATAAATGACAGGAAAATTAGTCGCTTCAGAACAACCCCAGGAAGTCAGGATTTTCTTTATCTACTGTCTTTTTTTATTTTTGAGATCCACTTAGAGTGCAGCTGTATGACACTTCCTGAACATGTCTCATATCAACTAAATGGCTGCTGTGTGGATCTGGACATTGCTTGTGCAATAAGCTTGCTAGTCTCAATGCTAAATGATGGAAACGCTAAGAGGAGAGCTAGACAGGTGCAAAGACAAACAGGTAAGACATACTACAGGTCTGCAGCAGCACAGAAACCAGGTTTTTTCTTTGGATATAGCATTTAATCGACTTATTGCAGTTACATTTTAAACCATGCTGCAGTTCTAAGAATATTCTGTTTGTTCTCGTAAACACGACACACATACAGTGTGAATGGTCCCTCTATTCCGAGCTTTTAATCAGAGAGCAGTGGGATGGTTAAGGAGAGCAGAAGATCAAAGAAGCGAATCTGCCGATCAGAGCACAGCTGGCTAATTTAGTGATAAAGAGGGTAACTGATGATTGTCATGGCAGCTGCAGATAAAGCCGAACACATGTCACGATTATCAACCCTTTCTCTCTAATGCACGCACACACACACATTATACACACAGACACACTTTGTCTCTTGCTCCTCTGGCTCTCCAATATCAGCTCTGATGATTTGCTGTTTTGCTGACCACTCTCTCTCCCTCTCTCTCTGTACTCGCTGTATGGCCTTCGTCCAAAACATCCATACCTCTAATTGGCTTGGCTCTGAGTATGTGCTGGATCTGTCTTTCTATCTTGCTCAGTTTTTCTCCGTAAAGCTCTATCATACAGTGCGAAGCTGAGGCAATGTGCTGAGTGGACTTCCAGCATCCATCTCTCTCCGTGTGCACACTAACACACATAGGCAATGGCACCACTTTAGCCTTGTGGACCTCAAACAAACTTATTCCTTATTTCTGGTCTCTATCAAGACGCTCCTGCAAGTGAGACAGATATGAGGGATAATTTTGGAAGAGTTTATTAACACGGCTGAGCCAAAGGGATAAAATAAGAGGAAACTTTGAGTGACAGGTTGATACTATCTTTCATTAGTTGATGGAGCCCCTGTTTCATATAAGATTAGATTTTCTCTTTAAGACGATGGTGGGTAAATTAGAACTCTCAGAAATGAGAAGTAGAGAAGAGATCTGTTGCCACGTTTACATGGGCAAAATTTCTTGATCCGATTAAAAATTTGAGGGATCGGATAATCTGAATCTTCTGTTTATATGGGTGCAAAATCAAATAATCTGATCATGACGTGCGTTTATTCAGATTAGAGGCATTTTTACATGTACAGAGTTGTCTGATTTCATTAAAACAACAGCAGAGGAAGTGTTGTAATCACGCCTGTGCTGTAACAAACCAACAAACACGGTAGTGATTCACTCCATCCAATCAGGACTTTTCCCCCTTGTTAAATGTTGTCACTAGATGACGCCCTTGTGTACCTATTTTACTGTTCTGTCAAAGGTTGCACTGTTCTTGCCGATGTGACATCATTACGCTGTATGCAGAGGCGGCCCAAGCCTCAATGGGGCCCTAAGCAAAATTTGATTTTGGGGTCTCTATTTCTGCCAATAATATTGATTGTTGATCATTCACACCTACTACAGTATAAATTTAATGCACCTGACATGTCTTTACACATTTAACATAAATAATACCAATGCAGCCATACAAATAATACCAATGAATGACTGATGAATGATGCTCATGGTGCCACATATGGTTTTAAATCTCAAAATGTAACACATTCAGGATGCTCAGTGCACACTGCACAGCAGGAGGCACATAACGGTAGTGGAGCTTTGACATATCAGCAGTAAGAATCATAGGCCTACATCAGCAGCAGCACTAAAATGTTTTAATTTTATTACAATAATATATATATAAAATATAAAAAATATTAAAACTTTTTTTTTTTGATTGCTCTTGGGGGCCTCCTACTGGCCGTGGGGTCCTAAGCAGGCGCTCAGTTCACTTATGCCTTTGGCCAGCTCTTGCTGTATGCACGCATTGTTATGTTATAGGAGGAGCAGACACGGTACCTGCAGTTGTGTTTTATGCCAGAGTGTTAATGATGAAACCTCCTGTACTGACTTTAAGAAATAAGCTAAAGGCTAATGAGTTGATATCGAGTTAGGTAAGAGAGTCACGATCAGAATAAGTGTTTACATGGACGTGTTTCGGAACTAACGATCGGCATAAATCCCCCCTCTCGATCGGAATACAATTTCTTCCCGATTGAGCCGAATTGGATCAGAATCTTTTGATCGAAATGTCTAGGCTCATTTTTATTCTTATTGGGCATTTATCCTGATTTTTTGTGCCCATGTAAACGCAGCTTGTGTAATTGATGGATTTGTGACATGTTCAAAGTGTTTCTTTGACTTCAATCCAACCTCGTTTGTTAACTTATTGCTGCTCCAGTGCTTGTGAGTGCCACAGATGTAAACATTATATATTACACAGCATATTAAGGTTGTTATTTAACCGCCCTGTGGCTTTTATTACAGCCAATTTCTGTAAGCAAATAAATCTTTTTTTTTGTTTTGGAGTGAAGTTTGGCTGAAAATATGCTGATGCAGCTGGGCATCTAGAGGAGAGTCATAAGATATTCCAAAGCTGGCCAATAGAGGAGAGGAGGAGAGGAATGAAAGGGGGGGAAGGATAGGCGAAGAGAGGGGTTAACTGTTGAGAGACGGAGAGATATAGCTCAGAATGAGAGAGCACTCAGATTGAAGGGTATCAGATGGCCAATGCACAATCATGCACGCACAAAACACACACACGCGCACACAAACACTCAGAGATGCTCTCCCACTCGCTGCAGTATAACAGACACTGAGTGGCCTTTTCTCCAGCTAATGCATCTCTTCCCTTCTCTGACCATCCAGTATTGATTTGCTCTCTCTCCCTCCTATGAAGAAACCGGCTGCAGACCTCCTCCCCCTCCCCCTGTCTCACACTCACCTTCTCCTCTTTCCCTTCAGTTCCTCTTTAAAATGTTCCCACTCTCTCTTTATTCCCACTTATTTTCCCTCACATCTTCATCTCATTCCCCTATCACATTTTTCACCTGTTTCTCATCCTTTCTGAGCCTTTATACTCCTCTGAGTCATCAATCTGCTGCCTATTCTCCCTATATTTTTCATAAGCTTCTCACTCACAGTGCCTCATATCTCCATTCGCTCCCCCTCCCTTATTCTCACTCTAATCATGAACCTCTAACCTTTCTCCTACCCTCCCTCTCTCATTTCTCCACACTCATCTCATCCGTAGTCTAAATGGTGAGGTCCTGAAAAGAAATAAGACACCAAGTTGTTTCTTTGCACATCATTACCAGTGCTTTATTCATCTCTGCCATGCATTAAGGCCTCTTCAATCACAGGGTCCATTATACATTACAAACAAATGTGCTTAATGTAAGCTTACAGAGCAGAGTCTGAAGAAAAGGAGGATGAATTAATTCTATTCATGTTTTTAAAAAAAGCCTCAGAAGAACTTGTTTTGCAAGATTTGCATGCAGTATCTTCACACTTGCATCATCATAACTTTGTGTTTGATTTCCTGCCTTCAAGGCAGCTGTTTCACACAAAAAAACAGACTTCAAGTCTTTTTAAAAGTAGTTCATCCACCACGAGTTCAGCTGATGTTTTCATTACAGTTCTGTTGTTGCTCTGAAAGCTCTGAGATTTGATCCTCTATAGGGGGGTTTGAACTGTCACTGTAGGTATGATAGACTATAGGTTTATGTTATATGATAGCATAATAAGGATAATAATGGTATTAGCAGACCAACACTTGAAAGTTAATGAGCAGTATCAGCAGAAAGTCAACATGTCCACTGATCTTTATAGCTTCTAAGGTGGCGCTCACAGTGACAGCTTTTGAGATCCAGTATGTTAGCTGTATGGAAGTATTATGAAGTGTAGTAAACAGACAGCAAAGTAGCAAAATGCCACTCCTTAAACACTACCTGTACTGACAGAATGTACAGGTATTCAAACACTCATTCCTACCGTCTCCATGTAAAGATGAAACTCACCACACCTGTGCAACCCGCCCTGCATAATCCCCAAACTCCACCCACAACCAGAAATATTCACCAATCAATCAACATGACAGACCCTCTTGATACTGTTAAATAAAATGTATATCAAATGTTATATTTTGACCATAACTACTTATTTCACCCTTTCTCACTCGGAAATCAAACCCCTATAAATAAAACTGATCATGACTAAAATGGCTTACACATTCCTGGTTTGATTGTGCTCTGAGGGACCCAGAAATCCCCCCAAAAATCCCAAAATCTTAAAGATTGGTATTTGATACTGTTTTTAAAGTTATATTTTAGGATGTGTGTGTCTTAACACAGGACAGGAGAGTGGATAGAGAAAAAAACAGGTGAAAAAGTGGAGAGTGACATGCGCTTAAAGGACTGCAGGTTGAAGTCTATAGTCTCAGTTCATTGGTGCAACTAAACCACTAGCCAAACTGGTGCCCTCCAAAGCTACTCTATTCTGCATTAGCAACAACTGAGAGATGTTTTTAAAACAGGACTCATGACTGAATCTGTGCCAGTTTGAGTCACCTGCAAGAATCAAACCAAGAAACACAAACAGTCAGGAAACAAACGTGCATCTTTTTCTTTTCTCCTGCTCCATCCTCGCCCATCAGAGAATCCTACAAGCCCATTAAGATGAGCTGCAGATAGATGAGGTATTCATTGTCTCCACATTTTGCTTCTTGATTAATGGTACAAGCTGCAGGGCTGTGAGTAAGCTGATTCGTTTGAGATAAAACATTACGGACTGACACAGATACACCTGGTGCAAGCTGGGAATGGTTGAAGGTGATCTTGTTTCCAAACATCGTTGAACTTTTTCTCATTATCATCATTTTTAACAAGGAAACATTTATATATTTTGAGTTTTACATCTCCTCAGAGACATATTTTGCCTACGACTTAATGCTTCTTCATATAAACCTCTTTTCTAACGCCACCGCTGGAACTGCGCTCTGGAGGTTGGGAATGGTTTTGTAAGATCTGCTTTATCTAAAAGGGGAGAAACTCAATTATCTGCCTTTTTATCTCAGAGACGGATGTTGATCTCTGTAATGTAGTCATCATTAATGTCCACTTACACTAAATGAGGAGTGTTTGTCTGCATTGTTTAGTGAAATTAATGGAACTCATCACTCCTCTGACAAAGCGTGTTACTCTCAGATAGCAGTGAAAGCATTTCTTCAGCTAATTTAGACCGTTGCTGCGCGAGTTCCCCTATCGTGATGCGCACATTGAGTAGCCCTCTCCTGCACGGCGTAGCGTTGGAGCATCTTGATGTCATTATTAATGCATACAGTTGGTTTGAAAATGCTGCAGTCATCTAACACAGCCACCCTGACTCACGAGTCACAAGCAGTATCTATATCAGCTATCACAACAAACAATATCAGCTATTACTGCTCTCTTAGTTGGCTGTTTGAAGACAACAAGATTAAATATCACTGACTGGGTTCTTATCGGGTTTATTTAGAAATGAAACAGTGACCCACACACTGATGCAATTATCTTATATATTCTTGTATCTGTGTGTTTCCAGGCAGACATATCAGAGGATCCAGTCCACGCTGTTTTAGGCGGACCAGAGCCAGATGTTGACACAGTGGCTGCGACTCTGTGCTTAGCACTGCATCTCAGCCAGGTAACATGAAACCTGTCTGTTTGTGTGTGTGAATGTTTTTTTTTTTAGCAGGTTTAAGTTTGAGTGTTCAAAAGTTTAGATCAGCTTCAACTTTTGTACCATAAATGTGAACAATCTCTTAGAAAATGTGGATATTATCGCTCCTTTCTTTAACAAACTAGCGCTGTGTTTGAAATGTACTACTTCTTCATTGTATATATTGCACATGTTTATGCATTGGTAGCTATATTATCATCACTGAGCACTGCTTTATTTCCATAAGCTTCATTTTGATAAGTAGCCTTTCACTGCTGAGTAAAACAACACAGAACAGAGGAGCAGAAAGCCCAGAAATAATAATAACAAAACAAACAATAGCTGCACAAAACTGACCAAGTTTAATACTGAGAGCACTTCTTAATCTACTGACAGTCAGTGCAAGTTCTGCCTTTGCGATAATACATATCTTGAGCGAAGTGGATTGTAGGTGGGGTGAAACAAGCAGCTTTTCTGCAGACACTCATCTGTTAACAGATGTCCTTTTATTTTATTTTGGTTCATTTTGTCATTATTTATAAATTTTCACAAATTAAAATGTACAAGAAGGCATATTACCTCATCTATAGCAGAGTAACAATAATGATTTCAAATTATAACTGGTACAGAATAAATAAATAAACAAATGGAGTAGTGCAGTTTCCTAATGCATCAATTTTAAATCAAATTGTTCACAATTTTCAGTTTCGTAGACCTCCATATATGGACTCTACTAAGTTATTATCGTTCTTCATGACAATGTAAACCCGTCTCTCCAGAGCTAAACAGGCTGCAAGTTCCTTTTCCCACAGTCCAACAGAGGGTATGGCCTTACTCTTCCATGATAATGCCGCTTGTAGTCAGGGTCCTCAGGGTATATTCCAAAAACACAAAGTTTGGCTTGTAAAACTTTATTATTTGTTAATCACCTTAATTTGACAACATATTTCATTTACATTTTTAACATATCGTATAGAACAGTGGTTCTCAACTGGTGGGTCCCGACCTAAAATTGGGTCGCAGACATGTTCTGGATGGGTCTCAAACAGCTGGTCAAAAAAGTAAATATTTAATGCACATCTGATGTTTGACAGATATTTTATTTAAAAAAAAAAAAGCTTATTTTGTGAAATTTGATATTTATTTAATATTTTATATTTTCTGTATATGCAACGTCCTTTGTTCATGTGCTCTGAAATGCACTTTACTCAATAAAACGGGTGTATATGTGTTAAAAATTTGAGTCTTTAAAGGTTTTTTTGATATAAAAAATAAATCTGCTTGGTTTGAATTCTATAAAAGTGGGTCACGACTTCAGGATCAGGAAAATATGGGTCCCAGAGTGATACCAGTTGAGACCCACTGATATAGTCCATGCAAATATAATGTGTCTGATTCTGAGTCAGTATATGAATGTTGGTTTTGCTGGGTTCGGGTCTGATCCAGAAGATACCATCAGGAGAAGTGTGTGTTCCGGTGCTGTGTGGACGTCAGTGTGACCATGCCCTGCCAGGGGAGACGGTGAGGTATCTGCAGACTGTGAAAATTAGTGAGAGCTCGCTGCTGTGGAGGGAGGATGTAGACCTCATGAAGCTTCATCACTCCGGAAAACTCTCTCTGACACTGCTGAGAGATGGACTGCTGGATGGGTAAACACACTCACAGATGCAAATCAGAACAACACACACACACACATCCACACACACACTAGTTCAAGCAATCTTTAACTTTTCATAGATGGGACTCCAGGGAAGTTATTAAAATCTTACCTGGAAGAGGTCTCAGTGAATTTAGGATGTTTTATGTTCCACTGGACAACACCGATCAATGTGCGAAGCTGAAGCGCACACACATATGCACACACACACACAAACATTAGCAGACACTGTGGGCTCTGGTTTACAAGACTGTATTTGTTGATGCATAAATGAGATTGAGAGTGCGTTTGGGTGTGTATTTCTGGCCTGTGTGTGTGTTCATCACTCATGACCCAAAGGGGAGTTGCATTTATGCAAATTCCTCACAATCATCTCTCCTTCCCCTGCAGCCTTTCATAACTCCTTCTCTCCTTCTCTCCTCTCTCAGCTCTGAGTACCACACTCTGGAGTCCAGCATCCTGCGAGTGGTCCATCACGACGGGCAGCAGGATGCAGGGGATGATGGGGCACCGTCCGCCGTGACAACAGTCGCCAGGGAGATTCTTCAAGAGGCAGCAGAGCACGTCGGAGCAGTGCTGGGGGAGACTCTTGGAGGTAAGGGGGGGAGACACAAGCGCACCCCCAGGGGGGAGTAATGGGGCGGTGAGGGAGGACACACACAAATCCCCTGACATGACTCGCTTAACACCCACCAGGAGAGATGGAGAGGGGGAGAAATGAGGGGGAGGCGGCGGGTGTGGGTGAAGAGGAGTGCAGAAAGACACACAGAGCTCATTTACGGGAGTCTGACTCTTTTTGTGAAGTTGGTTCAGTCTCTTGGTTTCAGTCACTTCTTACATGTGGTAAAAAAAAAAGTCATGAAACAAATCAGAGAAACCTGCTCATATTTAAAAAAAAACAACAGGAAAATTAAATCAAGTAAAATAAAACAACTATGTGAGTTTTATTTGTGAGTCTCTGCACAATTTCATGCGTCTGTGTTAGCTGGAGTCCAATAATATTGATAACTAATAACACACAGACAAATGAACCAAGAATTTCTGATGGAAGAAAAGTGTATTACATGTGGAGAAGAAAGAAAAAATGAGCAAAGTGAAGTCGACAAACCCCGAGAGAAGAAAAGAGCAGGAAATTGATGTTCTGTTTGTGGTCCTATTCTCATATTTCTCTGTGAGAGTTCTTTGGATGGTGCATTTACAAGATTATTGATTCCTAAAGAGATCAGTAGCTCATCTTCTTTATTCTCACGCACACCCTCTGACAAAAAGTACAACCAGAAATAACCGGGAACTTTTGACGTCTTCCTGAATAGGTGATTAGCTTTGTCAGTCAGTTCGAAGAAGATCCCAGCTGATCAGTGTCTGCGTGTTTTTGTGTTATCAGAACTTTTGTAGCAGGAATAGAACGTAATCAGATTTTTTCACATTGTTAAAGTACTGAATGTAGACTTTTCTGTCTGTAAGAGTTAATGACTCCCTAAGTTTTCTGGATTTAAAAACATAATTTCACGCCACATTTGCAATTTTTAGTTGGCATTGTATTGTAACATACTCATACTCATAGAATCAAGAAGCAGCGTCTGCATATCTGATCAACACGTGTGTTTTAATGTCTCTACGTTTCTGTGTGTGCAGAGGCCCTCCGGCTGCAAAGCGAAACTTTATGGATCAAACAAGGTCGTCAGTCGTCACGGCTGCAGGAGCTCATGAGATCCTTGGAGCTTCGGAGTGATGTCACCGCAGGTCATCGTGGTGATGCAAAGTTAAAAGGTGCATAATTGAATAGAAACGTGGAAGAGTTTGACTCTTGTACAGGGAGAGGACTTTATCTGGTGAGCAACTTGTGCGTGGCACCATCCTGGGTAGTAGACGTCACATTATAATAGGTTGGACTGAAGATTGACAGCCTCTGATGAAGGTATCTTGATGAAGGCCTGTAAACTTTAAGTGTAAACATGCTGTACTCTTCTTCCTTCTCCTGAGATCCAGCTCTTTCTTTCTGGTTCCTCCAAAGCTTCTGACCCCAGCAAAGGTTCATCACCCCAATCAATTTCTTACAGTCAGTTCAGTCCAACCTCTTATGAATACAGATCTATAAATCATATCGACAGAGCATGGATATCTTCTGACTCCTGTTTTATCCTGTTATTGTCGTTTTATGGAATGTAAAGAGAAATCGCCACACTTCACATCATTATTAACAGCACTCTTTGTCAGGTTAGATCTTCATAAACAGAGTGTCAGCTGTTGGGAGTTTGACTGAAATTGGACACATTCATTCTAGTGACCTTAAACCTTTGAGTGTGACATTTAGTTTTCTATGAATACAGTATAACTTAAGTCCCTTCTTACTCCCCGGAGAGGACATTCATGCTTGTGTTTTCTCTGTCTGTTGTGACACTGTTTTGTATTTTTGTGTGTATATAACTGTTAGTCTGTTTGTGTGTGCTGACTGGATGCAGACTTGGAGCAGCAGCTGACTGTGGAGCTGAAGGAGTTTTCTGATGGAGAGATGACCGTGGCGCTCACTTCAGTCACCACAGATAAGGAGGTACGTTTTCATCACCAAGGAGTTAAAACTGCTGATTAGTAGCTCAGTGAATGAATCATATTAACTTTAAGAGGTTTTTAGGTTTAAACATTTTAGTCTTTCATTTTGAACCCGAAAGTGGCGCCCCCTGTGGATGAAGCAGTCTTTGCTTACCCTGTCCAAGTCATGACAAAACATGTTACTCTTTTTGCGATCAAATTTCTAATTGTTAATCAATTTTTATGAAGAAATTGTAAAAACAGGGTTGTTTTTCCAGGTTTTTGAGCACACCTACCCCTTTGTACAAGTTTTAGGCATTAAAAATTACGACATAACCAACTGAGCATTTTTTGGTCCAAAAGAGGTCTAATAGATGTCTAAATTTTACCTTGACGACTGGTCTAAAATCAGGCTACCACAGGTCTAAAAATAAAAGTTTTTTTAAGACGTCTAAATTTAGACCAACTTTAGACAAAGTCTAAATCTGGGCTATATCTATACTACACTGTATATTGCTCAAAGGCTATCATAATTATTTTGGTTAAGTACCTGGAGATCAGTTATGCAACTCACAGTTGCTTTTTGAAATAAATAGTTATGAAATAATGGGTCAAAGTGAAACATCTAAATTCTGTCTAAAAATAAACAGAATCTAGACGGTTGAAATTAGGTCTTAAAGAAAAACTAGATGTCTAATAGCCGTCTATTTCTCATTGGAAAATATTGTAACTCTTGTCACTGATGGTGTTGTTTGCATTTAGGTATCTTGAAAAGGCATCAGTATGAGTTTCAGTCTATTACATACACATGAAAAAACTCCTTATAGGAGCTTTAAGTTGCAAACGCTGACAAAGAGACATTGGTGCTTATAAATATTGTTAAAGGTCATATCAGTTATATCGATTTTTTTAGGAGTGGATTGTATTGAGAGGACATTTGAAGACAGACAGAAAGTGCAGGTAGCAGGGGAAGACATACAGCGGGGAGTCGAACCAGAAACTTCTGTGACGGAGACTTATAGCCGCACACTCAAACCTGTGGTCCAAACCATGGGGTTTACGATGGTGTATAATGCCGCTGCCTTCCCTTTGTTGGATACTTTTCAAGAAGCAGAATAAAACTTCTGTAATCTTTAAAAGACTGTAAAACTTTCACACAGGAAAACTGTTTCTTTTTCTAAAAGTTACTTTGGATTGCTTTAATGTTTTGGATACATCACACCTGCGCTGTCTCATTTTGGGGAAGGAGCCCCTCTGATGTTGTGATGTTCTGCATTTGGATGAGATGTAGATGTAGGCACACACCCAGGTACCACCTGCCTCCCCACTGCTCCCCTAAAATCTAACACAGGCGCCACATCACACACTTTCTTATACATCTGTGAATGTTTGTGTTGACTTCTTTATCTTTTTGTCTCTGTTTCACTCGTGCTCATTTGCTCTCACACACACACGAACACACACAGAGGGTGCTTAAAGCCTTTAAGCCTACCCCTCGCTCTTCTCCCTGCTGCAACTTCTAATGTGCTCACCCCCTCCCACTACCACCACTACCCCCCTAAAAAAAATCATTCATTATTTCTTTTATATCTCCTTCTCCCTTCCAAAGCCCATTTTTCTCAGCGGCTGCCTAGCGTGCGGTATTAGGCTATGTGTAAAATAAATGATGTCTGTAGCCGTAGGGGTATGGCTCTGCCTCCCCCAGAAAACTACCTAACGTCCAAGGAACATTAAACACCCAGATCCTCGTTTAGCGAATAAATAACCATTCATTTGAATGGCTTTGTCTGCGTGTGCGCACCGGACTTTCTGTGCATATTTTACCAGCACTGTGCCTACATGCTGTGTGTCAGGAGCAAGAGAGAGAGAGGGAGAGAGCAAGAGAAAGAGAGAGAGGGCCCATTAGAGACTTAATATAGAATAAATGGCCAGGGGCCTCTGTGTCGCCAGCGGACCCTCCAACTCCGCAGCGTCATGGTGGGTTACTAATGACCTGAGATCGGGCTCCAAAATGAACTCCTTATATTCATGTCATTTGCAGTGTGTATATATTTATATATTATTTTTTAATTGTGTTTGAAAAGAGAGTAAAACGGTATGAGTGTCATTTATTGAGGGGGCTTAGGGAAGTTCTGCCTTAAATGATTCTTTCCAGAAAACTAAATAAATTAGATTCAATTAGTATTTAATGGTTTATGTGTTATGTGTTTGTCAAAGTGTGTTTTTGTGAGTGTGTGTGAGTGTGTGTGTTTGATGGCAGTTAAAGAAGAAAGAGTCAGATTTTGGCTGTGATTGCCTACTTAGCAGACGGAAAAAGCGTTTGTGTGCTTGGTGTAACGATATGGACACATCGTATAGACTGACTAATGTACTTCTTTATCCCGTACGATCATACATTAGACAGTGTGTGTGTCTACAGCGTCTCTATAAATCACAGCGTTCGTCAGGATGTTCCTCTGTGACATTTTTATCTGCTTATCAATGTGAAGCGAACGATGATTTGACACTGTCGGGTCAATTATTGACATCATTCACCAAATATTTTCTTTTAAAGCTGAAATAAAAAGTATTTACAGCTCAAGAACTGAAACGAAGAAGTGTCATACGATCTACTCTTGAGCAACAATTGTATGAACGGTCTCCTCAGCTTTGGGATGAGTTGTTTTGTACAGCTGAATTCAGTAAGTTACATTGCATACAGGAGAGAGAAAGCAATGATTTGTGCAGTCAAAACATGTGGCTCTAGGTTAAAGCTGTCACATACTTCACATACTTTCTCCACCTTATCTATTTCCTTAAGGTTTTATATGTTGTAGTTATCAAAGAAAATAAGATAAAGCAAAAAATTCACAGAGCAATAACTCAAAATGTCATACATTTAACTCTCAGGCTGACTCCTGCTTGAGTCTTTAAAGCCCAGGCTGTTATTTATTGTCAAAAACAGTGGACTTGAGCTGCCTTTGGTGACTATAAAAACAAGCAGCACTTGATAACTCATCCTAACGTAAGTCTCAATAAACTCTAGTGGTCATATATCACATGAAGCTTTGCATGAACAGTGACTTAAGGGAGAGTGATAGTAAATTAAATCTACTTTATCATTTCCCAATTTTTAATTTTTGGATATTTTCCTGAGATTTGAAAACAGATTAAACTCTAAACTTACTGTTTTGTATATGTAAGAATACATAGTAGGAAATATATTTATTTGGCCCCCGTGTGCAGAGCTCGCTTGTAGAGCACACGGTCTAATAAACTGAGAACAGAACTGTGTCAGTTTAGAGACACTGCAGGAGCCAATCAGGTCAAGTGCTTTGCTTAAGGGCACAAAGCCATTACACCGCATCACCTGTAGATGTAAAGCTAAGACACACATCTACACAACAGTAACAGTGAAAAAGAAAACTTCTCATGTCTGTTAAAGGTTTAGTGTATCACTCACATAAAACCCAAAATAAAACACAGTAAAAACACATTATTCACACGTTCATTCCTGTGTGTGTGTGTGTGTGTGTGTGTGTGTGTGTGTGTGTGTGTGTGTGTGTGTGTGTGTGTGTGTGTGTGTGTGTGTGTGTCAGGTTTTCATGGCTCAGTAATTAGCGCTGGCAGATGAAACATTGGTCGGATAAAGAGTTGTCATGCTGTGGAGTTGATGAACTGTAGGAAGGACAGGAGCCCACAGCTACACACACAGACACACACACACATGAATTATGTGTTTTGCATGTATTAATACACAAAAACATGAAAGTGTCTCGATAGTTTTAAAACTTCTTGAGTTTATCTGTATTTTGCGAAAGAGGAGAGAGAGGGAAAGTGATGAAAGTTGGCATTTTGGCAAAATATGTTTTTGGGATGTTGTTTGTTTTATATTTGTTTTAAGCAAATTTTATTATTTTTCGTAATTTGTATGTGTAAATGTTGTAAATCCAGTGCGTATGTGTGTTTGTAGCACATCGAGGACTGACATTTTTTGGATTTTCTTAACTTTCCTTTTCCATTTTCGTCCCTAATGATCTATGTTGTTGATTTGTCGGTTCTGGCGTTTCTGTTCATGCTTCTGTGTCCGTCTCTCCATCTGAGGTACGCTTTAGGTTCCATTTTGGCGACGTTGATTGTCTCTAATGTGTTGTTTGTTCAAACTCCTCCGGCCCTTCTGTTTGTTTATGCAGGGCCAGTTTTGCCCTATGCCGCTTGCACAAATAATTATGCTGGCTAATGAAGGGGCCCGCAGCCACGGCTCTCAGTAAATGCCTTTCTGATGAGAGGCAGTAGGAGACAGCAGGTGCAGGGTGGGCCTCCCAGGGACTAAGATTGAAGACCAGGAAGTCAGGGTGCCACGCGCCTCCATCCTCTTAGCTTATTATTCCTCTTGAACTTCCTGTTTTTTTGCTCTTTGTGTTAATCTTGTTAAGGATAAGTAGACACATTTCCTAATTCTGTTTAGTGTTATTTTTCTCATAACTCTTGGTGCTAATTCAGAGAATCACTCGAAGATTCATCAGTTTTATCCGCATCAGTTTAACACGATAAAATGAACTTTTTCCCAAACAAATTTATGATGTTTATTTACAGACTTTGGGAAGAAGTCGCTGCACAAGAAAGCCATCAAAGTGTTTCTTAAGTAACTTGTACTGATGTTGTTTTCTCATCATCTTCTCCTCTGAAACGCTCGCTCTTTCTCTTCCCCCATTTCCATTCTCCCCCTGTGGCTTCCTTGGGCTTTGAGGGCAAACAAATAAACAAAACAAAACATTTATAGACTCAGCGCTTGTATATTGGCCCCTAAATCCCTGTACTCAGAGCTGAGCGAATGAAGCATGCGGAGAGGGCCCATATGAAAAAGACAGACAGAAAGACATTTGGGCTTCCTACTTTACAAACTTTTACCCCCTCCCTTTTTCCCTCTGTCTCTCCAAAAACTTCATAAGCACTAATACTCTTGTGTACGCGTGTGTGCGCATGAGTGCGAAGGACTGCCATGACTCTTGGTTTGTGTGTTCGATTGTGTCTGGGTGCACGTGCGTGCGTGCGGTATATGTGGCACATGTGTGTGCGTGCATTTGCATGCGTGTGTTTGAGCAGGGTGGTGTCAGCTCGCTCCTTGCCACCCCATTTGCTGTAGCTGTACCGCTGTGATCACAGACAGATGTATAAATCAAACCTCGCTTGATGGATTCATCAGGGTGGCGAAACGATCGCCTGAGAAGAACTCACAACTCTCTTAGCGTTCTGTGTTCTGACGGAAAGGGTATGCAAAGAGCCTAAATGGATGAACGCTTGATTAATTCTTTGCCGGAGATGTTGGCGACAGCAGGAAATGTGTTTTTGCTTTGACTGTGTTTGCACGGGAATTTACGCGCGCGGGGCGTGAGTTATGAGGCCTGAGTTTTGTACCTAAGGCTATTGTGCATAATGATGGCAGGTTGGGAGAACTGCAAGCAGCCGCTAAAGACTTGCTACCTGTGGAGCAAAGACAACTAAAGAGGGAGGGAGGGCTTGTGAGTGTATGCTTGTGTTCGTGCATGTGCGTGTGTATGTGTTTGTGTGCGTGGATCGTGGCCCAAAATGGGTGAAAGATGAAGCCGTAGAGTGTTAGAGGAGGTGAGGAAGAGGCAAAGTGTTATGGGGACACACAGGTGATGAAGAAACTGCGGGCAGTGAAAGTGTCTTAGAGGGAATTATGCCAAACAACAGATTTAAAATACAAACTTAGTTTACAGAGAAAAACACAAATGTTTGATTGAAATTTCACAAGACATGGCGGTTAACGTAAAGTTATTACTCTGAATGCTTCCTCATTCAACAACTTTATTATGGCTTTAAAAACTAAAAATTTAAAGGTCCTGTGAGGATTTTTTTAAAGATTTATAAAACAGACCAAAATTCACATTTATGCCTTTTTAAAGTGCACAAAAGCAAACAAGACCACTAGCAACAAGATTTACTAACTTTATATAGTTATTTTTATCACATGAAACCTGTATGGGAGGGTCCGTGCAAGCCAAGCAGATGAAGAAAGCATCTTTTTAAACATTTTCAGTATTAAATATTCACAATACTTCAACATTTTGAATGACGAGAGTCAGCATGATGTAATATTTTTGATAAGCAAAGACCCTCTGTTGAGGCGGCGCCAAAACTGACACATGCCTAAAGTTTCTCACTGAAGCTTTAAATGTGACTTTTAACACCACCTAACACTCTCCATATTTGTTCTGCTGTCACAATCATCACTTTACAAATACTCTGAACTTGCTATCACAAGTTCAAATGAAGTGATTTTTGAGTCATTTGTGAGTTAATCAGATCCATTCAAAAGTTATTAGTAATTAAATCATCACTCCTGTCCACACATGTTCCATATATTTGCCTATGGCTCCATATTGTCTTTCTAGCATTTTATTTAGGAATCATTCTGGACATTATCTTTAAAACTATTGTTTCAAACTTTTTCTTCTCATATTCTCAGAGTAGAACTCAGTGGTGAAAAACTTGCTCTTACATTGCTAAAACACAACTATCTAAAGTCGACCACCTGCTCTCAAAGACTTACTTTTTCAGTCGCTATATATTTAAAACGATTCCCAAATTACAAATAAAACCAAGTTGTTATAGTCCCTCCTTTAAGTGTAATGTTTTTGACTACTTACTCTTTAAAACTTAATCAAAACATCAACCTTCATGGTATTAAAAATCAAGCTGGAGTAAAAAATAAAGCTTTGAGCTCAGAGGTCAAATCTATGTTGGAAAATTCTTAGTTTACCAAGAGTTCAACAAATGGGAAACAGGTTTCTGTGTCCTGAGCTCCTTGGAGACAGTTAGCAAGTGGATTTTATGGCTAATATGTTGGTAATTTATAAGAAAAGGCAATCTGTGTATCTGGGGGTGGCAGAAAAAAGGAGGATGAGGAGGGGGAGGCAATATGAGTAGTAATTTACTCAGTTAAGAGCCAAATGGCAGACAGACTGTCGCCCTGCGTGTTATCTCGCAGATTTGCACTCTGCTCGTTTTCTGACTACATTTCCCTGCCTGTGTGTGTGTATGTGTGTGACAATGTGTGTGTGTGTGCAGTTTGTGTGCACATGCACACAGTTGGGGAGTAGCTTGAGAGCATTAGCATCATTTGTGAATTTCTTTGTACAGTGTACTGTAAATCATGAAGACTTTATTGCTTTGCCAGAGCTCATATGTGTACATACTGGTACATGTTTGATCACTGGGATTACAGTAGATGACTACAGGCGGATTTATGTGTGTATCTGCATGTGTTAGAGTTTTATGTGCCTTTACTTGTGTTTGTACTTCTGTGAGTGAATATGTGTGTTTTAACGAATCTGAGGAGGCTTCATTGCACTCATCAGGATATCAGAGTTGAGAAATGGCAGTGTCAGTGAAATGACAGTTGTGCGTGCGTGTGTGTTTGAGGATTGATGGGCCCGAGTTTGACAGCAGCCATATTGCAGAGAAAGAGAAGGATGGGATGAAGGGAGGATCTGGGGGAAGTACTGTAGCCCCCACGTCCTCACAGGTTAATATTGACACAGCCTGGGCAGAAACAAAGCCTACAGCGCTCATCAATCACTCTCACTGGACCCATGCAAATGCACTCACACACGCTCAGACTCAAGCAGAGAGGGACCGCACACACAAGGAAAAAACACAAAAGCACGACTATTTGGATTGATATCGTAAAAAAACATAAATGTGTTTTCAAGAAATCTCTGAATGTCAAAGCTCAGTCTGCCTCTCCCTTTCTTCTTTTGTCTGAAAGTTCTACTTAAATAAGCACAACAACAATTTTACGAACTTTATAAAACAAACAGTTGCACAACAAATCTATATTAATCAAGCAAATATGTTTTCAAAAGTATCACTTTGCACATTTTATGTGTAACCCTGCGTTGCAAATTATGGTTGCAATAACATTGTTGTTAATCATTTCAGAAAGATAGAAAAAGCAAGTTCCCTTGACAAACAAAACAATTAATTAATGCAACTTTCTGTCCATCAATCATTGTGCGTGTCACTGAATTACCATAATCTGTGCATGGTGGCTGTTTTAAGAGCAAACAGATAATTTCCAAACTATAAATCACAAAGTGTCTCTCTACCCCTCTGTGAGCTTTGACAGCTTCGTCTCTCATCGCTACAGATGAAGGCTTGCTTGAAACCACTCCACTTTTGGAGAAACTAAATCATATGGGCAATAAAAGGCAGGGGTCTAACAAAGTTTCTTCTACAGCTGTAACCAAAATGCTCGGAAATGTTTATTAATCATTTAGAAACTGTTAAAATCGTTTTAAGATTGCGTTGTCAGCATGAGTTCTTCAGTATAGTATCTACTTTACCACTATGACTTCAAATCCAGTTATCTTATGCATTTCCATCTTTTTTATGCATTCTCGACAGGACTGGCGTGTTTATGAGGATGTTTTAAAATCATTCAGTCACCGTCATGGCTATGATGGTCTGGTGGTTCTCCTGTCAATCGATGATACACTACATCCTCCTCGCCAACAGATGGCTGTCTACTCAAGCAACTCGGATATTCTTAACCAGGTGAGTGAGACGTAAAAGTTTGTGTTAGTTTCTGTCACAGGAACTGATTGACTTCAAGACTTACCCATCAATAAATGAAATGAAATGGAAAATGCACTCATCTGCTGACTGGTGTATTAAGGTTAGAAGATAGATTTGTCTTTTGTAAGTGCTGAATACACTGCTGAAGCTTCTGTAGCCCAGGAGATCTTTTTATTGTTGATCAGAAAGAGACAATGGACTATACTATTTTTTTTCCATTTTATAAAATTAGAAATTAAAGATGAATTGTGTTAATTATTGAGTTTAAAATGGATTAAGAGGCAGGTTTCATTACTTTTAAGAGTTGTTTCTACTAACCAGCAAACTACTTTTTACCATGGCCTCCCACACTGAACTGACGTCAGAGGTGTATTTAATGCAAAACAACCAATGAATGGGTCCCCAGTCTTGCTCAGTTGGTATCACAGGAGCTTTATTTTTAGAGGCTGCAGTCTTACCGGTCTTGGATCTAGTGCACTCGCTCTACAACATGTCCTGTTTGCTCCTCTAAAGCTGCCCTATCAAACAAAAGTGAAAAATAATTATACTATTAGTGTATTTCCAGAATTGACAAAATTTTGTATTAATGTCAAAATTCGTCAACCCAGTGTCTTTCATTTCAGATCTGCTGTGAGTTGGAAGAGTGCTCCAGCTGGTCTCTTTCAGGCGAACTGGAAGCCAAGGAGAGTCTCCAGTTGTATCACATTCCTATAAACACCACTGAGTCTTCTGGTACTCCTCTGCTGCTGGTGGAAGAAATACGGGGCCTCCTCAAAGACTTTGTGGACAGGCGAAGCTCCGTCTTGGCCTGCCATCCCAGCAGCAGGACCTCTTCCACGGAGGGAGTGGCGGGCAGTGTGGAGTTCTCCCAGGGATCGTCAGGGATTAATGACATGGATGGTTCAGACATTGAGAGAGTTGAGGAAGGCAGTGGAGATATGGTAGCAATCCCAAGGTATTTATATTAATCCATTCCATACTACACCTAGTTTCAGTGGTACTTTCCAAAACTGGACACAATTCAATGACCATATGGTTTTATCTCTGTTTATAGGGTGATGCCAGAGGGTGAAGAGGACACAGGAAGTGTGGGAGTTGGTGCTGTGGGGGAGCTTGTGAGCCCTGACAGTGGTATGACCACCATCCGCAGCAGCCGCTCCTCCAAAGAGAGTTCAGTTTTCCTCAGTGATGACAGTCCAGTTGGGGAGATCACAGGTGCAGGGTTAGCAGCAGGACCAGGAGGACTCTTCCTAAGAAACCCCTCACCCCTGGGTTTATTATCGCTCTCCCCTCCTGTCCCACCTGAGAGGAGGAAGCACCATTCAAGCAGAAATAAGAGTGACAACTTTGACCTGTTTAATTTTGACCCACTGAATAACAGCAACCTCTCGATGCCAACAGGAGGTGATCTGCCAGGTTCTGGACCTAAAGGAGATGAAATAGAAAGAAGAACAGGGAGTGACAGCATGTCAGAACTGGAGGAGCTGAGCTTGCTGGATTTTTCTGCTCCCAATTCATTTGGCCGTCTTGAAAGTAGGAATTCTTCAATTGACCACCATGGTAACATGATTGACACCGTGGTTCCTCCAACCCCCGTCAACAGTGTTGTAGGTAGCCGCCCACCCAGCAGCTGCGGGGTCAGGTTTTTCCCTGAAGATGTGGTTGAAAGGATCAATGGCCTGCAGCAAAAGGACAGTGTGTCATCGTCACTGTCAGAGACCTGGGACGAACTTGGCTTTGACACACATGGAGCATTGTCATCAAGTGATAGTAACGTCTGGAATAGGACCAGGGAACGTGAGAGCCCGGAGAATATCTTGGAGGATGATGGAGGGAAAGAGTCGGCTGAGAGTAGGACTGAAGAGGAAAACAGAGAGGAGATCCTACAGCGCGAGAGCACCAACCAGAGAGGACGGAGTCTTGAACCCCAACTTAGTCTGATCACCGAGCAGACTGAATCCTACGAGAGCTGGAACACAGAGTCTGTCCTCAAAGATCAGTGGAATCCGGTGACTATGGCTTATCTGCAGTTGACTCCACCAGAGGAGGAAGTAACCGGACAGTGCAGGACTGGTAGTATTAGAGTGAAAGAGCAACCATCCTCAATGACAAGAAAAAAAGCTGTTTTAAACACCCTAACACCAGACACATCTAAAGAAGAGGATGAGGGGGCGCAAGGGAAAAAAGGAGACAGGCAGATGGAACTTCTGGACTTCTGGACTTACTCAGCTCAGAAGGGATTTCTCAAATCAGACAGTGGGACCACTACATCATACCCTGAATCATTAGATATGTGGAATATGACAATACGGGATGACAGTCTATCTCCTCTAACCACCCCGGATAACTTGTCTGAACACTCAGGTTCTTTCTGTGGAGTGAACCCCAATCACGGAGCTGGCGCGTCTGTGGAGAGTCCACTTGGGTTCTCTGATGGTGGCATGGCAATGTGGAACACCACCATACAGGAGGACAGCTCCTCCACTATAACAAGCCCTGAAGGACCTGATAATGAAAAGGACAGCAGCCACATGGGATCAATGGATGCTAGTGATTCTCCTGAGACGCACTCTTGCAAACAGTTGGAGGAAGACAAAGAGGTGAAGAAGGAGAGCGGTACAAATGAAGGGTGGAAGACTTCTGAAGAAGCATGTTGGAGAGCTAACGAGCACAATGTGAAAATTGTCATAGACGTGGCTGAAGATGCAATACAGGAGGAAGACGTAGACGATGATCACATCAAAAACCAAGAGTATTGGCCTTCAAAGCACTCAGAAGAGGGCGCTTCCTCAAGCCACGGTACTGACATGTGGGACTTGCCTGTTCCCAGCATGACCACCTCCACTTCAGAGTATGACAATGTGGGAGCTGGTACTTGGAGCCTTTCATCCTCCCCTGAGACCTGTGCCAGCCCCGAAGTAGACATGATACAGCTAGAAGGGCAGTCCAGCCCTTTTATAGCTGTGCCACAATTTGTATATGAGAGGCAAAACCAAAGGGCTGACCCTCTGGGAAAGACTGAAGACCGAGCAGTAAGTTCAGACAATGAGATGACCAGCCAGGCCAACCAGGTCTTCCTCTTTGAGGGAACTAGTGAGTTGGATCACATGGTAAAAGACGGGGTGACTGGGTACAACAGCAGAAGTAGAGAGGGTTCAGAGACAGCTGATTGGATTGAGCAACATAGTGATCATTCCCCATTCCTCCTGGTGAGCCATTCACCCGTAACCCAGACCACTTCAGCCAGTCCTCTTTCAAGTCGAGGAGAAGCTGATGGTGCTCAAGCCCAGACTGACCAGTCCTTTTCCTCAAGCCCTGTTCATGACTCAGAGTCAGCTGATCTGCTGATCAGACCTTCCTCTGAGAGCCAAGTTATCCCCAGCAGTGATCTCACTGGTATTGGGGAGGTTAAAACAGCAGGAACCATGTCTCTGAGCTCCAGCTCTGGAGGGGAGAAAGACACACTGAAATGTAGCCCCGACAGCCTTCACCCTGGTAGTTGTGATGAACTCAGGTCCAACTCTGATGGAGACTCATCATCATGCCTGGAAATGGATTATATTATTGTATCTGGCACTGTTAAGGAAGCTGAGAGAGAGTGGGATGATCGACCTAAGCGTACTGAGAGGCCTTCCAAAGGACCAAGACACACCATGGAGACATTTAGCATGCTTTCCTATGCTGCTACAGTACTGAAAGCCCAGGCCCAAGCTGCACATACAGGGCATGGAGGCGACACAGAACATCATAGCCAAAAACAAAGTGAGCTCAGTGCAGATGAAGCCGAAAATCAACCTGTCTTATCCACTTATTACCAAAAAAGTCACCACCATGACGCAGAGCAGCACATGGAGCCAGAACTGACCAGTCTAAGCCAATCAAAAAGTCCCTCTGAAACCTTTTGCCAGTCAGATTCAAGACCGACAGGTTACAGCCCAACACAAGTAGAGGGAAACTACGATGATAAGTCAAACGTTGTGGTCAGGAGTGTTTCCCCGTCATTAAGGTATCCATCAGACCACTTCCTGAAAACCAGGGAGGAGGTTTATGTCCATTCACAGATCTCAATGGAAGACTCAGATGAGGGTGGGCAGTCACCCTCTGCACCTCCACCATGCCCCGGTTCTTTGGGTGACTTTCAAACCTGGAGGGATCAAACAGAAAGACAGGGCACACCTCAAACCACATCTGAACCACAATCCCCTGCATTCAGCAACAGCTCAATCTCCCACACCAGCTCCTCTGTTGGTACCCCGTTAAGTGAATCAGGTATGTCAGCTGACAAAGGACTGGGTTTACCATTTTCTGGAGATTTAATGGAAGAGGAGAACGAGGAGGAAGAGCAGGAAGAAGAAACTCATGGAGATCAGATTTCTCGACCACCGTGGAACTCAGAAATAGAGCGTTCGCGAGAAGAAAGATCGTCTGATCTGCTGAGTTTCACTGAGGAGCTGATCGGAGGGTCTTCGTTTCAACATACAGATTTACAAACACAAGAACCAAAGAGGAGGATGATCCAGAACAAGATGGATTATCATGGGGAGCAGCCAATCAGAACTGTTAGTGACCAACAGACTAGAGACCTTGACGCTTTGCAGGATAGCTATTCGTCTCTTTCAAGGTAAGCATGAGTTACAATTCCCACTTCCCAACATTAACCCTGAATCACTCCATGAATCCCACAAATCAGGCCTGTGGGATGTGAAACAAATTCATGTAAAGTTTTCTTTCATTTTAATCATTTTTATTCGACCTTTATGTAGCCAGGTCTGTCGATCAGAGAGCTCCTTTCCAAGAGTGAGAGAGGGAAATTAATTTTTGCTATTTATTATTTATTTAATGCATCAAAAATAATTCAGAACACTGAACAAAATGTGAGTATTTATAATGAGACAAATACAAAAAGACAAAAACATTCAAATTACTCTGCTTCTCTTTCCATGAAAAGACAATTAAATACCTGTTGTGACCCCAGTTCACAAACATATTTATTAATGTGTATCTAACTATGCAGATAGACTTGGTTTGTTTGGATTATATGTCTTAAAGAAATTTCCCCCCATCCTCAAACTGTAAGAGTAAATTTAATTTTATTTGTGTTAATTTTGTCTCATAAAGGAGGCTCTGAAGTGTTTTTGCTTTTGTTCACAACGGACCTCGAACTGTTTTCAGGCTGCCAAAAGCCAATAAAATCAGTGTACGAACACACATGTGCGTACAAATCCCCTTCTGGGACCCTCACACACCGACCTACACACAATAACCACACCTTCCTTCAACCCTCAGCTCCCTGCTGGTTTTGAGTCTCTGGTTTCTCAGAGGAACAGGTACATCAGAGGATTATTAGCATCTTCGAACAGACTGTCAAAGTCGAAAATCCTCCTGTGGAATCTAGCTTGATGATCTGTGTGAGTGTGTGTGAGTGTATCCATGTGGATGTTGTAGTGATTGACGAACTGGGCCTGACAGAGAGGATATGTGAATGAATATTAGCGGTGTGACAGAACCAGATTGTGTGTGTCCATATTTATTGGTGTGTGTGTGTGTGTTCGTGTGTGAGTGCATGTATTTCATGTGTTTGGCAGCTAGCTTTCATCTTCAGCTCAGTGTGTGTGTGTGTGTGTGTGTGTGAGTGTGTGTGTGTGTGTGTGTGTGTGTTTATAAATCTGTTTACGCCTCATTAAATATGCATTACCTGCCTCATTACAGCTGGAGCCCCTCCACAGTTAATGGAAACAGCTCCCCTAGCGCTCTTACAAGGTGTGGGTGTGAGTGTATTTGCAACTCTGTGTGTGTGTGTGTGTGTGTGTGCGTGTGTGTGTTCACTCTTTATTGTTACAGACTAGTATTATAAGGTAGGTTTTTATATGACTGAATGGATGTTGTCTTGTAAAGCAGAATCTCTTCTTATGGAGTGACAGAATCATTCATAAAATCATATTTACAGCTTTTAGCCTTTTTTCAGAAATATGTGTCATAATTTCCTCCTTAAGAAAACATTTTTAAAATTTGCAGACTCGTGAACCATAAATAAATATTCATAAGAGCAAATAAAATTTGGATCAATGAAACATAAAACACTCAACCTTATTCACTTGCTGTAATTAGACGTTTCTAGAAAAAACAAGCAGTTTATGCAGCTTTTATTTTTTTAAATTTATTCTTACTGCAGAACAAAATCTAAGGATACTGAAAAATGCTTTTAAATTCAAGCTGTCATCTGCAGGCTAACCTCTCAGGTGCAGCTAACCAGACTGAAGTCAGCAGGTAACAACTTCACAAAAGCTAAAGGAGTGCTGTTCAGAGTGTGTGAACTGGCACAGACCTGTGGTTGAAACTAAATCATTGTGCAGGCGCTCTTAATGTCTTATGGCACTGGTTTCCAAGTGGAAGTTAGGAGACCCCTGGGGGGTTGTGAAATACTGGTGCAAGATGTCTTCCAAAAGTTGTGAAAGGTTCTTATTAATATTAAATTAATCAAATTATTGTTAAATGCAATTTAAAACTATAAACAAATAAAGAACTCAAAATTTACATAAACGCTTGGCTTTAAACTAATGTGAAACTGACAGACACGCCCAGAATTACTGTGCGTCTACTTAATAAATACTGTATGTCTCTTTTTAAACCCCTTTAAATTGGTCTGTTAGTCATTATCAGTGTTTGTGAGGGCAAGAACTACCTCAACTAACCGACTCAAGTGTCAGTGGGAGTCATGGGTCTCCTGCACTTTTATTTTGAGGGTTAAATTTGGGAACCCTTGTCTTCCTGTACTTGCCAGTTTAAAAAAGAATATAAAATTTCATACTACTTTTCAAAGAATAAGCACTCTGATGCTGTCTTCAATAACTACACTTGTGTCTCAGTGCAGCAGAACATCAGGACGCCCAAAGAACATTTAATCGTATTCATTTAAATACCAAATCAAGACAACAGTAATGTTTGCTTTGCATTGTCAATGTTGACTTTTTTAAAATGCAAAATATTGACATTTTAAACATGTAATTAAAAGTGTGATCAGTCGTTTTCAACCACAGAAGTTCAGCCATTTATCATGATGAAAAAGTGATGATTTGGCAGCCTTAATCAAAAGATGTAATAAATTCATGATTCAAAAGTTGCTGACTTTTGTTTCAGTCATGCTATGTTTGGTTGAAACTTCAAAATGTTCACTTATGAACACAAACTTTGCAGCTCTGTAAGAATTCTTCAAACATCAGTCAGAATCAGATGTTCCATAGTTGTTCCAGAAATAAGAAAATGAGACACGATCAGCATCTCCAGCAGGAGAGACGTGGTATTCAGTTTAAGATCACAGGTGCCAACAATGTTGAATATCAAGATCATACGGGACTTTTCATAAGAACAAATTCAAGATCTGTGATTAGTTTTGAGCTCTTCTGTTAATTAATTTGTTTTTTAATTCTCTCTAAATTTCTCCTTCTCTCTCTCTACTGACCCCCGTCCTAAATTCTCCTAAAAGAAGACACCAAGATATGACATTGCAACTTTCCTCAGAGCCAACCAATGAGAATGCTGCATACCAGTGGACGGGAGGTCAGAGTGTAACTCAGGGTCAAACCCAACATGGCTACAACTACCACCACATCGACCAAAGAACTGAAAACCAGAGTGCCCACTCTGCCTGTGTAGGCGCAAAGCCCAGCAGCCAGCAACACGCCACGGATGTCTACGCTGAGTTTACCACTGACGCAACAGCCCAGCACTTCCAATCAGAGCAGGCCGAGGGTTACTATGAACCTGGAGTCAGCGCTGATGATCCAAGAAACCAGTTTGAATACACGTCTGAGAGCCAGCATCCAGACTGCTCCAGCTCCATGCCCACCTCTGACCCCCGGGGTTCACAGTACCAAGCTGATGACACGGACCACGCTCATTACCAACTTGATGGACAGCCTCTGGACCAATCAGATACCCAGCCAAAGAGGGAGGATCATGCTCGCTATGTGCCAGAGGGATACGTTCACTTCCTCCTCTCAAGGTGAGCTTTTTTTGCCCTTACTTCCTCATTGTTGCTCCTCCAGGTTCAGCACTTTGTTAGACCTTTATTCTGAGTGCACCCCAGATGATAATAAATTCTGCTCCTGGAATTGGCCTTCCCTTGCCAGCCTTCCACTTTCCAAGGCAAGTCCAAGAAGGGTAATGTTATTTCAGGGGGTGATTTACATCCTCTCGACTTTCTGATACGCTTATATATTATTATAGGGGCTTTTACATCAGTGTGAGGTATGAGAGACAACCTGTATTTCTGGTTTTTCACCAGAGAGGGGCAGCACTGAGCTGTGACACTCTGACACTTCCTTTAAATAGCTTATAAAAGACTCTTTTGCCTGGGTAAGTCAGTATCAAATACCTGTATGTATCACTGCACCCTGTAGGAATTAAAAAGGATTTAATATGTGATAAAGTTCTCTCCTGTAGACCATTTTAAGATACCTCCACAGGTCTTCAATCAATACTTACATGCATAGCTTGGCACATACAGCAGTTTTCTCGTTGCAGTCATTCTTTATGTCTCTTCAAGTCACGTAATGACTGCTCCCTACTATAAAGACCAGATTAAAACCATATTTCTCTTTCATTTCAGTCTGAAGGAGTAGAGTAGAAAAAGAAAAACACAGGGTCTGTCAGTGAGGGCCTAACAAAAGATGTGATGTGGTGGGTTTGTGGAAATAACAACAGAGATCAAGCAATACGAAGGCTTCTGCGAATTGTTCCATTTTCCCATTAAGTCTGCCTCATCTCTTTTTGTTCAGATCAAAGTCCAAACCATGAACAATAGTGTATTGCATGTGCACGATCTCAATAAGGCCGTGCACACATGCGTGGGTGTCTGTGTACACTGCAGTGTAATTACTCCATGGTGCTTGTTTTGCCCCACTTTGTAATTCTGATGACCCTCCAGTCGCCCCCTTTTTGGGACACACACGGCCCTCCCCCTTTTGTGTCTATGTGTGAGAGTTTGCGTACAATCACGGCGGACCTTTCCACAATCGAGTGGTCACGTGATTCGATTGTGGAAAGAGCGTTTCCGTCATTCATGCTGGGAGAGGACAGGAAAAGGTTGGTGTCATGATGCAGAATGTGTTTTTTTGTGTCTTTGTGTCTCTGATCATGTGTACTGCTTTCTGTGCACTGCTTCTTTCTATTGTTAGCTGGCCTTATGTTAATCAGAATCAGTTAGAGGGGCTTTAGTTGGGGGGAGGTAGCAACACTGCTCTGTATTGTTTCCTCAGCCCACACGTGCGGGCTGGGAATGAAGCAGTGAGTCTCTTTCTCTCCGTCTATTTTGTCACTTCTGTGATCGTCACATGAACAGATTTTTAGAGTCATTCAGTGTCATGGGAAAAGTTAGCATCCTTTTCTTTGTAGATGATTGTCTTTGCCCTGTTTGGCCCTGTACTGTGTGTGGCTGTGCCTATGGTGGCAGTGGCGGTAGCATTGATAGTTTACGTTGTGGCTCATTATTGTGTTTCCGTGCCTCTGAGCAGGCACTCCCAACAGGGAGACGATGCAGCGGGGATGATGATGAAGACAGCCTCCAGTGAGGAAGCTGCAGAGGAGATGGATAACAGAGAAGGTAAATAATTCTGCTCGTCGAATCAAATCTTTTTTTTCCTTGAGTGCTAAAGATGTTTTTACAGGTTAAAAGTACGATTAGAAGAACTTAAGTCATAAACCAGTTTAAGGTTTGTGTGATGCTTTATTTGGAAGTTATAAAATTACTACTTGAAGTTATTGACAAATTCTTACAATATGTATAAAAGTACTTGTGTCCAATCTCTCTGCCACTTTGAGTTTTGTTCTTGAAACATCATTATCAGAGGAAATATCAGTGATTCTTAATTTCCAGAGTGTCCAGAACTCTCTCAGAAACAGATAAGAAACTCACTTATCAAATGAAATTTTCTCTTCGGTCAGATCCATCCTCCTCTGCAGATCTGTCAGGGAGCTCCAATCAGAGGAGAAAACTAACAGCACCGCCTATGGATGTGTCCCTGGACCGCAGTGAGGGGTCCATCCTCTCAGAGGATGCTCTGGACACAGAGGATGAGGCCTTGGATACTGGTGACGACCTGGATGTTAATGTGGATGAGCTGGACACCCCTGATGAGGCTGAAGAGTTCACCCCACATGGTCAGACACTCAGTAGAGTCCATACTCCAAAACTAAACAAGACAAAGTAGAGTAAAGCACACTTACAGGGGCATGCTTTGTTGTCATAAACAGGAGACTCAGATGAGCTGAACCAGGCTGCAGGAGCGGCGTCAAGTGAAGCGATGGCAGCTCGCAGAGCGGCCGAGGAGAACAGAGAGAGCAGGCTGTGGAGGAGCGTGGTGATTGGAGAGCAGGAGCATCGCATTGATATGAAGTGCATTGAACCCTACAAAAGAGTCATTTCTCATGGAGGTATGCAGACACACATTTCCTGTTTTATTTAATCAGATCTAAAGTAAATTTGTTTCAGCTGTGAGAAAACCAGTGCAGTGAAAAGGCTCTGCACTCCTCAATGTGAGTCTTTATGCGCGGAATGTGAAGAGAGGAAGGAGCGGAAATTCCCATTAAGACACCAAACCATGACACGTGTAGGCTAGAAACTATTAAACTAGAAGCTAAGCGATACACATTGAATTAGGAGGTCACAGCTAACTACTGGATATGACTCAGCAGAACGATTTATACTTTTAAATGTTTGATGTTGGAGGATTCATGATGTGCACCATCTCTTATTGTCTTTTTCAGGTTATTACGCCCAGCAGAATGCCATCATTGTGTTTGCGGCGTGCTTCTTACCAGACAGCAACTGTGACAATTACAATTATGTCATGGAAAATCTGTTTCTGTAAGTGAAGTTGATCTTCGTGGCCAAATATTTGTGTTTTAATGAACAAGTCATGAGATCGTGTTACTGCTTAGGTTACAGTGCCCAGACAGCACAGGAAAAGTCATTCCTCAAACTCTTCTTATGAAGTTGAAAATCCTGTCTTGTGTGTGAAACATTCTGATCTACCAACATTTTTTTTTTTTACTTAACCTGCCCATAAAAAATCACCTACACCATAAAAATGTCTTGCTGTTGACAGGCTGTGTGTCAACATATCTCTCAAGGAATCAGTCAATCTCTATTCGGCGTTTTTCTATTATACCTGTCTGTGTACACAGGTATGTAATAAGTACCTTAGAGCTAATGGTGGCAGAAGATTACATGATTGTTTACCTGAATGGTGCCACACCTCGGAGGAGGATGCCTGGATTTACCTGGATGAAGAGGTGCTACCAAATGATAGACAGGAGGTAATTTTCACACTTATGAATGTTACCCCACCACAAACATAAACATATTACATCTCTCTATTCTGTTTTACGATTCTTTGAATAGTTTTGGATGTTTTTTTTTTTACATTTTGTGGAGCTTTAGTTTGATTAAATATCAAGGTCTTTTTACAGTCCAGTTGGAGCGTGGCAGGGAATGAAAACATGGTTAATGTGTGAAAAATTATTACCTTGAAAGGTGACGAGACAGAAATCTCAGAGAGGTCAAAGGTTAACACAGAGAAAACACAGACAGACAGAACTCAGTCTGTACTTTTGGTGTTTTGCTGATTCTGGCCTCAGCTCTGGCGCTTGTCACCCACAGAGTTTCACAAGAAGGCCAGTAGAGGGCGTACCTGTCCAAAGCTCTTCTTGATCACCAGAGCAGGATAAACATCAACCTGTTATTTGACTGTAAAAATGTCTGAGATTAAAAGTGTATCACTTTTCTCACTTTTTCAGTACTTTCCATATAAAGCAAACAGCAGTTCTCTTGATAAGGAGAATAAAATACAGATTTGTGACACTGAGTTATTAGTGTCTGAAGTCGTCACTTTATCACTTGGCAATTTCATGCAAGAAAAGATGGAAGAGCACATACCATAAATGTTGCTCAAAATTCAAAAAGGGACATTAAGAGTCACTGAAGCTCAGGACAGAGTCATGCTCTGTTTCTGGTTTTTGATGTGATTGTCAGGATGAGCTCTGTCTTTCTGATTAGCAATCTCCAGCAGATCACGATTAAACCACAAGCTCTGCCTCTCAGCGTCATTCTCAGTCTATTCTGGTAAAGTTCTCTTCAAACCTGCATGCAGCAGCAGCAGAGGTCAGTAAATAAAACCCACTCTCTTCATTTCTCCACAGGCTAAAGAAAAACCTCAAAATGTTCATCATCGTCCATCCTTCCTGGTTTATACGGACTTTGCTGGGAATCACCAGACCCTTCATAAGGTCTCAGATTTTTGTACTTAATATTTAGATGACAAACATCACACAGTCAAGGTCTGAATAATAATCTAATAAGAGTTTTATCAGTGAGACATTAAGAGAGTATTTCTCACCACAGCTAGAGTTTCCTCAACACTATATTTCATTTTACACAACAGCAGCACAAATCTAAACACATCACCCTCCATTATCCTGTCGTTGATACTGGACATCTAGGAGCAAACTAACTGTAAAAATCTCAATAATCTCACACAAACGGGTCATTTCTGTTATGATTTCAGCTCGAAGTTCAGCAGTAAAATCAAGTATGTGAACAGTCTGCAGGAGCTTGGAGAAATCATCCCGATGGAGTATGTCCACATTCCTCCCAGCATCATCAAGTGAGTCCTCTTGTGTTATTTTTTTAATGTAAATATGTGCTTTCGAATACACTTAATCCAAAATTACTGTATAAAGTTTGCAGTAGCAGGTTCACGCAGTCAATCAGGAAATCTGCACTTTTTGTCGACTTGCGGTGTGAAAAGAACGACATAACGTCACAACTGTGTTACGAAATTGACCAAAAGCGTCTCCTTCCTTGTTGAAATTCCAATGAATTTTTTCCCGAGGCGATGAAAACCTGTCAGTCAAGTCTTTAAACAAACAGCTTTTTTTTCCCATCAGCTGTTTGTGGACTTGGAAGATATTTTTATTTAAATGTACAGAAGTGATACATGCTGAGTTCGAACATCGCACAAACCTTTAATTGAAAGCCCCTCATTCAAGCATGCTCTTACAACTCTCACTCTGCCCCAAGGTATGACGAGGAGAGGGGTGTACACAAATATGCATGTTTGAGGTAACTCACCTAACCTGCCTGTAATGACCAGTTGGTTGCATAGAAGAGTTTCACCCTGAACAAAGCCTTTAACGCTACTCTGAATTTCCTTACGCTGGGACTAACCTGTGTCTGATCTTTGGCTGTCTCCCTGTTCAACTGAAAAGAATTCAAGCAATGAGTTTCTTCCTTATCTCGGTCTGTTATGTGGCTGTCTCTGTTTCATCTTTCACCTGTCATTATTAGAGAAACTCTTGTCAAATAGAACTAAATGAAGTAGAGAAGTTTCCACTAACAATCAGATGAAAAAGTAGCCTGTAACGCACGAATGCAAAAGCAGAAAAGCAGAAAGATTTGGATGTTAAGTGGGAGTTAACACATTTCATCAACTCGGTTTTCCCATGATAACAAGTTATTCCACTTATTTACTCAAGATCTCAACTCATATGATCATAACTCATGCACAAACACAGAAATAGACAGCATGTCAAAGTCTGGCCCAGTACAGTACAGACCAAGACCAGTGAACACTTAAAACCAGGACCAGTGATGAGTAACTATGGCTGCTAGTGATAATAAAATCAAAACTTTTCAGTGTCTTTTTGAAGACATTGATTAAATATTAAAGTTTAGACCACACTTCATAAAGAGATCTGCTTCTGTCACAAGACTGAAAGATACTGCTGGTAGTTTTATGTCACATCTTATATCCAGTATTTTGTAGCTTAAGCTCCTGCGAGGAGTTTTCTTCTTTTTCTTTTACATCTATAAAATCCACTAAAATTCACTCTTATGACTTTTTATGATATTTCAAAGCACACCTGACCATCAGTGTCATGATTAATGATTTTTATGTGATAACTCCTAATGTGTCTTCAGAGAACAGCCCAATTTTTACAATGTGTACATAAAATAATCACATTAAATGATATAATTGATCATCCAAAGTCAGCAGAATGAGATTTTTTGTCATCAGACACTACTAAAACATGTAATTTCACTCTGCTTTTGACCTAATCCTGGTTGGTTCTCAGTGGGCTGTTCTGCTTTCCAGATGAACAGAAAATGATTTGAGTATCATAGGAAAACTAGCCTGTCTTACTTCTACAAAATGAATGAGATACACTGAGTTGTTATGATAGGAAACCCAGGTTTGTTTTACTGACATAACAAGAAAAACAATCTAAGTCTTAAGAAAACAACTGAAGTTTACACAGTATCACAGAGAAGCCACTGTTGGTACCTTATGTTGAGAGGAAAGACCAGTGAAGATCTGGAGCTGGAAATTACTTGTTATCACCAGAAAACGGTAATAAAATTATATGTACACATGTTGACTTGAGCTTTCATAGTTTATTTTTACTTCTTGCAAACCGAACAAAAGCCATAACTTTAAAAGCTTTAACAAAGTTGCTTTAAGTGTTCGGTTAATTATATCTGTACGGTCAAATTTAGGAAGATAACTCGTTTTATTAAGATGAACTAAATCTGCTTTCTCCACGGCTTCATGCAGCACGTGAAACACTCTGTTAGTTACACATCAGGGAAATCTAAAATTCACATTAATTCCCACCTCTGCTGTATTACTGAGAGTCTCTGTGGAACATTAACATGTTATTCATGGGACTTCACAGTTGATCATTTCATATCGATCTGTATTTTTAATATATGCACACTCATTGGGTGACAAACAGTGAAGTGGAGATAGTGGGGATAATATATATTTATCTGAAACTCTACCCATTATTCCAGCAGCCATGTTTCTACCTTTGTTTTACCGAGCCTTGTGCCAATGAGCATGTTTTCAGTCTCAAAGTGTTGACTTGTTTTAACGTGAATTATTGCAGCTTTTCACTGGTTTATTGTTGGAAAATGATTTCACCCTGTGCTTCAGACCTTTGACTTTGACCCCCCCACTTTACAGCACTGATGCTTGTTGTCCTTTCCTTCCATTTACCCTCCTATTGCAACGTGGATACAGACTACTAATCCCCAGCAACTGCATGTGTACTGACATTATGACCACCTTCATTCACTTGTTCCACTAACCTTTGCCCTCTGCCCTTCACTTGAATGCTAAACCAGACTGGATACAGAATTACAAGACACAGCAGCAAAGTAAGTGGGAGATGAATTTAACCCTGCAGCGAATGAAGGAATAACTAATATTCCAACAGTTACCAATAACGTATATATTATAACATATATATTCAACACATCTGGCGTTTATCGTAAAGTTAAGTGGTATAGTGGTTAATCAAGACACAGAAATGCTCATATTTGCTTGAAAAAACAACCTGAGTACTTGAATTTACACAAATGTAATTTTAGAAGTGATTTTATTTTGAAAGAACAGGTCTTTGCACATTTCCTGAATCCTTCCTGCCGCAGATGAAGTAACTTTTTCAACTATTAAACCTTGTTAATCCTCAATGCTGGTCCTCCTACCTATCACAAAAAGTATTTGGGTGGTAGCATTTCAACAGAGAGTAGAAATGCCTCTGAAGTTTCTGTCTTTAGGAATTGTTTGGCTGTTTTTTATGTAACCTACAGAAATATTAATACCTACGAAGTGTTTGGAAGAATGAGTGGTTTTAAAAAGTGTGTTAAAGAGTCAACTTAAAGCAGACTAAATTTTAAGCTGTTTTTCATGTTTGTTGTCTGAAACTCGTAGCTGGTGTTCTAATTTAGCTTTTGCTGCAGTGCACACTATGATTCAACCACCGGTTATTTCTTGCACAGCCTGAATTTTAAGTCCCATTCCTTCAACTAGCTGACCTTCACGTCTTAACAAAAACATGCAAAAACCCTCCCTCTCTCTCTTATTTCTCTCCCACTCAGGGCCGACAGGCGAGGACACTCTGCAGTGTGACAATAACATGACACCTGACTACTGCCTTTATCTTCCCTGCATTATGCTGCTCTCTGCTGCAGCATATCTAAATACAAGACAGCCTACAGCATGATGTGTGTGGCTAACGGCTGATACTCCCAAAACTAGCAAGGGGTAAGAGCTGTGGTTTGAAACAGCCGGATAATGTCGCTTGATAATGAAGGGAGGTGTGGACATGAGAGAGCTGGACTGAACATTGCATTTGCAGAGCAGAGACTGTCACTGTGCTAAAGAGAAGTTGCTTTATCCTGAACCTCTGTACCTTACACACAACTGGATTTTGTTCCTGATTTTGAAGCTTTTACTTTCCCGGAGGATCCACTAACTGGCTTCTGCTACATTTGTGTATTAATCCGGCGTGTCTGTTGCTCTGTACCTTTTTGCAACCATTGTTACAGTCGGCTGTGATCATCTGACGCTACAGCAAAGCTAATGACTCCTTCATCTAATAACCAGTTTATGCAAACAGATGTTATACCACAGCTTACCTGCTCTTCAATAAACTTTTGTGTTCGCTTTAGGATGCAATGTAGCTCTGTCACAAACTGGGGCATTCAATTAGGGCTAACTTTATGTAGTCAAAGTTTACAAAAACAAGACCCACACACTGAAGTAAGAGTACCGTACGAGCCAATCTTATTATTATTTTTTTGGACTAGTTGGTTGTCTTAATGTTTCTTCCTGTCTCACTCAACCCCCCCTCATACAGTCTGTAGGAGGCTGTCAGTCAGCTGTTTTATTAGCCCTGCATATCACTGTGAAAAAAAAACTGCAACATCAAATCATAAAGGTAGCAAAACAGCAGTTAAGAGTAGCTGCAAAAATATGTTGCATGCTTTTTGTAGGTACAGTTGGGGAATTTTGCATCAGAGAACTGCAGAACAAAAATATTATTCATAATTTACCCAGGTTATGTTTGTGTATGAGAGAGACTGAGACAAACGGTTAGAGGAGGAATGTGGAAGTTCGACTGTATTGTTGAGTGATGGTCCCAGAGGTGCAGTACAGACAGTGCCTACTGAAAAGGTCGGTCTCTATTGACTTTTATTGTGGGTTTTTTCTTACACTTGTATTCATTTGTTTGTGGCTTGCAAAGTATTAATTTGTTGGAAAATATGTAAATGTTTTACCTCATTAAAGATCACTTCCTCCTCACTTGTCAACACAGCTTTTCTTTCATTCACTTTACGGGAGAAGGAACTTGGTCATCACATACCTACATGATGCGAACAAGGTGACGTACAAAAACGCAAAAGAGAAGTATGTGATTTGAGAAACTCGGCACCTTTTTGATGAGCAGTTGCTTTATGTTTCACTGACACGAAATCCTCAAAAGGACTCTTCCTTCCAGGCTTATAGCATGATAAATAATTATAAATATACAGAAGCATTTAGTTTGTATTACTTTATCACTTTTTGAATCAGTTTTGACCCCCCTCCCCCAAAGTCCTCCGATCAAATACACTAATATAACTCAGCCAGCGCCTTCCGTCGCAGATACTTCTCCATGCAGTAGATGGCGATAGGGTCTCTGTCCGCGTCAAACTTATTAGCAAAGAGGTGGTGGTTCCCCAACAGCCACTGCAGGTCTCCAGCACCATACACACATATTGACCTGACATGGTTGCCTTGGCACTCTGGGTACACGGCTTTCAATGACCCCTCTGACCCTTCGTGCCACACCCACTTCACCAGCCGTGCGATCGCGTTGACGTCAGACATGTCGTATTTTTGGTTTGGCCACGTTGATCCAGGAACTCCAGGGATTCGTTGAATGGTTGCCCAGAGGAACTCGTCAGGACTGTAGGTGTCCTTGGACCACTCAATAAGGTCCTGAATCCGGGGGTCTTCAAACACGCTGTGGATGTAGCCTCGATTCACAACGATGTAGGCGTTTCCTGACAGAATGGGGAAGTTGTGTGGAGGTGGCTTCTTTAGCTCTTCTGACCACTGAGAAAGACAAAAGTAACTGATTAAGATGGAGAGCTTAAGTTTTAGGTCCAAAGAGTTCATTCAGGAAACAGCAAAACGACTAAACAAAAAACAATGAGACCAAATCTCCTGAAGAGTTACCTGGATCTTTCCATCAGCTATCTTGTAAGAGTATGAAAACCTCCACTTCTTCTCTGCAGGCATTCTTTCAGACTCCAAGCTGTTCCCGCCCCCCAATGAGCGCAGCATCCTCACCATCTCCAGGTTGGTTTTCAGAGGAAAATCCTGACCGCAAAGATTGATGAAGTACTTCCATTCTGTGCTGACATTGATGAGATCAGACATACAGTTGAGGTCAGCTTGGACGCGCGGCCATCCAGAGTAGACCACACTCACGGCCTTGCTGACCAGGAAGACGTTAGGGAGACAGGAAACGATAGCTCTGATGGCGGAGTGGACTGAGGGGTCTGATTTTTTGTCCACATGAACGCAGTAGTAGTTTTGAGGCGCATAGATGGCTCGCAAGAGTCGCTCAAAATTCTGCACCTGGTGGACATGAGAGGACAGGAATTCAGATGTTTAGGAACCTGATCTGTTAATCTAGACTGAAAAGAGCCAACAGCATACTGCAGAGTGTCCACGCCATATGCTAGCTGCTCTGTGGCTTATATCAGGGCTTTGTTTTGGAAATATGAGGACAATGCAGGCAAAGATGTACACCTCTGAGCACACAATACAAGATAACAGTAGTGTTGTGTCATTTGCGAACGATTTGTTCAAAGGAACTGGATCTTTTAAGTGAATGTACTGAACTGAATCACTTCATCGAGTGTTTCGTTTGTTTCTCTATTCAGCTGAGCTGAAGTAAGAAACAGCATTGCCCAGGCCAGCAGCTGGTGAACGAGGGACCACATGCACCGACACCTGAATCGTTTGGTGAACGCATCTCGCATTGAACTACACTCTCTGGAATAATTTTTGTCGGACAAAACTACCTGTTTTATGCTAAATTGCCACCACAACAACTTGCATACAATAGGACACAGCATGTAACAAGTAGTTCATTAAACCCGCACCATCCTATCATTGCAGCGGTTTGCTAGGGAACGGTGCATGTTCAGTGTGAATTCTTCTAAACGTTCAGTGAACGAATCACTCACTGTTCAGCTGTGTATCAGTTCAGAAGGTCGGAGTCACAGGCTTCTCCTGTTAAATGATTTGGTGAACGAATCTTTTGAACAAATCTTTTTAGTGAATTGATTGTAGTGATTCAGTACATCTAAAAGAACTGCGTGCCCATCACTAGATTACAGTGCTGATTTTAGGCCTGATTATCCTGAGGTGTGAAGTTTGTTTCACAGCCGGTCAAAAAAAACCCCCACAAAGGCTGGTTTTAGGATTAGCATACCTTATGATGCACAACAAGAGAGTAAGCCAGAGGGAAGTCCTCTTCTTCCTGGCTTAACGGGAATGTCAGGTATTTCCTGCTTGTCTTGAATGTCCTGTAAATATACAAAATTGATTAAATACAACAGGGAACTGATACTGCCCAAGAATTTTTGCCAGTTAATCTGAGTTCATGTAATAATGACCAACAGTTTGACAAAAACTAAAAGTTCTCTGTAAAGCAGCCCACCAGCAGTCGTGTGTTGCATTGATATAATACTCATCAGGGATCAGCACGCTCTTGTGGAAGTCTTTAGTGATGGCCAGTATTTTGGCTTTCTCCACAGCTTCCCTCTCTCCGCGCAGGATGGCTGAGCAGTTGCACACTTTCTCTGGGCCACCGTCATCATCTGTGTATTCCAGCCAGTTGTACCTGAAAACGTAGGTAGGATCCCAGCCTGCTTTTGGGCGACGTAGTAGTAAAAATAACCACAGTGATCCCAGGACCACAGTAAGCTTCACCAACAGCCGTGTTTGTCTCTGCAGCCTCATAATTGGACTTTTTTAAAGTGGGTAATCTGTCTAGCTGCATTCAGCGTTGGTGTTTCTGTAGTAGGTTTTCAGATTTATATGTCTATGATGCATTATGTATCTAAAACGATGAAAGACTATCTCAATCATAACATGATTTATCTTTCCACAATTTTTTAGCCATTCAAAAATCTGCAACAGGGGTCCCTCCTGTGATTTCTAATAAGTGAAAATAAGCACTTCTTTTGGTTGCAGTTATAAGTGAGGATCCTGGAGGGTCAGTTTCTCCACATGTAGACCCTGAAAACAAGATATGAAAGAGTCATCCTTTAGCCAAACGAGGGATTGTCAAGTACAAAATTCAAATGTGACCATAAAACAAAGTTTAGATTAACCTTTAGTCAACTCCATTAGAAATATTATAAAGTCTTAAATGAATAAAATCATCATTATGATAAATACATTGATCCCCGAAATAAAGTTATTTAAAGAAAATTAAAAATATCTTTTTCTGACTGGCCATTTCTGTGTAAAGTATATAGAATTGTGTATAATGAGATATTTTTGGGCCTAAATAAATGAAGATTCGTAGGTCTTTTTTAATGGTTTTCAGGAAAGTTTTAACTCATCTGCTAAAACAAAAAAATGTAAATTCATTGAGACCGCAGTTCAAACAGGTAAAGTGCACCAAAGTAAACATTCAGTGCAGGTCTCAAAGTGAACTATATGCATAACTGTCTATATTCTGGCTTTGGTTGGAGCACACAGCTGACAGTACTTGTTCTTCTAGGTTTAACATTCCTCTAAGCATTAGGAGAAATGGTATGACTGTCTATACTTCACCTACTCCTTATGCCCTGTAACATCTTGACATTTGAAGTAACCCAAGATTTCTATAGGTGAAGAAACTGAATCATGACCAATTCTTTAACAACGTCAAAAAAAAGTTTGGTGACAAATGACTGATGAATCTGTGCAGGAATCCAAAAATACTTATATTAATTTAGTTCAGTTTCTTGACTTTTTAGCCAATTATATTTTCCCTTATTCAAAACAATACACCTTACAACATGAGACCCTATGTAAACAAAATATTAATTTATTATTAGTTAAAAAGGAATTAAACCTTCTTAAGAAAGTCTTGGCATGACAGTTATAAGGAGAGAAACTTAAAGAGTAAATCTTATTTCCAATCTTTGGTGGAAATTTAAAATAAATGCAAGAAAGTGTCCTACCTTTGCATTCAACAAGCAGAAGACTAAATCTGAGTCGCCTCTCTTCATCACTGTCACCTCTCCTCTGCTGTTCTGGTCTTTCCAGATGATGTGAAAGACACAGGTGGCTTAAAAGTCAAACTTCCTGTCAGCATTTTCAAAGTAAAACAGCTGATCAAACCCCTTAACCTGGTTAAAACTGGTGGATTCTTCCACACGGACAGAAGTATAGACATTTCTGTTCAGAAATCAACTTCTACATCTTAATAGCTTTTTTAACATGTGTCCTTTGTATTAGTCACCAATCAGATGATCTGGTATTATATCGTAGCTGTATTCAATCATATAACTGAAGTGTAAAATCATCAAGACAGTTACAGTTTTCCTCTATTTTCATTAGAAATTCATTCCCTACTTGTTGCGTATAATAAAACTTAAATGCTTTAGTTCAGGTGTGTGAAAGTCATCACCATATTTCCTGTTCTTATTATTTCTATGATATGTGTGCAGAGAGTGACAAAACTGTTGTATTTAATGAGCTGATTTGCAAGGCCAGCATTTACATAGTGCAAGTTAAAAACTGTACAGCGTCACAGAAGCTCGTTTTTTTTTTTTTTAATTTTATTTTATAATAGACTAATCAGTCCTATTCATGGTATATAATTAAAATAAATACAATAATCTTACATCAACAACACCATACGTTTATGAATAATGGCAGTGTAACAGTGGATCTTAATTCAATATTGAACAAATTTGAAAACTGAATAAGCCTTACCCTCAGATCCCTTGGCATGGACCAGGAGTTGACAGCAATCTGGCCCTTTGCCTTTTATATACCTTCAAATATCTTCCCCATGCAGGTAAGTCTGAGGGCTGTGATACCTCCATCACCTCCACCAGCATGTTTAGCTGCTTCATGACCTTCATCTAAGACCTGGGTCATCTTGTCCAACCTTTCCACGGGCAGCTGTGGCTCAGAGGTGGAGTTGATTGTCTCTAAATTAGCAGGCCGGAGGTAAACCAGGTCTCCAAGGTCACATGCTGAAGTGTCCTTGGGCAAGATGCTTGACCCCTGGCTGCACTCAGCAGTGCATAAATGGGATAAGTAAATACAGACAGCCAAATGTTTGATCTTGTTTGAATTAGAATAAAACTCTCTAAGCCCTGAGACTTTCCACCATGCGCTTTGAAGTTAAGATATTACTTGAATGAGCCTTTGTAAATTTACATGATTTTTTGGACAAGCAGTGAAGCAAAGGAAAAAGATGCAGATTCCTTTTTGATGTACCACAGTGGAGCTCTCTCAAGAGGCAATATCTAGTGTGCTAGACGCCTCAGACTATAAGCATTGTAGTTATAGATCTGGGAACTCTAAACCACCTCGACTGACCAGCCTTTGCAGTTTTCTCATATTCATACCCTTGAGTTTCTTAAACTTTTAAACTTTTTAATACTTCATAAAAAGTCAAACTGGAGCTCTTTTTGTCAGTGTGGAATATGAACTTATGCAGAGGGCATATGAACAAAGAAAAAAAAATTAAAAACACACAGGTGTTATACTTCATAGAAACAGTCAAATAAGACTCTGTGAGTACATTATAGGTCAGACTATAAATGGTTTGACATGTAAATAGATTAGTCAGTGGTTATCTCGTCATTAAAGATTACATGTCATTATAGTAAATATATCTTGTATACAAAAATACCATGACTTAACCATGTCTACAGAAAAGCAAAGTCCTCTTGTCACCCTCTTGTGGTTAAATTGGAGAAAGGTCCTCGGTTTGTATTACTTGGATTTACTGACGCAAGAAATTCCTTTGTTCATAAATCTTAAAATCCTGTTTATTCAAGTTATTTCAAGGAAAGGAATTACACAAATATTAGTTCGCTGTTTGATCTCTGATGATCATATCAGGGGATTTCAGCAGGAAATAAAACCTGAGACCTTGTACCCTACTTACAAGCCACTTTTGGAGTAACACAAAACTGTATTACATAGAGAGAGTTTTCTTTCCTATTGAATTTCAAAAATAAAGCCCTAATGTACCATTTGTAGTTATTAATTTCTTTTTTTTCCAAACCTTTAAGTTCTTTAGCAATGACAAATACGTATCATTGAACATGGGGTAGCTACATTTATTTGAAGGGAATCAAGACTTTGCAAAAAAAGAAAAGAAAAAAAAAATTCATGGTCCAGCACACAAAGATACACACACATTTATTGTTACATTTTTTTATCTTTGATATCAATGCCATTCTACGGTGGCTGAGAACCGCCACTGCTGCAAATAATGGGGAAAAAAAAGAAACCAAAGCCCGCTGCAAATAAAAAAAAGAAACAGTGCAGATTCTTTTAAAAAGGCCACAATGGAAGTTAACAACGCAAAAAAATAAGTGGCGATTTGCATCCGTTTATTTTCAAAGTAAGTAACTTTTTTTTTGCATCACCACTTTTTTTTGCGTAGTTTTATCAGCATGGCTTTTTTTATCAGCATCATTTCTTTTTTATTTGCAGCAGATTCAGTTTTGTTTTTTTATTTTTTGTTATTATTATTATTATTATTTTATTTGTTTGGTTTTTTTGGGGGGGGTGGGGGGGGTTCTTTGCATCAGTAACTTCTGTTATGGCGTCTTTTTTTATTTTTTTTATTTGCAGCAGTGGCGGTTCTCGGCCACCGTAGCGGAACACTGCAAGACATTTCTTAACAGTTTATTATTACATATATTGATGTAATTCCGTAGTTCTTAGATTTCCTACGGGACTTGAAGGCGACGCGTGACTCTCGGCCCGCTTTGGTCACGCGGTCATTGACGTCAGGGGAGCGTTACAGACGCATATGTGTACAACACATGTAACATCACCGGCTCTCTCTGACTGCGCCAGAGCTTTGTTATCCACCGGCACACCACCACTGGACCTCATCTGAGCGGTCACATAGTTATTCCGTCTAAAGACACAACCTTCGGATTAGACCCACAGAGAACAGGGAGCCTCCGATGAAGCTAACAGTATTTAGCCTAGCTAGCCTAGCTGGTGAACTTTTACCATCTCTGCTCGTTGGTTAACGTTCAACCTCATCCAGCTCGGGCAATAAAAGCCTGTCAGCCACCGTCAAAAGCCAGAGTTTAAACAAAAGGCGGACTTTAAACTCGACAAGGGCAGCAGATCTGTTCGCTCGTCAGCAGTGTAACACCGACTTCCTCCTTGTGTCGTTCGAGGTCATTCTATAGCGTCTATCCAAGGATAGCTAGTAAGTTATCTGGAAACTAGCCATGAAGAGCCTTCCGTATTTCTGCCGAGGAGAGGTCATCAGAGGTTTCGGGAGAGGAAGTAAAGAACTGGGAATTCCCACAGGTGAGTAAAAAAACCTACCTGTAAAGTGTTTCTGTAGCTAACAGGCGACCAAGGTGAGTTCAACCTGACAGACTCAACACCGCGTAGAAACGATGTATCACTAATATCAGCTCTAGTCCGTTATAATTATCTTCAGTTTGTCTCTTTAGTGTCATTCTTGTTCGTTAATGACGAATAAACGCGTTTTAACGGTTACCTGACGTTTTGTAACCGTCTGTCACTGAAACGAAGTGATGACATGTTTTACGTAACGCGCGTGCATCAGTTTTCGCTTCGGTGAACGGGAAATTAGTTTAGTCAAAAAGAAAGCGAAATATTTTTCTAAAGCAACAATATAGATGTATTTTCATGGAGTTTTACTTGAGTAGAAGTAAAACTACCTGTCTTTGTTCGTCTGGAGTAAAAGTAAAAAGCACTTTTTTTACGTATCTGTAAAGGGATACAGTGGAGTGACTTTAAACCCATGGTGTTAAGGTTGAAGGAAGTAAAATATTCTTCTTAGATTATGTGATAACACACCGCCTTAACCCTAGAACACTATCGCTAAAATTAGTATCACTATCGCCAAGAAAAAGTACTTGTCATCGAAATATATCAAAATAGGACAATACATGACAAATTAAATTAGTTTCATTTTTAGCTGTGTAATATCCAAAGGGAGGGGAAAAAAGTGCCATGAGGGGACCATATAGAAATGCAACAAAATAACTGAAATTAGGCATTTGTGAACAAAGAAATTCCTAAAAAGATGTAGAAACTGTAAACTTAGTTTTCTGGAGCATGTGAGTCTTCCCTGGTGAAGACTGCTACAGGAGAGAGAACCAAAATACGCCATATTCTGAGTGAGTAAAATTGACCAGCTGACTAAAATATTTCTTATCACCGTATGAATTCCCATTGCGCTAAATAAAGATGGCATGCAAATTCCAGGACCAGTCTTACTGACCTTATTCAACCTACATGCAGCTATCAAATCCACCCAAACCTACTTTACCCTCTATCACTATTCGCTACACGTGCCTGTAGGAAAAAGCAGGTTTTGGATCAGGGAAACAAATATGCCTTCAAAGATGTCAAAGGCAATGCTGAAGCTACGCAGGGTCTCATGATACTCAGACAAACGCAACATGATGAAAATCACGTAAACATGTTTGCCGATAGTGTTCTAGGGTTAATCCAGTGGTTGTAATGTAACTAACACCACTGATGTGTGAAGGGATTTTGACCCTATTCCCATTCAGAGTGAAGTCTTGGAATATATTTGCTGCAGATTTTCTCAGAAATGTTCCTGGAAGGATTGTCCTCATACACTGAGGTCATGCAGAGGGGCTTTTTTTTCTGCCTCAAAAAAAAAGAAAAAAGAAAAATTAAAGCAAGCAGAGTGTTCATGGTAGTGATAAGTTACTTAAAACATATCAAGACAAATTGGGTGTAAAATACCTTGAAACAGCATTAATACCGTGTAGTTTATATCAGGCTAAATGTAGTGATGAATGTTTACATTGTTATCTTTATGTTTTTACTCTCTACCTTTACCCTCAGAAAGAGCATGCGTTGTTTAACTTAGATCCACAAACTGTCAAGGTTAGAAGGGTCACCTAATGCAGATCCCTCATTGAAGGACACTGAAGGCATCAGTCAACACAAAACCAGATGATCTTTGTAGACAGAGGATGACAATAAGTTCCTCATAGTAGGACAGCTTTTTAGGAGGTGGAAACCTGATAATCTGCAACAGACTGATTTATAATTCAGACACTTGGATTCATTTCAGGCTCAGGTTACAGATGTTTTTATCAAAGCTCTACTGAGTGACCTGCAAATCACACTTCAAGGTGATTTTACTATCTTCATCTGACTCTTGTTTTTCTCCCATCTCCAGCAAATTTCCCAGACTCGGTGGTCGATCATCTCCCGGCAGATATCAGCACAGGGATCTACTACGGCTGGGCTTGTGTAGGTAATGGCGATGTCTACAAAATGGTTATGAGCATTGGCTGGAATCCTTACTACAAGAATACCAAGAAATCCATGGTAAGATTAATACGTTCACTGAAAACTGTATAATAATTTTAGAGGGAAAGAAGCATTATAGTGACTTTAGATATAATAAAATGTATAAACTTAGTTAAAGTGTTTTTATTTAATTGTCTAATGTTGGCGGATTCTATTAAATATTAATGACAGTGTTTTGTTTGTTGGGCCATCAGATTATGGAGTCAGCTGACAGATTTTAGGAGATTATACAGTATAGTGTAATGCGCTTAAAGTAACAACATACAACCCACATGAGTAGCTTTTGTTTATAACATGGTGGAAGAAAGAGACAACAAGAGAGACTACAGTTTATTTTCCTTCTCAGCGGCTGGATTTTGGTTGTAAATATTGAAGATTTACATTTTAAATTCCCACATTTATCAGTTTTACTCTTGTTTTCTATTCAAAACCATGATGAATGAATGAAGTCTGCTACGTAACTCCTATAGCAGAGTGTGGTTTTCACCCTTGTCTCTTTGATTTGTGGTTTTGTTTTAGGAGACACACGTGATTCACACATTCAAAGAGGACTTCTATGGGGAAGTCCTCAGTGTTGTCATGGTGGGTTACATCCGTCCAGAGAGAAGCTTCGACTCACTTGGTATGACACACTTAACACAAACACCCAAACATGCGCAAGCTCCGCTCTCCACTCTCAGTTCCTAAAAATCTTTATTATATTTTTTACTCTTTACTGTAATTCTCTATCAAACACTCAGAGCTCTTTTTTTTTGCTTCTCTTTGACACATGCTGACCATATTTTTCATGCTTCTTTCAGAGGCCCTCATCACAGCCATCAACAGTGACATCGAGGAGGCAAAGGTCAAACTGGCTCTTCCAGAGCACCTCAAACTGAGAGACGATAACTTCTTCACCAGTGCTCCCAGCTCATCCTCAGCCCTGCCCCCCACCACGGCATCCACATCACAGACTATTATGAATGGTCACTGACAGCTGGCTGTGACAAACGCACACACAGAACAACACCGAGGTTTCTGTACACACACCTGTGTCCATTAGAAATGCACAGCCTCATTCTGAGATCTCTTTGCTGTTGCCATGGTTGATCGTGGACATAATCATAAACATTCAGTCTTTTTTATACCATTTTTATTTATTTTTCCTTTTTAATTTCCTGTGCAGCCACCAGGTTATAGGTGATGTTTATTTATATACTCTTACACCAGAGGGCCTCTTTGTCTACTCACTGCTCCTGCTGTATATTTGGAGTCTTTAATGTCTGTAAACAGGGTTCAGAATAACAGAGGTTTCTGTAATAATCTATATCTGAAGAACAACACAAATAGATCATGAACTCATGTTTGATTTCAACCCATATTTTGTCTCTTCTCAGTTGCTGTTTATTTCTGCATCAGGTGATCAGAGAAAGTTTGGGCATTATTATCTGTAACAACAACATTGTTAGAGGATTTTATGCAATAATGCAGCTCAATGCAAGATATCTCTGTGGAAACGGGGAGGTTGAATAAGGTTAAACAGTGTCACAGTCCCCTTATTCTCCCCTGAATCTTTTCAGGAATTTCACTTAGCGTCGTCTTTTGTGATAGAAGTCCTCTCCTGTTTATCACTGCCCTAAAAGTGCGTGAGCCTGTTATATTAAGAGAATAGAACAGTTTTATGGCATTGTTTTCAAAAATCTAAGTAGTTTTTGACAGAGAATATTCAAATATGTGCAGTATGGTCAGTCATCTTTGAAAGGTGTAAAAAGACACTCATCTTTGGTAAGTTTGAAATCATTCAAGTATATCTGTCCCCTGGATTTCAGTGGTAACCAACCGCCCACTTATCAGTTTGTTGGGTTGTGAGAGATTTGCATGTACGAGTTAGGTAAGCCAAAAAACACTAAGACTCAGTTGTCAAGCGAGTCCTCATGCAGGACGGTTCATTTCTGGTGTATATCTTTCACTGCAGCTTGTCTGATGCTCAGAATGTTAGTCTGCTTGTCTGTGTGTGTGTGTGTTTGTTACAGATAGTAAAACATTGATAGATAAGATAGATAGGGTCCACACACGCACTGCTTTCACAGTTACAAAGGGCAGAAGTCCCTGAGTGGTATGAACATAACATTACACCCGGAGGATGTAATGCAGAAGTATGACTGGAAATCTTACAGTATGGTTATTATCTTTAAGTACATTACAGTTTTTTGTCTCATCTTTTAACATGTAACCAAATGCTTTGAAAACTGTTTCCAAATCCCTGTAAGTAGCTCTGAGTACCTCCTGACTTACTTTTTTAAGTCTGTGTGTGTGTGTGTGCGCTGCACTTATTTAATTTTTACAGAGAAAATGATATAAAATCACAAATGTGAAGAGTTCTTTAAACCCTTGTAAATAATTGTTTTAAATGATGATAATATAGAAGTCTAGCAATTTTGGAATTGAAGTCTGGATTGTGTTTTAGTTCACTGAAATGTTTAGGGTTGAAGGATACAGCTGACTGTCTTTAGTCCTTCACAAAGTGGAGCCGAAGTGTCTTTCTGGTAGTTTTCTGTCAGGTTGGTTGGTCTCTTCGTAAGACTGGAGAACCAATGCAGAAGCAGTACTTCACTATAATGATAAAGTTGCTGCTATGTAAAGGATGTTTTCGTGTTGAATACCACATAATCTGTAATTTTCATTGTCTAAAGCACTTAATGTACAGAAGAAATCTCACTGTATCTTTCATTGTTGCTTCTTCAAATCCAGAACTCCTCTGCCTCACAGCAGTTCTGCTAAAGGGTCAGGTGTTTTTCATGGCCATTGTTTTAAAATTGTAGTTTACACAGGGACCAGGGTTACTGCATGTAGTTAAAAAATCAACTCATCCTTTCTGTTCTCATTCTTCTGTTATGCATAATTATAACAAATAAATAGTTTTATCAGAACACAGCTGCTGTTGTTTTCTTGAATGTGTCAGGCGAAGGTGGAAGATTAAAGGTCTGTGTGTATGTAAATAACGCTAAAAACCTGTGTTACTTATCAGAGGGTACTGTTGACCTTCTCTGACTTATTTTTAGTCAATGTGATGTTTTCAGAAAAGTTTACGTTGACAGAAGATGTCCTTTGGTCAATGAGTCCAGTGTGAGATTAAAAACTAGACAGAACCTGTTCGCCTGGTTTTCAGGCAAAAGGTTTAAATACACATGCCAGGTTTAAATAGTAACCTCATATCAAAACAAATCAAAACTTTATTTATAGAGCACTTTTCCTGCAGGGACATTAACACAAAGTGATTTACGCACATAGAGAAAGTAAAAAAAAGAAAGACACATAGAAAGGCAATTACAAGCTACCGCCCCGCAGGGCACCAATGGACCCGAGCAGTGTCATGCCGCCACCTCTATGGACCACCTCCCCAGCAGACCACCACCCTGTCACATTGCCTGTCACAAAAATATCATAGTACAGTATTATGAAATGTCATAGTATCATATGATAAAAAGGTCATAGCATTGTATGATAAAATTTTGTAGTTAAGTATGATGAAATGTCATCGTATAGTATGATAAAAAAACGTCACAGTATAGTTTGATAAGAATTCTGTAGTATAGTTTGGTAAGAGAAATCATAGTACAGTATGATAAAATATCTTAGTATAGTATGATTAAAAAATGTCATAATAAAGTACGATAAAAATGTCATAGAATAGTATGATAAAACTGTCATAGTATAGTATGATAAATGTCATAGTATAGTCTTTTTTTTTCATATATATAGGGGCACAGCAAAATATGCTAATTTAAGCTAGGCTCGACTTGCCTGCCAAATTTTATGAGGTTTTGAGTCCGTCTAGGGTGTTTTTAAGTTGAAAAACTTTTACTTTTCATTATAATAAATAATTCCTGCAATTTCACTAGGGCTCTCACCTTATTTTTTAGTTAATATCATCTTAAAAAACAAGATGGAAGCATCACATCATCGTATCATACCAGTTTTGATATGAGCACATTTAAAGTTTTTAGTTGCAGAGAATAACTTGTCTAAATTTTATTATCCACAGTAAAAAAAAAAAACGGTAATAAAGTACTGAAAGGACTCTTTATTTTTTGCCCTCCACAATTTTGTAAGATAGGAAGCACACTTGTTTTTACGTCAGAGGCCAGATGTCCAACCCTCGAGACAAAACATTCGAGAAAAGCTAAAAGAAAATATTTCCAAGCACAGTCCTCGTGACCTCTTTCTCAGGCAATTCCCTGCAGTGTTTTGGGAGCAATCTGAACATGCAGAACTCAGTGTTCGCAGTGGCCAAAACAAGAGGAAGTACCTGAGTACAGATCTCATTTTGTCTGAGCCTACTTGTAATCATGTAAAGTCTTGTATCAGTATGTGTGAATTTCCTCTTGAATTCTACGAAGCAGGTGCACATTTGAGGATAAATATGGATTAGATTAAAATATAGCAACCACAGAGAGTAATAAAGCAGAAAAAAATAAATATAAAATTAAACCTTATTTAATATTTTAAAGCCCAAACATGAAGGGAACAGAGATGTCAAAAATTGAATTTACTGGGGCGCCAGTTGGGCCTTATGGTTGAATTGCACATCCCTGTTCTGCATGTCATTCCCCCAGTTTTCAGCTTTATCCAGAATCCTACCCCAACATTCAGGCTGTGCTGTGTATAATGTGATGTACTGTTAAGTGATGACACAACATTTTGTGTAAAACTTCTTAAAGCCACTTTGATTCAGGTCAAAGTTTCTTCACAGATATATTTCTTTACTGACATCTCTTTTCAAGCCTTTTCCTATTAAAGGCTATTTTGGTAGCAGGCTGCGAATTGTCTCATCTACTGTCTTGACACCAACTTTATGGTAGTGGTTGCAGTTATAAGAAATGACCAGACAGGTTGTTTTTCTTTTTCAAAAGTTTTACTGAAATTTAAAAGTTGGAGTGTGTTGGAAAAAAAGATAGCTCTGTTCCTGATTGGTCGTTTGCTTTTGTAAGTCAAAAAAATAAGAGTAATATATTAGTTGCAGCAAAAAACTGACTGTAGGTTTACTTGAAATTCCTTATTTCAGAAAATGTGAAAAGCAAAAACGAAACTTCCCTAAAGTTTGTGGGAAAATCCTCTTTTTCTTTGAGTATGTCCATAAGACAAGCTCTAAACATGGAGTAAAGCTGATGAAATGTCACGGTTAAGTCAAGTTTCAAATGATCTACTTCCTATATCCTGGGGCACAACAGCAGTTTGAGAATAATTCAGTCAGCAGCATCCGACACTGGCAAAACTTGTAAATCAAATCAATTAAATACCTGGAACAAATTTTAGGAGAGCTTAAAATTAATTCATGTTTTCTCTTAGTCACAGAAAACAAGCCTGCCGAGTGTTATCGACTGTAACTAACTGTGATGAGAAACCAGGAAAAAGATAATTTGACACGCTTTATCTAGATGAAATGTTCCCCTGTCTGCCTTATCTCGGATTATCAAAAAAGTATTACACAACCATCGTTAATATGATCATGAAGTGTAACTGCCATAAGTACAGAACGTGGTGATTTCAACAAACTGTTTTATTTCATATACACGTGAAAAACCTTATAATACACTCTGGTTCTAACAAACAGGTATAAAATCTTACAAATCTGATAACTGCAAAGAAATTAAGCTTTTGTAAATAAAACAGCTTTCAAAGATAAAAATAAAAAGAACTTTAAAAACATAAAAATCAGAGAAATGCCACTAATTGGGCCACATGTTTTACTACAAAATGTGGAGTGTTTTAAAGTGGTTGGAGAAGACTTTGATTGTATGTTTGAAATGTGTTCATAATAACGTTTGTCATAGTAATCACATCAGAGGTACTTTGTTCTGTACTTTGTCATCATCTTCATGACTCTTCATCAGGTTTCAGTTAAAATAAACTCTAAATACAACAAAACAAAAACACATATTTTTCTCCACCGTCACATTTGGAGGAGAATCATCATCGTCACATCAGGTCTCTTTTATTTGTATGAATAGCTCTCATCATCATACTCTAGCTCAATCTCCTCGTCATCCAGGAGTCCATACTTAAACTTCCTGTACACTGTCCCATCTTGTCCCATGTACACAATATCTTCATCATCATCCTCCTCTTCGTCATCCTCCCGCTCTGCGATTCGATCGCTGTACTCTCCAAAGGAAGAAGGGGTGGATTCTACGACAACGCCTCCGTTAGTTTCCACTTTCTCGTAGCCTCCAGATTTGGTTTTGGGTTTAAGTGCGCGTGTTTTGGATCGAGCGTTGAGGTAGAGGAAGACCCCTACTCCTACAGCAAGGACCAGCAGGACACAGATGGTGGTGAAGAATCTGGCAGTGCTGCCTTGGCGGTCCTGAGCATCCCACGTGTCCTTTATCATAAAGTTCAAACCCATAATGCACTCCTCTGAGAAGAAGAAACCAGAGTTCATGGGGTTAAATCAGACTTAAGTTGTCTTGTTTCAATGAAGAGCAGTCTTTTCTGTGATTGCCAAAGGCAGACAAAGTTTGGAAAATCTTATAAAAGGTGGTTATTTCCTGTCATGCAAAAATCTTGGAAACCCCTGTGAGGCAGAAACGTGAAATTCATGTCTTTGCAGTGGAGGAACCAGAAATTAGATTACTGACCAAAAGCATCTGCTTCAAATGAATGACGCACAAAAAGAGTAAAACTCATGACCCAAAAACAAATCAACTCATTTTCCCTCATAACTCTCCAGTAAAAGAGAAATTGGACAAAGTAAGATTTACTGCTGTGTTTCTGTGTGTGCTACTGAATTTCTACTATTAAACTACTTTTGAATTTCCCTTTGGGGATCAATAAAGTTGTTCTTATTCTTTTTCTGAATACCTCGTGAGACGCCGCAGTCACAGCACTCCCAGGCCAACGGTTTGCCATCATGCCGGGACTCGTTTCCACAGCAGGACAGGCAGCGGCCGTCGTCCGACAGGATCTGGAGAGCAGGACACACTGTGCAGTTCCTCACAGTTGGACCCCGGCAGTCCAAGCAGGACGGGTGACATACTTTACAGTTTGGACTGTCGCTCTAAAGAAACAGGAAATTGTTACAGGTTTAGTGTTACATTTATCCCCGAATCCAGAGCATCCGCTACACAGAAAATCAACCACTGAGATCCTATGGGTATGATCTTTGATCCCATATATATAACATTACAAAAAAACAGATCAATATGGTCTTCCACAAGTTTAGATTATTGTACGTATCTCTGCATGTGCATCAGCCAAACACCTTGAAAATATATGATTAGTTCAAATGCAGCTGCTGGATCATCCCCTAAAAGGACACCTCAGTCCTGTATCTCCTGTTCTTCCTTTCTGTGAAATTCAGGGTCTTCTTAGAACATCCCCAAGAATACATTTCTGACCTCCTGATTCACTCATCTTCATCATCAAATCTTGATATTCTGTCTATTCAAAGTTAAAATTGTAAAACAAAGGTCTATTAGGATGACACATAAAAACATAAGCTGTGCAATAGTTCCCGTAAAGTAAAGCCAAAACCTCTAGAGCTCCTCCTGGTGGTTGGCTGCAGTATAGAGCTTAAGTTTGTCACTTTTTCCATTATAACAAATAGGGCATGGGTCAAACTAGAAAATGACATAAACATCAAATAAATCTTTTTCAGACCTGCTCTCTGCTGTAGTCGTTATTTCATCATACTGATTAACGTGCAGGGGATCATATGTGAAGAAGTAGACATTTCTTTCTCTTGAACTACATCTGAGTAAAGTGGGGTCATCATCTACATACCAGGAAAAATGTACACCATTAGGTGGCGCCACTTTTCTCACAAGCAAGTGCTACGCCAAAAATCTGGTGTCACAGAGTGTGTGTGAATCACAAAAAGACGCCAAACATCAGAGAGAGTCTTACTACAGCTCTGAGAGTGTCCGCTTTCAAAGGACTGACAGGAAAAGTGTGTGTGAGTATGTTACTGAAAAATGGAAGAAGGTAGGTCCATTACCGGAGGCCTTGGAGACTGTCAGAGAGCTAAATACACCTGCCACTGACTAGAGAGCCAGACTTGGCACACACAGGACAAGCTCTTAGAGAGAAACTACCATCTTTTCAAGGAAAAACAAACAAAGTGGGGCCAGAAATGGGAGTGAAAATGATGCTGAGTGAGTACAAGTGGATGAACTGAGAGAGGAATAAAGATGTGAGTGCCGACCATTGACTGTATTCTGCCCCCTTTGTTGTAGCTCTGATTGTAATAGTGTTTTATTTTAACATCATTTCAGTGCAGTACTCTGACATTTCAGTAATGTTTTATTGTGCTTCCTGAGTCAGATTTGTTTCATTTAAGATTTGACCTCACTTCGATGCTTCATGATGTAGTGACATTTTGGGGGTGACCTTTAATATACTGGACTGTTAGTTAGTTGTATTCAGTTTTTATGATTATATGGTAAATATTGAAACTATACCTGCTTCTGTTACACATTTAATTACATTTTATTTTGTTTCAAAAGACTTTGAAAACATGAAGTTGTTAAAAATGCATTAAAAATAACCTTTTTATTCAGTGAGCTGGTTATTTTCTTCTTAACAACTTACAATTTTCTTAAAAAAGGAGGATCTGGTCTTGAACAAGTCTTTTTTCAGATGCTAGTCTTGAAAAAAAGGGATTCCTTTTTTATTAGGTCTACAAATATTCTGGTCAACATAGTAGTTTGTTAATAAATGTGTAGTATGTGTCAGGTAGGTTTCTTAAATACGAACACCTCTTATCGAGTAAAAACTAACCTTTGAAGCATCATAGAAGCCCACGAGGCATTTGGATCTACAGATGCCCCCCATGTATGTGAAGCCCTCATAACAGGACTGGCAGGACAATGCGCCCCCATCTGGTAGGAGAGAGAACAGAGAAACTGATTTTAAACCTACACAAATGAAGACCTGGAACACTGAATACTAATCAAAATCTGTCTGATCGGGAATATGGATTCACATGTCGGTAAAGCACACTACATTTAATAGGGACAGAGAGAGTGTGGAAACACATGAAAGCAAACCACACGTCATCACATGCCTGTATTGGAATTTCCAAATTATGAGCATATTAAGAAGCACAGCACATGATAAACAAGAGATTTATTGTACAAGTACTGTGACGAACACACTTATGAGAATCACATGAGGATTTTAAGTCGCCACAGACCCAAATTGCCCAAAGAGGGTGAGCTTAACACAGTCAGTATGTAATTTATGTAACATTACAGACACCCAAGACAGGCTTCCTTTACCGTTACAGGTCTTGCAGGTGGGATGACAGCTGTGACAGGTGTGGGAGTGGCTGCCTTGGTAGTAGCCTGCAGGGCAGCTGTGCAGACACTTTCCCCAGTGCCTCAAGAAGACGTAATCTTGCCGACAGCTCAGACAGTTTTCGTTGCTTGGACCCCAACACTGCTTACAGGAGGGGTCACAGCGATCGCAGACCTTAGTGCTGGTGTTTCCAAAGTGGCTGAAAAGGCAACAGGAGACCTGATTAGTTTAGGAGCAGAGCAGAGAGGTTGCTGTGTGTGAATCTGTGCGTGGGTGTGTTTTTCTAACCTTTCTGAACAGGTTTCCACACAGCTGCTCCCCTCTTTAAAGAATCCAGGCTTACAGGCGACACACTGCACACTGTGACGACCAACACAGGACTTACAGCTGAAGTGACAGTGCTCACACACACGTTCATTCTCACCCTCGGGGTAGAAGCCCACGGGACAGTCCTGCACACATGTGGAGTCTGATAGAACAAAGCCAGGGTTTTAAAAGAAGCTGAAATAGATTTACAAAAGTTCATCAGAAAGATTCACTTCGAGAACTCACTCAGGAGGAAGGCGGGCTCGTTGCAGCTGAAGCATTGGTCTTTGCCTGGCCCATAACAGCGATGGCACAGTTTGTGACATGGCTGGCACTCTCCATTCTTGTCTATGTATGAGTGCATAGAGCAGTGACTGTACCACACACAGTGTCCACTCGCGTCCTTGTACCTGTTTTTATCACAAGTCAGGCAATCGGTGGGCCCAGGACCTGAGCAGCTCAGACATGTCCGCTCACAGTCTGAGAAAAAAGACAATTCACACAGAAGATGACAAACAATAGTAATAGTAATCACTCATGTTTCATTAAGCGTGGTCAGATGAGCTCCTCTACCTCTGCATTCATTGGTGCTCCTATCATAGTAAGTCTCTGAGGGACATTCAGGTAGACACTCCCCGTTGTAACGCACAGCTTTGGGATTGCGACACACATCACAGTCATCGAAGTCAGGACCATCACATGAGGCACAATCGGCATGGCAACGCACACACTCTGCCTGCTCCTCACTGGCAAAGAAGCCAGCAGGACAATCATCGACGCACAAATCCTCATGGAGGAAGTAGTACTGGGCGCACTCTGGGGGAGAAAGTTGAGTAAAGTTGAGTAAAGTTGAGTAAAGTTGGATTTATCTTTTGTTTTATTGGTTGTGAACAGACTAAAATTAAAACACGGTATCGTCTACAAGAGCAAACAAGATCGCCAACAACAAAAGGCTGATTATTTCCCCACATGTATGCTGAAGAAACTGTTTATTTTACATTTACCACAGTAAACTATCACAGTAAGTAAAGTATTTAGCTGACAAGTTCACCTGAACATTTTAATAAAAGAAATTACAATCGACATGTGAGATTGCTTGCAATGATTAAAAAACATCTGGAAATCAGGAAATAAAGTAGTCTGAGAAAATTTTGTTTATACCTTATACACAAATTTTATTCTCAGTGATAATTCAGGTCTTAGTAATTTCTTGAAAAGTGCTTTATATCTTGATTTGTCAGGTGAATGTAGCTTATAGGAAATAAAATTAGTTTTTCTTAATAAAAATAAGACAAAAGAAATCGTTTGATTTTTATTTTTTGCAGGGGTGGATTGTCCATTTTTTTAACCTTTACAGAAAAACAAAGTTGAGAATTCAACAGTTTCTTGAATTTATCCTTTAGTAAGTATAGTAAGAGCCATACAACTGACTTATTTAAGCTCCAGTGAGGAACTTTTGGTTTGTGTTGATTTTGGCACCCCTGGTGGACAAAGAAGTGTTTGCCTATCTTGTTCTCTACATGCTCTCACACATCTTATCATCTTGCTGATTTTTCATAGCTAGGTTTATTATTTATCCTAAATAATTAATAAGGAAAACTGACATCTGTACTCTGACAGCTGTTTCAGGCATTAAAGTTTACAGCAAAGAAATCATCATGGTCTTGTTTGCCTTTGCATATCATTAAAAAAAGCACCAGTATGGGGTTGCAAAATGGCAGAAAATTTCCAGCAAATTCCCGGTAAATTTCCAGAAACTTTCCATGGGAAGTTAGGCTGGGAAATTTTGAGAAAAATTCCAAATTGGAAATTTTCCATGGGAATTATTTGTAATTTATGGGAATTAACTGGAAATTGGGGGTAATTTAAACAAACTGTATCATATCCAAACATGATTGTAAATATTTTTGTTTTGTCATATGCAGACATCCATGTAAAATAATACAAGTAGTGACAATGAACAATGGCATGAACAGAAATATAATTGGCTAAACAGCTGGAACGGTCTTCAAAATATTTGACAATTGGTGTATAAATTATTGTATGGTTGCAGAGATCCATCTTTAAGGAGTCAGAAGAAACAGCATCACATTTAAGGTAGCCACCACCACCATGATAAGCTGGCCCCCTAAATGGAAATGAAAAATAGTGAAATGAAAAATAGCTTACATTTATCACCTATTTTTATTTGATTTTTGCAAGTTAAATATTAATTCTATCATAGTTCAAATATGTTTACTCCATTATATGATCAAAATTTACTTGACTTTCTATAGTCTGTGGTCTCAAATGTCTTGTGCTTTGGGCTCAAAAGTGTGGCCTCCAGGGTTCAAGAAATCATCTGTGCATGTGATAGTGGATTGCACAGTGCATGTAGGGGATGTAGCTTCAAAAGCCCTGCAGTAAGCAGTGTGCTGTTTGCATGTGATTGAGGAGTGAACTCGCGTTAAATCTGGTTGTTTTAGCCAAGATTATGATACAATATATTTTTTAAAACTACATTTAAGTTTCCTGTTGAGGGCCAACCTTCAATTTTGTAAATTTCAGATTTATTCCCATTAATTCCCACGGAAAGTTTCCAACTTTGAAAATTCCCAGAATTTTGCAATCCTAACCAGTACGAATTTCAGTCTGTTTCATAAACATTAAAATCTCTTAACAGGAGCTTTAAGTCATTATTATTGGACTTTAATGCCATAGGATGCTGCCAGGGGAGCAGCATCTGATAAGCTGCTGTAACTACCAAAGGTCAGATGCTGCATTACAGCAAAACGCACAGATAATTTAATCTCCTCTCCACATATTTCATCTCTGTTTCCTCACTTCTCCACCCTGCATACTCACTCCTGCACAGGCCGTCTCCATTGCACTCTTTACAGTGAGATGGACACCGATGGCACGCTGTCTCAGAGCCATGATATCCCTCAGGACAGTGAGGCAGGCAGGTGTGGTCCAGGAGGAAGTATTGTATGCTGCAGCTCAGGCAGTGAGAAGAGTTTTCTCTGCAGGATGCACACTCTGGGTCACATGGCCGACACACACCATCTTGAGGAAACCCCCTAAGAAAGAAACAGAACGGAGGTAATCATGAATAAATGATGAAGGTGTGTGCTAATGTGTCGGCAAAGAAATGAGAAAACTGGGCATTCACCTGGGACAGTCCACCACACACTCTTCACCATGAAGGTAAAGGCCGCCGCGGCAGCTCTGACAGTGTTTGGCATCCTTGCAAGAGACACAGCCTTCAGAGCAGTCTTCACAGCGACTGGACTTTGAGTTAGCAAATGTCCGAGATGGACATTGATTCATGCAGGTTTGTCGAGGGGTCAGGAACCGACCTGAAGAATGAAGGAAATTACAAAAATGATGCAAAAATTATTACGCAGCAAATACGTGATTTGTGGGGTCGCAGCAAACAGAGAGAAAATGTGAACCTGAGAAGCAGCTGGTGCAGTTCTCCCTTTCTGCTCCAGAGCAAGTCTTACAAGATGAATGGCACCGCTCACATTCTTGCTTTGCTGATGGTGAGAGCAAGACAGAAATAAGAGTTTTTAACAAAAATGTGAGAACAAAGAGGACGAGATGAGAAAGGATTACTTTTATAAAATGTCAAACCAGCTGAAGGAACAATAGATTACAGAATACAATGAAAACCTCGCGGTGACGTGTAAATATATCTTATTAAACAAATTAAATGATCAAATTCAAATCTACCTAAACTAAGATCAGAGGTGGATAGTAAGTTTCGTCCTACTGTTTCTGAAGTGTTTCTCCGGGCAGAGAATCAGCTGTCCTCCCTCCAAACACTTCCCATCCGTCAGCGTGAACCCATCCTCGCAGGAGTCACAGTCGTCATATTGCGGCCCTCCACAGGTACGACAGGCGCGGTGACAGGGCTCACATTCCTGGCTCTCCTCATCCACGAAGAAACCTTCCTTACAGTGATCCACACACTCTCCATCTGAACACAAGAATACACTTTCTATTTCAACTAAACCCCTTTAGAGTTATTGAACTTTTAAAAGAAATGTCTATGGGTGTAACTTTAAGCTTTATCTGGTGACTAATGATAGATCCTCATACTCGTACATCACTCTGCCCAAAATGTAAAATCTCATATGTTACCAGAGACGTAGAACCCCTTTTCACACCAGTAGCACTGTGAATGGTCGCAGATGTCGCACTTTTTGTCTTCACATGGTGTGCACACTTTTGTCTCTTCTACACTGTAGGTACGATCTGGACAGAACTGATGACAGTCTGAGCCTAACCTGAAAAACACACACACACAGAGACAGAGCGTGTCAATATGAAGATATGTTACATGTAAGTGTGACTTAATAAATCTCTCAGCCACAGAAACTTACTGGTAAAAACCATCTTCACATTTGAGGCACACAGTTTCCTGATTTCCTGAATCCTCTGCAAAGAAGAACAGAAATTACAACTCCTCTCAAGAAAACTTTCTTTAGTTAAAACTAAAATCTTCATCTTTGAGTAAAAAAATCCAGGAAATTGATTATTATAAACAAACGTAGTGCCAGGAAATAAGGAGCTCAAAAGTGACTAAAAAGTGTAGGAATATCTGTACTGTGAGGACACAAAGGCCACAAAAACAAACTTTTCTGATCAGGTCAACAAAAGCTTCAAAAATAAGAAGCTCCCTGAGAGAAGTGTGAGAGGTCGAGCTTCTGTATTTGTTTGAATTAGACTGCCAAGGTGTTCCTAATGTTATGGCTGCTCAGTGTAAATCTTATAATGCACTGTGATAGAGTGTAGTCACCAGCAGGAGGCGCTTTGACACCACTTTATAAATCTGCTCAGTCCTACAAAGAGGTGAAGGACACTCTTGGTCAAACATCAGCTGAGAGGAAAAACCTGACGTCTTTTTATTAACGTGAAAAAGTCTTTAGAGAAGTTTCAGACACTTTCATGTTTCAGTCGTTTGTTGCTGCGGCTGCTTCAGTGGGTTTTTCTGTGTTGTGTGTTCAGCAGGTGTCCCTGAACGTGCATTTTTGATTAATCCAGGTCTGTGTCATGCTGAAGAGAAAAAGTTTAATTTTCTTTCAGATTTAGTGAATTCCTCTTTTTTTTTATCAAACTAGTAGCTGAAGAAGAGCAGTCCAGAGATGTCAAAGTAACTCAGGGGATTGTGGGAGCAGAGAGCAGGGTGGGAGAAGAGAGGGGATCAGAGGATAGAAGCAGATGGGGTGTGAATTTTGAAGGATAAAAAAAGGGGGAAGAGAAAGAGGATGGAAATAACTCCTGAAAAAAGCCCCCTCAGCCTGCTCTCCCTCCCTTGGGACATTCATCCTCTCCACACAACACCCTCCATCGACCCCCACACCCCATTCCTCTCCACCTCTCCTTCCAGCACCCACAACTTAACTCTGCACTGGTTTGCACTCCAATGCAGTCGACAAGCCACTACCTGTGAAAGCAATTACTCATACAGAGAGAGAGAGAGAGAGACCAGGAGAAAGGGAGGAAAGGTGGGAGGGACAGAGGAGCCGGAAATCATGCCCTCAGGCTCTGTCTATGTGAAGAGGGAGAAAATAGCGCCCGCATAAATATTAACTGTGGAAGCCGGGAGAGGGGGGATTCGAGCAAAACTTCAACTGGCACACACATCCTGAAGTATGCATTTGTGGAATGTGCAAGACCTTAAACACACATTCACGGGACACATGCACTCATACACTGTACAGTAATATATTTATGCAATTTAAATATATATACATAAAGACTCAAGAGGATGTAGGGAAAGGCAGCAGATGTGTGAATATAGTGAAGCAAAACATCCATGAGAAAAAAACAGCTTCCTTAAGCAGGACCGAGCTGCACGGCATCAAAACAGCTCAACTCTGGAGGAGAGGAAAGCCTGAGAGCGCCAAGAGCAGCAGAAGCCCGCGTGCACAGCGAGGAAGCTGCTGGATTACTGTGTTTTATCACAGGTAAAAGATATATTCTGGTGGTTTTACCCCGCCTGAGAGAGCTCCTATAGTTGAGACTACACGAGTCATGTGCAAAGATGAAACTTCCAAGATCACACAAGGCCTCTGCAGGTTTGAAACACGACTAAACCACTGAGATGTTGGTTTTTTTTCTTATTCTATAGCGTGCTGAGAGAATTAATGGCTATGAAGCTGATGATGTGTGCTGAAGTGATTTGATGAAGGAGATAGGACTGAGAAAAGGCTGACACGTCTTATCGCACACTGTCAGGCTGCTGAGCTCATTGATAGATCTCACACAACAGACACGCAGATCAGAAACTAACCTGCACACTGAATCTCAGACTGTGGAACAACATGACCAACAACTTCCCAGTGTTAGGATCCAACAGAGGCATATCAAAACGAAACTACCGCACTTAAAAAGTACCCTTTTTTTATTCTCACACTCTATCTTTGGAGCACAATAATGCATATATGCATGTGTGCTTGGGTGTGAGTGTGTGGGCATCATCCTCGTTGAGAAGCATAGCGGATTCAGCTGTATAATGTGCAATGAAAGTAAATGCTTTTTTTGTTATGGTATTCATGTGGACATTTTGGCGTGTCTGCTCCTGAGATGCAGAGAAGGCATATACACTTACTTATTAGACACGTCTCACACTGCAAGTTCTGTTTCATCTCCACTTTAGCCCGTAGCATCGCGTCACAGGGCCAATTATCCCAAATCTCTAATCTGCTGACTGACTTGTTTAGCTCGCAGAATTGTGATTACTAAGGGCGGGTGTGTGGTGGGGTGTGCTGGGAATGGGAGGAGGGGAGGGAGTGAAGTGAAGTGTGTGTCGGGGGGGAAGCTGTGGTGGTGGTGGATGTGAGACAGAAGAGAAATATTCCACCCAAAATGCGTTGTGACATAATAACAGCCTCCACCTTAGACACTATGTCAGCACAATACAACTTTGAGAGAGTGTCAGAGAGGATCTCAGGGAGAAGGAAGGGCTCCGCTCTTTATGAGGTTGGACTGAAAAGGGTGGGGGGTACGAGATTAGGGGTGGGGGCTCATAATGTATCCTCTGTCTCTAGTTACAGAGTAGCGTCAAGGAAAAAATCTTATACAAAACAGCGATTAGAGAAGATTGTTTCGCTCAGCGCAAAGCTGAAGTGGGTACTTGTGGGATGATAAAGTCTGCCTCCTACACGAGTAAGATTTCAGCTCGATTATTCCTGCAAAAATATTTAAATACAATTTTATTTCATTCCTATTATTCAATCAACTTGAGCTTCGACAAAAAAGTGTTTCAAGTTCATTTTCAACTTCATTTCCTCGTCTACGACTGTAAATTGTAAATTAGATGTCATGTTGAGTCGAATACATTTAAGCATCACGAGTTTTTATCCTCTGGCATGTGTAATGCCTCCTTCTGGGTAAGTAAAGCTGTGCTGCCAACGCTGCAGTGCAGTTTTTTTCATACAGGAAAGCGAGTGGAAAGAAAGATGTGATCGAGGTTACTCACTGCGTTGACATTGCTTGCAGCCCTCGTCACAGGGGATACAGTCATCATCTTCTGCGTCCGCGACTTTACCTGCGGGAGTCGGTGAAGGTTAAAAGTATCGATCAGACATGAGAAAATGCTGCTCAGGTAGTTTTGAGACGGTTGGAAAAAAGTTGCACAGAGACGTAAAAGAAATGATCTTCAGCTAGTTTGAGATTTCTCCTTTTTCATTCATCATAACAAGAGTGTGAGTTTTGAGTAAAGTGCTGTGAATTTCACAAGCATGACAATCAAACTGCTGCTTCTCCTAAATTACAGTCATTATGAGTTTTGTTGTCATTCATGAAAAAATAGCAGCTCCTCTATCTGTACGTGTTTTGTTGAGTTTTTTATCAATGATACACATCAGTCTATTGGGTGTCATTGCTCCTCCTGTGATTTAAGAAAAGGCCCAGAAAGAGGACCCACCCGTGTCCACCTCAGCGGAGTTTGACTGCTCCACACTTGAAGCTGTAAGCAGAGCCTGCTGTGACCTGCCCGCCTCGTATAATAAGAATTTCATCCCACCCGCCCCGCTCATAAACTTTATTTCCTCACATTCAAACTCTCAACATAACTTTTAACCTCGGTCTCACATTCAGCGCGGAGTCTGCTCACCTAAACCTCTCTTCCTTATCTCAAACATCTCACCCAAAATATTTCAGCTCTTTCTCAACCTTGCTTTGGCTGGCTGCCTTTCATATTTGATCTCATAGGATGAGATAAAGAGCGATGTGTTCATCTTTCACAATCTCTCTGAGGATACGACCACACTGAGTAAAGAAACTGAACTGACAAAAACAAAACAGTTACACAGCAGGCGTGGATACATTTACTGCCTGGATTTTTTTTTTTTCTGGTAACAGTATTTATTCATGTGTTAAAGGGATAGTCCGGCATAAAATTAATTTAGGGTCAAACACTGAGATGAATGTTGTCGACCACTTGCTTCTCTAGTTATACCAACTTTAGTAACAACCGCACAATAGCAATAGACAGCGGTCTATGGATCCAAGTGCACACCTCAACCAAAACGCCACTCTATAGCCACAAATAATGCTCAGAACAGCCCCTAACTTCATCAACAATACATATAGGTTCCCAGCCATAGTACTAGCCACCAAACATCTTTTTAGCTTTGCCTAATTTCTTTAACAAAGAGACCAAACATAACTCACCCACTCTCCTCCAGCAGCCGCTTGTTTGTAGGGAGAGCTCAGAAGAGTGGACCACCAAGTGCAGTGGAGTTTCGCAGCTCAAGGAAGAACATTTATGATCATTACTTCATGGAAATACAATCAGACCGAGACGCTGAGGCAGAAGAACTAAAGCGTCTGCAGTGCAAAATGATTAATATGATGATTATTACTTCAAGGAAATGATAAAGAAATGATTATAAATGTTCTTCCTTGAGCTGCCTCACCCCACTGCAGTCCATCATGGACTGGCCCAAGGTCTCCCTACAAACAAGTGGCTGTTGGGAGAGAGTAGGTGAGTTGTATTTAGTCTCTTTGCTAAAGAAACCAGGCAAAGTTAAAAGATGTTTGGTGGCTAGTACTCTGGCTGGGACCCTATATGTCCTGTTGATGAAGTTAGGTGCTGTTCTGAGCATTATTTGTGGCTATAGAGTGGCGTTTTGGTTGAGCATGTGGCTCTCTGTATTACTATCATGCGGTTGTTACTTAAGTTGGTCTAACGAGAAAAGCAAACAGTCAGCAACTTTCAGAGGGTGTCTAACTTGGTGTTATGGTGTGTTTGACCTTAAATTAATTTTACGCCGGAATATCCCTTTAAGCTGTGTTAGCTAAATAGTGCCCAGTTTTGACTGTTTTCTGAATATTTTCTTACTGTTAGACTCTTGGCTGGTCAGATTTTTGATTTCTGCTAAATTGATGGAGAACTAAGACACTCCAAATCTTCCCTATTGAAGTCAAATCGACAAACGCCGCTTCCTTATGCAACATTTTCTGTTTCTGTGCAGGCAGCTTCGCCTTGTTAAGTAGAGTTTTGTAGCCGTCTGTTTTACTCCTTTCATTTTTGAGTCTTATTCATTTAAAAGGCATCGTGGAGAAATTCTTGAATCACCTCATGGAAATGTTTCATTATTAATGAAACTTTCCAAACCTTCAGAGGCTCCTCATTTATTTATGAAGTAGGACTGTTATCATAAGAGGGTTCAAATATCTTCTCTGTACGGCACATTTTTCACACCTGACACTTAAAATCCAAACACTTCCACGAACCAAAAGAAGCCAGTCGGACAGAAACTTTCTTATTTGGTCATTTCATGCATAAATTCTGGCGAAGGGCTCTTAAAGATGGCACACTCTCTTTTGGGCACACTTTTTTTTTCCTGCTTTCGAATGAGGTCACCGTACTACATGCGTGTTCCCTGAGGTGGCGTTTGCCAAATTCAGCCCTGAATAGTGACAGTGGCGCTCATCCACAGTGGCAGCCATCTAAAATACAGTCCTCCCTACACTCTTTATTTATTTACCAAGAGTGAGAGGAACATGCTTACTTTTTACCTCTCCAGATGTCACCCATTGTGAGCTTCGACATTAAACAGACATGATTAAGCCTCATTTCTCACCCGGGCTGCATTCCAGCGGGACACACTGGTTGTTTTTGACTTTGTGTCCGGGGTTACATTGGAGGCAGTGGTTTTCTCCTGAACAGACGACGCATTCGGCCGAACAGGGTTCACAGCGTTTCCTCCAGGAGTGGAAGAACCCTGCTGGACAAGCGTCCCGGCACTGACCCTGGTAGAGATATCTGCTCTCTCCGAACTTATCTATAAATAGAGCAAAGAAAGAGAGAAATCTGTTAAAGACGTTATATGATAGAAAAAGACAGAGAGATAGACACATACACTTCAATCCAACATGTCACTCTTCATCTTCTTCACCATCACGCTCCTCTCCATCCTTTTTTTTTTTCTTTCTCTTTCTACCCTCCAGACACAGCAGGGGTGTAAAACTCCACATGACCGTCAAAGGTCAGTATCAACAAGCATCTGCTCAGTGTGCACCCGCATTAGTGTGTGTGCACTGACTGGCCAAGATAAGAGAGGTTGTTTTGAGAGAGAAATGACACGGCGAAGACACAGATGGAGGGTCTCTTCGTGTTATTATTGTTATGTCTCATTGAGCCTCAGACAGACCTGCAATTAAATGGAACCACATTTTGCAAACAGTCTGACAAACTTGCCGACTAATTGAATGTGTGTGTGTGTGTGGGGGGGAAATCTGGTGTTAATATTCTCCTTGGATGTGTGTGGTATTTTAAAGAGTGTGTGTTGTGAGTATAACAGAATCCCCCAAGTGTAAATACATTGAGTCTGACAGCCGTAATACTGTCTGTGACACCGTGATAAACACAGTTATTAGCCCCACCTTCATGATGATGTTTCTTTAGCTGTGAGCCTCCAATGGCATCCAGGTTTTATTGGCACAATTGTTTACACACTAATGAAAAAAAGGTTCTTTTAATGATCGCACAGAACTGCTTAATTTACCAAAAAAGTTAAGCTTTTTAAAGATACAGCTACAGCTCATCCTTTAGGGATTTTACAGCGAACCCTGCATGAGGGTAAAACCAACAAATGACTGATCCCCCCCCCTTCACACACATCTATCTGCAGGCCTTTGGCTGAATCACGGCTTTAATTAGACCCATTTACTTTTAGAGGATTGATCAGTGGAGTCCAGCTCAAATGAGCCGTGGCTTGATCCATGCGATGTTACAAGAAAAGCGAGATTTCTCTTACATTCCAGGAATAGCAAAAGAGATGGATTTTTAAGAAAACACCAGACATGACTGCAAAACGACAGCTGTGTCACTTCAGAGGAACAGGAAAGAGAGGATTTTTATCATGAGTTTTACAGTTTTATCTTGTTCAATGGAGTTTTTTCGTGGCATGACAAAGAAAGAAAAAAAAAGGTCTGATTGGTTGTCAAAGGAGCACCTTTGTCACAGCTGGTGCAGTTGTCCGGTCCTTCGTCTGTACACTCCTGGCAGGTGTGGTGACAGGGATGACACTGCCTTCCCATCGCAAATCGTCCCTTTGGGCAGCGGATTACGCAGCGTCCATCATCATAGTACCTGCAGTGAGGTTAGGATGAGGTTTTTTTTAAGCAGTTTGCTTCAGCAGCTCATGAGAGAATGATCCATTAAAGAAAATCACAATTAGAGGGATTTAGTTTCTTCTTTAATTCATCCTTAGAAGTTATACTTTTGTGGTCCTCACCGTGTCTGTGGGCAGCTGGTGCATTCCTCTCTCTCTGGACCTGAACACTGCTCACAGGTAGCGTCACACAGGTGGCAATTTCGATGTGTACTCATGTACTCTCCTGCAGGGACAGCCCAACAGTGAAGGACAGCAACAAGAGGAAACTTTTCAGCACTTTTTCTGACTGGTGAAATAGTCACTCACAGCTTCAGCTCTATGCTCTGTCATCTGTCAGCTTTGTGAGTTTGCTCAGTGCTTCATTGACTTTATGATGTTGTTTAATCCAATTAAAACCAGCAGTCAAATACTTGAGGGTTTCCGTTCACTGAGCACATTATTGTCTGGCTTCCCAAATCTCTGGCACAATTACAGGTATGACTGCTATTGTTTGATTTTTTTTAAAAGTCCTTCCCTTGTATTGTTGTCAAACTCATTTCTGTTATTTTAGTGTGCTTTTACTGTTCCAGAGGTTGATTTGGCTCTGAGTTATTTTGTGGGCGTTAAATGTAAACAAACACAGAGTAAAAGACAATTTTATCGTGAGAATGAGGCGTCAAAACTTCCGATCTACAGACATCAGAAACACAGAATAAATTCATCCTGTCCTCAATTTTTAAGCTAAATAATCTAACTATAAATTACGCTATATTGCATTTAGCAGCATTTGACAGAATCTAGAGGCATGTCTCCTACCAGTGAAGAAGAAACCTGCTGCAGTTTATTCCAATTTCTACACACTGTACCTTTAAATATTAAGTGCTTATTTCTGGAACAACTTCTTCCATCTCTGGCATTTTAACACAAAAATATGTTTTTTTTATTGAAATGTGTAAGTTTAGTTTGACTACATTTAAAGGGTGGGGCATCAGAATTAGTGGTGGGGAGATTACACATAGACAAGCTGACTGTCTTGGTGTATTTGGCAATGTAAGATAATATATCATCAGGTGATAAGATCATACAGCCTTTTTAAGTTATATTATTGCCGTCAAATACGCCTTAAGGTTCAAACTTTGCACAGACATGCACCTCAGTAAAGTTGAACAAGTGCTTCTACTTTAGAAGTCTGTTTTAACATCTCTTCTTCTACATTTGTGCGCAGAAAATTTGTTGTTGAGGCTTGAACTACAACTTTTTAATGACCTCTGTCAGAGCACAGGTAGTGGCAACGTCAGGAAGTCTTTGTCCCGACTCACTATATTTGAGACACAAGCGATTACTCCTCGGAACAACACTGTGAAAAACATTTGTCGCAATACCAAGAGACCTTTCCTTTTGTTTTTACATTACAGTAAATGCCTTCCTGCAGCCACATCCTCCACTGCTGAAAATGTCGGAAATGTGCGTAGGACTTCGGAGGCTGGAAAGTTTTTATTTCAAAATGAAGTACAGGCTGGAAATTGAGTCGGGGTGCCAGAACTCTCAACACCTGGCGAAGCAATTGTTGGGTCACCATCAGCATTAATCAGCAGAATGTCACACAGCAGGTATACCTATTATTGAATGTTTGCTAATGCACTACATTATTAATTCAAGAATGACCTCTTCATTCGTGGCGTGATTATTACATCAACTTTTTTCACAGTCACTCAGGACTTGGCGAAATGTTATGAGCTATTGTGCCCGAAGTTTCTGAAGGACTGAGAATAAAGTTCTTAAAAACACATCAACCCTCAGCTTCACATTTGGCAGCAGTGAAAAGAACCAAAACAAAAGAGGCATCAATATTGTCTCCTATCCTACCTTTGTATAAGACAAAGGTGACAGACACAGGCTCAGGCTTAAGGACCAAGCAGTGTGTGTGTGTGTGTGTGTGCGTATGTGTGTGTGTTAGCATCCTTTAAGGCAGCAGCGAGGTTGTGTGTGCTCTCTGTGAAAAGCTCAATTGTTCCTTTCAAAACAAAAGAACTTCTTTGTGTACAAACACAACAGGCGGTGGCTTCCCATTCAGCGGAGCTCTGCTGAAACCATTCAAACAGCCCCCGAATAAACGCCGTCGCTCTCACTCACACACACACACATCGAACGCTCACAAACACACACTCACACAAATTGTCTCCCTGTCTTTCTGTTTGTCTCCCCCTCACTCACGCACACAAACAAACAGGGAGCCAAGTTCTCAAGGGACGGGAAGCTGCACAACTCCACTCAGCAAAAGCAGACACTTTGGACTCCCACTGCAGGCCGGAGGAGAATGAAGGGGAGAAAAAGAGAGTTTGACACTCTGGGGAGGGAAACTTTTCCGCTGTTATGGACTAGGCTGACCTTGTGAGGACATTGACAGTCTACTCTGTGAGGAGAGAGGGAGAGAGAAGGAGAGAGAGAGAAAGAGAGAGAGAGCTCTGCTGGCAGATATCACACTGACATCGCCTACACCTGCACCTGAATCCCAATTCCCCGGCCCTTCAACCTCCTGATACCTGCACAGACATGGACCAAGAGAGCAGGGAAAAAGATATACTCACTGTCACCTACAGGTGGTCAAGAACAGGCAGGCTACTTACTACACTGTTCTCCTGATAGTGTGCTCTAAACGTCAGAGGGAAGTGCAGATTTTCCAGACTGAAGTTTTAAAAAATGTATCCATGTTGGAATATTTCGCATTTCATTAAAAACAGACATGATTCTTAGAGATGACACACTCTTTTTTGTTGTATCCAAAAATGCAGGACAGAACAGAGAATAAACCTCAACAACATTGACTTGTCTAGATCTGATCCTGTCTAAGATGATTAAGGTAAAGTGGGAAACTGTTCTGTGGTCTTAAAAATCTAAATTTGATATATTCTTGACACAGCATCCTTTCCTCCAAAGAGAAGAAGGACCACCCAGCTTGTTATTAGTGCAGGATTTAAAAGCAGGCATCCATGATGATACATGAACGGGTAAGTGCCCAGATGTGCTCAAACGCTGGAATGAAATCAAAAACAAATACATATTTCATAAAAACAATTAATTTTCCAGTTTCAACTGTCGATAGGTTTTTTTTTAAACTATTTTCAATCAAATAAAGCGTTTGAATGATTAGCAAAGCATCCAACTCTTTCCTGATTAACTTTTTACTTTGTATTTTTGTTTTACTTTTAAACTAATAAACCCACATATAGAGACACATTATTAGTACAACAGTGTATAAAAAACACAAATGCCCCAAAAACTTAAATTCTCTGCTTACGGATTTTGCTTTAGAGATTAATTAAGTTCTACTTTCATATTGTATTGTGGATTTCTGATGCAAGTCGCACACAATATATGTTAATGTCAGGTAATTGCAGCATTCATGCACGTACGAGAAACACTCAATACATTACAAATGCAACCGACAGTAAAGCAGCTCTTAAGATCTAAAGAATAGATGGAAAATAAAGCTTCACATTCGTAGGTATCAAAAAAAGTGTGAGATTTAACTCGTGTTTATTTTTTTGAGTGTTAATATCACTCTGTCATCAAAACCCCCCCTATCTTTCTCTCTGTAGACATTTAATCCTCCATCTGAGCGAACTGGAGAAGAGTCAATGTTACCTTTAATAAGAGTCAGGGGATAATATGTTTGAACGGTCTTCTGCTTTTCTTATTATTTGTTATGCTTGTAAAGCAGTTTTAATTACTGTGTTGCTATCTGCAACGGATTTGGTCTTACTAAAGGCAAGTGGGAATACAAATCCTGGTAATGAATTATTTTCATCAAATGACTTCAGGTCAAGCCGTACTGACTCTGGGTCGTTATTAATCCAGTCTACTGTGAGTCAAAGTCATGCAGCCAACTGATAAAGTTTCATATTTGGAAGAGCTAAACCTCCGTAATCGATCACTTTTTCACCTCTGTTTCTTTATATCCCAGATAAATGCACACAAACTCTGAAACGATTTCAGCGCTAAGTAGGATGGGACCATCTGAAAACAATACAGGAGTATCTAAATCATCTCTGATACATTTTCAGAGAGACTTGCCCTGTGCATTCCTTCAACAGAGGAAGTGATTAAGATCCCCAAGTAAGTAAAACCCTTTGGTGACCACTTTCCAACGTAATCCATCCCTCTCTAGCATGCAGGCTTCTGTGAATTAAGTTGCATTGGTCCCCTCCAGCTTCCCTTGAGGGCAAATATCCATACAATTTGCCGTTAGTACCTCTAGAGCTCTGGTTGGTTTCGTGCCCACGTACAAGCTGGTTTTATCATTAGCATTAGCTGCTGGCATGGTAGCTGAAGGTCTGTCTTTCCCCCCTAGAGGATTGTTGGGAATTTTGCTGGTTGGATGATATGACCTGAAGAAGTAACTTATCTTTGCTGACAATATTGCTGCCAAGATGAATAACAAAGGCAATACTGCAGGACGGTTTCCCAGAGCTCTGACCAAATGTGTCCGCTCAGGTCACCAGACGGCCTTTTGTTGACATTTTCTGAACATCCCAATAAAATACAAAACTTGTTCATGAATATAAGCAGGTTTCACGGATTTGAATAGCTGTTTAAACCTTCTAGTTGTAGGTCATACAAATGTTCTTCAACAGTCTCAGTGTGCTCTTCATTGTTGAATCCCTGAACCCTGAAGGGATCTGTCATTCTGATTTGCACTGTAATACGTACATATGGACTAATGCTGTATGACAACATTAAATCTCGGCAAAGGTCAATAACATGAGATACACAGATGGTGGCGCAATCCCCGAAAGTGTTTCCTAGCTTCTCACCAGAGCTTGTTTCAAGACGTGGCCACAGCCTGATGTCACGGTGTGCCGTCCAATCAGCACAAGCTCACTCCATCAAAGACAAACCCATTATTCCACAGCCCACCTTTTCCCTCTGCTCAACACTTTGTTGATTTAAAGTCTCAGAAGTTGCCTCTAAGTGTTCTGTTGATTGCAAAAAGCAGACACAGCTTCTTTCTTTTCCCAACCTGAAAACAGTGGGATTTTTTTTTTTTATGTTTGCAGGACAAAAGAGCCACATCGTAGCTGTTTATGCTCACCAATTTACTGATGGCTTCAACGTAAACAAAGATCAGTAAGAGCTGGGTTTGTGTCTCAAGTGATACTGCAACCTGGAGCTGTTCGATCCATGAAGATCCTTGTTAAAAACACGAGACCACAAGCTGACAGAACCCTCGAAGGAGCAGCTAATTTAAGAATAGTTAAACAGTGCTGAAATGAGGGTTTTCATTAGCACCAGTATAAGATAAATAAGGGTTTCTATTAGCTGTAATTCATGCAAAGCAATGCTGGTAAAAATACGTTTAATAGGCCTTAAATTCCCTCGTCTATAGTTCAACATTCAGACCCATTTTATCCCAAACAAAAATAAGGTAAACTAAATAAACAACTGATGTGTTTGTACCTATAATGAGGCAGCCTCTCTGTTTTTAACTTCCAACAAATTGTCATTGACCGCCCATGTCTCCCCTTAAATGCCTGCCTGGGGCATGTGGAACCTTGATTAAATCAATCTCTGAAAAACTTGAGTGTGTGAAAGCACTGGTGTGAATTTCAATGACGCTTTTTCCCCTTTCATGAACCTCTGAGACAGACATATCTGAGAAAAAGAGAGTGGCATCTACGTTTTGGAAAGGCAGTGAGGGGCACATAAAGTAAAAAAATAAACAGAGGAAACGTGACTGATTCGACTGAATTATTATAAACTAAAAAAAAAAAAGAAACATGAATAGATTAAACATTTTAATAAGAACACTTAAGTAAAAAAAAAAGATTTTCAAAACTAGGACTTTGAGTAACATTAATAATGCATTGTCACAGATATGTCACAGGTACACGATAAAAACAGCTTTATATAGGGGCGGGAGGGATGCGCCTACGACCACACAATCTAAAGTCAAATCATGTCATCTTAAACAATGACCAAGAATAAGTTTTTGTTAACCAAAACAGGGAGTCATCATTCTTTATTACAAATCATCAAGAACCATAACCAGGTGACAGTACAACAATTCATCTAATACTGTAAATGCTCAAGCTGCAGGTGTGAAAACCCACACAAATACAATAAGAATCTTAAACATTATATTTGCCGTTCTTAATTAGAAAGCAGCACCACCAGAATAACCTTTGAGTTTCATCAGGTACGGTTCAGAGACGGACAGGAGGAGAAAGCAGACGTCTTGACATCAATCGCCAATAACACGAGAAGTTTTTTTTGGCTGAAACAAGTTGAAACATTTTCTGGTTCTGCATTGATGCTGTCGGCTCATTTTCCAACAATTACCATGTAAATAGAGAAAGAAAAAAAAATTGATTGCCTTGTGTTTGTTTTCCGATGTTTCTTGGGTTGACCAAACAAAAATCACTTATGTGACATCTGGGTTTCTTTTTTTTTCTAAACTGTGAAGTAAATCAGTGTGAGCTGGAGGCAAAATCAAAACTTACACCTGAGCAGTTTGCTGCATGTCTGCCTGACAAAGACCATTACCTGCAACTGAAACATGAGAATGACAGAGTATTTTCTGTGCCGATCATTGACCTTCTGTGTTTAAAGTAGAGAGCAACACTTCCATTAATATGCATTGCCTTTGCAATATAGTGACTAAGAGCAGAAACTCTATTTTTTATTTGAGAACAGTAACATGTAGGGATGCACCGATACGAGTAGGATAATTGAGTGACAACATTCCCTTTAACAGGGGTTCATATGGCAAATAAAAAAAGCAAACACATAAAATACAGCTGTCTGTAACACATATGAGTTAAATCTCAATTCTTTTGCTTTGTTGTTCAAAGTAACTGATGGATTCGACGCTCAGTTTAGGGCAAAAGTTTATACTCTGAGGTGAGAAATGGTCATCGGTGCATCCCCAGTACCACAAATTTATTTTGACTCTCTGCAGCGTTTCCTTCCCTGCAGAAAGCTCCAGAAGGAATGACTATCGACCTGTCTTGTAGTACCTCTGGAATGAATCAATGCTGTCTGGGCTTACATTAAGAATTAATGGCGTTCTCCGACATACACACACACTGATAAAGACAAACACACTACTCAGAGGGCAGCTTTGTGTTTTTAAATAAATGAAATGAGGTGATTTTGGTCAGTAATATGCATCATTCCCGGGCGATAGTGATAATGTGGCAGGTTACTCCTAAAGTGGCTGATTCAGGTGTTGAAATGTGTGTATATATGGGTGTGTATGTGTGTAACTGTGTGTGTGCGATTTGTTTAACTCCCTCCAAACAGCCAGAGTCAGCCCAGACAGACATTATTTTCACATTACTGAGTGAGCTTCATTTTTTTAAATCCTGTGACGTATATTTACAGGCAAAAAACCAGGGCCTTCCCTACTGTATGTTCTCTTTCCATCTGTTTGTGGTTAACGCCGGGAAGAGGAGGAAGAGGAGCCAAAATAAAAATGCACATAGACTTATTCAAAGATTCACAGGCTGAGTGGCTCCTGTTTTTAAGCTATGCTTCCTACACTGGCAACAAAAAAAAAAAGAAGGTTCAATTATTTTGGCATCGATGCTTTGGTCACAAAATACCGACACTTTTATTCTTTTGTGTGTTTTCACTTTTGTTTCATTTGCTCGTTTGTTCTTGAAGTAAGTCCCGCAAGTCATTTTGAACCCTGACCACGTGTGTGTCCCAGTACAGAAAAAAGGTAGGTTTGTTGTAGTCCTGTCATCGCACCTCCGATGCAGTCCTTTTAAGAGGCACAGATTCTCTTATAAATTATGTGACTGTGAATGAGTTGGCAGGGGGGGTGTTTGAGAAGGACGGGTGTCCCCTGAAGCCCCCACATCCCCCCCGCACTCCCTTTTTACGCCCAGTGAGTACATCCCGTCAGCCCTTTTGCGAGCACGTTCTGCAGCACAGTTGCTGCAGCACTTTCCTCTGGCAAAGATTGTTCTTTTTAACAAGCACGCAGAAACTGCCTTCTGCCCAAGATTCTTCATTTGCTTTCCACAGACCAGGAAGAAGAGATACAGGGGGAGTTTGTAGAAGGGGAGGGAGGGAAACATGCACACACCATTTAAATACATATGGAAACACACACAGACACACACACAGACACACACACAGGGCAGAACCATTAGAAACAGGTGAACGGCAGGCAGAGCCGTGTGATTGGTCAGGAGAGGTTTCAGATGACAGGAAGATTTTTTTTTTTTCATCCAATCACAGGTGATGTTCATCGAGGTGGAAAATGATTGTAGTCCAGAGGAGTGATTGGATCCACGTCAGGAGAGAGAGAGAGAAAACAGATTCAGGAGAGAAAACAGAGAGAGAGAGAGAAAGAGAGAGAGAGAGAAAAAAAGTCACACAATTAGAAAATTGAAGATTTTTGAAAATCACAACATGTGTCTTTTTGTATCACATTTTCAACCCAAACTGGACAACCAGTCTGTAAACTATAACCCCGAATTTCCACCGCATCCGGGACAGCGGCGATTTTTGCCATCTGCCAATTCCTACTGGATCCGTTTGTGAGGCGAATTTCGTGGCGGATTACGGACTTGGGATTACGGGAATCGCAAGATAATGAGTTGTCTCTATAGCTATATAACCATATAAGCAGTAGATTGTGTCCTTCCAGAGGAGAAAATCTACTTCTAGACTTTTAGAATCAGCATCTCCTCATCCATGGTGTCATTGGGGTGAAATGCTGTCTAAAAACCTTTCATTTTTTCGTCCCCGCTCATTTGCATGGTGTTTTATTTTGAAAAGAAGCCGGATGTTTTATTTTGTGTCTGTGCCCGACTTCCTTTCCAGCACAGGTTCATCTGATCGGCGGATATGGCCTTTTCATCGCCGTTTCGGATGCGGTGGAAATTGGAAGTAAGCCACTCAACAATGTGGTCGGTATGGTACCACTTCTTTAGGACAAGGAGGGTACGACAGACTGATTGTGCACTTTATGCAAAAGAATGATCTTGAACATTAAAGCCACATAATAAAGTCATTTTTTTCGCTTTAACCTCCTATAAGCTGTTGAACCTTGTAGCCATCACTACAAGCTTATAATCAGGCCGTCACCTCAGCAAGAGAAAGAGAGGCAAAGGGAATATTCACCCTGAAAGATCCATAAGCCAAGCATGCACGATTTAGAAAAGATTCAACCAGCGTGCAAAACGAGCAGAAAGTTTAAAGAGCAACAAGCAAGAAGAAAAAGAAGACCAGAATGAGAGACGAGTGAGTAGATCCTTCAAAAACCTTTCAGCTAACGCAATGAGACTCAGTAGTTCAGTAAAAAAAGGCAGAGAGCGTCGCACAAACTAAAGCAACAGGAAGGTGTAAGTTTGCAGTCCCATAAAGATTGTGTGTTAATGATGTGCAGAGCATGGATAAGGTCTTTAAACAAAAACTAAGAAGTGCAGAAATCCTGCTGCTCCTGCTAAGATGTTAGTACAAAGCTGTGAACTAATAACAGAAGGCTGCAGGTCAGTGCTCAGTTACTGTTAAGAAAACATTATTTCAGGAAAATTAGTCTTAGAAATGAAGCTTCTGACTTTTGTTAGGATGTTAGGACTAATTGGTAAACATGTAAATTTTGAATTCAAAGCATTTAAACATTTCCTGTTCAACTCAGTCCTGATCTATGTCTTCGCGTGGACCGTACTTGTATGAATAATGACTTCTGCTCATGTGAGACAAGTCCCAAACAAACGGAAGAAAGCTGACAACTCACCATCTTTGCAGACGGTGCTGACCACGCAGGCTCCAGCTTCCAGATTGTAGCCACTGATACAGCTGCTGCAGTTTCTCTCCCCAGGCCCCGAACAGTCTAAGCAGCTATGATCACACCTGTCAACAGTTTAATAAGAGTTAGACACCAGCCCACACCATAATAAACACAGTTACGGGTATGATCAGATATAATTCAGCTGTCTTTGTCAGGTCAGATGGGATCACTAATGGGATTAACCTCCAAACTTACAATATTATGTGTTATTTTGGTCTCAGCCTCAGAAAACATATCCCAATTTTTCTGAATAATCACAGAAAACCATTTTGGTAAGACCTTTATTTCGTCTCGGTGAGTATAATTTACTTGGAAAGTGTGTTGACACAACCAGGAAGGATGAAGAGGACCAAACATAATAAACAAACAGGGATTAATAACTTTATTTTGGCTTCTATGATCAACATCAAGACTTAAACTGTTTACTCTGAATAATTCATGTTTTCATTTAAGTCAGCAGTTTATTGCTTTGGCCTCTCTTGTGGTCTGTTAGTTAGCAGCATATGCTAAGAACTTTAAAATGCTTTTGAAAAAGATTAAATTGTGAAACAGAGTCGTAATCATTATTAAAAAGTTAATGGAAGAAATAAAAAGAATCTTTTGGGAGCGGAGGGGCCGATATGAGACGAGTAAATAAAGTTATTAGATATGCTTTCCTGGTGGTGTAAACGCGAGGTAAACTTTTACAATAAAGTATCAAGTTAGAGGGCAGTAGCGCACGGAGGAATCAAATACAGTAAAGGTTCGAATGAGCAATTAATAATTCAAGGAGGGAGACAAGAGCAGCAAGGAGGCAAGTCTACCTCAGTGAGAGATTAAAAATAAAAGCTGACAGGTTTGAAAGAGACAGGAGGATAAGAAGTCATCATCACACTGTCATCAAACATGTGATTTTCCTCCTCCTTTTCCTTGTTATCGTTATCCTCTGAAGGCCTGTGAATGTTGTGCCACATATTTGCAGCGGTGTTCATGCTTTTTGTGCAAAATAACAAGTTATAGAACCGGTAGATAAAAACAGACACCTCTTTTATCCTCCTGTACATTTGTTTCCCACCATTTTTAAAAATCAATCCTAAAATAATGAAATACTGTATATAAAATACTTTTCTCTGTGAAGTGCACTGCAGAGAGAACATCTAGTTCCCGGAGAGGACTCTGTATTTTCTTTGTTTACTCCGCAGTCTGGAGATCTAAAAGTGGTGTGGAGGTGTTGGCAGGTGTGCTGACTCACTTCTTACAGGACCTCTGAACCTGCCCGTTGTCTGCGGTCTGTTCTGACAAGTAGTAGCCAGCGCTGCATGTGGACACACACCGCCAGTCCTCAAGTAAGTAGCCCTCTGCACACTTAGTGCATGCCTCTATTCCTGTGCCTGAAGAGCACACAGACACACACACGCATACTTCAGGGTTGTTTCAGGAGTTACAAAACATATCAGGGAAGTTACCGACAGTGTTGGAGCTAGTTTGTAAAAAAATCTCAAAGTTCTACCTGCACAAGTGGCACAGGCCCGATGACAGGGCTCACAGGTCCTTCTGTGGCCGTTGTAATACGAGCCTGGGTCACAGGTCATCTGACACTTGTTGGCTTGAAGACTGTAAAGAGAAAAGAACAGGATACACATTCATAAATTCACAGAAACAGTCAGACATAAAGTGGAGACTTTTTCAAAGAGACATCAAATCTGTGCAGCCAGTCCAAGAAAATACCGAACTACTGGGAGGAAGTTACGAGCTCCCCATGACCTTCGAGGTAATGTACCTGGGCTATCTTAAGCAGAAAAACAAACAAACTGAAGACAGATACTTGACTGAAACACCTCTTGCAGCATCAAAGAAGGCCATCACGAGGAATTGGTGTAAGGAGAATCCACCCAATCAGAAAAACTGGCTGGACACGGAGGAAGAACTACCGTATTTTTCGCACTATAAGGCGCACTTGAAATCCTTTTGGCTTGTCGGAGCACTGCAGCTACCGTATCCTCTCGGAGTTATTGAATGAGTTAAACAAAGTTTGACTTATCTGACTGTTTTGTTTGGCTTTATGCACTTTATAATCCAGTGCGCCTCATGTATGAAAATAGGCGCTAATAGACACGTTCATTGATGGTGCGCCTTATAGTGCGAAAAATACGGTATATCAAATGGAGAAACTAACACACGCTCTACGACTCCAGCGAGAAACAGATACCCAAAAGTGGGAAAAATGGAATAAATGTAAATCTATTTACATCACTTAAAAAAATGGACAACTTTGATGGAGGCTTTTCTTCTCTGTGAATGTTTGTTTATATTTATATTTTTCTTTGAATGGCCATATGTCCTGTTTCTGTTATGTTTAAAAAATTCCAGTAACATTCAAGTCAAAAAAAAAATTTGTGCAGTTATTAATGATAAATGCAAATATACCAAATCTTTGTGTTAAACACCACAGACTACAGTGTCTGTCTTCACTCCTGTACTTTTATTTAGGAGGAATGACAAAAAGAAAATTCTAAAGCATCACCAATTCAGGAATCAATACAAGCTGGAGAAAGTTTCCTGTTGTGACAGATAGAAACCAAAGATTCTGGAAACACCAGATGCAGAGGTAGAGGTCAGTTCGAACTTTTATACACTCCAAAAGTAGGTTCAGAGTTTTATAAAGTCCGTTGTGTAGAGTCAAAGTGAGGACAGGTTGGTGAGCTGCTGCTCTGAGCTGAAAAACAGCTGGACCGCGTTAGCTAACGTTTCCCAGAAACAGTCTCGTCTGGTCCTCTCTTCCTCCTCTGCTCCTAACCGACCATGAATGGTGGTGGAGCGGAGACTCTGTGTATGTGTTATTGTGTGAGAAGGTGTGTATGTGTGCGCATGTGCATGTCCCACTAGTGCTCAGAGGAAATTATGGCTTACAAGTGTCCCCACTTCCACCTCTGGCTACATTCAACACTCAGAGCTCAGTTCAAGACCACAATTTGTTTAAAACTCTTCACAAGTGTTTCTTTCATGATCTATCAGGAATCTTGGTACTCTGAAACACCCCTATCCTCCGCCAGGTCAAGTGTAGTTGTAGTTGTTTGAAGAGGCTTCTGTGGGAGTGACCACAAAATGAACTAGAACATGTCTGCATGGATGACAAAATGGTTTAAATCAGAGACTCTTCAAAGGAAGATCCCAAACCAACAAGGGCAATATGCTCCGCTTCTTGTGGGTCTCCGCATGACACCAGTGTATTCAGGCTTTAATAAGTCTGGGTCACAGAGAGTAACTCATGTTACCTAATATAGATCCCAAGAGGAAAACCATCAGGAAACACGGTTTTCTGTTGGTCTGCTGTAAACCTCAAACCAGTGTGATACAAAAGGCCGGTCTAAATTAGCAGCAGTGTCCTCCTGCTGTGTTGGAGTGACTGAACACAACAATGAAACCTCAAATCTGACATTGAAGCAAAACACTGGAAGATAAAATTGAACTATCTGTAGAGGCCTGATGCAGGACTGAGTCAGTGATTGTCAATGGTGACTGATGCTAGCCAAGAGACAGGGTGTCGGCTTAGCCCAGCAGTTAAAGGGATATTGTGGCATAAAATTAATTTAGGGTCAAACACACCATAACACCAAGTTAGACCCCCCCCCCCCCGAGATATTGATGTTGCCGACTGCTTGTTTCTCTATTTATACCAACTTTAGAAATGACCGCAGGATAGCAATACACAGCGGTCTGAGGAGCCATAAACAAACCTCAACCAAAACGCCACTCTACAGCCACAAATAATGCTCAGAACAGCTCCTAACTTCATCAACAGTACATATAGGGTCCCAGCAACAGCACTAGCCACCAAACATCTTTTTTAAACTTTGACTAATTTCTTTCTTATTATTATGAGCCACTTTTATGAAATACAAGCCTTCTTTACCTTAACACGCAGAGTGTGCCAGCTTAAGGCAGAAAACTGACGCCCCTGTTTGCAGTTTGTAACGTGTGACAAAGATGTTCCACTAATCTACCATCATAGGTAGTAACAGAGGCATAACAGAGGCAAAACAGTAACAGTGTATAATGTCAGAGCCAACAGGGCATGTCTGAGTGTGTCTTTGCATGCTGGATCTCTCATGCCCCTATAACACAGTTTGAAAAACACCCACTGGGAAACGAGAATCACACTCCTGTGGACATAATAATGCATACAAGTACAAAGGTGTAATGGCGGCAGAAGTTTGTTACAGCGCTGCCCGACAGTCTCAGGGTGTAAAGGGTTACTGAGTGGAGAGCCGGAATAAGTCTCAACATCACTGAGCAGGCATTTGAAATGCTAACAGAAGCAAACAGAGGCCAAACCACATCACTGTATATGTCAAAGCTGTGCGGAGGGAACAGCGCTCTGTGTCTGAGTGCGTGTGCGTGTGTGTGTGTGTATACTCTTTATACACTGCATCTTTTCTGCTTTCTCAAAAACATTACACTGTGCAGGAAACACACTAGGATACAAATATAATGTTGGGAGCATTATTATCAACTATGGGAAAATTTAATCTAATCAAATAAAACAAGACTCAAAAAAGTCTTAAAAAGATGACAGATCTTAAAAAAATGTCACCTTATTAGTCTTGAAAAGTCGTTAAAAAAGTTCATCTCTCACAGGAATAAAGCTGTGGGAAAATCATATTCACAGCTGTTCATTTAGTCAGTGAGTAGGAGGATAACGCTGTATTTAGGGGAGTACCACACATGTCTTTTCAGAGTCCTAATACTGGATCAATGTGGTGCTTACGTGCCAAAACATGCAAGACCCACTCCAGTTGTTTTCTTTTACTACTTCTTAAAGTGTTATCAGTGGTTTTTAAGTTGTAATTATGAAGTTTTTAGCCAAAATCATGTTACCTGTGTCATTTTCAAGGGCTTAGCTCATTAGCAATTCACCTCTGAGTCGTGGGCGGAGACAACACAGGCTCAATGTAGCCTAACATTGCGGAGCTCTGGAGGCGGAGCTTGGATTTGCTACGTATGAAATCTCACTGTTTCTGTATCGGTCGTTTGGCTCTGCCAGAGATTCATGGCTATTTGAATGCAGAAATACTCGGAAATGCAATTACGCATTTAGTTTTCCCATGATATTCCCTGTAGCATCAGGAAAGTGTCATATGAACATGTAGACAACAAGAAAAACTGGATTTTCATCAGTGTGGGTATTTTCTAATTTAGGTACTGCTTCATTTTTGTAATAATTTTTCTCACTTTCATGGCTGCATTTGATCTCAGATAATTATAATACAACTTTCTTTTTTTTTTACTTTATTCTAGTGAGAAAATGACAGAAGTTATTTTTTAAATATGAAAAAATGATAGTAATAATAATCTTGAATGTGGCACTAATTCTCTGTCATAAAGAGGGTAGAGCGAAACAGCAGGTTCAGAAGTAAAACACTGAATACAGCCTTATGGAAAGTGTAGGTTAAGTGTTCAGCATATGTTACCATGGTTCCTTGGCCGATTTCGGGCCTTTAAGATGCTTTGCTTACTCATTATTTTTCCCTCACAGCCACTTAGAACAAGTAACGCACCTCTTCTTGCAACACACGTTTCAATTCAATAACTTGCTGTCAAATCTCCAGAAGTCTTAGTGTTTTAAACTCAGTGACATTGCTCATTTGGACTCCCAGCTTACCTCATGCCAGGTCTACATTCTGTGCAGACAGAGGAGGTGGTGCACTTCTTACAGTTCTCTGGACATCTCCTGCAAATGTTGGAATCTGGAAGACACAGAAAAGCCGGTCACACACGAAGGCTAATGGAAACCAGCAGTTTTCTTGCATTTGAAATGAAGAAACAGAAGAGGAGGAGACAACAACAACAGAGAGGAGGAGGGGGAGAAGGTGTAGACTGAGAGAGAAGGAAAGAAGCAGAGGAAAGAGAGAGAGAGATATAGAGGAAGAGGCAGGGATGACCGGAGAGGAGGGGGGAGCGGAAATGTCAAAAGGCTAACGCTGTGGGGATGAAAAAGAAGATTGAAGAGTCGGAGAGGGAGGACAGGAATGTCGATGAATATTTCAAAAGGCAGACTAAAGGCAATGACACGCTTTGACACAACACATGTGGACGCTCCTGCCTCCAGCAAGGATAAGTTTGGCCAAAAAAATACATTAAATGTTTTATCATCATTGTGGAAACTAGAGGGGACCAGATTTTTAATCAAAATCTTTTATTTCTGTGTAAAAACCCAATAAAATTCTCTGAACACAATGTTTTATTCCATCATTTTCAGAAAACTCTCCTTACTTATGAAAATACCTCCACAGAAGGATTTGAGAATTCATTTACTATCAGAGGAGATTGTTTGGTGTGGTTTTTTGAGGAATAAATCATCATCAAATGGACTAAAAAACAGAGAAGGGAATGCAGTTCTGTACAGCTTCTCCAGGTTTACTTTATTCTATTTATTTTTAAGCTGAGAACCAAAAGTAAAATATTTCATTTATGATCTGATCAAGAAAAATATTCCACATACACATAGATCTTTACTTTTCAGCTTAGCAGTCAAATCACCCACCTGATTAGGAAAACAACCGCAACTACATCTTTAAACAAAAGTGATCTCAGATATAAAGACGTGTGTCGTCCATGTGCTCGTAAATCCTTGGCTTTCTTTCCGACTAACAAAGAGAAAATGACTCCGACAGCTAATTTGACACAACAAAAGCTCACCGGTGCCAGGGCTTTCAAAAGCAAAAGGTATCCACTACAACTTGGCCTGTTAAAATGTTATGATTGAACTTGGATCCGATCACAGATCTGCTGCCAGAGACTCTCAGATCTGCCAGCGCTCACACTGCTGGCTGCAAACCAATCCAGAGACATAATTATAACATATACATAGTTTTAGCCTCTCATTTCTGCCTCCCTTTCATCTAAGCCTGTAAACACGATAAACATTAGACATACCGGCAAATATAAAAGGCAGCAACTGTTTACTAACACCACTGTACAGCTCTATTTATTAAAACCCTGTGGTCAAATCAAAGATCTCATCGGTTTTCATCTTGAAAATCGAGAGTCAAAGTTTTCAACAGGGGAGTTCATAAAGACAAGAAAGAAGCAGTTTTACTGTATTTAAGACCAGTTTCTTCATGATTCAGGTCCTGCTCAGATATTTATTTGGACCCTCGAACAAAGACAGAAAAGCAAGAGTTCAGGAACTATTTCCTCATGTGCTGTTGTTTGAAAGTCAAAGGGCCAGCTCTGTCAACAATAAATCTCACCATGGTCGAGGTAGAAGCTTTCGGCACATGTGGCCACACACGTGTTGGATCCCTCGTTGAGGTGAAAACCAGTCCGGCATGTGGTGCACTGGTCACTGCGGCTGCCAACGCAGGTCTCGCACAAGGATGAGCACTTTTTGCAGCGCTTATTATCGCGGAAAAAGCCGCTGGGGCATTCAGACACGCACATCCTGGAGATAAGAGAGAAATAAAGAGGGAGAGAGAGAGAGTGTCAAATGCCAAAGTGGAACTTAAAGACGCTCAAAAAGAGAACAACATAAGATCGATCTGCCTTTTTCCTAAATTAATAAGCCCTATCAGTAAGCTTGGTTGCTTAACTGTTAGCAGGCTCATAATGTGAAACACATGCCTGGCAGAATAAGAGGTCTCTTGAGTAGTAGTATTACAAACACAGTATATTGTGAGCAATAATAAATCCAAGCTGGAGTAAAATACGGTTTGATAGGAGATCATTTTTCATAACAAAAATTTTAATGTTCACTTTTCTCATTATTATTTCTGACCAACAGAAACAGTGTGTGTGTGTGTACTTTTTTGTGTGTGTCTGTGTGCTTTAAGGTGAACAGGTGTAGCATCTGTCGGATAACTTCTCCTCTGTCACCTCCTCATTTCAGTCTGAAACTCCCTTCCTAATGTTAAAAGATTTCCCAAATTCCTCAAAAGCACAAAGTCCACACACACACACACACACAAACACACATATACGCACATGTGTGCAAACCTCAGTCCCCCCGCTTCAGTTTTCCGCCAAGACACACACATTTCGCACGTGTGAATCAACCGCTCCACGTGTGCGCAAACACACACGCCGGGAGTTTGTCCTCCAGCTTCAAGAACGTTTCTCTTTAGCTGAAATGATTATTCAGAAACTGATAATACGTGAAATCTGCTGCACAAAAAGATCTCAGCTCAAAGTGAGAACTTCAGACGGCATGTTTCTGATCACGCTGTCTGTCGCCGCTGCGGTCACTGACATCAAACTTGTGAAAGAAACTCCAAGGAAATTTCTGACTTATTCTCAGGCGCGGCGTTTGTTGTACATTCAATCCTGGTCTTTATGTTGTCTCATTTACAAAGAACTTAATATTGGCGAGTGCATGAAAAGATATCGACCTTATGCTGTACAGTTCTGTCTCTCTTGTTGTACATTCAGGGTTGTTGCTGCTGTTCAGAAAAACGGTTATTTTTAATGGATGCATACGATCGTTTTTACTAGTTTGGTTATTTAATAATAGATGCAATAATTAAGTGATGTTTCCCACTTGTTTTATGATTGTTGAAGAGAAAACACTGATATTTTAAAAGAGAATATCAAACTTTGGTCTATTTTGATAAACTGCTAATCAAACTGCTGGTGCACAAACACAGACACAAAGTGAAGCAGAAGCCCTTCAGACTCACACAGACACCTTTAGCTAAGTGCTGACCATCAAACATGTATGTAAGGATGTAATTATGGGATCATTAAACACTCACACTGCCTCACCTCCTTCCTCCCACCACTCCCCCTATCTTCATTCATCAATTGCTCCCTGTGGTGGCAGAAAAGGGCAGCACACCTCTATAGTGAGCTAATGATAAGGCAGCGGCTAAGCTCACACGTTCTCATGCACCTGCATTGGTTTGCCTTTTATTAGCGCAGAGACCGCCGACACAAAGGCAATTACTACAGACTTTGATCCTAATGGGATCCTAAGGGCACACAAAAATGTGAACACACACATACACATACGAATACACCGTCACACACATGTTCACACGCACAGGGCTGAATACAGTCTCACTCACAGAAACACCATCTCTGTTGTAAGACCTGCTGATCCATTAGGAAACCATCTACATCCATTATGTACCGTACCCACAGTAATGGAGCAAATAACAGAGACAAGTCCTGAACTTTTACTTTGAAACATGTTCAAATCTGAGTCACTTTCCTGAATTCAGAGCAAAGATTACAGCTCAAACACGTCTCAGGGTCAAAACATGACAAAAACCAAACGATGATTCATGTAGTCGTGAAAGAGAAACAGCAGGTCTCCAGGTACAGACCCCTGTAACATCACTCAATGACTACAGCTACAGCTCCTTCCTGGCAGGCCTCTCTGCATGAACATTCAAAACCTCTGCAGATGATCCAGAACGCAGCAGCGTGTCTGGTCTTCAACCGACCCAAAAACAGCACATGTACCTCTGCTGTTCGTCTTTGTCCGCTGGCTTCCAGTTGTTGCTTGCATCACGTTCAAAGTTTTACTTTTCGCAACAACAAAAAAAGGGCTTAGCCAAACTCAAATCCCTCATCCAGGTCGACTCTACCTTTGGACTAGTCTGCTTAGCCAATGAAAGGCGCCTGGTACTCCCATCACAACACGGCCCCAGTTAACCGGACTCCAACCACATCTGAGTCAGACAGTCCTTTTCCAATCATGAGAAACTTTGTGGACAGTTTAAGATGTTTAAGGTGATGATGACGATTCATGACTAATGACAAAACTATGGTCTTATGATGATGAGAATTTAAAGCCGCTTTGTATTTCCTGTATTTCAAAGATCCATTAAAAGCCAAATTACAAAGTTTTTAAAAGTTTTTCCTCCTTTGTCGCTTACTTGAAAACTCAGAAATCATACGAGTACATTTTCTGCAGTGAGTCATACAAACACAGCCATTGTATAAGCGTCTTTGAGGCCCTGAGCTGATGTACTCAAGCTATCAGTAAATTGCCGTGCAGCAGTATTCAATTTACCTGCTTAAAACTTTCTGAAACCCTCCCAATTTGTCTGCACTTCTAGAGGACTAAACGGAACAATGACCAGACTGATCCTCTATCTGTAGCTTTGATATTAAGATGCACAAACTGGCTCTTAATTATGTGAGTCATGTCTATTTAACTTTATGTCATTCATGAAAGACATCTGATCTCAAGCTGTCCGACTCTGATTTTTTTAGAAGATTTAATGTGATCAAAAGTCAGGAGAAGAAGTAAGTTACCAGAAATCACACAGAGACATTCTGACAGCGTTGTTGGTTTCCAGGATGATACTCCATTTTCACCAATTAAAGGCCTGTATCCACTCGAGGTGTTTTAATACCAAAGACCTCCATTTCAGAGCACTTCTTACTGTTGCTAGGTTTAAACTTTTCTGAATGACTTGTATAAGCGCCTATTCAAGGAAAGTTTACAAAGGAAACCTGAAATCACGGGAAAGTGATCATGCCTTAGCGTTAGCAGCAGCTGAGAGCTGAAAATTGTACCCTTGAAAATACAAGTCTGTTTGTACTCTATCATTTATGGAGATAATATGGGAAGTATCGATCCTTCTTGATTTCATTTGGTCTTTGAAGGAGAAGCGACACTGAAAAAAACAGAGATGCTGGAAACGGGGGAACTGAGAGCACAGTGACAAGAGACTGTGTTTTTGTGCTTCAGATGCGAAACTAAAAACAAAATAAGTTTTGTATAAAGTTTATAGTTTATAGTTTGGATAAGAAAATAAAGATAGTCTTTGCCAGGGTTACCAAATCTCTGTTTACAGCGGTTGTCTTACATTCATTTTTAATAGTAAACGATTTTCCACACAACATGAACTCATTTTCTCCGGCAGTCTGACCTGGTGTTGTTCTTAAACTTGAGGAAGTAGTGGAGGCAGTTGATGCAGTGATGGGGTCCGGGACCCTCACAGCCGTTCTCATTGCACTCAGAGTCACAGGGGCCTGAAGAACCGAGACAGAGATAAAGTGAAGAGGTGATGAGCGTAGGAATACATTTTATGGACTAATAACTGACTTTAACAAACCCATTATTTCCAATTTATGGTCCCCTCTTATCTCTAATGTGACCTGACAACTTACCGTCCTTGTGACAAGGAGGTAAAAGCTGTGGCTGCGAAAGATTTATGTTTCATTGCTATTGTGGCTGACTTTCTGCTGCGCACTGCTTTGGATTTATCACCCACCGTTGTACTCCTCGGAGAACTCCTCCTCGGTCAGAGGCAGCATGTCTGTGGAGCGAGGCTTATCGCTGCGCAAGTACGGGTGCACAGAAGTGCCATACAGCACCAACGACCACTCCTTCAGCTTGCCTGAGGAAACAGACGCATCGTAAAAGTCAGTCCAGTCATTTTTTTTTTTATACTCTAAGATGATAATAAGCAGCTGAGATCTATTTATTTTTACATGTCATAGACTGAGTCGCCATTAAGGTCCAAAACAAAAGAAACAGATGAGTAACTCTTGGCAGATGTTGAAGAAGTTCTTCTTTTAAAGCTAAATTAAATTAAAAGATATTGTTTGTTTTCAGCTACCACACAGAAGTTAGTTATCAATTCACATGTCCCTCGGCACTAATTCGGACTCTAGTGACTAACATAACAGCTTTTTAGGAACTGCTGCTCTCCATCTGAGACTTTATTATGTTGTTAAATTAGTGGGTCATTGGAGCAGTAAAGTTCACTGCCTCCTGAGTAACATGTGTGCTCCTGCACTGGTCCTGCACTCAGTCGAGACACCTTTTCATCTATAAAATATCTGTTAAGTATGACAGAAACATGAGCTGATGAGTCTTTTCCCTATGATTAAAAAAAAAACACAAAAAAAAAGCCTGTCATACCAGGTACTTTCTGGCTGCGGAGTTGAGAGGGTGAATCGTAGATCTCTAGGACCCAGTCGCCTGCTGCTTTCTCCCCCCAGCAGTGTGTAGTCATAAACTCCCAGTTCTTAAAGCCCTCCATGGAGTGATCAAACAACCTGCAGATCAAGACCACACACAGACACACACAGACACAAAAATACCACCAAGGTATGAGACGAGGAAGCAGCTGAAGTATCATAAACACCAGAAAGACACAAGCACCTTTACTGAACTTTGTAGAAGTCTTTGTAGAAGTGTTTTAACATTAAAGTAAATGCAGACTTATCAGCATAAAAAGGATCAAGTATCACGCCGCTTCTTTACCTGTTGGCGAGCAGCTGAGACTTGGTCCCTGAGGGCGAGGTCAGGTTGATTGACAGGTCTCCACGACGAGGGTGTGTGATCGTAATCCGCACCACCACGTGCTCCAGGTAGATCACATGGTGGTTGGGGTTGTCGGTGCATCCCGTGGCCTTGTACACGGATCGCACCACGTGCTCTGGACGGATGGTTCTGGAGGAAAAGGAAACATGAGGGAATAGAAGACAGGATTAGCTCTGGATGAACTTACTCTGATAGCTTAAAGATTTTTCAAACACTCTTTCAAACCGCGGTGTTTTTCTACTTTGCAAAGCAGGGGGTCTGAGTAATTGAAACAACAAACTTGTAATAGCTCTTATTTTCCATTTTAAACTGGAGTCTGACAGCTGGTTAAAGTTAGGGTTACATAAAGCTGATGAAATTAAGCTGTTGGTTGTCACTCTCAGTGTCCTCAGCCATCGTGAACCCGCACTCTTGCCAAATATCCTGTTTGCGAAAAACAATTGAAGATATCCATTTCTAGCCCAGAGTCACCCTTAAGAGAAATCAAAAACCCGTCTTCTCATTTAACCTCTTCTTTCAGCCAAAGAAAGCCATATTTAGGGACCTTTCTGTCCATATTTTTCTTTTCCTGAACTTCAGTGAGCCAAAGAAATCAGAAGAGTTTGATAAGAAAGACAAAGAGCATTCTTGGTTCTGTCTGCTCCGCACAGCTCAGCAGCAGAAACACCATCGGAGAGCCAACACAAACAACTTATGAATCATTGAATAACATCAGCGGTTTGATTTAATATCATAACAATAAAAAAACAGGCAGGTTTAGTTGAAAGGACAGGAATACAATCATGCCAGAGCAAGGCTTTTGCAGAAAGAGTGATGTATTGCTGCCGAGTTACACTGAGCCAACCTGACGCTTTAACTCGCAGCGGTGCTGGATTACACGCCTGGATTATTCTCTGGAAACGACAACAAACTGGTGAATTACACTTGCTGGCAAAATATCATAGAAAAGGATTACTACAATGAGCCTTTTGCAAGGTTGGAAGAAAATTATTGCCAGTAACTTGTGTGGTTCAATCTCTTAATGGAAAACATTGTGTTAAATTCCCATTTGTCATGGTTATAAACACAGAAATGACACGACTCCAGCCAAAACCAGGCAGCACAGACATTTATCTTTAACAAAAAAATAAAACCCTCTCTGAGTCGGACCATCTTTAGCAGTGAAAAAAAGACGAGGACTAATTACTGCCAAAAGAGAAAACACCTTGTTGTTTGTGAAAGGACAACAGGTTTAACGTTATTGCTTTTTATTGATTTGTCCTTAACTTACCACATAATCGAAACGTATTCACTTCTTACACACTGAATAGATAAGTTTAAAGGGATATTCCGCCGTGAAATTATTTTAGAGTCGAACACACCGTAGCACCGAGTTAGACACCCCCTCGAGAGATGAATGTTGCCGACCGCTTGCTTCTCTAGTTATACCAACTTTAGTAATGACCGCAGATAGCAATACAGGGAGCAACGCGCTCAACCAAAACGCCACTCTATAGCCACAAATAATGCTCAGAACAGCACCGAACTTCATTAAGAGTACATTAAGAGTCCCAGCCGTAGCACTAGCCACCAAACATCAATTCAATTTCTTTAGCTAAGAGACTAAACACAACTCACCTACTCTCTTCCAGCAGGGCCATTACAGACTACAGCGGGGTGACGCAGCTCAAGGAAGAACATTTCTGATCATTACTTTATCATTTCCTTTAAGTAATAATCACCATATTAATCATTTTGCACTGCAGACACAGTAGTTCTTCTGCCTGAGTGTCTCGGTCTGATTGCATTTCCATGAAGAAATGATCATAAATGTTCTTCCTTGAGCTGCGTCACCCCACTGAAGTAATGGACTCGCCTGAGATCTCCGTACAAACAAGCGGCTGCTGGAAGAGAGCAGGTGAGTTGTGTTTAGTCTCTTTGCTAAAGAAATCAGGCAAAGTTAAAAAGATGTTTAGTGGCTAGTACTATGGCTGGGACCCTATATGTACTGTTGATGAAGTTAGGTGCAGTTCTGAGCATTATTTGTGGCTATAGAGTGGCGTTTTGGTTGAGCGCGTGGCTCTCTGTATTGCTATCGTGTGGTCGTTACTAAAGTTGGTATAACAAGAGAAGCAAGCGGTTGGCCACATTCATCTCTGGAGGGGGTGTCTAACTCGATGTTACAGTGTGTTTGACCTTAAATTAATTTTACGCCAGAATATCCTTTTAATGTTATTGCTTTTTAATGATTTGTTCTTAACTTGCCACATGACTATAATTGATTTGTATTCTCCTCTTACACTCTGAATAGATAAGTTTAAGACTAAGTAGAGAACTGTAGTGGGCAGTAACTACTCAAATATGCGTTATAAATGTTTTACTCTAGGAATAGTGGCAGGTTTACAACTGAGAACAAGGGCCAGCTAACATAATACTTAAAGGACTTACAGTCACTGAAAACAATTTAATCAATCCCCTCTGAAACACACAATAAATTCCATGAGCTCACACAGACATGATGGAATGAAAAACAGAGAGAAAACTCTCTGACGTCTCTTTCACAAGAAGCGGATGACTGTTTGGAAAGCAGACAGCTGTAGTGGTCAGGGAGTCCAGCACTGATATCACAGCTCAGGCTTCTCCATGACACGACGCAGATAAGTGAAGCGTACGCATGGGAGCGGAGCGCCGAGCAGATGCACAGCTGATTACCACCAGCCTGATTGCACACAGATCAGACCGTTTTTCCTGGTGCGTGCTCCAAGTGGAGTGAGGCGAGCGATAGCAGACAGACATTACCGAACACAGTCAGAGGGGCCAGCCAGAGGGTGTGTGGGAACACAGCAAAGAGGTGACGGCTGCACTTGCAGAGCCAGTTAGAGGCAAAGACACACATACGCCACAGCCATGCCTCCAAAAAACCCATAAACACTCTCAAGGAAAAAAACTGTCAGACAGCCGCGATGCGAGCGAGCAACAAGTCAATGCAACTACAGTTTAACTTCGGAAGAGTGTGCAGGCTTCTGAGGACGATCTGAAAATTCATTTGCGTTTAAAACTTTCACAACTTCTTTGTCTTCTTTCCAAAAGCTAAAGGAATCCTTTTTGTTTCCCGCTGATGGCCCATGTTTGTGCCTTCGCCTCTAGGCCTGTCATTTGGCTGGACAGATGAAAGCTAATTCTGTTTATAAACAAGGCTTAAACTCCCAGTGGCTGAACAAATGTGTGACTGACCATTTCACACTTCTTTAAGTCTGCTCATTAACACACCGCACATGGAAAAAAAAAGAGGCTAAAATGACAGGGTTGTTTTTATTTATTTCCAGCACTAAGAGAGAGAGAAACTCTCCGTAAGTCAACACATGTTAGACGTGAGTCGAGACCTGGCTGTTGGACTGCCTTTGACACCAGGCTGGACTTTACATAAGCCTCATATGGACTGACTCGTGCAGTGGAGCAGAACAGACAGAATGACACTGATAATGCTGCAGTCTCTGGCCACCGAGCCTTGGACTGAAAGCAAACCAGTTCAGGGCCCAAGTTCAGCCAGCCAGCCCGCCCGCCTAACACAGAACAGTGCTCAGACTTCCAGCTGCATCAAGAATAACAAGCTGTGAAGCTCTGGCTCTCTTCTTGCATGTGTGTGTGTGTGTGTGTGTGTGTGTGTGTGTGTGTGTGTGTGTGTGTGTGTGTGTGTGTGTGTGTGTGTGTGTGTGTGTGTGTGTGTGTGTAGTAAAGGTCTTATGTGAGAACCACCCTGCCTGAACTAATGCTTGGCCCCTATTAAGGTACAGCTTGCACAACCGCACTCTCAACACATACCAGTGCATAAAACACCCAGGAAATAAGATATGCAGGATGTTTCAACACATATGCTGCTCTTTTATCCTTTATCTGGATTTTAATGTTCTGCTAAAAGTAAATAAACTCTATAAACTCCCACATTTCTTCATGTCAGTCAGATTCTCAGCTGCTTTGTTTTTTTTTTTTAATCGTAAGAGGAGTAATGCTGCGTTCCAGTTGTACTCAGGAGTCGGGGTTTCTGATCTCCGAGTTGGAAATTCATCTACAACGCACCCCTGAACTCGGATTTCATAATCCAAGATGGCAGCGCAGTGCATCAACAGTAAAGAGTAATCGTGAAAGCTCTCACAATGTATTATTTATTAGCACTTCTGTTTTGTTTTTGTGAAATTAAATAAGTGATATATGTTGTGCTGCCTAACGTCTGTGCTATGGTGTTTATAAGAGTAAAATACTGTGATATGCGTTATTTACAACTGATATAGCCTAACAACAGCTAACAACCACTGACAACGGCTAACTGTAGGCGCTCATCTTGGTTTCCAACTTGTTAACTGGAACACTTTAACTCGGGTGTAACGTCATTCCCAGCTGTCAGTCTACTGTCAGTTCAGCAATACTCATGGTAGAGAGACTGAATGATCTCAGTTACATGGTACTAAAAACCTTAAAAGCCTTCCTGTTAGGGGGCAAGATACTCCATCATGTTTTGTCTCCTAGATAGCTAAAAAAAAAACTAACTTGGTCGAGGAAAGTTTTCAAGCCAATTTAAAAATCTTCCTTTTCAGCGCTGCAAAAACAAGATTTTTGATCGCATAAGAGGCTAAAATTTTAGCACTGAAAAATCATAACTTGTTATTCTTGAATTGTTGAACAGATTATCACTTGGTGCTCGTGTTTGTGTCCTACCTGATTTGGCGGTCTGCGCTCTCCAAACACACATGCTGTGGAGGGACTTGCTTCCATCGAGCCGCCTCCTTCACCATGGCCTCAGCGTCCATCAGACCGAAGCCGTAGAGGTGGCTGACTGTTGAAAACAGAGAAAAGTCACAGCTGCTGAGACCTTCCTGAAGCTAATCTGAACGTGTTACACTCCTGTGATGGTTTATCAGAAAATAGATTGTTTTAGTTTGAACCTTAGAGGAGATTTTTGTGGTTTCTGGGGTTTTTCTCTCTATATCACAACCGTGCAACCACTAATCATATTAAAGACGAGTCAAACTGAGAGTCAAGGGAGAAGTTCTGGACAAGTTTGGATATAACCTTTTGCTGTGCTCCTATTAAATTTGTCATATAGATGGTAACATATCCGTAATGTGCTTAAAAAAAGAGAGGAAATCACTCTGTTCCTGTTACCGGTGTTGTGACAGCATGATTTAAACATAAGAGGACAGACGAGGTAGCTTCTGACGATGAAAAAGAGAGTTTGGAAAGCGCCCAAGCGCATGGGTACAGCAGCTCCAATATGAATTCCTTCCACACTCCCCCCCGCCGCCCCCTCTCCTGATCTGTTTCTCTTTAGTTTCTCTCAGAAAAAAAACAGTCGCTTGGAAAATCTCCAGACACACTGGGCCTGCAGCCTGGCTGACCCCTCATTCTCACTCTCAGTTTCTCCCTTTCAAACACACACAGGTATGCAGAGGCACTTACGCACGCACTCGCACGGTTACAAAACAGAAATGACCACATGGGCTCTGACAGTCAGCAGCTGGCAGCGTATTTCTTGAGTAAGATTACATGATTCGATCCTCACATCTTCTCTGATTAAAGAAAACAAATCCAGAAATCAAAATAACGCACATTGATTCTTCTTTGACTGTTTTCTGTTTTTCTACAGCACACTATATTCAAACATGGGTAGTAAAAGTAAATAAGTCAAACAATCCGATCATGACGTATGACGCACCAAACTTTATTCACATTAGAAGCATTTGGACATGCACAAAGTTGTCTGATTTCGCTAAAACAACCGCAGAAGAGGAGTTGTATTTATGTCTCTGCTGTTAACAAACCAAAAAACCCGTTAGTGGCTTGCTCCATCCAATCAGGAGTTTTCCCCCTGTTAAATGTTGTCACTAGATGGCGCCCTTGCTCACTTATTTTACTATTCTGTCAAAAGTTGTACTGTGCGTGCAGATATGACGTCATTACGCTGTATGTACGCCTTGTTATGTTACCAGAGGAGCAGACACGGCACCTGCGGTTGTGTTTTATGCCAGCGTGTTGATAAGAGAGTCACGATTGGAATAAGTGTTGACATGGACGAGTTTCGGAGTAATGATCGGCATAAAACACCCCGGAATACAATTTCTTTCCAATTGAGCGAAATCGGATCAGAATCTTCCGATTGACATGTTGATGCATTTTTGTTGCGGTCGGGCATTTATTCCGATTATTTATGCCCATGTAAACACAGCTACTGATTCGTCCGATTTATAGAGCGACATATTACAGCAAAGATTTGTTTGAAAGCTTCACTGAAAGCTTTTTAAACTCCTTTTTTGAGTCCTGAATTTTGGAAGACTTTAACAGTCCATCTTTAGAGTAAGAAAATCCAGAGAAAGATGAAATAAAATAAACTATACAAGACAAACAAGTGTGTGTTTGTGTGAGTGAGTGTAGATTTGTACCGTTGTAGCCAGCAGCATTAGTTTTCCAGTCAGGGGCGCTGAGATGTCCAGCTCTGGAGGTCTTTACAATGATGTGCTGAACGTCCCTCCATGTTAGTTGAGTACTGACAAAAAGAAACACACAAACAAAAACATGAGTTCACTGAGCCTCATGCAGGAAATCCAAACACACAGCGAACTTGACATTAAATGTATGTACCCAGAATGTAAATAATAACAGGTCAAGCAGCTTTCATTAGGGGTGGGAGAAAAAAATCAATACATCATAGTATTGCGATATTTTGTCTGGTGATATATCCTCTCCTTTACCAAGTATCCATTTTTTCAAATTAATTGCTAATATGAAGTCAAATCTATGATAATGGAAAAGTAAAATCAACTGTTTGTCCACTGAGGTTGGCAGAGGTGAAGAAGAAAGTTAGTATAAGAAAGTTAGTACAACAAATATATATGTAAAGTTTGCAAGATGTGCTTCATGAAAATAAAATACAGCATAAAAAAACAAACATAAAGGAAAGAAAAAAGTTAAATTAGCTAAACAGTTGAAAAAATTATATCGATCGCAATATTTTGTATCGCAATACTCACTGTGTTGCAAAAGGTTAAAAATCGCGATAATATTGTATCGTGGCCCATATATCATGATAATTTCGTATCGTGGGGCCACTGGTGATTCCCACCCCTAGTTTCATGATGCAAACAAAGGCATGAGGAATAAAAGTAGGAATCGTTTATCAAGTTGTGAAAGAATTAAACAGACTGGAAGACAATGGCCGCTAATTTTCCATTTAAAAGGTAATTTAAAGAAAAAAGATGCATGAAAGTTTTAAATGTTTTCAAAGAGAGTACAGGAGAGAGGCATGTTAGAGAAACATACTTATGTACAGTAGGTGGAAAAATACTGAGAGAAAATTACAGAGAGGCAAACATGGAGAGCAGAAATGCCCGTTCATCCCTCGACTCTCAGATCTCACGTGAGATCCATTACAAGATGGCAGCCATGTGTCTGGACTTCTTTGATGTCCATACACTACATTAAAGGGGAAAACCGGGAAGAAGTGGGTCACTGAGTTTCCTGGGATTCCCTACCATCTCATATGCCAGCCAGATGCTTTACTCCCTCCCCTTCTGCCGCTACCTCGCCTCCAGAAGCTGCACTATTTCCACTCTTGCCGATCTAAAACTCACATTCTGCAGCACCCCCCCCTAAAATCAAAAGACCTTAAATTCAAAGAAGAAACAAGAATGTCATGTGAGAGGGAGCAAATTGAGTCTGAGCTGAACACAGTGTGCTTTTGCCTGTTGAACTTCTTGCATAAGAGCGAGTTCTTCTGCAACTGCTTGTGATCTCTTTAAACAGAACGTCCTGGAAGAATTTAAAATCTATAACATCTGGGAGAAGTCTCAGCATCGCAAAAAAGGTCCGACTTCCAAGATTACATTTGCACTTTATTATGTACGCGTTCTGATATTTACACCGGAGAAGTACTGCTGAGAAGAGGACTGGGCCCTCTTATGTTTTTCGTTTCCTCTTTTTATTCCATTGCTCTGCACATCTATCACCTCATGTGTGGCATTAATTCAGAGCAAACTGCAGTCAATGGATGTGTTTGAAAAAAGTCAAATTCGCTCTTTCGGTTGAGTGCATACACCTGGTATCACTATCCAACGTGGATAAATTAGGCGAGCACAGTATCTGGAAGTTTACGGTGGTCTTTTGAGGATATTTGTAATTCAGGTTGCACAACATGATCACGCACTGAAAGAAGCAAAACGGGCTCAGTCAGAACTCCGGTTCCTTGGAGCAGGAAAATCAGTCATCAAAAGAAAACCTGATTAAACGCTGTGTTTTTGACGCTCAATTTGACATCACTGAATATTCAGCGTGTAAGACATCAAGCTCGGTTCAAAATTCACAAAATCCATCACTGATGCGACGCCGTTTTTCGAATTTCGCTGAAAAGCAAAGACCGAACATCTGAAAATAAAACATCAGCTAAAACATAATTAAAGGATGGTAGCACAGATAAGTGCTACGAAAAGTCAGAATAATTAACGCCCAGATCAATATTAATAGGCTTAGCTGCCACTGTGTAATTATGGTGGCATAAATGTTTTATGGTCATTAATTAAAAGTGACTTTGGCATCGTTATCTAGGCCACAACAGACTCCCCATAAACAAGCCAATACTAATTAATGGAGAAGCTGGCATACTGGGGGAAACCAGCAGCAGATCAGTACGTCTAACATAGGTTTCTTGGTGTTTCTCTTAAGTGTTAGTATGAGGCAGCGAGTCGAAGAGTCAGTGTCCAAACAGGACATCTCACCTTGTCTAAACCTGTGATTTCAGACCACACACTAAACTATAATCAGCATTTTTTGCTCTAAAATCCGCCTTTCAAGTCTGATTTTTAAAGCAGATGCATGAAGAGGAACTACTTTTTTTCTGCCCATCTGTCCCTGCTTTGGTTGCTTAAACCCCCCCTGTGGATGAGGTTCTTATGGTTATCCTTTCTCATTTCTTGTTTATCCCCCCCTAATGTCCTGCCTGAAGTCTCCTGTCTCCATGCTCACTCACTTTTCCGTCTCTCCACTTCCAAGGACAAAAAGAAAGACGGGGGGAAAGAAATGAAACTTTTTGAAGTTCTGAAACGCTCCTGCTTGTCGTGCTAGACTCAAGCCCATAAAGAGATAAATCATGTGCAGACTTTAACATCTTACAGTTGGCAAAGTCTACAGAGAAGGGAGCAAGCGACCAGTTTCCAAAGCGATTCCAATCCAGTTTTAGACCAAGGGGAAAAACCTCACAGCAGAGTTTAGTGAAGTCTAGCGTGATGGCGTCTGACATGTTTATCACAGAGGGTTTGCTCGCTTTCATCCATCAGATAAGATCAGATATGATCTGCATGGCACAGAGTTTGTCTAAACTGTTTTCCTCTCCCTCTTTCATCCAGTCGCTCTGCCTGCGAGTGCATGCATGCAAGTTTATCCATGTGAGAAACTGAATGAATGAATAGAAGGGAAGAAAGAGCGATTGCCTAGAAAGAGGAGGAGGAGGGGGAGAGACCATCGTGACAGCGGAGGAAAAACAGCACGCACGACAGAGAGGAGGTGAGAGCGAGCAGAGGAGAAGAAAGCAAACAGACAAGAAGCAGTGTGTGATAATCTTGTTGAGGAAACAGGCTTATGTGCCCGGCGCTGCCAGGAAACCGAGAATATTTTCAACTGGGAGGATTTGGATTGGATTATCCAGGTTAAATGAAGTGACCTCAGCTAACTGAGCGGCTCAACATGTGATGATGGGGTAAAGCCCAATTTAGAGTCCCTGCACCTGCACTGCACGCTTCCTAATTCATGAATTTATCACAGATCAAGCATCTACGGGTTTCAGATAGCAGGAATCGACATGAAGCAACTAGGGAGGAGTAGAGGGAGTACGGCCAAGACAGGATGGTGAAACCAATTTAGAGAAAAGGTCTGCAGAGAACTTCTCTTATCTTTAAGCGTGCCCACTTTGAAACTGGTAATCCAAACTCTTGGGGCAGAAATTTTCAGTATAAAAGCCCAACAGTGTCTGTGGAGGCCCCTTCTTGTTTCAGCAGCTTGATACCCTGGCTAAAGATCTAAGTGGCTAAGATCTATCAGTTTTCTGGATGCAGCAATGTGACATTGTCCTGTTTAAAACATCTATAAGAAAATGTACCCAGGAGAGTAAAAAAGTTTGTTTAGAAACATGCAGTTACATCCTAAACTGGATCTCTCACAATGTTGTGAAGAGTAAAGTTTTAAAAGGCCTGAAAAGAAACAACAGGGTAGATAACAACTGGGTGATAAAATGATAATTGATTTCCCTCAATATCAATACAAAACATGGTCTATATGCTTTTTAATATGCCATGTTTTGGTAGACTATACGAAAATGAAAAGGAGAGTTGCTCCAGGTCAGCTAAACACTGAACCAATCATGTGTTGAATTGGAAACAGGTAGCAAACAACTGTGTCATAGCAGGCTGCAGCTAAATGCAACCATAGCACTTAAAAACGTCAAGCTGACAGCACTGTAGGTGAGGAAAAAAGAAAATACCCCCGGCAGAAATGCAGATGAAGGCTCAACAGATGAAGATATCGTTGACAATACTGGCCCGAAAATGTCAGTGGTGTGGAGGTATTTTGTTTTTTTGAGGTCGGACATGAAGCAGAGTAGTGTGCACTGCAAATTATGTCGAGTACATGTTCTCACAAAGTTGTGGAATACCTCAAATCTTTTTCACCACCTGAAGCAGTGCCACACGGCAGAGCACGGGCAATGCAAAAGGTTACAAACCCGAGCAGAGCAAGGATCCCATGGCGCCTGTGCAGCCGACCATTCAGTGCGCTTTCTTTAGTGCAACGCCTTGCAACAAAGAGACTCAAAAAAACTCACAGATGCAGTAGCTTATTGTTTTGCAAAAGACATGCTACCAATAAGCACTGTTAAATTTCATTTTTTTATATCATGATATATAACGATATCAACTAATATGAAAAAAATATATTGTGATAAACTTTTCCTTATATCGCCCAGCCCTCAAACATGGCAAAAATATATCCACCATTCAATATCTAATAAATACATGTCATAATTTAAACAGCCATAAACAAGTAAAAGGAAGAACAGAGCAGAGATCACAGACCTGCAGTCAAAGACAAAGACCTCTGTCACAATATTCAAAAACAACATTGTAATGCCACGATTCATCAACAAACTGCTCATTAGAAACACTGAGCTACAGCCCAAAATCACAGCTGATGACTCCTTTTTGTTTATATTATAATTGCAATGACATTTGTTAGATTTAACCCGCTGTGAAGGAACGAGACGAGAACTCCAAGTCATGGTGCTCAACATAAAGAGGAAACAGTTCTCCACACAGCAGCCCAGAGTTTCACTCCGATCCCTTATATTCTTTCATTCTCTAATCTGTTCTTCACTTTTTTTCCCGTCACCTTTCAGTCGTTCTTTCAGTAACAAGGTAAAAATTAGAACATAAAAGACGAAGTGTTCCTGCAGCGTGTGCAGAGCTAACACAGAATCAAATATGCTTAAACATTTTTTTCTGATGGGGTGATACGTTTTACTATTTAACCATGTTGTATATCTACTATGCAATATTGATTATATACTATGTTATATATTCTAAAAACCATGCTGTGCATCATACATTATGTACAGGCTTATATACATTATCTAATGAGCAATATGCATTATTTATTTTGCAATATACAAAGTTTAACTTGAATGCATGTTTACTATCTTACCGTCGATGCCTGATTACTGTGCACTTCAGCTAAAGCATTTCTTTCTTTCTTGTTTTGTGCATTATGTGAAGGAAAGTAAAAGACTTTGATTCTATCATGTTTGATTCTAAATGTGGAAACATCTCCACAAAGCAGCAGGGTAATTACACATAAGAGCTTAGCTATGCAAGAGTAAAATGTTGCATGCTCGGATGACTTCTATTAGTTCTTACTCTAGCCAAAAATAAAGCAGTGCATTTACGCGTTTGGCAGAATGAGGCTGATCTGTAAACATCCATGCCCCACAGGAACATCCATGCACAGTAATAGTCCAGTCTTTAATGTAGACAGACACCTCTTAAATCCTGTATATCTGCACTAACTCTGCAGAAGATTAGCTGTCTAAAACAAAAATAGCTCCACCGGTTAGTTAAAAGCATCTCCACCTCTGACTGGACAATGATGTGCATGTGAGAAAAGGCTTCAGCGGTTCCTCTAACAGCTCAGCGTGGCCAGGAGAAAAGAGGGCATTAGAAGGTAAGTGAGGGGCAGAGGCATGACGTGAAGGGATGAGGTTAAGTGGATCTTACTTTGCCTCCAGGGCGAGAGCAATAATGGCAGCAGCCATGGGAGCCGAGGCTGATGTCCCTGTGTGACTGTCTGTGCACCGATGTCTCAGGTCTGTTGTGATCTGCAAACACAGAAGAAGAGAGGAGGGGATGAGGACAGCGTCAGAAGAAGACGATGAGGTAGGAAAAGTGATGAGAGGAATAAAAGGAGGAAGGAGAAAGTCAAAATCAAAGACAGGAAGGATAAATAAAGAAATAAAAAAAGAAGAAAGCAGAGGAGAAGAAGGAGACATAAGCGATTGCAAAGAGAGGAAGAAAACAGACAAACACAAGGATTGAAGTCATGAGGATCAGGAGGATTTAGACACACCTGGAAATCCTCAATCTCACAGAAAGACAACAGACATAGTCCCTCACACCCAAGTATTTAAACTTCCATTTTCCCCAAGAAGTCAAGGTATGCGTTTATCGCCCAAGGAGAAACGAAAGATGAAGACTAAGAGGGAGTTACAGGTCGTAAAACGTGTTGTTAAAGCGCTGTACGTTTGCTTTGATTGTATGGACTTTAGACAGCCAACAAGTCAGCTTGACAGTGAGTCAGCCAAGAAAAGCTTGGCTAACCTCCAGTCTGAGCCCTCATCAAAGGACCTTTCCTGGACCAAAAAGTTTGACGGATTATCCGACACACACACACGCACACACAAACACAAACACACACAGGGGATCTGAAACGGTTTTAGTGAGGAGTGAAAGTCACTCATTAATGTTTGAGAAGAGGAGGACAGTGGGCGTGTGCTTGAGTAGATTAGGCAGATATTCATATCGGTTCATTTTCAAAGCTGAAGAAAAACAAGTGTGAGTGTGTTTGAGTGTGTGTGTGTTTAAGTGTGTGTGACGGTAACATCCAAGCTAGGAATGTGGCGAAACGCTGCCAGACAAGCAAGCTTACAGCGGACAACTGTCAGTGTCGATCTGAGAGGATCATGGGAGTGATTTGGGTCAATTAAGGTCAGACAGGGTGACAACACCAGAACCAGACACACAAATATATAACCGAGGTGAAGAAGAAGCACATATAGATCAAATTAAAATTTTCAAGAATAATCATTCGGTGTGTTTTTTAGGCCTTACAATCTTTCGGTCGTAGTTCTCCCCGCTGCTGTAGGTGGTGGTCAGAGTAGAAGAGCACTCCTCCAGGTACCACGGCTTGCGTCCACTCTCGGCTGTGCTGGAGATGGAAATGGTGTAGATGGAGTTGGTGTAGCCGTCACAAGAGCAGTGGTCTCTGCTGCGCCCGCCGTTGCCCGAAGCCCACACGAAGATGGAGCCTCGGCCCTTCCTCCCCTGACAGAAAAGATGCAGAGAGGAAACATCAAGGTACAGCAGGTTTATTTTATCGCCCGAAGCTCAGCTCTGCTCACCAGACTCTGTTTTGACTGGATTCTTACATGTTCCTTTAACGTCTATCAGGTGTACCTCCAGTGCCTCAACATGCAGACGACTGTATGGAGAAGAAAAGATCGGAAACAGAGAAAGGAACAGCGGAAAGACTGCCAGTGCTCGACAGTCGATCTGAGGAGGTTTTTTCCAAGTTTCACAGTCATTACACCCTTTACACTCTCGTGAAAAGGTGAGGATTTTTTTACTTTTTACCATCTGGCATCACTGAGTTTACTTTGGTGAGTTTACTCCAGAGTCAGACTACAGTAATTTCTGCCTCTAATCACATCAGAGGAGAAAAAACTCAATTATCGACTGAAATTAAACTGAACATTTCGATAGAGGCACACTGTCATTTTCATTTTCACTTTCATTTAGCAGTGATGGAAACACAGGACTAACTAAACGTGATTTGTTTCTGTGAATAGAGGATAACCCTGCATCAACAAGGCTGATGCAATAATTGAGCTTCTTTACATTCGTTTCCAGAGGAGAGGATGATTACATACTGGACGGGGACACAAGCTGAACACCATAAGATAAATAATGTATGTATTCTTTGGATGGGTGTAGCAGCCATGGTGAGACATTTTTAGACTTTGAGAGAGTTGTACATGCTTTTATTTCTACAAGACTGGACTGTTGCAATGGACTGTACCTTGGTATCAGTCAGTCCTCACTCACCTGCCTACAGCTGGTCCAGAATGACCGGCACACGCAAACGTGACCATAAAACTACAGTCTTGGCGGTGCTACACTGGCTCTCTGTACATTTTAGAGTTGATTTTAAGATCTTAATGTTTGTTTTTAAAGCGCTTAATGGGCTTGCCCCTTTTTATATGATTGAACTTTCAAAGCCACATGTCCCCTCTTGGTCCCTCAGACCCACCGACGAATTGCTCATTAAAATCCCTAAGATATGACTCAAGGGCAGAGGGGACCGTGCGTTTTCTGTCGCTGGCCCCAGACGTTGGAACTCCCCCCCCTCCTCATGTTAAACAAGCCCCCCGCTCTAGCTATTTTTAAATCACGTCTCAAAACACCTTTTAATTCTTTGGCTTTTAACACAACCTAATCACATATTGTCTGTTTAATGATTATTTTTAATTGCTTTTATCTGGTCTGCTCTTGTATTTCGCTGAGAGTTAATTTTGTTTTTTTTCGTTGTTGTTTTTTTATGTCAACTTGGTTGTTTTTAAATGTGCTCTACAAATAAAAGTGCATTGTATTTTTGCTCTCAAGCTGGTTTTTAAACTCACTTTTTTGTCCTTGAGATGCTTCCTTGTCTCTTTTTATTATTATCAAACCTCTTCTTATCCATTCAAATGTTTGTCTTTAAGTTCTGTACATCATATTAGAAACATTACACTAAAAATTCACATGTATATATGAAGAGTTGCATAACAGCATCATGGGACTACGAACAGCCTGCTCTTGCACTGACTGAGAAATGCAAACACAATGTACAGCATGTAAACTACTTGAACTTTTTACAGCAAATAAGACAGATTTCTTTTTGTGAGTCTATGTGAATGTTTTGTATTTACCGGTTTTGGCTGAACGCTGCGCACATATGGGTGTTTGTTATAACTGAAGCTCTTTAAATGTGCAGCCAAGCAGCTGTTTAATATTTAATTGTAGATTTCCAGTACAAGAGAAAACTCAGCCCATATGTATTTGCTAATTGAGAAACTGGAGCCAGATCAGAGTGAGCTGCAATTATACAGTGTGAACAACAGACACCAATTCATCAATGCACTGGTGGTTTATGAAGTCTTAACTATTTTAAATAGAAACGTATAAAGGATTTAACTTTGGAATTAGCTGAGTTTACAGTGATCAAGTATCAGCCATGGTGGAGACACGCTAGTGAAGTTACAGTGTGGATGATGACCGGACAAGTACTGAAGGCAAAGTTCAGCCAGGAGTCAGCAAAAAGTGACTGACACAGCGATTCAGGCTGTCAAGAAACACACTCACATCACTTAGGAGCACAAAGACACACACACACACACATACACACACGCACACACACATACAGTATGTATCAAGAATAAAAGGTGGAATGGATTTCTCCGTAAGGGGGCTTCTGTCAGGCAGAGATAAGTGAGTGGAGCCCCTCTGATGGAGAGGGGGATCAGACAAGAGCAAACGCTGACTGATGAGAGTGATGAAGAGCGCTTTGAAGAGCAGTTAGTAAAAGAGGAGGGAAGACAAAGAATGATACGGAGACGAAACAGCGAGGAGAAAGTGTAGAGAGAGGGGGTGCTGAATTACAATCCACAAAAAGGACCTGATATTAGGCAATAAAAAAAAAGATGATACTCACTTATCTGAATTTAAAAGAAGTCTTAGACAATTTGTGAAGATTTTTCAATGTAAGAATTTCCTTTTACCCTCTCATACATTATATTAAAGGGATATTCTGGCGTAAAATTAATTTAGGGTCAAACACACCGTAACACCGAGTTAGACACCCCCTTGAGAGACTCAAGTAACGACCGGACCATAGCAATACACAGCGGTCTGAGGAGCCGCTCAGAAGGGCACCTAACTTCATCAACAGTACATATAGGGTCCCAGCTGTAGCACTAGCCACCAAACATCTTTAGCAAAGGGACTAAACACAACTCACCTACTCTCTTCCAGCAGCCACTTGTTTGTAGTGAGACCTCGGGCCAGTCCATTACGGACTGCTGCGGTGTTTCGCAGCTCAAGGAAGAACATTTATGATCATTTCTTCATCAATTTGACACTATTTTCTGTATTAAACAATAATCAGATAACTGAAAAATGTTTCTCTTTAACTGAAGATAAAACACAAAGCCAGAAAATGCAATCAAATAATAATCTTTTGATTTGAAACTCTGAGTCTTTCATACAAAAACACAACCCAAATAAGCCACAGTGACCCCCCTGCACAGCTGTCAGTGTTATCTCCAACACCTCAGCTCTCTGAGATAAACTGTCCCTTCAGAGTGTCACACAGGAGCATGTTACACTTACAAGCTTGCCATCTCAGCTCAGCTTCACTTCCACACACTCACATACACAATGACGAGAGAGCCACATCACATGCACACATGCCCTGGTGTGCTGCTTATACCAGTCAGACAGATCTCTCCCTCACCTCTGTCGTCTAAACAAGGAAGCCTGTCAGGACAGGAGACGCTTTCTTTCTTTCTTTCTGACTTTTTTCGCCTCTTTGTCTGTCCCCCTTTTTCCTTTTCTCCTTTTCTCTTTCTTCAGTTTTTTCTTTCAAGGGTGTAAATCTTCTTAAACAAATGGCAGAAAGCCAGCAGAAGGAAACTTGGGCAGGTTATGAGTACAGTATGTGTGGGTGAGACGTGACCAGCAGATGACTTTAACCCTCTTAACCTCTGCTGTAGCTTTTCCACTCAGCTCAGCTAACAACACAGCACCAGCTTGTCCTTATGTAAAATAATCTATGAATATGTAAATGAAGTTATGCTAATAGGGCCAGCGCTGCTCTCTGGTGTCCAGAGGAGTTTCACAGGTAGAGATAGCAGGTAGGACTTTGGGTCATGAGCGCATGAACTCCAAAAAACACACATCTGCTGGGTGTTTGTGTTTATGCCTGTTTATGTCTTTTCTCACCACATGAATACCAATGTGAAAAGACTCGGGTGAGGGGTGTTAGTTTGTTCATTTTTCTGCATGTAAATGTGAATGCATGATTACGTGTACCCACCAGGCGGATGCCGTTCTCAAAAGCCTGCCTGGCTAAAGACGCTGGTCCGTCCACGGTCTTCCCATCATCATCGGGTCCCCAGCTGGCGCTGTAGATATCAATGTGCTGCGGCTGCAGGCTCAGAGACTTGGCCTCCACCATGTCTGTTACATCTCCATCCAGCATTCGTACACCTGACACACAAACATAAAAATAAACTATATCCTATAAACACATTTTATATCTTGGTTAAAAGGTTGAAGTGTGTAATATTAACTCAAGGATCCGTATTGACCGCATTCTGTATTTGCTCTGTAGGGCAGCCCTGGGTAACACATACAGGATGCGTATTTGGAGCGTAGCAGCAGCGTAGTGCAGCCCCGGTCAGCTGGGCCCAGTATAAAGGAGACAACATGCTCACAACAGGTTGCTTTGCCTTTTTGTGGTCTATTTCCTTCTAATTTGGATATAATTTAGTTTTAAAAGAGGGACTCAAAACTTTCCTTTTTAACAGAACTTTTGGTCCCTCCTCATAGATTCTTAAAAAAAAGAAAAAAAAACTGCTTATCCTGCTTTTACTCTCTCAATAAGATGTTTTTTTTTTTAACTATGTTCCTTTATGCTGTGCTGTTACCTTCAGACAGAGTTAGCAGTTAAAAGTCCTGTTGGGGTCCACATGGATCAGGGATTAACCATCAGATTGTTCTGTGTCACTGATAGATCCATAACCAGGAAGTATTTCTCATCTACACAAACTGATACACAGTCGGGAGTCTGCATATGATGTTTTATTTTGAAAAACCGGATGACATGCCCAGTTTTTGTGCTTGACTTCCTGTCTAGAACAATCTTTTCTGTGTGGATTGACGCGCAGTAGAAGTGTAGAGCAGCAAAAATAGCCTCTCCACGTATCTTTAGCAGTGCTGCTCTCGATATGATGTTGCGATGGAGCTGATTCGCATCCTGTATGCTTTGCCGCATTGATCAGAATGGCAACCTATTTGCTGCGTGATACGCGACACAGCTGCCACGCTCCAAATACGCATCCTGTATGTTTTAGCCTTCAGTGTTATAAAGTTGACTTAAACACGTAACACAGCTACCCTTACTATCTGAATGCTCTACTATAACTTAAACAGCGGGCAAAAATGACATCATAGATTAGACAAACTGTCCTGTTAGTGGATGGAGCTTATAAACACCTTCAATTGCTGGAAAAACTCAGGTTATAGCCACAATTATAAAAACTTTCATTACTTATTGATTTTAGTTTTTATGTTTACAGTGTGAAACAGCAGCGTGATATGTTTAAAACTTATTTAAGTCAGCATCTTCAGAGGTACTTTTGTAAGATTGTAATGATTTTAAATATCTGTGAATGTGTTTATGTTTCATACATCCCATTTTGAAAAACTTTGAAGTATAATGCTTTGAATGCATAGCACCTAAGTATGAAAAGGTGTCAAGAGACAGTGATAAATACTGTAAATAAATAATCAAAACACTGCAATCACTCACCTCCTATTCTGGCATTGTATGCAATTCCCACAATGCAATGGGAATTGTTTGCAGCTGCAGCCACTTCACCCGCGCACCGTGTCCCGTGTCTAAGGAGAGAGCAGGAACGCACATCTTATTACACAGATCAGGAACACACACACGTGTATACACAAGCAGGGCAGCATGCGCAAACTACCAGATAAACATGCAGCTTTGAAGTGGAGAGCAAGGACACACATACACACACACACACACATACATACACATATACACACTTAGGCAGGTAAACATGTATACACAGATAAACCCATTACACCTGAGGCCATCCTAAACCAAATGCTCTAAGAGTCGGAAGTGGTGCAAACATACAGAGTATGAAGAGGAGAGAAATTTGAGTTCTCACACCAGTCCAAAAGAGGAAAACACACACATACACACACACACGTGCACACACACACACACACACCAGGGTAACATTCCAGCTGTAACTGTAGCGGTGACAATCGGCCCGGGTCAGCAACCAGCGTAAACAAACACGAGTATGTTTGCGTCCGCTGCCTGCTCAAAAACAGCACTATCTGAAACGACACGCACACACACACACACGCACGCACACACACCTCCCGCAGAGAACATCTGCATCACAACACCCCCTGGAAACAGCTCTGACCGCTGCCATGGAAACCCAGCATCTAGCAATCGGGACCCCCTGGAAGATATGGGAAGTTTTTGAGCCCAGGGAAGCACTCAGGCTGAGGAGAATCCAATTTGAGAGTAAACTGATGATTTCAAGTTTACATTTATTTGACAACATGATCGGAGGTTTGAACGAGGACTGCTTTGCAGATGAACGCCTCTGTCGATCATCTAAAACTGCCATAATAACAGCAGTAACTCTCTTTTTATCTGAGTTGAAGCCATCACTGCAGACAGAGCTTCATTTATGGATTTCACTGCAAATAAAAGTTCATAACCACGAAAACAGAACCACTTCTGCACACAGCAGCAAAGCAGATCACATTTTTAAGACGGGAATCCAAGATTAGTGCACCAAATCCAGCGTGAAACACGGTCACAACCTCCTCTTTTGCTTCTGAGTTACAGATTACGTTGAGTACAAGCGTAAAAAGTCTGAATAATATATTAATTGACCTTTTGGAAATGAAATGTCATCATTTGATCCCATTCAAGATGTTGTCATATCAAGCAAAACCGTTCTTGAGATATCGCCAAGAGACATGTTCTATGAGATCACACTGACATTTGACCTCCAAATCCTTACTGGCTCATTATGGATCATTTGAGGACATGGAGGCTCAGATATTTTGTAAAACTTGCCGTTTACACGTTCAACGCACAAACCAGGAGATTGTCAGACTCTCGCAACTTAAAATAGACTATTTCGTTTGACAGCTGGGTAGCACATGCAGAGGGAGGAGAGAAAGTCGACTTCTGTGATGATGACTGTGAAGTGTTTTTTTTTCTTTTGCCTTTATTAAATCACTGTGACGAGAACCACAGCCTCTTTACATGGGGCGCCAGGCAAACAGCGTCCCAGTTTCCAGGAATTGGCAAGAAAGTACAGACAGGGTAACCAGATTCAGGCGTTTATGTTCATACAGCGTATTCAATGTCAGTAATCCGGAGGACAAACTCTGCAGAGAATGAGCAGCAGGGCTCATGAAGGGCTCTTTTGACCGATTAGAATGAATTTCTCAGGGGCGACGCCGAGATGATGTGTTGAGCGAAAGACGAGGACATACAGGAAATTACAGCATACATATGATGATTGTGGCCATGGTCCTTACTGCAACACTTGGCTGTCGTTTTAAAGAGTTTCATCTGATTTTTTTTTTTTTTTTCTCCTTCATTTTTTATTGAATATAACATCTAAATGCCTCCAAGTAGAAATCTCCATTCTTATCTTCACAAACCATCTTTCTCCGATTATGAAAACTGTCATCTACATTGGTTCAGTTCACAATGTCTGTCTCATTGTTATATATCTAAGGCTACCACCAGCTGTTGAGCTGTTCAAACAAGACCGGCAGAAATAAACTAAAAAGTCTGTGAAATCTGTTATTGTAGAGACAGGGACACTAACCTCAGAGCTATTTGATATTCCTCTGTTTCCCCTCTTTATGCTGAGTTTTCCTGACCAGCTGCTGGTTTAAAATTTAATATTTCTAGATATGACAAGTATGAGAGCGGATCTACCGATCTACTCTCAGTCAGAAAGTTGCAGTAAAAAAGCAGCACTGGTCTGTTATGTTCAGATATTTGGACTCAACAGGATTTGAGTATAGAGAAAATGCTTCTACAACTCTATCTCCTACTTTTATTTAAGATACTTTTTCTATCCTTGTAGAGTTTGAATGACCTCACATTAGCAGGAAAGTTGGGGTTAAGTATAAGATATTAAATCAGCGAGAAGCCTCTTTATCACAGTTAATGAGCCAAACTGCTGGCTCCCTCTTTCAAAATGCTTCAGCGGTCTTCACTCAGCTCGGCTCCCTCCACTAATCCATTAAACGGTCTGTCTGGATGTCTTTCCGCACTTTGTTTTTGCCCGTTTTTCTCATTTTCCTCACATCTGTGGCCATGTTTCAGGGATCTGTCCCACAACCAGATAACTAGTTTGCAGGAGTGACAGCACATATTCACTAAGAGTAATGATGTGACGATTTAAGGTGCTCGTTTTTCCACTTTGTTCAACAGATGCAGTCACTTTTGACTCTGTGTGGTCCTCCGATTTTTTTACATGAATGGCCAATACCGTGTATGTAATGGCTCTTTCTTAATCAGGCATTGTGTAATCAGATTAAAATAAGTATCAATGGCCACGTTAACATGGGAAAAACTTCTTGATCTGATTAAAAATTTGAAGGATCGGATAATCTGAATCAACTGTTTATATGGGTGCAAAATCAAATAATCCGATCATGACGTACGTATACATACACCAAACTTTATTCAGATTAGAAGCATTTGGATAAGCACAGTTGTCTGATTTCGCTAAAATGACCAAAGAAGAAGAGCTGACCAGATGCTCACTCCATCCAATCAGGAGTTGTCCCCTTGTTAAATGTTGTCACTAGATGGCGCCCTTGCATACTTATTTTACTGTTCTGTCAAAGGTTGCTCTGTGCGCGCAGATGTGACATCATTACGATATATGTACACCTTGATATGTTACCGGAGGCGATATTTTTTTCGTAAGATGGTAGGGGATAGTCCCGCCTCCTTCGCCTCTGATTGGCGAGAAAAGCTGGAAACGTCATCACATGCTCAAGCCGAGCGCGGGCTGTTGGCTCTGTACATCCAACAGAACATTACAGAACATTATTGCACTTCTGAATCTCCTAACCCTAACCCGACAGACGATGATGTTTCACAGCCATAAGGAAGAACCACTCAGAGCCCAGTACTTCTAGCAAGTCAGAGGCGATGGAGGGCGGGACCTTCCCCTACCATCCAAGCAAAAAAAAAAAAAAAAAATTGGCTTACCAGAGGACAATGGTTCCTGCGGTTGTGTTTTCTGCCAGAGTGTTAATAATGAAACCTCCTGTACTGACCTCAATAAATAAACCAAAGGCTAAAGAGTGAAGATCGTGTCAGGTAAGAGAGTCACGATCGAAATAAGTGTTTACATGGAGGCGTTTCTGAATGATTGGCATAAACCACTCCTCTTGATCGGAATACAATTTCTTACTGATTGAGCCGAATTGGATCAGAATCTTTACATGATGTATTTTTATTCCGATTGGCTAATGATATTTAAAAGATAGTAGACATGAGAAACCTCACTAATAAAGCAAAAGATGCTCGTTCAATGATGCAGAAACTATGTGCTCTTCTTCCCCCCTTCTGCTTACATTCACGGATCAACACACTAACACACCACAGGTTTAAATCCACAAGCACTACGTCATTCCTGTTGCTGAACAACCACAAGTTTCACAAAAAGCCACAGTTTGCCCATAAGAGAGTTTGTAACAAAGAACAGTGATATTAAAAAAAGGCTAAACCATCTTTCTGTTCCCAAACACCGAGCATCATGGACGGCTGTGATTTCAGCCTTAAAGGGAAACCGGCTCATTAAGCTGCATCTGTAGGCCTCATGTCTCTTTAAGACAATGCATCACCAGCAGGGACGGAGACACTGCCAAGGCACTCAGGCTGCTCACACACGCACACACACACACACACCAAAATCACTTACTAAGCCAAACTGGCACAAGACAAGTGCCTAGACCAGGGAGCCTCTCTTGTTTTCCACTCACACACACTAACACACTCGCTTACACATGCACACACCAACTCCACCAAACTGAAAAACCGCAACCCGCCCACAAATGTCACAATCAAATACACTAATGTAACTCATCGCACCCACAACAAGGTCAGGGCTGAGCAAATACAAACATATTGAGGCCCAGAGCTTCTGGTAAAAATCAATCAGATAAACAGTGACACGCAGAGCACCAGTCGGTTGACCATAGTAACGGAACACTGAAGCCACATCCACATGTTTATCAGAACCATATTGTATCTGCTAAAATTACATTTCTCTGCGTCTGTTTCAATCTGAGGTCATTCAGTTTTTCCTTACTTGTTCTCGTTCGTCGCGTCGTATCGAGGCATGGGGTCCATATCATTGCCGTTGACATCAAAACTGGCCTGAGGGTCCTGGGAGAGACATGAAGGTTAGAGCAAACAATAAAAAGGATAGATCTAATGATGAACAGGAGAGAGCAAAAACATCAAAAGGGTCTTTTCATTACAACAGATGCTCTACTGCAATCTGTGTACACGTGTTAGTGCCTCAGTTTGTGTTTGTTACAGACCAGCAGAAAGCCACAAAGCTTTTCTAACCCAATCAAACAGTCCACATTAGCATCACTCACAACAGTTTTGCAAATCGAATCCAATCAGAGCTAACTCAATCTGCTGTGCTGTCGCCCTTCGGCATCAACAAATCCTGGCATTAAGAGCAGCTAATAACAGCGGCGCGGGCATCGTCAAACATGGAGTGAATCATTTTATCTGCGCGGCTGATTGATGGCCTTACCTGCCGCCTCAGGCCACCAAGTTCCTCTCACTATGTTTACCTCTCTGGCAGACATACCTCTGCATAAGCGTAAAGTATATGACCACAGACAAATAAACATGAGACAGGGCATACCTGCACAGCCACAGGTATGAGGAAGCGTGAGGAAGTATTTATCCAATCTAAACCACAGGATTACACTCTAGTTTGATATCAGCCTCTATAAAAAGTTATTTTTTTCCAACTCTCACGGCTTTAATGTAAGTTCATATGACAGATTTGTCTTCTTTTTTTGTCTAGGTGCTGTTGGCGACAGTTAGGAGAAATGAGAAACTAAATCAGTTTCTGTCAGGGTATTTTTGACACATGAGGACTGAAAAAGGTGCACCAAAAACAGGGTTCACTAACAAGTTTTAGAGTCTTTAAATGAGGTCAGAATATCTAAAAATCTTATGACATTCTTTGACACATAAAACAACCTTACAGAGGGGGTATCAGGCTCATTTCTGGCTCTATATTGTCCCTCTGATAGCTTCTCGGCAGCTTTGCATGATTTACAGCATTCAGGAAGCCTCCTTCGCTGTTGCCGTGACACAAAGTAGAGTTTCTTTCTATAAATTAATAAATTTATAGAAAAGGATTTATTTTGATCTTGCTTAATTCTCATGTGACTTTTTGAACAAGCCATTCAGAGCACCCTGTGGTCCCATCTGGGGATTACTTCAGCACACAGGTACTGATTAAAAAAATGCCATCATACTGAATTACAACTGTTCATGTGACTCCTTTATCCTAAATCATGTGCTCACACAAACCCCCCACTCTAACTTGCACCGTTAACCTCATAGATTAGCTCATATTTCACACAGAATCACAAAGAAAGTGCATTTCTGATGAGTACAGTTTGGTACAGTTAACCCTGAGCCCCCTTACATCTGCACAGACAGTCATACCCCTGGTGAACAAAACCAATCAGACCACCAGAAATTGATTATATAAGTTAACTGGTCAAATTATATCAGATTAAGAGGGATATGATCCAGTTTGATCTCTCCTCTCTCTCGTTTAACAGATTGCAGTGCGTCTTAGCTCCACCCTTTAGGTCAAAAAGGTATGCTCGGTATCCCAAAAGAAGGGCGCCAAAGAACACAACAGTACAGATCAGCGATTCTGGTACCTTTCCCAACTTCTGACAGCATAAAATGCAAATAATTACCTTATTGAACTGAGCTGGACCACCTGCTGGAAACACAGCTAAACACAGACACGGCATATCCAAAATTAACTCTTTAGTTTCACTGACAGCAGCAGACTCGCACATTCAACAAGCACACACACACACACACACTCATAGTACCGCTCATGGCTGCCCTACACGCGCATACATACACACTCACGTAGTTCTGAAAGAGGTCTGGGTGGTTCCTCTCGATGCCGTCGTCAAGTATGGTCACCACCACGTTTTTACCCGTGTAGCCCCTCTTCCACGCTCCCATGATGTTCATGTCCGACTGGCAGTTGTGGACGTCGTCATTGCAGTGCTGGACAGATGATATTAGAGGTCAGAGATGAGAAAGTCACATTTATCATGATCTTTTACATACCCACGAGTGAAACATCAAGTTGTTCTTGATTTGACATATCATGAGTTTCTCAGATTTGAAACTGATTGATCCCTTCAGGTTTCCTTTGACTCAGCTGGACAATAACCAGTCACAACAACAGAGGCAAGTTTTAAATCTCTTTAACTGATGGATCTGTACATTTCCAAAATCTTATCCAGCTTGAAAAACATCTGTGTTTCCTTTGGCTACGACCGCACGCCAAACAGACGTATAAGCCTGTTTCAAAAGCTGCTCACATGTTGCAGCACCGTTACAAAGTTCTGCTGTTACTACATCTTTGTATTTACACATTGAATTCTGAAACAAAATAATAAGAGTGTGATTTCAATTTGCATTACAGTACAACAGAAGATGGAAACACACTCTCAGACACACATACACAAGCTCAACACAACTCTTTTGTTGTTTTTTATTTATCCCATCACCAATCGGATCGTGAAATACTGATCAGATAATGACTCAAAAAACTAGCTCTTGTATCAGTGACAAAAGGCAGAAGGCAGATCTATTCATTTCAGCTCTATGCTATTCTGTTACCCTCCTGGTTGTGGTTTTAAAGCCAGAAAAATAACAAGAGAAATTTGTTGAATTCATCATTTTGAAGAAGTATTTAGAAAAGAGAAATCCTGCCATCTGAATGACTGCTCGGACCCGGGAAAAGTCTACAATAACGTGACTATTTCCTCAGCAGAGCTCTGCCTGGATCCTACAACAATATGTGCAAAGACTTAAGGACACAGTGATTAGTGAATGTAATAGAGGATTTGAATCCCTGACTGAGCATTTAGACGTTACAGTCGAGTTGTTATTCCTATAAGTTTTGAGGATTCAGGCTAAAATTTTATTAAAAAATGGCTCAGTCAGTTTAAAAATGAATTTATTTCATTTTGGTTCACAAAGTTAGAAAAGCCTGATGTTGCCAAATCACAATTCTTAGTCTCAGCCTCACATTGGGGAGTTAAGGTCTTTAATACTGGTATAGGATCAGCTCAGATCGGATCGGGTTGGTTTTGTTATTGGCCAATACCGAAGCCAAAAATGTCATTTTTAACCTTAAATATGAACTTGAACGTTTTTCAAGTTGACCTTTAATCCAAACATTTTAACATTTATCTTAACTGTAAAGTTTATCCAACACTTGGTTGAAAATGACCGCAGGAAGCTCAGACTTCTGCGTAATCATCCAAACGTCAAGTTCACAGAGTTCTGTCCACGAGCGAGGAAAATATGTTTAAAAGCTCTGGTCAAAGTATTAGGATTTATCGGCTTCAGGTTAACCATTGACAGAGCTGAGGACACCCGACCACACACACACACACACATATAGGATATAATGAAAAGAGCAATGATCTGAGGGAGGATGACAACACATGTGATAAGCCCGTAAATCTCTGCACTGTGGAATTAGTTGTACTGTGAGTTTGTGTGTGCGTGCATGAACAAGTGAATGAACGACACTGCTGTTCTCAGAGGAAGGATGTTGAAATGCACGAACATGCTGACATGTATATTTCTCCCTCTGTGGACTTTCCTGCGGCAAATATTGACGTGTTAACACAGATCCCCAAACCTTGACCCTAAATCGTCTCTTTTTCGAGTCGAGGAAAAACTAGAATCGCATTGAAACGGCTTTTCTGTTCTTTCATTCAGTAAAACACACATTCAGACAAATCCCTCCGCTCCACTGACCCTGAAGTAATCAGGATCATGCCACGACCTGGGCTGACCTTTGACCCACAACCTAGATAAATGTGTATTCCTCACAATCCTCTAACAGTAAAAACACAGATTTTATTTGGGGAAACTCCACACACACAAAGAGAGACAGGGTTGTTTTTGTGCAGTAAAAAGCTTTTTGTACTCACAATGTACCACATACTGCTCCATTTGGCGTCATTATAGAATATGTTGTTCTGGGCTGGGCTGCTGTAGGCGGGGCTTGACAGGGAAAGGGGTGGGGCTGGCTTGTAATCCCTCTTGATCCTCCTCTTCACCACCTGCTGCTGTATCCATTCCACCTGAAACACACAAACACACACACAAACACAAACTCAGAGTGATACCGCCAAGAAGTTACCTCCTACACAGTCAAGGTGGAAGTCGAAGTTATAAGCTTGAGGTCATACAGATGGAAAAAAACAGATCTTTTTGAATAAAAGTGCTGCTTCTATGATGAAAAGTGGAAGAATAGATACAGATATAGACTATATAGACTATTATTAAGAACAGATACGGTTAGTTTATCATATATATAAGGATATAATTCCATGTTAACACAAAAATGTGCAGAGAATAGCTTTCTACTTTCTCTTTTTTCTCCTCTGCAAATGTGGCCACAACTCACATACACCTTAAGAGGAATTACAGAACTTTGCGTGGCGTGCCACTCAGCTGTATCTTGAATTAATCAAAAGTTTCAACTAAAAGATCTTTTCCTTCTTATCTACAATATGGACAGACTATCACATATGCATATGAGCAAACAGGACATTGGCGTCTCTCAGGTCACATCAATCTCTCAAATGTTATGCGCTGGCTTCAAGGTGCAAGGCATTCTTTCCTTGGCAGGAGTCTCCCTCCACATTCAGACCAAGGAATTTTCCGATTTTAAAATCAACATCGCTGGATCTAAACATCAGGTCTGGACCAGCCTGCTTGGCCCTGATCACCTCTCTTTAAAACCCTAAAATCGTGTGTTTAGTCTAGGGGAAGTCCTGCAGACTTCATCTGTCTGAAAATCCTCCAAGAGAAGTTTGCATGTGCCAATAATGATGACAACACAAAATCTTCAATTTGAGCCAGCGCAAAACTGGCACGGTACACATGAGGGGACCTTTGAAGCTGAAGGAGAGCATCCTAGGATGTAAATAATCTTTCATAAATGATTCATGGATCTGTCCAACTCAAGGCTGCACATAAACATGACTCTGTAACAGCAAAGTCGCAGTCCTCATTAATGACTTCGCTAACAGATTAAATATTGTTTAATCTGCTTCTTATTCATACAGTACTTCCAAAGAGATTCACAGATTCAGCTAGTCACTCAGTCAACAAAGAAACTCATTTCATGATACCAAATCAATAAAATAATTTCCACTCTGAAAAGCGTTTAAGTTTCGTCGCTCAGTTTACCAGATCCAGAGGCCTGCAGTCTTAGTGAACAATGTCCGACTGCAAAAAGACCGAGCATTTCCCCCGCATCAATACAGCTCCAGCAGGCGAGGGAGAAAAGAGAGGGAGAGAGAGAAAAGCTGACAAAATGAGTGCAGAGTGATTATCTGGTCTCATGCACTGAAACAATCTGCCAGGGCTCTCTGGAGAGTTGGAGAGGGAGGCAACGAGACAAGATAAGACGAGAAGAGGAGAGGTGATAAAGAGCTGAAGAGAACAAGTCCCCGGAGAGTCGATAAAGAGAGAGACCGAGCTTGAAGGGGAGGGAAAACAAATTGTACGTGAGACCCAAAGACACCAAGTGAGGAGAGGGAGATTGATTTTATACGTAATATTGATTTAATAACTCAAGTATGTGGCTCTTTATAGATTATGAAATAGAGGGAGGAATAAAATCAGAGGGTGACGTAATTTTTAAGTCAAGAGCACAGAGCTGCAAGATATGAGGAAAGCAGGAAGGGCAAACCAAGACATTTCGTTTAAGCCTGGTGTTCCTCCGTCTGTTTAGGTCTCCACTCAGCTTCTGTACAAACCAAACACGTGTAACAGAGTCAAAACAAAACTATCACAAGGAACTGTGCCTGTTTGTCTGCACCAAACCAGCATCAACTCCAATCTTTGTTCAGCGGTGTAACTCAAGTTTGTAACTTTGTATTTTTAAGTGGACCATGAATGCATCACTGCCTCTCATTTCACCTCCAGCTCACTTTCTCTGCCATTATTTCTTACACAGCTGGACCAAAGGTGCAAAGCCTTCACAGATGAAAGAGAAATGTTTTTTTTTTTTTATTTCTGGAGGTTGGATCCCAATTAGCGTGTTGTTCACCTCCAAAGTTTCTGACACAACTCCAAAATTTAAAGGGTTTCAGCATGCTCGGTTTGAGTTTTCTAATGAACAAAGGAAGCAGACGCGAACATAAAGTTTCGTAAATCAGCAAATTGGCAAGAATCCTCCATCCTGAGAAGAACACAGAGGTTTTTCTTTTTTTTCTTTATTGGTGCTGTATTCTTTCAATCCATAGCCAGAAACTAACAGAGTTACCGATGTCATGAGTACGACTTAGTACGACATCGGTGGCTCTAGATCCTTGAGAATCAGAAAAAAAGCAGTGGCTCACATTCGTCTGCAGCCTGCATCACTCCTACTAGGGCTGGGTGATATGGCCTCAAATCAATATCACAATATATTGAGCAGTTCACCTCGATAACGATAAACGGATGATAACTACTCCACAGGCAGCTCACCCCCTCCCACATTAACTTTGTCTACTTCAGCCACCGTCCTCTCCTCACCTGTCTTTCTCTCTTTGTTACGAACTGGATGGGGTGGAGTCACGTCTCTGATGTAGGACAGCGTCTTAAAGGGACATGAGACCATAGCCTACCTACACACATCCAAAACCAACTTTCATTTATTCGTTTTTTTGACACCAAATATACCGATATGGGCCAAATGACGTCGGCTATTATCGTAAATTTTGCTATTGTAAATTTTCAGTTTATCGCCCAGCCCTACATCAAAACATAATCATACAAATCTAAAGTACCATACCTCATCAAAACGCATTGTTAGTTGCTGAAGGAAAAACTGAAATGTATTAACAAACTCTGTAATCGCAGGGTAACGTAAAGTATCTGTAGCTCACATGTCAAACTGAGATGCAAATATTTCAGATCACAAAAAATCTGTGTACCGGGCCAAAGTTCTTTTGATTCAATACATCACAGACAGATGATAACGTATGGGTTCACATCAGAGAAAGGTGCAAAAACAAAGGCTTTCTGATGCAAATGACACACTGAAAATGTTCAAATACACTGTACACTAAACAACATTATAGTGTCGTTGTCACCTTGCCTTAGCTGACCAGCATCCCCTGTGAGTACCACACTCATTATTGACAAGCACCTCACACATCCCCACTTAAAAAGTATGCCTTTAAAATCACCCCTCCTCAGCTTTAGAGGCATCAGATAATCAATAATCATTTTTATTTTATTATTCGAGTAAACTGCGACCAATATGATCAGATCTGAAGGAGGAAGGCTAAAAAGCAAGTCCAGGAGTTTCAGTATAAATGTGAGTGAAGCTGACGTTGATGTAATGATGCCTTAACTATTTGCTGGTGTGAAAACTAATAATTTACTTTGATTGATTTTTCTGTCAACAAAGATCCTCTTTCTAAAGGGCAGTTGCTTCACAAACTAATATATGAATCACTGTAGGAGAAATCTCAGTCAAGGGTTGGATCTTAACTTGTCGCGTCATCTTGCATTTGTGAACGCTTTACTCCTTTTTGTTTTTGAATTGTTAAATAAAGAGCATTACCAATCTTTTATTGGGTTTATTAGAAAACAAATTCTCTGTTGTTTGCAGGATGACCCGAGGCAGATCATCGGGATTCAGCTGTTTTTTCCAAAGTTATCAGAGGTAATAATATCCTTTACTATCACTGTTCAAAACACTCAGTGAAAACAGCCCTCAGTTAACCACATCAGAAGTGTCACGTTTGCCAATCCCTCTCCAAACAAAGGAGATATTGCCCTCTGTTATTGCTTATAAAACTTGCCCATGTAATACTGTCTTTGTTTCAGTGCCAATTTGCCGGCAGGCTCTGAGGCATGACAATTGGATCTGCTCCATTCTTTTAACTCCAGCCTGGTGGAGCAAAGGAATGATCTGCTAGCACCTGTACCTCCATCACCCTCTTTCTCTTTTTTTTCTCCCCTTCTGCTGTCACACTCTTTCGCTCTTTTTTAACTCTCTCCATGTGCTTCTTTCTTACTTGCTCTCCCTGGTTTCATTTCAGGTCATCTTCTTTGCAGATGCCCATTTTTCTCTGTGATCGCCTGGCTTTCTCTCTGGTTTCCACTCCAACCCCCTTTTCCTCCCTCCTCCCTCTCTCTCTCTCTCTCTGTCGCTTGCTCTCTGTGTAAGGGTTTGCAGGTGGCTTTCGCTGGCTGGGTCAGTAACCAGGGGAAACTGGGGAAGAGTTCATTTCAATAGAACAAATGGGAACAAATTGATCCACTCTTGCTGCTGTTTTCTGAGACACCGATGAGAGTTTGGGGTAAAAAGGACTGAAAGCAGGAGGGTCAAAGGCTAGTATAGCAGAACACCCACAAAAACCTCAGGACAAACAGGAGACAGACATTCCTCTGACGTCCTTACTGAGATACAGCTTCACCAGACAGTTTGAGCCTCGTGAAACTGGGCTGGCCAGGTGTTCATCTTGGGGCATCAACAAACAGTTCATCTTAGGGCTGGCCTCAACATCACGATATATTAAGCAGTCCGCCTCAATAACAATAAATGGACGATAACTACTCCACAAGCTGTTCAACCCCTCCCACATTAACTTCGTCTACTTCAGCCGCTACAACATTTGGACCATCCTCCATCTCCTCACCTGTCTTTCCCTCTCCAACGTACGACAGCGTCTTAAAGGGACGTGAGACGATAGCCTACCTACACACATCCAAAACCAACTTTTATCTATTTGTTTTTTGACACTGAAGATACCAATAGGGGCGAAATGATATGGGTTATTGTCATAAATTTTGGTATCGGTAAATTTTCGTTTCATTGCCCAGCCCTAGTTCATCTGTTAAACGAATTCAAACACCAGAATTTCACAGGAGCCTTTTTCGACACCTGTACCTGGATCTGTGTGGGGTTTTTCTAAATTACTCCTCAGACTCTGACAGGTACACAAGCTGCATCAGTGATGTCTCCATGATGCTGCACCTGTCCTTATTTTCCACACGTGTTCATAAACACAATGAGCACCAAGGACGCTTGGATAAAGTAAAAAGTATGAGATTAAATCAATAAATATTAGGGGTGGGAATCACCAGTGGCCCCATGATATGATATTATCACGATACTTGGGCCATGATAGGATATTACTGCGATTTTTAAAATTTTGTAACACAGTGAGTATTGCGATACAATATATTGTGATTAATACATTTTTTTAACTGTTTAGCTGATTTGGAATTTGGCTTTCCTTTATGTTTGTCTTATTTACACAGTATTTTATTTTCATGTAGCACATCTTGCAAACCTTATGCCCTGCTTGCATTCCTAATGTCTTTCCCAGGGTTGTTTTACAAACTTTTTCCTGCTCTATGATGTCTCCTCTGCCAACCTCAGTGGACAAACAGTTGATTTTATTTTTCCATTATCAAAGATTTGACTTCATATTAACAATTAATTTGAAAAAAATCGATATCTGGTAAATGAGACGATATGATACATCACCAGACAAAATATCGTAACACTATGCTGTATCGATTTCTTCTCCCACCCCAAATATATATATCAATAAAACTTGAGCGATTGTGTGCAAAATAAACCCTTCTGTGAATGTGTGTGAATGGGTTTATCTGGAGAGCGGTGTAAATCAAATCAGAGGACTACAAGCCCCTCTGAGAAGGACTCCATAAAACATTTAATTGTTCTAAGAGCTCAAAGTTAGATTTAAGCTCTTGCGAGTAGTTTTACTGAGTACTAAAATAGCTTCCTTATGTGGGATGACGCAAAACTCATAAACATCACAAAACGGTGAAATTTAATTTCGGCCTAACAGACATTTTGCATTTCAGAGTGTCCCAGGGTGGATTCAGCTGCGGACCACACCTGGCTCTCAGTTTCCCTGCACATGTCTGGATAAATGACTTTGAGTAAACAACCATCTCGCTAAGTGAAACCGGCTGGAAACACCATGCTCCTGCATCAGACAGCAGCGGAGGCGTTCAGCAGTTGTTTTTCCTCTACTAATCTCTGCACAGACTTCAAAAAAGACAGTTAAAGCAGGAGAAATAACCACTTCAGTTCTCTAATTGTTGTTTACAGTAAACTCCAAATTGCTGGAAAAGGATTTTAACTTGAAATAGATGAAGACAAAGCATACAGGGTATTCTTTGACTCAGAATACACACCAACAACCTAAAACGATGCAAAAGCTGCATCAGAAAGGTCTGCGGCTGGCCAATTTCTCTTGGAACTCACAGTATGAATGAGTCATGTCTGTAAGTCAGTAAAGCTGGGCAAGGTGCAAGATTAGTGCAGCTACAGACACAGACAAGGTTCTCCTCGTTTGCAGGTCTGTGTGTGAGTCACCACGTGATCATTTCTGAGAAAGTGAGATTACAAATCATAAGTCGCAGAATTAGGAGTATGCGCTTTCTCCATCTACTCACACTGTACACAAGAGAAGCCAAAATAACCTCATGAGAGACGGTGACGTCATGCACTGGTGATGTTTTCCGAGCAGTCCACGCAACAGGAATTTTCTAGGGAAGCCTAGATATTGAAGTTCAAAACACACTTACCTAACCAACATAATAACAAAGATTACCAAGAATGGTGCAGTCATCAACCAATCTGGCTTGGGACATTTTTACTTGATGTGTGTTTTTTTATTTTAACTTTGATCCATCTGTGAACACGGAGAAGATGGATTTAAATTTCCGGCACTTTGAAGCACAAGGCTTAAAAACACATACACCCCAAATATACATACACTCGCTGACGTACAGAAAAAAAGACTGTTTACAGCCTGGTTCAAAAAACGGCTTTGGTCCGACTAGCAAAGGGCTTTCATGTCACACATGGTACGGAAAATTTATTTTTTAACACATCAAGGATAGGTATCAAGGTTGGCATATCAGAGACACTACTGACTTGACTGACAGGTGGGCACACTGTAGACATTTTCAAATAGGCCAAAGGGTCGCCTCCGGGTTGGCTGAATGTTAAGCCAAAACCATACAGGATCCGTATTGAGGGCGTTCTGTCTTTGTTCCGTAGAGCAGCATTTGGTAACGCAAACAGGATGTGTATGAGTTCGCATATGGTGTTTTATTTTGATATGGTGTTTTATTTTGAAATACTGGATGACATGCGCGGTTTTCATGCTTGACTTCCTGTCTGTAACAATCCTTTCTGTGTGGATTCACACGCATTGGAAGTGAAGAGCAGTAAAAATAGCCTCGCCACGTATCTTTAGTAGCGCTGCTCTCTATACGATGCTGCGATGGAGCTGATACGCATCCTGTATGCTTTGCTGCAATAATTAGAATGTCAACCTATTTGCTGCTTGATACGCGATGCTGCTGCCACGCTCCAAATAGCCTTTGCATTACAGCAACCGCCACCGATCTGCTTCAGAAACGGATGGGTCATACCTGGTTATACCGCGTCTCTGACCCTACAAATCGCATACTTGGGCCTCTGATGCTGCATCCAAGAAAGAATCAAAGACAGAGCATCTTTGCCTCATAATCGCACCCTGGTGCTTTGAATAGTAGAGGTGCTTTGCTTATTTTGGCTTCACTTTCGGGAAGTGTCTGCTGTCCATTTTTATATGAAATCTAAGATCAAGTGGCAATAAAAAACGGATTTATTTAATACTATTTTTAGAAGCGTAATGATAAAGTGTGTGCAGCCGTTATTATGGTGACACACTTTCTTCAGGTCAAAGGCCTCGGCAGTTTCATTCACAGTAATTGTTCTTTGACCCGACAGACATGTGAAACTGCAGTTTGGCCACTGCCATAAAACAGTAATCTGTGCTGTGCTGCATCACCATGGTAACCTGCCTGCCAGTGAGCACTGTGGATGGCAGGGTGCGCCTTTCATGGCACCGCTACACCCATCTGACTCACTCACTCACTCACTCACACACAAACACACACGGCTGTCATTATTACAAAACCTGATTGCAAAACATCATTAGTAGTGTGCCAAACTGCGCCGGTGCCAAACGAGACATCATGTGGATCCCACAGACAGGTCGGCAGATTGTGCTAAAGCGGAGCTAGACAAGGGTGAGCACTGACAGCTCCATTACTCTGCACCTCACTTTTTCCATCTATAACCCATCTTTGCCCTCTTCTCTTCTCTCCCTCCTGCTCTCTGCTGTAGCAGCTCCTTGTCCCATTTTTTTCTGTCCTTAACCTCTCCTCTCTGATCTGAAATCTCAGCCTCTCAGCCAGCTGGCATCAGGACACAAACCTTCTTCCACCATGGCACAGTGTCAGGCCCAAGAGAGCAAGGGAACCAAAGACTAGGGGAGGGAGATGAGTGCGCTGAAAGCAACAGTGAGAAAAAGGAAGGAGCTGGAGGAAAGGGAAAAGGAGATAGCAGGTAAGGTGGGTAGAGAAAAAGCTGAATGACTCAAGGAGCATCATGAGGAAGGAAAATGGAAAAGGACAGAAAGACTTTGATAGGCACTATCTTCAATGTCGTTTAATTTGAGATACTGTTAAAAGAAACAACAATTTAATCAACTAGACATCAACTTTAGAAGTATATATCTGCAGCAGATATGACGAAAAGTTCTCCATGACAGCACAGCTTTAACATGTCAAGACTGAGATATTTCCCAACAATTTACTTTAATGGAAACTTATGCTGCGTTCAAGTTAATGACGTCACATCCAAGTTACTAGCATTTTAGTTACCAAGTCGGAAAAAAAAATTGGCAGCAGAAACAAGATGGCGAAAGTTATTTTAAAATAACATTCTGACTTCTGAGGTAACTCGAATGCAGCATTATTTCTAGAGCTCAGCTGTAGCTCTCCACATGCCAAGAATCTAAACATGTTCCATTTACTCGAAGTGAATATTCCCCTGGTGAATTGGGATGGATTGGTGTGAGATTAAGGCTGCAGTTTGATGACCTTAAGCAGCCATCAATGAAGAGACGTAAAGAGTAAAAGGTTTTCCTTGAGTCCAACTAATACTGGATGGTCTAGTTCAATCAAATTAATATATAAAAGACATGTGACCAAGATGACTGACTCTGTCCATGTCTGTATTTTATATGAAAAGGGTAATTTCAACGCTCTTTTCACTCAGGCTGGAAGGTCATGACGAAAGTTAAAATCAAAACTCATCCTTGTGACTCCAGTCTAGTCAAGATAACCAGCGTCAAAGCCGATGATGTCAGGATATCAATGGCATTAGATGTTTTCTGCAAGTTTGGTGTTGGATATGAAGCATGAAGGTCGTCACTGACACTGATTGAAAACACTGAAGTCCGTCTTTTCAAGACATAACTCTTGAAGAGCTTGTTTTTTTTTTGTAACCTTTTTTTTCCTCCTAATTGCTCGAATAAGGGACAAAATGGTGACAAAATAGTTGTACTTTTTGTGCAACTCTTTCACATCAAAGTGTGTAAAGAAGCAACGCCTTTTCAATTTTTCAATTCAGACTTATTAAACCTAATTTCATACTTTAAACATATCCATCAACTTCAGTTCAAAGTGCATTAGAAACAGAATACTTTCATTATCTCAGGGGGAATTTTAAAAATGTTTAAATAGATCTGATGTGACACGAATCCTCATTGTCAGGACTGAGATATCTGCAGTATGAAATGTAAGAAGTACAGGATTTGTGCTGCAAGGTTTTCGTCATTGTCCTCATAAAGTCTGAGTCGCTGCAACTCATTTGTGTTCAGGTCTTGTCTGCAACAAGGACAGGAGAGCCTACATCCTTTGAGCATCTCTCTCAAGCACCAAATACAGCAGGGCTCGGACAAATACAACCATTTAAACAGATTACTTTATTGTGGAAGTGAAGAGTTTTGTTCACAATGGAGTATTTAGGTAGCACAGAAAAAAACATTCCTGAGAAAATGTTAATCTGAATGATAAAAGGAATGAAACGCTGGAATCTAAAAAGGACATATTTGACTTCTGATTGTACTATTTGAATTCATACCACATCATTTCATCTCTGGCAAATGCTTCCAGTAATACTTACTTTTTCACCATTGCTTTCAAATACGACACAAACAGATGATAAAGTTCTGCATGAGTTAGTCAAAGTATTTCCACTCTTATTCAAACACATACTATGCGAGCTTTTATAGATTCTAAAGCTGCCATTCATTAAACAGTACAACAAGCTCACCTTGGGCTCCATGGAGATGAAACTATGGCGACCACGGCTGGACAAAGTCGACCTCTTAATGGTCCGACTATGGAAGAAGTGATAGTGGTCTTTGAGATCCCCAATCTGCAAAACAAAAACCACAGACTTAGAAACGAAAAAAGAGTTTCAACATTTAACAGACCTTGTATTTCTTCACATCTCATGAGTGCAGCTGTGAAGATGAGATGTTTTTGCTCTGCATTGATGTCCTTAAACTTTTTAAGAGTTTGACTACAGATAGCAAAAACCTTAAATGTAGACACATCATACACACAAATGACATTCAGGTGCTTGAAAAGCTCTGAAAGGCTCTGAAAAGTACTTCTAAAGGATCGTTTTTGCACTTTTTTTGCTGTTTTTGAAGTAGTTTCCTTGAGACAAGATAAATTATGAGGCAGAGAGTAAGCTGAAGGGAGAAGCTGAATGTCAGAGCGTACACAGACTTAAAGTGACAGAGCTGTGGAGGCCAGAGGACCAGCAGTCTGACAGACAGTGACAGACAGACGGCAAGCTGCTGCAGGATGGTGATTAGTTTTAATAATTGATAAAGACCACACAATCTCTTTAGATGATCAAACTGTCATGGCTGCCAAGGCTCCTGTGGTGTGTCACTGATCCATGGCTGAGCACCACCTCCACCACAGAGCCCATTAGATCAGCTTTCAGCTCAATGCTCTCTCTCTCACACACACACACACACAAACTCCCATACCTCAACACAAGCAGAATGAGAAACAACAAAGTGCCACCAAATATTATCCAGACACACAGCACACATCAAGTAATCTGATTAAAGAGCGTTCCACATGCTAACAAAATGTGCGTCCATTATAGGCGGCTACCACTTTGGATGCTTCTCATAGTGTAAACAGGTCTCAACATATCGTGCTTCCACTGCCTATTTAATCTACCCGACATCTGCACTGCCATTAGCAGGCCACCCTTCCCTCTAGGAGTGTCTGCCAATGAGGAGCTGCTGGAAAAGCTCTACACACAGAATTAAATAAAAACCCCTTAAGCCCAGGTCGAAACTCCTGCTCCCTTTACGCTCTCCTTTCAAAATAAAATCCCACTCTTATTCCAGCTACAGCGTGGGATTTCTATCCCCCCCAGTCCCTATCAAAACTTCAACATCTCTTTAAGTTGAACAGAATCTCATGTTTGAAATGCGTCTTGACTTATTTTTTTTCCTGAGCTCTGCCGTGGAAGTTTGGCTCCAGCTGTAACTGCGATAGCTTTGATGACGCCATCAGAGCGAAATGAAAGGGTTACATAGTCAACTGAACTTCAAGAAAAACCTGCATGGTGAATCATAAAAACTTCAGCATAACACTTTCTAACTGGGGATTATGTTGAAACAAATTCGGGAAGTGAAACCACTCACTCAAGTGATTAATGATGCCTGGCATCACTGACTTTTCACAGGATTCATCCAGCCTCCCTATTCCTCTGTGCAGAATCTAACAGAACCTGCTTAAGGTGATCAGACATTTCCCCGAAAACCATTTGGAGGGTGTCAGAGTCAGATGAGACCACCAAACTGCTGAGCGTGCTCGGAGTCTTGTTCTGAAATGATGTCGGTATGAAAAATAACCTTTTTTCTTCACATTTAGTGTTAAAACTTGGAATATCAGCGCTCTTATTTTGGCTTTTTGGAGTTTGATCGATAAACCTGAGCAGCCCTCAAAGTAGATGACACTTTAACAGATTTTTTAGATTTTATTTTTTACATTATTTTGACCACTATCTAACATTTTCACCAAACTTTGAAGTTTTGAGTTATTTCTTTACATAAAACCCCAAATTTGGTCCGTTTCATTATTCAGCTGTAACATGAAAACTTGGGGGAAAAGTTTAAAGATGTGAAAACTTACGCAAGCCACTGTCAGTGTTAAACAACAGGACAAAATGTGCCTGACACATGAATATGACAGCTCACACACACACACACACACACACACACACACACACACACACACACACACACACACACACACACACACACACACACACACACACACTCTGCAGGATCCTGTCTACGGAAAAGTGAACTAAATCACAAAACACATGTTTCCTGACTTCTTGCTACATTGTGCAAATGCTGCAGTCAAGCTAGAGCCATGCAGTTAAAAAAGACTTCAGGGCTCGAGCTAATTTTCATTTGTTTACTTGTATGTGCGGACAAATGTGGGAAGATATGGAGCAGCTGAGATTCCATGCTAAATAATTAAAAAATTATACAACCTCATCCTGTAACCCTGATCCTGACTGTGTGAGAAAAGGAGTTAAATTAATTCAAAAAACAAATAAATGTTTGTTTTTGTCACTGATAATCTCAGCTGCTTGAAAAGAAGAGAGTGAGCGAAGTGGTGATGGGCACGGCAGTTCTTTTAGATGTTTTCAGTTCAGTTCACGGCTTCTGGGACTGGGAGACACGAGTGTTTGGCTGTGTTGCTTTGGCAAACAGGTTTGTAAAAATTAACTAGTAAGTCATGATGTTTTAAGTGTACTGTCCTATGGTATGCTATTTACCAGGTCTGCTCAGTAAATTGGGCTCAGTGAGTGATTCCTTCACTGAACGTTTAGAAGAATTCACACTGAACATACACCAGTCCCTCGCAACCGCTGCGATGACAGGATGCTGCGGGTTTAATGCGATACTTGTTACATGCTGTGTCCTATTATATGCAAGATGTTGTGGTGGCAGTGATTAAAACAAATGTAGTTTTGTCCGACAAAAATGATTCCAGAGAGTGTGATTCAGATGTCGGTGCATGTGGTCCCTCGTTCGCAGGCTGCACGAGTGGCAATGCTGTTTCTCACTTCAGCGCAACTTAAGTGAGAAACGAACGAATCACTCGAGGAAGTGATTCGGTTCAGTACGTTCACTTAAAAGATTCAGTCCTTTTGAACGAATCTTTCACGAGTGAAACAACACTAGAGGGAAGTCATCTTTCCAATGACACCCGCATGACCTGATGACTTAGAGCACTGATATAAGTGCAACCTGCTTCCTTATTCTTGTATCTCATTATTAAAAAAACAGCTTCCAGTCCATGTCTCTACAAAGATCATCCTTCCTGAGCTCTGGAAAACTCACACAGAAACCTGTCTACGCCTTGTCACCTGACTTTGACTCAATCAAATTGCGCTGAAGACCACAAAGGGGGTCTTTATTTCCACATAAAACGGCTATCCCACTCAGCGCCGACCCTTTAAAACCAATTTATCCATCATTTCGCTCTCGGTTAAATCAGCTCGTCCTCCTCTCATGTCCACTGTTCAGAAGACGACAGTCTTTCTATCACATTTTCTAAACCCATCGTCTGAATGACCTAAAGCGTTTCTTGTTGAGCAGTTTCCTCCTTGAGTTATCCCCAGAAGTGGTGCAAGAAAGTGGAAAATTAGAGGTTACATGAGTTTCAATCACTTATTGAGCCTTGATATTGCAAAGATGTGTATTTAATTGCATCACTTGAGACATTCAATTGTGTCTCAATATACTTTGTGTGCATTTGTGTGTGTGTGTATAGGGGGGGTGGTGGGAGGTGATGATGATGGGGATGTCAAAGTTCACATTAGGAAACCAGTGTGCTGTTATCACTCCCATGGGAGCGGCTTTTCGATGACCCCAAAACCAGGAAGTGAAGTAAAACTCTTGTCTATGAGGTGTCAAAGTCCAATGAGCGCTACATATTGAGATGGAAATTAGGGCGAATAGTGGGGGTTGGGGGGGACTCTGCACTCCACAGGGGAATTCCTATTGGGGGCTGGTATGGAAAGGGAGGGGGGGGGACTCTACACATTAGTTCCTGTCAAAGAGAGGGGATAAACGAGGCCATTAAGGCCTGCTCTCTGGGGAGTATAGTGGGTGGGCGGGCTGGATAAGGCGAGGAGGGGAGAGGGGGGTTCAATAGCTGTTGACTAGGCTACCCCACAACAACCTGTCAGAATGCCCCCCTCTGTTCCACGCCGTCTTCACGTCGAGGGCTGGCAAGTGCAGGCTTGAACTGCCCACGTATTTTGGTCACGATACCCTGGAGTACGTGTGGGGTCCATGTTTGTGTGGCGCATTTCTTTTGTCTCCACAGAGGACACAGGATTTCTCTTTAAACTTTTCAAAACACGTTTTTTCAAGTGGCCAGTTAAAGCCCCCGCAGACCTCCGTTGATTGATAAAACGACAGTGCGAACAAACATATATCCCTCTGGATGATGAATTCCTGTACAAGCTGTAGCTGAGTTGTTGTTTTTTTCTTTGGACTTTGCTCAGTGTTGGGCTCTATATTTTATAAGCTAAGAAAAAAACTGTGGGGTCATGTAGAGGCATTTATTTGTTTGAGGATTAACAAACAAAACAAGTTTGTTTGATGAAATGTGAAATTTTCGATCAGTTTGTTGATACTCTCAAAAAGTATGATGGTGTTTTATCTAAAGTGCTCAATTTCTTTCTCTGTGTTGTAAAATAAGACAATATTTCAAGCTTATCAGTCAAATTTTTAAAGTTTACAGTTTCAGATGGACCAGTCATGGTAGACTTCAGGTTTAGTTTGTCCCATGGAGACTTAAAACGCAGGTTTACTGAAGGAACAACTCGAGAACCTGCTCAGTCGTGGGTCTTTTGATGCCAACACCATAAACCAAACAGCAGTAGTTGTCTCACTTGAGTGTCAGAAGGAGCACGCACATGAGACTGCTGAGGCTGATAGTGAGCTCCCTTCAGCCTGCAACCTTAACATGAACTGCAGGAAACACACACAGAGAGAGGAGGCACCTGTTGTACCATCCTGCTCCAAGTCCTCATCTACGTTTGTTACCTGCAGCTCCTGTCCACTCGTGAGGAGTGTGGAGTTGGAGAGTCAAAGTTCATGTCTCTGGTTGAGACTTGAGACCTCTCTCGCTTGTCTGTATCAGGTCTGGTCAACACTAAGACGCTTCTTTTTCAAAGAGTTGGCAAAAACAAGTCCAAAGATTAAAGACATGCACAAAAAGAACAAAGTTTGGATGAAGTAAAAGACGACCTACCTGCCCCATGTTCCTATAGCCATATTTGTCCGCTATCCGATCGGCTACCTCCGTTCCACCGGCTATCCTGACTGCCCAGTGGTTGGTGTAAATCCGAGCTTTGCACGGCGGGGAGGCAAAGCCGAGACTGAGCGCCAGGACGCACAGCAAGCTTCTTCTCCAAGCGCCGTTGCGGACCATCTTCCCCCACTTTTAACCCGACTCTTCTCCTCCTCCTCCTCCTCAGCCGACCAGGCAAACAACCAAACTTCTCTTCTCGCCGAGCAAGACTCTCATAGAAACACAACTAACTGGGCAAAAACACCGACAGAGGGAGAGAAAGAGAGGGAGAGAGGGGGGAAGGAACGGTAACCCCGAAGAGGAAAAATGTGTTCCTTATCCTCAAACCTCCGCTTTCCACATGGGAGAGTTGGAAGTTTGCGTTGCGTGTGCCCTCTCTCTGTTCCTCTCTCCCCTTTTTCCACCGCGGAGGAGGAGGAAGTGTACGTGTCTGAGCACCGTGCGTCTTTGCGCGCGAGTTCGTGTACGTCCTCGTGCGCGCGGAGCTCCTGAAAGCTGATTTCTCTTCCCCACGAACAACTCGGATGTTGGTCGTTCAGCTCATCGGGCTTTCATGTGGTGAAATGGCTACAGCGCCTCCCCACAAATAACTAGCTGACACTCTGGAGAGTAGAAACAACTAAAGCCGCGGGGTTTCCCTGCCGAGCTCCGCTGGGTCTTAAAGACACTCTTCTCGGATCCCCAGACACAGAACAAGAGGGGGGGTCGGGTAGGGGACAAGAGAGCCACTGCTACACCGGCTACATGAAGTAATCCTGAGTAATATTAAAAGGATAAATCTTAAACCAAACTGGTGCGAGGTTATCCTGGCTGGACAGTTTCTAAAATAAACACTGATTTTGATTTTTGTAACCCAAGTACGGTGGCCGAGAACTGCCACTGCTGCCAATTAAAAAAAGAATGCAAAACAAAAAAGAAGTCACAACAAAAGTTAATGACGCAAAAAAAAAGATTGCCAAAAAAATATGAAGTCGCAACGGAAGTTAACAACACAAAAAAAAAAAGTGGCGGTGGAAAAATAAAACGTTACTTACTGCGAAAATTAAAGGATGCAAATAAAAAAAGCCACAACAGAAGTGACCAATAATGATGATGCATCAGTGTTTTTTAATCTAGGCACAGAAGACGAGCCAAGAAGTACATTTGAAAAAGTGCGGATGGAAAAAAAAAGTAACGTACTGCAAAAATAAAAGGATGCAGATTTTTTAAAAAAGCCACAATGGAAGTGAACTGCCGGGGACCAATAATGATGATGCACCAGTGTTTTACGATCTAAGCACAGAAGATGACGGCAAAAAAAAGCGTCCCAAAAAGTAAATTTAAAAAAGTGCAGATGGAAAAAAAGTTACTCACTGCGAAAATAAAAGGATGCAAAATTTTAAAAAGCCACAACAGAAGTGAGCTGCTTGGGACCAATAATGATGATGTGCTGGTGTTTTACGATCTAGGCACTGAAGACGATGGTGAAAAGACGAGCCAAGAAGTAAGTTTAAAAAAAGTGCAGATGAAAAAAAAATTTCACTTCGATAATAAAAGATTTAAAAAAAAAAAAAAAAGGCCAAAAAAAGCCACAATGAATGTGAGCTGCCAGGGACTAATAATGATAATGATGATTTTTTTTTCCATCCTTTTATTTTCCCCTAAGTAAGTTTTTTTTTTTCCATCGCCACTTTTTTTTTTGCATCGTTAACTTCCGTTTTTAGCTTTTTTTTTATCTGAACCCTTTCTTTTTTAGTTGCAGCAGGCTTCTGTTTCTTTTTTTTCTGCATTGGTAACTTCCGTTGTGGCTTTTTTTTTTTTGTATTCTTTTTATATCTGCAGCAGTGGCGGTTCTCGGCCACCGTACCAAAGAGACTAAAATATACAGCAGTTTGCAGAGTTTGTTGTTAAAGCTTGTTAAAACTTTCTTTGCCGACCTCAAAAATTGCATTTTCACTCAGTAATCACAGCATTGACCTTATGCTTAACCTCTACTCTGTACCTGCTTTGACCCTATTTAACCTGAGTCTGACCTTCTTTATAATCCTATTTAACAATGTAATCATGAAAAAAACTGTTCCATTGGTCCCAATATAATTATGAAAGAATATTCTCACAGTGCCATTGCAAAGCATTCATATCTAAATATTTATTAGACATGCTGGGCGCAGGTCTTGACATGTTACATGAGCTACCTTTTAAGAATGTGTAAAAATGTATAGTTAAATGCTCTCACATTCTGCAAACAGATCTTAGTTGTTGATATTGGTGTGTGTATAAATATATGGGTTTCCAATGACGCATGTGGCTGATACGAACCTAAAGAAAGTCTGCTGTATATAAAGTAAAGTGTTGTTTTGCTTCTAAAATAGTCTTTTAGTCAATAACTGGATGCATTGCGTTTTGGATACTGCTCCCCCTTCCTACACCTCCAAATGGGCTGTTGAATGCAAGCCTTGTCAGTCTTCTTGGCAATATTGACACAGACATACCAATGTAAAGTTGGGTAAACTATGACCTCCACCTCAGTCATCATCCAATGGGAAACAGACCTGACATGGAAAAAATACATTCAATAAAGAAAGTCATTTTAGTTTATGGGTCACGGTCATGATATACGCTGGGTTGCTCAAAATGAGTAAATCAGATTAAGTGGGAGTCCCTCTGCTAAATCCCTGGATATGTGCTAAATCGGGTCTTTAAACACTCTCATATCAGATCCAGCATCACAGATAGCATGACTTCATTCCCAGGTTAGGCCACAATACCATGCAGGCCGACTGCCCTTGGCTCTGCTGCTTATTTCCCCTTAATCAGTGGAGCTCTCAATGTCATGCCCCCCATTGCAGCACAGGTCACAGCTGACTAAACGCTGTCATTATGGAATGTGCCTGGTATTATCTGAAGTTGAGCCTTTCATTCAAGGCTTTTGTTGATTGATGGGTTTTTGTTTTGCAGCAGTTTCCCGGGGATGTCTCTGTGCACAGCGAAAACACTGTTCTGCATGGGACACAAGTGAAAATCAGCATAATTGCACTAATTGCAGCCAATTTCTCACTGAAAGGACCCCGCTGTCACATCTCACAACAAGCGGGGGGACAAGAACATCTCATGGTCCTCCAGATGGAGATGAAAGGGAGTTAAGGGGGGAAAAACACCCAGTGATGGTTCCTCATTCAGCCAGATGGAAGGGCTTGTAATTTCAAGGAAAAAAAAAGGGGTGAGGAGACTAAACATGCCAGAAATAGATCAGAGTATCCAAATCAAGTACCCAGGTCACGGGGCCACCAAGAGCAACAGGGCCCCCGGTTTCCATTCAGATCCTAAACGCTGCGATATCCTGCTTCACGGCCCCACGAGTTTTCTCCAGGGAGTGAACCGAGTGAACCCCAACAAAACGTCTTTGTCAACATCTGAGAGCCGAGCAGCCAAGAGTGTCAACAAACACTCAAAGGAGCATTCCTCTGTGCATTCCTGCGCCTTTTCAATGAAATAACAGGGTGCATCATATGTTTTAAGCTTAACACAACTTCACAAAAAAACCACACAACCCCATGAGACAATCCGATGGAGGACCCCCAAGAAGAAACTACAGACAACACTCTTTGTTCCGCACAGACACAACCCATTTGTTCATTCAGCCACAAGACCAGCATTTACCTTAAACCAGTAAGAGGCCCCTGATCCAGTCTGTGTATTTTATATTAAATCCATATTGCTTTCACCAATAAACCAGTTCCTTCTGTCCCTTTTTCTTCCATCCTTTTTCATACTTTGTCCATTTTGGTGTATTTTTTCACCATGTATTTCTCCTCCTTTAGTCCACCTAAATATTTTTCATCCTTTGACTGATGCTGCGTCTTGACCTCAGTCCTTCATGCACCTTTCAGCTCCTTCACAGGTCCATTGATCACCCCGGACTCCCCCCTTAAAAAGTATATCTCATTGGGTGGGCCTTCTGGGAGTCAGTATTGACCTTTCAACTTCACTTTGACTTTTGACCTTGTTGCTGTCGTCTCCTGCACTTAAGTCACAAAAGCACCTGCCACTCACTTACTTTCCATCCTATCTGCTCTGCCGCCCGCCCTCCCATCACCTCTCTAACCTTCTTCCCTTTTCCCTCTCTTTTGTCAGGCACGTATCATGGTTATACAGGCTGATTCAGGGCAAACACACGATTGACATAAAGTGCACAAAGATGGAAATTTGTATATATGAAGAAATCTATGTTTAGGGTTATCTTTGATGAACATAAGTAAGTCAGTCTCTGCTGTCACAGTGTATATTCATCGATATATGTAGGATTTTACTGGACAATCTGCACATTTCTAAACAATAAAGCGGTTTATGATCCTTCTGTGTTTGCATCGAGGATGCAAAGCTAGTTTGACTTAGTCAGCAGACTGATAAAAGTGATTCAGCAGTTTACATTTTCTTTAAAAAATCAAATCTTGCTATAAAATACCAACTAGTAAATTTCTGGTCTCCTGCAACTGTGAGGAGAGTGGATTGTAATCTTAATTGTTCAGCACCGAGTTTACTCATGGAGAGAAAACTCCACAACACTTACATAATGTGTGAGGACATATTTGGGGGGGATCATCTGTTTAGACGCCCAATCACAGAGCTGACAATATGTGTTTTTTTAACCATTGTAGACCGATTTGTTTTATGTCAATTTAAATAGAACTTATGACTGTGCATTTTTCCATGTCAGCGTAATGGAAAGTAAAATCAGATTTTCTTCGATTATTGTATATCCTTCAGCAAGTTACTCCAACCTGATCTTGGTTCTTACATAGGATAGTACCCCTGCGTTTGAACTCAGTACTTAATTTGCCATAACTGGCCATATAATGCCACCTGGTGTTGACATGTAACATTACACACAATTACACACATCTGCAAATTGTTTAATCTCTCTAAATATTCTCCAATTAATGCTCAGGATGACCCTTGTGGATTAAAAAATATTAGTTGGTCGACATATTCTTGTGTAGTTTTTTTTGTATGGTGGCGGCCTTTTAATAGTAAAATTAATCTAAAAGAAAGCAATCTGTGCACAAACTTAAATATTAAATTAATTTGAGTTTGTCTTACTTTTAGCTTGATCAAGAAATAGGAATCATTGGTGCAGTAGCCTAGCAGTCCAAGCACCCTACATAGAGGCTCTGGTTCTTGCTCCAATAGTTGCTATGTGTGTCTTTCCTCTCTTCAGTTGTTTTGTCTGATAGAAGTGCCCAAAAAGGGAAAAATCAAACAATATTTCATCATAAAGACTGGCTGGATGACTAAAAAGCAGACTAGGAAATGATCCACTTATAAGTTACACAGATTTAAAATATTTGGAAGTATATATACTCCTGAAGTTTAACACAATCACTTTTCCACCAGTCTTGTTTTGTTAGTTTCTTTCAAATTGCAAGTCACAAAACAAATTGAATCTTTAAATATAAAGGACAACACTTATCGGTTTTGATGCACTGTATAACAGAACCTTTTTCCAAGACAGGGGAGTCTATTTATGATGGATTCTGTTTAATCACAAACCCAACTGAGTCTCTCTCAAGCTGGGCTGCCATATGGCCAACTGGCTTAAATGAATATTAGAGAGAACTCTGTTATGACAGGAAATTTGAAAAAGACGTCTTAGTTTCAGCGGAAATTTGTTTTCAACTCATCCGACACAGTTTATACTTTAAGAGCAATTTACCAATATTTGGTCAGCAAATGTGCCGAAGTCTTTCAACGAGTGTAGCAATTAGAGTAAAATTGCTTGACATTTATGGCTCTGCTGGGAGAAACTTTGCTACTTAGTATGTTTTGATTACATCCAAAATACAAACCTCTCTTTTATACCAGATCCTGCCCACACTTATCTTAATTCCAGTGGTACTTATTACATCTGCCCAACTATTAAGGCTTAAATAATTATTAAGAGGTGTTATCAGTTGTTGGGTTTGGCACTTTTTTAACAGAAAATTTAGTGTAATTTTCTTTGGGGTAATTTGCAGTCCCAGACACTGCACACAAACTCTAAAAATGAACAGATCTCGAAAAAACATGTGGGGGAAAAAAGGAACCAAGCACACAAAGATACAAAAAACATCAGTAATTAAGATATTTCCAACTGCTGAGAAATTTTATTTCGAGGGAAATTATGGTTAAAATTAAATTAAAATATAAAATTCAGATGGGCGGGTCTTTCTTTGAAGGGAAAGTATTGACACAGGGAGATCAGACAGCCCTCCCTCCAGAGGGGTAGGAGAAAGGTCGGAGGGGAACAACAGGAATCTACAAAATGAAGTTTCGGGGGATGAGCCTGGTCATCAGAAAGTTATGTATAAAAAAAAGGAAGAAAAAAAAAAAAAAGACAAGAGATGCAGTTAGTTATTATAAACCCCACCCCCATCTGAAATGTCCTCATAGGCAATCAGTGCTATAGCTCTCTCTGTTTCCTTTTTCTCGTTTCTTACAGGAAGTTTTAGATCATGTTCCTCTTCACTGACTCTCGCCATCGAATTCATCCCATTCTGTCCTAATGTAACATCGTTTCCTGCAGTTTTGAAAAAAGTAAACAAAAAGTCCTTCAAAAATAAAATGCAGCAACCACATTTCATGTTCTACTATTACATATACAGTATATATATATAAATACATACATAAATATCTTACATGTACAACCAATTTTGAAAAGGGGGGGTTTAGAGAGAACCCAAAAGACTTATGAGGACTTGTGGAGGTGGGGGGAGCAGGGCCAGAGGGCCCATGGTTGCTCATTGTGAGGGTAGTGTGTCTGTTTTTTTTTTTTCTCTGTTTAAGCTCGACATACACGCGCGCACACACACACAGCCTTTTTGGGGAGAGGTGGTGGGAGTCATTCCTCAGTTGGCCCAGTAGGGGGAGCTGCCATAGCTAGACTTGCTGCCTTGGGTCTTCTGCTGCATGCTGCTGGACTGACTGCGCTGGCCTGGACCACCCTGTGGGGAGAAAAAGAAGCACTTAGCCAAGCAAGTTTTACTCCAGTACACAAGTGGCTTCCAAACTCGTATATCTGGTTTCCCTTTGATGTGCTGCTTATTTATCTCAGGGCCTGCGAACCTTAAGGATAGACTCTGCAAAGATGACTGATTTTTGAAGTTCTTCAAAGCAAACTTTTTAGAAACCCTGGATAAGCAAAATGTGATGTACGCGCCGATCATCAGTTTACCTGTCCGTCCTGTGTGAGGTGATGGTGCAGCAGCTGGGAGTGGGGTTGTTGGTGAGGTGGCAGGATGTGCAAGAATGGAGCGGGAGCATAGCCGGGAGCGCCCCCAGGGTTCAAGGGCCCCGTTCCCCCCAGTGCTGAAGGCAGACTGAAGGGAGGAGGGGTCCCCGTGTGGAAGCCCTGCTTGTCAAATGACTGAAGATAAGAGACACAAGATAAAGTTAGAATGACAACACGTGTGAGAAACAGCCTTTAACAGCCCAACTTGAAACCGAGTGGATGCCGACTGTTTATCTACGAGACATAGAACAGGATGGACGGTCACTAACCTGAGTTTTGCTGTAGATCGAACCTCCCATGTCAGGTACTCCTCCACCGGTACCTGATCCTGAAAGTCCAGGTGCTGAGAGGAGAAGGAAACCGAGATAGAAAGAGGTAGGAGTTTAAAGAGGGAAAGGAAGAGAGCACAAAAGGAGAAGAAGAAAACAATAGAGAACAGAGGAAATCAAGGGGTTAAGAGGGGAAAAGAAGAACAACTTTATTGATGACTGAATTTCAAACACTTGATTTTTTCATTTCCACTGTTAGTAGAAGGGGGCCAGCCAGAAGGAAGAAGCATAGTAAGTGAGGTGCAGAGGCATGTTTCTCACTTCCTTTCACCCCTTGCATGTATCCATTTAATGTGCAGATCACGGTGCGATCACACACATGCATATACACACCTTCCTCCAATACACTCTTGACTGTAGCATCATCTGTAATTGTGAGTACATTCGGTTTTCCCTCAGGAAAATTTGCCAGCTGACTTTGAGTGTGTTGTAAGGGCGTGTGCACGTGTTGAGTGTGTACCTTTCCCTGGGCCGCTGCCCGCTGACTTGGCCTGTGACTGGGCAGAGCCTCCGTACCCTCCCTTACTGTACTCCCCACCGTGGGCTTGAGATAGGTCATCAAAGGCTGAAGGAGGAGGGGGAGTAAAGAAGAAGAAAAAGAAGAAGAGAGGAAGCAGAGTGAGCAGGGGAGAGGGTGGGGGTAGGAAGACAAAAAGGAGATGGAGACCAGATGATGTGAAGAAAAGAAAAGGAGAAGCAAAGAGGATGGAAGAATAAGAAGGGGGGGAGGGCAGGGGAGAGAGAGGCAGTAAGGTAACCTGACTAACATGTCAGCTGTGTCTATATCGAGCTGTGTCCAACTTCAGCAGGGGGGTTTGAGCTATGCATGCAGCACAAGCAAAAAACACACAGGCCCAATTCCACACACACATGCAACATTTGGTGTACATGTAAAAAAAAAAAGTGTTGAAAATGGATCGCTCTTCCTCTCTACTCTCCAAACATTATTTAGTTTCTGTAAAAACACACTGTCACTCTGAATACATAAAATAATACTGCTGCTTTACATGACACCAAAACAAGTATGATAGTGCTGTAGGGGTGTAAGACGTGGTTATAAAGTTGGAGTTTTCCCATCATTAAAAAAATTCTAGATGGAGGTAACAGGATGGATAAGTCACTGATTTTTAATGACAGAAGTTTAAGTAACCGTCACAGCGCCCTCATACGGGACGATGCAATGACAGTCATATTTTAAGATGTTGTCGAGATTTGAAAAAGAAATTCAAAAACAAATGGTTGAATAAATAAAATCGCCCTTAAAGAAACTCTTTCTAATGTTAAACTGGGTAAAGACTCTGCTGTGTTAATCGTCTGGAAACACCAGGAGCCACATCAGTGACGGGAAGAGTTGTCTTGGTTTCGTCCGGTCCATACCTGTGCCGTACGCGTGCTGTCCGTAACTGGGCTGATGCTGTTGGTGGTACTGATTGGAGGGGTTGGCCAGGCCCATCGCGGGCTGCTTGGCTGAAGCAGGAGGTACAAAGACGGTGGGGCCATACTGGAAGGCTGAGGGGACCCCTGGCATACCAGCGTAGTATGGCAGACCTTCAGATTATAAGAGAGAGATAAGGGTTAAGAAAGGAAAATGCTGAAAAATTGCTTCATGAACAAACTAGCTGTCTCCAAGAATGCGTAAAAACACTTTTTCATTCTAGAAATCATAAAGTTAGCTGGCAGCTGAAAACACTGTAATTAAACCGATTCAAGAATACCAAGAATAAGTACGTGCACATGCAGCATTCATTTGTAAGAAGTGCGTTTCCTCCCTATGCGTCCCACTGTCTGTTTACGTTTTTGTTGCTATGCACTACGTCACCTGCTGCATTAATCTGATTGGTTGTTGGTCTGATTATTATACTGGATCAAATCAAACTGGAAATATATTGTATTTGTATGAATTTAATGAATCCGGATCAAAAGAGGAAGGCGACTCACACGTGATTTACTCGTAGTAAATGTGAAGTGTAATGGTAATTTCAAGGCAACATGCTACTCATTAACAAATAACTTGTTTTTCCTTACCGGTGTATCCATAGCCTGGGGGAAGAGGAGGGTTCAGGAAGGCCTGGTTCTGTGTCTGCTGACCTTGACTCTGTCCCTGGCCCTGCCCTTGTGTTCCTGCCTGAGGAGCCTGCTGAGGCTGCGACTGAACCCCGGCTGTGGACAAGCTGGTTGGGGGGGCGGGAGACGAAGAGTCATTCCTGCCAAACTTTGTCGCCTCGCCTGGACAAAGAGAGAAAAATCAATGAACAGGGTCAATTGTGTTGATTCACTCGACTCTCAGTGAGTCAGAGTCTTGATGCCACATAATGTACATTGAATAAACAAATAAACCCAGAATTTCCTGGCCGGTTTATAATATAACCCACCAGAATAAGGATTATTGGCCAGGCCATCTCTTCCGGGCATGGTCGCTGTAGTACCAGGGAATGTAACACCATAATAGTCCTGTAAGGAGAGAAACAACAACAAATCAACATAAGAGTGAAGAGTATAACCATTTATATAGACTTCTACAGTACAAGAGAGAATATACATTATGTCAAAGATTGTCTATTTTTTCAGTCTTTACTTAGTATTGATTAATATGCGCTCATGGCCAGTATTTACATTCATATTTTAAAATGTTCACATCATTTTCCTGTGGCAACACTAAGCTAATAATATGGATATGGATCATGAACGTATTGACAGTGTTGTTCACAGTCACCATTGGGCAAACCATGGCCAAATTCTCAATGTGCATCCCTTGATCAAATGCACAGCAGTTTTTTTAAGCAAGCAAAGAAATACATAGCACAGACTGAGAATAAAACAACTGACTTACCATTGGAAGACGAGACTGCAGCATCTGCAGATCCTCATATCCATAAATTTGCTGTAGGAAATAAAGAAATCAAGAAAAGAAGTGAGGATTTCTGAGTCATCCTCTATCCAATGCTTCTGGAAAACATCACTTTTGACTTAAATCTAACTTTGATTTGTATCTGATGTTCCTCGTAGTCTCCAGCTGACCTTTTGTAAGTCTCAGTGTGTTCTATTGATATTATATTTGGTCTGAACTTGATACAGAAGTCACTCTCAGAACTGAAGCACAAGAAGTGAACTTATTATAGTTTAACTCTGTGTGTTCTCTTATTGAGGAGATTCAAATTGTATATGGTAAATCGATGTTGACATAAAACCTAATACATACAGTACATGGACTACAGAGGACTTCATAGTCCTTCCTGGTCTAGGTTTTTAAGAAAGACAGCAGCACTAATCTCAATGTGGGGGCAGTGGGCACACCCAGGGTACAAGCTGAACCAGATACATTAGAATAAATTGAGAGTTACCGGGTAAGCAGGGAGCAAACCACTGGGGCCCATGATGTACTGGTTTGCCAGGAGGGGGGGCACTCCTTGGGCCAAGTTGGGAGGAGCTTTACCTGAAAGAGAAGATTTTTGGTCTGATTAAAAAACATGAAAAAAGTCAATTACATAAAAGTAGGGGTGTCCCAATACAACTTTTTTACTTTCGATACGATACCCATATTGATCCGATATGACACAAACTTGTGCATGACAAGTTTTTCACTCAGCTGCAATGTCTTTTTCGGACTTAAACGAAAAATACTGCCACACAGCCGAATTCACTCTTACTCCTTGCAACTTTGTTTGTACCTTAGTACACACTGTTGTTGTGATCATGTGGGCTCTACATGCTGGATCTGGGCGCTGCTAGATAGAGGTGCTGGAGTGGAGTCTGGACTGGACTGCTTGTATGGGAGATTTTAGATGCAGGTCGATATAATCCGATATTTGTTTTTTGGCTGATATCAGACCGATATTCGATATCAACATTATATCGGGACATAAAAGGGGTGTATCAGGACATATGGTACATAAAAGGTGAGTAACTAAAAATGCTTGAAAAACACAGAATATGTATTTTCATGGAGTTTTTTTTATGGCAATGGCACGTGTTGCTGTGAGCCTACCTGATGTGGTAGTGAGCAGGGGTGCAGTGCGGGTTCCTGCGGCTGACAGCGTGGTATTTGTGCCATTAGGCGTCAGTCCTGGAGCTCCAGATGGGTGCAGACCATTGGTGGTTGAGCTGCTGACGGCCTGGGGAGCTGAAGAACTGGGATTGACGACTTGGCTGGATGTTGACGATGAGAAAGCGTGAAGGTTTCCGCCGCCACTGCTGCTGCTGCTGCTGTCCTCATTGCTCAACTGATGGAACAAAACAGAGAAGATATTGAGAAAGAAAAGCAGGAACTGATGAATACAAGACTCAAAAAACATTTAGAATATTGTTTATGTGATTTAGTGTCTGTGTGCAGTGATGGCCACACACTCACGGAGAGGGATGAGCTTGTGGTGAGGGTCGATCCAGATGAGTGAGTACTGGTGACATGACTAGAAAGAGAGGGAAGTTTTACTGTCAGTTTGCTTCAATCTGATGAAGCAACAAAGGCAAGAACATGACAACGGAGATTCAGTCAAAAATATTTCCTCATAAATGGTTTGAGATATGTGCTTGTAACCATCATTATCTCCACACAGTAGAACAGACGATGAATTACTTGTGACATAAAAATGAACTGAGTTTAAATCATTCCTTACTTGTTGAGCGAGGGCATGGCCGTGGAGTGGGAAGGTGTAACAGCAGGAGAGGGGATGTGGTGGCTGGAGCTGCTATCACTTGTCATCACAGGGGACTCTGTTTTCACTGATCTGGACGTTGCTGTTTAAAAAAAAGAAGAAAATTAGTTCTGGATGTTTTTTTTATGAGAGGCGGTTTTTCCAGAACGGACAACTCTTAGAAAACTTACTGTCTTGTGTGCTGGGTGTCTTTATACCACTGTAGCCATTCTATGAGAAGAAGAGAAGAAAAAATGATCAGAGTTGTAATGAGCAGACTTTAAGGTTCGTGGAGAGCTGTTGAAAGTGGTTTTAATTCTTCTCTCGTGTGGGTCGTTTCTGTACCGTCAAAGCAACAGCCGAGGGGACGTCTTTACTCTGTGGGAAGCCCAAATGAGGTGGCATTGTCCGTGGGCCACTGTTCTCCACGCGGTTGGTTGCCGTCGGCGCTGTGGAAGACGGTGGAGCAGCTGCGCTTGGAAGACCCAGGGAAGGAGAGGGCGTGACACTAGGTAAGCCCAGGGATGGTGTGGGAAAGCTAGGATCTGATACCGCTGAGGGGAGAGGGGGTAAGCTGCCCATGTGATCGCTGTCCACAGGAAGAGAGAGAGAGAGAGAGACGATCAGACATGACAAAGACAAAACAATGATCTTTCAATTTTATTCCACACACAAAACAAGACTTACACATACCTCACAGCTCCTGGTTTGGAGAACAAGCTGCTCTGTGGCTGCTGAGTGGGTACAGCGCTCGGGACCGACATGGGTGTGGGAGCTGCCGGGACTGGGGCCTGAGCAGGGGCTTGCTCTCTGGCCGACTCCGCCTGCGTCATGTCTGCTGTTCCGCTCCCAGCCTCAGAACCAAAGTCGAGAGCTCCAAACTGAACATTTAGCCCAGGAATATCTGCAGAGCCCGGCATTTCCACTGCTGACGACGGAATCTGAGGAAACAAAGAGGGCACCGAGTGTAACTGAGGCGAGTGTAACTTTATACACGTAAACGATATTTCAATAATGAATCGTGTCAATCAGATATTCCCTTTCAGGCAAAAGTCATCTGCAGCACCATATACTTCATCTTCATAAAAGGTTCAGGTATCATTGGAGTGTACCTTTGACGGAGGAGGTACTCTGCGTCTTTGGGTCTTTAGCTGCCGCTGAGGGGCTTCTGTGGCTGGAGGCTCCATGCCCGGCAGTTTCACTCCAGGAGAAGCTCCGTCTCTAACAGGAGGGAGGGATGACTCATGACCTGAAGGAGATTGAAAGTGGTAGTTGAATTAAATTTGTTAAGATAAAAAAAAGGTTACTTTTAGAGAGATTCTTTTGTGGAGCTAGCAGTGGTTACTTCAGTTTTGGAGAAACACCGGCACTGCTTTTGATTCGACTCCATTGTAAGATACAGCAGCTCAGCTCTGCTTCTTTTTGAGGCTCATTTTTGGAGGTCATTGTCTGCTGCAGATGGTGCAAGGATGGAAAGGAAATTTCTTTTCTTTTATTCTCTCATTTCTTTTTAGGCTTTAATGTCTTTATCGAGAGGGCAGGACAGTGGGTGAGGCAGGAAACTTGAAGAAAGAGTGGGGAATGATAGCAGAGAGTCGTCAGAGACAACTGAACCCCGAGGCTGCCCAGGAAAAGGAAGATGGATCCTGTGCATGGGATGTACAACTTATCTACTAGCCCTGAGGACGATTCTCTCTGACCAATCCATGATTTTTACTGTATTAACTTCACCTCTCTTTTAACTTTTTCAGCACTTTAAATTTTCACAGCAAACCAGAGGAGAATATGCTCCACAGTTGAGCCAAACAGTCTGTGCAGTTGAAAAAAGGAATATTTTATGCACTGCTTGTTTGCCGTTGATGTCAGCTCACTCGCAGATCTCATTACTTTTTAATGCATCCGCCTTCTTCCCATATTCATTATCAGTCCAAGATTAAGAGGCCCGGTCAGATCCTATATACACTGCATCTGGAGCTGCCTTAGGTCTTTTAGTAAGAAGAGGTACTGTATTGCAGAGGACTAAATCCAGGTTTCCAACTATTAACTGCTGGTAGAGACATTTTTAAGGATCTGCCAAATAGGCGCTTAAGCCCAGTATTGAAGGGGCATGGGAGGATTTTTTTTTTGTCCTAATCGTCCTCACAAAAGGCACTGCAGACCCACTATGCAGGAGGTGCAGGGATGTCGACTCGCATCTTTTCTGTATCTCTGTGGATTCTTGAGGATCTTTTCCTGAGCACATTATTTCACTGCTTTGCCTAATCTGTATATTTCTGAGATCCCTTAGAAAACTCGTATTCTAGTAACTCGTATTCTTCAGTCATTTTCAGAGGCCACCAAGAAAAAAAAACACAGTTGCAATTTTTATGTCATGTGAACCACTATGCTGATTTTTATGCCTTTCACTGCAAGGTCAGAAACTTGTATGCAGTCCTACCAGGTGGTGTGGGGATCTGTGGATCATGTGACTGAGACAGGCTCAGGGACTCTGTGTTGGGAAGGATGGAGGACTGTTGTTGCCTCTGAGTGAGCTGGCTGAGCACCGCCGATGGCTCTGGCTGAAGCTTCATCTCCACTAAAAAGAATAAAGACGAAAATAAAGCACATTAATCCAACCATTGTTATGCTGTGCACTCTTTTGTCATTGTTATTGTAAAAACAAATTAATCCCGATTGGCTCCTAAAACTTCTACGATGAACTTGCTTTTCAATATGAGATTAACTTACTGTGTTGGGCAGTAACTGGGCCGTTCTCAACCCTCTGCGGTTTGACTTCAACAGAAGGAGAGGAGGAAGGAGTAGGGTTCTGTATGGGAGGTGGCCCTGCGTCTTTGGAAACATTACTGTTGCTGGTAGCCGTCACCGTCTGAGTGACTCTCTGACCAAGCCGGGGCCCGTTGAGCTGCTCTGATGTCCTCATGTCGGAGCCGGGTGTCGGCTTAGGTGCATTTAGGGACCCAAAACCAGAACCCAGAACTGACGACTGTAGGGATAAGAGCAGTTCATCGAGAAGTGAACAAACATGTACTGTATGTGTTTTTGGCACATGAATACAGGTTTAAGAACTGACTGGACTCTTGTACGTGAACAAGCATAAATTTAGAGGTTATACATACCAGTGCAGCATGTGCGTAGGTGGTACCAGCAGAGGCGGCGTGGGCATAGCTGTTGGCTGTTGCGTGTGCGTAGCTGTGTGTTGCAGTGCGTCCATTGTGGTGAGAATTGGTGAACACCAGGCTTTGGCCCAAGTCCTCGGCTGAGGGGCCATCGACGATTGCCCCCAGATCTGAGTCCATGGAAGTCACTCCAGCTTTGGGTAACAGGCCAGCCAAGTCCACGCTGAAGGGGAACAATACACGACAAGCTGTCAATAAATGCTCCATCTGTGAGGTAATAATGAGTTTAAGTTCACTGGAATGAAGGCAGGAGGGCTTACTTGTGGTTCACTGGAGCAGAGGAGGCGGTGAATACCTTTGTCTCAGACAGCTGTGAAAGTACAGAACACAAATCAATCAGACTAATATGTGGGTTATGCAGCTCTGGTCAACAGTTAAGGGATCCATTGATATAGTTACACTTCATAATACGGGTGAGAATCACTAGCGGCCCCACGATACAATATTATCATGATACTTGGGCCACCATACGATATTATTGCAATTTTCAACATTTTGCAGTACAGCGAGTATTGCGATACAATATATTGCGATTTATATAATTTTTCAACTGTTTAGCAAATTTAGCAGTTGGCTTTCCTTCTTGTTTGTCTTATTTACGCTGTATATTATTTTCATGTAGCAGATCTTGCAAACCTTTTATATATTTGTAGCACTAACTTTCTCCTGCTCTGTGATGTCACCTCTGCCGACCTTTGAAAAATCGATACTTGGTAAATGAAACGATACGATATATCACTACAAAAAATATCGCAATACTAGGCTGTATCGATTTTTTTTCTCTCGTCCCTACTTCATTATAATACTCTCTATCTTGACGATCAATTTTAACTGACCCTACCAGCCAATAAGAGCAGATATTGGGAAAGTTATTTCAAATACAAGTGAACAAACTTTACATGTACAAGCTTTGAGATGATAAAAAGTGCTGTCTTACATCTTCGTTCCAGTCCTCTGAGGTCCAGTCTTCAATGTTGCCTCCCCATGTTCCTAAAAAGCCAGTCAGCAGACAGGTGAGTTGCGATATCCACACAATACTAATGTTTTTCTACAACAGCAAAATTGCAAGCCTTTGAACGCATCTTGTAGCTTCAGCTTGGGTAAGTGAACGACAGGTGAGGCTGATACTTCTTAATTTGGTCGATACAGCTCCTCTGATTCAAAAAATTTGAAACTCCAACAAACTTGGAAGTTCGAGTTGTGCCATTTCACTTACCAGTCGCCTCAGCAGGTTCGTTTCCATCACCTTCCCATGCCTCCTGGCGAGTTCCAGAGTTAGCCGCGTACTCAGCAGGATTGAAGGTGCTGGAGGAGAGTGGAGAGGGACGACAGATGAGGCAAAGATAGACAGAATTAAAAATGGAGCAAACGTTAAGTTAATGGTCTGATATGGCAATTTACTGCGACACAATGAGGAGATTCAGGAGTTAGGTTTTTCTACACTTTTTACATTTGGATATGTGCTTGTTATCAACATCATCACCTCCTCATACGACTTAGAGTCTAATATTTACATTACACATCAGTTCTTACCCCATTCCCTGGGAGGAGAATCTGTTACCAGCAGCCGCTCGTCCTCGACCACGACCTCCTGCCCCTGTGAGGTAAATAAAAAGAATTAAACAAGACTGACCGGTTCCCTGCATCCCCCATCTTTTCATAAAACTTCCTCTATGTTGGCATTAACCTCGTGCACACATTCAGCAATAACATTACTAAAAACATACATTATTTTTAATTACTGCATTTTCATTTGCAAGACTGAAATACATTTGGAGCTATTGGGCTACAGGTTTGACGTTATCGGCTGCAGGTTGCAATCAAACTTGGACTACCTGACTGAGGACTAAAGCCTCTCTACAGCAAATCACTCTTCATTCCCTTTCCCAGTTTCCTGCTCTAACAACAGTCCAGTCCACTCCAAATAAAAGAATCAAAGCCCAAAAACTAACATGAAAACAAAACAACCAATGCATCTGTTTTATCAACCTTTTGAAACCTCATATTTTTCTTAAATTTGGCAGTTCAAAATCAATTTTAAATTATGCCGTGAAAAAAAAACATTCAAAAATGGGAACGTTTAAGTCTCAAAGGTGCAGCATCTGTTCTTTGCCAAGACATCTCCAACTTTCACTTTTGGTTTCAGGTTTAAAATTTAAGACAAATATTATCTAACAAAAATTTCCATAAGGATGCATGCACCTCTTGGCAATTAGATCATTACAAGCCATCTCACAATTTCCTCTTAACCAGACCCTGACAACCTCCACCTTTTTTTCCCCCATCACACAAACACACACCACCACACACAAGCAGCTGCAGAGACTGAGCACATTCCAGACATGTTGAGTGCTGCAATAGTCCGAATGCCGGCAGACACAAATAGATATGCTGCCAGCAGCTTCACCAAACACACACAATAACATCCAAGCCAGTCCCCCTTTGCTTGCACGAACCAAAACAAACCTTACAATTTTACCTTTTATATTGAGGCAGATGTTTTCAACATTTTGCAACTGCTCTAACAATATTCCTGTTTATTACCCAAACTCCCTGTTTTCCTTTGAAACACCCATTTTAATTTTATAGTCATTAAAATCTCCTTATACCTTGAGAAATTTCAGAACAATTGAAGAACAGGGTGGACTTCACTTTTTTTTCCCATCGCCTCTTAATAAAACTTTGCATACATACATCATTAAATAATGTCTATTCTTCAACATTCTTAGGGTGACTCACCTCTGCCCCGACCCCTGCGTCCTGGGTCACCCCTTCTCTCTCCAGGAGCCACTTCAAACCCATTCTCCTCTACTCGGCCTGGAAAACAGTGAATAGTTATGTTAACAGGTTCATACATTGGGTTAAGATCAAATCTGCCACTCATGTAATATCCACATTTAAACAATCCAAGCTCCCCGCTTCCCAAACAGGGTAGACATCTTTAATCCCATCTTACCTTCACGCCCCCGGCTGATGCCTCTGCCCCTTCTGTTAGACCCCCCACGTCCACGACTGGACTCTCTGTCTAGTCCTTTCTTCTCCCTACTTTCTTTCATCTCTGGGGGTCCTCCCTCTTTCCCAAGGCTCCTCTTCTTCCCCACAGTTTCCCAGGAATTCTGGTTGATGCATATCAAAGATTTTAACATTTTGTTTGCATTTCAGTTTCTGCCAAACACATATCAGACAGCCCTAAGAATGGAAAACAAGCGTATGCGTTGATAAATGTGTTAATGGAGTCCTACTGTGTCAGAGGGGCTCTCCAGCAGGAAATTGATGGCTCTGTTTACATCTTCGTTGCAGTCGTGGAGGGCTACCATGCACTCATCTTGAGTCTTCCCAGTAACCTCAATCAGCTGTGAGTGAACAGAACAGGAACACAAAGCTACAAGTTCAATAACCATCGGACACACTGAGGATCGCATGTACAATCAACTCTGTAAGGTGTGTGTGTTTTTTTTTTAATTCATTAAACTGTGCACAAACAAATTACCTGTTTGACCTTGTCTTCAAAGTCTGCATCGTTTTTATCATAGATCACTTGGGCTAAACGGATCTGTTCTGCTGTGGCCTGATAAACAGAGTTCAGTGAAACAAAACAATTAGAATACATACCATGTGAAAGAAGCTACTATCGTCCACGTTCATATTCCTGGTACATTTCATTTTCAATAGCAGTACAAAATGTTTAATACTAACTGATTCAGATGTTCGATTGTTGTAAATTAGATGCATATTTATTCATAAGTAATGATAAAAACCCACCTGAATCTGTTTCTGTGGTTGTGTTGTTTGTGTGGTGGTGGTGGGCAGCGTTTTGTCCCGAGTCCCCCGGGATTGATTGCTGACCACTGAAGTCATCATATACAGTATATACAAAACAATGTATGTACAAAATAGAAAAATCTGTAAAGAAAACAGAAAACAGAAGTTAGATGACACCCATCTCTGAAAAGATTACAACAGAAAGATTAAAATTTGTGTAGGACTGGGCGACAAAACGATAACGATAAATATCGAAAACTCATTTCCCTAAATATCAATATAAAAATGGTCAATATGCTTTTCGAAAGTCTGCATTCTGCCGTGTTTTGGTAGACATGGCAGGCTGCAGCTACACGCAACCACAGCACATTAACAGGTGAAGCCGACAGCACTGGTGGTGAGAAAAAAAGAAAATACAGATGAAGGCTCAACATTGTCAATAACACTGGAACGAAAACGTCGGTAGTGTGGAGGCATTTTGTTTTGTTTTTTTAGGTCTGACATGAAGCAGAGTAGTGTGAACTGCAAATTATGTCGAGTACATGTTCTCGCAAAGTCGGGGAATAGCTCAAATCTTTTTCACCACCTGAAGCAGTGCGACGCAGCAGAGCACGCGCAAAGGTTACAACCCCAGGCGGAGTAAGGAGCCGGTGGCACCTGTGCAGCCGAAAGAGTCGACCATTCAGTCCGCTTTCTCTAGCGCAAAACGTCGAAGAGACACAAAGTCCTCACTAATGCAGTAGCTTTTTGTTTTGCAAAAGACATGCTATCAATAAGCACTGTTAAATTTCATTTTTTAGATCATGATATATATTGATAGACTGATATAAAAAAAAAATATATATTGCGATAAACTTTTTTCCCATATGGCCAAGCCCTAAATTTGTGGAATAAGGAGACCAGTGAAGTATTATCTCCTCTTAAATGGTCATTGCTCGTATAATTGATTCAAAATCCCCAGTTTTAGACTCACTGTTGTCAAGTATACCATGTAAGACTATAACCCCATCTGTTGCCCCCCACCTCCTAGTTTAAATTTAGCCAGCCAAGGGGGGACTGTCCTGGTGTCATCTTACAACCCTCCCTTAGTCTCAAACATTAAAAAGAGAGCAGTGAGTATACACTGGCATATGACAGGCATGAACTAATCACCCCATTCCAGTAATGACAAAAAAAAAACAAACGCAACAAGGCAAAAACTTAAAAGGTAACGCGTTAGCAAACAGAGCTACGCCATGTTACGCAGTTATTATACGCAGATTCCACCTGACACTTTGCCAGCGTGAGAAGACAACAAACGAGATCCACCGGCTTTTGGGCGCACTGCTGTCTGACTGGTAAACCGTCAACGTTGGATCTATATCATGTCAGCCTCACCCAGTCAATGGCGATGGTAAAACTCCCTTTACGTTGGCGGTTAATATAAGCCAAGGGGGGAAATATGAGCCGCACTGACGAACCTTCTCACAGTCAGCTCGCTTTAGCCGTAGCCTCCTCGCTAACCCGCTGGTCTTTGTTCCATGCGACGGAACTCACAGTCTCAACCGCTTAAAACACACACTCGCCATAACTACCATAGAAGTCTGTCGACGGAAATTCACCCGTTGTCGTGACAATTGATCGACTAAAAACTACGATTCGATAAAATACAAACAAGTTCGACAAGTATAGCTTTGTATCCTTTTGTGTGAGAGCAGGAAAAAGCTAACCTGAGAGGCAGCTAAAGTTAGCAGCTGAAACGATCAACACCGCGTGTTACATCAACGTTTACACACGGTCGTTATCGAGTACTCGAATGAGTTTGATTAATAGAGTAAGGATGAATAAGTGAGAAAAGTTGTCGAAAACGTGTGGCCCGTTAATGTTAATGATACAACAGTAGGCTAAATATCCCGGCATGTGAACGGCCCGTCCGCATACAATGCAGCACTACAATCAGGTAAAGCAGCGGCTAGCTAGCGAGTTTGTTAGTTAGCTTATCAACGAACAGGAAGAGGGGCTAATCCGATTCGATCGATCTTTTCCTTAAACCGATTAAAAACTCAACGAGATAAATTTCGAGTCGTTTGGATGGTACGGAAAAACAGTAAAACGAGGACAATAATCTTTATTCTTTTCCTTTACCTGCTAACACGCTTCGCTCAGCCAGCAGCAGATGCTGTCACGTGACCCACTGCGCCGTTGTTGAACGTTGTGAAGCTCAAGCTGCCAATCAACGGTCACAGAGCGGGTCAGATGGTTCGGCGGCGTGCCTTACGTGCGCGTTCGCAGCAGGGAGAGAGCGCGCACTTATGTAGAGTTTTGTTTTAAAAGGAACAGTTTCACTGCGTGTCCAAGTTTCTGCATGACGATTAGAAAACGAGAAATGTGAGTCTCTCTCTCTCTCTCTCTCTTTTACAATTATCAACAACTTACACAACAGCAGTATTAGAGCAGCCATCAGCAAAATCAAAAGTTCACCAAGCATGAACATGTCATGGTATAACACATGACTGTTTTTCATCTTAGCCCTTCCCGATGTATATTCAACAGCAATAAAATGGTCAAAATGATTATCTTGTACATTTCCTTCTTATAGTGATGGGTATGGCAGTTCTTTAAGATGTACTGAATCACTAGAATTAGTTCACTAAAAAGATTCGTTCAAAAGATTCGTTCACCAAATCACTGAATAATGTAGAAGCCTGCGACTCCGACTTCCTGAACTGATACACAGCTGAACGGCTCAGGATTCAGTTCAATTCATAGCTTCTTGGACTAGGAGACACGAGTGTTTGGCTGTGCACTGAATCATTCACGAACTACACAACACTACCTTCTTAATTCTAATAAGATTTCAAAGTGAGTCTCCTTCAATGTTCTATATTTATGGTCTTCAGTGTAAATATCACTTTGAATTATCTGAAACAGACCATTGTCTCTATTTAACTTTAGCCAGCAAGATAATTATTGTGCTGTGTCTGTTTTCTACAAGGAACCACAAAGAGTAGTTTCCATGGAGATCTACAAATGCACAGTGTGAAGATCCATGTTTGCACATTGCTTTGGTCATCGTCATTGAGGTGTTTGCTGAGTTCACAAACCTGCCCTCGTCTCTTTTTCCACCTAAACTTCCCAAGACTATGAGGTCATTTAAAGACTTTCTAAGAGACTTGTTAAAGTTGCATTCAGGTTCCAGGTCAAAAAATTCTGGTATGTTTAAAAACCTTTAACACACATTTAAAAATAGCAATTTGAAAGTTTTCTTTTTCACTTTTCTAATAAGTAGAGAAGTCCACTCAGTTTTGTTGCATAAAATCAAGTGCTTGTTATGAGGATTTTAGAAACAAACCAAAAAAAAACCAACTTCAGTAAACGAAAATGTTGCTCTAAAGGGAAGGGCTGCTGTTGCGACTTGAACTAAGAACCTGTTTACTGTGAGGAAGCAGCTGACAAGTACAATTCTTTAATATGTTAACCTGCAAAGGTTTATTTACTTTTTGATTGTAATTTTTAAGCATGATATTCACTGAATGCAGAAGCATGTTCTCTACACTCTTGTGGAAGTAAAGCATGTACACAGTCAATAAGATCCGAGTCATCCAAGACAAATTATTACCTGCCTACCTTCGATCTTAATCCCTGGTATTCAACCATTCTTTAGCTGGCAAGTTGTACTCACCTTCCCTTTAAAAGAAAAATATTTCAAAATCTTTCTCCAGCCAGGAATCGATCCCTCACCCTTATCTGGTATCCAACTGTTTTTAATGTACCAAAAAAGAAAATGAAAGCTAAAATTGCTTTCATTTTAGACCACCAAGGGATTTTCCTCCACTGGGGCTCTCCCTGAGTTTGAGTATTTTTTAGGCTGATACAAAAATATAGACCAATCATAATAAGGAGGGGGTTTCTTTTTGCTTAGTGCAAACATTCTGGTGTTGGTATAATCAAACTAACCAAACTCAAAAATAAGGTTATGTTTAAAGGAAGTTATGTGCTTTGCATTACAGGAAAAAACAACATATATCATTTTAAGACCAGCAAAATGAAACCAAGGTTAAAGCCACACACTGAAAAATAAATAATAATTCAAACACAAACAGAGGCTTCAGTGATTGGACCGAGTAGAGTCCAGTTAGATTAGGTTGAATTAAAAGATTAAAAAACAAAAACAAAACAGTAATTCAAATAATTTAATTTTCAACACCAGCAACCAAATATTTATCAGTATTCATGAGTGCATCTGATTCTGCTTGCAATGCGGACCCATGTGAAATAAAACAACCCTGGTGCACTTACAATCAAGCACATCACACATCATTTTGCATAAGCACTTAAAATGGAAACATCTTTCCCATATTTAGATATGATAGGTCTTAAATTTCATATTTTATGGTCTTTAAAGAAAATTCTTCACACAAATACATCAGCCACATCAAACGATACAGAGTTTAATTAATTGCCAGTGGGATCTTCAAGCTTGGGTGAGTCTTCACAATAAATAAATAAATAAATAAATAAACCTTGGCTGTTTACTTTTTTGAGTGAGATGATATATTTTACACTCATAACAGTTTTTAACAGGCATTTCTTCCATATGGCCTGCACATAAAATAGAATAGAATAGAATATTCCTTTTATGTGCAGGCCATATGGAAGAAATGCCTGTTAAAAACTGTTATAATCTTTGCAATGTATTTGGTTGGTTAATTCAATTATGTTGCATCATGATTGTCTTCTTTGTTGTGCTTTTTTGCCTGGTTAGAATAACAAGGCCCAAGATATGGTCGCAGCTGAGCTATCATGTTGTTGACACACTTTGCCTTTTTTGTCATGATTTCCTCCAGTTTGTGAACATACTCTGAAAATACCTGTAAAGATAGGGAGACAGTTTGTGAGTACAGATTCAAGTTTGACAGCAAATGTGGTTTCCAGTTATTCTAACCATATCAGGTTGCTGGCACAGAAGAGCCCCCTCTTTGTGCCATAAGGCCTCCATCTCCTCAAGCTGCTCCCAGTGGGCCTGGATAACACGCCACCTGGGGAGTGATCACACAGTAAGTTTCCTAAGTTGTCAACTGGGCTGTAAAAATTGGGTTTCATTGCCATTTGTTTGACTCTAAAACACAGCATGTCTGGTTTTACTCATTTGGAGTAACTGCAAGGTAAACTGTTGGACTACTGATACTCACTTGGCGTGATCTGTATCCTCCAGCATTGGCAGATTGATCATGTTTGGTGTTTTCTGATTGCTGGTGCCTCCCTGAAAATTTGATTCTCTCCAAATAGTGGGTTGGAGTGAGATGTTGGAGTTGTTGGAAGGGATTGAAGGAACTGTATGACCCTGTTTTGGCAATGTCCTCGACAGGCCCAACACACTCCCTGCTGGCGATATTGAAACGGAAGGAGGAAATTCATTGTGCATCTGTTGTGCAGTCTGTGGTGTCGTTTGCGTTGCACCGTTCATCTTTCTTTTTGGGGGGTTGGGTGAGCCTGTCTTCCAACAGGGCTGGACAGATGATGAAATGGACTGAATGTTTGCAGAAGTTTGTTTTATTAAAGAACCTGAAGATGGAGTGGACGCATAGGTTTTGTTGCCCAGGATGTTAATGGCAAGGCCTAGTTGAGGTTTCTGATTGTCTTGGTCATAGAGAGACTCTGGCATAACCTCTGGGGTAGAAAGCTTCATGGTACCTGGAGGAACAAAAACTTGTTTACTCATTTTCAAGCAACAGTTGGCCCACATATTCACATATCTCACACTTACCAAGTCCAGCTTTCACTGTCATGTCAAGACATGCCCTGTTCTCCTTTTCCACCTCCCTCCTGTTCTCTTCTTTAGTTTCATTTTCAAGAGGATAAAGAGGGCCAGTTATCAGACCCCCTTGAAGGAACGAGGCTGTGGCTGCCTGTTGATCCACCTCAAGCAAGGAGATACTCAGGGGGTCCATAGTGTGGCTGACTGAGTCTTCTTGAGGTAAACCAGCATTTGAGAATTCCCTTGTATCTCCATTAGCAGCAAACCAGTGTTCCTTCTCGCTATGGCGTCTTGTTGGTGCGTCCATCAGGGAATTTTGAGATGTTAGATGCAGGTTATTTGAGGTACGCCTGAATCTAAAAGGAAGTTCCATGAGTTCATGAGAGGTCAGGGAGGTTTGGGTATGTTCACAGCCTGGGGAGAGTGGTCTTTCTGCTGGAGCTTGATGACTGTATGACTCAACAATCGGGTGGGTAAAAGAGCTGCTGCCTTCATTGCTCTCATGCTCTTCATTGCTCCACATTCCTTCAGTTGGGACATCTGAGGACTCCAAGCCCTCCTCCCTTACTTCTTTCCTCTGTTCTGAATCACGGCTGTAAGACATTTGGGCCTCCAAAGCAGCTGGTTTCACACCTGTCATGCCGCCTGTTTGTTCTGCCTCTGTTGCAGTCACCCAGGCCCAGCCCCTTTCGGCTATGTTTTCCATACCAGCTGGTCTCCATGCTTCCCTACTTGATCTTACATCTCCTCCACTTGAGTCACCACAACCTTCTTCATCCTTAATTTTAGTATGTAGGCAAGCCTCAGTCCTAACTTTAACTTTGGCTCCAACTGCATCTAAAACTTCCTTCAAACCTTGATATGTAAGTACAGAATCTGAGAGGTGAGAGGCATGTAGGAGAGATGAGCATGATGATGGAGAGACAGAGGAGGAAAGAGAAGCTGGATTAGATGAAGGTATAGAGGGTGACAAAAGGTGGAGGGATGAAGAAGCAGAGGAGGGTGTAAACTGCTGTAGTTGCTGGTGATACCGTCTCAGATGCATCTCCTTCTCTTTATCTTCTCCCAAATCTCCTTCTTTTACACTCTCCGCTCCAGTACATGAATATCTGCTGCTTTGTGTTGGTCCTCTCTCTGTTATCAGTCTTCTTTCTTCCTCTCTATCCTCTTGCAAAGCTCTATGATGGTGGTAGGACCAAGACCCACTGGCATTTTGGTCACCTCCTGAGTGACCCACGCTGTCAGTTTCGACATATATTTCTCTTCCTCTACCTTCCTTCCTTCCTGCTCTCTTTCTTTTATCCCCTGTTCCCAAAGAGCCTCTGATGGGAGAGATTTGCTCCAGACTAATATCCTTTCTGTCTCTTGTACTTGTTTTCTTGCTATTCCTGGTGTTCTTGGGTGTAGAGCAGAGAACTGGGCCTCCTGTGTGCCTCGTGCTCGATGATGTTGGCACGAAAGCCTCCCTCTGTCTCCCTAACTTTGGCTTCTTTGGGGGACTTTTTCCTCGGATGTTAACACCTCCGGTTCTGCTGCTTTTGGACATGCTACTTTGATATGATACTGTTTTCCCTCTTCTTTCTCCTCTCTGCCCTTTCAACTCCTTCACCCTGAGTAACATCAAACATATTTTGTGTTAAACAGCAGCAAATTGTTGTTCTTGTAAGCTACTGATGCTACACACACTCACCTGTCAGCATATCTCAATGTATTAAGAGTGTGTTCAGTTGCTAAGTGACCAGGTGAGATGTTGGCAATCATGCATGTCATTGAGTCCCCGACAAATGAGTCTTTCAAAACCTAAATCATACCGAAACAGTTCAAGACAATCAATTTGAAGAGGAAAACTGAATTGGTGATGACACATATACACACATTTGTGTATTGAAATACCTGTGTAAGTTTGCTCTGTCTGAAAGGTGTGTGAGACTGCTCCTGATCAAGGGACCGGATACACTCTTTAAGCTGAAATAAAGAAACATTAATCCTCACAGCTCTGTGGGACCTCATGTGAATTCTCAGATGAGCGTTCAGCTTACCGCCAACAGACTCTGATTGATCTCAGCTCCCTCCATACGACTCTGCCTGTCTGGGTCTTTGGTGTCTGATGCCCTCTCACTGCCTGCCAGGTCCACAAACCACATTCTGGAGGCACACACACACACACTAGTATAAAAACTCTCACACACATTAATCCACATATGAGTGAATTTGCTATATATAGCTTTTTCCTCTAAGGACAAATCATTAATCACTTTAAAAGTAAAGACAAACACATCGTATGTTGTCGCTCACCTGCCACTCACTCGCTGGTTTCGATCTTTGAGCTGAATCTGGAGCAGGGCATGAGAACGGGAAGAGTGTGGATTCACTCCACTTACCCCCTGTGTGCGCTCCTCTGTACCCTGGGCGATCACCTTCAAAGGGGCAATGAAATGCAAGAGGAGAAAAACAAGAGAGAGACGACCTTAAGGTTTCAAATAACATACAGTCATTTTTTGTCCTCACAGTCATTTTAAAATTTCCTTTTAAGCACACAAGAGTCTGCTGGTGCAACTAGGAGCGTATTAGCACAGACTTAGATCTGAGGGACCCAAATAGGATGTTTTTGTATTCATACAATCTTACAGGCAAATACTTTAAGCACTACTGAGCGTTCCTTGCAACAACAACAAAGCCATTTTTCTATGAGAATATATGATGATGGCATTGACCTCCAGCAGTGAGCTGACAGAGTCCACCCTGACGTCACGCAGCCCAGCAATGTGAACCACCTTCTGTCCATCTTCCCTTGCATATAACCTTGGGGAGAAGTAAAGGGGCAAAGAAAGAGATTAGCAAACAGGATAAAACAAAAGCAGAGGTGTTGAGAACAGGACATGCTTGTTCAATGTGATAATGAGGAGTAATAATGTAGAAATGTCAGTAACAAAGCTGTTGACTCTGATCATTTGTTAATGTTTTCTGGTCATTTTCTTATAATAATGTTTTCAGTTCAAGCTTCACCTTTTCCTGTGGTCCAACAAGTCATAAAGCTGACCACAATAGATTTCAAAGAGGCTGACATACACCAGCAGAGGCGAGTTTGTGTGCGTGCTGGAAAGGTGCGCAAAGATGTCCCGGATTGCAAGTGCATACAAGCCCGGTCTTGTGGGAGATGAACCCAACATAGTGAAAGTCTTCCCTGAGCCGGTCTGGCCGTATGCAAAGCAGGTGGCCCTGCCCCTGCCCACACACACAGCAGAAATGTACAAATGTCAACACACAGAGCCAAAACAGCTGAAGGCACATACTTAGCAGATCCATTTGGAAAGGATCTTCGGATGTGCCATTGTAATAATACTGCCCTACCCATTGAGCATGTGCTGCACCAGTGGATATGCTGTTCCTTGATACACTTCCTCATTGGAGCACTCCTCCCCAAAAACCTGATCGAAGTAGAACCTGTGCTTTAAGGACAAGTGGGCAAAGGAAAGCTGGTTAGACATTCAAAACAACTCAAATTACTGTCACAAATACAGTATAATCATGGATGTGTTCAATATGAGACTCTGCAACTTGTATGTATCTGTAAGTACAGACTATGAGTCATGTAGATTTTTAAGGTGAATACAGATATTCATACAAACTGTAGACTTTTCTTTCTCTCCTATGAATGACTAAAATAATAGATTCAATATACAACAAGCAGTGACTCTGAACATTACATCTACCTGTAGGATGTACTGTGTGAGATCCACAGACTCCTTGCACTCATGGACAATCACACAATCTCTGCTTGGAGTTGTGACAACATCTGCTTCTCCTCTCCTGCGCTCAGTGTGTGTTTGGGGTCTTTTTCTTACACAAACGCTGATCCGCTGCCCATGTGATCGCCTGCAACAAACATATATTGATGTATATGTACTGTGTAAACACATACGAAGCACTGGCAGTCAAAATTAGGATGACACCTTTAAAGGAACAATGCTCATATACGAACTATAAATGCAAACGTCCTGATGTAAAGTGAGACAGTCGCTCCACAGCTAACTTCATCTCATCTCACCTTTTATATCCCTTTGTGGATGTCTTTCATATTCAGTGAGTCTAGGTATTATACTGTGCCTGTCTTTGACAATGTATCAGTGTGTTATGTGAAGTTAGCGATGAGGAAAAGACAAATACTGGCACTTACTTTCTCATGGGGGAAGAAGAGGAACTCAGTGGAAGTCCATAGTTGTATTCTGCTGTTCCCTTTGATACATAGACAGGTGTTGGCCTCATGTGTTCAGAAGCCCTGCTACAACTTATATCTGTGGAGGGTTTTTCCATCCTGGAGCTACCTTCACTATCTCTGTGCCCTCCTGGTTTGTTGTTGACCTTCTTTGATGACACTGCTGCGGGTCTGGGTAATGAGATGCACTGTGGTGGAAATCTGATGTGAGAGTCGCACAGGGAAGATCCTTCTGTGATGTCTGGCTTGTTGTTCACTCCCATGTGAGGACCACGTTGAGGAAGACGAGCATCCTGCCTGTGGTCGTTGCTTCCTTTGCCGTTACATACAGGGGCACTGTTTGTTTTACAGTCAAGCTGCATGGCTGTATTTAAGCCTTTGTCCTGACCTGGTTCGTCATATATCATACGATAAAACAACTTCTGAGAGCAATTTTCACCACTGTAATCCAGCCTTCTGCAAACAAATGAGGGCTTGTAAAAACTGTCTGTGTTTCTCTTACTCAGAGCAGCGTAACTTCTCTCTTCATCATGGTGCGTCTTCTCGAGAGGATCTGCAAAATCATCATAAGTGACGCTTTTACCTGCTTCATCGTCACTGTAAACATTATCATCACTATCCTGCTCAAGGCTCTCCAGGTCAAGCGTTTTGACCATCTGGATCAACTGGAAGAGACGAGTCCTGTCCTCCATGGAACGGATTCCCAGGATGGGATAGTCCTCCATGGTGAGCACTGACAGGTGAGCTGCTCGACGAACACCCACTGAAGTAAACCTAAAGGAAAGAAATGGCAAAGAGTAATGGGCATAGCTGAGGGTGATGCAAGTGTCAGTGTGGAAGTGAACTTACCTTGCATAGTGATCCTGCAGCCCAACAGCTCTCATACACTCATGCAGGCAAAACGACATCTCCTCCTCTTCCTTTTCTCTTTTTTTTCTTTGAGTTTCCTTCACCTACCCTGGGATTGACAGACATTTTTGTTTTAGTGCCTCCATCAGCTGGCCACACAGATTCAACTTGTACAAAAATATCTCAAAATAGCAGTATGATTGTAGTACACATGCTACCCACTGAAGAAAACTACTTTTCTCTTTCCTCTCCCTCAGTGATTTCTGTCAGAGACTGAAGGCTGGGGGGCTGCCCAGTCTTTGTGTCATTACTACCACACTGCACTGGTGTGATGGCAAGCAAAGCACAGGACACTGGTATGATGCTGTAATTTGACACTGGGTCAGGATGGAGCCGGGGCAGTACAGTGCAGTTGTGTCACACATTTCTGTACTGTAGCAAATATGATAAATATAGCAGACACAGGCAGGCAAGCATTGCGTCTTAGACTTCTACAGTAGATTGAATGGCTCTTTTAATAATCCTGCAACGCTTCGCTTTAAGTCATACACCTCCTGTTGGTTAATATTATCTTCAAGCTGAGCCACAGTGAATGTTGGGATTTTAAGTGTCAGCAACTGCTAACTCTGTAGATTTAATTACAGGGAGACAGGCAGTGCAGATTAAACTATATTAAGTGTCTGTCACACAGACGAGTGTGAGGCATTAAGCCATGTAGCCTTATTTTCATTTCATTTTTCATACTTTATTTCATTAAAACGTTCAATACAAACAAGGAAAAATCTCAAACATGTGAATGAAAAGGAGCAGGAAGAAGAAAACTCTTCTCGAGTCTGCCCCTCTTTCATGATATATTAATCAACTAAACACAGAATAGAAATAAACAAGGGCTGAAGGCCAACATGTCTTTTACAGTTCATTATTTCTTAACCCACAAAATGAACAGAAAAGACCACATTAATTCACATTTTTTCTCAAAACAAACGTACTAAGACTTAAATGAACATATTTCCCTGTATTTACTCAACATACTGGCTTTGACAATTTTTTGAAGATCAAATTTGATTCAGCTTCTTTAGATTCTTTATTCAGATACTTTAGACCAGAGAAGAGAATGATGTTAAAACCCAATTACTAAAAATAGGAAATGTTGTTGTAAAAATAATGCTAAAATTTGATGCCAACAAAATCTGACCTGGTATTAAAAAAAGGAATAAAAAAATCAGAAAGTTGCAAGAAATTTGACTCAATATGTTGAACTTTTCGCTCTGAAAATGTGTACACTCAGAAACCTACGGGAAAAAAAGTCCAAGTCAAAAAATAAAAATAAAAATAAGAAAATAAAATAAATAATAGATAAATAAAATCATACCTTAAATTTTTTCAGCTGCCTTTAACCTAAAATCCAAAGTCGTCTTACACCCTTGCAAACATTTGATACCCTTAAAAATAGTTCTAAATAGATTTTTCTACAAGCTTCCACATTTCTTTAAAGCCCCATACTCTAAGAACCGGCTTCCTGTTCCTGACAAATGTCCTATTTTTCTGTTTCACTTAAATAACTAAAGTTACAAACATCAAAATAATTCACAAATCCTACCTGATCCACTTCACAGGATTCAGCGAAGGATGAAAAAACGGAGTACTCGATGTTTCAGCTTATCGAGTGAACTAAAATGACAAAGTACATAAATGTTTCACAAACTTGCTAGATATCACTTCCGTACACAGAAATGGTCTCCATAACGACGACAACGGTTGCACGAGGGCGCTTAATTTGACCGCTTTGACTGGGTGTAATCCTGTTCAGGTGAGGCTTCAGAGAGAACGAAGTAATTTTGTCTAATGTTATCCAGAATAAATGAGGAACAGCCGGTCAATTTACACTCAGGTCATTATGACAAAGAGAGATAATCCCTCAGAGGGATTAATGCCCCCCAACAAACCTGCTAAGACGGAAAAACCTCTCCAGACTAAACCATGAAGGTATTTGGTCCACTGGTTTAACAGCGCTGTGCATTGTGATACAGGAACCAGGAAGACAAATTAATAAACATTTAACAGTGAGGCCAAAGAATTGTGTAGAAAATTAAACAAAAGGCAGGAACAAAAAGCTTTACTTTAACATTCAATTAAAAGTTTAATGAAATTACGACTATACTTCATCTTCATTATCATTCAGTCTTTATTGAGGTTTTTGTCACCCTGAAGTACTTTGTAGCTAAATCAATAAAAGTACATTCACAACTCGTGAAAGAAGGAACCAATGTGTTAGCCCGCGTTTCTATAGGGACAGCATTGGAGGTAACACATAATATTAACATTCAAACCCGCTGTAAGCCTTCAGAACCACTGTCTCTTAAAAAACACTGACGACGTAGTGTGTGCTTCTGTTGGCTTGATACACATCGAAATAAAAATAGTCGGTCTGTATTGTGATGGTAAGTTGTTCGAACATTGTGGCGCGAAGTTTTAGCGAATATTCAGTCTCATGTTCTGCAAAACGAGGCCAAATGAGTGTCATCAGACAGGTAAGATACCAGAAACTGCACCAAAATAATAGTGAGTCTTAACAGGTCTTTATAAAAGCAACACTTATTGTTTCCTGCTGTATAATCGATAATTAGCCAAACATGAATAACTGTTTTTAATCTTTATTCAGGAAACCTGCTGTAAGAGGAGGTGAAAAATGTCTTCTGAGGAGGATACTTCTCAAACTTCCTCTTCTTCCTCATCTTCCTTGCCTCCTCCTGCCTCCCACTTCATCGGAAGGAAGGAGGACATAGTGAAAGCTGGGCGTGTGACCAAGCTGGTGAACGGGTGCAGAGATGTCCTGGTCCTGTACCACCAGGGGCAGCTCTATGCTATGGACATGCACTGCTACCGTAAGCCGTGTGTCTGTGGTTGATGTCAGAAAGCTGTCATTATAAAGCCTGTCTTTTGTTATCTTCTTAGATGAACTAAAATGAACAACCAGCTATTTATAACTGATAACTGATATCTTCTCTCCTCAGATTCAGGTGGTGCTCTCAAGAATGGAGACATTGAGGTAATGTTGGTTACTTATTCTAAAAACTACAATGAACTAGAGGTGCATCAGTGTTATCCCACAATGTTGTCTTTCTAATCAGCAGGAGTTCAATGGACTGCTGTGCATTGTGTGTCCATGGCATAAGTACAAGATCACTCTCGAGGGAGGTGAAGGACTGTACCAGGCTGTGGACGACCCTTTGGCCAAGCCCCTGAGAACACACTGGCGATCAAAGGGTGTCAAACAGAGAATTCACAAGGTCACCGAAGTCAACGGTGATGTGTTTGTAACACTGAATGAAAGTGGCGAGGCTATCGAGTCGGATGTCTACCAAACAGAGAAATACAGGACTTCATTTCTTAAGGCCAAGACAAAAAACGAGGTCAGGAAGTAGACAAACACTCACAGATTGTTATACCAAGGACACTTCAAGGCCTCCAGGACTTTTGGGGATGTTATGATGTTTTTTTGCTTGACATATATGTATGAGTGTTTAAATTGAAGATTGGTAAAAAACTTACAAACATTAATAGAAATTGATGCATTGAAAGTCTCATTAGAATAACTGGATTGTCATGAATGTAAAATGTTGTACAAAAATGATTTAATGTTTTATTACTGCTAGAAAATATGACATTAACCATTGTGATATATCATTTTTGTTATTTACCAAGCACAAGTGAATACAGTTACGCAGTTTTATCGGTTTTCCAGTTTTCATTTGTTTTAAATCTTATAAATGGTATTGGGCGACTTAAAAGTCACTCAGTGGGACTAAGATTTGTGTTTTCATTACTCTTGAGGTGATATTTGCCATTTCTAAAACGATTGACCCTGTGTGTGTGAAAAATTATTCCTTTTTCAGGAATTTTCCACTAGATGGCGCTGCACGAAAGTGAGTCATAACTTTGTGTTTGACATCAGGGTTGAATGACCTTCTTCAAAGTACTTCTGTACAGTTAAGTCAAAGTGAATTTCCTTAAAAAGCGGAAAAGACTCAAACACAGCATCAAATGATAATAAAAAAATGTATAAAACGAACAAAAATCAAATCACATCAAAGGAACATGATTAAATGCAAGGCTGTCAAACATAACTGGAGTGAAAAAACAACACAGTGGAGTGGTTTTGAGTCTGGATCATCTGATGATTTGGCCTCTAAATAAAGTATGTTGGTGTAACAGCTCAGACAGGTGAGATCATCACAGTTTAAAGGTAAATATAGCAGATTAAAAAAACATTATCTAAAGGATTACCAATGTAAGTGTCTGTAAAATTGTATAGGGGAGAGTGGGGTAAGATGAGACATTTTTCATATTTTGGATCACTACATCAAGACAATCATAGTTTTGTCTCTAACTAGTGTATCTGCATATAATTCAGGATGTTGTGCATCCCTGCAAACCAACAGAATGAGTGTAAACATAACTGTCTTGATAATATAACATGCCAAAAAAGTGGTCTCCTATGGTCAACTTACCCCATGTATGGGGTTAGTTGACCATAGGAGCAGGGTAAGTTGAGCCGTATCCCTACTACCCCCCCACTCTCCACCTCAGCCCTCCCTCACCTTCTTTCTCCCTAAATAACAGTCACTTCTTCACATTCATGTGTATTTTTATCTATTACACACTATTCAACAGGTACAATAATTCTTTTTATTATTATTGCATATAACTGCTAAAAAACTGTTTTGTAAAAAGTCATTTTAACATGAGAATGCTTTTAAGTGATTCAGAACATTCACAGCTGTATTTTTTGAAAAGAAAAAGTAAAACATTTCAACAATCTGAACTGAAACTCTGATCCTCTCATCAGACTTCTTTACTTTCTCAGTTCAGCCACTGGTTCAACTTATCCCTGAACTACTATGACTTTATAAGTCCTCTAAGCTAAAATGGTGGACTTTTATGTTAGGTTTTTGACCTCATGTTGTAGCGCATATATACCACAATTGTATAAAACAAATTAAGAATAATCTTTTTTTGTCTAAACACAATTCTGATAAACTTATGACAGACTAAATTCACTTTCAAGAGTGAAAACCTTTTTTTTTTTTTTTTTTTTTTTAAATAAAAGTCTAACCCCTTCACCCATGTGCTTCTAACCTTTACAGACTCCATGAATTGATGCCCATCTCCTAAATATTTGGTCACATGATCAATTTCTTTGACCGTTTCCAAGCAACAGGGGTGGCTCGACTTACCTCACTCTCGGTTTTTCTGTTTTCATTTGTTTTAAATCTTATAAATTATACCTATAAATGATATTTTGAGCTACTTTATTGTATCCTTTGACAGGTGGAAACTGGCACAGTGAGCAGGGGAGTATGGGGATTGTGGTGTTAAAAAAAAAGAAATCCATTATTATCTTTTTACAGGATGAGCATTGCCATCAAATTGTCCAGGGTGTCATGTTCACTGTAAAATATGTTTAAGTATTGCATTGGCAGCTTTAAATACTAAAATTACGCTGTGTAGTGTAATTTCTGGTGGCAGCAGCAGGTGAACTGCAGGACGTCACCGCTGAAAAAAATCAGGGAGGGCGCAGCTCTTCGACCACAAGAGAGAAGCATTGTACCACATCCGTCACACGACACTTACCACTAAAAGAGTCCGCTCCATAATACAGTTCGTGTAATGAATGTTAAATTTCCAAATGTACTTACAAACAGTGCCCTTATTGGAATAAACAGAAAAGGGTTTATGTAAATTTAAACGTCGTGGAGACAAACTGCAGACAGCTCTCTGTCTGGCAGGCTGTTTTTGTTCTTCTCCCAGATGTGTCTGCGCACTCTGTTTCCAGCCGGACACAATACGGGACGGAAACCAAACAGCCACGTAGTGAAAGGCGAAGCTCGCAGAGAGGTGAGCATTTATTGCCATTTGTATGATTTATCGAAATTGTCAATGTGTAAATTGAACACGATGTTCGTAACGCACTCACGGGAGAGAAAGTAATCTGCGTGTTTATTCGGAATCTTCAAGAATTCTCTCATTAGCCGATTTAGCTTGACAGGTCCCGTCGTAAACACGGCTAACGCTCGCTAGCTGTCTCATTAGCACGGTGAGCTAGTTTTAGCCACCCTACTTTGAATCTATCTCTGACGACTTATTTGTTCTGTTTTGTTTTATTTTATCTATATATATTGCACAGAGACACTAGGGGAAGCAGCTGCCCTCCACGCAGGGACACGGATAATCCCCACGGTCTTAATTAAGTTAAAGAGTGACACTTGAAAGGGTTGACATGTCACTGCCTGTGGAGACTGCGCACAGATATCTGATGATCAGAGCTGAAACAAAACATCTGACATTTCAGCCTGTTATGATTCTTAAAGAGATTTTCTCTTCTGTGTCCTCTGTGTTAAAGCCAACGTGTGTATAAAGTGTCATGTGCAGGTTAATCTATATTTAACGCTTCCAGATCTACTTATCTGCAGACCGAGGCTGTTATCCCCTGACTTATTACATAACATTATTGCTGTCTCAAACGGATCACTCAAGAGGAGCTTCACTTTCTTCTGTGATGTTGTCTGATCTATCAAAAGTATGTAATTCCCCTTACATGCCCTGCAAGTTATAAGCCACATGTAGGGCTGGACGATATGGGAAAAGGTCTGTCACGATATATTGATATCGATGTATATCATGATATAAAAATGAAATTTAACAGTGCTTATTGGTTGCATGTCTTTCGCAATACAATAATGCAGCGTTTAAGTTACCTCGGATGTCGGATGTCAGAGCTGGGAATGACTTTACACCTGAGTTGACGGTGTTACAGATGGACGCCTACAGTTACCCGTTGTTAGCTGTTGATACTATTGTCAGTTGTTGTTAGTTGTTGTTAGCTATACCAGTTGTAAACAACCCATAACACAGTAATTTACTCTTACAAACACCATAGCACCTTGTTCACAGGTAGATGTTTGGCAGTACAACATAAACCACTAATTTAAATTCACAAAAACAAAACAGAAGTGCTAATAAATAATACATTACAAGCGTTTTTACTGTTACTCTTTACTGTTGATGCACTGTGCTGCCATCTTGAATTATGACGTTGTCGTCAAGTCGGGGTTGGCGAGGATCGTCAGACTTTCCGACTCAGTGTTTGGAAATCCCGACTTCTGGGTACAGTTGAATGCAGCATAAGCTACTGCATCTGTGAGGTCTTCGTGTCTCTTTGACATTTTGTCGCAAGGCCTTGCGCTAGAGAAAGCGGAATGGTCGGCTTTTTCAACTGCACAGACGCCATGGGCTCCTTGCTCCGCCCGGGATTTGTAACCTTTTGCAATGTGCGTGCTCTGCAGCGTGGCACTGCTTCAGAAAAAAACAAAAATACCTCCACACCACAGACATCTTCGTGCCAGTGTTGTCGATGACGTCATCATCTGTTGAACCTTCATCTGCATTTCTTTCGGGGGAAGCACTCATTTTCTTTTATTCTCACTGTCAGTGCTGTCGGCTATGGTTGTGTGTAGCTACAGCCTGATACTACACAGTTGTTTGCCACTTGGTTCTAATTCAGCACATGATTGGTTCAGCGTGGAGCAGACCCGGAGCAACTCCCCTTTTAATTGGCTATTACTAAAACATGGCAGAATGCCGTCTGTTGAAAAGGATATTGACCATGATTTATATTGATATTGAGGGAAATTAATTTTCTATACATGTTGTTTTATCGCCCAGCCCTAGCCACATGCCTAACTGTGTTTCTCTCTTTGTAGTGCTGTGGACACTGGCATGATCCCAACTGGCCTCCATCCAGCAAAGATGGTTTTGTGAGAACCTTTTTCCATTGTGACTGTTCAGCGTTTTAATGGAGATGGATACTAATGAGTCGGGAGGACTTCAGATGGAGGCGAATGCCTCTCATGGAGACAATGTCATAAAATCCAAAGAGGCTGGAACTCATGAAGATGAAACACTATTGAAACAACAAGGGCTGGAGAACGCACAAAACACCAATGGGAATATCCCTAATGGTAGGTAACAGCGCTGCCTCAAAACACGACTATGAGATATGGCTGTATGGATTTGTGCCGGACATGGTTTGAAAGGATTTTAACACCCCCACTGGCATGGATTGGAAAAACAAACAAGAAGATTTTTACCTTTAAATACCTGAAATATTTGAAAAAAAGAGATGGAAATGTAAAGGTTGACATGCTACAATCAGCAACAGGACTGGGGGTCTGTTCCTACAGCTGAGCTCATCTATCACCCCTAAGTGTGTTTGACCCTTAAATAAATGAGTAATTTCTATTCTGGAAAATTAATTTAATAAAAATTTAGTTATAGATATGCACTGAGTAAAGGTAGGTATCATTGCACTGCTTAATATCATTTTTCGCACATGTGTTTGCATTGTACTTTCTCGGTGTGATTGTCTGAAGGCAGCACCTGGCTGTTGTCACTCAAAGGAGGTAGCTGCTGTCACCTTCTCATTAAGTGCCATCACATAAATCATTGCCAAGAGATGTTTTTATTGCTCTGCTTCTTTCTGTAAAGGCCAGTATTGTGTTGTGGTTAGCTTATTTTAAATTCTGCTCTCTCTTCTGCAGTTATTTCCCCTGCAGGGATATAACTGGGATCTCTTTTATCTAACACTGGTATCATGCCATGCATGACCTGTTTTGGTGGGTAGTAAAAGGCCTCAGGCTTTCTACTGCTCTGTGTTACATGGCTCTTTGAGCTAATGTGTTAAATAGCTGAAATGAATTCTAATTGGTAATTATCAGGCAGGTACTGTCCTCACAGCTCATTGTTATTAAAGGAAGAGAAGCAGCCTCAGGGGAAGGAAAATCAGACAATTTAAAGACTCCTGAGAATATGCTAAAAGGACATTTCTGAGGATATATTTCTGCGGTGTGTGAACATTTAAAAATATAAGTCAAGTGCAATAGATATGAACTTTAAGGTTTTATAAAAATAGATTTCTTTGCTACATTTAGTAAACCTGCTTTATGTTGGTGTGGTTTGATTAGATTTCTTTAACAGACTTTAGCAACATGAATAAGAAATCACACAACTGCTGCTGGGTTTCAAACAGATGTCATGTGACGCCACTGATTTCCAGTGTGGCCCATCCCACAGTAAACCAGTCATAAGATCACAGACTGCACAGCACTGGCAGAAACCGTTGCAAAATAACCATAACAATCCCAACTTATGCAGTAACTTATGTTGTGGATTGAACTTTTCACCCAGAGTTTGAAGCTGATACAAACAAATCCTCTTCATAGCCTCTATATTGATTGGTTTGCAGGATGAGCCTTCACTGTGATTCTTCATAGGAAGTGCAGCCAAGGGGATGTACCAACTGCCCACATGTTGCATGAATGTTTCCAGCTCAGTGCTTCAGCCTGACAAAGTTGCCAAGCCTGCATAACAAGTGGAATAACTTAGCTGCAGTCGAGCTCACAAGATGTTCGAATGACTAATTGACAAATTCCTCACTAAATCTCTCCCCCCTTCTCCTTCAGGTCCCGTCAGTTCAGATGTGATGCCAAACGGAGATGGACTGGCAGAGGGCTTTGGTGCTGCGGGGGAAACTCATATAAATGGGTCCTTGTCTCCGACAGCCCCTCCTCAGAGCACCAGCTCCCCTGTCAACTCCCAGACCCAAGAGCCCTCCCCAGGTGTGGCTTCTTATCCACCCATGATGCTAGAGAGGTCTGAGGGGGCTAGTGCTGAGGTCACGGTTCACACGGGTGATTCATTGCAGTCGCTCAGACTCAGTATACCTATGCAGGAGACTGAATTGTGTAAGCATAAACGTATGTGGAGTGATTTTCCCCTCATACCCCTGTATTTTGACCTTATTTTTCTGTGGGATGTTTGCCCCTGGGATCTTCTTTTTAACCCCCATGTTTATGAATAACCCAAACAGAAGGGGCTTGTGGGAAATTTTCCAACACATGCAAATTTGATCACTGGATTAGATTTTGGTGTGGGTGTTTGATTTGGGCAACGTTTGGATGAATGTCTGTGATTTTGGAACGAACCCTTTGGCATGTTTTGGTTTTGTTATTTTTAAAAAAATCATTTTTATTTCGTTTGGCTTCAAAATGTTCCAGTAACTCCCACAGAAAACATACGTAGAGCAGCATAAAAGCTTAGCTTTGTTTTTGTGTTTGGATGGAACGTAGCTTACGCAATGCATTTTCTAAATGCATTTGAAGAAGTCTTTATTAAATCAGGTAGAATACTGGCTGCAGTCATGACTGTATTGAAGTCATGACTGAAACCAAATTTAGCATGGGGCGCCTTTCTAATTAAGAGTGTAAAGATGAAACGTCAAGTTTCTTGCCTGCAGATTAACATAGTAAATGCCAATGAAAATTAACAAACATGATCATTCTAAACTAACATGAGAGCTTACAAGCTCACAGTTCTTGTACAAAGTGTTGCAGATGTGTTGTATATGGGCTGAGAAATATTCTCTTGCTTTTTTAGCCAATCAGCAGCCATCACTGGAGATGGAGAACGAGGAGAAGATCCGCTTGGAGGCTCGCCGCCGTCTGGAGGAGCAGCTGAAACAGTATAGAGTGCAGAGACACAAGGAGAGGGTCAGTGGGTGGAATATCGGGCTCTTTCAGACTTTTCCTATTTTTTTTACCTTAACTTTATTCTTGACTTTTCAATGACTTCTCGAAGTGCATAATGAGTCATGCCTGGTCTCAATACTCTTCTAAAGAAGGCTTTTCTTTCACTTCCGTAGTTTGGTTTAGTTGTTTTTGAGGGTTTTATGAATGGCTAGTGTCATTGTGTATTTTCTTTCATGTCTTTCTAGTCTCACCGCAGCACCCCGAAGATAAGGCCATCTAGCACCCTAGATCCAGAGCTCATGCTGCACCCTGAGGCTCTGCCCAGAGCCAGCACTGTTGCCATGACCAAGGAGTATTCCTTCCTGAGGACCAGTGTCCCCCGTGGTCCCAAACTGGGAAGCTTGGGAATTCCCCCTCCGAAAGAAAGGAAGTCCAGATCACCCCGCCCGAGTAAGATCCACTCCTTAGCTGACTACAAGTCTCCTGAGAGTGACGGTGGAAATGGAGGAGGAGGTGGAGGAGTAAGAGCAGCAGACAGCACCATGAGCTCCCTCCAGTCCACCATGAGCTCAGTCTCTACTCTGTCCGAGGTCAGTGTGATGTCAGAGGGCGGCACCTGTGAGGCAGATGCGCAGCAGGGAGCTTCGCTTCAGATCGGGGACAACGTGTCAGAGATAGACGGCAGTGAATCTGGAACAAGACCGGGGAACGACGGCAATGACAGCGACAGCTCGTCTTACAGCAGTGTGTCCACCAGAGGGACGTACGGTATGCTTTCTGCTGCAGTGGAGAGGCAGAGGGGGCCTTACACAGTCGAGGGGAGAGAGATCGCCCCTGATGCGATGGGTCAGTTCCCCTCCCTGCAGGAGGTGCTGCAGGCAGCCAAAGAGGAGCAACATCTGCTGGAGCTGGAGCAGGAGAGAGAAGGGACAGCAGAGCCTCGCAGCCGCAGAGACAGTTTCTCCAGCAGGTATTTATCAGGATTTCAACCTGCCTGAGCAAGTCCAGACTCTGAAGTGATGTTTGTGATCAATTTAAGATAATAAAATGCCAATATAGTAATTCCAAAATTCATCAGATTGACAAGTTATGTTGTTGACATGTGTTTCAGTGTTTCTTTGGAGAGTTCAGTGATGGGGCATGATGAAATGCTGCAGGTGTTGAAAGAGAAAATGAGACTGGAGGGTCAGCTGGAGTCTTTGTCATCTGAAGCCAATCAGGTAAGATTACGTATAATTTCTTTTTACATTTAACAGATCCCCTTCAGAAATTATTTAACTCTAAACCACCTCAGGTCAGGATTGTTGTGAAATGCAGCATTGGCAAGATCAGATCACCTGATAACCTAATATTGAAAAAACTGTCCATCCTCCTTTAAGTGTAATTCACAATATATGATGATCAGTGTTGAGTCTTCCTAATAAATGTTGATCCTGATGCTGGTGATTATTTCCAAGTTGTGACTCGCGACATCCAAGAAGATTACATTTAGTCTAATGACTGTTACCTTACCTGAGAAGGTTGACACTGTACGGGAAACCCCAGGAACGATCGGACTCAGGTGCTGACAAAGCTCTTCTGTCCTCCAGGCCCTCAAGGAGAAGACAGAGCTTCAGGCCCAGCTGGCTGCAGTGAACGCTCAGCTGCAGGCCAAGAAGGAGGAGGCCCAGGTCAGCCAAGAGAAGCAGGGTGTCCTCAACGCGGAGGTTGGCACACTGCGGCAGAACTGCAGTCAGCTTGAGAAGGCCATGGTGGAACTTCAGGGAAGTTTGGAGAGCAAAAATGCCAGCTTGGCTTCTTTGAGTAATGACCTTAAGGTGGCAGAAGACCAATACAACAGGCTGATGGGGAAGGTGGAGGAAATGCAAACCACTGTAACATCAAGAGATAACACTGGTGAGTGATGGGGATCCAGAGTCAGTATGGAGGAGGGGAACCGTGTCCACTGGTTTTAAACACTCACACAGAACTGATGGAGATGTCTTACTCTTGCACTTGCAGTTCAGGAGTTGCGTTTGCAAATGGGCGGCCTCCAGAGCCAGCTTCAGCAGGTTCAGGTGGAGCGCAGCACTCTGCAGAGCCGGCTGAAGACCTCTCAGGCTGAAATCGACTCACTGCAGCAGGTCCGACAGTGGTACCAGCAGCAGCTAGCACTGGCCCAGGAGGCAAGAGTGCGGCTGCAAAGTGAAATGGCCAACATGCAGGTAAGGTCGACGCTAACAGGATGCATCAAAGCTTCATTCGATTCAGACGTGTGTATACTTGAAACTTTTGTCGTTTTGTTGTCTCCCTCAGGCTGGACAGATGACTCAGTTTGGTGTCCTCGAACATTTGAAGCTGGAGAACGTGACTCTGTCCCACCAACTCACTGAGACACAACACCGCTCCATCAAAGATAAAGAGCGAATCGCCGTCCAGCTGCAGAGCATTGAGGTCTGTCTGTGAATGTGTTATTATTAAACCCCCTTTAGGAAACAACCCTGTAAAATATCAAGTATCGTTTCATTTTTGTTTGTATTATTTTTGTGTCAGTTTGAGTGCACCGAGTAAAACCTTTTATTGTCTGTCATTTAGGCTGACATGCTGACTCAGGAAGCTGCTTACAAGCAGATCCAGGATGCAAAGACCATGGTGGAGGATGATCTGCAACATAAACTGGAGGAATTTGAAGAAGAGCGAGACCGTTTAGTGAAACTGGCCAACACTGCCAGCACTCTGGAACGAGAACTAGAGCAGGTAGTCACGCCAAATTTAACCCTGATTTATGTTCGAGCTTGAGTGGTCTAAAAAAAAAGGTCTTGTTTTAATCTGCTCTTAACTGCTTTTCACGCCTTATCCATCTTAGGTTAAACTGACCCTTGCCCAGAAGGACTTGCAGCTTCAGTCACTACAGAAAGAGCATCTGGAGTTGATGCGCCAGCTGACTACCACTCAGGAGAGCCTGCAAACCAAAGAGCAGTCCATCAACCAGCTGGAAGCCCGTTACCTCGAGCTCGAGGCCCAGCTAGCGGAGCTGCAGACGGAGAGCAACACCAAGGACGACAACATCCAGTTTCTCCAGAACGAGAAGATTGTCCTGGAGGTGGCTCTGCAGGCGGCCCGAGCCGACAAGAGCCAGCTTGATGAGAACGCTGAACGGCTTGGAGAAGATGTCCTCGTGGCATCGGATGTCCTGGACGAGCTCCGACAAGAGGTCCAGGTCAAAACCAACCAGGTATGAGACAGGAGGGGAGGTGGAAATCTCAAAAATAAACTTAAATGGAAGAAAGTGAGAATAGAAATAATGTAAACGTGATTAAAGCAAAACCAGCAGCTTCACAACAAATAATGATATTTCCTTTAACATGAGAGAATTTCTCTTCATACTCTGTTTTTGATATTATTCTTTTTTAAATAAATATATATTTTTTTATTTCAGGAAACCAATAGAGAGTTCACTTTTTGAAATATTATTACTATTATATCAACACATATTAGACTGTATTCACATGATTGTGTTACAAAGTTCCCAGGTCCACCTTTTTATAATAAAACTATAAAAATAAATCAATAAATAAATGATGTATAATAAAATTCAGTCATTTAAACTAATAATTCAGAGACTCACAGGTTTAACTTAGTCAGTCCTCTTGGTCCAAATCCTGTCAAATCTTTGCTTTTGGACTCTGGGGGAAATGATAGTCTTTCCTTAAACGGAATTTCATACAATATCCCATCAATATTATTATGTTTGTTTTTTTATAATCACAGCTTCTCTGACCCCCAAATCACATCCTCTAACCAAAAGAGACTTTAAATTTAAAATGGCAAAGGCAGCAAATCATTTTGTCAAAGAAGCTGAAACCATCAAATAGTTATTTTTTATTTATGTTTTACAGCATTATTGCCTAGAAAGAGAGAAAATGTAGGGAGCAGGGAGCAGGGGTGACATGCAGGAGTTGGAGGAGAGACTGAAGTCTATGAATACGGGGTCGGCCTTTTTAACCACGGTGATCAGCCAGTCCATGCTTTAAAAATGATTACAACTATTTATTAGATTAGATTAGATACAGCTTTATTTTTTATTTTGGGAAGGTTCCCTCTAGAAAATTAAAAAAATTATAGGAACATCAAAATATTGAAAAACGTTTTGATCGATTGATCGTTGCATCTCTTACAGAAACTTTTGAAATAATGTATAAAAACGTTCTTGGCCACGGTGGGCAGAAGCTCTCCCATGAAACTCGTACACTGCGCTCAGAGCTTCTTTTGGATCCTTTTGATGAAGATGTGCATTTTTCATTTAACTGAGCAGTAACTAGTCTGCACAAACCAAAACAAAAACATGTACACAAAATCCAAATACCATTCAACACGGTGTTTCATCTTTTAGTTTATTTTGGTGTTTTCTACCTCCACCATATAAACTGATAAAATCCTCCTTTTTTTGGCAGATTGAAACTCTTCAACAGGAAAACAGTTCCCTGAAAAAACAAGCTCAGAAACTGAAGGAACAATTCCAACAACAAAAGGTAAGCCATCTCCCAAGCTGCCACCTGAGACGACAAACAGCCGTCTCTTTCTGTCTATAGTCAGTAGCAGTCAGGGAGAAGTGTGATTGTAAAGACAGTATGAAGGAATATTTGTCTGCTCTGTACTAGCTGGCTGAGGCTCAAGCTGACGTGGGAGGACGTATTGTGAAACCAGATGGCTGTTATCTCAAAGGAGAGGGCTTGTTGCCGTGCCTCAGTGGATTTAGCGCTGATGGATGCTGATCATTTCACATTGACAGGCTGTCAGAGAGAGGGTGGAGTTTAATGACAGCATGACAGTCTGTTAATTGTTTTCAATTTCTTTTAAGACTTGGGTTTTTGATGAGCCTTCAGACTCAGTCAATAACATTCGTCTCGGTCTTTTAACTAAAGCCGGGTCTGCTCTCAGCAGTCTGTAAAAGACAGACGTCCCTCTGGTGGTAAAGAAGAATGAGAAAAGTGTGCAAGATACTGGCAAAAGAATAAGACGAGGTGTTTACAGACAGCTTTCTGTATTTTTTTGAACCATTTTTATCCTTTTTTCTCTTAATATTTACATCTTCATGTTGTTCCTTTTCTTAAATAACACTGCATAAGAGTTTACAATAAAATGACAACATATTTGGAAGCTTAAGAGCCCAAAGACCAAAACCATCTATCTGAGCTTCCCATCGGTGCTGTTTTGAAATGTTTTCCTTGGATATCTTCTTTTCTGTTCCTGCTTGAAACTAACACAAGACTATTTATGCTGAAACATGAATCCTTTTAAAACCCTTTTTTGTATAAATCTTCTTGTTCAGTTTTCTAACACAATTTGAAATCTAACTTTCTCCTGCATGGAGATGACACAGAGCGGGACATAAATACTCTTGCAGCCTTCTCTGGTTAAAAATCTCTTTCACGCTGTTTCTTTAGCAAGAAGTAAAAGGGCAAGACTGCTTACACTGCGCAGAGAGGAGAGCTGTCGTTTAATCACTTAGACAAACACTTATTGACTCCGCAGGTGATGGTGGAAGCCTACCGCCGGGACGCCAGCTCCAAAGACCAGTTGATCAGTGAGCTGAAGTCCACCAAGAAGCGTCTGCTGGCGGAGGTGAAGGATCTGAGGCAGGAGCTGCTGGACGCTCAGGGAGAGAAGCAGAAGGGAGAGCTGGAACAGGCCCGGCTGCAGAAGGAGGTGGTGAGGGTGCAGGAGCAGATGAGCAACATGGAGACTCACCTGCAAGCGATTCAGAAAGAGAGGGATCAGCTGGAAACCCAGATACAGGTATGCATGAATATCCTAATGTGCTGAATAAGTGTGAGTCATGTCAGCAGGTACTCACAGTTTCTCCCCCGGATTCAGTCTCTACAGTTTGATCAGAGCCAGCTCGCGGCAGTGACTGAAGAGAACGAAGGGCTGAGGAAACAGGTGGAGCAAATGGAGGGGGAGGCCAAAAAGTGAGTCATGTGCTTCGTAGAGATCTGGAAAGCTTGAACGATTCCCACGTTAATGAGTTGGACCGCCATGAACACCCCTGTTGTCATGTGTTATTTATAAACACAAATAGAGCGCACTGATTAGTCATGATGTGTTTTTTTTTTGTCAAAAGCACATCCTTTCAAACCATCACACCGTTTGTGTGTTATCTAACCCCATTACATGGAATTTAAAACATGTTTGGTGTGTATACATGTTTGTATAGTACATCTGAATCTAGATTTCTTATGTGTGTATGATATGCTGTCAGATCAATACTTGAATATCTGAAATGCCTTTAACAGGGCGATCTCAGAGCAGAAGGTGCGCGTGAAGCGACTGGGGACAGATCTGACCACTGCTCAGAAGGAGATGAAGGCCAAACACAAGGCGTACGAGAACGCCGTGGGCATCCTGAGCAGGAGGCTCCAAGAGGCGCTGACTGACAAGGAGACGGCTGAGGCAGAGCTGGTCAAGCTCAAGGCCCAGGTGTCTGATGGGGGAGACAGCCAGGTCCTGCAGGTACCTTAGAAAATCTGAAAACTCAGTAATAAGCTCAGGATGGAGCTGCAGTTGTTAGGTATTAGGACAAGCATCGGACGAGATGTATCAGCAGGAGGTCTCTTGTATTTTTGCGAATCTGAATGATTAAAATACACATAGTTAAAGTTTTACTCGTCTGCGCTCTACAAGCATCAGCAAATCTGATTTTTGAATCAAATAAAACAAGATTTCCTAAAAACCCTGAAAATTTCACCTATGAGATAATGAGGCGGTATCAATAAAACGTTTGGTTTTCATTTTCTTCCAGGAGAAGATTAAGGTCTTACAAACTGAGCTGAAGGTTGTCACCAAAAGTAAGACGATGCTGGAGAAGGAGCTGCAGGAGGTGATCACCCTCACCTCCACAGAGCTGGAGGAGTACCAGGAGAAGGTCATGGAGCTTGAGGACGAGGTAAACACTCATCATTTGATTTCTTGGTGCTTTTTTGCATGTTGCTTTGTTACTTTTCTATTATCTCTCAGTTTACATCTGCTATTTTATAATAATGACGTTTATTGATTCGACAGCTTCAAGAGTCCCGGTGCTTCAAGAAGCGGATTCGAAAGTTAGAGGATGCCAACAAGAAGCTAGCGCTCGAGTTGGAACATGAAAAGGGGAAATTAGCAGGCCTGGCACAGTCTCACAACACACTGAAGGAGCACTCCAACATTTTAGAGACAGCTTTGGCCAAGAGAGAGGCAGACCTCGTCCAACTCAATTTACAGGTGAGGAATTAGCTTGCATCTGAAAATGAGGATAAAATTTGTGACGTGTCCTCGAGTGTTGTTGTTGTTGCTGGTTACTGCGAATCAAAGCTTGATTGATGCACTTCCAAGAACACTGTTTTGCCATCGATTCTTTTTTTAGGTTCAAGCTGTTCTGAAGCGTAAAGAGGAGGAGGATCAGCAAATGAAGCAGGTGGTGCAGACACTGCAGCTCGCGTTGGAAAAAGAGAAAGCCAAAGTAAAGGACCTGAAAGAACAGGTACCACTTCTCAGCAGTACAGCAGTGCAGTTTTATTTTTGACTTGCAAATTATTAAAATTATTGCAGAGCCAACAATTTAAATGTATTTGAATACGTGTTTTTGAGACTTTTTCCTGAGCACATAAACAACGCTAGAGTTCAAAGCTGAATTTCCACGTACATCTACAGTATTCTGCTGTACAGTGGTTTTTATGGCTGTAATCATATAATGTGTCCTCTAGGTGGCAGCAGCAAAGGCTGAAGCAGCCCACAACAGGAGGCACTACAGGGCTGCCATGCTTGAGCTGTCTGAGATCAAAAAGGACCTGCAGGCCAAAGAGGACCTGGTCAAGGCTCTGCAGACTGAATCCCAAAAACTACAGTAAGAGCATTTCATGGACTGACGAATTCAGGGACTTTTTTTGTTTCCGCTCCTGTAAAAAAATAATGTGTCGTACTCTGCAGGGCTCAGGATGAGCAGCACGCTAAGGAGGTTTCCAGGTTCCAGGAGGAGCTGGCCGAGGCCCACTCACAGCTCCAGATCCTCCAGAAACAACTGAACGAGGAGATGGCCAAGCAGCCGCTCACTAACCAAGAGGTAAAGATTTGGAATGAGGGTTATAACCAAACATTTCACTAATGATAAAAGATCAGGATCAGTTTGAAGATTTGGTCACTTATTAATATAATGTGTAACTGCTCATTCAGGTGGAGGACCTGAAGTGGGAGGTGGAGCAGAGGCAGAGGGAGATCGAGGCTCAGAAGCAGCAGCTGGAGATGATGGAGCAGTGTCAGCACAGGGAGCTGGACAACCTACACAAAGCTCTGCAGGCAAGTTTATGACTCGATCATAACTAAATGAAACAGTGAACACAGAGTGAAGAAAGTTCTCACCGGACAGATTTAATCTCATCACCACTACCCTCCTTTGTCTGAGAAGACTTGATTAACTCACCGGGATTATTGTCTGTCTCAGAACATCAAGGTGGAGCTGGAGTCGGTGCAGGAGGAGCTGAGCAGCACCAGGAAGGACAAGTTTATGCTGCAGGCTAAAGTGGGTGAGCTGAGGAACAGCATGAAGACGGTCCTGCTGCAGAACCAGCAACTCAAACAGGACCTGAAACAGAACCGTATTAGAAAGGTGAGACTCTTAAATTTATTTAGACATCTTTTAAAAAATGTAAAATCACAGAGTTCAGTGTTTGGATTCAGTAGTTGAGTGTTACAGAGTGTTTAGTGATTGTTAGTTAGAAAATCCTTTACTTCATATAAAGTTGCTTTTGATTCAGATGTCTTTACTTAGAAATTATTCACATTATTTAGATTCTTATTCTTCTTTTTTCACAAACTTTCAACCAACAGAAATAAATGATTTTTGAAAATGATAAAAAGAAATTGTGTTTATGATATCTACTGGCTAAAAACATCTTTTATTATCTTTGTATATACATTTCACATTGATTACACCGGCTCAGTTTCACACGGCTGGGACAGAAACACTCACTTTTATGACTGTTTACAAATCTGACAGCCTGTTTTATAAAGATAGAAAGGACAGATTTTGTGCAGAATAAGAAATATAGACCCAACATGCCTGCTGATGGAAATAAAATTACAAAACTGATCTGTGTTTTGACGATTTTGTCGAAGCAGCAGCGCATGGAGCTGAAAAGTGAGGGGAACCCATCCAACCCAGTGACACCAGTTAAGATCCCAGACTGCCCAGTGCCTGCCTCTCTGCTGGATGAGCTGCTTAAACCATCAACATCTGTCAACAAGGAACCGCTGAACAACCTGCACAACTGTCTACGGCAACTCAAGTAAGTACTTGTCCAAACAACAGTATTTAGTTAACATTATCACCATGAAGCTCTTTATTGTGTTGTGCTGAGCAGCCGTCTAAATGTCAACTTACGTGTAAATTTTTCATTTCTCAGGGAGGAGATGGACAGCCTCCAAAGACAGATGGAGGAACACACAGTAACAGTGCATGAGTCAATGAGCTCGTGGACAAACACAGAGGAGGAGCTGGCTCAACTGGGGACTGAAAACAACATCTCGACATCATCAAACAACATGGTGGTAGAAAACAACAACGAAGCCGAACAAGAGCAATCGTAACTTTTCAAGAACTTTTCTCAGGCCAATCAAGGGAGAGTGGAGTTTTATCCACAAAGGCACTTTTAAGCCCCTTATTCTCTTTCTCTCTTTTCTTAACAATTGCTGCCAACATTTGGCATCCTCCCATCAGCACAGGAGTGCTTTTGCAGAGTAATACTTTCTATATCATAGCTTTATTCTTTCTTCCTTGTTTCATGGTTGTTTTATACTTTGGTTATGCTGTTTTCACATTTATTTATTTAGACTCAAGGGATTAAAACTTATCAGAAAGCCTCCCCGAGAGAACCCTCACATCTTTAGAAATACGGTGTTGTTATATAGCTAATCTGTTAGGCCAGTTTCCCCTGTTGAGTCCACAGTTTTCCTCACAGAAAAAAACAAACAAAGGTATTTAGTCGTCATTAACCTCCTGGTATAAAATCAGCAGCTTTGATGCTGCTTAAAGAAGACTGAGATTATTTTAAAGAGTGTTTTTGGTGACAGAAACGAGCGATAAGTCGTTCTAGACTGGCTATAAACTGTTCTTCCATTTTGTCGTGCCTGTGTTTGAGTGAATTTGCTCATCCATGATTAACTGAAGTGGTTTCACCCCCATGTGGAAGATGAGGCATCACTCCTTGACATGAAGTTAAAAGTCATGCACACTTGTTGTGGGTTTATTTGTATGGCCTCTTGTTTAAAATGCAGTGTTTCTTACTTTTCTTGAAACCATATCACCCTGGGTTCTTAATCTCTAAAAACGTTCATCTCAGTTAAGGTTGGAGGTGTTCTGTCCTAGCATGGACTGCGGTCATTTGAAGCAAAAAGCCTTAAGTAAACTGTATAGGACTGTGTTGGTTTGAATGGGGATATTTCTGCTTGGAGTGTGTGCAGGATGTTAAATGTTATATTGTATATGTGTGCTAATCCCTAACTGAAGAATGGTGTAAATTGTCAAAGAAGTTGGTCACATGAACTGACATTGCACACTTGATTAAGACTTTACTGACGGAGGAGAAAAGTCGTAAATGGAGCAAAAACATAACTTCTTCTAACAGGAGGTGCAATTCGATGTGTTTGTTTTCTGTTACATTTGGTACATACTGTATTTACAAAAAAAATGGCAACCCCTGAATCAGATGTTATACTTGTTTTATGGCATGGTTAAGGGGATAAGTTAATTGTTTTCAGAGTTTAATATATGAATGAATACACTTTCTTTTTGTATAATTGTAAATTCATCATAGTTGTTTAATAGTGTAACAAAGATGAAATGCAAGATATCATGCCAACCATAAGTCAAAGCAGAAAGTTACTCTGGTACAGCAGCACTAAACTGACAGTGTAGAGGGGTCATTGGGTTCTGCATTGGCTTCCTGCGTTCAGCTCTGCCGCAGTATCTGTCCGGGTTCGACAAGTTTTTTTAACTCCACTGTTTGCATTTAAATTTCCAAAGGGACAAACATATTTTGAGGGCAATGCTCATTGAGGAAAATAACAATAAATATTTAACATATACTGTGCTCTGATGAAAATATTTTGACTGTATCTTCCAAACTACCTTCCTCTGTAACTTTGGGTAGTATGAAATAACACTTGCTAGGGCTTGTCTGCGACCTACACATCTTGCTGTATCTACTTTTTTTCTCAAAGATTGGGACTGATTCATTCCTATGTTATAACATTTGTTTTGGGAGATGTGATTGTATTTATCATAAAATTGCACTATTCATCCATCATAATAGTTTGTGCTCATTAATTGATCATTATTTCTGACTATATTTTATCACATTACAAGACAATATATATCAAACTTTGTATGCAGTAAATGTCCCTTCTGCTATCCATGTTATTTAAGGAAGTTACCTAGTTTGAACATTCGCACAAAATAATTTCAACTTTAAATAGGACAGAAAAAAAGGTTTTCAAAAAAGGGGGTCTGCAGCATCTTAGAGTTGGTTTTTGGTTGTCTGCAAATTATTTGATCCCTCTGCTAGCAAAGACTGGAAACATATGGAAGAAACAATTTTACATAGCTTCAAAATGAACATGTGAAGTTTATTTTTTGAAAAGACTGCCAAAAGACATCCTACAAAACCTTCCAGAAGCATCACACTGTTATTTTAATATATCAAACAGTATGGTAGAACTCTAGTAAACAGAAAAGTAACAATTGAATTATAGGAGAGATGACAGAATCATGAAACTTTGTCACACATTTTCTAATAATGATACTGTCTTTGAATGCAGTACCTCGAGAAATGAATACTAAGATATGCAAAATGAGGGAGCCATCTCATGGAAGGTTGTGGACAAATGCAAGAAAATCCTTCCCTGCACTGCAAACAAATAGAGATGATTTATAAAAGACTATAGATTAGATTATATAAATTTATTCTTTATTCATCCCTCAATGGGGAAATTAGAATTGTTAACAGCAGCGGTACACACAGCATACACATTCATACCAGGTACAAAAACAAATAAATAAGATAAAAGAAAAAGGGAGCAGTGCAAGGGAAGAACAGAATTCAAGAAAAGTATAAGAAAAATATAAAAGAGAAAAAAGATCAGTGCCAACAAGAAAACAGGTATGGATGTGATGATATTGATATTGACATTGCACATGATGAATAAATAATTAAGTATAGTTCACTCCTTCACAGCCTTTAAAAGATAGAAGCTAAATAACATGTGGTGTCACCTGCTAAACTATTCCTAGTCTGGAATAACAAAAGAGCTTTCCATAAACACACCAAACTGCAACTGTTTTGGTGTTTAAATGTCTTAGAAAATGCAAATTTGGAAAACAAGATGTGACTTTTTCCAAACAGTATTAGAATAGAATAGAATTCAACTTTATTGTCATTGCACATGTCACAAGTACAGCGCAGTGAAATGCAGTTTCCATTTATCCAGAAGTGCTTAGCAAGTATAAATATATTTACAAATGTACACAGTATGAAGGATATATACATGATTATATCATGGGTATATAACATTGTTATGAATATGCTATAACTATAAGTATGTACAGGCTATGAACAGATCATACATATGGTTATAAATATGAAGGCTATAAACAGACTATAAATATAAGTATATGACAGTTAAATTATGTAGTAGTGCAATACTGGATGTATTTACAGTAGTGCAAATGAGGTTTGAAAGGTTTTAAGTTGGTTTACAGATATAAAGTGCAGGTAATTGTAGATAATTGTAAGTGGTGGTTCAGTGGTTGTGAGTGTGTGTTCAGTCCATAAGTGTTAAACAAAAAATTGTGAAAAAAATATTTGCAAAAAAAAAAAAAAAAAAAGTTTATGATTTTGACCGTTAAATATCTTGTCTTTGTAGTGTATTCAATTGAATATGGGTTGAAAAGGATTTGCAAATCATTGTATTCTGTTTTTATTTACGTTGATCACAATTTCACAACTTCAGTAGAATTGGGTTTTGTAGTATGTCTGTTCCATAGTTTAGCATCACTGAATGGTTCATGTGATTATTGTTCAGGCACTTCTTCGGACGGTCGCGGGTCCTCAGACTCTGTATTTTGAAACCGTCGCGGTGAGAAGACACCTAGCAACTGTAGCCGGGGAGAGAGGAGGAGGTGGGCATCAAACTCACTTATGACACATTTTCACACATTAGTATGTTACAGTTGACGGTGTTACATGCTTACAATTCTGGGCACTTGAATCCTTTAATAGCCGGGTCCTTCACTGCCTTGTTTTCATCTGTTATTGCTGACCGGCGGCTTGATGCTGTGCTAAGTGGCTAATATCTGTTAGCATGTTTGTCATTTTTCGGCTCCCCGGGCAAGGATTCGAGGCGACCACCTTTAGTTTCTGTTTGCGGATAATGACATGAATTTATAGTTCATAAAAGTCTTAACTTGTCATTTTTAAAGTATCTGAAGGTTCATAATGTCTTCTAATGGCTTGCCTTAAACATGCCTGACAAGGGTGGCCTGTATAATCGGGACGGAAGCAGCGTGAATACTAATTTTCAGGGCACTCAGACCACCAGTGAATTTACTCCACGTTATGTTAAATCTAAATAAATGTCGCTGTTTGTTAGAAAAATTGGCACGAGTTTGCTAGGTTATCGTTTCCTTGGATTAGTCACGTCTTCTACAGAGCAGCATGATGCTGCGTTCAAGACTCCAGGAAAGTCCGTAAATATGAGACACACTGAGATACACGTTTTCTCCGCCCTATGTTCACTTCACTTCGAGTTTGATCAGTCAGTTTTCCTGTTGGCGTTTTTTTTATAACTTCATAAAAAAATTTAAAAATCAGCCGATCAATCGCTAATCGGACCCCCCCGCCCCAAAAATCCATATCGGTCGGGCCCTAGTCTGTATATTATATTGCCGTAGTCCAGGACAGACAAGAACATGGCCTCCACGATTTTTTATTTTTATCTTTAAGTGAGAAAAGGATTAAAGTTATAAAAGGACCTTAAAAAGACATAAAGGGACAGAGATCACACAAATCCCATGCTGAGCTAAAAGCCAAGAAATAAAAATGAGTTAAAAGACGTGATTTAAAATATAAAAAGAGTCGGTGATGTTTTGATAAACAAATATGCTAATGATTCACATCATAAATTGTGATTTGGATCAGAAAAGTGCATGCTGGAAGTTGTATAAGCTGTTGTAAAAGATATAGAGAAGTTGTATGTATTGTTTCAGGAAGTCGTCAGTGAAAATTACGGACAACATTACAGAAAATTAATTAATTAGAAAATAATAAATCAGTTAAAAATGCAGTGTGGGGTCACTTTACACTGACCTTCTCCTGCACAGTATCAAATACTGGTGGAAGGTATCATAAAATTATTTATTGAGTGCTGCCAATGTGCAGCAAAGGATGTGAAAATTTAGTCTATTTAGCGGATGCATACAATTTTACTATTTGTGTTGTATATAGTGTAAATACTTGTATATTATCTCTATATTTTTACTTATATTATCTAATATTTATCTCCTCTTTTACTGTATTTGCACAGGAGTACTGTGACAAAAGCAGTTTCCCTCAGGGGATTATGAAAGTATTTCTGATTCTGATGTCTCAAGGACTGGGCTTTTAAGCTTTCCCACACACCTTGAACGCAACGTGAGCCCTCCCTTGAAACTGCGCCTGCGCACAACATGTTGTAAACAATGAGACTCTTCCAGACCGTCTCCAGCTTTGTGTCTATCCAACAGTATATCAGTGCAAAACTTACAACGTTCCCTCATTCCTTTGCGTGAATTAAACAAACATGTTCTTCGGTAAGTACAGGGAAACGTTTGTGACAAGATGTCATCACGTACTCTTACATTTTGTCGGCATCATCACCACGAAGACGTATCAAATTTGTTACAGCCTCGAATGACATACTTGGGCGTGACAGCATGCGATTGAACCGACTAACTTACTCTTTCTTATCTAGTTTTCTTTAAATCTGTAATCCGTAATATCCCGGCCCAAAATGCGCGCCTTAACCTCTCAGTATAGATCTTTTTCCTGAGCGGTGTCCTGCATGCTAGCTTTGTCGACTGGCTAGTGTTAGCATGCTAGCTAGCTTCTGTTAGTGTCAGATAAATGTGGTTGATCCGCTCTTTTGTCCAGTAGTATTTTAAATAGACAGTAGCAGCACCTGTATTAATGCACCTGCTTTTATTAGACCTATCCTTGTGAGTTGATAAGCTGCTGTTTTATCACATGAGCTGTGGAGTACACCTGTGCAGCCTCTCTGGTGTTAAACAACTAAGAATTAGAGTTAATGTTAGCCTGTATGCTTATTTCAGACTCATAGTGGCCTTGAATATACATGTTGTACATACTTTTAGTGTACATCTTGAATCATAAGTAATAGGGGTGGGAAACTCATGTTGCCAAACAATACAACCCTCTATTGAATGTCCATAATCATAATTATACCAAGATATAGGGCTGGGCGATACGGGAAAAAGTTTATTACAATATATTTTTATATCGATATATATCATGACATAAAAATAAAATTTTATAGTGCTTATTGGATGCTTGTCTTTTGCAATACAATAAGCTACTGCATCTGTGAGGTCTTTGTGTCTCTTCTACATTTTGTCGTAAGGTGTTGCACTTGGGAAAGCAGTCTGAATGGTCGGCTGCACATGCGCCATGGGCTCCTTGCTCCGCTCCTTGCATTGCGCATGCTCTGCCGTGTGGCACTGCTTTAGGTGGTGAAAAAGATCTGAGGTATTCCCCGATCTTGCGAGAAAATGTACTTGACATAATTTGCAGTGCACATTACTCTGCTTTATGTCCGACCTCAAAAAAACAAAATACCTCCACACCACCGACATTTTCGTGCCAGTGTTGTAGACGATGTCTGCTTCATGTGTTAAAGTTCTATGGTTGCGTGTAGCTGCTCTCTGCTACTATGCAGTTGTTTGCCACTTAGCTCTAATTCAGCACATGATTGGTTAAGCGCAAAGCGGACCCAGAGCAACTTCCCATTTCACTGGTCATTTGTATAGTCTACAAAAACATGGCAGAATGCTGACTATCGAAAAGGATATTGACCATGTTTTATATTGATATCGAGAGAAATTAGTTTTTGATATATATCGTCATTTTATCGCCTAGCCCTTACACCAGGATACTTCAGTAATTGATCAATTTAAAGACAGCCATATAATGGTACATCTGAACATTTGATTGACTGAAGGACAACAATATATCCCTGCTTATTTTGACTGTGGGAAAAACTCCTTTAACTCATATTGTTTCTAGGTTTATGTGTCATGAATTGCTTTATAAGTGATGACCTGGCTAGACCATTCCGTTTAAAACACCAGCTCAAATGATATTTTGTGACCTAGTGCGATAATTAATCTGAGACTTTCTTGGGTTTTTTCTAAGCGTGATTTAGAGAATGATAGTAGTGGGGATGTGTGACAGTGAAAAGACATGGTCAGAACTAAAAGTCCTGATTTTTTCACGTCTTCTTGTCTTCATGGCATATTGTACTTAGCAAACATTAAGGACATGTAACTTTTAAACTGTGATTGACTTTTATTTCAGAGAAAAAAAAATCCGTTGTTAATATGGAAAGAAAGAAAATGTATGCAAAGCACCACATTTCTTGATGTGTTTGTTGTTGTTATTCTGTGGTATGTTGCAGGGAGCTGAAGCATGGAGGCAGTTCTGAGCAGGCTGCGGGGGCTAAGTCCTGACGAACTACGTGAGGAGTTTGCCCGAGCAGACCTCAAATGCGGCCCCATCACAGCTACCACCAGAGCCACCTTTGAGAGAAAGTTAGCCCGAGTCCTGGCCGGGCCAGAGAGCGGTGCTGCCGAATCAGACAACAGCTCTTCAGCAGACGTCTCAGGCAAGGCAGCCTGTGCTGCTGAACATGCCAAAACTACATCATGTGCCACAGCAGTCGCATCCACCTCTGCTGCAACGAGCGGCAAGCCCTCTGAGACTGCCGCTGAAGAGTTAGACTTTGGCTATGGTGTGGGTCTCAATCCTCCAGAGGAGGAAGAAATCTCTGTGAAAGCCCCAAACTGCTCTGCTGAAAGCAGTAATCCTCAGTCCAAAACAGAAACGCCTTCAAAACCGGCACAAGTGTCCCCAACTTTTTATTATGGCGTTTGTCCGCTGTGGGAGGATGTTCTGGCTAGAAACGGTAAGACAGACTTCTATTTTACTTTGAGTTTGGTCCAGCACATCATGCTGTCCAGATTTTAAAGAGTCACATCTCTGTCCAAGAAAACCTGCTGAGTAATTGACTCCAGGTGCTACTTGAAAGAGTTTATGAGAGCATGAAGAAAAAAAAAACCTGTACTTATGATTAAATCTTATATGCATTATTCCAGAGTTAAATTCACAATATATTGATAATCTGTACAGATTAAGAAGCAACAGTGCTGCTATTAAATTCTTAACATCCTTGACTTAGTGAGGTATGTGAGCAAATGATGGTTTTTTTTTTGCATCCATAAATATTTTGAACCTGTATATTTGTGAAAATGTAATAATTAATGTGTTGATTTTTTTTTGTTTTGTTTCATTTTGCTTAACATAGAAATAATGTAAAAGTAGACATTGCTTTATAAAGATTTTTTAATTTTATTTATTTATTTTTTTTAAATGTTGCAAGTTGTACTACCAAGTGCATTTTGGGTGTCCTGGTTACATATGGATGTAGACAGTGCACTGTAATCCATGGCGGGTTTTGTCACTTTTTTCTTACCTCTAGTTTTACTTCAACCACTTTATTCTGTGCTGTTAGTTTCTTCAGTTGTAGGATCTAAATGATAACCATATACACAATCAATAAAATCCATCCATCCATATGTGTTGAAGTGGATGAAAATATTTAATGTTATTTCTTTAGCAGTAAGAAGCAGGACACTCTCTGATATGGAGTATTGATCTGAATGAATCCTGTTCTAACTCAAAAATCAATGCTGGTAAAATCAGACGAACAGGAAAGGCTTTTATGATCGCTGCATCAGCATTCGTCCTGTTGTATGTTGTAGCTAGTATATTGTAACTGAAGAGACTTACTGGACAAAACTCATGTTAGACAGTCGCAGCGCAAATTAACCAAGATATTTTTTTGACTGCAGAAAGAGCACATGTCTACGCCGACAAGAAAGAGGCGCTTCAAGCGGTGAAGCTGATGAAAGGAGCCCGCTTCAAAGCCTTTCCCAACCGTGAGGATGCTGAGAAGTTTGCTAAGGGGATCTGTGACTATTTCCCTTCTCCCAGCAAATCTGTACCCTGCGTGTCACCGGTCAAACCCGGCCTGGTCATCAGTAAAGGTCAGTGGACAGAAGAAATGGTCGTCAACCTTTATCAGTTTGTCACTGTCCAATATCGATGCTTAAAACTTGTGTATATATGTTGCGTAGCGCAAGTAGAGAAAGGAATAGATCCACAGGTAACTCCGGGCTTGAATCGTTTTTTTTTTTTAACATGAGTGCCTGTCCCCTCCTCAACAGACAACATGGAGGTTGATACCATCAACCGGGAGAGAGCCAACAGTTTTAAGAGCCCACGCACCCAGGACCTGACGGCCAAACTGAGGAAAGCTGTGGAGAAGGGAGACGAGGAGACCTTCAAGGAGCTGGTGTGGAGCAACCCGCGATATCTCATCGGCTCAGGGGATAATCCCACCATAGTGCAGGTGAGGACAGACTGTAACCGTTGTGACTCAGTTTCCCAAACACAGGATAAATAAACCTGTAGTCATGTTTGAGCCTGTTGTAGTTTTAATGTTGTTGTTGCTCAAACTCTGCGGAAACTTTTGCTATTATTAGCCCTGCATTACTGTACTTGGAACGTTTTCATTTGTTGATACATAAACGTCTTTTCTACATCCACGGCAAAGCCCTGTTGAACTTAAGAGCTGCTTCAACGCCGAGTGAAAGAGTGGAAATCTGCCCCCCCAAAAAAGACTTTTCAAATTATTTGTCTCAGGAAGTTGGCATTTTAAAAAATACAGATTTGCTACTTCTGTAATACTTTCTATCGCATCTTGAGCCCTTTTTTTAATTTATGAAGATGTTAAAAAAGTTTTAGCGTAAGCAGGTAAAGTTGAGTGCTTCTGGTTGAAATAATCAGCCTTTCATTTTAATTTTTTGTGCTCTTTAATGTCATTTTCTCCCTGATTAGGAGGGCTGCAGGTACAACGTCATGCATGTGGCTGCTAAGGAGAACCAGGCGGGGATCGCCCAGCTGCTGCTGGACACCTTAGAAAACCCCGACTTCATGCGCCTCATGTACCCGGATGACCAGGAACTTATGCTGCAGAAACGTATCCACTACATTGTAGATCTTTACCTCAACACCCCGGATAAGGCTGTAAGTTCTTCTCCATTACCTGCTGAAGAAGATTTGATTATGACAGACTCCATTTTAATCGTATCTGCCTGTGTCTTTATGCTCCAGGGCTATGAAACACCACTCCACTTTGCCTGTAAGTTCGGATGCCCAGAAGTGGTTAATGTCCTGTGCTCGCATCCTGACATCGACAAGAACTGTATGAACAAGGAGGACGAGAAGCCTTGTGATGTAAGGGAGTTTTATTTTAAACCTCTTCATTTATTTTTATCCACAGTTACATGGAATAAGAGGCTTTGCTGTAAACTGGGTTGTCTTCTTTGGGGGGGATATTATACAGAAAGCTGCTGTTTATACGCACACACATACAGTATATATGACCCCTTATAGCAATGCTGACATCTTGCCAGTCATTGCCGAGAGGTGCAGTTCTGCTTATTCAGGTTTTGAAGCCGTGACCTTTACGCTTGCTTTTTTAAATCGTTGGCAACAATCACTCATTGCATATTGAAGGCTAAACATAGATGAGCATGAGCAAATTCTTTCCCCCTGCTATTCCAGCAACAGTTTTATGTTGGCTACCATACAGAGAGCCCCAATTGTTTCTGTATTTTTCTTTCTACAGGTTATTTGTCGCAGAAAAAACAAAACGCAGGAAGTGAGGCAGAGGATTTGTGACTTTCTGGAGGGTAAGAAGACAGAATTGTTGGAAACATTCTCAGATTTTCTTTCTTTCTTTCTGACGTGTTCCCCGAGTGACGCACATGATCTGCATTTGGCTCTTTCAGAAATAGGGAAGCTGTTTGTTACATCATGTATTTTAAGTCGGGCTTCGCAACCGTATTTGTTTTAAAGTTTGATTGACAGCACCACATGCAGCAGACACATACGCACCCTGTAAGCTTTTGTTGTGGTGTAAACGCCCAGCTTTAGGTTTGATACCCACTTGTAACACCTAAGTGAAAATATGTGCACCTGCTGTCTCCTAAAGCTCTGAACAAAAGTCACATCCATTCTTCGTGTTTTCTTGTCTTCAAACTGCCTGTTGCGTCACAGACCGCTGCTACATCCCTTTGCTGAGAGCAACCGACAACACCTCTCAGCCCATCATCGGTGATCTGTGGTCACCTGAGTCCTCAGAGAGCCGCTCACAGATTCAGTGGCTTTCCAGAAGCCCCAAAGACCCACTGATGACCGTTACGGCCTTTGCCGGCCCACTCAGCCCTTCGAAAGCAAGTTCCTCACCCGACCACCTCTCTCTGTTTATCTATAATTCATCGAAGCATCATTGCATCACATCAAACTTTCAGTGACAAAAGTATGTCGCCTACAATTGCAGGCAGATGATTTTCGTCGTTCCTGGAAGACGCCTCCCAGAGACCGGGCGGATCGTTTCCATCACATCCTCAAGTCTGATCCTGACCGTGGGGCAGAGAGAGTGGGCAGGTACATCCAAAACTTCCCTCTGCTTATGTATCACTAAGTTTCAGAACAGAACACTCTGGTGAAAGCTAATATCACTGGACTCAACCTTGAGTCATGGAAGCAACATACCCCAGGAGGAGTGCTTGCACCAGCGTGAAGAACATGTATTAAAGGGGTCACAGACATGCTGCGCCATGTCCCACGTACCCTGGACTCAGATCTTGGAAGATCTTCTTTCTGATGTGATATTGTGTTTTTCATTTTACAGGGTTCCTACACAGTTGGAATTTCCATACCCCACTTTTAAGAAATATTTTTGGAAATGCCTACTTTTCTATTTTAGAAAACAGAATTTTAGAACAGTGGTAAAAGTCTGAAATCATAAATATTTTTCCATACTTTACTCTGCATTTTCCATAATTTTTAAGACCTTAAAATTGATCAAATTTATTCCATACTTTTCCATATTTTCCATAACCCCAATGTTAGATTAAGGCCTTCAGAGAATAAGGTAGACAGAACATCAGAACACTAATATATCTTTCAATCAAGATTTGAGAAAACTGAAATGGAATATTCAAAATCTCTTTATTTGAGTGGTCAACACTTTTTAAAAATGTGGCACTTTGCCTTTTTCCAGCTGATAATTTTCAGGTATTAATCATTCGACTTTAAAACTGCTAACAATCATGTGTGTTTCAGCAGTGACAGTTCATCTGTGCTCCAGAAGTCACCAGTTTTATAACCAGTAACTACAAATACAGCTGGAGGGAATGTTGAATTATATATACCGTAGTTTTCGCACTATAAGGCGCACCTGATTATAAGGGGCACCATCAATGAACGCGTCTATTTTCATACATAAAGCGCACCGGATTATAAAGCCTACCGGATTATAAGCGCATTAAGCCAAACAAAACACTCAGATAAGTCAAACTTTATTTAACTCATTCAATAACTCTGCAAGGCTACGGTAGCTGCAGTGCTCTGACAAGCCAAAAGGATTTTAAGTGCGCCTTATACTGCGCAAAATACAGTAGCTTAAATAATTTGTCTGTAATCTGCAGAGACCTGGCTCATGGGATGGGCCACCCATGGGCTGAGTACTGGGACTTCCTGGACAGTTTTGTCGATCTGTCATCAGCCGAGGGGCTTCGCAAACTGGAAGAGCACCTGAGCAAAAGAGATTTCAGCCCACGGGCTCAAGAAGAGACGGGGGAGAATGAGACCAGCAACAGGTTTAGAACTCCCTCTCCAGGTACCTTCAACAAGTTTTTTAAAAAGTGTAGTTGGAGTTAAATGTCTTGGAGCAAAATATCGAGCAGTTTCACATTGAGGTTGAGGTCTCTCCTCTCTGGTTGCAGGTAAGCCTAAAAAGTTCTGCAACTCCATCTCTGTGGGCGCTTTCTTGGACGAGGGGGATGACATCAGCCTCGAAGAGATGAAGAACAGGCAGAATGCAGCTCTCACCAGCATCACCTCCTCTGCTGCATCCAAGGACGGCCTGAAGGGAGCAGTGGGCGGCCATGAGTTTCACATCCTGCCCATCGCGCTACACCATCGAGGGGCCCACCTGATCGAGACGGCGGCTGAGCAGGACCCGCTGTGCTGCTGCGACGACGGCCTCTTGTCAGCCGGCATCGTCTGCAAAAACGGGGTGTGCTCCTCCTCCAGAGACGGGACTCACAATGGAGACAAGGTGACCCCTCGTACCTCCCCCTCCTCCATGCTGTCGCCCATCTCCAACCTCATGATGGAGTTTGAGCGCATGTCGCTGCAAGAGCCGCTGGACAGCCACACCACCTGCAGGGAGAGGAGGAGCAGCGGTGGGAACCGGCACCGGGATGTACGGGACCCCTTTAGCTCCTCCTCCGTCACAGACCTGGGCTCTGGGCTGAACCGCCTGTCTCTCGGCCACAGCAGTCACGACGGCGAGAGCATGGAACTGCCCGGCTGGAGAACAGAGGAAGGAGAGACAGAAGGAAGGCGCAGCAGCGGCAGCTCAGAGGAGTACTTTGAAGCAGAGGAGAATCTGGAGATGCTGGGCAGGACTAGGGGGTCAGTATCAGGGGGGCGCAACTTCTGCGCCAGGTCCAAGTCATGGGACCATGGAGGGAGGGACCTGAGCAGCTCAGGATCCTCAGGGTCATCTTATAAGTCCTTGGAGAACTCCAATGAGTTCCTCCCAAGGACCCCACCGCACATTAGAAGAGGACTTTTTATCGACGGGTGAGTCACACTGCGTTCTGAGTTCATGAGGGCGGATTTATGATGAGGTCAGACATGTTTTAATAACTCGATCTGGGAGGCATAAGGTTTGAGGACGTGGGTCAGACACATGTAATTTTATCCTATTAAATAAGTAATCAAGGCCACATCTGAGACCTCTAAGGATTTCATATAGTCTGATGAATTAGGGTGAAAATCTTTAATCGGCACATTTGTATCTGCATCCTGAAGTCTAAAGTGTAACTTGTTTACTTTTCTATTTCATAAAGTAAAAATCCATCAAAAACACATCAGCTGATGAGGTAAACGTGCTCATAAAATCATACTGGAATCAGCATAACCAAAGTATTGACCTTGTATTAGTTCCTCGTGGCAATATTTCACTGAGTCAAATAATTTTTTGTCTACCTTTACTTGAAAAAATGTTTATTCAGGTACAGGAGTTTTGTCTTAATTGTCAATATTGTTCAAATATCATGTCCTGTTGTCTCATAAACACCACCTGCCACTAAAAAAAACATTAGTCCACGACTACTCACGATCTCTCAACAAAAAGTCTCATGTTGTTTTTTTTCTCTGCCACTCTGCACGGTTAAAACTCATGAGCATAAACAAACCAAATGCAAAACTTAAGAACTATTTATTCTTTCTTGTAGATTATTTCAAACACATACTCCTAAAGGCTGCGGGAATAATGCCGTGCACGTTGTTTTGTGTTCACAGGGATTCACCAACCAAGTTGGACAGGGAGGTCTTGTCAGCGATAGACAGCGTCGACATCGACACCCAGAAGTATCCCAGCATTCACAAGTGGAAGAGCACAATAAAGTCATTCTCTGCATCAGACATGCAGAGGTAAGTGTCTTCAGCTGACTTCTTATTTTTCAAACACAAAGTTCTGTAAGGGCGGCACAGCGGTGTAGTGGTTAGCACTGTCGCCTCACAGCAATAAGGTCCAGGGTTCAAATCCAGGTCAGGGCGTTTCTGTGTGGAGTTTGCATGTTCTCCCTGTGTCTGTGTGGGTTTACTCCGGGTACTCCGGTTTCCTCCCACATCCAGAAAACATGCCTAAGTGGGGTTAGGTCAATTGGCCACTTTCAAATTGCCCGTAGGTGTGAATGTGAGTGTGGATGGTTGTTCGTCTCTGTCAGCCCTGCGATGAACTGGCGACTTGTCCAGGGTGTCCCCTGCCTTGGCCCGAAGATGCTGGGATAGGCTCCAGACCCCCAGTGGGGATAAGCGGTAGAAAATGGATGGATGGAAAATTCTGTATTACTTGTATTTTGATTTGTCTGTTTGTTTGTGATACTGTCTTGTCTTAAAAGTTTTTTTTTAATTTTCATGGATGATTAATTTAGATTATAAGGTCAATTGCTAGTCTATGAAATCATTTTTATTTCTGACTATTAGGAGCAAATCAATCTTGTGCCTGTTGCCACTGACTTGTATGATGTGTGTTGTCCAGCTGGCCCAGCCCTGCAGTGGTGAAACCACGTCTCAGGATGCAGCATCAGACTCCCGGCTCCCCAGTCAGCGGCCTGATGTCTCCCACCGGCCGCTTCAGCCCTGCCCGGCACACCGCCTCACCAGATTTCAGCCCCAGCCGTTACAGCCCTGCCAATGCTAGCTACATTCAGCGCATCCGCCTCAAGCACTTGAACGAACCACCGGTCTAACTGCCCACTCCTGCCCACCCCCTCGCCTCCCACCAATATGGCCATACCCTCTCCTTCCTCACCCTCCCCTTTTTCCACCACAAACCCAGCTGCACCCAGGTGTCTACACCAGAGCTCAGAAACCACATACCTAACAGAAATATGCACAAGTGTCTGGAAGATTTGTATTCATGTATGGTACTACTCCTCTGTAATACAGGAATCCTCATCACGTTGGGTTGTGATGTACACTCAAGACTTTTCAAAAGGAAAAAAAGTAAACCTTGGTAATTTATGTACTGTATGGGTGTGGACCATGTTGAATTGACGGTAATGTTATTTGTGGCCAGTGTGAAGCACCTGTATCATAGCCTGAGTCAACTTTTTTGAATATTGTGAAAAACAAGCCGCACTCCCCAAAGTTAGCTCATCACGAAAAGCTCAGTGTGGAAACCTCAAAAGGATTCTGTCACTAAAGATGTTCTTAAAAAAAAAAAAAAGAAAAGTGAAATGTCAATATTTTAAAAGTTATTTTTTTGTATGTTGGTCAGTAGCACAAAAAAAGTAAATGTTTTTATTAATGGTGTTAAAAACCGACTGCCATTTCCTATGTTTTCCTCAGTTTAGGAATTGCCTTAATTTTCTGAAGCGATGGACCAGTTCTCTATCAGTGTTGGACACACTCTCTCTAGCTCAAACACAAACTATCTGGAAATGTCGACCTCACTGGCTGAGTCGCTCACAGAGGATTATGGCAAACATGGTTGAGATGGATTCGACTGAGAGCTTCCATGATTTTATTTTCATCTTGAATAAATGCGTTCATACATTTATCGTCTTTACTCAGTGGTTCCTGGACATGTCTGTACTTTTCTTTTTCTGCCTCTACTGGCGGCCTTAGACTGTGCAATTTCTGATTTCTTTTTCGAATATCTTGCATTCACACGCATTTACCGGAGTTTGAGTGTGAATGATGAAACGCCCGTCAGTTAAGTCCAACTTGAAGTTTACCTTCCCAGACCTAAACCTCTTCAGCTCCCACTGAAGTGAATCACCGGGGGGCTAAAACTAAGCAGAATATTAGTGTAACTTTTAGATTATCGCGGCCATCACGTTAACAAAATTGCCTTACACTTTTCTGAGAATTAGCTAAGACTCACAGTCGGGTATCGATTCTTAGTTGAACAGCTCTTCTGACTTTTTTCACTTTACAATAGTAGTCTGAGTGTCGATCTCCGAACTAATGCTTAATAAAGCTTTAATGCTCTAGGCGTTAGTACCTTCAAAGGTGGTTCAAATCGTCAAACAGCAAACTCGTGTTCACCCGGTAGGATCTTGCAGTTTCCCTGACATGACAGTGGAACGTGAATGTTTAAAAAAAAAAAGAAAATCTGTTGTATCAAATAATTTGTACTTTTGGGATGGATTCACTGCTGTAAGAGGGCTTTTCAGCTGTGTAAAGGACAAAGCCAATCATTTGAAATATTCAGATTGCCACTGTAGTCGGTGTGAGAGAAACACGTGTTCTGAATGTACATTTTTTTTTGTGTGTGAACTGAACCTTTATCCGAGAGCACAAGCTACTTCACTGAGAAGATTGTATCGTCATCCGTGTGCTCTCAGGTGACAACAGAACAGACTTAATTCTGGTCTCTGAATGTTTATGAATGTGGAACTTTGCAAAAATGCACCTAAAAAACTTAAAACATGCTTCTTGTGCTTTTAGCATTCTGTGCTTTCTTAAAAAATTAACTTTCATGGTGAATTCTCTTTTAAGTATGTCTAGACCTCATTTGCTTTCAAACTAATCAATAAAACATCACTCCTACTTTCCTGCCGTTGTGTCTGTGCGCTTAATTTTAACTCGGCGTAGTGAAGAAATGCAACAGAAACTGAAGGATTCAACTCTTTATTTGCTACAGCTGCACCATACAACACATAATCCTCACTTTAGTGAACTGCAGTGACACACCACGTTGAGCATGATTTGCATTCACAACAGCTATACAAATACAACTTCTTTTGGTTTTAAAAATCAGTCATTTGTGTAAAAATCCTCAGTTACATTCAGAAGGAGGTGCTAAAAGCAGCTGTTAATCACTTCTGCTGGCGTTCTATGGCACGGAAGTAATCACAACCACAGAGTCTCATTAAATGATGGTAGTTTAATTACAAAACAAGAACATCACAAGTCATTTTCAAGACACTTGAGGAGAAATCGGCGTTGACCCTGCGACCGACTGACTGGACGGTGGACTCAGTCTCAGAAATCTGTGACGTGTGCGGCCGTCAGGTCCTTGTAAGTTTATCCGGGGGCATGAAGCCTGCGTCTCCCAGAGTTCGGAGGGCCACCCGGCCGCTGGGGCGGATAGTGAGCCACGTGATGCTGCCGTTGTTCAAGCCCATGCGTAACCATCCCTCTGGAGGGAACTGCAGAGCCCTGATGAAAACAAAGGTGAACGCAGGTGAGGGTGATAATCAGAGCTACTGAAGAGATACAATACATGATTCATGCGAAAACAGCCCTGCTCCACAGAAAATATCCACATTTAATGATACATTTGATTTTCAGAAGTCAGCAGGATGAGATCTTTTAAACAAAGACTGCTTTGTCCACAGGGGGGCGCACAATTGACACAGAAAGTCCCTCACAGGAGCTTTAAATTAACATTATTCAATAGAGTGTTAGTGAACTTTAATGAAGCACTTCAATGAATTTTGATGCTTTTTAAATGAATTTGAAGCATGATAATAATGAGAGTTAGACTGTGTGGGGCGCTCTGAGTGAGCCTGCAAGCTGTGACTTGACACAGTCGGAGCAATCCGTGAGGAGACATTAACAGGTAGATAATTACTTTACAGGATTCATTTCAGCCAGACAACACCAGTCTGTGGATCTTGACAGACCCAACACACTTCAGAGAGACTGTGTGGGTGGGTTGTACCCTCTTGTGTGGGGTTTCTGGGACAGCTTAGGGCTGTGCCTGAAACAGATGAAACAAAGAGTGAGCCTTAATCCGAGAGGAGATGCTCTGGGGTGGGCTGTTAGACAGAATCCATGTCAATTAAAGCAAGTGGGTGAACCTGTGTGTCGGGATATGCCTCTGTGGTTGAGGTCTTCACTTTAACACTAATAGGCCTGCAGGATAAATTGTGTATTCAAACTTTGACGCTCATGTTTGCATAGTGCTGTATTTCTTTGATGCTGTTGTTTTTGGCTGATGTATTTAAAAGTTTTACTCTCGTAACTTTTAACAAGATGGAGTGAAAACTGAGAGCAACAGCCCGAAGCACAGTCATCAAAACAGCTGCGGCGGAGTTTAAACACAAGGGTCAGCAAAGCAAATAGGCCACACGTCAGCATTGAGCTGAGTCATGGCAGACCAAGACAGCGCACGAGACACACCTGCAGACAAAATAGCGGATGACATTGGCATGACACACGATGATCTCGTAGCTGTCCTCCTTCTGCTTGGGGTCAGCGCGGTGGATGTAGCGGCGGAAGGCTGCTTCAATGCGAGCTCCATCTTCGTGGTACTGCTGGAGGATGGTAGAGAGGTTGAAAGCTGGCTTTGTCACATGTACGAGCTTTGTCTGAGCTGCAGTGCATTGTGGGGAATGTCTAAAGAGCTTCTTTCCAAAATCAGCCCAACTAGGAACATGGTATCTTAACTAACGGCAGTGCTGCTCTTCTGGAAATTGTAGATTTATTTAAAGCCTTTTAGATACTCCAGTTTATGACAGAGGCATTAATGAGTGTGGTGTCTGCATGAATTATTAAAGGGCTGTTCCGCAAATAATCCTGATAAAGCACATTCAAATTATGTCGATGTAATAAACAGACTTGCCGCCAACAAAGCACCTCACAAGAGGGGGCTGGGTCAATGAATTATAAACAGTCCCCCGGACAGATTAAGTCCTGAATAAATCTGTTTTCTTAGATAATGTGAAGCAATCACAAAGTGTTGATTAAAATGATTGAACTACAGCAAAAAGGATGATCCTTGTCCAACAGACTTCTTTTGGAAATTCACTCTTCCTATCAGCCATTCCTGTTTCAATGCACTGATGTATTGCTTCTAGCTTAAACAGGCACTACAACAGGGCATCTGCTCAGACATGTGGGATGCAGAAAGTTACCTAAATATAAATTTGCAAAAAGCATAAAAGCAGGCATACAGCCCACTCTATAGACAGAGTGGTTGCAGCCTCTCTCACCACAGCATCGGGCTTCCAGTGAGTGACGGGTGGAACCGGCTCGATAGGCGCGCCCTCTCTCAGCAAATCGCAGCTCAACAGCTCCACTCCTAGACCCGTATGAAACGAAGAGCAAGATTAAAATGTTAACATCCATTAGTGATAGAAACTTGACTTTCCCCAACCTGAATGTGTCATTTATCAACTACCTGGCAGGTGTTTGCTGATGATGTTTGCCGTCTCTGTGGCCCGGGCCATGCTCGAGTGGATCAGAACATCGTACTTCAGCCCCAGTGCTGCCAACCGCTTTCCCGTCAACTCAGCCTGCTCACGACCTGAAGAGGAGACACACAAAGTATTAGTTTTTATTTATTAACCTTTTTTTAAATAAACAGTACACAACTTCAACAACAACAATAGAACTACAAATTTCACCCAAACCCACCCCCCTTCCAGAACAAACCCCAAAGGCCAACTCTTACCTACATACCTAAAAAAAATAAAAAAAATAAACAAATAAATAAATAATATATAAAAGATTTTTTAAAATAAATAAAAGGATAAAATAATAATAATAACAATAGTTAAAATAATAAATAAATTAGGTATATAATTAAATAATTTTTAAAAATTTACAGCAAAATACACGCAGCAAAGGTCAAGACATTGACAATGGAAAAGCACAGCTACTCCTGCAGATGTGCTACAACCAACAACCACCACCACACCCATTGACAGTACTCATCTAGTTATCTGTGAAGTTATCCAGATATATTTCAAAGTCATTCCAGCATTTGTCAAAAAGATGGGGTTTCTTTTTCATATTGAACATAATTTTTTCAGAGGCCAAGTATGATGCAACTTCCTTAAGCCACATTGAGGCAGTAGGTGGTTTTTCACTTTTCCACAATATAGCGAAGCATTTATTTCCAGCAATTAGGGATAGCCTCATAAAACGTCTTTTCCTTATCTTATCAGCGGGTAAGACACTTCAACAGGCATTTTAACAAAAGACTAAATTTCGAGCTTACTTTCGTTTTTTGGTACGCCACATGCTCTAAGTGATATGAACTGAAAAAGCACCTAGTGGGGTGAGGATCCTCTCCTTGTCAGTGATCCCGCTCAGGTTGTACTGGGAGTGTCTGATGAGGAGGATGTTTCGTGTCGCTTTCGGTTTGCCGTTGTCCTGCTCAGTGCTGGGGTCCTCGGCTGCGTTTTCCTTCTTCTTTCCATTAGACAGTGCAGATGGGTCTCTCCTGAACAGAGTTAAGAGGAGGTGATTTTAACAGATTAAAAGTGGCTTTGTCTGATGGTTAACTTGAGTGATAATCCTGTGCTGGCTAAGCTATGATTTAAAATGATGCTGAGACTTTGGAGAATTTCCTTTTTATTGAACAATCCCTGCAGCAACTATTTAAATAAATCTAATTATGGTGGAGTGGTCTGTCAGCTAAATTAGGGATAATGATATCTTACAAATCCTTATGGACCACTCTTAGATCCTGTCTGCATAAATAACTCTGTATAACATCCTATATTTCACAGTTGTGGACAGCCTGATAGTAAAGTAATAAAAGGAAGTATATACAGCTCTGTTCTACCCACACACTCAGATCTATTATCTGTATTTCTGGTCTGGAAAAAAACAACCATGACTTCATTTTAATCCCACCTTGTCTCCAACCCTCTATCACCCCAAATTGGAAACCCAGTAGCAAGGGTTTTAATAAGGTCAGCAAAGAAGAAGCACACTATTCCTATTCTTGCCTCCTCCTACGCCGTCGGCACCAGTTTTACTATCTTCTTGTTTGTTTACAAAGCATTCAAAGGTTTGGCTCCTACGTCACACTATTAGACATTCAAAACCGAGTGATACCAGAATATGACCCGCAAATTTTTGGAAATGTAGTCAGCAATTATTAATAGCAGTGGTGCTGGCAGGGGTGGTAGATGTAGCAAGAGTAATAGTAGGAGTAAGAAGTGGAATAGGAGGAGTATTAAGATGCTGTCTGTGTCTTTTATTATTATTGTTATAATGGTAAAGTTCTTCACCAATAGAGTTTGTTGAACAGTACCTTAATCCAAAACAACTATACCTAAACTTGTCAGACCTAAACTAGATTATCCAAGATGACTTTCAGACTCTTTGGAAACTAGTTTTGGATTTGAAAACCACTACACTAGACTAACCTAAGATGGCTGCAGTCTCTGTGATTTCTGAAATCTTGTTGTAAAAGTGAAAATTAAAGAGAAATTGACCTCACAGCTTTGTTTCACTTGAACACATTGGACCAGATTCTGACCTAGAACTACAAGACTTCTCAGATTTGGCCTACATCACCCCAGAGAGGCAACAGACTTTTGTAAACACAGGATCATAAATATGAAACCATGATATCATCTGTAGACAATGTAAGTAATGGTGATCTGCTTACAAGATTCTCCTTAGTGGCTTTATTGTTCATGCAGGGCTGGGTGATAAAACGATAACGATATATATCGAAAATGAATCTCCCTCGATATCAGTATAAAACATAGTCAATATGCTTTTCGATAGTCGGCATACTGCCATGTTTTGGTAGACTATATGAATAGCCAATGAAAAGGGGAGTTGCTTCCCCGCTGAACCAATCATGTGCTGGATTAGAACCAAATAGCAAACAACTGCCTGGTATCAGGCTGCAGCTAACTCCGCGAGACCACGGTAGCTGCAGTGCTCTGACAAGCCAAAAGGATTTTAAGTGCGCCTTATAGTGCGAAAAATACGGTATTTTGGTTTTTGAGGTTGGACATGAAGCAGAGTAATGTCGAGTACATGTTCTCACAAAGTCGGGAAACACCACCTGAAGCAGTGCTACATGACAGAGCATGCACAACGCAAAATGTTATAAACCCTGAGCGGAGCAAGGACCGAAACAGCCGACCATTCAGTCCGCTTTCTCTAGCATAACGCCTTACAACAAAACGTTGAAGAGACACAAAGACCTTACATTGTATTGCAAAAGACATGCTACCAATAAGCACTGTTAAATTTCTTTTTTATATATCGTGATATATATCAATATCGACTGATATGAAAAACAAACCGTGATGAATTTTTTCCCATATCGCCCAGCCCTATATTCATGTTCTTTCATATTATCAATTGTATTGTAATGTTTATCCTGTCTATCATGGCCTCTCTTTGTGTGTCATTCTTTTACTTTTGCTTTCGTCTGCAGGTGAGCTGTTAAATACTTTATATATTAGCTGTTCTGTGAGATAAATCCTCGTTACATTATCTGCGGAGCGTCTAAATTTCTTTGTTATCCTCCAGGATTTTGGAGTGGCGCACTTTGGTGGAGGAGCAGAAACGACAGAGCTGTAACAGTACAAAACGTCCAAATGTCCAGACAACAAAACAATGAGGAAACAGCTCTCTAGAGGACACCTACTTGTCCCAGTTGAAGTCCCATGAGTGTCCGGTCGGGGCCGGTGTGTGGCTGGCAGGTGTCCACGCCGGTTGAGCAGCACGAAGGGCGGTGAACCTCGACCACTGACCGGTCGCCTCTCCCTGCCGGTGCTCACCGAAGTATCCCCGGGAATCCGCAGCGACAGCAGCGAACACAAGCGCGGCCGAGCCTCCAGCCAGCCCACAAATAAGTTTCAAAGTTTTCCTCGACGACATCCCGAGAGAGCCAGAACAAACCAAGTACAGCTAGCTAATTAGCAGAGCTTATCTGGTTCACCGATAATGAGGCGAAACGCTCCGTCTCTCAACAAATATATGGCTTACTTTAGTTCAACGACAAATGACTGTGAGTTTAATCCTCAACAAAGAAGAACACACCTTAAACAGCGCGAATATATCCGGTTGGTGGCCCCTAGCTCGAAACTAAAACCATAGTCGGCACCATGCTCGGCACAAGAGATCGCAGGCTAATCTGAGCAGTTTCCTACAAACATTACGGTGGCCCGCCGCTGCCAAAACAGATGGCGTTCGCTTTTCGGACAGGTGTTAAGATTCACCACTTGAGGGCGCTCTAATCCGTAAATCCAACTCAGAACCAGAGTCCGAGTGGGTTTCACTGGCAAATTAAGACACATATGAGGTATGAATTTGACTTTTATCACCATCAGCCAGGAGTGGAAAGAAAGTCACAGATTTTTATTTTACTGAAAAGATGCTGCAAATAGAAATTCAAATACTGGTAGTTTAACATAAATGTTCTTTCTTGAGCTGTGTCCCACCGCAGTAGTCCATAATTGACTGGCCTGAGGCCTCGCTACAAACAAGCGGCTGCTGGAAGAGAGTAGGTGAGTTGTGTTTAGTCTCTTTGCTAAAGAAATCAGGCAAAGCTAAGAAGATGTTTGGTGGCTAGTACTGTGGCTAGGACCCTATATGTACTGTTGATGAAGTTAGGTGCTGTTCTGAGCATTATTTGTGGCGTTTTGTTTGAGGTTTGTTTATGGCTTCTCAGACCGTATTGCTATCCTGTAGTTGTTACTAAAGTTGGTATAACTAGAGAAGCAAGGGGTCGGCAACATTCATCTCTTGAGGGGATGTCTTACTCGGTGTTACGGAATATCCCTCTAAGCAACATCTCATTACACCAAGTAATGGTGTTGAATACAGAGCTATATTAAAAACAGTGTTATTAATGTCTAGACATTACTAATGGAGATAATGCTAATAGCAGTATTAACAGAGGACTTTGACTGGACCACGATAAACTACATGTGAAAGAGGGTTAATTTAAAGTTCATATTTCCATTCTACAGCAAATTTACTCTCTAAGACATATCTCTGCTGATTATAAAACAATAAGAATGAGAGATGAGAGGTATCACTTTGTTCACTTTGTCTATGCAGTAAAAAGCTCCTTGAATTACTCTAAACTATGACAGCAAGTGAGAAAAATCACATTTCACATTCACAGCTGGTGAGGCTTTTACAAACTCAAAAATAAATGCCCTCTGGATGCCCTAAAAATGCAGCCTGGAAGCTCTTCCAATGAATTAAATATAAAAAGGGAAATCTGGATGCCCCAACAGTAGGAACAAGTTTTTGATTCAGTTGTTTTTAGTTTTAAATTTCTCATGTAAAAGATAATAGCCCAGATCATTTATTTTTCAGAACGTGAGAAATAAAATGAAATTTCCATCCACAAATTGCCACATAGGAATTCATGACAGTGCAAGAAATTAGGTCTAAGATGCTTCAATTTTTTTGAAGGAGGACACTTTGATCCCCCCCTAGTTACTTCTACCTCACAATACCTTTTGTGTAGAGACCATAGACTGTATATACTATGGACAACTTGGTTCCCTTGGTATTTCCGCAATTTTTCTTCATTTCCTGAAACCAACATTGCGCAGTAGCGTTGTGCGCATCCGGCACAGAGAGTCGCCAAGAGTTGTTGTGATGACGCTCAGCTCAAACAGCGTATCCCCTGGGTGAGCTACATAATCTTTGTACACCCATAGGCTGTATCAAGAGTCAATCATAGAAAACATGACCCCCCTAATAACTTTTAAAAACAGAGCTGTACAGAAAAAGAGGACTTGAGCACAAACCAGTCTTACAATAACTACATGTCAACATCGCAAGAAGGGGGGAGAAAAATTATATCATGTGTAATAAATTTTCAAAGTTTGTCCACATCTCCATAAGCTTTGCTGGAGGAGGCGGGATTTATGACCTATACCGCAGCCTGTCACCAGAGGGTGCTGTTCTTAGAGTGGCTTCACCCAACGAGGAGGCAGATGGCGCCCATTCTAAATATAGTCTATGGTGGAGACAGAAAAGCATACAGATTGTTGGAAAGTCTTTTAAATAATGCAATCTTCAGTAATAATTTTCTGTGTACTGGTGCCCCACAGAACATGGGGGTGCCTCTGTTATTTTTTGCCCCTGGCCCTAAAACAGCTGAAGTACGCCACTGTAGGCTAGATGACTTAAAGTGAAGAATAAGCAGACCAAATAGGCAGATTTGAATGAAATAGAACATTTCACAGTCTGCAGAGAGTGCGAGAAAAGCAGGTGAGGGGGTTTCTTCTGTGTCAGCAGCTTCAGGAGAGATCAGAGTTTGGAGACAGCCTCACTCCTCAGTCTCAGATCGCTTTCCTCTGGAGCCACTTGCAGGCTTTGCTCAGAGGCTCCACCTTTTCGAGCGGTTCAGTGACCTCACCAGTGGGCAGGATTGTAAGGGTGGGATTTCCAGGCTTTCAGAGAGCTCTGTGTATTCCTGCCTCTCTATCCCAGGATCTATGCGGCTCCAGCGGTAGCAAACACGGACTGGTTGTACCTTTTCTGGCCACAAAATCGCCTATATACTGCACACCGGATCACCTTTTTCTACATGCGACTCCAACCGGAATAAATAATTGAGGAATGTGGAAATTACAGAATGCCCAACAGCGCTGGAAAGAGATTTAAACCCACCAAATACATCCCAGTGTCCACTGCTGCCACACTCCTTGTGGGATCGACCACTTTATTTTTCGTTTTCACGTAAGTTTGCATCGCTTCTTTTCTCTCATTCGTTGCATTGCCGGTGTTTCCATTCACCGTGTTGGCCGCAGATTACACAGGCTAGAGTGCATTTGCAGCTCGAAGTTTGCATGGGTGGATTCAATCACTTGGGTGGAAGAAGTGCTTTGATAGTTACACATCCATCCTGTCGGGGACCTTGCAGCGGTAGGCAAGTGAAATGGGTTTGCGGAAAGCAGCTTTGTGCAGCCTCAGACGGACTATTCAGCCATTAATACCTGCAAGGCAAACTTCCATTAAACCGTGCAAGTTGACCAGCGCTGTGATCCTGCAGGAGACCTCAGTTTAGGCCCTGGGTACTCAGTTTTCATTGAAGAAGTGCCGCAGGGAGAAGTTAATACAATTTCAGTGGTTGCATTGGCTCAGCAGGCGGTTTGATTCATGCACACAGAGCTAGGATGGTTACAGTGTCACAACCTTTCGAGAAGCATAATCCGTTTCAGCTTAGGTGTACTTGCCAGTGAGGTGTAGCCTCGATCTGTCTGTCTCACTTCACACTGTATGTATACAGTAATTAAGTTTTTTTCTTAAGAGAGATTGAGGATTAGGAACATCCTTTCACCCAGGCCAACAGGTCTCCACTCCTTTTAAAGCAAGAGCTGCTATCATCTGCCAAGATGGTGTCAGTGGTTCATCAGGATGATTACTCTGTCTATCAGCCAGCATCACAATCATGTCAAGGGCCCCAATATGAGACGCTGTTCTTCCCCAGGCCTCTCAAACTGATGAGTGAGAAAGTTCATGGTATGATTTTACAGCAGAGCTGTTGGGAGGGGTGATAGCAGCAGAGAGAGGGAGAGAGAGAGAGAGAGATGTCTCTGGTCTGAATCATCAGACCCTCAGGTGAATGGATTATCAGTGAAATCAAAACCAGGCTCAACCTCACAGCTGTATCTCTGGGTAGAGACGGTTTTTTGGGACCTCTGACCTGGATTTTGGATTGTAGGATCAGCTCATGCTCTTGTTATCTCTCGCAGACTTATTTTATCTGACAGTGGTAGAAACTCCTGAATAAGAGCCCTCGCCTTGCACGTGTTTTTCAGTCTTTGTGAGATGCTTTTTTGGCTCATCAGATACATTGGAAACATCTTTGCATGGTATTTGTTTCTATAACTTAAAAAACACAATTTCTCTCAATGGGTGAGTGAAATAGAGCAGTATTTCAAATCCAGGATGCAATGATTGACCAGTTTTACTATGAAGTGCCTTCAAATGTCACACTTACTGTGGTCACCTCACCCAAAGTGACACCTGTTGTACATCAGTTTGATGCTCATTCTGATTATCAAAAGACACAGAGTCTATGCTACATAAGCTTAAGCAGAGGGACCGAGTTTTGTGTCTACAGAAGAGGATCATCTGCTGAAAAGTTGCAGCTAAAGGGTCAGGCTCTTTGAATGTGATGTAGCATTACATGATCGAATAAACCAGGGGAAGTTACGTGGGAGGTTAGTTTGTGAAACATGGAGTTGGTAGGGAATGAAACACAGAGTATTGGTTACAATTCAACATTAAGGATAGTTGGGCTTTTACCACAAAGTAAACAAATGCAACACAGAGGCAAAGCAACATGAGACATGCATAATTATCTTGAATAGAAGTGGACGTTTACAGGTTTTTCAGGGCCAATGCCAATCATTCCTAGTTAGTGACCACTATGCATTGACAAGTTAACAGACACCACTGACAAAAACACATTTATCTAATCCTGCATCATGATAAACTACTGAGTTTGGGGTTGACAAAGTAGGAGCAACTTTCTACTACCAACCCCAAGGTTCTGTGTTTTTTTTTGTCAATGGTTGCTTTGAATAGAGGTAAACACTGGTATGTGGTAGACTCGGATACCCACTTATGCCCCAAGTCTTAAATTTGGAAAAGATCCAGATGCTCCTTTTGATTTGTCTCCAATTCACAGCAACTGTTTATCTAATGTTGTGTGTTTTATTGCTTATTAACCTTGACCTGTATTTGCTGCAGAGGTGCAGCACAGTCTGTTTTCTCCGCTTGTATGAGCAAGTCTTGTCCCTCTCTGACAAATGCAGGAAGACACAGAAAATGCTTTAGCTGCCCCCTGAGCGGTCTTGCACTCTCAGTCTCAGGTCAAAGACTGAGACTGAAGGAAACATATGGTGTTTGCGGGCCGTGTTGGTAAGTTGGATTGTAGCTTTAAAAATCCCAGCACTCCTTGGTGTTCTCTCTGGGGCTTTGCATAAACAAATGGCCTGATTTACAAGTCCTGTTGGAGAATGGACGTGTTATGATTTAATAAGAGATTTTCCTTTCAGACATTTGGTTTGCATAAAGAGGAAGTCAGAGTTTCTGCTGCCTGCTACTTTTTTAAAATAATATTAGTCTTTCTTTTGCTGGGGTTCACTTCAATCTACACATTAGGGTTCAGCCCTCAGCAGATGGTTCTAGGGTGAGGATTAAGACTTTACTCTGTTGCTCCTTCATTTCCCTGTAAAAGGTCCAGAGGATTGAGTAGCGTATAATGGAACCCCCCGGGGAGCTGTGCAGGACCAAACTAGGCCACACCGCTTCGTCGTCTCACACACACACACATACACAGAGTCCATTATGTTGAACCCATTGCGGCCTTGTCGTTGGCTGCAGTGCATAGCTGCGCATTTACATTAGGAGCTGCAGAACAATGCAGTGTTGTATCTTGAATTTCTCATCCAGGTTTGCATGCAACAAGTTCAGAAGCAGAGGAAATCAACTTTAGGGGTTAAAGCTAAAAAGCTATACTTGTCCATCATGCACACTCGAGCACAGAGCATTGCCAGGGACACAAATCTTTTTTTATTCCTTGGCTGCAGTGTGTTAAAGGTCCCAATGGTGCCAGCAGACCACTTGGTGTCATATGGGCAATAGAAGATGAGTCCTGAGGCCAGCACTGACTCACCCTGACCAGGATGTGCTACTGTGTTTGACTTACTGATGCCTGACAGTTTGTGTTTCCCACAGAGATTGAATTAGAACACATTAGTACAGAATTATTTATATCCCCACAGCACGACCACGACTCGTCATAAAAAAGTGAAGATGACGAATTAAGCATTTAGTCATGGTTAAACCATCAAAATATTATCCCCGCCTTATCTGGCTCTATAATGAGATTCTGTTTTACAGTAGCTTAGGCTTCTCACATGTCTATATTTGTCTCAGTGCTAGAGAAGCTTTCTATTACAGTTTAATAGTTCCTCAAAATGGCTTCATCACTGCCCTTGACCATATGCCAAATGAATAACCTGTTTAGGAAACCGATCTGCCAGGCTGGCCATTATCATTTGTCTCCAAGCCTAATCGTTCATACTTTGGAATAGGTATGGATAAATGTGAGCAAAATGCCAATTGATCATCTGGACAAGGCCTGCATTCAGCAGATTTTTGCTGTGTGGAGGTGAATAATGACAGAGGCAGGCGGTGCTGGCAGCCACAGCGGCTGTATCACCAGACTGAGAGCAGAGCTGCCCATGAAAACAGGCCTGACAGGAATCTAATCTTCAGCTTCCACATCTGTTTCCTCCTTTTCACTGTACATCCATTCAATCAGACTTCATTCACATCCCACTGAATGAAGCTGGATGCTTTGTTTTGCTTCACTCAGACGTCCTTTTAGAGATTTTAAAGGTATTTCCGAGACAGAGTTTGCAGTTTTTCAATGATAGAAAAGGAGTAGGAAACAAATGCTCTTAAATTTCAGCTTTGTAGAGGATGTGTTTTATGGACTATAAAAATATAAAATCTTTGGGTGGACTGCTTTTTGTCTTAGAAGCATTATGGTGTCCATTTGTCACCCTCTGCTTGTAGAGAAAGAGACTGTGCAGAGAGGAGAAAGCTGTAATATGGGGTCCTAAAAGCCGAGTTTAGATTTTCTGGATGTCTATAAACACGTATCTGCATGCAGGATCAGCAAACACTCAGTTCTTGGACATTGTGTCTCGACTCTGTTCTTGCTGCTGAAGCTCTAGTCAGACTGTAAACAATGCAAAGCACAGAAAAAATAAAACAAAACAAAACAGTCTTGCTCTGAGGTCTGGCTACAGTGAAAGCCTCAAAAAGTTAGCAGAACAGTAACCTCATCAGACAGGAGCTGATGGGCTCTGAGATTGAGCGTTAGTGCATATGCAAAGGGTTCTGTCTATGTATTATCATCACATGTAAAGTTATGTAGAGTCTCTGCTTTAAAGACAAACACTGGTGGGTGGGTGTTTGGAGCAAAATGGACATTATAGCTTTAACCTAGCACTACATCTCCATTCTCCAGTGCTTTGAGTGGGTCGGTATCCTCCAGAACCCTTACTAACTTCAGGATTTAACCAACTGTAAAAGAGTTGTATGGCTGTGGTGATGTGAGAAATAGTGAAGCAAAAACAGAGCAGTCTCTCTCTGTTGATTTTGGCGCCCCCCGTGGATAAAGTGGCCACACTTTGACCAGTTTATCCAAAACGCCACTCTATAGCCACAAATAATGCTCAGAACAGCACCTAACTTCATCAACAGTACATAGGGTCCCAGCACTAGACACCAAACATCTTTTTAGCTTGATTAGCTTGATTTTTTTAGCAAAGAGACTAAACACAACTCACCTACTCTCTTCCAGCAGCCGCTTGTTTGTAGCGAGACCTCAGGCCAGCGCATAATGGACTGAGGCGGGGTGACGCAGCTCAAGGAAGAACATTTATGATCATTTCTTCATGTAAATGCAATCAGACCGAGACGCTAAGGCAGAAGAACTACCACATCTCAGTCTTACTTCAAGAAAATGATACAGAAATATCCCTTTAAAAACCTCAATTCATAGTCTCACATGCTTTTGAACATGACATAGACGCATCGCTGATCATTTCGCTGTTTCATAACCATTCAAAAACGCCTCACAGGAGCTTTAATTTATAGTTATAAGAAGCCTCGAAACTTGATGTTGATGTTTAGCAACTTCAAGTTGGGCTGATTGTTCCTCTTTGTTTTGTGGTTCTTTTTGAGTTGTTATGATCTCCCTCCTGGTTCCTTCAGAGTGTTTAGCCCTCTCCGTCAACTATCCTCTCTTCACTCTGCTAACCATAACATTGTTTTTATTAATTGAAAGTGTAAAAGCATGTTTGTCACCAAGCCTAATCCACCCAAGTGTGTATATACTGAGGTGCTGCTGTCGTCTTTAGTGCAGTGGGTTGGCAAACACTCTCGTAACCATTAATGCCTCACTGCTTTGTATTAGTGTCCATTAGAGCCTGTGTGCCTTCCTCCAGTGTGGTGTTAGTGGTTTAGAGGCGCTGTGTGTTTCTCTGTAGTTAAATTAATTGTTTGTTAACTCGCCTTGTTGATGCTCGCCGTTTGGAGTCCGACCACGTGTGCTGCCTAATTTAAATATTGTTCCTATGACACCGCTGATTTGTGTTGAGTTTGTTTATTTAAATTTCAGGTTTGAGATTTCAGGGAGCTTTTCTCTGAAGGGGGGAAATTGCCCAAAATTGCTCATTGACATGTTATTAATGTGCCTCTTTCGCTCTTTTGGTGTCTCCGCTCATGAATAAGCATCTATCAAATCTGGAAAAGAGAGAGCCTCCTTGGTGTGATACTCGTCCACAGCATATCGAGAAATTATCAGGATTTTGTGACATCCTTGCACAGCTTGAACCTCCGAGTACTCTTAAAATCATCCTCAGTGGTTCAGAAGAAAGCAGCAAATTGAAGCTCCTAAGTCAAACTTATCTGTGCTCTTCTTCAAAATCCCTGCCCTCCCTCCCATTTGCTGTAATATTACCAGTATGTCCTCAAACACTCTCACAACATTACATTTCAGCTCCTCGGCGGAGGTGGATAAGAAGCTATCCGCTCCTCTTGGCACACCCAAGATTAAACTTTGATTATCTTGACCAAAAGTAGCCGAACAAGCTCACCAGGGCCCAAATATCCCCTCTGGCTTATTCATAAAATCCATGTGGCGCGGTCTTCTGGTTTGTCGAGATAACTGCAGTATTTTTGTTCACTGGGGATGAAACCAGCTGTAGGTTGTGCGGTGTTGCTACCTTTGTCAGATAAGATAACGATGTAATTTCCTCTGTAGGTCCTCGTCCATCAGCACCTTGCAGAGAGAGAGAGTCAGGAGATTTACAAATGCAGAGCAGGGCTGTGCCACTCAAGGTCCTCAGGGTGACAGAGATAATGAATGGACAGTATTTTTTATTCGTTCGCAATGGTGGAGAAAAAGCAGCGGTTATAAATCGACATGAAGTTATTTGTCTCATGTTGACTCATCGTTCTTCGAAGCACATGTTCAGTCAGCTGTGGTTTATGGTTCATTTTCACTGGTCTATGGTGTACCACAAGGCACGCTTCCAACCTGTGGGATCATTACAGATTCCTGAACAATCTTCAGCTCCTGCTGCTTCACAGACTTCACGGATAATCTCTGTTTATTTCAGCCTGGTGAGTTTCCCATAACTGTCTCTACCTTCACCTATAACAGAACTTGCACTTTTCACCTCTTGTTGTAGAAATTTAGGAAAACAAAATATGTATATGCAGAGAACAATATAAATGTTCTCCAAAGAAATCAGATTTCTGCATGAAGTATTATCACTGTGGTCTCCGGATTTAAAGGTAAACAGAGAGAAGTCTCTTAGATGAACCATCATTAATGCAAATCTGTGTGTAGCTTGAGGGTATAGCAGTCAAAAATACCTGTGACTGACCTAATTCACTGCGAAGTATTTATTCTGACAAATAATCTGTCCCTTTGTTTTTTCCACACTCCCAAATGTCCTGATTTCACAACAAGAGAGAGAGAAAGAAGATGCCTTTGAAATCTGAGTCTTTGATACCATCATAATATGAGATAAAGTCTATTTTAAACTCTCAGCATTTTGAGTATTTATACTGTTTATGCTTTATAAAACTGTTGGAGACTTATGTGGTGTTTAGACGGCAGAATTTATGCGTAGTTACTCTTAAAAGTTATTACCTGGCTGTGTTATACACTTGATTGTGATTGGTTAAAAGCCCTTAATCCTCAGCAATGGAAAGCAATGGCAGTGACAGCCTGATCACACAGACTGTATCAAATCAATCCACTGAAAGGGTGCCGGTTAAGCCTTGAGGTTAAGGTATTTTCCCCATGTATAGAGGCTATAGTGTGCATCACAATAGTTGCTGGTCGACCCTTTGCTGCATGTCCTCCCCCACTTCTACCCCCAACATTTTCTGTCTCTCCTCAGCTGTCCTATCAGTGAAAAGGGAAAAAAACAAAGACAGTCACCAGGCACGGATGCAGCAGAGCAGCTCAAGGAAGAACATTTATGATCACTTCTTCATGTAAATGCAATCAGACCGAGACGCTAAGGCAGAAGAACTACCGCGTCTGCAGTGTAAAATGATTAATATGGTGATTCATACTTCAGGGAAATGATAAAGAAATGATCATAAATGTTCTTCCTTGAGCTGCGTCACCCCGCTGTAGTCCGTAATGCACTGGTCGAGGTCTCGCTACAAACAAGCAGCTGCTGGAAGAGAGTATGTGAGTTGTGTTTAGTCTCTGCTAAAGAAATTAGGCAAAATTAAAAAGATGTTTGTTGGCTAGTACTATGGCTAGGACCCTATATGTTCTGTTGATGAAGTTAGGTGCTGTTCTGAACATTATTTGTGGCTATAGTGTGGCGTTTTGGTTGAGGTTTGTGTATGGCTCCTCAGACCGCTGTGTATTGCTATCATGCGGTCATTACTAAAGTTGGTATAAATAGAGAAGCAAGCGGTCGGCAACATTCATGTGGTGTCTAACTCGGTGTTACAGTGTGTTTGACCCTAAATTGATTTTACGCCAGAATATCCCTTTAAAGTCTCTCCACATGCCAAAGTAGCCCTGTGCATTTTACAAAAGAAAAGGCAAAAACAGTTCGATGTGTGAATGTGTTTTCGGGCTGATTCTGTTCGTGACAGAAAGCATTTTAAGCAGAGGTTATTAATGGGAACTGGTCCAGCTATCAGTTATGTCCACACCCTCTTCAAAGAGAGCTCTGAGACCTGCGGGGGTTTCAGATTCCAGGGTTGAGGCTGGTACCTTTCTCCTGGTGTGCCAGCGTGAGGACTGTTCAGGGCTACTCGTCCCGGACCTCGCTCCCCCATATCAAAAATGCAAATGAATTATCACAGATGGATCTTGTTGATGTCTTGAATATGCCTTGTTGTAAAATTAGCATTTCCATCAGCGTGAGAGCCCCTGTTGTTACTCTGGCAGGAACTGAACATGTCTGGATTTGGACTCCATCACAGGATATATTTAACTGCTGTCTATTTGACGGTGATGTGCTCAAATGTAAGTTCCAGATGTTTTGTCAGATCGAATGATTTTCAGGGACTTTGAATAAGACTCTGTTGGCATCACTGAACAACAAAACCTCCAAGATGCACACAAATACACTCGCACAACCCAGTCCTGACCGTGGTGACAGGAAGCTGCTATATATCTGCCAACAAAGGTATGTCCAGCTGTTGTGCCTCCTCAGAGGAAAGCTGTGGAGTTGTGGTTTTCATGGGGGGTCAGAAGTCCAACAAAGGTCCTTTAAAGACTCCAAGGGGGGCAGAAGGTAAATAAAGGACTTAATTTATTTGTGTGTTATTGTGATCCTGATTAAAGGGTTACCTCTGTCGTCTTTTTTGAAGATCATCTCCCTCCCCTTTCTTAGCACCAGTTAGCAAATGGCAAAGCTCATCCCCTGATATATAATCCTGACCTCTCACCTGGTCGTCTCTTTATCACAGCTGAAGTAGGTCTGAGCAGGAGGCTGCCGAGAGCTTTCATACACTCTGAGCAGTCTGTCTCTGTTGGTATTGATGAGTGAGAGACGCCACGAGAATAAAAGGCCAGGTCTCCTAATCTCATTGCGTCCCAGTCCTCCTGTCACTGCTTGACAACTAGGTTAAGATAATGCTGACAGATCCTCTTTCCAGGCTCTCTATGTGCATCACCAAGCTAGGACTGTGTATTCCCATGCTATGCAAACACAAGCTGGTGCCAACTTTTAATCACATCACGTTTCGGGACGAGGCGACTTCTCCTGATCCGGTTTGTCTGTTATGTGATCGCATTGCAGGACTATTCTGTAATGCATGTAAAAACAATGTGTTCCCTGTTTTGTAGAGGGCTCTAATAGAGTGCTAATTTCCACTTAAAACCTTTTTGCATGGCACCATATGCCTTTAACAGGGGTGGATAATTGTTAAGGGATTAGTGTGATTCATCATAAATGATTAAAAGCATAAACATCCTAATCTGTATCAGCGGGCGGTGGAGAATCACAGTGGTGTTCTTCGTATGATTTTCAACCACATGTTAAGCTTTGATAGAAATCAGCTCTTTCTAAAATTAGCCTGTCCTCTTTCTGCCAAGCTTTGAACTTGTTTTTATTTTTGCGTGCTCCTTTCTAATATCAGTGAATCAGATAAGTTTACTATGCCTTGAAAAACAGGAAGATAATGTCTGAAGATTGTCTGAGTATGTCATCTTTTCTCCTGATCAATAGAGTTCATTTTTCTTTCCCCTGCAGCTTGTGACTGAGTGCCTTTCTCTGCGTCTATTTAAAGTCTCTTTGGTTTCTCTGAAGCAGTGACCTTCTAAAAACTCTGGTACTTGCCAGAAAAAGTAAATTGTGCCTTGTGATGCCATAGCTGGGCTAAATGGATCCATGTGGACTCAGTGCACTGCAGCATGTGGGCAAAAAGTGCGGGAAAGTGTAGTGAGGTGCTCTCAGGGTTGACTCTCTCTCTCTCTCTCCACCGCCCTCCTACAGACTGACTGAGGCCGCCTGGAAAGTCTCTCGTTTGGGGAACATGTGGGATTAATTTAGACCTCCAGCCTCTCCCTCCATGGGTGTCTCCACCCTGTTTCCCCCTCATGTTGTTTTGCCAGAGGGAGACCATGACTGGTAATAAGTAGAAACAGAGCTTGTCTTAACACCCGCAGCTGGAGGGACTTTCTGAGAGATCTGTGGAAAGCAAAGGCTCAAAGTGTTTACAAGAGTGAAGCAGAGTCCAGCTCTGGGACACAGAGGAAGACACTCAGGCAGATAAAGTCTGTGTTTAGAAGGGCAGGTCTTCCGCATCTCGGACACTTTTTGATGTAACTTTTTGAAAAAGCCTCTGTGTTGCGAAGTGAAACCAATGAGGCACTTTAAACCAATCCAAAATACGAATACAATTTACTTGAAAAGCAATAAAAGCAAACATTTCTTTTAAATTTTGTGGCTGCAGCCAAAAGAAGTTTGAAAACCAGCCATAAAATCCCACTTAGCCACTATCAAGTCAACATAAGCCTATAACTGTCTAAGAGACAAATAATATTGATATTTTAATGTCACTGTTTTGGTTTTAGGAAAACAACTGAGATGTGTTGGTTCACCTTCAGACACAGCTGAATGAAAGCCTTAAAATCCCAGCCTGTAGCCACACCTGCCTAGCAGTTAAGCTAATGTAAAACACCAAAGAATTTATCAGCTAAAAATAAAGACAATACAGATATGTTGTAGTCACTGTTTTCACTGTTGAGGACCTGAACTGTCCTGCTAATCTCATCAGCAGAGAGAAAGCTTTAAACTCCGTCTCAAACTAGCTTCTTAGCATTAAGTAGCAATCAAGCTAGCAGCAAGCTAATGAGGAACCATGGCGGATATAGCAGCCAAAGAGACAGATATTTCCTGCACTACTCAGTGGAAATCAAACACAAAGCTATCTCTACATTATCATTCTCTTATTATAAGTACAAATTTATGAACAACTAAGATCTACTGTTAGTTTTGTGTTTAAATGTTTTTAGACTGTTGCAAAAAAAGTTTGAACTAATTTCATCATTATTTATTAATGCACATGAGCCTTTAAAGGGACATTCCAGCAAAAAATTAATTTAGGGTCAAACACACAGTAGCAGAGTTAGACACCCCCCCCCCGAGAGATGAATGTTGCCGACCGCTTGCTTCTCTAGTTATATCAACTTTAGTAACAACTGCAGGATAGCAATAGAGAGAGCCATGCGCTCAACCAAAGATGCCATCTATAGTCACAAAAAATGCTCAGAACAGCACCTAACTTCATCAAGAGTACATATAGAGTCCTAGCCATAGCACTAGCCACCAAACATCTTTTTAGCTTTGCCTAATTTCTTTAACAAAGAGGCTAAACACAGCTCACCCACTCTTTTCTAGCAGCGGCTTGTTTGTAGCGAGACCTCGGATGAGTCCATTACAGACTGCAGCGAGGTGACGCAGCTCAAGGAAGAACATTTATGATCATTTCTTTATGATGTCCCTGAAGTTATAATCACTGTATTAATCATTTTGTACTGCAGACGCGGAAGTTCTTCTTCCTTAGCGTCTCGGTCTTATTGTATGTCCATGAAGAAATTTTACGCCGGAATATCCCTTTAAGACAATGTTGTGATACAGCCTGTGTTAGGTGACACTATAAATACAGATTCAGACGGAGTGTCATAAGCCAGGTGCTTTGTGGTTCATTTTAGAGATGACCTTATCCTATGTCTGTCACTCCTCCCTGGAGGCTTTACTTTTATATCAGTTAGTCTGACTATAGCGTGATGACTATTAATAAACGGTTATAAAATAAATGCATGGGCCTCCATAGCAACAGAGTGAAGTATTTTTCCCTGACGTTCAGGGAATTGTATTCCCGCATGTTGTTTTATTTTGAAAAGGACAAACATGGACTATAATAAGACTGCAGGGTTCATCGTGCTCTGCATTAGCCACTGTTTGCTTCCACCCATCATCTACTCTCGTACACTTTAACTCCTCTGGTGTTCAAATAGAAATCAAAGCAGGTCGCTTGCTTTTTTAGAAAAATAAGTGCACTCTTATCATGAATGAGGTTATAGTTAGGCCACCTTACAGCATGTCGTTACTTTATTACCCTTTTGTCAGATGCCAGTATGAAAGGTGACATCAGACTTGGCAGTGAGGATATTTTGAAATGAGGTTAAATTCACAATGGACCACTGTGTTCAGCCCTCAAGCCTTCACTATTCTCTGCGGATTACAGGGTCCATTTCCATTTAATATCGGGTTTCCAGGTGTCGTATGGAGCGAAATATCAATCACAGTTTGAGTCTGGAAGGTCAGATCTTCAGTGCTTGAAGTGATTTTAATTTATTCCAGCAAGTGGTCTCTTAGAGATTTTATGGCTCTTTCTAAACCAGTTAGACACCCACATATTATTTATCTGGAATGTTTTTATTACAAAACTTGACAGATGATATAAAAATGGTTGTAAATTATTACTACCATAATGGCTGGTGAGGAAGTTGTTGACCACATCATTGACACAGACTGTACTCCTCTGCAGAGAAGCAGGCAGCCAGCTCCAGTCTGTGGGTTTCCTCTGATACTCTGTTTTCTTTGGCACAACTCTGCTGAGAAGCCTTCAAAATGTTACTGCCTGCAAAAGTGTTATCACTACCCAGATGATGAAGTCATAGTTGCTCTGTCATTGACGGGAAAACAAGGACAGGAAGGTTGAGTTGAGAATTTTTCTCCTCTCGCTCATACTCATACTCATACTCACAAGAGACATGGCTGCAGTGATACATGCACAGACTTCACGGTAACTCGCATGAGAGAAACAATAACAAAGGCCGTTATGGGTTCAATTAGTCCTACATCGCTCTTTGTTGTCTCAGTATGCGTCAGACACTTTTATAGGTCAAAGGTGGTCTGTGTGTTAGACAGTCTGCAGTGAGACTCTGCGGTTCTTAACAGGCTTTCGCTTCAATCCGCTCCAATTAAAACAACTAAGACTGACAGCTAAAGAGGGCTCTGTTAGGACCAAGTTCATTATTCCGCTTATTAAAGGAGCGTTATTTACTGTGACGTAAACAGTTGATGTCTGGTATGTCATGTGGCTAAGCTAATGTGGTTTTTCTGATGCATGCAGCCTAACTTTAAATTCAGGGTTCTTGGTGGTCCCGTGTTTAGCTGTGTTAAATAAATTGACTCAACTTGGACTGCTGCAGGGGTGTTGTAGAAAATGGCGAGTTTACCCAGGTGGTTGTGCATTGTGTTTGAAGTCCCCTATAGATTGGATGAAGCTCCATCCTGCCTTGTCTCTTTCATGTGAGGACGTATTCTGTTTGTGAAACCCTTGTCTCGAAGGAATTGAATTAAACTAACCATCCTGAGAGAGAGAGAGAAAATTCACATGAAAATTTCTGCTCTGGCTGCAGTTCAGAATTTTAGCAGACTTGATGTTTAATGACTGATGAACTACAACAGAGCCCTGGAGTGTTGGTACTGAGAGCTCTGCCACGCCACAGTACCACTCCACTCCAAAACTTGGATCCTAGTTCGAGTCTTAATCCCGTCCGCACATGCCAGCGATCTAATTCAGCGACCTGATCGGAAGTGACAAGAACAGCAGACTCTTGTGTGTTTCGCAGCACCCTGCCCCCATCACCACTTGCCACCATGTGAATTCTCAGCAGTGTGAATAATTGCTACAGTCCTGATTAAACTTCTGTGAAACTATTAGTGACCTGGCCAAATCCGGCTGATCCCTCAAAGTGTTTTCCCTTTTTGCTTTAGGGCCAACTGCTTTCAGATGTTAGGAACCAATCACCGAGTGTTGATTGAAACATGCTGCCAAAAATGTGAGATCTTGTGGTATGTTATGTCAAAGTCACGCAAAATAATGACCTTCAGTACCTGTTTATGCCGAGGTTTGGCCATGTGGCAACCTCCTATGTTGAAAAATGAAGCTGGTGCAGACATTTTAAGAAAACTCAAATTTTCGACTAATAATCAGTCAACAGCTGCATTTTATCAAAGGTCGAAGGTTCCTTTATTTGTACCCTCAGGTAAATTTTATTTGCCTTGAATCACATGTATGACAGTAGACGGACAAACAGCACAGTACATGCAACAGGATATACATATAAAGTGACAACAGTGCTCGGGGGTAAGACCATAGACAAGTTACAAGAGATGAAGAAGAAGCAGCAGCTGCTAGCAAACTAGCTTCAGCAGATCTCTGAGAGATGCGTTGACACTTAAAAAAACTGACAGTCAAAGATTTATTGTGAATCTATTGACAATGTTGAAGCCTGTGCCACTTTGGGTTACTCATCAATTAAACATTTATCTTGTTTTTATTTGATTCTGTAACCTATGACGTATCAGAAGTGGTGAATTTCAAAATAAAAGCACAGCTAAATAATGCTGGAAAAAGCCATCTTTCACTCTCCATTAGATGTGGACTCAAACTAATTGGATAAATATAGATTTCTTTGTGGTTTCTTTACCTGTCTTGCAGCTCATCTGGTGTCTATCACGTAATTACACAGCTGTCAGCCAGTGCATTGGCATCTGGATTGTTGCTGGGTTTTCCTGGAGAGCTCAGTGTTTGGTACTGACAAGAAATCTGGTCACTTTACATAATGCGGTTTGTTTTGGCCACCTGCTGCTCCCTCACCGGAGATACCCCGAACAGAATCTTTTCTAGCTTCTTTAGTCTCAGCTCCAGCTTATTGTGCGAAAAACACAAGAAGCTTAATCACTCACTAATTTGTTTCTTACAAGCACAAGAATTTCAGCTCTTTTCCGGCACAGCCCCATCCTTCAAACTTGGTAACCTCTGTCAACTTTTGGCAGCTATATGCCAAACTCTCAGTGACTAAAGCTATTATTTATACAGTCTGTGGTTTTGGTGGATCCAGGATTAGCAACTAAGTCTTTCAGTCAGTAATGCCAGCCTTCTGGACTGTGAGTTTTACTATTTATCACCAAATTGCCTGGACAGCCAAATTGGACCGTGCTGGATATTCAATCAAATATTAACCCAGCTCAGTATCTCCCGCCGTCTTTACTTCTCTCCCTCTCTGACAGAAACTCTACTTCAGTTCCACTTTACACCCACAAGTTCAATAATGCAGCAGTTATAATGTACCTCTTTGCAGTAGTCCCATGAGCACGCCGGCTTTTAGCATCGCTGAATATCGGGCTGTATAAACTGTGAATATCAATTAGCTTGTGTTATTGATCTTTATACAAGGCCATACCCAGCTCTGTACTCCCTGCCCACCTTCATTCATTTTACATTCTGATCCTGTACGTCCTCCTCCGCCACATGTTTGTGGAGATGTCAGCTGCTGTCAGTTCACATTTTTCTTCCAGCTGCACCTCCTCTGCGGAAGTTTTAATGGTTTAGATGCAGAGCAGGGAGAGGCAAAAACACCTGTAATGAGAGAAATCATGTCTGTCTGTGACTAAGCATGATGCACTGATAGAGTCTCCGCGCTCAGTTGTGACAAGTAAAAATGTCTGTGGAGATATATGCATGTTTTATCTCCTCTCTGTGGCAGGTTAAAGCTCCCCATGATAACAGCCTGTGGGTTTAGCCTGCCTCGCGAAATATATCTCTCTCCGTCTTAATGAAATCATTCAGGGTTGCGGCGCTTATCTGCAAAGAGCCCTGGCGTTCTCGGCTCCTATAAGCATATTTCTGCCTCACTAATATGCAGGGTGCTGCAAACTGAGAAGTCCCCCCCTGAGAATGTGTGCAGAATGTCATTAGTGAGTCTTAGGTCTTCCCTGGAGACTGTAGTCACATTTTACTTTCACAAAAAAGTTTTTTTCCCCTCGCATTGGAGAATTTTTAAAGATAACATCCTTTTAACATTCAGAAAGTTTTTTTCTGTTTTTGTTCGTCTAAGCTGAACTTTTAAAGGACAGTTTCACAATTTTCTTGGATATTTTTTGTATTTCTAAACAAAATAAAGTAGAAATAACTTTTGGGGCTGGATTTGGCTTCAGTGTTTTTCGTAACATTGCAAGAATCTTACATAGATATGACTCATCTGTTCCTCCCTTTAGAAAGTTCAAACTCTTATCAATTTTTAATGTGAACATAAATCAAACCGGTGCGTTTGTGTATAAATATGTGCTCTCAACCCAAGACCTGCCCAGCACTTTTCAAGAGTTTTTCAGGTCTTCGTTGGACATTCATGCGTATTAAAGAAGGCACTCCCTCCCTCCATCCTGCCATACTTTCAGACAGTTCACTCAGATATATCTACATCTACAATACTGTCATCATTAAAAAGACCTTTGTAAACAGAGATACCTCTTGTCAGGCCTCATCATAAGCCTTTTCAGAGCTGCTCATCTCCCTTGCTCAGTGTTTAAGCTTTTATTACTCACTGTGGTCTTATTCTTATAACGTGTACATAAACTAAACCAAAGATCACCCCCATAAGAACCATGATTCCCATCAGCTGTGGTCACTAATTAAGTGTTTTAAAACCCAGAGATGGCCATACACCACCATACAGGAAATCCTTTCAGCTTATACTGACGTGGAATTGAGGCCGTGCTGCCCGGTCCACCTGTCAGTCAAATCAGGCACACACCTCATTATTTTACCCACCTATTATACAGATTTCTTAGCTGGATTTTACTTGATTGTGATTGGTCTGTGTAAGGAACGACTACCTCCTGTGTTATTTCAAGCCAGCCTACAGAACAACATCTGGCACGTTTATAAAAAGTATGATTTCACCTTTTCTGTTGACAATGCAGCAGAAATATTGGTTTTCAAAAACTTGGCTAAAAAAAGACTGAAAATATTAAAATCATTGTCCTTACTTATTTAGAGGGCCCAAACCTATAGATTAGTTAATGGCTGGTTAAGTGAGAATAAAATGCTATTTTCTGTAAATAAAATGTTATGATTTAAAACAGTAAACAGTTGCGACATCTGATTCACCGGTATATCCAACATGGCCGACCGGCGTGTCCAAGAACAGAGTGCTTTTTGATAAAAAATGCAAATATTACAAAGATAACGACCTGAAGGACAACTTGTGGAGAGTCATAGCATCAGATTTCTCATATGACGATGGTTTGTGTGCTTTAACAGTTTCCTAAACGTCTTTGTTTTAACTTTCATCTGTGCTAAGTAACTTTAGCTTGTAAGCTAACCTGTTCAGATACAACATACCATATGTATTTTCACTGTCTCAAACTCAATCGCGTTGCTGTCACAGCACCGTTAGGTCTTGGTTGTTACCTTATGTTTATGGATTATAGTTTAATGTGCTTATCTCGTACTGGCCCTGACTCAGTACATGCTATCATGACAGACAGACATCTCAACACTACTGCCTAATCAGAACTGAAAAACAGTCAGTCTGCTGTTGTGTCAGTCTTCTCGCTTCCAACCGGGACACGTCTTTATTCCCCCCAGAAAGTCGCAAAATCGCATCGCACTTGATGTGTATAGTCAGACGCGTCGTTTATCTGCGTCGTTCCCGGTGTGTAAGGACCTTAAGTCTCAATTTTATAACTGGTGGTATAAAATTCCACCTTTCGTACAGTTGATACTATTAGAGAAATGAGATATGGAGACCAGGCTGTAAACATGTTTGACTCTGCTGTGAAATTGATTAATATAAACCCTTAAAGGGGTCTCCTTGGCTTTTAGAGCTGGCCTCACATTTAAACTACACAACTGCACTCTCCAGCCGTCAACACCAGCTGTCTGTGCTTGGTTGGGACTAATTTCATCGAAAGCCTAAAATTAATACTTTCCTGAAACCGGAGGAGGAAGAGTTGGAGGAAACAGAATCACTGGGAAACTGCTGAGTGGTCAGAATCTCCACCTGGCTCCTGGAGGCACAAACAAACAATTGTTCAGGGTTGTGCAAAAGCAGCAACGGTACAGCTGTCTCAACCCCTGAGCTATAAGTAAACACCTAAAGGAGCCTGAACTCAAGTGTAGATCAAATGTCAAGTTTCAGGTTGAACCCTAGAAAACTGTCAGCTCAGCTCTTGCTGTGAGAGGTGAGGAGTTGTTGTGTCTGGGAGTCGCTCACAAATGGGTCCGTAATCTGTCCTATACACACGAGAGGTGATGGCAGGACGTCGGGGGAGTACGGCTGCAGCTGCCTCTGCTGCCGGCTTTCATGTGGTGTGGGTTGAGGTGTCAGGGCAGCTGGAACAGGAGAGTGTTGGTAGAAAAACACTTTGAGCTGAGGCAACAAAAGAGAAAACAGAAAAAAAAAGAACTTGTCTAAATCCATCAGTTTCCAACTTCTATGCTAGATTCCCACGAAATGATATTTTTAGACCAGGACTGATATAAATCAGAGCATCTGTCTCACAACTTCAGGAGCCTGTCACCATGTTAGTCATGTTGACTGAACAGATTTGTCTGTCGCAGCCTGTCTGCAGTCTGTGAAATCTTAGTACTACATCATTTGTTATGGTAACAGACTGAAAACGTCTTTCACATGAGAGATACGACTGTTTGTGTGGTTATGTGTACAAAAACAGGGATGATTGTACATTTACAGTAGAAAAATGCTTGAAAAACAGCCAAACGGTCTGTGTAAGCTCTGAAATGTTCAAACAGACATTTTGGCAGAGACACACTCATCAGATAAAATACATTTGATGTTTTTTTATAGGATTGAGAATGCTTGGAAATATACATTAAATTATAGGAGGATTTAGCTCATCTGAATTGCTTTAATTACCCGTAAATGTTACAAATTTCACGCCAGAAAATTTCAAGCACTCAGCTTTTTAACGTAATTAGACTCTTGGCAGGCAGGAAAGCGTATAAATAGTCGTTCCACCTCATGATGCTCACGCTCTATTAACCCTCATCCCACCTAAATATTTAACCTACAAACTAGGACTGTTTCAATTCCCCACAGTATAATACCGAAGAATCAAAGCACCATGCAAAGTCGTGATTACAAATTTGCAAATGTCAGAATAGGCACTCTGTTTAATCTGTTTCTGTCTGACTCTTTTCGCTGGTTCCTTCGCTTTCTTTGCAATCTCCTCCGACCCTGTGTCTGATTTTACCAGTGTCACATGTATAGTGACTGTCTCATGCTGCTCTCCCTGCCTTGGCTTTTCATGCATGCACATGAAACAGAGGGGAGGGGTGCTCTCCCTGCTGCAAGCTTAGGCATTCCACGTACTTAAAATCCAGGTAAAACAGAGCCGTGCTGCAAAATCTAACTAATCCATCATGCAAGTGTTTAATCTTTTGACAGAAGTGGTCCTAGCTGAGATAAAGCATTCAGGAGTCAAGCGAGGTCTGTAGGTGGGGTTATTTTTGCATACTTAACTGAACTTGAGCTTAACTGTCTTGTTCAAAACGGGTATCAAAATAACAAATTGGCATGGATCAGGCATATTGGATTGTATCATTAGTCACTCCTGTATAACTCCCACCCTACCTTATCAACATCCATCAGATCAGATGTTACTCTTTGTAACAAGAGTCTCCTCAGCCTCCTCTCTTGACTTGGAGTCAAATCTGATCACAAAGATACAATGATGTCCAAACTGACAGTCTGAATATGCCGCTCCGCTTTGCACGTCAATGCTTTTTATTAATAATTAAAACTTGGTGTGCTGGAGCAGTTCGATATGAGATACTGTCTGCCACTGAAGCAGAGATGTGTTCAGTGTTTGCAGACATGTGGCTCCATCCTCAGAGCTGCGCCTACAAGAGAGAGGCTGCGGTTGCTGCCAAGAAGTTTTTCGACTCGTATCGAGGTGATGCCTCGTGGTGCACTTAATGAAGTACGGGCAGAACGAGCGAGGAGTATCGATCCTCCTTCTCATGCCTAATGCATGAAGCCAGAGCTAATTATTTTCTGAAATCATTTGAGGCTATTAAATGAAGAAAGTTCACGAAAGCTTGAGTGGCACAGCTGAACCTTTTTTACTCTGAGTTCATGTCCTCAGCATGCACAGTTATGGTGAGTTACGGCTCATGATTGGTATAAAATCATATTTCCTGTTTTGATTTGAATGATTCTTAGTGAAGAAGGATCCGGCCATGGGAGTTAACCTCACTGTGAGGCATTAGCTGATGCTTTTAACTTAAAATAGCAAAAATAATATCAACCAGAAGACGTCTCTTCTCTTGCTCAGCTGTAATTTTAAATGCCCGCCATAGGGCTGAGAAATATGGCCAATAAAGTCTCTGATTTTTTTTACACCAGATTTTAATAGTTTCTTTTATTTACTTCTTAAAATAGCGACAAGTAGTGAAGAGTTATGAGGGCCCAGAGGCCACAAACAGGACTTAATGGATAAAACTGATTTATCGCCCAGCCCTACCTGCCCCAACTTTCTTCAGGACAGTTGCCAATCAGGATACTTAATGTGTCAGTGACCCAGAGGGAGTGAGAGTTTTCCTGTTTCTTGTTTACTTGCCAGTTTGGAAGCAAGAAAGGATCATGGATTACAAGCAGTAAAGCGGCGTATCCAAGTTAGAATAATCTACGGGATAAAGAAGATCTGCTTAGTCCACAGGGGGCGCTAAAGCTAAAAAAATCAAGTGTTTTTTGATTGCTTTTTGTAGCCTGAAGTGTGCCGTTCCTTTAGGGATCTTTAGTGCATTTTGGCGCCTTTTAACACATCATTTTGGTATTATGTAGCTCAGACAAGACTTATTCAGAAATTTGAAAAGTATTATCTTTTAACAAAAGGTAAGAAATAAACCGTACACTATCTGCCAAAGAACAAAAATATAAAAAGTTTGCATCTACATTGATTAGTTTCAAGCAGTTTTTTTAGGAAACAAAAACGGAGCTGAGATGAGAGTAAAAATATTGAATTTTACATTTATCAGACTGCCAGAAACGTAACTCAAGATGAATGCCGAGTTGCTCTGTATTTGCAGGATGTCATAACAGGTAACTTGTTTGCTCAAACTCTGCAATTATGTCAATTTTCACTTCACCCATCAGAATATGAAAATCCTGTTGAGAATGTAACTTCCAAGGAAACTCACTTCTGTCTCCGCAAACAAAGACGCCACAGTTTAATGGTTTTGTGTTCCAGCAACGACAATAACTGACATTTCATTTGCTGGTGGACTAATTAGAGGACTGATTAGTTGCATGCAAAGTGCTACAACTGTTACTCGTCTGTCACGTTCCCTCCGGCCCAGAGGAACCGCTTCATCCCTTCGTGTCAGGGTACGCCTCACCCACAAGGCTGTCTGCTATAAGCTCGTCAATCTGTAACCAGTCTTTAGCCACTTTCGGGCACTCGTCATCTGTCAAACATTGTTAAAGAGATTGATGTGTCCTCAGCTGCGCCACATCCCTCTGAGGAAGAAGCAGAAGGAAAGTTTTGTGTGGATGTAAAATAAAGATAGAAGCATTATTATTCACGTGTTAGTAAACCACTTTAAATGTCCGCAGAGAAAAAACAGGATTTCTTTCAGCAGGACCGCTGCTGTCCTCACGCGCCCCGCATACTGACTCTTAATGCATGATCAGAGTGTTTACTGCTCTGTCGTTAGCGGTGTGTGTTACTGCTTTACATTCAGTGTGTGTGTGTTAGCCCAGAGAGCCTGTGACAAGGGCTGCCATTCAGCCACTTCACTGTGCTCATTTACAATCTGCTCTCCACGTTGCCTGGCTAAGTGGTGACTGAGTGAGGCCTATTTTTAACTCCTCTCCTGTAACTGGAGCACAGAGCTCATTCATTTCAATGGGTAACCGAGTGAAAAAGGCAGGCAGGTGTCAATCAGCAACGACGGACACACAGTTAGTTAGTGCTGATTAAAATTCATTTTACATCTCCTTATTTCTCATTGACTTTTTTATCTACTCAGACAAGTAGACCCAAAATGATCTTTAATTTGAAACGACAGCATGGCACCACTGGGATCCACACTTTTCCTATTAATGTTGCTGTTGGGAACATTTAGGAGTTTAACTTTGCTGTAAGATTCATGAATCTCAGCAGCCTTTCGGGCTCCCTGCGCTGGCTGCCGGCCAACCCTTATCTTCCATCCATATCCACAGGACATTTTTATCACCTTTTCATGTGTGCAAGCCCAAGAGTTTAACACAGCCTGGCCACTTTACAGAGCAAACTGCTCTGATAAACGTTTATCTCCCCCTACTTGAGCGTTTAATACATCATCAGTCGGGGAAGAGTGCAAACATGAAAACATCTCAGTCTCAGGGCAAAATCCCAGGCCGCCTTATTTCATATTTACAGAGTTTATCCTGCAGAAGGTCGAAGCTCCGGGTGATCACTCGTTGGCTTGTAAAGCCTGCGATGGCTTCGACCCGTGTCCACTGGAGATGAATGGAACAGATGGGTCGAGAGCTTAAGTGGGGAAGTGATTCTGCTGATGACACCTGTGCATCATGCGTGCACTTCATGCACCTGCAGCTGCCTGTGCACGGACCCACACCCTGATCCTGTTATGTTGGCTGAGATCGGATTGGGCTCTGCCAGATGGGCATAATTAGCTGATGAGACTGAATCAAAATGCACCAATTTATCAAAGTGTTTGGCTCCAAAGTGCCGTGGCAGAATTAAGGTGATGAGTGCCATCGTTTAAGACCAATTCTGCTGACATAACATTTCCAGCAGGAGATGGATACTTCATATTATTGTATATGTGTGATGCAAGCTCAGCTAAATTAAACGTATGATGTTCACATTTAGTAAATTACGCACAAACATGCTGGCGTCATACGTTTTTTACATTACCAACATATTAGTTGGGCCAGTAATTTCCCAAACAAACTGGGCAGATTAAAGCTCCTGTGAGCAACTTTTGTTCCTGTATTAAATTTGGCGCCCCCTGTGGACACAACAGTCTTAATTTATTTATTATTTTTATTTATTCTTAAGTGTGTCATTTAACATAATAATAATAATAATAATAATAAGTATTATAATTACTATTATTATTATTATTAAAACAACAACAACAACAACAACAATAATAATAATAATAATGATAATGATAATAATACATTTACAAGAAACAGTATAAAATACAGAAAATGTGGAGTGATAAGACCAACAATGTAAAAGGTTAAAAAAAGATATAATATGAAAAGACAATAAAAACAGTTCACAGATTAAAAGCCAATTTAAAAGGTGTCTTTTTAGGAGTGATTTGAAAGTATGGGGGTCTGTGCAGTCTTGGATATTTTGAATTTTTTTTAATGTAAATATGGTCTCATTTGCTTTTAGATAACATAAACAGGCATCAGTATGGATTTCAGTCTGTCTCATAAATCTCAAAAAACTCCTTACTGGAGCTTTAAGATAACTAAATTTACAGGAAATGCTTTGCACCTTACAAGTTTTAGGTAAGTGCACATTTGCCGATCTGTCCAGGGTGCATCCCACCTTTCGCTCAGTGTATCTTGGATTGGCTGGCTGGATGTTTGATGATCTTTTGATTATTAACAGCAGGACAGTGTATTATTTGTCTCAAAATAAGCCTGAAATCTCATGTTCAGAGTAATTTAGGTCCATGTGATCGAGGGAACAGTGTGGCTTATTGATGCAGCTTCAAAGGTCCACAGTCGTTTGAGGTAGGGCAAGTTATCCACTTTATATTCATTTTAATAAACAGTATAAATATTTGAACTGTAATGACCTGGTTGGAGACTCACAAAGCCATTTTAAATAGCTTGCCTTTTAGTATTTCAAAGTGTTGGAGTGCATTGTTAGATACAGGATGTGCTAAAAATAGTTTGAACAGATTATAACTTTAAGTGGGATGGGCTCAAATTAGACTTTTTAAGTAAGTGACAAATCTCCTCTTTAGTTCTGCTGTCAGCTCAGGCAGTCAGATACTTAATTGGCTTCATTAGTTTTAATTGGTAAACATATTACAATATAAAAAGGTATGCAAGAATGACTAATGCTTTAAACTGAATAATCTGTGGGGCAAAATAAGTAAGCAAGAGTAAATAGCTCCACTGGGGCAGCTTATGAAAAATGTGAAAGGACTTCTGGAGATAGATGCTGTTTTATTTTATGATGAGGAATACTAATGCAGTCAGAATCTGTCATTTCTGACAACCTTTTTAAACTTGGCGGCTTTCACTAGTTGTTGATAAAAAAAAATGTATCTGCTGAGTCATGCTGGACTGTACCAAGAGCACCATTATAATATGGATTCAGTATGAAGAGGAGGAGGAGGAAGTTTGTCAGATATAGACATTCACTTGTAAGGGAGCACAGTCTGAATCAATCTGAATATTGAAAACTTCCTCATTACTGAAACCATCTCCGTTTCAGAGGAATTAAAGCGTCTTAGCGCTCTCTTGCTTGAGCGCTGCCAGTCTCTTTGATGCCAGAGTCTAATGAGGCTTACATTATACCACAGCTGGCAGAGGCCCCATCCCAACACCGGATACTGACTCAGGAGGTCAGAGTCAAGCCTCCGCTGGCAGACACATGTACTTTTAATACCACAACCCACTCATACAACTGACACCAAGCACAGTGGTGTGAAAGTGTTTAAACTCTACTAACAGCAATGATTTAGGTCAGCTCCAAACAGGGACTTATTCATAACACTGAATTTTCACCAGTGGACAGACTTTTAATTTGATTACAAAAAACTGCAGTTGGTTTGACATTGATGTGGTGCTGTCAGATGACATTTTGTGCACATGCAACACAAACAAAAAAAGCCCTGAATTTCTGACATGCAAGACATTCATGCAGCTGATGAGGATGTTGTGGCTCCCTGCCTGACAAACGATGTGTGATGGAGTAGAAACCTGCCTCAATAAGCTGAGTGTATTCCTGGTCCAGAGTGTTGCACTGTAAAGTGTCAGCCAGTGGAGTCCTGCAGGAGGCATTGGAAGGATAACTGACTTATACCCCTGCACACACCTGCTCCAATCTACACACCTGCTATGAGTCATGCTTATACATTTACACAAACACACAGTGGCTGTTTATCATGCATAAAGTGAGTCTCCTGTAAAAACACCAGCAGCTGGAGAAACTGGACCCCGCTTTGCTAAGTAGGGGTTGAACAGTGAGTTGCAGCAGGTTGCGCTCCCATGCTTCACTGCATGTTTAATTATGCAGCTTCAAAGCAACACTTTGCACTATTCAATAAAACGCCAGCTGATTTACTCTTTTGATAGATTTTCTCTCCTGCAGAATAAAACCTCGGAGCAGGCGCTCAGCTGAAATGATAACCTTTGCTGCTGCTGAGTGATAGATTTCATTTTAAAAGCGTTATGCTTTCCTCATTTAAAATGACAGGTTTTGATTTATGATCAGATCTTAAGTGAAGCCTGACAGTGTCACTACTAAAACAGTTCATTGAACGCTGGTAACAAAGATTCACTCTTACAAATTGCAGATATCATTTCCCTCTTATTAACCTCCTGCTTTTTATGTAATCATATAGGCACTTTCTGTAATGGATCAGTAATGGAGTGATTTTAAACCTTGTGTGTCTGTGTGTGTGTTTGTGTATTTCTGCACTTTGTAGATGCATTGGTCTTTTAGTAAGTCAGCCTGTAGTCGCTGCAGTCATTATCACAGCGTCAGCAGATGAGGACCGCTGCTGTCCTCTTCTTGGCCTTGGGTTTTGGCCGCTTTATTAGATTGACCTCACAGGGGCAGAGGTGAGCTTGGAGGTAAATAGAGAAGCTGAGTCAGCATTGAGGAGAAATGCAACATGTAGTCGGCTTTGTAAACTTCAAACGTGGGCATTGAAACACAAAGATATGCAGACAATTCTTACGTGACAGCTTGAATAGACATGCAGAGGAGTTTACAAAAAAAAGCTGTTTGCACACAATGCAGGGGCAAGGTGCTTAACTCAGGCTTTAGCTTGTTATTCTTTCAGAGGTTCAGCTGTGAATAAGTTTGTATGTGTGTCAACTGTGACCTCTGACAGCTATAAAAAGGTGTGGAGTTCTGGTGAGGTGACAGTGAATGCAGGGCCGAGTTTTCTCTCACTAATCCCTGCAGGCTCCAGCACTTTGATTATGTCCCTTTTACTGCTTATTGTATCAGCAAATTCTGCAGCTTTGAATAGTAATACCTGCGGTTTAGTGGGAAGCACAAAACCAAATATGTATGCACCTCTGATTCTGTCCCACCTTCGTTAGAGGACGTACATACTCACTATCAAGAATAATGGAAACAGCATATCTGACAGCGTGAAGGCAGCGCAAGATAAACCCACCCAAAGTTAGGCTGCAGCATCTCAACTGGAATGACTTCAGTGCAGATTTACCTTGTTGCCAAGCAATAAGGGCCTATGGAGGGTGTAGCTCAACAACCTTTCAACAACCTTTAATTTAGCACTACAAGTCTGCATCAGTGTGTGTGTGTGCATGTGTTTGTAACTAATATAGCGAAGAAGAGCAGGAGCAAGATGGAGAAACTTTGTGGAGTCGTGATGAAAGTTAACTGATGAATCTCAGCACACAAAGTCGTTCTTAATTGTAAGGCATGATTTTAACGCAGTTTAGGTGTCCACTGATGTACGACTCATAAATAAGAGAGGTACGTTTTTTGACACCAACAGGATTTTGCAGCTAGTTAGCGAAGATGTCAACAGGGTCATGTTAAAGCTCATGTGAGGAATTTTTTGTTTGATTTTGGCGCCCCCTGTAGACAAAGCTCAACCTCTTGCATCTATACTGATCACAGTATGTTGCATTATCTGATATTGATCAAAATTATAGTGATTATCATCCTGGCAATAACCATGCAGACCTACTTTATTTATTTCAGGGCAGAGGTTTTTACAAGCTGTCTTTGTGTTAAAGCTGCTGTAAGGAACTTTTGATCAGTGAAGATTTTGACTCCCCCTAGTGGACAAAGACATAGTTCTTATCTTTTGTTCCTAACATAGGAGAGTAATGTTTTTAGACATTAACCTAATCCTCTTGTCTTTAAATAGTGAAATGTTTCACTTGCTAAATAATGCCCATGAAAAATGCAGTTTTTTTTTTTTATTACCTTGCTGTCGATGATGTGGTCTGACATTTGTTACAGCATTTTAAAGCATTAAAAATCACATTTCAGATTCTTACTGTAATTTTTGGTCATTTTATCAGATACTTGCTACCAAAATTTTTACATTTAAGCTAGTCTGAGCTTTGTGTACCTTTTTCTTTGCTGCAGCCCAATCCTAAACTTTTCACCCTGTAAGCGTTTGGAAATGATGTCTGTTTTTGTCTGATCTTTGATTAAAGTAATGATATTTTGTTCAGGACTGCAGGTTGCAATCTGTCATCTGCACCTAACTGATTTTAAAATAGTTAGAGATTGATGTAACATGAATTCATGTTTCTACTGAAGCTACACAGAGAAGTTCAAGTTATATCCCCCGCTCAGATACTTCAGGGTCTTTTAAAGCGGCTCTGATGCACTCGAAGTTTAGCACATTCAGAGCGATTTGCATCCGTCTAGTTTTAAAGAGCTTCACGGTCCACAGGCACCTGAATGCGACTGCATATTGTCAAGTGGCACTTTAGCAGTCCGACTGAAATAGAACAACTTCCTCTTACATTTTGCAGCTATAAATATTTCACAGCATTCAACGGAAAACTCTTTTGTCTTTGTTCTGTACGATTGCAGCGAGACACAGCTCTCTGTTGACGGAGCAGCGGCTGAGATGGAGGGAGTGCCGTGTATTTCAGCGAGCGTTTGTTTGAAAAAGGAATAGTTTATGGTCCGGAGTTGACGGGTCACTTTAGTGTTAGATTTGTAGCAGCCTGTCATGTTGTTTCCTCGGTTATCTCTGGGAAGTAATTTGCCTGGCTGTGTTGGACGAGGATGGATGATGTCACCGTTGGCGAAGATTGATAGTCATAGAAGATGGTGTCCAATAAATTACATATATCACATATAAATAATGTTTTAGGATGCTAGTTGAGCCAGTTATTAAGAAAAATGGAGTGTGCTGCAGTGTAGGAATCGCTGTTTTAAAAGGTCACAGCCGAGCCTGTTTATAATACTCCCGTTAGAGCTCAATTATTATGTGTTGTGAAGGCTAATACTCTGCCTCCATTAAGTGATGGTGTGTTTGTGCAAAGATCTCTACCAATAACGCACTGAGCCTGATGAATGTTGTTTTAATTCTGATTTTTTATGAGTGTTTTAGGCACAAATAAACTATTGTAAGGTAGTTTTCTAGCTGTCACATTTTGTTTTCAACTGAATGTTGTGCTGCTTGTTTTTAGACATAAAGCTTCTAACTGTTGGTTGTTGTTTTATGGAAAAAATCTTCCTCTTATGCCGCACTCCTCCCACCAAAATGTCACAACACTCCCCTGCTGGAGACACTATAAGTGAAGTCCTTCTTGTCGCAGTGCTTGACAAATGCTCGGCCACCCTCGGGCCTTCAAGCTCGAGTGTGTGGGAAGGTGGGAAGAGAGGAGAGATTGCAGAAGAGGGTCTAAATGTTACAGTATTGAGTTTTATGAGAGCTCCACTGTATAGATGTTTATTACCTAGAGCTAATGTTATCATGAGCCTCATGTTAATGTCATATGACAGGTTTGAGATTGGGGAAAAATAGATATTTAGTCTTTGACTGACCTCAAGTGCTTCTTTGCCAAAGCTGCATTTGTGGTGCAGATTTGTCTGGTTAGATTGATAGTGTTTATTAAGTGTTTCTTCTGTTAACAGCACTGCAGGAATCATTGGCTATAGTTGGAGCGGTGTCCCATCATGATAACACTGAAACAGGCTTTGAAACTTCTATTTCATTCAGTCTAGAAGGAAAAGTTTCTATTTTGGCTTTACCTTTGGAAAGCTATCATGTCGTCCACACATACAGATTTTGAATAATAAATGCATTGAAATTAAATCAAATTACTCAAAACCGGTCTGATTGTTTATTCTATTGCACAAGCCAATCTGGAGAAATCTAAACAAAGGATGAGGCCAAATGGTCTTACCAGACAAGACTCTGTAGTGGGAATCACTGCATGAGCTCAAAACCCCTCCTAGAAACCACATTCTGAGAATACAGTTCTCTGCATCCTCAAATGTAGGTTCGAATCTGCACCATGTCAGGAGGAAACCAGATAAAATACACAAGTGCAGTTGGACAATTTTTCAAAACTCCAGACATTTGTCTCCTCAGTCCCCAACATTTACAGAGTGTTGTCAAAAGTGTAACAATTGAATGTTAGGAGCAAAAATGTGCATTTAAATTTTTCAATTTTTCACTTCTGATATCTTTTATTAAACATGAGCCTCTAATTATTTGCGAACCATCCCCAACTGTTTTTATTAACCCTTCATGCAGCAGCCTCCCAACCTTTTTTTTATTCCAGTGTTGTATTACAGCCAACTGTAAAAAAAGCACATGGTCGTCTTTGTCCAAATGGAGACGTTTCTTCTCAGTTTCTGAAGAAAATCCTCACTTACACTCATGTCTTGTCTTCTGCGCACATAGAGAAATCTTTTGATTTGGAGACAAGAGTGAACCCTTCACCTTGAATCCTCATGTCACTCTGGTTTTAACCCTCAGTGCTGGATATACAAACAGACGTGCGTAAAGTGGTAACATTGGTGGTGAGACCTCCCACCTCTGCCGTCCAAGAAGCGTCTTTCTCCTACCTGCTGCCGGCTCATCATATTTTCCACTGTGGGCTGAAGCAGCAGACCATCCCGGCTCAATAGAGCCTCCATTCATTCAATGAACTTTGGAGGGAGGGAGGTGGAGGCTGCTCCCTGTGACGGCTGCTGTTCTCCTCAGCTCGTGAATAGGTGTGGATGTGAAAGGTTCTGACTCATGAACTGTTGGGTTTATTCATGGCTCAGGAGGGACCGGTGCTGTTAATAATCCAGACTCCAGGGACTCTGTGTGGACTGAAAGAGAGAGAGGCCGCATTGTTGCGTTAAGACAGACAGGCTTTCTCTGTCTGAGGTCGTTTTTAATGAGATCTTTCTTTCGCTGTGTTTACTGTAAAGCTTTCCCTTCCTGTTCGTCAGAAATGCACCATTGAGCGAGGTTTTAGTCGGCGAAGACATAAAAAAAGAGCCTCACGTTGCTCTCATTAGCATGGGAGCCAAAATGAGTTTTTACTGATCAGATTCCTTGTGTTACAAATTGCCTTCATGCATATGTGATTTTGGCCCTGCACCCCTTTTCCCGCCTCTCACCGTATGATTAATGGTTTGACGATGAGATGAGTGCCTCTAGCTGACAGTGGAACAATTAATACTCTACTCTGCTGCTGTTTTTCTCTGCAGACAGAATGAGACTGAACCCACCCCACCCCTGTCAGAAAAAGTGCTGAACACAACAAGACAGGGCCAGAAAACAAGAGAATAATCCTCTAATTAAATCTTTTCTGGCTCAAAGCGGGAACAGTGAGTTACTTCAACTGGGTCTGTTGCTAGAGCAGCTAGCTAGGTGGAGGATCAAGAATATTTCAGATTTATAAGTCCAGAAATTGCCTCACACATCATCAGCTGCTCCCATAATCAGCCATAGGAGACACACTGAGGTCTCTACTCCAGTTGGCTGCCTGCCACTGCAACAAATTGAACCTAAATTAAATCTCTTTTTGATTTTTGCATGCACTGAGGAGCTACATTTCTTTGTCGGTCTTAGTTTTTCACGTTTATCTACTTTTTTTGCAATGCTTAAAATCATTTCACCGCCTCCGCACCGCAACCCCTGCTGCAAACCATCAACATCTGACATGAAGCCAAGAGCTTCCTCAGGGAAGCAATATATCACTTCAAGGAATCCTTTAGCTGATTCAATCTCCTTAAATCTGGTGGAAATGAATCGATTTTTTTGCTAGTTCTGCCAGGAGGGAGGCGGTACGAGTCAGACTGAATGTTTGGCTTTTTCTGTATCAGCGGCGGCAGAGCGTTGATACGTTTACCAAGACAAAACTACACTCAGTTCAGCTCTTATATGTCAAAAAAGCAAGAGTTTAACAACAGAGAGGTGCAGGGGAAGAGGGTTATTTGAAGTGAAACCTGGTGCCGTAAAGTGTTTGCTGACAAGAAAAGAAAAGATTTTTGAAATGCACCTCGCTCTCTATGAAGTGGAGGGAAAAAGCAAAGCAAAATGAAGTCATGACCGGGTAACTGCTGGGAAAAGAGTGCCTGAAAAAGCCCTGAAAGTAGTAAAGCAGAACACAGAGAGGGAGTAGAGTTTTCACTGAGGAAAAAAAAAAAAGAAAAAGGAAAATTCTCATTCATTGCTGCTTCTTTTTGCACAAACTAATACCGCCAAGGCCAGAGGAGTAAGTGAAAGTTTTGGCATGGAGAGTGATTTCTTTGGAAGAAGGATCAGAAAATGCCCTCTGCACCCTGTTGCATCAAACTGGGTCATGTTGAAGCTCACTGGGTTCAAAAAGACCGACATTACTCATACGTGTTCTCCACACATTCAATGGGAAACCTTTGGCACGGTCTTAGAAGACGCTTTAACACCCTGACGTTGAAAGGAACACGCTTTTTTGGGTAATCGCATCAAATCGGTAACCAGTAAGACTCACCCGCTGAATTACAATGTGACACCAGTGTCATGCAACACTCTGACGGCCACAATGAGTGTGCTGTTCAGTTCAAGGCACAGTGGTTAAGTCTGCACGGATCTGGAGCTGAGCTTTAATCCCATGTTGGTAAAACCTGGCACAGAGCGAGAGAGTTGCTCGTGCGTGCCGGTCAGCTGAGTCTCAGATGTTACAGAGTGTCTGCATGCAGTTATTATGGACATGCATGCAATTATGAGCAGAAATAACACTAATGCTTCTGGTTGAGTCTGTTACTGTCTTCTTCTAGTGTTATTGGATCTTCACACAATATTGACTTTGCAATATAATTGTCTCTCTGACAGTCTGTTTAATTTTAACGATCACTTGTAGCTGCGCACACAGACAAGCAAATACAGGAGATATTCTGAAGTGCTATACTTATTTCTTGTGTGCAGAGTATTATTTGCTTATACTTGGATAGGCTCACCCCTGTTTAATCCTATGCATTAGGATGCAAGTCTCACATTGCTTTGCTTTAGGCTTATATTCTGTATTAGTGATGGGCACGGCAGTTCTTTTAGATGTACTGAATCCCTAGACTCAGTTCAAGATTTGAATCACTCAGTGCTTGGCTGGAGCCTCCAACTCCGACTTCCTGAACTGATACACAGCTGAATTCAGGATTCAGTTCAGATCATAGTTTCACGAGTGGACACGAGTGTTTGGCTGTGTTGCTTTGGCAAACAGGTTTGTAAAAACGAACTTGTTTATAAATCATGATGTTTTAAATGTACTGGTCTATGGTATGCTATTTATCTGGTCTACTCGGTAAATTGGGCTCAGTGAGTGATTTGTTCACTAAATGTTTAATCCACAGTACATTGAGTGAAGAATTCACACTGAACATGCACCGTTCCCTCACAAATCGCTGCAATGATAGGATCAGACACGCATTTCTCAAAATGCTGGTTTTATACAGCACTTGTTACCTGCTGTGTCCTACTGTACGCAAGTTGTTGTTGTTGTTGTTTTTAAAACAATGGGGGACAACAGTCGCCATGAAAGTGTATCCTTCAGACAAAAATGGTTCCAGAGAGTGTAGTTCACGGCGTGATTTGTTCACTGTGTGATGCGTTCACTGCGTGATGCGTTCACTGCGTGATGCGTTCACTGCATGATTCAGGCATTGTCACGTGCGGTCCCTCACTCACCGTCTGCTGCGTGCTGTGGTAGCTGCGCCGCTGACAACTCAACTGAAGCGAGAAACGAACCAATCATTTGAGGAAGTGATTCGGTTCGGTACGTTCACTCAAAAGATTCGGTTCTTTTGAATGAATCATTCGCAAACAACACAACACTATTCTGTATTTGCCTGCTGCTGGCTGCACATGGACTGGTGGAACCAATAGGTGTAGCTAAAAAGCTAACAGCTAACTTTTTAAACCCCCCCTGTTACCTGCAACCAGCAAGACTGTAGCTCAACAGCGATAGACCTGAAGTAAAAAGGTGGATAAAAACAGCGAGATAGCACAAGGGCTCTTACATATTTGCAGTGAAAGGCTGATTTAATACACCTTCTCAGTAAAGTGTGATGCAAGGAGAAGCAATAGTGGAGCAAGGCGGTTCCACCTCTAATCTGTCATCTGAGGTAATAAAAAAGAGTAAAGCATGGAAGACAAATGGTATCATGGACTAATAGAGCAAAATAATGTGTGTTTGTGTATATAAAGTATGTTGGTATACACTTAAATTACACACTAGGATACAGATGTTGTGATGCTGTTGCAGTGTTTAATATGTAAGTGCAAAGGTGTGGCAATGGTGAGACTTTCTTTCACTCTGCAGAGTTTACTATGCAACTTTGATCGAATAGTGCTACAGTTTTTATTATTTTTGTCCTGTCTGCATTGCGAGTTGTGCTCAAATGGGAATATTTGCAGAAATTGAAAGTAAAAGAGTCATTCAATGAGTTTTGTCCTGATTTCTCAGAAGTCCCACATCAACCGGGAGCTTTAATCTCACATTTCTCATTAGATTAGATTAGATTAGTTTATTTAAAAGGGGACAGCGCAATTTCATAAAACACATGATTTCACATGGTCAAAAAAAGCCAGAATTAGCCATAAGGCTAGTTTTTATCTGTAGTCCCCTGGCCATGATGTGAAATAGACAGTAAAATTACAATTTAAAAAAGAAGAAAAGAAAAGAAACATTTCTATGTTTTCAATTTCCTGCAACATCTAATGCACATACTCTAATTATATGTCATTCCAATTAACCATATTCTTGTTTGCACTCTTGGTTAGATGCCAGACTTCATTTGTTGTACTTGTGCGATGATGAAAAAGTTGAATCTCATCTGAAGCTGCTGATACCAGGTGACAGTCTGTCCACTCTTTCATGTTTCACCTGGACGATGACACACCGTCGAGGTCACCGCTCTGTCAGCTTCCTATCTGTCTCTCTCCATTATCTGAGTGGAAAAATTCACGGCTTCTGTGTCGGAGAGATTCAGCACCAGGACAAACAGAGTGGACACAAAGTGCCGAGTGTTTCTCTGCCAAGTCATGAGGGTGCAGCGCCACACTCCTCCTCGATGATGAAATCCACTTTTTGGGATCGTACAGTGAATCTTCAGCTCCGGGGATGTTGGGATAGGTTCGACTTTAATAGGTTCCCAAGTTTTTTCCTTCCAGATGGTTCTTTTAACTCGTGGACGTTCAGTTAAAAGGATTTTATCAAGTGCTCTTCAGAGAATCATATGAGTGCAAACAGCCTCAGAGAGAATTAGCTGATAGTGTTGTTTCCATGCTCTTATGAAGGAATTATCCTCTACTGAATATCAGATGTATACGATTAATGATTGCAAAACCTGTCTGGGAAGGATACAGATATCTTTTTGATACTTTTTTTGCAGGAAGCAGAATAATATGTCGTAATCATATGACATTCCCTGTATTAATGTGACACGCAGGGGGTTACACTGATGTCACTCACAAGCACAGAGCCAGAGGGATGAACGTTGGAGAGGCACAGTGATCACAAGGATCAAAGTGGCTCAAAAGTAGGTTAAGTAAACCATCAGCAGGGGGCAGAGTTATGATACTGCTTTTAAGATCAGGGTTATCAGCGCACTGGAGATAATTAACAACAAAGCAGACGAGAACTATGGCCTCACAGACTGTCAAGTGTGAAAAAAACGAGTGCAAGTCAGTGTAAAAGTGTCCATTAGAGGAACTGCTATCCCCAGCATAAAGGCAGTTGGTTTATAATTTATTGCATTTCATTTGATTTAATTATGACCTTCAGTAACAGGAATAAAAGTCATTATCAAGTCATTTCTAACACTTTTAACTGCTGTGATGAGGGGTTCTCTGCAGAAACAGACTTATTCTACCTTTTCCAAAGCCAGTGTTTACAGTGAGGGGTGAATTTACTGTTCAAAGGCAGCTTTTGTCAGGAAACACGATTTAGACGTGTGGGGTAACACTAGTTAAGATGTAAGAGGTCAATCTTCTGTCCAGGTGGTGCCAAAATTGACAACAGGAGCTTTAATGTCTGTTTTTTTCACCTCAGTGATAACAGTGGTCAAAAATAACTGCACACAGTCCATCTGTCTGCTGATGGGGAAGTCTGTTTTTGTCGGTTATATAAAAGCAGAGCCCTTCACTTTAGTGTGTTTTATAAGCTGTTAAAAGCTCCTCACTGTAACCTTCAAATAAGCAGCTCCAAGTTAGCCATCATGTCTTTTCAGGAGTTATATTTGGTGTGATTAAACGCAGACAGTCATCAACAGGCGAAAATTGTGTGGTTGTGAAATCCCACTTCAATAGACATCATGTTAATGTTAAACTCATCAGGCCAGACGGCTAAAAGAAAACGTGGGCTTTCAAGAAAGCCAGGAACACATCCCACTCTCAGAAACCCCCGGCCTTTCCCGTCTTTTTGTACACTGCAGATACAGCGCAGCCCATGCGTGTCACATTGTGTCCGCAACAAAAGCCAAGACTGCCCAGGCCGAAAGAAATTCATATTTAGAAAGGTCGTGATTGTGTTCCTGTGAATAGCTGTCTCACAAGACTGGCCCCAGGGGTTTGTCAACCTTATTCCCCTTTAACAACACAGCACATTTGGACCGCTACAATAGAATTTATGTCTGCCTGCTCCCCATCTCCTCCTCCACCCTTTTACAGCGATAGGTGGAGAGGAGGGATTACTTTCTGCATTTTTCAAGGCTGAATACAGACCCTACTGGTGCTCAGAAGAAATTGTTTTCATTACAGCTTTTCAAACAGCGCCTTGAGCCGTTCTGTCAGCGTGATAGGAGGAAAACTTGGTAGTATTGAAAATGAGACAAATTGGTTTTTGGCCCAGGGGGGAAATTATAATTAGCAGTGCTCAAACTCTGCTCCTTTCACGAGCGCTTTGGTTTGCAGTACTCTGTTTTTGCCATGACAATCCTGCACTAAAATTGTGCAATCAATCTGTCCTGTGGCTGCTGTCAAAGCCAGACTCGCACCATATTGTCCTGTCACTCAGTGTCCACCAGGTGTTGCACAGCCTGACGGACCTCTAGGTTTTCAAGAGACCTTGAGGTCAAAGAAAACAAAGGAGCGTCTCGAGTAAATCTTGTAAATCCCCACTTTCTCCTTCCTCCTCCTCCTCTAAGACCAATCCTTACTGTCATCTGTTACCTTAACACTCTGTGAACTTCCCAAGAACTGGATCAAGGAAATCTCTGGATCAATTGTTAATGACTCTTTTTTATTTATAGGAGTATGAATGCAAATAGTGCATAATGACTGAGTTTATGAAAAAGTCATCCAAATCCTGATCAGTCCTTTATTTATGACTCATCCGATTTTCTGACACTCAGATGTAGCTTGTGGATTAGGTCTCTATTTGATAAATGCTCAAAAATTGTTCCTTTATGAACTTATTTTTAAAATTATGACAAAATCGTAGAAAGTTTTTCCGCCTGATGGGTCTGGATTAGTTTAATCTGGATGCAGGGTTGCCAGGTGTACGATAATTATCGTATTTGTACGATCATTTTGCCCTCTGTAGGATGTACGATCAATAACCAAGAAAAAGGCTAAACGTACGATAATTTTACAATTTCATAAACAATGGGACTGTCTCAGTCTGCCAGACACTTTTATTATCCTTTTTTTGAATTTTTTGTGAACCCTAAAGGCATCTTTTACCAGGTGATGTTTCCATCCAGTCGTAGTTTGAGTGACGTTTGTCTCCGAACAACGAGCATGACTGGCTGTCTCTCAGTCGGAAAGTCAGTTGAAAAAAAACAAACATCGCTCAAGAAATATGGGGCGGGGCAATGAATGACCACAAAACTATAGCCACAAAATCATGAGTGCCTATAGGACCCTGAACAGAGTGACTAAGGCTACGTTCACACAGCAGGTTATGATGCACAATTCAGATTTTTTGTTAAATACGATATTTCTGTGCGGTCGTTCACATTACAACAACGAATGCACAAATTGCTTTCCGCGCCTGTTTGTGTTGTCGAACAATGGTGACGTTTGTCGAATATTGATGACGTATAGGTCGGATGAACGCGACCTGAGCGTCACATCAGATACATGTCTGATTTACATCCACATTCAAAAGAGGCCTGGGTCAGATTTGAAAAAAATCCGAATTGCACTGTTCACATTTACATGAAAAAATCATATATGTGTCACATATGGTAAAAAAATCGGAATTGACCTGCATTGTGAACATAGCCTATATGTGACAATCATGCAACAGTAAGATTGTTGTTTTTATTATGGCGGGTATATGATAATTTTCCCTAAATACAGTAATTTTAAGTCTCTGGTACGATAGTTTTATATTTCCCATCTAGCAACACTGTCTGAATGTCTGTGATGTCCTCTTAAGTTTCAACCAATCAGAATCAAGCATGCAGGTGGTTGAGTTGGTGGTACTAGTCAATAACAGTTATCATTATAAGGTTTTAATGACCTATTTGATATAAAAGTGTGATGCCAGATCGAACACCATGCTCAGTCAAACACTTGCGCTCTCTCTTGGGGGGGGGGCTTTAGTTCTTAAGTGTTTTTCCTCATGCAGATTTCCACAGATCATTCAGAACTCACTGCTTTTGTTCCTCTGCCTTCGATCGCACAAAGAGGGAAGAAAAATGAAGAAGAGAAAAACACATACAGTAGAGAATGGGTGAGGAGAAAGATTGTTGGGATTCCAATGGGTGGATTGGAGAGGATTTGGCCCTTTAAATAGAAGCACCTGTTCATCCGGGATTAGTGGAAGCAGAGCTCTATTTTGGTTCAGTGGAGATGTTTGCCCATCACGCCCTGGGTCCTAATCGGAGCAGGGTGTGAAGCAGATTCCTGGTGCTCACATTTAGGGTTGTAGTATGAGAGGAATTGATTTGTGGGTTTACACCAGGATAGCTCTGAGGAAAGAGCTCATTTAAACCCCTCTCTGGTCAGTGGTTATCCTCAATGAAAATGCTTTCCTCACTGTGCCATTGTAGAGTGCTGGTGAATGAATGTAGGTTAAACTAAACGATGTGACAGGCTTTACATGGGCTACACCTCCGGCTAGTTGTTGTGTTAATGAGGGAGGTTAAAAGGTTTGTGTAGCTCAGATTAAAAAAAAACACACATTGGGTGAAAACAACATCAACTTTGGTGTCAACACTGCCATGAGGGAAATAGTGCTTCAGGTCACAATTGTGCTTTCCTGAAGTTTGAACTAATTAGATCCAGCTGGGACAGATGTAGCTGACACCTTTTCACAGTCTACTTCAGATCCGATTTTACTGCCTACTTAAAGTGGATTTGGTAATCTGAGAGCAAGTGGCCATGTATTACAACCCAGTTTAAGTCAAAGGATAAGAGAAGCAAATTAAACGCTGTTGTTCCCAGGAAAAGCAAGCCATTATTGTTCAAGGTCAAAACAGACGCAACATAGATTGGTCATAGTACGTCTGTGCGATAACAAAGAGAAGGAGGAGGCGGTGGAGGCAGAAAGTATGAAGGAAAGGGAGAGGCACAGTGTGCTAGATTTGTTTATGAAGCTGCTTCTTAGTGGAGGGAAAAGAGACGGCGAATAATTGGTGGATGGCGGTTGGACAGGGTGGAGAGGCAGTGTCAGAGAGGTGGACAGGTGTGGGGACATCACCTGCAGACAAACCTCAATTGTATCCACCACTGACATCAGCCGCGGGGCTCCCATAACCAGAGAAGGACCTGTCTCATGAAGTCGGCACACATCTTAAAAACAAAACCAAAACACAGCGGAGTCAACAACCAAAACCTCCGGGACCGTGACCATCCTGACATTTGTACAAGACGGTCTTTCTTCTAAAGCCACCTGCAAGATAACCAACTCAAATCTCAGGAAACACGCAAATAAGTCATTAATCAGACAGACACAGAATGGTATCTATTCCCTCTTTAAATGGAAGAGAGTTCAATGCGTTAGTTACTGTGTTTACATGCACAGACTATTCAGCCAATTGACTCCTTGCCCCAGAAAACGAGCACCAGGCAAGAAGCTGGTCTCGCTCCAGTCGCTGGCGATATGCCTCTTTTCAGCTAGTTGGTCTCAGACTCTCTTCTGGTTGATCTATAATGTGACATAACCTGCCAAAACAATCAACAAACAAGGTAGCAAAATGGTAACTGGTATGCTGTTTGACTTCCAGGTTAAAGTCTGGTGGGCGTGCTCATTGGCTCGGCCAGTTTGTGGCTGATTGAGGTGAATACGTCAACATTAGCCACGTTTTCTTGGTGTGTTCATCTGACTTTGAGAAATCTGACTTAGTGCGATTTAATGATTTAATGACCATTGTGTTTACATGTATTTAAAGTTTTAGCAGGACTAACGCAATAAATCAGCGTTTTCACTGTGTAAAAAAAGTGTCAAACTCTCCCTTTAAGATGAATGAGCAAGTTAGTCTCTTGCTTTTTTCCTCTATTGTTTTCGTTCAGTGATTTGTACGTACACTTTTCCTTACAGCTGGCAGAAAGAGATTCCTCTCTTTGTCTGAGTTTGGAAAAATGTCAGCAAGTGGAGGGAAAAAAAAGTCCACCCAGGCTTTAGAAACTTCCTTCAGAGGCCTGATAAAGGAAAGCACATGTGCACTCAGCCGCACAATTTGACAGCCTTCCTGCGCGTGCAGGGATGTTTTGATCCAGCGCATGCACGGTGCATATGTGGACGGTTATGGCCAACATAAAGTACAGTTCGAGGGCGTTTTTGCGGTTCATTTTCGTGGCTCTCACACTTACATTTCGAGCTGTTTTCCTGTTATGCTTTGGTTATCTGCTTCAAATCAACAGCGCTGATGCAAATAAGTCTATCTGCAATTAAAAGTGAAAATCTTGTACAACAAAATCTACATTTATTCTTCACTGTTTCTTTAAATATCCGTCTCTAATTGTTTTCAGAGTATTGGCAAGCTCCACCCTGCCGACTCTTGGGATTTTTTTTTTTTTTGGCCGCCTTCAAACAGACCAAATCACAGATGACTCTACTCCACCTATAATTGGGTCAGCATGTGTATTTATAGACAGAATCTTTCTTTCCAACACTTTCAACACAAAAAAGAGCTAGTTGCACTAAATGGCCTGAATTGCTCTCTAAGTAAACAGCAGCTATTACCAGTTTCTCTCATTAACACCCTGTGAAACAACCACTTAAAGCATCGCCTAGAATAAAACACTCTGAGGTGGAGCTCATGTTTGAGCTGCACAAACAAGAAACAGAAAGTGTTGGTTTATGTGTTTCTTGGCAAAGCAGTGAACTAGATAAATAAATCCCTACGGTTCTCACTTTTTCTAGAGCCGACGGGACTTCATACAACAAAATAGAAAAACACATTTCACTAATACATCCCTCCATCTTTATTCTGGTGTGCAGAGTCTTTCAGCAGATGATATGCTCAGGAATCACCTAACAATCCAGTAATGAAATCCCACACCCTTAATGTGAATATGTTGTTATTGTAAAAGCCTGGCGGAGCAGCCCCAGAGCCTCTCTTATTGAATCAGCAGTGACCTGACATCAGCGTTTATCCTCGCATATGGCTCGAGCTCGGCTCCCGCTGCTCCGACTCTCCGGCTCTTGCCTGCCGCGGCTGCAGAGAGAAAGACCTCGACAGCCCGCCCCCTAAGAGGATCAGACCTTACATATTGCTCCACAATTTCATTAAGGGTCACAATTCGCAGGGCTGTCAGCACCATAATAATAAACTCCCCAAGTGCAGCAGGAGCAGATGGCGCGACCGGAGTGCAGAGGGAGAGGCATGTAGAGGAATCCCCTTAATAAGGGAAGTAGGCCAGCAGCAGCGCTTGACAAGATCACGGCTGCCATTTCATCAGATATTCACAAGAAGGTTCAGATACAATTGTAAATCTAGATTGGCTTGTCAGGGAGTGAGAGAGTGGTGCTTTTTATTTTGTAAGTACCTGTAAGATAAGTTTAGTCAGTTTAAGTAGCAATCAGATTATTTTACAGGTCATTTAATCCTGTAATTGTATTGGCGACTTGAGCAAACTGGCAACAATCACCAATAATCCTTTAAAAAGTTTCTTAAAGTTCTGACATAAGTTGCTTAACTCCCATTTTCTCCTCTCGACTATTTATCCTGCTCTTTTGGATTGAGAACTGTTGCAGTACGTTTAATCATGTAGCTACTGCTAATGAGCTCTTTCAGGATCCCGAGAGACTCAACTTGAATGTTGTTTTTTGAATGGTAATTTTCAAAAGTGCTGAATCATCTTTAAAGAGAGCTGCTAAAGTTAACTAGATCCCTCATCGCCTCTCCTCTGTGATATGGCGTGCAGCAACCAGTCTGGAGGACGACTGCATGAACTCCTGGTTGTCATCCATACTGGTTTATTGTTGCAGCACTAGTCGGCAACCCCATCTAATGGCAACACATAGGATATCATGTACATTCAAGATAAGTATATTGATATGTTTTGCAAACCTGGGACACATCAGAGGGTTATAATAACAGCATTTGAACAAGTCATCCTTTGCATGTTGCGTGTATCTGGTCTTAGCACATTAGTACGTGTCCCCCTCCACTATTTGACTCTAAAAGTTAAAGGCATGGTTGACGATTGGAGAAGCAGTTGATAAAAACTGAGCCATTGAGTCGTCCCACCTCTGACACACAAACCTCTCCCCTCTGTGCTCCACAATAACTCCCCCTAAACCTGTATCGTCCTCCCCACGACACACCCCCTCTGGCAGAGCAAGAAGCCAGCCGGCAGAAGATCCTACGCTAGCTTCAAATAGGATTCACCATGTCGGATTGCTAGTGACTAGCGGCAGTAAATGCCAGCTCTGCTAGCGAGCACCGTCTGCAGCTGCCTGGACAGCTACTGTGTTGACACTGCAGAGACTGATAATAGTTATTTATGTAACATGTGCCACGATAAAAGGCGATAAAAATTACCTGTTCAACAAAAACTCTTCTGTCTCTCCATCTGTTTTCAGGCCCAAATCGGTCACATTTCCTCTTCGACTCTGCCCTTTCTTCTGTCCGCTTGCATTTTCTTCCCATTTTTGGCGGTGGGGCAAGCAGAAGTGTTTTTTACCATCCTTCCCCATCACAGCTTCTGTAGCTAGACTGCTACGCTACTTTTAGCTGCTCAGAGCTCTGAGGAGGGCCGGGAGAGTGGGAGGGGACGAGTCGGAACTACAGGAGAGGGGTGTGTCGAATACAGTGAGATGATGAGGCGGGGCTTGGGAAGGGATGCACTGATCCGCCTTTTTCACCTCCAATACAGATACAGAAATCTACAGTTAATTATCAGCCAATACAAAAGCTGCGCTGAATTACCTTTTGATGTAAGTTGAAGATTTACCACCGCCCCTCGGAATGTTTACTGTGCAGGTGTTGCAAGTGGCCGTCGAGCTTGTAGACTGAGGTAGTGTGATAAAGTTCGAGGTGGCAGACCCCTTTGCTTGCTCCATTTTTGAGAACAATTTGGGCATCCGCTCAGCGTGTTTACTTGTGGATGCCACTCATGGCGCATAGCAGAGCATTAGACCGAATAGATCGGCCCCTATGCATCAGGCCCATTGTCACGATACCCGATCTAGAATTTTATTCACTATCGAGACCGATACCGATAGCAAATATTGAATCAGCGTATCCCTTGGCGGGGCAGGAGGTTTACCAAAAGGAGGTTGTCTGGGACGGATGGCTCCAACTGGTCAATGTTTTTGCAGCCCTGCACCTGCTCGGGTGAACAGATTTTTTCCGTTGTTTTTTCTCTTCACTTTGCCGAGATCGCACTATAGGACCATTATCACCATATAAACGAGAATCATAATAATTACCAGTCTCTCCAATCATCAACCATGCCTTTAAGCTTACTTCTTGCACATGTGATAATGAGTTGTTGCTTTCTCTGCATGCTCCACCTCTGTGCAACTATTTTCATTGCTGCTGGGCACAGTTTTAGCCTGAGCTCTACTTTCCACTGTCCATCCCTCTTATGTTACAGTCTGCAGTTTATAAACCCTGCCGTGGAAAGAATGGGCGCTCAATTGAGTATGCAGCCAAAGTGAAGCTCTTATTTTGGGGGGTGTCAGAGCTGCGACTCTCTCTGTGAGGCTTTTCCATCGATAAACTAAATTACATCTGTCCACTAGCACCAGGTTACCAAGTAAGCAAGATTGACTGGACAGTTGCGTGTGAATCACCGCTTGATGTGAAAGAACATATTGATGCTTTCCACAAAACGCTTCCCCTGCTGTAATATCAATTACACAACACTTCAGTGTTAGCCTCAATGTGCTCAGTCATGTATGTGCCGTCATGCTGCTCTGTGATGTACGCCAGAGCTACAAGGCCTGCATTGAAGACAGGTCAACCCAGTTTATTGACCCTCCCACCCTCTGTCTGTCCCCCTCTTTGTTCCAAAGTTCCCAGAAAACACTGGTGGGACTCTGCCCAGTGCTGCCAGCCTCTGTTGCTAAAAGGAATCATTGTCTTGTCTCAGTAAAAATCAATGGGACTCTTTGTTCCCTCCGCAGCATGTAGGACGTGGAGACCTGGCCTGTATTGACGTGTCATGATTGCGGCAAGACTCGGATCATATTTGTTGGTCGTTTGTGCTTTTTAGTCGGCAGCAGTAACATTTCACATTTCATATACCAAGCCCTGCAGCTAACAGGGAAGGAAAAAAGGAGGTGTGCTATCACAGAGCTGCCATCCTCCATCCCCTCAGAGGTTTCCCATCCTGCTTCTCCTACCTGAGTCTGAGTGTGGCTGCTTCCATGTGCAAGCATGTACTATACCAGTGCACACATCCATAATTTTCTCATGCTCACAATCTGAAAAAGTGTGTTGATGTTCATAAATTTAGCTTCATGTGTGCATTAAATTGTGCGGGCTCCGCCTCCCTGCAGTCCCCCAGCTGATCTAGATCACTTCCCTTGCTGGATAGAAAATCCCCGCTTGACAATATACAATTAAGATTCCTGCAGATGTGAAGGGGCCACTGATGACTTCCTTCAGCAGAGGAGAGGGTGGGAGGCTCAGAGACAGAGATGAAGGAGGAGAAAGAGGGAGTTAGAGGAAGGAGGGGGCTCTTCAGGGAGGTATAGTGAAAGCACCTGCGTCAGCTTGAGGGCTCATGATGGATGAAGAGGAACAACTGAGAAAGAAAAGGAAAAGGGAGGGGGACAATTTGAGCTTAAAGTGAAGGACAATTTGGACTTGTGCGAATCCCTCCGTTCAGCCTGTTCAGCGCACATCAATCAGTGCAGACACAAAGACGGCGGGGATGGAGTTCATTCATGTTAAATCTTTGCAATTAGGGAGGGAGATTCTTTTGAAAGGTCGCAAAATGATTTTTTTCCCCTCTCCTTTCAGTGCCTCTGAAATCAAAAGATGCTTTAATTCAATTCTATGCTCCTGCTTAAATCTCTGAAGCTCTCTTATGGCTCAATTTGCATTTCCACTTGATTGGATTCTAAATTGCAGCTTAGGCGATTTTGCCATCAATAAATCATTACTGCATTCATTTTTTAAACTCAGTGTACTTACTGCAAAGAAATAAATAGATTGGCAGTTTTCTGCTGAGTCCTAACTGGGATTTTTTGCGGCTTGCCAGCAGGCTGGTTGGTGAGGATTTTGCTCTATAGCATAAGGGTTTACTAATGGCACAAAACAGCATAAGAAGAGCGCTGATTTAGCTCAGTGGTTAAGGCGTGTGCCCGGTCTGCAGAGCGTACAGTCCTCTTTACAGCAGGCGCTGGTTTGACCATTTGCTGCACATCCACCCTTCTTGTTCCTCTTCATCTCTGCAGCTGTGTTTGAGTCTTATGGTTGATTTTGGATTTTAATCTCTGTGTGTGTCTTGTTTTGTTTTGGTCAAGATTTTAGTCAGAAGTTGATGAGCTGCCCTTGCTGTGGTGGCATCTACTCTACAAAGTGATCTCAGATGTTATCAATACCCTACTTTTGATAACAGAGTTGGCAGCCTTTGGAGGAACCTTGGAGTTGAATAAAAGCTTGGTACTGTAAATCAAGATAGAAGCAGCTTCCCTCAGAGGCCCAAATCATATCTTGGGCCAACATTTTAGGGCCTGATACTTGTTTTTACTCTCTGGGTCTGTTGTTTTTTGGAAGTGGAGACCTCCGTGGATGATTCAGTCCTTGGTAAAAACCTCATGAACAGTGAAAACTGAGGGGTTATTTTAAGACTCATTCCTCTGCATAATACATCCCTGCTTAAAGGAATATTCTGGCGTAAAATTAAGTTAGGGTTAAACACGCTGTAACACCGAGTCAGACACCCCCTCAAGAGATGAATGTTGCAGACCGCTTGGTTCTCTAGTTATACGAACTTTAGTGACGACCGCACAATAGCAATACAGAGAGCCACACGCTCAACCAAAACGCCACTCTATAGCCACAAATAATGCTCAGAACAGCACCTAAATGATCATAAATGTTCTTCCTTGAGCTGTGTCACTCCACTGTAGTCGATAGACTCACCTGAGGTCTCACTACAAACAAGCAGCTGCTGGAAGAGAGTAGGTGAGTTGTGTTTAGTCTCTTTGCTAAAGAAATTAGGGAAAGTTAAAAAGATGTTTGGTGGCTAGTACTATGGCTGGGACCCTATATGTACTGTTGATGAAGTTAGGTGCTGTTCTGAGCATTATTTGTAGCTATAGAGTGGCGTTTTGGTTGAGCGCGTGGCTCTCTGTATTGCTATTGTGCGGTCGTCACTAAAGTTGGTATAACTAGAGAACCAAGTGGTCGGCAACATTCATCTCTCTACGGGGTGTCTAACTCTGTGTTATGGTGTTTTTGACCCTGACTTAATTTTACCCTGGAATATCCCTTTGACAACCAAAGTGATAACAGCAGGCAGACTCCTGCTAAGTTTGCCCCCTAAGAGAGTTAGACTAGCTGTATCCTCTGCGTCGAGTTTGAGTCAAGTGAAGCTAAGATCTCCTGGTTGTGATATTAATGCAGGGAGTAAAAGCTTTCACTCATCTTGAAATCTGTTATTATTACCCGTCAGCTGGAGCTCCCAGGTAATGTAGCTGTGTGTGTTTAAATCCACCAAAGCTGCAGTTATGACAGTTATGCACTTTTACACAGGCTGCAGGTATTTTTCCATCTACGCAGGACAATGGAAGGCTTAAAATCGAGACCAACTGGGGAGCACATCTGGACCTCAGTGGTGGGAGAGCCAGTCTGGTCCCAGGCTTAGTCTGTCATAATACATGTGGACTGATGTGAAGGCTAGGCTATTACTAAGCCCCCCCTGACACACCACAGAAACCTCCCTTCATCAGAGAGTGAGGCCGTGCCCCCTCATGAGGAACACATGGTCCATACTGTCAGTGAAAAAAAATGAAAAGGTGCACTTTGAAGGTGCTGTAAGGCAGTACTGTTTCACCCAGTGTCCTGGACAAAGGCGGCTTGTGCTGCTCAGGGATCCCGTTCTTTATTTAGAGCGATAAAAAGTGTATTTTATATTGAAGTTGGCATCTGAGACTGAACTTAAATCAACAAAACAAATGTGCTATAGCTTTGTAGGAAACATATGAACAATTCCTCAGGATTAAGACTTTCATATCCTGACCTAGACCTCTAATATCACATAGTACTGTCTTAATAAAGGGTACAGTAAAGGCTTTCTAGCATGATGTCAAATCTGATCTAGCTGACTGAAGAGCCAAATCACCTCAAAATGAAATAAGCAGCGGTGTTGTTTCTAGAGAGCTGAAAGAAGGATATTTTAGTTCTACTCAATGTAGGGCTTGTATAAAGTAGAGTAACTCATTGTATTTGGTTGTTAAACGTCCAGTTGCAGAGAAATTCAAAAGCAAGTCCATGATGTTATCTTTATAGTGTATTCAAAGCTGGACCTGACCGATGTTTAACTTTCCTCACTGCTTGTAGAGTGCAAAATTTCCTCTCCAGGATCAGTTGAAAACACAAGCAATTAAATAGAGACACGGTTCGAGCACATGCTGTGTGACTAACTCTGCCGGGGACGTGACATTTCAGGAAAAACAGGAAGGAGTTTGTGTTCTGGTTTTGTGATGCCTTAAAGTAAGTTTGTTATATTTGTCGAGTAATGATGCTAAAAGGGTGAAGGAGCTCACCAAAGAGGCTTTGTTTGTTACAGTTATGGTCATAGTCGCATGTTTGGAGAGTGACTGTTTGAAGTTAAACAGATTACTACATTGTGAACTCGACTTTTGTGGATAAAATGTTGGATTCATTCTTGTATAAGAATAACAAATGCTCAAAATGCAACTAAATGTGTTATCATATCGCACTGCTGCATTTTCGGTGGTAGGAATTATTAACCATTGTGCTTTTAGCAAACCTTTAACCCTTTTAAGCCTCTAATATTAACAGTTCGTCTGATCCTTACTCTCTTTTATTTTTTAGCTGTAAATGTGTCAAAAAAAAATATTTTATGTGAAATCTTTTGCCCCTTTTTTTCAGGATAAATTCAACTTTCAAAATCAATCAAGAATTATACATTTTGACATGTTATATATATTTAAGCTACATTTAATTAACATTGCAGCTAACTTTACTGCTGTTAAGAATACACAATAAACACACAGATAACTGCAGTATTGATGTAAGATGCAACAAAAATCTTTTACAGCATCTTGTTTTTCTGTGTTGTTTCATAATAAAGCTCCTGTGAGGATTTGTGGGTTGTGGCGCCCCCTGTGGACAAAAGAATCAGTTTTCTAGTTTTCTGACAAAAATCTGCTCCTGTTTTTTATTTTATATCTAGCCTGTAAATCATGATGAATCTTTAGTGTAGAGCATTTTAAAGAGGCAGTTTCTTCACTTAGCTGTAAATCACATTACCTGACGCCTACCATATAACAAAGAAAGAGGTATTTAATCCTTTATCTAATAGTCTGGTCCTTCTTTTTCGGGTCTCAAATTCAAATCAGCTTCATGACCACTTACAGCCTCCTCACAAGAACTTTTAGCTCCATGTGAAGAAGTACAACCCATTGGTAACAAGGTGTGTGTGGTCTTATTTCATGCAGTACACTCTCTGGTATCTGTGTTTTCTTTAACCATAGTTGAACACCAATATCTCCAGTTAAAGATTCATTAGTGTTGAACCATTCTAATAAAATCCTAATTGTTTTATACAACAGCAGGCTCACTGTCTGGATTTGTTTTCATCATCATCATTTTTTTTTTTTACACTTGATCCATTTCTGGCGTCCTCATAGGTTCTGTGTACTCGGGCCTCTCCAGCATGATTCCCTCACTGTCTCTTTGTCTGTGATTTGAAGCTCTGGCTGTAAGAGAGCTGGGACATGTGCAGACATTTCCACTTGTTTTATTGCCAGTGAAGTCTGGTGCCATCCATCTCTGCCAACCTCTGTACCAGCCGGGCTCTGTGTGTGTGTGTGTACATTAAGCTGATTGATGAACAGTTCATTAGGCTGATGGGCTCTGCAGGGGCAGACAGGCATCCAGCGACAAGACGTGGATTTAAAATACTAGCCGAATCTGCAGTGCCTTGACACCTGCTGTGTCTGTGGTTTATCATAACTCTGCAGACTGTGTGAGAAATTCAGCCTCTGAATGTTAAAATGTATTATTATTTATCTGCGGCTGAGGCTTGTATACATATGTTATGACTGACAATGCGCACCTTCATGTTTATTGGTTCAGTTTAATATTTGAGTGGATAAGCAGGGGAGAAATCCTGCGTGTGCAGCGAAAGGCAGTTCACTCGTGCCTCTTCATCAGTGTTTTTTGGAAAGGTGCGAGAGTGTTGTTCTGTAAATATCTCCAGGAACAGAAGGCAGGCAAGCAGCTCATCCACCCGCTAGTGCCAAGGCTGCCCTGCAGAGAAGCAACATGACTGTACTGTGTGGTGCGAATGTGTGTGATAGTGTGTTTTAACCTTAATTAATCCAAGATGTAGGGCTGGGCGATATGGGAAAAAGTTTATCATGATATATTTTTTTCATATCGGTCAATATCGATATATATCATGATATAAAAAAGGAAATGTAACAGTGCTTATTGGTTGCATGTCTTTTGCAATACAATAAGCTACTTAATCAGTGAGGTCTTTGTGACTCTTTCACGTTTGGTCTTAAGGCGTTGCGCTAGAGAAAGCAGACCAATGGTCGGCTGTTTCGGCTGCACAGGCTGCACAGGCACCACAGGCTCCTTGCTACGCTTGAGGTTTGTAACCTTTGACATCGCGCATGCTCTGCCGCATGGCACTGCTTCAGGTGGTGAAAAAGATTTGAGATATTCCCTTACTTCATGTCCGACCTCAACAAAACAAAATACCTCCACATTTTAATGCTGTTGGCTTCACATGTTAAAGTGCTATGGTTGCGTATAGCTGCAGTCTGCTACTACGCAGTTGTTTCCTACTTGGTTCTAATTCAGCACGATTGGTTCGGCACAAAGCATACCCGGAGCAACTCCCCTTTTCATTGGCTATTTGTATAGTCTACCAAAATATGGCAGAATGCCGACTATCGGAAAGGATATTGACCATGTTTTATATCGATATTGAGGGAAATTAATTTAAACCATTAGTGTAAGAGAAGGGGTGGGACTAGATAAGTCTCGACTTCTTCCCACTCCTAATTGAACATGAATAACTTTTGTCATTTGTTGTTGTTTTCGTTACTTTTTTATTTTTTTTATATGTTAAAATTAAACTTAATTCAATCAATAAATCAATTAATTAATGTTTGATATATAACATTATTGTTTTTTCGCCCAGCCCTACCGAGATGTTTTGTTAAATTTCATGGATTTTGTATCGAGTTATCAGTAGCTCCATGTTAGTCAGAGCCGAACAACACGGCGGATCTTCCTCACGTAATGCTGCTGTGTTCGCTTCATTAAAGTTTCAGAAGTTTACAGCCTGAGAGGATTTCTGCCTTCAAAAGCAGCTTGTGTGTGTATGTGTGTGTTTGTGTGTTTTTGTGCCCGTCCAGCCCAGACTCGACCTCAGCTTCCTGTAGGAAGTAAGAAGAGAATTGGACTGACCTCACTGGTGTGGATGGAGCTGCATGCAGATGGCGCTTGCAGATAAACAGCCATAACAATCATAATTATGTCGAAGTGAGCGCTGACAGGGTTGGCTAAATGGTGAAGGGTCACTGTGCATGAAGGCATGGACATTCAGGTCAGCGGCTTGTCCTCCTTCTCCAAAGCCTTAATGGGAATTTACTATCTGCCAGTGAGTGTATGTGTGTTTTCTGTCCACGGTCTGCTGGATTACTGGAGTATACCCCCTCAGCTTCACCTCAGTTATCTCTCCTCTTCCTCGACCTGCTGAGTCTCTACCAGCTGGGGTCTGGCTGAAAGGTTCTGGATTTGTTTGCCCTTTGCTTTGGCTGGGAATAAATCTACAAAGCGCCCTGACTGGCCCCGTATCTGCGAGTTGTGCTGGGCAAGAAACAGGGACTTGGAAACTAAATTTGTAGGCAGGCTAGCATGTCAGACACGCTCTTGACTTTTAGTGCAGTCGTTAAACAAAATATCTCCCTTAGGTTTACTTGTGGGGTCTTTAATGAGAGGATAGGACAGTGGATAGAGTATGAAACTAGAAAGAGGGACTGGGGAATGACAGGTTGGTCGCTTAGAGGACTCTTTCAGACTTATACGGTGCTTTAAGTGATAAAAATATGGGAACAAACTGGTGCCAATACCTCAGAATGATGAAAACCTGTATCATCACCATGCTCTGCCTCAGTTCATCCTCTCTTGCAGCTGGGCCAGTAGAGTAGATTGTGTCGACCCTCTTCTCTTCCCTCTGTCAGAACCAGCATGAACTTTTCCAGAAGTGTGAGCACAGGGTTGCTCTTCTGTTGGACGTTATTCCTCGACTGCAAAATGTAACACATCTTTTTAAAGCATCCTAGCTTGTGAACAAACTGAAATCAGAAGATCGATATACAAATTTAGAGCACAGAGCGATTTCCAGGACCTGTTTACCTGAAAACAGGCTGCAAAAGCAGACTGAAGGACTGTCGCCTCTTAGGGTCATAACTCTCTGAGCTCTTGACATCGGCCACACATGCTGCCTGCTGTGGTCGGGGTTTAGAATAAGAGCGGCTGGGAATGTGACGGAGGGAAAGCCAACTTTTTGCAGGCGTTGCTCTCCCTACAGTAACTTAGTTCAGTCTCGATGGACGTCTCAAACGAGCAGCAATATCCAGATAGTGTTTCATATAGATGCATGTATTTAATACAGGCAGAGCTTAACTTGGAGGCAACAGTTGCCATGGCCAAGCTGATTGGCCTTGTAACTGTGGTCTAAATACCCGCAGTTATTTACGATACTTGTCTGTTTAAGCCTCAGTGTCTTTAGCCCCATAAGCCCCATTTATTCCAACTGACCCATGGCACTGTTCTGGTTTACAGTTTCCCACGGGGGAGCCTGAGACTCACAGCACATGTGCTATCAAGCCTTTGGGAGATCACAGCACACACTGCAAACTGTCAGTGCATTCAGACATATGTGTTTGTTGTGCCAGTTTGTGGACACATGTCAGTGCCAACGGTTTTTCATCAGGAAAAGTGGCGGGCATTTGTTTTTTTGGTGATTTGAGAGCAGATGTTGTTGATTTGTCAGAGTTTTAGTGGAGGACAGTTTGGGAGTGTGTGTGTGAGATTTGAGCTTTTGCAGGTTCCACGTTGGCCGCATAAGCTGGTTGATAAATGAAGCAGATGTGAGCATGTGCATACCTCTTTATCTTTTAAATACCGTAGAACATATTAGTTTTTATCTTTGACTTTGATCTATAGATGAAATATGAGACATCTGTCTGCCCAAAATGAGTTACTACGCTTGGAAGAAACCGCAGAGATCATGATTCAGTCTTTGTCAGACTGTGTTACTGTCATCGTTTTGAAAACTTCCCCCTTTTTTTGGCTGGACTACCTCTTGTCTTGCATATTTTTTGATGGAACATTCCAATAGTTTCCTAAAGGTCAAAGGTTAATATTATAAATGGGCTGTTAATATAGCTTTAGAATGAAACCATCCATTTACGCATTAGCCTCATAGATCTGGAGCCTGAGGGGTATTTGTAATAGTATCAGCGCTCACTTGGCTTATTTATAGTGTGATGTAATTTAGTGTGGTCGGCTGGTCAGACTATTTGTGGCTGTGGGAAACAGAAATGTTTCTCTTCATCGGACCATCGTCCTGCTTTCCTCCCTCTGCAGACAATAAATCCGGGTTATAAATATGTAAATTAGGAGAGGGCAGCGTTAGGGGGGCAAAGCATTTTATTTCTATTCAGACGGACCTCTTATGCAATTATGAAAATGCAAATTGCTCTAAGCTATAATGCAGATGGTGTACAGTGGGTCCTGCAGCTGCACAGGTCCCTCCTGGGCTCATGTTGTCTTAGTGTGAAGCCAACCTCTCCTCCAGGCCAACTCCTCACCAATAAACGACTTGAGCGACTTGATTTTGTGTTTCTCTATCTCTGTGAATTTGTATTAATTAGCCAGTTTGTTCATGAATAATAAACACTTGGAAAAAAAGACTCTCTCTAATCAAAAACATTCTCCTCTTCACTTTGATGCTTTGCCCTCCAGCTATTTTTAATGTCTCTGCTTTAAAAGGAAAAAGTTTCTCTGCGCTCACCTTGACACCTTCAAAATTAAAACACGCATGTGTAGAGATAATCTCGTGGCGCACAACTAATACAGAAGTTTATTTGGACTTGCAGAAGTGTTAAACCTCCAGCACTAAATTTAAAGCTGTTAAACTGTAAATAAAAGAAAACCCTCGCTTATTTATAGATTCTGGGTCTTTAATTAACAGTGAGAGCGTATAGCAGTATGGGAGTCGTTTGCATTATGTTGTTTATAATTGTGCAGATTAATATCAGGATTTACTGATGGAAATTTATTCATCTAAAAATATAGAAGTGGTGTAAACCCTTTCAAAAGATTCAAAGTCTTCTAAACTAGCAGTGGGCTGATTAATTAGTCTGTTTTTGCATGCAGACACTGCAGGCAGCCGTGCAAGTGTGGCTGCTGCTGAGCAGTTTCGGTACGGCGGTAAAAAGTGAGTTTTGTGCTCTGTGCCGTGTGAGTATCTGTATTTTCTAACAGATGTAGTCCTTCTATTGGGTCAACCATCATGCAACAGAGTGAAATCGCCCATCAGGATTTAGAGAAAACAAACAGAGACCCAGAGTTACTGCTGTCTCTGCTCTCCATATGTGCATGTGTCAATATTTGATGCTTAAAGACTGTCAGTCATGTCCTGAAATCAATAGCATCAGTGTATATTAAAAATGTATGTTAATTAATAATCAATGCATATATAAAATAACAATCTGTTAAGCTGTAATGTGCACAGAATAATGTTATTCTATATATATTTTTAAGTCAAAATAAATGACAGTGAAGTTGCAGAAGAGCAGAGATTTTACGCCTCTGCTTCTAAAATGTTAAAAATGGCAGATAAATCACCAGAAAAGTTGTTGATTAGTTTTCTTTTGATCTAGTAAATGAAGAATCACGTTTTTGTCTGCGCTCTGGCACAAAGTGTGAAATGAGCAAATCTAACTCGGCCTAGAAATTGTGTCGCTCTGCAGTTTGTTGGGAAAGAGAAAATACCGCTCTGTCATGAATAATGCAAGGCTCAGAGGAAATACATTTCATGATACCAAGTCAATCTGCCTCTCCTCTGACCTGCCTGGAAGTGCACAGCTCCTCGCCTCCAGCAAACATCGCCACTGTCTGCACCGACATCAATGCTTATGTGCATTTGTGCGCAGAATACTAAACGCCACGTGTGTAAACGCAGAACCTCGGGGGGATGTGTTTGCGTTACAGATTGGCAGGTCCTAGGGGAGTCAAGGACGAGTGATGCTCCTGTTCATGAATCCTGCGAGGGGTTAAATATATCTGACAGAATTTGAAGAGGGGGGTTTGACTCGAGGAAACAGCCAGGGCAGAGTTTCAGATGGTGCAGCAGGGACACTGTGGTGAAACACAGGTGAGGAGATTCTCTGTAGAGCACGTGGATCAGATCTGCAAGAGAAATAATTGAGCATGAACTTCCATCTGAAGGAGGATAATCTCCATGTCTTAGTCATGATGAAAACTCACTGTGGTGGAATGACAGCAGCCCTGCAGCAGGTTCTGCATAAACGGTCTCAGCAGGCGGCCGACAGACGAACACACCCTCAGTGTTGTCTCACTGTGTTCAGCATTAATGAGCTAATCAATGGAAGTGTTGTCTGAACATGTTACTGATACGTGTTTGTGTCTGCTGTTTTAACAGCGGCCTAACAGGAAAGTCTGGTGTAATCCTGAAAGAAAACCCTGAAATAATCTGTGAGGGTAACAGTCTATTTTCTGGGTTTCTTGTGTTTACACCCTAACATGCACCTTGACAATTTGTGAAGAATTTGCTGCATTTCATACTCTGATGACTGTCAGTAACTGTGTTTACATGGGCACAAATAATTGGAATACATGCCCGATCGGAATAAAAATGCTTCATGTAAACATGTCGATCGAAAGATTCTGATCCAATTCAGCTCAATTGGAAAGAAATTGTACTCCGATCGAGAGAGGTGGTTTATGCCGATCGTTTCTGAAACGCGTCCATGTAAACACTTATTCTGATCGTGACTCTCTAACCTGACTTGATCTTCACTCTTTAGTCTTTGGCTTATTTACTGAGGTCAGTACAGGAGGTTTCATTATTAACACTCTGGCATAAAACACAACCCCAGGTGCCGTGTCTGCTCCTCCGATAACATAACAATGCCTAAATACAGCGTAATGATGTCACATCTGTACGCGCAGTGCAACCTTTGACAGAACAGTGAAATAAGTACTCAAGGGCGCCATCTATTGACAACATTTAACAGTAGGACAACTCCTGAATTGGATGGAGTGAGCGACTACCGCGTTTCTTGGTTTGTTGACAGCACAGGCGTGAATACAATTCTTCTTCTGCGGTTGTTTTCGCAAAATCAGGCAACTCTGGGGATGTCCAAATGCTCCTAATCTGAATAAAGTTTGGTGCATGTTTACGCATGTAATAATTGGATTATTTGATTTTGCACCCATATAAACAGTGGATTCAGATTATCCGATCCCTCAAAGTTTTAATCGGATCAAGAAACTTTGCCCATGTAAACATAACTAGTGTTTTCTAGGATTGCATTACAACAGATTGCATTCTGCCTCTTTTTCCTGCACAGAGCCAACACTCTCTAAGATGCAAATGGGCGGTATTACTTGTCCTACAAAGATAATCCAAATTTCCAATGCTTCAAATCCAACCCCACGCCCGTTTGGCCATTTGAAGCAGTCTGTCAATAGAGATTAGAAGTAGCTTAATATCTAGTCCTGATGTCATTCAGAAAACAGCTCAGACTTGAAATATTTACATGAGTGAAAGCAGATATGAATCGATTTGGGCAGTTTATTCTCCTGTACAGACATGTATTGTGATTTCACAGTGGAAGTGGATAATTCAGGTAGCTGAGTGTTGAGTGAGTCTGTGTGGGAATAAAGTATTTCAACAGAACAATCCTAATAGGCATGACTTTCCATTGTACGGTATTTTTTTAACCAGGATTAGTTTCTTTCCATTCAGTGTCAAATAAGACTGACTTTTCAACTCTTAGAAATTTGTCACTTACTGGCATGGTGCCTTAAATGGACATGCAACAAAATAAGAGATTAAAAGTCTGTACTTCTCGTCTTTTATAGAGGAATGAGTCAGATTTTACACGTGAGGGTCAAGCCGTACTACTCATCCTGCAGGAACAGCTGCTTAATGTCTGCTTTGGCAGAGCAGGAACAAAAGAAAACCTCATGATGTCATTTGGGTCATCATCTCAACCTGTAGATGACATTATGAATTTATGATAGACTGATTGCATGGAACAATGTGTAATCAATAATGGGGGGTTAAGAGCTGCGTATCACTATTTCTTAAAATCCGATGGTCGCAGAGATTCAGACCAGATTTGAGCATTTAAATGAATGAAACAGGCACATTGATTCACAAATCCTGGTATGTGGTGGAAACATCTACCTTCATGTCAGATTCGGAAAAGTGCTGCTCGTCGCTGCTGGTGCCAAAAGGATTGCTTCATTTTTCTCTTTGATGGTCGCCCTCCACACGTTACCCCTCTAACCCTTCTTCCTCCCTGAGCCACTAAAAGAACAGATAAGAGCGACTTCAAAGGCAGCGCTGCGTTTTCTGCTCCGTTTCAAAGCAGGCAAATGAAGGACCGGCAGATTTGAGTAGCTAAAGAGCTCTGGGGTGTGTCGCATGAAGCTCCCTGTGTTAGATGTGATTGATAACTGCAGCAGTCTCTTTTAAAACACCTAAAAAAGCTCCAAGTTCTTCATCAGCACCGAATTACTTACAAAGAGCATAAAGCGTCTTTTTTCCCCTCACACTAGAGGGATTAGAGGTGTCACCTCAGAGACTTCCACCCAGTTTACATCAACAGACACACGCCTGTGTTTTTAAAACCAGATTTCTGTCCAGACTTCTTTTTATCATTACCAGGAAGCTCGGGTGTATCCTGTAATCTTAATACCCGACCAGAGACACGTCCTGATGCTGCAGTCACTGAGAGGACTATCAGATACCACAGGAGGGATTGGGTCTTTAAGTCCCTCAGCTGCAGCTAGACCAATCCCGGAGTGTTATGTATCTCTGTGTGGATAAATGATTTCAGTGTGTGTCAAGGGTGGATATCAGATGCAGCATTTTGCTTCCTTCAGCTGAGATGAGATCCCAGAGAGTAAAAGACACAGATGGGGAAACTATTGCTGCTAACCTTTCAGAGCTGCAGCTCGGATGAAACTGAAATGATTTCAAAACATAAATCTCTTTCCTGAATCAGGACATGACCTTTTTTTTTGGTCATTTGAATATCAAACCTCCCTTTTCTAACAATATAACCCTTGTCCTGTCAGTGCATCCACTTAAAGTCACATGAAATCTCTCTCTGAGTTGTCTATCTCTGAACCCAGGTGAGAAAACATGGCTGAATATGTACTGCAACAGTCAGCAAACATGCAGGCAGACTGACATCCATATCACCCTGACGAGGTCAGATCTGATCTGGTCTTGGAGGCCTGAGCAGGGTCGGATCTGGTTAGTTCTTGATTAGAAAAATCACTTAAAAAGAGCGATCTCTGAACTTCGACAACCTGCTGTGGGTTTCTGACTGCAGGGAGTCATAGCTGTTGTGTCCTTCATTCGTATCTAAATACTCAAGAGTGCAGCTTTTAAAAGTTAAAACAATTTCTTGTTGATGCTTTCCAGATCAGCATCCTAAAAAAATATATACTTTTTTTTTGCCCATAATATTTATGAAGCTGTAACTTGACTGTGTTTTAAAAAATCAGCCAAAAAGGAGCAACTGTGTTTCATCATGCATTTTTTATTTTCCAGCAAGTGGTTATAGTCTTCCCATGGGATCAGTATTGCCAGGGGATGTATGGTAATTTGTGAATTAGCCCCTAATGTCAATATTTGTTGAGGTGCATTTGCAGAGTTTAAGTAAGTAAGTAAGTAGGTCTAAGCGAAGTGGGGCAGCGTGATATCCAACTTCTCTGCTGGAGCAACTGCAGAAAGTTCTCAAAAGAAGAAGACGTCTGTATCTACTAAACTTGAATGGAGAAAGTGCATTTGAAACTAAGGCATATGCTTCATGAAGTTTATAACTGATGTCATATAAAGTTTAAAAGGTGCTGCACATCAGAGTTTGCATTGAAACAAACTCCATTTTCAAAAGTTGGAAAATTTGACTTTTAAGTGTCAGCGTGGGCGGTTTAGTGGTTGCCAAGCAGCTCTATCTGTCTGTAAACAGGTCTTCAACACTGTGCGGTAAACTTTATACAGCCCCCAAAATGCCTTTAAAAGTCAAGTTCATCCTTTTTCATTTTTGACTGGAAATACTGCAAAGAAGCTGCAGAGACTTTCTTAAAAGTAACCATCATAAAAGAGAAATAACACCTGAAATTGCTGTGACGCCACTTCGAATTGAAATGATCGGATGTGCCCTTGAATTTTGATTTACAAATTCACACGGATTCAAAACTAACTTATTAACGATGTTTTTAAAAGTGGATTTAAATTACAGACCCGGTACCAAATATTGAATACATGTTCTTCATCGAAAATCCACGAGTCATTCTTAAATGAGGAAAGTTGCAGAGTGTCAAAACTCATCTCAGCTGTAACAATGCTAAAGAATGAAGGCAGAGAGAAGTGCTGTTCAGTAACAGTCTGCTGCATGTTGATTTAAATAATGTCAGTGAGAGACAGACTGTTTCTCTGCAGGCTGGAAGAGCGAGCTGCAGATTATAACTCTTAAAATCCTCTTTTTTTACCCCCTCTGCCTGTTTCATTTCTGTAGTCAGCAGATGATTTGTGATTTTCATCTCTTTTATTGCTCAGAATGAATCTTATCTTTACGCCATCAGTCAGAGAGCGTGTGAGTTTGTCCAGAGGCGTTGGAGCTGCTGTTAAAAATAGTGAGTGACTCCAGGATGTCTTTTTTTTCGCTGGTTCTGTGGTCCACTTTGGTCAGCTTCTGGACTCAAATGAAGGACAACACTGAGCTCATTACTTGACTGTACTCTTGGCAGCTCTCATCCCCTCAAATTTTTGACTTGGTCCAAACTCTGTGACCACTCGAATCTTTTCTACCCCGGCTGAAGTATCATGACTGCACAGGCAGTAAAAGTGTCCAGTAAACAGTGTTGATAAGCAGCCTGTGGTTATTTCTTACACCCACACACTTAACCAATGTCTGTGGCCTTAATCAGGCTCTTTCTCAGTCACATTTTCCTCCCACACTGTCTGCTCACACACTCCTGTGGCTGCTGTGAGCTTTACTTCTCCCTTTGCTCCTCTGTGGCTCGACTGTATCACACCGTGGGCACAGACACACGATCCTGTGACAGGCGAGTAAATTGGGATTTTGTTACATGGTGGAGCTGCCTGCTATTACTCATCTTTGATCAGTTTTTTTGAGCATTTGCACCTCGTCTACTCGCTGTCAAAGCCTTGATAACACAGCATACTACTACTCACTACCAGTATGAGTTAAAAGTATTTCAACAAAATATTATTTGAAGCAATCTCGCAAAAGTAAATATGTGAGCAAGTCGGAGCATATTGGTTTTCTTGATAAAGTCGCACTGATGGAGACGTTGGTGGTCGTACAAAAGTGGATTTCTCAAAGTAGAAAGCTTCTCCCACCCTTAGCTTATATCCAATCAGCTAAATACCATCCTATTTTAACCCACTTAAAAATATACCAACAAGAGCCTCGGACATGCTTGCAGGACTTCAGGGGGGTTTGGCCGTATTTAAAGATGGATGGTGCACCTTTATCTCCCCTAAAGCCAAAGCGCTGTTGGGATTGGTGCAAACATAATAAACCTGTGACATATTTTGTAGCTGGAGTATGCACACGAGTGATTTAACTGAAATGAAACATGTTACAGATCTCTCAGGTTGGTACCGTCCACTGCAGGACTGATTCTTGAGTTGATTTGCAGTCATGGGAGGTTTAGTGACCCTTTTCTAGGCACTTTCTCTTGTCCTTCCTCCTCTACTCTGCTACACAGGAGCCTCGTTTGTTAAGAAAACTGCCAATTAGTCCTCGCCTTAACGTCAAATAACCAAATGAAGCTTAACTTGTCCAAAGAAATGAACACTTGGGTGTAAATTAGCATGATAAAAACTAAATATAAATACAGAAAGTGTGGGTTAAATTAGATTAATATTGGGTCAAATACAAAGAAAACAGCGATGAAGGTGGTAAAAGGTCAATTATACTCTATTTAGATAAATACTTTATTATACGTAAAATAAATAATGAATGTAAACTTTAAGACCTATACTGCAGCCAGTCACTAGGGGGACCTTTCATTGTCTTGGCTTCACTATTAAGATCTGATTGTGGCGTCTGTTTTTTTATACACTCTATATGAAGTGCAGATATTTTATCTTGTAATTTAGCAATAAAAATGTCACCATGCATGAAGAAGATGAAACTATAGCTGTGTCCGAAATGGATCCCTAACCCCTATATAGGCGACTAGACGGGGGTTAGCACCATTTTGAGGGGTGTCCGAAACCTGAGTTATCAATTCCAGTGCCCCATATAGGCGACTCAAAATTTCACATAGAGCATTGCAAAATGTATTGACCATCCAATGTCAGCTATATAGTGAAACCCCATATGGGGGTTAGGGGTTAGGGACTGAGTGATTCATTTCGGACACAGACTATATAAAGTAGCAAAAACAAGGTTTACATGCTGTGAAAATTCAACTGATTGCAACTCAGTCTAACTGAAAGTGGACTTTTACATTAGATGTAAACATGTGAGTCTGACTTGAACCTCAGCATTCTCATTGGTGGACATACTTTTGCCAATAAATCAATTCTTACTCTTTCTTTGTAAACTAGGATTAGGACAGTAATTCTGTGAAATAGCAGAATAGAGCTGTAACGACTGTTCAGGAGATCATCAGGACCTCGTACATGTTTGCACATTTGAATCTAGTGCATGCTGATGGCACCAGATGAAACACCATATACAGTTCTTTCTCCAGAACCTGCTGAGTTGTTTTATTTTGGTGGTTTAATATTTGATTCCGAGTCACTTTCTCCATAAAAAGAGAAAATCTCTGACAGAAGACAGATAAGATAATTATGAGCTCATTACATCCACTGACAGCACTCTTCATAATAACGTTATCATCACCACAAACAACACTTCATTTCCTGGTTGTTGTCTAATTATATAAGAAAAGTGTCTCTGCCTCCCATGAGTTATTAATAAGCCCACAATAAATCACTGAAGTAAAATTTCAAGTGACGTGAATGACATCATTTACAACACTGCCCTGATGTGTCGCTGTGATATCTTGGTAGATTCAATAAAGCCCATAGCTGTGACGGAGTTGAGGACCAGTTCAGACTGGTTATTTGAGGCCACCTCATCCCTTTTAACACCTCTCCATTCTGAGTGAGTGGCTCTCTGCAGCCATGACTCTGAATAATTCAACAAAGCAAAAGAGGGCTGCCGGAGTGAGCGAGGAGATATGGATTGAAGATGATCTGGGGCACGGGTACCAGGAAATTGACTTTTTTCTTTTTACGTCAGAATAACCCGGAGAAGCACGCTGCATCACATGTGTGTGTGTATCTATTACTTTATACAGATTATACAAACAGAAAGAGCAGAAAACAAAGAACCATCCTCTCCCTCTTGAAAGACACTTTATTAATTCATAAATTCTCCCTGAGTGTCTGACTGTCAGGATCTCGACAGTATACCCTGTAGGCGTTGACACATCTTCATCCCGGCTCTATTTCATCTCTGGTGAGTCCAGACAAACAGTTGGTCCTGAAAGATGGCGCCCCAGGAAGCGCTGTGTGTCTTGACATTTGAGTCCAGGTGAGAGAGCGGGGCTGTGGGTTTGTTTCAAGCGTCTCCACAGTTGAATATTTTACTGCGCTGGCTCAGTTATGACTCGCAGGCAGTGGAGAAGGTCAGAATTGAAGTAAAAATGCAGAGATTCCCCAGAGATAACCAAGGTGCCTTCTCTGATAGGTCGGAAACGGAAAATCAACCATAGACTGATGTGGATACCTGCTACGATCCTGCAAATCTGTGCCTCGCCATGTTCAGTATCCGCCTTTTCAGTTGTTTATCCAATAAAGTGGTGGTTTTCCATTTTCTGCTTTAACTGCATCATTTATTTTGGGTTAAACACACTCTGATGGGCCTTGACATAATGATCACAGGAGGCGCACATATACCAAGCAGTCTTTTGTGGAAAAATCAACTCATTTTTTTCAAACACTCAGCATCCTCTGAACAGCAGGAGGCTGTTAGACCAGGAATCAACCCTGAAATTGGTCTGATTCGCGGTCATTTGTGGTTGCCCGGTTAATTTCTGAGCTATTACAGCACTGCAGGAGTTGGCGATTTAAGTTTTCTGTGTTCCTCCTGCATCCAGCGGTGTTTGATTTGCTCTAATCCACTCTCTGTGATTATGTTTACTGTCTGAATGTATTTTTACTGCTTTGATGAAAATAACACTCTTAAGATATGAAGAGTTTAATAATAAAGGGAGATAATCTGTATCTGTTTGTTCCTTCAGGTGCCCCTGGTTGACAAAGGCAATCTCTCCCGCTGTGCCTCTCTACAATGGCCTCGTCTTCCTCTTCGTTTTGGCCAACTTCAGCATGGCAACCTTCATGGACCCTGGTGTTTACCCACGAGGTTTGTCTTCATGTTGCTCTCATATTAAATATTTCAACCATCTTACAATAGTAAATATTGTCTATCATCAATTTTGTGCACAAAGGCGTGAACAATGTTACCTCTCAGTCTTATCGACCTTACTGCGTACTACACATGCAGGGAACTAGTGCAAGTAACAAAAGGTGGAGGCGTCAAACAAGCTGCCCTGACTTACAGACGCAGAGTTGAGTGTTATCTGGGTTAATTAATAATGATTGAACTCGTCCTTGGGGAGATTTGTAATGTGCTTGTAAATGATAAGCACCTGCTGGTAGGTGAAGCCTGCTCTGCCTATAAAAGGGTAATAATCATTAGGTCGTATAAAGTGCAGGTTATCTGACAGTGGCTTTCTGCTACCCTGCTGCGTTTTATAGACCGCTGAGCTCTTGATTTTGTATAACAAACATCAAAACCTTCCAGTGAAGCTTTGACAAACAATATTAACTGGTATGAAAAAGCCATTAACCGACATCTGTTTAGAAAGTCAATCCCATCATCCAGATTGTAAAAATGAGAGTAAAAGACTTTGCTGGACTGGAAAAATGTGCTCCTGACATATGGAAAAACTATTTATTGTTACCTTCTATCAGAGGACTTTGATTCAAGTCACATAAGTTTCGCAATTTTTAGTTTTACAATTTTTACATTGATTTTCTTTTGTTCAAAAATCTTTTTTTTTTCAAACTTAAGGATAAATCTCCAAAATTGACGTACATGTGATGTATATTTTTTGGGGGGAAATATGGTTCCTGGTATAGTTAATAGATAATCATAATCATTCAACTGTTTCAGTGGTGTTAAAAACTGCAGACTAAAGATCAAGAAAATTGACAATATCGTAAAATCGCAATTTAAATCGAATCAGCATCCAAAAAAATCTGAGAAGAATCAAATCGAGAGAAAAGCATATCATCCCAGCCCTAATATATATAAAGTTATATATGTAGATATAGATATATATTTTTTGTGCCATTCCTTCAATTCGGAGTGAAGGTACATCCCAGGGCTTATTCATGGAGTCAAACACCTTTATAGATTAACATAGGCTGTTTCCATGGTAATGGAAATAGAAAATAAAGATAAAGATCATGTTATAGCCCTTTAAAGCATGCATATACATCTTTTTGTTTGTTTTTACCATAGACAGTGATGTGACCCATTTGTTTCTGAAGCAGAGTTTTGATATCTGTTGCCAGACTGCGAATGTTGACTCTTAGTCGACCCAGCAAAATGCAAGGAGATGGAGTTTAACTGAATTTAAAAGCGGAAGAGTAATAATAATAGCCGATTCTATGTATTTGTAGAAGTAGTTTTATTCTCCTCTCAAGGTGGATGAGTCTGCTTTCCTTTGCCCTTTGGTATTTAAATGTATGAGGCGAAGGATGAAATGCTAACTGTAAAGCATTCAGTCTGTTAATGCAGAAAAACACCACTCAGGTTCACCCATTCACTGTCCTCAACAAAAGCTGTTATCGGCGTACGCCTCCCTTCGATCGTGTCATCATGTTTCCCTGGCAACAGAGAGTGTAAGTGATGTAAAAACTGAGGAGATAAGTGTTTAAAGTGCTCATTTGATCACTCAGAGGTCTGTGGTTTGATCCCCATTAATATCCAATCATATCTTATGTGTCATTTTGTGAAATACTTCACTTTGGCAACTTTACTGTTTTTTCCTTTTATCAGGAATAAAACTCGTGGTCATTGAGCCGGCTTACACACACACTCATAATGAATGTGGTGGTTGTTTAATTTTTGCTGTGTGTCCTTTTTTGAGACTAAAATGTGTAAATCAGCAGTTTCAGTATTACAGACAGATTTATAGTGATTGTAATTGAAGTGAACCATGTGACTCTTTGCAGCGTAGATTCATAATAAACCGTAAAATTGTATTTTTCTTTGAATCTATTCAGTTTATTGTGTCTGTAGTAAAGTATGAATACATTGTGCGAAATAGGCCGCGGCTTTGTCTGCTGAAAAGTTGTTGCGTCAAACGTTTGTGAAGAAGCTGTCAGAGCAGATTGAAGCATAACTGCTGTTTGTTTGTGAGCGTGTGATGGTCTGGCAGCGGTTTACCTTTTAAATCTATTTGAAGAGACTTGACAGCCATAATGACAGAGCAATCTCCATCTTATGGAGCTGTTTACTTCCATCTGCTACCTTTGTTTCTCTCTGCTTTTCGCTCTCTCTCTAGCTTTTCTCTCAGCTACCTGGATCCCCCTGCAGTTATTGTTGCTCTTTGAAATTATTCTCTCAGGTTGGAGCTCCGTATAAAATGAATGAACGTGGCCTTCGATCAGCCAGGAGACGTTTTTATTTTTGCGCCTCTGCTCCAAAGCAAAAGCTCTCAATCATGGGAAGATGGTTTCGCATAAACAGGTTGCGCTCTCACATTGTAATTTGAAGTCTGGGGTTTATGTTCAGGTCACAACGAGAAAGGACTCTGCCACAGTTAGAGGTTTCATTTCCATAACAGACACATTCATTCTGGTGATACCTGAAATTAAAGTAAACAGCATCTGTTCAACATGAGTCGCAGTGTTCTTTCAGTAATCAGTCATAAAAGCCGAATGGAGCGCTTTGGTTTATGAAAATGTTCATTTCTCTGGGTGTTTACTCTCTCTGCAGACGGCTCACAGCGGGGGGAGCGTCAGTGAAGGTGCTTCACCGCTTTCCCTGTCAAACTGAATCATTATTCAGAAACTATGTTCTTTTCCTGTGGCTGTTTGTGGCTGTTTCCTCCTCAAACTCTCACACAACTTGCTTTCCCATCCTCTGCTAACATGCTCCTCTTTTTCGTGCACAGCGGACGAGGATGAGGACAAGGACGATGATTTCCGGGCGCCGCTCTACAAGAACGTGGAGATCAAGGGCATTCAGGTCCGGATGAAGTGGTGCGCCACCTGTCACTTCTACAGGCCGCCTCGCTGCTCACACTGCAGCGTGTGTGACAACTGTGTGGAGGTGTGTATGTGTGTGAATGCAAGTGTGCAACAGAAAGATTGTGTTTATTATGTATGTATGTATGTATGCATATATGCAGGTAGGATCTAAAAATGGATCATCAGATGGATCGGGGTTGTGTTATCTAAAGCTGCCCTTCAAGCATCAAACATGCTTCTTTGTGCAGAGTGGATTCATAATCATGGCGGCATGAGCGTGTGCAATAAACATATTGCAAGTCTGAATGTGGTGCATTAAATAGGATGGAGCCTCATTTTTACTTTTTACAAACAAGATGAGCTGTTTTTGTATAAACACTCTCTCTTTTCATGATAAACTGCAAAGGTATAAACTTTCACTTTTGGCTCTAACATGCCGTCACACCCTGATAACAGCAGAAGGCTCCTTCCTCTGTTCCATGTTTCTAAAGGGAATAGAGACCAAATTGGAACTTAACTTATAAAATGGGGAAAACAGGTAAAAAGCTGGGGAGTTTCAAAGAGAAAACGAGATAGACGAAGAGAAAACTAGTGCAACTAATACTGTCTGAGATAGACGAAAAGAAAACTAATACTGCTAATACCGTATGAGGTAGATGAAGAGAAAACAAATGCCATCCGAGGTAGACGAAGAGGAAATCTAATACTGTCCAAGTTAGACGAAGAGAAAACTAGTACAACTAATACCATCCGAGGTAGACAAAGAGAAAACTAGTACAGTTAATACCATCCAAGATAGATAAAGAGAAAACTAAAACTGTCCGAGATAGACGAAGAGAAAACAAAAACTGTCCGAGATAGACAAAGAGAAAACTAGTACAACTAATACCGTCGAGATAGAGGAAGAAAAAACTAATGCAAGATATACCGTCCAAGATAGACGAAGGGAAAACTTTTCACCTGAGATAGGTGAAGAAAAAACTAGTGCAACTAATGCTGTCTGAGATAGATGAAGAGAAAAGCTAATTACTATCTGGGGCTTTCGAAAGCTTGTGACTTATTTCGTTTTTCTGGGAAATTTTGTTTTTATGGTGTTCAGGGCAAACATGGAACAGACATAAAAATTCATGTTTGTCTTATAGATTTTAACCATTTTATGTCTTTGATTTTAAATTGTTCTGTCTTTTTGACTTTAAATTTGAGTTGCCTTGTGTATGAATGGTGCTATACAAATTAACTTGCCTTGTCTAGCAGGTCGCTCACAGCCGCCTTTGTCCCAGTAATACTCTCAAGTGAATGCATGAACACAGGAAGCCATAAGTCAGCTCTGTAGCCGCTTTACGGATAGTGTTGCCTCTGGTATTGAGATATGAAGCCAATCAGGAAGTGCTAGGGTTAGGTTTGAGTCAGCATTTCTAATACGGTGACTGCCATCACCAATCAATGCGACTCCATCCATGTGTTGTAAAGTCTAAGGCTGCTCCAACACAGACATGAATAATGGAGCTATGATCTAGCGATGCACTTTCACTCAGCCGCGACTAAACTTTGCCCATCAAAAGAGACACACTAAATAGCAGTCCTGTTGTAATACTCATGAGGTTGCATTATTAACTGTATCCACACAATCAGAACTCAGGAGGGTGAGTGTAAAACCTGATGAACAGCCAATAAAAAACACAAAAGTGTGCACTCTTTGTTACGTGTTTGCATCTCACACTGTTAAACAATGAAATCACAACCAGCACATTTTTATTCTATCATATCATGCAAGCTTTGAACATGTTTGTATAGCCTTGTGTTTTCTTTTATGACCTGAAAATTATAATTGCTACAATAAAAACAGCTTTTGGCAGGTAGAAGTGCGCACTCACAAATGCTCGTTCCTGCCTCACAAACAGATCAACAGATTAACAAACAGCCTCACTGGAGGCAGAGAAGTGTTAATACAATAATGAATTTGGTTTGGTTTATTAGCTGAGAGATTTCTCATTACTACAGCTTCAGGCTGAGATTTACAGCCCTTAAATTAAAACACTAATCCAGACGAGCTGTAGGCCAGATAACCAAATATATCTATAAATTACAAACATAGATATTAAATGCTCTACCCGCTCCCTCCTTCTCCCCTCAGGACTTTGACCATCACTGTCCCTGGGTGAACAACTGCATCGGGCGGAGGAACTACCGTTACTTCTTCCTCTTCTTGTTGTCGCTGAGCATCCACATGGTTGGAGTTTTCTCCTTCGGCCTCCTCTTCGTCCTGCACCACAGAGAGAAGCTGGCAGCGCTGCACACCACGGTCACGTATCCTTTTACACTCTGGGAACCCCGCTGCAAACCCGCCCCCTGTGCTGTTATTGATTTTGAACGCACCGTAGTGTTTCCAAAACAAGCAAAAGTTGGTGTTGTAGCCTCAGCTGTCTGTCAGTGTCAGTTACTCCCACCATTCATCTTGTTGTGTCTTACGCTCTCGTGTTGTTGATCTTGACCTTTACGTCCAGTCTGGTGGTGATGTGTATAGCCGGGCTTTTCTTTATTCCAGTCATGGGACTCACAGGTTTCCACATGGTGCTTGTAGCTCGTGGTCGAACCACCAATGAGCAGGTGAGGAGTGCATGCTTGTTCTGCAGGTTCACACACCAACAATTATTCTCCTGTTGTTTATCCAGCGTGTGTAAACAGAGCTCTGAGGCGTGACTTCACAAACACATGCAAACATTCACACCTAGAGCTGCTCGGGTGTTTGCAACTGGGCTTCAGAGCACATTTTATTGAATGTGTTATGAGCTCTCCTGCTGCATATAGAGCAATAAATTTACAATAATGAGGATGTTAAACCCTCTCAGAGAAGAAAGAGGGTTAACAACAGCGCTGGTACACTCTTCACCACATAACACTTTAACAATATGATTCACCTTCTTCATATTCAAGTACTGGACCTCTGTGCTTACATGAGTTTGTGATTGTGTGTCCATGCATGTGTATACACTCTGGCCTTGAGCTTTTTCTACTGCTGACAATAAACGAGGCGTTGTGATCCTCAGGTGACGGGCAAATTTCGTGGAGGAGTAAATCCCTTCACGAAGGGTTGCTGTGGCAACGTGGAGTACATCTTATGTAGTCCCCTGGCACCGAGGTAAGATGCTTTACGGTTCTGCATGTGTGTGTGTTTGTTTGTGTACAGTAGCTGCTCTTTTCTTGTCACTACACACAGAGACAGAGAAAATGTGTTCATACAGCTGTGAGCTCACACATGTGCATCCATACCACAGCATCACCTTGCTGCAATAATAGGACACACAGGAGCGTATTAAGTGTGTAGGAGTGTATGCACGTGCTTGTGGAGGTGTGTTTCCAGTCCAGCATGAACGCAGCCAGCAACCCCGGAGGGAGGCAGATGGCTGAGAGAATATAAGAACAATGTAGAAACAACACTTAACAGGAATCAGAGCACAGAGCGAGTAAACACACATTTTACGCACAGCATCACTAAAACCCCCGAATGCCACTTTCACAACCAGTAGGGACAAGCCCAATTTCATAAAAATCAACAGCGTGACTGCGGAGAGAGGGGCGACAGCAGGTGAGAGTGAAATGCTGCTTTACGAGCATCTGCTGTGAAGTTGTTGCAGAGTCCCTGACGGAGGCTCGCAGATTTACCAAACCACTGACTCAAAACATGTTGGACTTTGCTGCTGAATGAACTGTTAGTGGAGTAATTTTAAGTCAGCCGTAAAATCAGCGCCATTCATTCAGGAACTGATTTTTTAAATATTTGTAAAGATTTATTACCAAGAAATTAGCAAAGACAGTGTGAGACATCAAGCTCACACGTTACTCCAAGGTTTCACGCTTAGCATTAAACATTGAAGGAAATCATGGTGACAGCTTTTTTAATTATGAAAACACTCTGTAAGACCCATTTAAACGCTGGTTTTCTGTCAGGATGTTGTGTTGTAATGTCTGTCTCAGGCTGTGTAACCACCTCAATGGGATTATGCAAATAGCTTTACTAATTTATAATGGAGCACTCTGAACTCTGTATTTGAGGAAAGCCAATAAGAGTTAATTGTGGCCTTGAAGGGGCAGTTTCACAACTAAATTAATATTTGTGTTATTGGCTCTTTGTTCATTTTCTCATTTTGACATAATCAAACAGTAGAGTTCACCGAGGAGATACAGGAACCTGTAATGGCGCTCACAGCTGATACAAGCTCCAACACTAAAAATGGGCATGCTGATATTTTAGTATCATTTTTACTTTTTACAAAGTTATTTTTCAGTTTGGTAGAAGAACTTAAAGAAACCTTAAGTATCCAGACCCCTCCTCGGTCATGGATCTGCTCAGGACATGTCAATATTATCATCTTTTATTGTTAAATGAAGATAAACAGTATTAAAAAGAAATAATACATCAGGAAAATTAACATGTAGGTTCACTCGATTTGGCAAACCTTGAACTTAAACATGCTTAAGTGCAAGTGCATGTACAGGATAAAATCAGCCAAGCAAGAAGAGCTTCACTTTGTCCACAGGGGGCGCCAAACTCCACACTAACATAAAATTCCTCACAGGAGCTTTATGATAATGTTATGATTTTTTTATCATTTAAAGTTTAGTCAAGGCTTTTCTGTTTTATTTTGGGATTGTATTTTACAGTTATTTGCACAGACATTTTACCTTCACTAAAGTTTCCTCTTCTTTATAGTTACAAGTTTCCTGTATGTGTCATATGCTTTGCTTTTAAATGCTTATGTTTATAAAAAATCTGTTTTGTATTTTCATTCTGGTGTCGGCCAAAATAGGTTTATAAATATAAGATATCGGCAAAATTCCAATATTATGCACGTCTAGTTTTTTATTTTTAGACTTTTTGGCCTTAATTTGACAGGATAGGACAGTAGATAGCGCAGGAAACAAGGCCAGAGAGCAGAGTGACATGCAGGAAAGGAGCCACAGGCTGGAATCAAATCCGGGCCTGCGGCTCCCCATGCATCTCTAGTTTGATCCCTGCTCCTGCTATTCACATGCTAAAGTGTCCTTAGGCGAGACACTGAACCCCACAGTGCTCCCGATGGCTGCACCAGCATTGTGTGAATGGCATAAGTTAACACTAAAGGGTGCTTTATACAGCAGCCTCTGCCATCACTTTTTGAATGTGGTGTGAATAGGTGAATGTGACATGTACTGTAAAAGCACTTTGAGAAAATCAGACTTTCAAAAATCAAACTTTCAGTCAAAAGATGTGACCTAGGTATGAAGACGGGATATGCAACATAACTCATGGAGTATTTTGTAAAATAAAGATGATATCCTTAAGGTTTCGGATGCAGTAAGACTAAGACAGACTTTGTAATATCTCAGGGTTTCTGCAGGGAAAATCCTCAATCTTCAATGTTTAGCAAGATTGCCACAAGCACCGAAATGGACTGAAATCTTGACTGTGCTTTATATTTCAAATAGTATTAGTGATATAATGCTGCAAGAAGTTACATGATTGTCCATACCTATTGCTTTATGTGATGCAGGTACACACTGGATCCCAGGAAAAAGCCCCCCATTAAAATTCAGCCCCCATTCATCAGACCCGACCTATCAGACCGACAGATCACCATCAAGGTCAGCGACAACGGCATCCACAACACCATCATCAGCTCCAAGGTGAGTTTTTCTCACTTACTTCAGAGCTTTACTTTCTTAATTCATCATTTAACAGACCTCTTTCTGCGGCTGTGTTACCACCCCCCCCAACCTTATCATGAAGTCTCATGTCGCACTTGTGCAGGCTGGCTCTGAGATTACCATGTCAATACAGGCACACCCGAGGCAGTGTTCATAGTAAAAGAGTGGAAACATGCCTACTGTCAGATAGACAGACAGAAGCATACTGTTACAGACAAAAGCTGAATGATTCACTCAAAGATATGCAGCCTTTGGCTCCCGTTCATGTCATTTAGCATGAAATTATAATTTATGGTCCTTAAAGGCCTGATGGAGATGGTCTGGATCTTTAAAATACTGTCTTTTCATTAGTCTCGAGCTCAAAGTGAGGCCCCAGTGATGAGTAGTATCCTGTTCCCTAAAATAACCCCAGAGATTCAATTATTTTCCTCTAGCTGGGAATGCTCCCAGACAATGTCGGATCCTGAGAAAATTAAATGACATCGAGAAGAAAGTGTGTGTGGCACATGTGGGGAAAAGCTGAAGGCTGCCTTACTGTATGTGTGGGAGAAGAATGACAAAAAGAGACGAGCACATCAGACCTGCCGATCACGCCTCATCTCTCGCTAAATTCAGATGTCTGGACTTTTCTGGTCTTTCAGACTCTCAGACTTTGCGGGTGAGTTCACAGGAAGTCTGCAAGAATTGAGACCAGTCCAAACCCTTCATTTGTCCAGACCTCAAGGGGCCCAAGCTGACGTTCTGCAGGCTTACAGGGAACCCACTCGGGATGCAAAGATCTCAAGACTTTGTGGATTTAATTATAACACACTGCAAGAATTGACTGGACATTGACGTTGTTCTAAATTAAAAATGTCACTCTTTAGATCTGGAAAGAAGGAGATGCAGAAAGAGAGATGGACAGAGCTGGAAAGCAGACAGGTTCATGGTAGCATAAAGTCTGCTGCAGGGATCCAGAGGAACCTACGGCATGATGGAGCTCAGGGACTCCCAGAAAAGACTGTGTGTTCATGACTCCAATGAGACAGAGGCACCCAAGAGGACACCCTCCCCCTGAAGCTCCCTCTGAGCACACTGATGCAGAAGTTCACTGCAAACATGAGAGTCCAATCCAATCCTTAAAAGTGGACAAATAGTTTGCACTCAAAGTTGAAAATGTAAAATGTCAGAATTTTGTTTGCACTTACCAAATGTCCTGTAATTCATGGACTACAAAAATCTTCTTGCAGGGTTTTGTCACAGTAGCATACCCCACTTTAGAGCATTTCAAGCCCTCATGGATTCTTGCTCTCTCACACAAAGCATGTCTGACAAATCCAACTGGGTTTAGTGCTCAGGCCAAAGGTGGGGATTGGGATCAGGCCAAACAAGTGTGCCACACCTGAGTCTCCAAATGAAGTATTTTTAGATTGCATTGTGGGTAATGTAGGAACCAGGTTAAGAAGATAGAAAACTATAGGAAAAATAGTGTACAGCTCCAAAAGCGCTGGTGCAAAACCAAAATTAGTCCGAGACTCATTAGACATAAACTGTAAACACAACTCTGAGATGGTTTCCTTTCACTGCTCCTCCTTCCATCAGCCATTGACTAGATTAAACACAAGCTTTGCCTGGTGCAGCTTTACTATGACCATCTGTGAGAGCAGTGTTGGTTCATCCCCAGCACCAACACATGCTCTGCTCTATCTCCTCTGCTGTCCACCCACCTGTTTTGGTTTTTTTGGACGAGTTTAACACCCTGCTCTTCTCCCTCTAGTCCAAAAGCAGCCTGGATGGCCTGGATGAAAAAGAAACCCAACCACCGCTGCCGCCTAAAGCCGACAGGTACAACCAGCTGAAAAACCAGCTGACCTCCAGTGAAGGTAAGAAATGTAGGATTCCTTAGGTACACAAACAAATCTCCCAGCAGTCATCCTTAATCTCATTTCCTTCACCTCTGGCTGTGCGGGGAAAAAAACTCATCCCCCCAAACTCACCGTGTCCCAGGATGGGACTTGGTGCCAGTTCAGCGTGATAAATGTCCGTTTCAGTGTCAGGTCAATGACTTTATATGTATGCAGGGCTGAAAAAGAGTCCTGATTTGCTGCAAGGAGACAAACCCTGTTCACTGAATCAGCACCAGATTTGTGGCACAATAGAGAGATTTCTGAGTGAATCACTGCAACATGAATCATCACCTGTTTTTTTGATGGCATGTTGCAACAAAGCTCGCTGAAATCGAGGGAAAACAATATTGTCTCGAGTCAAGATAATCTAAAAATGATGGACTGCATTTGGGAGTCACCTCTTTCTATAAGGAACTGAGACAGCAGCTGACGTAGTCCTGGTTTCAGAGTGTAGCCGCCAAGAGTGTCTGACAGTGTTTTCAGTGTTGAATTCTCTCGAATTAAATGTATGTGATAGATAATGGAAACCTTAAACAGGAGGGTCCTTCCAAAGCCTCATTGACAGTTTTATCTGGGAGTGAACCTTTTCTGTTTTTCTGAGGAGCACTACTGCTGCCTGGTGGATCTTTGAGGTACTGCAGCTCTGAATGGATTCTGTCTCATAAGCAAAGAAACCAAACAGAATGAATTTTACATATTCCTTGGAGATATTTAGGAGGCACTGAGCAGGGACTTACCTGATAAACAGCACCTTGGGGTTTCAGGTTTGGCTCAATGATAAAGCTGGCAACAAGAGACTGGCAGTGGGCTTTTGTGGAACATAAGGATACTTCTGTTATTCTGCAGGGGTGGTGATGCTGCAAAATTCAAGAATTTAGTCCCTCTAGACTCTTAACTTTGAAAATACATTTCAGCCTGGGGTTTTGCTTTAAATTTCAAGCAGAGCTGGAAAAAGATGTCTCTTTTTATTTCCTTAACAGACTGGGCTTTGTTTCTCTCTGTCTGTTTTAGAGAGTTCTCTCTCTGGTAAGACCCACCCGTCCACTCCAGCCATGTACAAATACAGGCCATCCTTTGGCACCATGCCTAAAGTCCACTACCACACCGCCGGAGAGAAGGTAAGACAGGATCAGTTTGGATCTTGATGATATGATACGTGACACTCAGGGTGTTTGATTTAGGGTGAGTATTTACACCTTTATTTCCTCTAAATTCACATCTGTTATTCTGCTCTTTAGATTGTCATGGCAGATGACCTGAAGACCTCAGCCATCTTAGAAGAGGGTGTCCGTAGTCATGACTACCGATCCGAGCCAAACTTGGACATGCCTGAATACACCAACGCTCCCCTCCACCGCACCTTCCAGTCCTCTCCACTCCAGCTGGACTCTGACCCCATCGGCTCCCGCTCTCTCAGCCTGAAGCAAGGTCACCACCGGCCTGAGAAAGGCCAGCTCTCAGCTCTGCAGCCACAGACGGTCACCTCCACCCCTTACAAGAGTGTTTTCTCCCCCAACACACTCTCCAACCGGAACGGCAGCCTGTCTTATGACAGCCTGCTCAACCCCAGCATCTCCCCTGCCACTGCCAGCGAGTGCATGGCCCATCGTGCTATGCCTTCCATGGGCTTCCACTCGCCCTACCTGCCCACCAAAATGTGCCACATCCGGGAGCCTGAAATGCAGAGGCAGCAGGTTGCCCCAACCTATAGTCCAGTGCTGCCACCTAGAGGGATGGGCAGGCACTCCCCTCACCTGAGGGAAAGGGACCCATCTCCTGTGCGCTACGACAACCTCTCCCAGACCATCATGGCCTCCATCCAGGAGCGCAAAGAGCTGGAGGAGAGGGAGAAGCGGCAGATGCTGCGTGGGCGCTCCCAGACCCATATCTACGCCCAGGACTCTGGCGTTTTTGACGGGGGCTATGGCCTGTCCCACAACGCTTGCTACCCAGATGGGCCACGTTGCCCTGTTTCTAGAGGCCCAACACCTCCTGCCTACGGAGGCTCCAGAGACAACCTCATGGGGGTTGGGCTAACCTACGGGCAACGGACGCCCGTGTTGCGCCACGCTGGGTCCACGCTGGGCCGCGCCCCCAGGACTTCATCCACCTCCCTGCACACTGATCACAGTAGCTCCAACAGCAGCCACAGCAGGGCTACCTGCCCAGATGGCCCCTATCGCTCCCCGGTCCACCAGCCCCACTCCCCTGCCATGCCCCGATCCCCCTCCTACTCCCACCAGAAACTCTCCTACATGAATGCCCACGAGAGGACAGACTCACCTCGTCTGGGGGGCCCAAGGTATGAATCTTAATGTTACCCACCCTGAGGGACTGCATGCTTTGTACTGAACAGGGACTGATGGGAACTAAATGCACTCCCACCAATAAACCTGCACCTTTATGTGGACTGCAACAGCACTGCATGAGCACTGACGTGTACTAGTCCAAAGGCAAAGTGTAGCATGATGAACAATATCTGTAATGTCTCATTACCCATAAAGTAATGTCTGATGTGGATTCTACATGTTCTGTTCTGTTTTGTTTGTTTGCCTTTCTAGAAAAATATCATTTTTGTATCATTTCATGAGTGTCGGGTGAATAAAGTCGTGACTCCTCTAACCTCCTTTTCTTTTGCATGCTTTTTCCCTTTATGTTAACCTTTAAAGCAGTTTGTTTGACTAACAAACACATTCGAGTAGGGCTGCACAGTTAATCGAATTTTAATTCTGATTACGATTTTTCAATTAAAGGTAACTACTGATGTTATAAATGTGTGCTTCTCCTGCCTCGTCTCTCCTTTTCTTTACCAGTATGTGTCTCAGAGTGTAGAAGCAGATGTGTGTTAGTAAAGCAGAGGGAAAGAGTGAGCAAACAATTAAAATGGGTGAAGACTGAAAGGCTGAGTGGTATATTCCCTCTGTGAAAAATGTGCAATTTCAGGTCCTTTATTTTTTGGCACCACTACATGAAAATATTCTACATAATTAATGATAATTGTCTTAAATATGAATATGTCAATAATTGTGCAGCCCTATCTTTAAGTCATCATTTTTTTGTCTTTTTTTAACCTCCTCGAATCTCACCTGCATGTGACTGGAACCGCTGCTGTCGTGTTTTTCCTCTTCCTGTCGAGTAATTCTTCATTCTTCTCTCTTCTCTCAGAGAGGCCATGAAAGTTAACGGGCAAATGGACTGCCACCCCAGTGCCCAAGGTGCCACCATGAGCCCCAGTCGCCATAGTAACGTCAAAAAAGTGACAGGCGTGGGAGGCACCACGTATGAGATATCAGTGTGAAAAGGGACGCTGCATCCACATCCAACGACGACGACCATCCTGCTACAAAGAGATTCTCTCCGTGCTGTAATTTTTAAAAGTCGAGATTACAGCCAATCAGGTGCACAAAGCACTTCCTTTATTGGGGTTAACGTCCAATCAGAGGATCTGTCTGCTTTGACAGCCAAATACCTGTGTGTGTTTGTACAGGAGGGGTTGGTTTTGAGTTGATATGTGTGAAGAGTGTCTTGTTGTTAACATTTTGTGGCCGTTCAACAGATTGTCAAAAATACTCACTGTTGTTTATCAGCTGTGGTCATGCCGTTGTTCCCGCCAAAACTTCAATCCAGGGAGCGCTGGAAGATTGAAGTTTGAAGATTGAATTCACTCACCTCAAGAAGTCAAGGTGCTCTACATTACATTACACTGTTTCAGCACACAGTCGGTGAAGTTGTACAGATTTGAAAATATAATGTAAGACTGATAAAGCAGATTAGCACCATCTGCAAATGCTGGTCAGGCAAAGTGAGAGCGAAGAAGCGGGCAGACGGGAAAGTCGAGGGTGAATCATTATGTTATGTCCGGTGGTTACAGCTTATAATAAGAAGTGAATACACTCAAATATCGACTAAGACAGAAAAATAACCCTCAGGAATAAACACAACCAGGAGTGATGGTAGGTGATTTAAAGCTAATGATTACATATGAATGTCTCCCTCAAGAAAACAGCTTTGCTCTTGTTTTAATCTTCATCACTCAGTTTGGTTGTTTCCACATGAGGTGTGCTGGTCATTTATATCACTCTTAAAGGTCATTATACCTCATCCTCATGGCTCTCACCAAGTCCAGAACGAGTCCGGCCTTTTTTGTTCACGTGTTTCTCTTTCTTTCTTTTTTTTTTCCAAAACAGAATAATGATTTTTTTTTAATATGTAAGTTATGTTTGTGTTATATCATAGAAACGGAAAGGTGAAGCGAAAGAAGCCTGTCCCATGTAGAGAAACGAAGATAAATGTCTTTGTTTTTCCTTTTTTATATACCCAACCTTTAAAAGATATGTTTGATACATCTTTTTTTTATACTCATTATGAAGCCTGGAATGGATGTTTCACTTTGAGTGGAGTGTTTGGTTGATAAATTATAAATTCAAGTACATGAATGAGATTGTGATCATGGTTTAGCTCCATCAAGTGAAAAACGGTTTATTCTAATTTGCAGTGTGGAAAATGTTTGTTATTCAAAGATGTGTGAAGTGAGGAGGTGACGCGGCAAAGATGATATCTTAGACTTGTATACAGACACGTCACCCATGCTGCACACAAGTCAAGGACTGAGATTGAAGTCGAAGCTGAATTGAGATTTCAGAGGTGGAGGTGGCTTCACATTTCTCGATTTCTCATCTGCAGTAAGTAAATGAGTTGGTATGATGTTGCAGTGATATCATAAAAATGATAATTCAATCAAATTGCAGCAGCTGTCTGGTACAGCTTTAGTATTGTCTCACTCAGAGGGTTAAAATTGAGCTTGTTTTGCAGTTAATTTTCAGTCTTGTTACATGAATTACTTCTGAACATAAAAATGGAGAGGTTTTTTACTTATACTTGGCACCATCTGAGTATTATAGGTAAGACAGAGTAATGTGGCCATATTATAAAAAAAGATTTTGAGAATAAGGTCATTAATTTACAAGAATTTCATGAGGAAAAAGTCACAATTTTAGTCTTTGGTTAGCTCCTATAATATTTAAACAGAGATCAGAAGAAGCGATAGCAAGCTGCTCTAAAACAAGGAACTTGGAGCATCTTTTAAAAGCTATAGTTTAGTTTCATGAATAACTAAAGCACCAGGGATGTGAATAAATTGTGTAAGACACTAAGTCTATGAAGATGAAGGGGACATCTCTGAAACCTCTGCTTGTAAAACACTTAAAGATGATCCACGTTCCTCATTTTACAGCAGCCTCTTTTATTTCTTTCCCCTTTATGTTTTTTTAGTATCGGCTAAGCATCCTTTCTAATCATGACTTCTATATCATAACATTATAGTTTTAATCTTGTAAATTTATTTCCTTTCTCTCACAATTTTACTTTTAATTTGTGATTTTTTTATTCTTGTAAATTAATACTGAAATGAAGTCTCAAAATCTCCCTCTAACCCTCTGTCGTAAATCAAAGCCAGAAGTTTACGTTTCTGTAAAGAGGTAGATATTAACGTAAAGATTTAACCATTGTGGCCTTTTGAGAGAAAAGCTTGTGTTTTATGAGATGAAGCCAGTTTAATAGGACATGTGGGGATTTTTTTCATCCTGTTAAGAGGCTCTTAAGAAACACGGTTGTGCATGAAGGTAAAACATATGACTGCTGGTGTTTTGTTTTGAACATAGAAGTGACACTTGAAGGCAAGTCGGGCTGGATAAAAAAAGTAAACTATCAAAAAGTTCTGGAAGAAAGGCACAAGAAGATTAGTCTCCTCATAAGGATATTTCCTGTTTCCGTCTCTGCTTCATTCATAGATTCCTTTCTCCAGAACTCAGACTAAAGATGGTAGCTGTGGTAGTAGAGACGGTAGAGACTCTCGCTCTCTGACAAGGTTGGCTGTTTACAACCCTGTGGCTAATACGATCCCAATCTGAAAGTCTCACCCAGCTGCCTTAGCATGAAAACAGTATGTTCGGTTACAAAGGCTGCTCTGTAGGTGGCACTGTGGTATACAGGGCTACTTTTCGAAGAACTTGATGTATCTGAGTATAAATGGTGCAACTAACTGGATCATCTTGAAACACCTGATCGACCATTAGCTGCTAAGTTGCCTGGTATTAGCCGGACTGTCAGACCCTCATTTGACCACATGTCAAAAACAGTATCGATGTCATTCCTCTTTAAGATGACTGCCATTATAGTCCAATGTTCTTTTTTAGGGGATGGACGTCACTGCAGGTCAGGGATCATTCCTGACAGTCAGCAAAGAATCTGTTCAATCAGCCATGAGCTGATGTTGTTTTCTGACTCTCTAATAAAAAATAAAAAAAATCAATATGTATGAAAATGATAGAATATGCTATAAATGTACATGCGTTCCTATTTTTGTGAAGAGGAATTATTTCCCATCGACCTGAGAAGAGTAAATAAAAGTTTCAGACTCTTCTAGTAATTGTGACTTGTTTTTGTTCACCTGCACATTAACATCGAGTTATATATATATATACGTTGTATAGAAGTGAAAAACAACATTAATATGAAGCCTGTGAAAAAAGAAAATGAGTGCTACCCTCCGGCAGAAATGCAGACGAAGGCTCAACAAATGATGACATCGCCGATAACACTGGCATGAAAACGTGGCGTGGCGGTATTTCGTTTTTTTGAGGTCGGACAGGAAGCAGATTAATGTGCACTAGGGATGGGAACTGTTCAGATTTTATCAATATCGATGCCATTATCGATTCTGCTTATCGATTTAATTCTTTAATGATTCCCTTATCGGTGCCTTTCTTTGATTTAAAAAAAAAGTAGACTATGGGTTTTTACCATTAACTTAAAATTTCATTGAGTCTCTGATAACAGAAGTCTAAAAATAATCAAATGACAAGCTATTTGTACAGCGTTTACTTCAGTCGGTATTAAGTCAAATTAGGGTGACCATATTCTGGATCCCCAAAAAGAGGACATGACGAACCAGGAGGTGGAGTCACGCGCAAAATTTCAAGGGTTTTTTGGGTTGGGTTGAGTGTTTTTGACGTGCTTCTAACTCAGTTAGTCCAAGTCTGGCATGCATTGTGCTTATGTTCACACAGGACATGCATAACTTCCATGCCGTTGCTCAATTATTTCCCATCAACCTGAGAAGAGTAAATAAAAGTTTCAGACTCTTCTAGTTATTGTTATGTTTTTGTTCACCTGCACATTAACATCGAGTTACATATATGTTGTATAGAAGTGAAAAACAACATTAATATGAAGCCTGTGTATTTGCTACCTCACAGATGAATTTAAGAGTATGTTGGCTCAAACTCGCTGGTTTTGTGTCTATTTGCTGTTCAGTTTTTCACACCTGTTTGCAACATCTCTCTCCTGAATTTCAAATAATTTTAGTAGTTAATAGCCACTTTGAGCTACATCACAATAGTATAAAAGCATGACTCTCGTACCCTGGTCTCCATTCTAACATTCAAATGCACACATGCTAAGTAAGAAGGCGTTGCTTAGTAACACAAAATACTTTTATTGGTAAATCCAAACTTTAGCGATGTGTTTGTTTCAAATGGTAATATTGAGGTTAATTTTAAAAGTGCTGCCTTGATCAAAAGTTATTAAAAGTTACAGGATCTGTAGTTATTGAGTTTTTCCCACAACCCCAAACTAAAGCAACATAAAAGACTCTAGACCTACTCTTTAAAGCTCAGTGTCTTGAGACATGGACTCGTGGTATCTAAATAAAGTTTTATTTATTGAAGCGCACATTTCTCCAGCAGCTGTCCAAGGACACAAGTAAAATTTTTCATGAATGCAAATGTGTGGTCTTTGACAGCTTTTATTCGAAGGTGGAGGAAACATTTCAAATCATTTGAGTGCAAATGAAAAGTAACATTTCTCCCACATACATGTATTTACAGATGCACTGGCACTTAGATGCGCTTTAGAGGCAAGGTTAAGAACTCAATTAGTGGAAAGAAAAGGAGAGGGCGGTGAGCACACAGGTCAGGTAGGGCACACTCTGTTACATAAACCTTACATGCTTTTAAGTTTGGGAATGTTAAGATGTACAGAAACTTGATTTCACGGTGAGGAACTTGAGTCAGAGCGTAGCTGCGCCAAACTCTGCCGAACCGTTGACTTTGGAGTTTCGATGGTTTCAGATTTTTAAAATAAAAAGAAAGAAAAAGAAATGCTTAGCTAAGTGCATCTGATCTCCTATCAGCCCGCTATCAGTGTTGGCCGCAATCCGCAGCGTGAATCTGATGGCCCTAAACTGTCCGGAGTGGATTCCTCTTCCGGTCAGTTCCCGACAGAACTGACCAAAGACACTATTTCTACAAAGCATCCACTGGAAAAAATATCTTCGCCTAACTTGCTCTTTGTAACAGTGGAAGCATGGACAGTGGACATAGTGCATAATGGTATTTTAGACTGAAAATGCACCTCCATAATAATGCCTGGTCCCTGACCCTGTGCTGCTGAAAAGCAGGCTACATTATCCTCTCCCCCTACAAACAAACTCTGCTTCAGAATAACAAAACAAAAAGTTAGCCCAATGTGGGAATTATCACTATCACAAGCCTCTTTTCACAGTTTGTCAGCAGTTATGATGACAATGACAGTAAGCGTGGTGTTCCACGGTGCAGAGGGGGAGAGCTGGCATGGAAAGGGCTTCTTTGTTTCGGTAATTCACTATCTCCTATTGTTCCCCCCCAGTGGCGTCAAGGACTTGTGATCTTGAGGCAAAACAGATAATAATAATAATAAAAAAAAACAACTAATAATATGCAAGTGTCCAAATTCAGTTCATTTAGAGTCTATTGTAGAAAAAGAGGAAAAACTGATAATTTGAAGATCAGCAAAGCAAGTTCTTGGTTCTCAATTCTTCTCCTCAGCCTTCACCTCCTTTTTCTCATCTTCTTTCTTCTCAGTCTCCTTTTTGCCCCCTTCCTTCTTTGCTTCTGAAGCCTTGTCTTTTACTGAGAGTTCCTCCAGCTTCTCAGCAACTTTGTTTGCGCTATCAGTGTTGCCTGGAGCAAAAACGTAAAACATGAAGTTAATGACATGTTCGTACAACTGTCTCAGATAAAACTTTAGGTCTACTCCAGATTCTGTTTTTATTACAGCAGTTATAAAACGCCTGAAAATGTTCACCGTAAAATGAGCTCTTGTAGCAGAACATAATCTCACCAGCCTTTCATAAAGCCAGTTAAGTGTTACATTCTGCATGGTCATGTTGCAGACAGAAAAAGTCCAAGGCTGGAGGAAGCAGCGGAGAACAGAGTGTGTCTGCGGGCTCATGAATCTGCTCACATAACAGCTGTTTAAACGGGTCTAAGAGGGCATCATTCAAGCTTACAAATCAGTATGTCACAGGGCTCTAAAGATAATGACTGCAGGCATCCTGTAATGTAATAAAGGATCATTACTTCTAACAATAAAACCCCTACAACAGTGCACATTTATAGTCACATTTCATTTAAAAAATACAATATTTAAAAGAGTTTCATACCTGTTCCCTCAAGTTTTTTTCTGACCTCCTCCTTGCACTCATCAAACTTTGCCCTAAACTTCTGAGCATCTGCAGAAAGAACAGAGTGTGTTAAAATCACCACGCTGTTGTATGAAGCTGCTAAATCAGCGTGCAATGACAAATGAGGATAAAAGATCAACTGATGAGAAATCAGCTGCTGGATTCTGTCCACAGTTCAGATGCAGAAAATAGACTTACAGCTGCAGCTCACATCAGAGTCATCGAAACATAAATTAAAACGCCGCTCACGGCACCTTTCAAGTGTAATTGCGGATTAAATGTATAAATACTCACTTTCTGCATTTAAAAAGCGTACTGCCAGGAGTTCAGGTTTGGGGCATTCGTCAGCATAATCTGCTGGTGTGCTCCACACCCACGCCCTGTCACTGCCAGCATTGGGCTTCAGCTCCATCGTAGAAATAACTGTAGTTCAGGAAATGGGGACAAAGTTAATACGAGGGCAGAGACAGAGACATGCACACATATATTTCAGCTGATGAATTAAAAGATGGGCTGTTATTAGTGTTTTCTTTAAGTATATGTTCCTCTTATCGAAACCTGCAGTTCATGTTCATTACAGTTCAGCAGTACTGATAAGAAGGCTATCTCAGAAGATTAGGTGCTCATGTAAGTGTGAGGAATACAAGGTTTAAGCAGATGGGCTTGGGGGGAAAAAGGTGAAAAAAAAACATGCACTTATTCCACACACTCATCCTGTAGTACTCTATAGTACTAAAATGAGTCATTATTTTAGGATGCATCTGAATCCCATTTATCACCCTGACTCACTGTGATGGTTGGCGCATATCTTCAAAGTCCGGTCTCTCCTCATCAGTACACGGATTGTGCCTTTCTCTTTGTGTTTCAGAAGCTTGATGTCACCTGTCCCTCTCTCCTTCCACTCTGGCGGGTCGTTCTCAGAGGCAAAACGATAAAGCTTGGCCCTCCTGGGGAATAAACAAATTACTTCATTAACTTTATATTGTTATTATGACACTGGTCAAAACTAACACTCCGGTGAACAAAGAGGTATTGAAAAGCCACTCACATTTTGAAGAGCTCCTCCTCATCCTCCTCTAATGTTTTTACATCCTGCTCAGGAAGAGACACGATGGGCTCAAAGTGGGGGTCATGGTTAGAGTCGTCTGCGTTATCTGCAGAAGTGTCATGGTCTTCCTGGTCCTGCGGGAAGCAGTGGATAAGTTAACTCAAAGCATAAAATGTATGATTATTTGACCGTGACATTTGAAACAGTACAGTACAGGCCTCAAAACTCAAGCCTGGTTAATACTTGTGCTCATGACTACACTGTATGGCCTGTGCAGTCATGAGCGCTATTTGTACACTGGTGTTTAGTTTTAGTACTGCTGAATTACTCTGCCTTTTACTCTTCCTTTCTAGTTTTGTTGACCATACTGCAAAGTTAAGAGAAAGGAGACATCGTAGGAGATCGTAAGTCGTTTAAGTGCAAGTGATAGTCTTTACTTCCCAGCAGACCCTCTCACTGTATTTTGGATGCGCACTGGTTAAGGTGATTCACCTCCTGCTGCATACTCAGGCCTTTGCAAAGGTACTTATTCGACGCAAAAGTATACATCAGACTTTACTGTCACAAAGTGACTTTTACCACCTGAACAACAGGCCGTGAGTGCATGAATGGGGGGGATTTAAGAGCTCACTGGTTAAGTAAAGCTTTTGTTACAGGAACTCACAAAGCCTCTGGTAGTTGCTGAGCAAAGCATCTTTAGTTCTGTTCGGGGTGGGACCTCTCATGGAGATGTGTTAGGAGTAAATGTATAGAACTATCGGGTCGTGGAAAACCCTAACAGAAAACTGAGGACAAAGGCTGCTAATTTATGTTTTTGTACATTTTGGTGGAAAACCTGTGACAAGGCGTCGTCTGAATTCTTAAGCCATATTCAGTTTAATTTGGAGGACAGGGAACTGATTTGGCATCACTTCAAGGTTAGTATCTTTTGATTAGCATCACAGAGCTACGGTGGCCGAGAACCGAGACTGCTGAAATAAAAAAAGAACGCAAAAAAAAAAGAAAGAAGTCACAACCGGAGTTAATGATACAAATAAATAAATAAATGATAAGAGTTAAAAAATAAATAAATAAATAAATAAAGCCTGCTGCAAATAAAAAGAGAAATGGTGCAGATAATAATGATAATTTTTTAAAAAGTGGCGATGGGGGGGTGTCACTCACTGTGAAAATAAAAAGATGCAAATAAAAAAGGAGTCCCAATGGAAGTTACTGATGCAAAAAAAAAAAGAAAGAAAGAAACCAAAGCCCGCTGCAAATAAAAGAAAAAGTGAGGTAATAATTTTTTTTTTTTTAAAGTGGCGATGGGGGAGGGGGGGCGACGACGGTGTAGATAATTAAAAATAAAATAAAAGTGGCGATGGGGGGAAAAAAAGTTACTCACTGTGAAAATAAAAGGGTGAAAATAAAAAAAAGCCACAACGGAAGTGAGCTGCCGGGGACCAATAATGATGATGCACCGGTGTTTTACGATCTAGGCACAGGAGACGACGGCGAAAAGACAAGCAAAGAACTACATGGAAAGGTTGGTTTAATTTCGCTTCGTAAACTTTTTAATGTGTCATTTGGTTAGGCCATGTTGCACCTGAGTCGATGTGAAGTTGAAGCTAACACTACACTGGCATCCTCCAGTTCAACTTCGTATCGACTCAAGACACTACATAGCCTAACCGAATGACACAATGAAAAGCACACGTGGCAAAATCAAACAATAACCTTTCCACCAACTTCTTTGCTCGCCCTCTGAGCCTCGATCGGAAAACACTGGCGCATCATCATTCCATTGAAGCTTTTATTATTTGTACCTTTTTTAATTTTTCACAATAAGTAACTTTCTATATCATTTTTTTGCACCCACACATTTTTTTGGTGTCGTTAACTTCTATTGAGGCTTTTTTATAAAATCTGCACCTTTTATTTTTTTACTTGCAGCGGGCTTTGGGTTCTTTTTCTGCATCAGTACCTTCTGTTGTGGGCTCTTTTTTTTTATTTTACTTGCAGCAGTGGCTGTTCTCGGCCACCGTACAGATCAATAGTAGTAACAGGGGAGTCTTTGCGCCTTCAGTTAGCTTAACTACTAACAATCCGCTAACATAGCGCTTATAGGGGGATCAACTACAAAGAGATCAAACCTGAAACTTAGTGCTGACACGGAGAGTTTAACGTAGATTATGTTCACAACTAGTTAATGAACTTTGTCTCGATAGAAACGATTCACTGCGTGTGAAATAACCCAGCTAGTTGATAAGGCCCGTTACTACCATGCTAGCCGGGAACTAACCTCTCATTTTCACACTACTATAAAACGTGAACATGCACCAGACAAAATTCCACCCACATATTATTTTACGACATTACGTTCAAGCTTGCTGGTATGAGTCGCAACGAGAGCCGGTTTCTTCTAGGAGTCAGAAAACACGCAGTCACTGACTCCAGCGTCCAGTTACAAAGCTAACACTAGGCTAAAGTGTTAGCACCTGCTGCGCCTGGGCTAACAAAGACAAAGAGACACTTTTATCATCCGGTTTCACAAATAAGCCGGTAACACTAAGCGAATGATGTTTCCTACTCAGACAGCAGGTGATAATATATTAAATATAAGAGCGCTGAGCCGGATGGCTTCCAGAGCAGCTAGTGATCAGTAGGATGCTAATGTTAACATGCTGACTGTCTGCACACTTCACAGAGCTTTACGGCTTCTCAGTGTTTACCTAAAGCGATTTTCAGCAAATAATCAACATTTCTGTACGACTCTGAAAAAGATCTTTGGTCCTAATGATATCTTTTACCATTTACAACCCGTCTACATCCTCCCTAGCATCACCGAAGCCAACATCATTGTCGGCATTTCTCCCTCGCAAACTTTGACAGATTATGACAAATAAAAACACATTTGTGACCGAATTTAGCTTTTATACCGTGTATAATATAGCAGATGATACAGAACAAGTGACCTCACCTTCGGATCTGCCATAGTAAGGTAGATGTTTGTAGATTATGGAAGTAGTTTGATAGATTCAAATCCCGGTTTGTCCGCCGTTTCCCCTCAACCACTCTCACTTCCTGCTACAGCTTTCGCGCGCTTCCTACGTCCCTACGTAAGCCCGCGCACATTCTGACAGCGCGCACCCCCCAATCGCAGGGACTTCGATCAAACATGAAATACGCAGTTTAACATATTTTTAAAGTATAAATATAAATATATGAAAAGTAAACATATAAATACGCAGCTTAACATATATTTAAAGTATAAATATAAATAAATATAAAGTATAAAAATAAATACGCAGTTAAACATATTTTTAAAGTATAAATATATATAAAGTATGAATATAAATACGCAGTTAAACATATTTTTAAAGTATGAATATAAATATATATGAAGTAAAAATATAAATACGCAGTTTAACATAATTTTAAAGCATAAATACAAATATATATAAAGTAAAAATATAAATACGCATTTTATGTTTTATGTTTAGGTTTAAAAGGAGTAAAAAAAATCGAATAATTATTCAGCAGCGCATAAAACCAGTATGCAGTCGTAGTTTTTCAGTTTGTTTTTAGTTAGGCGAAATGAACGTATAGATCACGTTTAAACTAATAATTGTTGCCTGTCGCTTTAAGAAAAAGTGCAGAGTTCATCGCTGCACGCACGTGGTAATATCAACATGGCGGCGCCCTGTACAGTTTAGAGAGAGGTACTGGAAAATAAATAAGAGAAGGTAAGCTGCATGAAAGATACAACTTGGAGTTACATTGAGCGACACTTTGCACATTAGGAAACTTTAAAATGTCAAAATTTTCAACGAGATAATGACTTTCTTTTTAAGTGTGCCAAACCAGATTAACACAAAGCTCTGCAAGTCATTAAAATGATTTCATCGTGGCATAGGGGAGTTGCTCACAGTTGCTTTTTGAAATAAATAGTTATCGATTAATGGGTTAAAGTGCAACATCGATCGCTCAGTGGGCTGGTTCAACTTACCCCAGAACTACTATTATCATTAAACAGTTTAAACTAGGGCAGTTTTATACATGTGTGTGTTTTTTATGTAATAATAACTGATCAATAAATTTTAACACGAACAGAGACATGGCAGATGTGAGTGACAGCCCAGTGGTTGATCCTCCTCCCTCAGTGGAGCAGAAGACTGACGACCACCCTCAGGACTCCAGCCCTGATGATGTTCAGTCTGCCCCTCAAGAAGCTGAAGGAGACCCAAGCATGTACCGCTACATCAAAACCGACCTCTTCACATCTGAGATCTACAAGGTGGAGATCAGGAACCTGCCCAAGTTCATCGGCTTCAACGATCTGAAGAAGTTCCTGGCCAAACACAGCCTCAACCCTCACAAAATCAAGCTGTTCGGTAAGCAGACCTTTGCCTTTGTCACCTTCAAGAATGAGGAAGAGCGAGACAAGGCGATGAAGATGGTTCACGGCATGCAGTGGAAGGGGCAGGTGCTGAGTGTCAGGCTGGCCAAACCCAAAGCAGACCCCATCCTGAGGAAGAGGAAGCAGGAGGAAGGAGAAGGAGCAGGAGGGCAGCCACCATCCAAACGTGGAGACGGGGACGAGCAAGAGGAGCCGCTCAGTGTTCAGTTAGCCAATGTGGTGACTCCTCTGTGGAACGTGCCATATGAGGAGCAGCTGAAGAGGAAGGAGCAGGAGGTGGTGGGGGTCCTGCAGAGGCTGGCCAAGTGAGTTGAAGTCAATTATATGACAAATGCATGCTGTTTCTAAAACCATATTTATGGATTCCCCTTACAGTCTACACTCAGAGTTTACTGTGAATAACTGAAGGGTCACTATACTACCAGACCTCCTCAGGCTTCTCATGTATTTAAAATAACTACATTAGACTTTTTGTCTCATTTGAAGTGATAGCAAGAGAAATCCAGACAGCACACATGCACAAGAACTGACCTAAAGGAAAAGTTGCTCCACATCTTCACAGGAGTCTATGCAATAATGCTCTAAGCTCTGGATGTAACTTTTACCTTAATTTTGTTAGGATGTGATATAGTATCACCATATCATATATTGAATAATACTGTACATTTTTTTTCCAGAGAGATCGGCAGCACCAACAAAGCCATGCTGCCATGGCTGTTTGCTCAAAAAGGGAAATACAACAAGATGTGCTGTCCTCTGGAGGCTATTCGACCATCTCCTACTCAGGTATATTAACACACATAAATACAAACAGCTAGATCTCTCACAGTGAGTTCTCAAAATCCCTTTAATATCATTTTTTCCCTTGTATCATGGCAGACAGAGTACAGGAACAAGTGCGAGTTCCTCATTTCAGTGGGTGCAGACGGCGAGGATAAGACCATCGGTTTTCGTCTGGGGAAATACAAAGGCGGCTCCTGTGCCGTGGTGGGGCCGGCTGAGACCAGCCATGTCTCAGCTGAGGCCAAAAGAGTGGTCAGCGAGTTTCAGAAGTTCATCAGGTATTACTGCATGATCGTGCAAGTCCACGACAAGCCCTGGCTGAAGAAAACAAGACTGCTCATGATGTGAGATTTTTCTGACATAGTCTGATGGCATTAAATTTTTGTTATTGCATTTTGGTCTCTGCATACAGGACAACACCGTACTCTGTGTACAGTCCTGAAACATACGAAGGACACTGGAAGCAGCTGACTGTGCGGACCACAAGGACCAAACAAGCTATGGCTATGGCTTTCTTTAACCCACAGGTGCAGAAATAGTCTGTGATACTTTTTGTCATTGTGTTTCTTAATCAGCCTTCAACACTAACACTATTATTTTTGACCATTTTTCGTGTTTCATGTCCTAGAAACTTGAAGAAGAAGAAATCAACGCATTAAAATCCTCTATGAAGAGCTACTTTACAGAAGGAGAGGGGAAGGACAGCGGAGTCACCTCTCTTTACTTTGTCAGAGAGGGTCAGAGGTAAAAGGAAAGCTTCTTCGCTGTGAAGAAAAGATTAAAAAGTCTCTTAGGATCGCACTTACCTTTTTGTTTTGGGCTTTTAGGACTTCTCCAAACCTAGAGGACCTGCCCTGTGAGCTGGTGTCAGGAGAGGGCAGCATTCATGAGGATCTTCTGGGTCTGAAGTTCAGAATATCTCCTCATTCCTTCTTCCAGGTAATAAACAGAAACCTATCTAAATATTCTTTCAGCCCAGTGTAACCATCAGTGTTTGTATAATGTGTGTAACATGTGGCTGTGTTACCTGGTAGGTGAACACTGGAGCTGCAGAGGTGCTGTACTCAGCAGTGGGGGAATGGGCCCAGCTGGACCAGGACAGCACCGTACTGGATGTATGCTGTGGAACTGGGACGATTGGGATCTCTCTGGCCAAGGTGACGCCAGTATCAGATACTTAACTTACCTGTGACTGTGCTTCGATTATTTGGACTAATGCTTCTATTTTCTGTATCTTATTGGAGCTTTTTTCATGTATAACTGATTTTGTCTGCAGAGAGTGAAGAAGGTGATTGGGATCGAGCTCTGTCAGGAGGCCGTAGAAGATGCCAAAGTGAACGCAAAACTCAACGGTAAGGAGCAAGCTGACACCCAACCACAGGTCGATTGTAAAAGTGGCTTTTAAATGTGATCATCAAACTTAGTTCCAGCTGTGACACACTGATAAAGTGAAAAAGTTCCCAGGATACGTGATCAGCTTGTTTTTTGTATCTTAAGGTCTGACTAATGTGGAGTTCCACTGTGGAAAAGCTGAAGATGTGTTCCCAAACATCCTCAACGCTCTCGTGTCACCGAACGTCACAGCCATTGTGGATCCACCAAGAGCAGGCCTACGTGAGTCAACAGCAGAATCATGATCCTATAATTTTATTAACTTAAAAAAAAACGTCTCAAATTAAGAGTTTGTGTCCCATCAAACAGATTCCAAGGTGGTGCTCGCCATCAGGAGAGCAGAGCATCTGAAGAGGCTGGTTTATGTGGCGTGCAACGCTAAAGCAGCCATGAACAACTTCATTGAGTGAGTCACATGCTCCTAGTTTGCGCCCAGTTTAGATGAGTTCTTTTGTAGGTAAAAGTTGTAATTTTACTGCAAAAGAGACAAAACCTTCAAAAAATAAATCATTTTTGATCTTTTTTCTTTCAGTCTGTGCAGGGCGCCATCCAACAGAGTTCACGGCGCCCCGTTCCGTCCGGTTCGAGCCATGGCTGTGGATTTGTTCCCTCAGACGATGCACGTAGAGATGCTTCTGCTGCTGGAGAGAGTGGAGTACAATTCCCAACAGCAGCAGGCCAGCAGCGCTCAGGAAGAGAAAGGGTCATAGCCTCCAGGAGTTCCTGTATTAGAAAAGCATGCACGCCTCACTGTTCTTTAACTCGCTTTTGAAGCATCAACATTTGCAGTTGCATTATTTTTCTGTCATTTCTGTTTCTACAAGGCTGAGTAGTCTTAAATTTAAAGGGCCATTTCAACTAAAATACAAACTTCCTGTTTAAGCCCATTGTTTCGTAAGACAATACTTAGATTAAGTTTGATAAACCTTTTTCTTTTGAAGGAAATAACTGAATGAATGTCTCATGATTAAAGTTTGAGTTTGTCTTCCTGAATTTTCAAACCCTGTTCACAGCTGTCAAAGGAAATAAACAGCTTCGCCACATACAAACCTACTGCTGTTTACTCTTTGTGTCCAAGTGTTTCATCAAACTGCGACTGAATCATCCGACCCATTCTCATCATTAGTCAAGACATTTTATTTTGCATAACAAACATCACTGAAGTCATGAGCTCAGGTTGCAATACATACTTCATTTTCTAGGCAGCAACATCTCAAACAGTTCATTGGTACAAATCAACAGCAACACATGTAAAAGCAACACATGTAAAAGCAGTTTCTTTTTTTTATCTCTTCTTCTCACACTGACACACGGCTGGCAAGACGATAAACGCACAGAGGGGAAAGCACATTCTTAAAGCGATCTACAATATCACAGCAGCCTTGTGTTTTAACTGTGACGTGTCCTTGTATGTTCAGTAGAAAAACCACAGGCCAAATACTTGACAAAGATTGCACAGCAGGTTATTTTTGTTCCAGCGACTAATGCGTCTATGTATTTTCCTGTTTTCTACTGTACTGTCTGCAGCAACATTATTCTATAAAATGCATAAGACTGTATGTAAGCTTTGGTATACACAGTTTCATCAGCTTTAACTGGACTAAGAGACTTCTGTGTTTTGATCATCTCAGTGAACCATCATTTTGCAAGGCTGCTTTGGAAAACTGGGTTCTGCTTGTTAGAAATATGACCAGCTGTCAGGATGGTAAACACTAACAGGCTGCAACAATCAATTAAGACAGCTCTTACACACCTGTACACGTAACAGGCATTTCCCCCTTTATGAATCTGATGTTTCACAGCTGTCTTTAAGATACTAACAGGCTGAAATATAAATGCTGCATCAAGTAGAAGGGACTTGGTCTTTCCACTTCTTTTTGAAGGGTGCTTTAGGTCCAATATATTGTTTATACTCTGAGCCCTTCATGAAGTTTACTATCTAAGGCAACATGTAGCCAATGAAATTTCTTCAGGGCACCAAAAAAAGCTACTGAAATGTATTAAGTTGTTAGTCTGTGATTAGTATATTATCAAAAGCTAGAAAAAACTAAGCGCTTAAATAAATGTTTTTTTTTTTAAACCCTGAACACACGCAAGCACTCTGTGCTCAGGTTTACTGCAGAGTTGAACGGGGAGGAAGATGTTTGTTTCTCGTCTTCACGAAGCAAAATAACAATAAAAAAAGGCAAAGAATTCCCTCCAAATGCTATACTGTTCCTAAATATCTCAAAAGCAGTTGATCCTGTACCATGAGCATGATCAGTCAACGAAAATATGTGACAGGACACAAGTGCATAACGACAGCTTTGAATAGTGATCACTTCACAACGCATGGTTTATCGTGCAAACCCAGACAGCGGCGGTCGATTCTGAAGAAAAACAGAAAACGGCATAATTTGTATTCATCAACCATAATAACCATAACACCAACCATTAAAATATCCAATAAACAAGTAACATTGTTTCCCAATTTAACAAATGGTATAAATACACAAGTCGCAGTAGTCCCTTTCAAATACTTGGAGCACAAACAAAACTAATAGGTGCTGGTAGGCTAAAGATCGCAACGGTTTCCAACGACACTTCAAACAAAAACCAAGTTGTGCAGTGTGTTTTGAGCGGACAAAAAGCATGCATTATTATTCTGTTGTGGTTCACATGTCATCAACTTCTCCACAGCCTGAAGGGTTTCTTATCTTGTGCCATAGCGAGGACTCACCTAGAGAGGTAGACGATATTTGCTCTACTGTCTGTTAGTCCTATCTACTCATCTACCAGCAGAAACCTTGAAAACGCAGGTGAAAGAAGCTGCTCTACTGGCCTCGTCGATGTGACACTATATTGCCATTAGATTTCAGTGATGCATAATTAAGTGATGGGTGGTGGTAGTGTGTGTGATGTCGGACAGTGACTAGGTTTCAGTGCCGAGGTTCGTCAGTGATTCAGAGACTTAAACATCAACAGTGCAGAGGGGTTCACTCCCCGGCTGGGCAGACTCCATTATGGTCATCTTGGGTTTCTTCCTGGTTTCCTCCTGGTGTGGACATGAAAGAATAAGGAGTAAATCTAGGTTCGAAATCAATCAGCAGCCAAAGAAATTGGTCATCCTGGGACTGACTGCTGTGTGTTGCAAATGCATCAATTTAAACTGTATCCAACCTCGAATAATAAATGTTTGCCCCAAGAAAAATCTGGTTCCTTGACTTATTTGAAAGGGCTCTCTAGTGACTACATTTGTTATTAACTCTTGGTTATTGGCAACAGATGAAGGGCCAAAACACTGAATTAAACTAATTTTATACTTCAATTTCAAACTGACACAACTAATACAGAAGGGCAATTAACTTCCAAAGCAGGAGGGACAGAAACACCCCGGGCTGTATTCAGCATGTGGGCCAACAGAAGAATGGCCCCTCAAAGCTCTGACATGCAGACAGCAGAGGAGCAGGATAAAGAAGTTGTAGGTTCATCAGTTTATGAAAGGAAGGGATCAATATGCTCTGATACTATGGATGCCACACAATAGAGACAAAAATCCTCACCCTCTGGGTTGCGAGTTTCCTCATTTCTTCTTGCAATTTGTTCAATATGTGAAGGTTTGGCTTGTTCTTTTTGGCATACTGCTGCAGCTCGATCACACTCTTGTCTGAGCTCTCCTGAAAAAAACGAGGTATTTTTAAAAATCAGGAGAGAGAACGGGCAAAATGAAGAGCAGTCTCCATTACTTGCATTTGCCATCCACATTTCACTGGTTGTTCTTATGAGACAGGCGGCTTTAATCACAAAATACAAATCGATCATTACACCAGACAAAAAATAACTGCTGAATCCAAGAAAACATGCAATAGGCTTTAGGGTCTCACCCCTTTGTGTCCTCTAGCAATCAGCTAAGTCTTCAAAGACAGATACTAAGGATTATTACGTTTTTTTCTTCTGTGCATGAGAGGACACCCACCTTCTTGACCATCTTATTGCTCTCCCTGCCATACATGCGCAGCAGTGAACCCCAGTTCTTAACGTGGGGATGAAGCATCTGCAAGATCTTCTGTGATGCAAGTTGTTTGCCAACTCTCTTGTTTTTGCCTGTTACAAAAAAGAGCATTAAACAGGTCACAGGAAAGATTGAAACAAACAGACAAAATTCAAACAAACACACGTCTCTTCACAGCTCTGTGCACTGTTAGGAGAAGTTGTATGTGGAGGATTACGGTCTACTTACACCAGCCCCGCACAGTGTGCTTCCCACATGTCATCACATATTCACTCTTCTGGTTTTTCCCAGGGATCACCTCAAATTTAATGCTGGTGTCTCCCATTCCATGATTTCTTCAGGAGAGATGAAACAACACTTGGTTAGTTCTGCGGCCTTGCTGAACTTTGCATCAGTAGGTCAGAGTTAAGCAGACTTTGGCACTGCCAGTTGTGGTTGTCTCTTACCTTTTAAGGCACTCATGAAGAATCTGATATGGCGAAAGTAGTCCTGCTTTGTTGGTTAGCTCGTACACTCTTGAGTCTTCTATACTGATATGATTAAAATACTGTGGAGTAGAGAGCGTGAACTGTTACTGCTGTAGGGTTTTCACTATAAGGTGTGTTTTCCAAAGGTAGCAAGGTTCTCCCTACTGAGAAAGTTTTCAGGTAAAAACTGAAATAAATGCCAGAAACAGGAAATAAAAAGTACCTCTAGTTCATCGCCCTCAACAGGCTTCTCCTCAGACGTCTGCTTCACAAAGTCAGGGATGAGGATTTCCAGTGTGGCTCGAGCTGCAATTAACACCAGATTATGACTAAAGCAAGCCAACTCAACAATTCAACAATCTACCCTTTACTGTAAACAAAAGTTAAACTCCATATGTTGAAATCTGTGTTATAATGTCTCCAACTCCTAATTTGACTTATCAGTGTCATTATAGACCATAATCTGTGTCCTCATCCTCTAACATGTGATTGTTTTTACGTTGCATTGAATCAAGCACATCTGATTAGCACTGAGCTGCCGTGACAGACATTTAGTTAACTGTGTATATTCTTCAGTTATCAACATAAAAGAGTCACAGTGCAATAAAAGAATTTACCAGCTTTATTCTTAGCAAGCTTTTTACTGCTTGCAGTTCCTGTGCCATAAGTCACTCCATCTATTATGACTGACGCTCCGAAGGGCTCACTTGGGTTCTCTGTGGAGACACAAAATCAATAAGCTCTGATATGATTGGATTTATATACTCTGCAACAATCTCAAGACTTTAAGATGACAGGTTTGTGTGCACTCATACATACGCATAGATAAAGATGTATTTATGCATCACCATATATCAGACACACTATGGAACATAATCACAGTTCCTTTCTTGTGTGTTTCTGTTAAGGACAGACTGTCAGAACTTCTTATGCTTGATTTTCCCCAAATACGAGGTTTCCAAAAGTACGACTTACCACATTCAAAAAAGTTGTAAACAGGTCGAACCTTCAGGACACGCTGCATATATTCGTGTAAGATGCAAACTTCAGACTTCCCATTTGGATTGATGACAAATTCTGTTGGAAGAATTACATGAAGTTCACAATCTGAGGCAAAAGTACAGAATCTGCAGTTACTTATTACTGATATATAGTTTCTTCTTTGAAGTTAAATACACACTGTACGTTTGAACCACAAGAGAGAAGACACGAGACAAGTGTGTTTACTTGGACTTGAGAATTTCAGTAATAAGCCTTGACCCAGTTTTGATCATTTGTGAAACACAACAAATACATTCACACAGAAAAATCCAATTATTCACAATCCTGTGTCCTTGATCGAAAAGAGTATCCAGGTTTCTAATGACTACATCTTATTGGCGCAGGTGCCTGTGATGTTTATTTTTCACAACACAAACTGCTGCTGATAAAATCTGAGGAAAAACAGGACCACTGTGGCTGATTGTAGATGTAGCAATTTAGAAAATAAAAGTAAAGTGACGTAAAACTTCATCATATGAGGCCTGATGTTCCTGGTGCGATTCTACAGTTTATCTCTTCACTGGCTGTTTTTTTCTCTCCATTATAAACAGCATGTTGAGGTATTGATCATGGGAGACTATATTGGTGTGCACTGACTTTGCTGCAGGACAGGTTGCACTACTAATACACTGAGAGACAGAGCGTGAAAAACAAATCGGAGTTATAGCTGCTCGTCTCCAACATCGACTTAAAACTCTAGAAGAAACTCGCTGATCAGCTACTTTTGTCTCTCCTTCTCTTTCCATCTTGATGTTGGATCACCCTGTATTACAACATGAACATCATGAACATCAGTCATATGAGGGGAGAGAAGAAAAGAGAAAACTGCAGGTCACTTCTCCTGAACATGTCATGTTTTAAAGTGGGCATGCAAGAAACCACGATACAGACTACACGTATCCTGGTGTCTGAAATTTGAATATGACATACGTACAAACACAAAAACGAGACACCCAGGAGCCTGATTATTACACGGATGCTCAAATCCATGTAAACACACTCAGAGAGATCTATGCTTTGCTAATCTAACAGGTTTAAAAACACAAGTTACACAAGCTGTGCTCATGAAAATGCAAACATGTCACCTTCATGACTCAGTTTGATGAGTTTCAAATGACAAGAGGGTTTTCTGCTTTCACATCTAACAGAATAACTCTACTGTATCATTTGTTACTGGTAATGACTCTTGCTCTCCTCTCGAAGTGTTTATCTACTGCATGTAACTTTCACCTTTCTTAGTGGGTGCATCCTGAACGGACAGTGTGATGAGTTTCTGGTTGGCAGGCAGGATGGGTCTCTCCGACTCCGCCTGCTTCCTCTTCATGTCTCTGTTGAACTGCCTTCGCTCAGCCCAGGTACGAAACTTCTTAACAGTAACTTGTTCAAAGTCGAAGCATTTCTCCAGGTACAGACGAAAGTCTTCAAGTTCTGTGGGAAGGGTTTAGAAAGATCAATTAATGCAGCAGACAAATGAATGACCTGTCAAAAACCTGTCATTAAAGAAAATCCCTACCTATTGACTCATCCTTGCACACCTCCACCTTGGCTTTGACTTGGCCTAGAGCTCCTTGCGCAGTGTCACACGGCTGAGACTCTTTAGCCTGAAGGGTTTTATCAGCGGTTCCCTCCCCAGCTCCATCACCATCACCATCAGCCAAACTTGTGGGGTGAATGGCATCCTGTCCTTCGCCTGGAGTCTCTGACTCTCCGTGTCCTTCTCCATCATTGGCCTCTTCCCCGGGCTGCTTGACCGGTGAGTCTTCTTTGAGTGTCACCTCCCCATTCAGCTCCCTTTCCTCCTGATCCTTCATTTTCTTGTAGTGAAGGCAAGGGATGCTGCTGGTGGGAGGGTCGTGTTTCTGCAGCAACAATCAAAAACACCAAAATACAGTGTATACCAATAAATCAACAAAGTCAGGAGTTTGGGCTGATGGTCCAAGTCCAAGAATTTTTATTTTGGGGCATTTTCACCTTTATTGGATAGAACAGCTGAAGACAGACATGATATATAGGGAGGAGAAAGCAGGGGAAGACATGCAGCAAAAGGTCCTGGCTATCAGACTATCAGCGCCCTGGTCCCAGAATTTTTTGGTTCTTGTGTAATTTTGTGGCAAAAGTTTGGAGGTAAACCTTTTGTTTAGGTTTGACAAGTCAGTCTCCATAAAACCACGGTTACCCCAATGTGTCTCTGACTGTAAACTGCTGTATTCCCATCTGAACAGGTCAACAAGCCGGTAACAGCAGTACATGTGCACACACCTCTGTTATGAAATAGTAATGTTAGATCAAAACTATCTTACCCTAATACTGCCTGTTCCAAGAAAATAGGGTCTGGACCAGGTCACCACCCTGGTCTCTCTGTGCAGGTAGACTGGAATGCCAGAGTTATGGAATGTCATGATCCATCCATCAGGCAGAGGTTCGGTGGGTGGTCGTCCCCGACCTGCCAAGAGCAGAAATATAAAATGCTTATGTACATTACACGATTAGGATTATTACGATATGTAATCACGTTACCAGATGACGGACAGCACAATGCTGTACTTGATTTGATCTCTTAAATGCAGAATTTGCAACTTGATTGAACATACAAAACATGTCTATCAACTTCTTTACTGAAAAGCAGAGATGAGTAACAATATTCCTCAAATTCAACAAATTAATTATACATTGTTCATTATATTAAACATTGATGGAACTAATACCCTCAATCTAAAAAAAGTTGGATGTTGTGTGAAATGTTGATCTCAATATTTTGCAAATCGTTAATGTAAAGTAGACACTTTAAATGTTGAAACTGAAATTTTTTGTCCAATTTTATAAAAAAATAAGCTGAAGCCGAGAGAGAGAAAAAGAAACAAAAATAATGTGTGATGCTGTAAAAAACATACACCCTTTAAAAGGCTGAGTCTCTGAGGAGTAGAGAGAAGGAGAGGTTCAAGACTGAGACGGACTGTTAGCTGAACAATTCCAGAAAAATTTCCTTCAAAATAGAATTGAAAATAACTTTGGGATTTTTTTATTTGCTGTACAAGATTCTGATAATCTGGAAAAATTATCTGTACCAAAGAGGCAAGGCCTATTGATGATTTTATTGAAACCGTACCAATCAAAGAAGCAACTTTCTATAAACGTTGTACATAAATTTCTCAGAGCCCAAGGATTATCAAGATGAATGCAGATAAGTAGAAAATCTGTTGCACCAAAATTTGATATTCTTTTTTGGAAATCATGGACTCTGTGACCTCTGCTCAATAGGTGAGGGGAACACTTAGCTCTAGTACCACACAGCACAGAAAGGAGATGGAAAAAGTGCTGGGAACTGGTCTCTTTGGCTCAAAAACGTTTTTTCAGCTTGTTTGCTTTTTTAAAAAGTGATGCAATGAAATGATGAACTTGTCACTTTCTCAACTCTTTTAAAAGACCCTGCCAGCATCAAATCAAAAAAGGAGCATGTGGTATTTTGTAAAACAAAAAATTTCAGTTTCAACACTTTTTTCTGTTTTGGCACTATTTGAAACTTGATAAAGCATTTAAATGATCTGCAAACCCTGAAATTCTATTATGATTAAAGTTTTACAGCATGTGCCAACTTATTTTGAGTCAGGCTGCATATAGCGTACACTGTTTAGAGTTAAAAACAGAATGTATCCCAAAGTGCTAAAACCACATTCAATTGCCAGTTTCCTCCAAATACCGAACCCTGACTGATCTACCACTCACTCTTCAGGACAGTCTTTATTTTGGTCATCATGGGCTGAACACCTCCTTCACCATCAGACTGATGATCACTGTCACCCCCAAACTTGTCTTCTGATGGACGCATCTTTTTGGGGGCCGGCATGCCCTCCTCCAGCAGAGCATCAACATCATTGTCAAACTCCTGCAAGAATCGATGGTTAAGGCCGAGAGAGAGAGGGATGATGGGTCACCAGCTTCAGGAAGTTGTGAATGCTTCATTTGTGAATGCAATTAAAGTGGACAAGAGACAATGGGCCTAAGAGTCAGAGAGTCATTTCAAAGTTACTAAATAAAACACTTCAGTGTCAGCTTAGGATCAACACATGAATCCGTACCAACCTATGGGATCTTACAGCTTTATCAGTGAGTTAAATGCATATGTTACTTAACGGAAATCTACCAGCCAGGCTGCTTTTACACATGCCTTAGCTTCACCAGCTCAACATGTCTGCACTCAATGAGACTTTTTTTCTACGTCATGTCATAAAGGTTGGCATGAAGTGACTTGTCCGTTTCATATACAGTCACTAGTCATGAAAACAGTTGAATACTTCTGAGATTTCTCCTTTATGAAGTTACTGCTAAACCCTTCGGCTCCAATGGAAACCCAACATGCAATGAGAAAAATGAAAAAGAATAACTAACACATCCTTGTATTTCACTTTTAAAAGGAACATGACCTCAAATCTATGATGCTCAATGGAACATTTAGATCTAAATCAGTCAGGCTGTTGGAAACTGAGAGATCTCTGGTGGTACAATTGTATATTTAAAAAGTTAGACACCAGTTTATAAGCCAAAATGTTGTATTTTTCACCATCTTAAAATAAGTAATGGACATTCTTGGATAGGACATATTTACTGTTGTGAGGACAAATAATCAGTCACATCTCTGAATAAATTTTAGTTGCCAGGACGATGTTTCGAGAATGGGTTTGTACGTTTTTCTTATTAAAATCTTTAGTGTCATAAAGGGAGTATGTTATTATGTTCAGCTGCATCAGAAAGAGCACAGTCGTACTAAATAAAATTAAAATAATTAGCATGTAAAGATGCCATTTATAGGGTATGTGACCTGATGTCAGGAGGCAGTAAAAAATGATTTGAATTCGTAAGATCACCTTTTGTTGCACTGCAGCATGTACTCAAGTGTGTGAACAGTGTGTGGTATGGACATACGTTTCAGTGAAGCTTAATGACAAATGGACACACACGCATACGTACCTCATAGGAGTAAGTCATGGCCTCGTCATCTGCTTGCTCCTGCTGAATTATGACCTCTGACTTAAAGCCGCCATGCTCCCCGTCATCATGATCCACAAAGTTCTCGCAAAAGTCATCCAACTCATCCAGGACTGCAAACTCTACCTTGTTCTCCAGGTCTGCCTCAGCCTCCTCTGACCTTCGTCCTGCTTTGCTTCCTGCCCCAGAGCTACCCTCAGCTGCCTCCTGCTCACTAGTTGAGTCATGCAACTCACCATTCAGGCTGTCTAAACCGTCGTCACTTCCAACCTCCTGCCCTTCGCCTGTGTACAAAACCTTCCTGTCCTTGCTGTTGCTGCTTTCAGTGAAGCTCACGCTGATCTTAACATCTCTGAGCAGTTTGAGGTCTGGTAGAAACTTGGTGACCGGTGGAGCGTGGCGGGCTGTTCTGGGGCACCGTGGATTGGGATTGGCCTCATTTGAGAGGTGGCTACAGAAAGTTACTGAGCCCATGCTGAGGGGCTGCTGTGGCTGGGCTTCCCCGTCCCCTGGGGTGTATGTGTATCCATCACCACCAGAGCTAACGTCCATTACCTCTGCGTCACTGGACGTTTGCAGGGGAGGTGGTGGAGGTGCTCTGCCCTCATGTTGGCCAAAATCATCAGGTGGCTCCAAGGGGAGAGGGGGTAAAACATCATCAATCTCCATTTAATCTGTTTTATTATTACTATGATTTAAAAACAAACTGGTAATTTTGCCTAATCTACAACCTGTTCTGTTTAACAACTTCCTCTCTTATCTAAACCCAGAATGCATGCAGAAGCACATCCCTGTATAGACCACGTACCAGAGGTGAAAATGCTAAGCTGACTACATTGTTCTTTTCATTAATGTAGACAGCTTTCAGAATCACTGTCTCAATTATTGGAAATCACAATGCATTCAGCTTAATATGGATTCTAGGCACTGATCATCGTCCACTGGGTTCTTCTGGGAGCTGGAGACAAGGACCAGAGAGCAGATGTCAGTAAATATGCAAATGACAAAACGCGTGGTATGACAGAATAGTGGACTCTATCAGCTTACTACAAGCAAGAAGACGGACTTAAAGGTTACAAAAGCTGTACTTTGGCTGAAGTATGCAATATAAAAGGTAAAATATGGTGGAAAATCCTACTGGAACACGAATATATGCACAGAGGCCCCCAGTAACGTCCCATCAATGCTAATATGCTAGCGACCAACCGTCAGGATGTTCATATCCCCGCGGCTGCACAAATTGTTAGCTGACCTCAAAATATCTTCATGACAGATATGCTTACCAATTAATTTAGCGCAGCTCTCTCCTTTAGGCCACCTAGCTACCTCCCTAATCATTCTATTCTCGACGCTTCGCCATACTGCTTCAGTAACAGCCCCGCCATCTTGAAGAAAACTACAGCGGCAAACCCGTCCAGTCCCGCCCACCAGTACCGGCTTTTTCGTGATTGACCGCTCTGCGGGCCAATCGTGACACCCTCCTACTACGTCAACTGATATGATTGAGCCAATCAACGCGGTAGCATTACACATGCAACATGTTAACAACATACAGAAGATAGAGTGCGCTGGCAGGCTCTGTGAATGCATACATAACGGTATTTATAAAAAAAATTATATATCTTTAAAAAATTTTAACTGTTTTTATGATTAAAAAAAGGAAAATAAAATCATAATTTGAGTACTTACCGTCACTTGACCTGTTTTCCGCTTTCAATCCCCATTTTAATTGCATTTTCTTTTTTCTTAACTACTTTATGTTTTTATTTTGGTCCTCATGGTCTCATTTTATGTTGCATGACATAAGAAAATGGCCTTCAATTTCGTTTTAATTGAGCTTTTTGTTTTTATTGGTCTTTTCCCATGTACTTTATGACTATATGTCAAAGCATTTTGTAAACTTCTGTTTTTAAAAGTGCTATACAAATAAAGTTATTATTATTAACGAAATAATTAAAAGAATCCTTTTAGCCAGTATGTTAAGGAAATACAAGGAAATATGTTATATCTGATTGTCATACCATTGTAATTTTGTTGTTGTTTGAGTGGCATTAACTGAATTGTAACTTGGGAACTAAATGGTATATGACTGTCTGTGGTGGCCAGAAGCTATATTTTTACTTTTTTATATATTTTTTGTTGTGTTTTGTTTCTGCTGTTGTTGCTTTTTTATTTTATTTTATTTTACTATTTTAAGTTTGTTCTTTGTAAATTGATTTCTGGGGATAAAGGGGCAGATAAAAAAAGATTAGTCTTCTTTCTGCTCCCTTTCATTCTAGATAGGAGAACATTTGTATTCAAATTAAATTGTTTCTTTTTATTTTTAAATAAATGAAATAAAGAATAAATAAATAAATTACTATTATTATTATCACTTTAAAATGTGTCCTTAAGTTTTTGTTTTTCTATCATAAACTTTCAGGAACATAATACATGTTCAATCTGTGAACTATTTTCCATTTCGCAGACAGAAAATCAGGATGTGATCTGTTAATACCCCTGCCAAAATACAGCATCTCTGTTACAACTAGACTGTGTTCAGTTTTGTCTTTGCAAACTCAGCACAAGTATGTTCAATGAAGGCCACGATGACTACGTTTATCTCTGCAACCCTTACTTATAAACTCCACGCAGTTTATTAACATTGCATTAATTTAGTCTGTAATTACCAATGTCTATCTGAGAAAGCAAAAAAAAAAAGAAGAAATTACATTTCCACTGCACTGTTAAAAATGATATGTACAGGCTGTTTTCAAGGAAATTGGGGAATACTAAACTGCAATATCTCTTTCTTCCATTAGGGGTCACTGTTAACTAACAGAGAACAAACTGCTGCAAAGATATTAGTGTCATGAAGTGAAATCTAAATTCTAGATGAATAGTGAAATTGTGCATGTATTTTCAAACATGTTCTTTATGGATCTTTTTCATCGCAGGAAATTTGCCCTTTCAATAATAAGCAGGATTACTTCAAACATCGATATATCATGCAGAATTAAACTTTCACTGGACATACATGGCTGCTTAAAAAGATGGTTCTTCAGTGTGAAGCGTTCATGTCAACAACCATTAAATGCAAAGCCAAATATGGGTGTTTAAATGAACTGTTTTTATTGTCTTGCAGCCAAGAAAATTCCACCATGAATGCTGCCACCGATCCAGTGTCCAAATCCATGATCATTTAACACTGACATATCTGCTTACACCAATACTGAGGCTACTGCAGTGCAGGGTTGGGCCAAAAAAGTCCCAAATTAACAGGAAAAGAGTTATGGCTTGCAGTAAAAAAAGGCAGTTATCTTACTTTTGATGATCACTGAGAAAATTAAATAAGATTACATGCTACCTTTTACCTTGAGAGTGGATATTACCCATTTTGTTTTTATTGTGAAAAAAAATTTGCAGGATTTTAACATTAAAAAAACGTTTTAATCACTATGTTTCATTAAAAAGGAAATCATGTTACAAGAATAAATCAGACTGCAGTAAAATAATCTTTTGCATTGTAGCAAATGGTGATTTGACCTTTTTAAAGCAACCCAGCCCTGCTGTGTGGTGACATGTAGGTAAAATATTTTCCACTACAAAATCATAAATAGTCTTTGGCAATCTTTTAAATTAGCACACATTTTCAAAAGATGCATCTTAACTTCAATGAGGAATAAGAAAACAGATGCTAATGAGGCAGCTAGTTCTGACTAGCTGAAGGAAAGTGCAGACGAGTCCTCATGCTCATGTTGCTGCTTCAGTGAAGTGCAGCTGGAAGAGGAGGAGGAGGAGAAGGATGAAGAGGGAGCAGAGGGAGGCTGTTTGAGAGGAAATGTGATGCAGAAAGGCACAGAGTGGATTTTCTTCATCATGTCTTCAGTCCTGCAGTTTAAACTGAAAGGAATTGGTGCTCCATTTGGTTGTGTCACAGTCGAGCATGGTGCGCTCCGTGAAGGTTACATTGCCTTCTGCGTCGATCAGGATAACTGTATTGGTCCTAAATGAACAGGGGGAACAGAAAACAAGCAATCATGACAAAACCGTTTTGAAATGAGAAATCAGAGGACATAGATAGGCGTCAGGTTGAACCCAAGATAATAATGTGATTTCTGAAGTCATATTTTCCTGTCTGAGGTGGATAACTAATCAAAAATCTCATCAGCAAAATCACAGAGGCGATCCATGTATTTCTGTAGATGGCAGAAATTTATATCTGACTGACAGCTAAGACATTTTTCTAGTGATGCATATCTGATCTATGTGTTCAGGTAGGTCTGCAAAATAGATGCCATCACTTCTTGGTTCATTACATCCTGGAGGGACAAGCCTGGGGAATCCTAGCTTCAGAGTTACATAGAGGCTCCATTCTGGCTTACTTGGGCAGTATAAACCTGACCTTCCTTATGCACTGATTGATTCAATTTCAAATAACAGACCTTAAAAGTTTGATAAAGTATTGGCTTTCCAGACACAGAGTAGTCGAGCAGATTTGTTATTACTGTCAATTTTCTTTTATTTACAATGGTTCATAAGCTGCATTTGCATACAGACTTCACTTTATAGAGATCAAGAACTGTCATCAGATTACCAGCAAAGCCACTATATAATGTTTACTTCAACATTTTCCATGTAGAATATATCAATTGTTATTGTAGAGCAAACGCCTGAATCAAGCATGAGCAAAGCACTCCGTCAAAGACTGACCCTTCTGACCGTTTGGCAACAGGACAGTCTCTGTGTCCACTAATCTAGTGCTGCATTAAGTGCAGACAATCCCATTCATTAACCTGCTGTGAAGGACTGCTTACCCTGGAGATTCCCCTCTACCAACATTTCTCAGTTCTTTCAAGATCCTGCCGACCTGTCAGTCACCTCAGGTGGAAACAAACACGAGGGACAGAGGGTAGAGATTTGCTGTGGGTGGAGGACACTGACCTTGTACCGTAATGAGGGGAGCGAACACACACCGCTGACAGAGCCTGGATCATGGACTTGGTGTAGTATTCACCCTGGCTCTCCTGAGCTGGATCAGGTGTGTTCCTGTTAGGAAAGTCAACAGAAGTTTTAAATCCAAGTGATTGTGTATCAACTCATACTTCTTCTGTTTTATCTTCAAAACAGCTGATCCATCAAATCTACAACACCTCGACAAATGAGTCATCAACTTTCTTTGCTCCTTTCTTAAATTTTAGAGTCAACCTCAAAAGGCTTGTTTTCAAACTTTCTCTGACATCTGTTTCTGAAAATGTCTCAGGCACAATATAAAACAGGCTGTCAGGCTGAAGTTTTTTTTCATACATAAACAACAGCTTGTTTTAAAGTTTCTACAGAAGGGCTGAAAGTTGATGAGCAATAGTGGAGGACTCATTGAAGTTAGGTCACGTCTCCTGCGCCCCTTTCTGTCACAGCTCTGAGCTTTCAGGTGCTCAAAAAATAAGTTTTGCAAAGTTGACCCTTTTTCCCTTCTCTCCCCCCACTGCTAAGAAACACAGCTTTGGGGACTAAAATCAGCTCTAGAGGACTCAACTAAACAAATCCCCGCTGCTCACTGAACAGATTTTAGACGGATCTCCATCTGCTTGATCTCATTATCGACCCGGTGATCTATCTACATGTTTGGGTATAGAGGGCAAAGTGAATCCGTGATAGGAAACTTGCAAAGTCAGAGATGCACCGTCTCTCTATTAAAGAAAGGGTTTGACATTATGGAGTTAATATAACAGTTCAGTTTATAATTAGGAAACGTGTCCGTATAACAATGAGAAGCTAAAGATAGCACTTTCAGCAGTTTTACCTCCACTTCTGGATGGTGCAGCGTCTTGATGGTTAAGTACTGACATAGGTGGCACTGTTCCTCATATCTTATCTCGTCTTACGTTACAAACAGTGTCATAATTTAAAGTCACACTGTTATCATGTAGAAACAACATAGGTAAGCTGACACAACTAAATTATACTAAACCGACCATAAACATGCAGCTTAACAGTTTGGCAACTTTATGGTATTCAAGCAATTTAAGACAAACCTCTCAATCATCAGAAACAGCTGATAACTGTACACTGATAAAATTCTTGTTGTATGCTCGTCACTCACGGTTCCTCATTGTTTAGGACATTGAGCAGCTCTTGCACCAGCCCGTCGCAGGACAGGGACTGGTCCTCAACGACGCTGGTGAAGTGTCGCTTTCCCAGCAGCAGTTTCTTCCACGGAGTGTCCAGCAGTGAATTACTCAAGCCGTACACTCCTGCTAAGGGGCACATGAAGAATATATAAGCTCGTAATCTCTGTCACTGACCTTGTGTTACATCTTCCAATAAAGAGACAATCTGAGAGCAAAATCAACATCAAAATGTCACGCTTACCAGAGCAGGCCAAAGGCCAAAAGGAGAGGTAAATGTGAAATGAACAGTTTCTACAGCAACCACATTAAAAGCACGGACCTGGTTTGAGATGGATGGGTTCAGGGCTGCCTCTGTTTCCATAGTAACACACAATGTCTTGTTTGGCTCTGCATGGGACACAGAAAGATGAAAAATTACAGATTGCATTTGGTGGTAATTAAACTCATCTATGCCTAATAATGGAGGCTTTGTTCGGAGTATTCATGATTGTGTGCTCTTGAAATAATGACAAAAATACAGCAATCCTGAAGGAAACATGGGAAATGAGTGCTCAGAGCCAACAGATATCAACAATGCACCATGCAGTGTCCTCCTTCTAGTCTTGGCTTAAATAAATAGGCTACATCTGTTTTATTTGAGGGAGGACAACAATGACAAAAAAATCACAGAAAACAATATCTAATTGCAGCATTCAAATCTGTCTTAAAGGATCAACAGGGGAAAATTGCTTCGAAATACAAATGAGTCCTGCGAATACCTTTGGCTCGCATAAACCCTTTAGTTACGGAGTTAGATGTCTTTGCAAAGTCCTCAGTTAGAGGGAATTTATTCAGTCTGAAAATCTGTCTAAGATCAAGGGCATCTGTGACAGCTTTGGTACAGGGGGAGTGAATAATAAATTATGACCAAATCCTTTGAAGCAGCAGGGGAATGAATTTTTTTATGTCAATTTTATGACAGCTATACCAGTGGCATCAGTCAATCTGAAATGTGGTGCAACACTGCCTCAACATCGAACTTGGAAAGTTTCCCAGTCAAAAGCTGGCAAGGAAAGGACGGACATCGCTGCTGGGCTTTCGGCTCTACCACCAAAACTTACAGACTGACCTTTGCTCTTTACCATTAACAGCATCAGCATAAGCAGAAAAGTTTAGTGCAAGGTATATAAACAGCCTGTCAGGGTTCAAATAAGTTAATTGATTTGCATATATTTAAAATCCAAAATAAGTTTTAGAGCCAATTCTTTTGATATAATCAATAAAGAAGTCAATTTAAAGTCTTTTTGGCAGAAATCCTAATCAAACAACTGCTGCTGTTTTTTGGCTGTTAAGATTCAAGGCTTTTCTCTCCTTCAGTTGGGTGATCTTTTGGACCTCAGGCTGCATGGCATTAAAAACAGACATGACTCTAAAGTGGAAATCACTTCATTGGCTTAAAATCACATTTGCACGTTAGGCATGGAAGAGGAAACTATGAATAAATATTCTCTGAAAACACCGGTTTCACCTCTGCTGGGCCTGAGTCCATTACAGATGGTCGCTTGGATTGTTAGTTGTGCACAGTTCAACAGCCAGCATCCCTTATAGTTTGAGAACGTATACGGGGCTTACTAACTGGAAAGGTTCATTATTTGCTGATAAAAAGAAGACCTCACTATATGATTTTCAATGCTACGTGTAACTGAAGCAGTTAGAATCGTCATTTGTTAGGTCAACTAAGTACATGGACAGCATGACAATAATGAGTTTGCAATGAGGATCTAAACATGCAGGTGTTGACTGTACTAATTAAAGTGATCTCATCTCATCTGATTAGTCAGAGTATTATCTTGTACATCATAATTCATCCAGATTTTTCCTCTGGGACACTCCTGTTTGTTTCAGCCTCAACACAGACCGAGAGAGTAACAAAATACAGCTGAAGACAAACCCTCTCCCCCACTTTCCTACAAATAACTGCTGATAAAACGACTTGTTTCTCAACAGTTTTCTCCGTACAGAGGTCATCCTTCACTTCTAGCTCAGGATCTCATCTGTCTTGTGTAAATTTCCTGGAGCAGAGCCTTATTCTTGAGCACAGGACTGTATGTGTGCGAGCAGCTGCAGCAGAATCCGCAGAGCTGTAGGCCGACTTTACACCGTCTCTCTGACAACAGCAAATCAAAGACCGTGATACTGTTTACAGCTCATACCCAGATCCAGTCTTACTGTTTGAATATACCACTACTTCTTCTGCATGCCCATGGTTACTATAAACACGGCAGCCCAGGCTCATGTTGACTTGGGTGACAGCAGTCAACATCATACATGCATGTGCACAGTAGCTGCTCAATAAGGACCAGATGGCGCTTAAACCTGAAGGGAAACCAAGGAAGCATTGAGGCTGCTTCCTGTTGTGAATTCTGTGGAGGGAAAACACCACGTCTGAATCACATCTTTGAACTTGGTATTGTGACCTGAACTCAACAATGTGAGATAGGCCCGGTAACTGCGTAGACGCTCTGTCTGAAATATGCATCAAATCTGCCACAGCGAGAGCAGATGGAGGGTTTACAGGGAGACAACTCTATTTCTGCTATCTGAACCTGGCTAGCATATTGAAAGTCCCATCAGGTGTGCAGCGGGCTGATTTGGGCTGAGATGAGGGAACAGCAGGAGGTCAAGGCCACCGGGCAGAGAGAACGAAGAGGGAGAAGATTTTTTTTTTCAGATCTCAGTCTGAGAGGTAATCAGTATGCTGGCCGGGAGGCGTCCTAATGAAGAGTCCTCTATACTGAGGCTGCAGAGCAGTTTCCCCATCGCCAGCTGTGGAGTAGTTGCCTGGAGATGGTTGGATGAGCTTTCGACATTATCAGCTCAGAATGTAGATAGGTGTGTTGGTGGGTGCTCCAGGGTACAGACAAGTACTTTCCTACACACACACTCACACTCACATATGCACATACCCACATACGGTACTAAAAGCATGAAGCAGAGGAACATCCACTTTGTTTGGAGTTTGTTATCAATCATTATAAGCTGTACAAGCCTCGTGGCTGTGAGGATAGAAATGTGTGAGTCAGTTCAAATATCTCAAAACCACAAGATAAATCACATGAAATTTGGTCCAGATATCTTTGACGCCAAAGTAATGAATACAGAGAATGGAGATTTCCTGCCTACTCATCTGCTTTTCCATCCTCCCACATCTCACTTTGGTCAACAGCTGAGATGATAAGTGATTACAGTCAGAACTAGAAGACACCGCCCCTCACTCCCCTTTTTTCAGCTCTAATTTGGGCTTTTATGACTTTATCCAGAGGACAGTGCGGGAAACTGTGAAGAGAGAGTGGGGACTAACATGCAGCACTGTTAATACAATGAAGAGCAATGACCAAGCAGAAACCTCCAGCCTTAAGAAATGAATGTAAAATGTAAGGCTGTATAGTCCTAGTCGACTGGTCGAATTATTGGTTGATATGTGCTGAGTGGTAAATTTCATCAGGAGGAACGTACCAAGAGCTAATGGGGGTGTTTTCAGAGCACCCCTGTTTCAAAGGTAACAGCCTGTCTCAGAACACCCCCCTTGTTTTCACTAGAGACACGAAGACTGAAGAGCGTCCATGTTAGTAAACATCCGGTAGTTTGCTGAATATTTTCCCTGAATGATACCAGTATCAGATCATTCTGGAATCCCCCCCCCCCATAATTAATAAATGTAATAATAATAATAATACATTTTATTTTACTTTTAGAGGTGCTCAAAGACACCTGTCAAAGAAAAAAATGAAATAAAAAACATAATTTAAATACAGAAGATTTTAAGAAATGAAACCAACAATGTAAAAGGTTAAAAGAGTCACAATATGAAAAGACAACAAAAGAACAGTTCATAGTTTAAAAGCCAATTTAAAAAGGTGTGTTTTTAGGAGTGATTTGTAAGTATGGGGGTCTGTACAGTCTCGGATGGGTTTAGGGAGTGAATTCCAGAGGGTGAGGACGTCATCGTCGAAGGCTTTTAGTCGATATTTGGTGGAAAGTTTCAGGGTTTTAGTCGACCAAGAATTTCTTTGGTTGATTACAGCCCTAATGCTAAAGCTGCAGTTCTCTTAACGTCCACTTTAAAAAAATCCCCAAACTAAAACTTGGTCCAAAAAAAAACAACAGGTTTAGGTCTGAATAGCTTAAGGTCTCCAACTGTGTGGAAATTTTTATGAACTCGTTATCTTAAATACAGGTGAATCAGAGGCACATCTGACATGATTAATAGTCACACTGTAGCTTTTTGGGAGGAGGCTAAGACCTCCCTCTGGTTGACCAATAGTTGAGTTGAGTCAGCAGTGACACGATTTGAGCATGCTGTGCTAGTATGTTCTCAACATCAGCTACTGTGTGTAACCTAAGGGTGTCTGCTGACTTTATAAAGACAAAGAAAGAGTCCAGCACTATGTCCAAATACAAATGTGTTCATTTCAAAGAGCGAGCCTCTCAAAATAAGCCGATGAAGAGACTTCCAACAGAGTCAGAAGCAGGAAAAAAATATGGGATTTTGGTTTTGTCCTGATGTATAACATGACCCTTTACTAAAAACTGTGAAGCCAATATCAACATTATTTTAGTTTTTGAGGCAGTTTGCAAACATCTGGATTGACTCAATGCACAATCCAGGCTGTATCTGAGCCTTTTAGTGCGAATCCACACCTAATGCTGCTCAGTGAAAAAAAAACGGTGTTCTGTTATACTGTAAGAGATTGTGGTTTCCCCAAAGGTAATCTCACTATCGTTCAGGAAAGAAATACTTTTAGTTTTTCCTCTTTCAAAATGTTCAGAGTTCATCCACCCCTGATACTCTGGAATGTGCATATCTCCAACAACGCTGTTTTTCTAGTTCAGCTCAAAGAAGCTTCTGCCAAGAATTACAACACATGGTTTGAGGCCATGAGATCGAACCCCTTTCCACAGTTGTTTTTATAATGCAGCCACACTCTGCTTGAGTAAGAAAGTGTGCTAAGCGAAGCAAACATCAGAGGGGAGGTTCATTAAAACGGATAATCTCCGGGCGTTGACTTTGAAGCGGGAGTGACATGAAGTGAGATCCAGAAACTGAATCTATAGGAGAGTCGGATAAAATGTTTGATATCGAATCATGAAAGCATCAAACTGAGAATATCTTTGATCAGAATTTAAATATACTGCAAATATACTGGTTTCAGCTCCACTGAGGAGAAGCTTGGTAAATGCATGGCTGCCGCTGACTAAATCATTTACACATACAATCCTACAACATCGGTCTGATCAAAATCGAAGGCATCAGCGGTTCGTTTACAACCCTGTTCTTATTCCTCTCTCATGGAGGCGCTCAGCTATGAGATATAAGTCCCAATACATTAAATAAATCACTTCTATATAGTTGATGACGGGTGAGGAATCCTCTAATTGTAATATGGAGCTTCTCTGTGTCCATCAGGTGCAACTATTGATCCAGAGGAAACTGGATATCTTATTTCCTCTGGGCTGCCGGACACGGTGGAAAACATATCAGCTGGTAATGACTGTGTTTATTAGAGGGATATTGTGTTCGTCCCTATCTGCAGCAAACACAGCTCCCATCAGACAGGCATTTTGCAGGAATAACACATACAGTTTGTTTATGTTTATGCTGGTGTCTCCTGAGTATGGGGGTTTGCAACTTGTCGCCACATTAAAGAGGAATGCATATGAGATAGTGAGGGTGCAACTACAGCTCCTGGAGTTAACAAGGACATCTGCATATCTTTTAGCCGTTTCATCTGTCGGGAACAGAGAAAAAAGCGATTTCAAAGGCTCCAACATTCCTGGACTGCAGCTGCTATTAGCTGATACTTTGTGCTGCTGATACTAAATACCTGGGACCTGGGAGGACTGACAATTCTCCAGTTACTCATGCAGCCCCCCCACTGTTATTTGGTTAGTTGATAAGCTTTTATCCAAGCAGTCAGACAATCTCACATGAGATGAGCTTAATCCAGTATTTGCAAAGGTGGGAAGGAGACCTCGGTAATATTTGAGGGACAGTGAGTTGGAAACACTAATAATTAGCTAAACTATTAAAATATACCTGATATATCGTTCTGTTTCATTATTATGTGGTTAAATAGACAGAAAGGCGAAACGGCTGTAATGTCTTTGAACCCTATCACCTAGAGGCGACTGATGATAGAAAGGCACACTATGTAGACTCCAATTAATTGATACAATATTAGAAAATGTCATCGCTGCGGCAGCAACTTCTTAGAAACGATGAAATTGAAGTCTAGAGTAAACTTTGGTCTCAGCAGTGCAGGATTTTTCTTTGTAAAGGAAGTCTGCTGCTTGACATTTGTCATGCGTACAACTCCACAGACTTTGAGTATGAACACTTACAAACTGGAATGTTTCAGTATGTTCAGCCTGATTTTTTAAATATCACTGCAGGAACATCCCCCTTTTGCACATTCACCTACTTCAAGGTGTGTCAGCACCAGTTACACCGAAGAGAAGCTGGATGTGCAGCCTCGTCTCACATCAAAACTACCTGCAATAATGTCATTGTTCACTGTGCACTTTTTTTTAATTGCATTGAGTAATATTATCTGGACATAAGTCGGCTCTTTAGTCAAAAAAAACAACTTATGAACCTTAAACTTGTTATGGTTACTTTAAAGTTCATTCCAACTACCAGCCTAAGTGCACTGACCACCTTTTCACCAAGTTGGTTGATCTAGCGATAAGTTGATTGATGAGTGGGTGTAATTCCAGTCGACGAAGCTTCAGTTGACTACAGCACTAAAAATTACTGCATCTGTGTTAATGCATTTGTGAATTGACTTAACCCTTAAAACAGCGCTCGCTCAATCGATATGTGTCAACCAGGACTCGGTGCTGTCGGCTGTAAATGTTTGAGCCTGCAGGGGACAGTGTTCGCAGTCACGTTCCCTTAAACTGCATCATGTGATTGCGAGCTGGCATCATAATTTTATACAGCAGGAAAACATTGTTTTTGTCTGACCTTAAAGAAATGCTAAAATATGTGGAGGAAGAGATGTGAACGCAGAAGAAAATCCCTCCTGAGAGGAGATCCTGCTCGAGGCCATGTTACCAGGATACACGGATCATGACACCAAATTCCACTGTGGAAACCCTGATTTTCTTCCTCCCCGAGCAGGGACTATGTTTGGCACGGGTGTGTGTTGGAGCTAAACCTCCAGCCTCTCTCTGGCAGAAACTAAGACCTGTTTCCATGCCAATTGTCTACAGGGGCCTCTGCCATTACAGCTATCTTGTGGTGCGCACTGATCCCACTTTGATTTTCTCCCTTTAAACAGATCACCACATTCAGTGAAGTCAGACCAGTGGGTAAAAAAGGAGAAAATACAGAATAAAACCTCATTATTTTTAACGCTGTCGAGATTTTCTTTGTCTGAAACCCTGAACACGAACAGGTACTTCCTCTGAATTTTAATGCAGGCTCCTCCACAGATTTCTTTTTCAGTTTTGCCTGTTTTGCACTCCAGCGATGAAGACAGTACCTTTGCGATTTCCTTCCAAGGTAAGGCCAGAACTCAAAGGAGCAAAGCAACAGCCCAATCTCAACACGCTTCTACTAAAAGCTCAGACTTAAAACCCATTAGTGCACAAAAACCTGCCTGTTTCACTTCATGACACCCAACCCACACGGTGCAAAACAACACATGAAGACACCTGACATCTTTCTCTGGCCATATACATGTTCCTCTCGACTCCATAAAATCCAGCTGGCTAAATACATCATGTTGAGCAGACAGCTGCTCTCAGCTAAATGTCAGCTGAACTTCACCACACCTTTTACTCACTTGAACTCGGCTGTGATGAGGTTAAAGCCGTTGTACAGATGGCTTTCTGTCGACACCTTTTTCAGGTAGGAGTAGCTGTCCTGATCCTTGTCTGTAAGGTAGTTAGACACAAGAAACCCTGCAAAAAGGCAAAGGTTCAATGGCTTTAGAAACCTTATTAGTAAAGAGGAAAATACACTTGAAATGTATTTGTAGGTGAAAGCAATACCAGATACTTCATAAAATAGGCAGTGGAGGTTTTATCTGACATGTTTTCAGGATGCATATTTACAACTGTGTTACCTCTTCCGTGTGCATCAGGGTTTGGACGCCCCTCCATGTAGTTGGTGATTGCAGCCAGTTTGCCACGCTTGTTGATCCCCAGCCATGATCCTCCTTCTTTGCCATACTCAAGGTCCAGGCCTGGTGAGCACAACAAGGACATAGAGTTGAAAATACAGCTGAGACTTTCCCAAAATTTTATCACGAGGTAAAGCATGATGTGTGGGATTAGAAACTCCACAATTTCAGCAGTAATAAATCCTGCAAAAGTAAAATATTCCTGTTAATTTCTAAGTCAATTCTCATGATTCTGCAGGGCTTTACAATCATACGTTTTGTGCATGCTCTCTCTCTCTCTCTCTCTCTCTCTCTCAAGAAGTACTCTGGTTAGGTGCTAGTTTAGAAGGAGACTCTATGGTCCTTCTAACTTTGGTTGTTGGATTGTGGTAGAGGTGGTTGAATGATTACTTCAGTCAACTGCACAGATTCACTCTGAAGTGTCAAAGCTGGAACGTCATGTGACTGGTGACGTCCAAGACTTTAAACATCACAAGCATTTCAAAAACCGTTTAGTCAGCTTGAAGGTGTAGAAAGTCACGTATCTTAACTGTGTGATGTCTACTCAGATAATTTTCATTCTCAACATGTGGGCTTCACAGACTTTTTTCTCAAATAGGCCAAAACCGCTCATAGACATGTACTGTATTGGTGCTTCAAGCCATCATTTAGAGATCTATCATTAGTTTTTGAAGCATCAAATCTAGTTATTTAAAGAAAATACAGAAAAAATACAGAATATTGACCCAAAACTTGCCTGCATTTAATCCAGTTAAAATAAGGAAATCTGCAGGTTTGCAGCCATGAAATAAACTCAATTTCATATTGAACCTCTTGTTTTCTCTCCCTGTTTCTCTTCTTCACAGGATATAGGAAAAGGTGAATCAGTTCATGTCCGCGGCACTTCCTAGTGATCAATAAAGACAGGTCCACTTACACTGACACTGACCAAGAGGGCAGAGTGGGCCCTCTCCCCTGGGGGGCGGATGGAAAGCCATCCTGATCCCACTGGGAGCTATAGCTTACTTCCCTCCTCGTCATGCTGTATCTCCTCCTGGGCCCTGCCTCCACACACCCCTCAGCCCCACAGATAAGACAGAGCCATTTATTCTTGTCACTTCGCATAAAAGCACCCATCAATTAAAGGCCCACAACTGGAGTCCTGACCCCTCTATTACAGGGGGAGAAGGAGACGGATGAACAACGAGGCTATCGCTGCGTTTCCTTCTTCAGCAGAAAAAAGGGATGATTGATTTCCTCTCCTCGGCTGTAATGTGTATTAGACATCAGTCAATTAAATATAGTTTACTGCGGGTGGGGATGTCTTGTGATGCAGTGGGGCAGCACTGGACCCCAGGCTGAAGGAGATAGATTTTTTTTTACATTATTGAAAGACATTTAGACCTTCAGAGGAGCTGCTGTCAGAAACAGCTAAAAAGCATAGAGCCAATCCTGCTCAGGTCAAAAGTCTCAAATCTGTCTGCTTCTTCTACAACAACTTTGTATAACACAGGGGCTCGACGGACAGAGCTTTTTCTTGACATTATTGGGCCAGTACAACAGAGACATTTTGTTATCAGAGAGTGTTCTCCATGTACACCGACGTGAAAGCTTTTCTGGGAAAATATAAAATACTCTGAATAAATCTTTGGAGGGTTAAGACATGTGATAATCGCGCGCTTGCTAGAACAGAAAACCCTCTGACTCTGTAGATTAAAAAGGTCTGAACTAAAACTGATTAAAATTTGCTGTGAAGTTAAATGGTCATTCAAAAGGTATTTGTTGCATGTTCATATCAGCACAAAATCCACCAAGTTAAACAAAACCTGCCCCCTTTCTTAAATAAAAGAGCCAGTTCCAGACCCACACGCCTGCAAACATGATTACAATCCAGCTGGTGGGTCTGAATACATCAGGATAAGTTTTGGGTTCCTTTTCAGGCTCCATACTAACCCTAACCGGCTCCCCCTCCTCATGACTGCACTCTCTCTCAATTGGACAGCTTTCCAGTAGCCTCACCCACTGTTGCAATGCTACAAAGCAACTGCCATTGGGTTTAACAATGTTCCTGTTTGGTATGTGTTCATTTTTTTATACTTGACTAAATGAGCTCAGCAGACGTCCCTCTGGTTTAGTTCAAGCTGTTCTGAGTCCACAGTCTCATCCTGGGATCACTGATAGACACTGGAAACTTTGTCTACATCTACTATTGACAGTCAATGGATTAACTTAAAGGGATATTCCGGCGTAAAATTAATTTAAAATTAATGGCTAGGACCTTACATGTACTGTTGTTGAAGTTAGGTGCTGTTCTGAGCATTATTTATGGCTATAGAGTGGTGTTTTAATTGATGTTTGTTTATGGCTCCTCAAACCGCTGTGTATTGCTATCGTGCAGTCGTTACTTAAGTTGGTTTAACAAGAGAAGCAAGCGGTCGGCAACATTCATCTCTCGAGTGGGTGTCTAACTCGGTGTTGCGGTGTGTTTGACCCCAAATTAATTTTGCGCCAGAGTATCCCTTTAATATTTGCTTTGTAATGTAAAGAAGCACTCTTTGCAATACATACAGCCATAATAGATAATGTTTATCCACTCTAAATAGGACACAAGGAGTGTTTAACACAGGTTTAGCTACTGAAACAGGGTGTCAAAGATCTGAAGACTCACCGCTGAGGATCTCACTGTTGGTCCCCCAGAAGTCTGCAACTTTGGACGGTCTGTTGTAGACCTCGTCTCTGTTTGCAGCCAAAATTAGCCTGCAGACAAACGGAGAGAAGTGATATTGTTTTTCTGTAGACAAAGGCAGACTACTTGAAGCTTTCCTGTTACAGATTTGCTGCAACAACCTGAGTTTCTCTCTGGCTTAGGCTCCATAAAGGCCTGAAACGTGTCCAAGAGTCTTTCAGCAACATAATATAACTGAGTGATTGAGCAGGATACAGGTGACACAAAAGGTCGAGGTTACAAGATGAGGACTTTCTTTGATGACCACCAAAGCCGTGAGCATCAAAAGGAATGTGACATCAAAAGGACAAGAAAATACAGAAGTAAAAAAGCGTCAAGATTAACAGAGACAAGGACAAGTAAAATGAATTTGCAAGAGGACTTAACCTGCAGTTTAGTGCTTCCAGTTTCAGAACATGGTGCATGGATTTTTCTCACTTATGTCTTTGAAGACTTTATACAATATCTAAATAACTACAGTTTTGTTGCTATTTATGTTGCTGCATCTTGTGAAGGCTAAAACTTGAAGTCAATAAATGCATATTGAATCATTTGGTCACGGCAGGAGCCCCGTTTCAGAATTTAATTGACGTCTGATGACAACTTTGGTGATTTACTGAAAAAAAAAAAAAACTTTAAATGACCTCCAAACAAGTCTGACATCATATTTGATTTTAATTAAATGCCGCTGACAAAACTGCCAACACTCAAGCCACACACAAATTCAGCGGATATATTTTAAGAAAGGGCATGAAGGCACATTTGAATATTTTATTTAATGAGTATGCAACATTTGTCATGTCTTGTCACATTACATTACATAGTGAAACTTCTGCTCAGCATTAGTTCTGATATAAACCAAAGGATTTTATCTTTTATTTTGGAAAAATGAATTCCTACCCATTATTTCTGATTTTTAATAAACTGACACAGCCGAGGAAACAGTTTGAAGACTTTCAGTTCCAAGTATTTTCAAAATTAAAAACACAATTGTGTGGAGCATAACTTTGTAATATCCAATGAGTTTTTAAGACATTAAGGTTAGCACAGCTGACTTTTTGAACTGGACACACTGCAGCTTCACCTCCACCAATTTGCCTTTTGCTCGGTCAACCAAAAGCTTGGTTTAGTCAGCGATTCCCATGTAGCGACCGTCGTCAATAGGCTTAGAAACTCTGCTTTGGGAACAAACGGGTGACCTCGCTGACACTATGTCCATGTACAGTACAGACTGCAGTGTTATGATAGTGGTTTTTAGAATTCTGCTGCTGTTTTTGTGTGCATGTGCATGTGTGTGAATTCTGCACACATGCAAGTGTATTATCACGGGCTGGGGATTTACGCGCTTCTTCCCCCCTCTCTCTCTCCAGTACACTTTTGAGTTTCTGAGTTTCTGCCAAATGTGGAACTAAAAAAGGTGTGGAGAAAAAACAGAAGTTACACTGAGAGTTCAGGTGTCGCAGTAACTCCATGGAAGAAAAGAACGTCTAAATTTGCCGCAGATGTAAATAAACTGTTTCATTTTGCAGAGCTGCCTGTGCCTGTGCGTCTCACTGGTAACCTTTCCAGGTGTTATGACACCATCTTTATCCCCAAAGAAACCCTAGTTAAAAGAGCAGCATCACTTCATGGTAAAGTATTTCACGCCCACTTATCACCACATCCAAAGTCAACTTGCCTGTGACTAAACACCCCATTCAACAAATATAAAATACAGGGAAAAATCATCATCCCCTCCTCTGAGAAAAAGTTGACCTTTCACTTTTCACTGTGAGACTTCTCTGAATATGAATGAGCATTTTAACGAGAAATCCTTCTGCAGATTTGTGGATTTGGTGGAAAATAAATATGCAAGGCACACACACACACACACGAGTATTCACCTTTGACTGATAAACTAATTGTTTGATATTTATAGAATCTGAGATATGGATTTAAAGACTGCAGAGAGTCACTCAGAGAGCCTTTGGGCACAGTACACAAGCCACAGCAAAATGACATTTATTGACCTGTATAATAGCTGCATGTTCCCTCCAAGCCTGGCACTGGTCCCTCGATTAATCTTTCAGGATGGGGGAGGCTTGGATCTTGTTAAGAGCAAACAGATAAACCAAACTGCTTTAATAGGGGTCGACCTCTTTGAATCAGAGGCTAATGATAGTCTGTTCCCATGGAGCTGTGTGACCCACCATTGCTACAGAAAACAAAGCTAACTTTAATGATGGAGCGTCTGCTATCGGATCCTGAGGAGGAAAACGCAATGTGATCACAGCAGAGACAGCCACCTGTTTCATGTTGGAGGGATGGTGATAAGAAGAGCGTCTCAGAGCTCTTTATGAATATTAAACTCTGATTCTTTTCTTTTTTCATTCATTAACAAAGTGGCTTCATGGCAGAGGGAGCCCGCTACCTTGGAATGATGTATTCATGGAGTTCATGGCTCACGTTGTCCTGATACTTTTTCAACTATTCTTACGGTTATGTTAAATTTCATCTTCATAAATTATTTAATTTAAGACAAGCCTTCTTTAGCCCAAAGTCAGTTAAATGTAGGGCTGGGCAATACGGCCTCGAATCAATAGCACGATATATTGAGCAGTTCACCTCGATAACGATAAATGGACGATAACTACTCCACAAGCTGCTCACCCCCTCCCACAACTTTGTCTACTTCAGCCACTACAACTTTTGAACTGTCCTCCATCTCCTCACCTGTCTTTCCCTCTTTGTTACGGACTGGATGGGGTGGAGTCACGTCTCTGACGTAGGACAGCGCTTTTAAGAGACATGAGACCAAAGCCTACCTAAACACATCCAAAACCAACTTTTATTTATTTATTTTTTGACACCAACCGTACAGATGTGAGCAAAATGATGTCGGTTTGCGTCAAATTTCCGGTTTATCGCCCAGCCCTACTTCCATCTGGTTTTATCCCCACAAAAAGACATGATGGTGGAATTTCTTCAGGTTTTTCCAGCTTCAGTGACACGGCAGGTAAAATTTAGAGGGAGAAGCAAAAGTCTTGGCCCTGTAATTTAATCACTGAGTCTGTTGGCTATCACTGGTTAACTATTAAGTTGTATGAATTTCTAAAAACTGACATCTATTTACATTTACCTACACAAATAAAACAGGTTAAAAACATCATTCATGTATTAAAGGTCAATTTTACACCACAAGTTGCTTGTTAGACCATCAACAATAACCAGCACATAAAGGAGGAAGTCATAGCCCATAAATCCCACATCAGTCATCCAGATATGTATCAGCTGGCTACACTTGTTTACCCAGAAACACTGGTCAACACCCTTCAAGGCTAAGAGGCTAATCCTTCATCAGACGATGGCTGATGGGCTCTAAGATTGGATTTATAGCTACCATTAGGACATGTCTGGATATTTTGTCAGAGAATGAAAAAAAAAAAAAAAAAACCTGGAGGCAGGGGTTCAGCTGGGGGTCAAAGTCAGTTTAAGTTGCCCTCTGGGGACCTTCGAGTCCTGAACAAATTCTAGACAATCCATCCGGCGATTATCACGCAGCGTCAGCGCAAAAACAAAGACACCAAACCATGAAAGAACGAGCAAAACCAGAAGGATTCATCCTCAGACTGTACAGGAGAGATCCAGCTTCTGGGAATATTTCTGTGTGGACCAATCAGAGCGACTGACACACTTTTATTGTAATCCCTGGAAGTGTGCTGCTCATGTGGCTAACATTATGATCCAGCTGAACGGCTAACGTGATATCGCAGAACAACATACTCAATTGAGTTGTAATGATCCAGTGATCTGAATTGATCTATTGATTGGTTCAACAAAGATCCAGCAACTGAAGCTACTCTTTACTTTTACTGTACCTAAAAACTGTGGCTTTTAACAGTGGATTACACCAGCTATGCATAAATTCAAATTTCATCTGGTTTAAACCCTAATTTTGAATTAGGAAGAAGTTTGTACTCTACAAACGTTTGAGGTCTTGCACCAGCTGAGACAGCTTAAGTCAAGAAACTTTTCATTAAACTCATGTTGAATGGGATCATAATTATGTGTGAAATTGGTCCTTTACCTCTGACTCTAATCCAATCAAATCCCCAGAAATGGTGACATCATTATCCTGAGAATATTTATGCTATTGTATCCTGATAGAAGCAGTGATTTTTACCATTAATATTCATGCTTCTACGGAGAATCATCTTTGGAGGTTCTTCATTTGTTCTAGGTTGGAAATGTCAGTGGACTTACAGTATACCACACATCGTAACAAAATAAAAGTGCCATTAGTGATACTGTACTCTTGCAGGAATAAACCACTTCAGAAAAGCCTCATAAACACTTGCATGTCTTCAGATGCCACGAGCAGAGCAGCCTGCAGACAGCTGTTGAAGCTCTTAATATTTAATTGGCATTAACTGGCCCCAAAGAAGTTCTATCACTACTCGCCAAAGTAATGTTAAAATGCTGGAGGGTTGATTGCTGCAGGACTCTAATTTAGGCCAGTTGGAAAAGTTGAAAAATTGCAGGCTGGAAAAAATGAGCATCATAATACAGAAGTCTCAGCATGTGGGTAATCACTGAGCCATTAGTGTGGAAAATGAACCCATTTAACCCCCGCAGATACACTCCTGTCATTCTGAGCTGCGAGGGAGTAATAATAATTCTTAATAATGAAAATCTGACCCTTCCTTTGATCCGGCTTTGCTTTAGTATTGTTGCACATCAATTTTGACTTGGACATTGCTGCTGTGCAGGAAAACTTCTACAACCAGAGGTCTAAATATAGCACCAATTTTACCCCATTAGGACACAGTTCATTTCACCTTTCCCCGGGTCCATGTCTGAGTCAGTGCTCATACCTCACCTCTGCTGTGATCTCCTTAGGCCGGGTCAGAGTCCCACAGGGAAGGACAGACATGGATTACGGCCAGGTAAGAGCTCACTCTCCAGCTCAGGGGGATTGTAATAAGCTGGATTCAACATCAGCCTGAAACTCATCCTGACTGCTTACAGTGCACTGGTCTGAATAAAATTAGCATTTACTCTGAGGTAGAGCACACAGAGGGCTATCAAAGATCAGTGTGGCTTTTAAAAACGGTAGATTTGATAAAAATATGTCATGTTTTTTCATAAGTACATGGATAGATAACTATGTACCGAATAAAGGAAGCTTCTTAAGTGATTCAACGACAAACACAGCCCAGGTAAAGTCTGACACCCAGAGAATCAGATGTCCTGAGGTTTACAACAAAAATGAGATTTCACTTCCCTTCACTGCCAGACTTTGAGTCTCAAAGCTTCAAGACGCACACAAGTCAATCCTGGAACAAGTTGAAAAAGAGAACATTGCAGCACTGTCAGAGTGTGACAGCGGTGGTGTTGAGACTTGAAGTGACTTGATTTCACAAGTGGAAGGTTATTTCTCCTTATATTTACTTTGACTTTCAGAGAAAAGCATCTTTATGTTCTGTAGCTGCACGTTTCAGCACATCCCTGACGCTTTATGATGCAAACTGAGGGAAATATTCAGACCTAGCAGGGTAAGGTTATTTTTACAGCTGCATGAAAAGGAAATGTGATGCATGATTTTCAGTCCCATTTCCACCAAAATCCAGAGTGATATGTTGAGGGTCTTTCCTCACACATGCACACACAGCATAACGTCATAAACACTCAATACAAAAAAAAAAAAAAATAATGCATTTGATCCTCTTCTCTTTTTTCACATTTGCTGCCAGACACTGAATATTTTTCAGGTTTGCTTTTGCACCACTGTATTTACACACCAGTCTGAGGCTGTTGTAACATAGTGCCTCAAAGGAGGAAAGTTCCCTACTTGGAAAGCCTTCCCCTGAAACAGCTCCAGGTGCAATAACTCAGTTTATACTCTGCATAAAAAGGCTACCGAACACCTGCAGAATTATTTGAGAGATTTCAAGTATTACTACGAGGATGGTGTACTAAGTTATCCTTGTTAGTAATTACTCTATTCTATTATCTTAAGTTATTCAAGACCTCTTTTTAATCTGTAAAAGGTACCTGCAGCCGAAAGCAATCAGTAAAGATACAGTGTGCAGTTATTGACATCATACTTGGTTAAAAAAAAACTGACAATAACTGTCATAAGTATGTTTGAATTCATGTATGCCACCTTAATGTATCAACTTTTTTATAACTGTTCACTTAAAATGAGGCCTAAGTCCACACAGAAGCCACCATCCTGCCACTTCAGTTAGTTACTACTTAGCTATCTTTATATCTTTATCACATACCAAAACAATCCACAAACAGCTTAGCAAGAGGAAAACTGGTTTCATATGAAGGAGTAAAAACACGGTAAAACTACTGGTTGTGTGAACTACCCAAATTCCTTTGATGCATTTGCACTGTTTGATTTCCAGGTCAAAGGCTGGTGTGCAAAACGCAGAGAAAGCATAAAATGCCTTGACTAGATTTAGTCTGATTTAATTGCATTCAAGCAGGAAAGAAAAATCCCTCCCCTAAAATATTATCTAAGTGTGTTAGTCCAACTTTAAAAAAGTCCAACTTCATGCGATTTCTCCTTGATATGTTTCCATACCTTCAAAGTCCAGTTTCAGTTGGACTAATGCAATAAATTGATTTTTTTCTTGTGTCATGTAAACATACAGTACTGAATGTGTCTTTACTTTAAGGCCAACCACAAAACATGGTCAATGTTGTGAAATAAGTGTGTTGAAAGGGTTGATCCCTTACCTGTAGGCATTTTTGGACGCAGGCCGGGGGTCAAACTTGAAGAAAATTATACACATGGATGTAGTTGAGGATTGATGACAGCCTTCACTAAATCCACATTTGCTCTCAAGTCTTTGTCATATCTAAAAGAAGGAAAAAGGAAAACTTTTAGAGCAGAAATGTGTGCACAAATTGGAATAATCAACACAGACCAATATCTGATGTATTGTTTTTGTAATGAAAGAAAAAAGTCTAAGTTAAATAAAGTATTTTCTACAAATCAGGCATAATTCAGAGCATGCGTTCTGTAGAAGGAGCTAAAAACCACAAGAAAATGAAGAGAGTGAGCAGGTAAAAGAGAACAGGATCGCCTTCAACAGCTAAAAAAAACCATTTCCATTATCTTCCTGCATGTTTGTGTGGTGGTATTAACATGTTTATAGGTTAAAGAGTTACTGCAGTGAAAAAAGCAGAAAATAACTTCTTATTTTATTAGTTTCACTGCATTTTTTTCTCTTAATCTCTGTACATTTAACCACCACTTCTTTCTTTCTCTGCTATTCACTTGCAGCAAATCCTGGTTGAAATCATGATTATTAAAATCATGATTTAAGGATATATAATATACTAGGGCTGGGACGATATGCTTTTCTCCCGATTCAATTCTTCTACAATGTTTTGGGTGCCAATTCGATTTGAATTACGATTCTATGATATTGTCTATTTTCTCAATCTTTAGTCTGCATTTTTAACACCAGAGAAACAGTTGAATGATTATGATTGTCTACTGACTGTTCCAGGAACAATATTTCCCCCAAAAATACACATCACATGTAAGTCAGTTTTTTAAGATTTACTCTTAAATTTGAAGAAAAAAAATTAATTCTCGAACATGAAAATCGATTTAAAAATTGTTAAACAAAAAAATTGTTAAAAAAATTATGTGTGTAAATTTTTTCTCCCACCCCTATAATATACATATCCTTATTTTGATTCTCAAGTATCAGTGTTTTCTAACTATGACAAATAAAAACAATGAAACCATGCAGTATAGAGCATTTCCTAGCAAGAAGCCAACTCAGTATTATTCCTATTCATTTAAGCATGCAAAGCAGAGGTGATACTCACAAGCTGCTCTTGGCTGTAGATTGAACAAATGAATCTTGCAAAGCTCATGCTGTGTGGATCACTGTTAAACCTGTTTACAGAAGAGGCGTGAGATGGAGCATCATAAATGTTTCTGAGTCATTCATTCATTCATCAGCACTGAGTGCAAAGGTAGGAGACTATTATGTAAGAGATTTTCTACACCATAGTTTCAGTCACGATGCCATTCAAACTATAAATATTAAATCAAAACGTATACAGTGAGGACTTTCTTTGTTGTACTTCAATGTTTGCAAGCTGCTGACATTCATAACCTCTCTAATAATAGGTGTTAGCTCTTAGTTGAGCTATTCAAAGGTGATGAAACCTGCTTCAAGGTGAGCGAACCACATGCTCCAGCTCCTGTGTGGAGTATATATGAAGCAGGTAACAAAGAAACAGTGATTTAGCAGTAAACAGCTGATACTTCTGCAGCTGGTGAATTTGTATGAGGATAACCTAATGATCAACACTGACTAGCTAACGATAGTAGTATTAAAGAGAGACGTAACGACTATAAAGAAACAATTACTCAAATTTGAGACTATTTAAGACTCTCATTACAAAGCACTTCATACTCACTCGGTTAAATGTTTAATCTTAGTCTTCCTTTCAGTCTGCCGCTCACAACTGTTAGCTTAGTTGTACCCACTTTGCCTTTACACTTGTTGTTGACAACTAAAAGGAAGTGTTCAAATCGAGTAACATCCATTTGTGTCTCCAATCGTCTCCTTCGCCGCTGCGGTGGGCGGATCCCTTATTGTGTGTATTATCCTGGGTCCCGCCCAATCCGTCTGGAACAGTTCTTAAAACGAGCGCATTTCGAACAAGCCGCTGAAGTTCACTGTGATTGGTCAGCCTACAAAAATCCATAAAGTTAACAGTAAAGAGTAGGAATTACGTTTCCGGTGTGATTACGCACAGATACCTCCAAAATAAAAGCCTTCACGTTACAATAGCCCAGGTATTTTCCTTCACTGTTGTACCAATTGTATCCAAAGGGCCAATGGTGGTGGACAGCTCCTCTCTCTTCGCTGCAGGACAGAAAGACACTATAGACCTACTGAGGTATCTGTTGTGAAACCATATATAGTAGAGTTAATGAGACATAATACTAATTTTGAAATAAAAGCAACAATAAAATGCAACAATATAATGTTAAATCATGGCCTAAACATCAATATTTTTGGAAGCCTACAGTTGACATAGTAATTCTCTGTCTAATTTTCTTATATTTAAATGACTAGTGTACATATGTCACATCAGGGTTGATGTTTTAGTTCCAGCATTCCAGTTAGGAGTTGGACACAATGTCTGAAAGTTTCTGTTTCAGGTGATGATAACACACTACATGATAGTTTGCACTTAAAAGCTACAGGATTTCATTACACAAAACAAGACTGAATTTAAATCATCAATATTAAAAGTAAAGGTTTCACAGTATGGGACAGCCATCCTGGATCATTAGATTTGCTATGCTATCCAGTCATTATGCTATGCTATCCAGTCAGGTTATCCTTGAGGGTGGTGGAGCTGTGTCACTCAAACATACTTTGGTGCTAGATTTCTGGAGCCATGGGCCTCTGAAAAAACATCCTCAACAAGGACCTTGTACCCATTTTTAACATCACTCAAGCTCCCAAAATATGTTGCACTTTGTTATTACCCTACATAGACTCTCCTTCAGGTCAACAAGATGCAAGCCGAATGCTTTGAAATGTGGATATATACTTGAAAAGTCTCAGACCAGTCTTTGTTACACTTGTAGCATGATGAAGCTGTAACCCAGATCTGTAAGCAGTAAAGCTTGTCAAAACGATCATTCGTGTGGACCTTCCATTCTTTGAAGTGTGAACACGGGCTAGGCATTGGGGAAAATGATTCTAAGGCATCTTAAATCTCATTTCCAACCCACATGATCAAATATAACACACACGAGGACAAGGCCTGTGTCTTAGTCTGTGCTTTACAATCCACATCTTATAAAAACAAATAAAAATGACTTTTAATCACACGGATATAGAGTTTAAAGTTTTCATACTTTTGCACAAAAATGTAAATGTGCCCTTTATACTGGTTTCAAACTTTTATTTTGAAAATCTTGCTCACTGGACGCCATCTACTCATTCATGCTGACTTGACAGTGAGGATGAATTATAGCAATACAGCCATCAATTTGTGGAATTAATAAACAAAGAGACGATGAAATTAAAACAAAATATACCACATGTAAGAGTGTACAATTGTTATATGGTTTATAGCCTTTCATGAATTATTAAACGAAACAATCAGTTCCTAAAATCAATTTTAAAATGCTGACACAAGCACATTAAGATTTTGCAAGAACTAATTAGAGAAAACTACTTCATTGATTAATATTTTGATGAATCATGGGAAAATCTGTCTCAAGTATCCTCCAATACTGAGCGGGTGTTGTTGGGGCGGAGACACTTGCCGTGACCGACAGCAGCATCCAGCAGCTCTGTAGTGGATGAGAGAGAGAGATAGATAGAGAGGCTGCTCCGTCTTTCATACAAAACAACGTCGCAGTAGCTTATTAGTGGCTGTAAACAATAGTCGCTTTAAGTGCAGGAAATAACTTTTAAATGAGTTAGGATACGGTGTTCGCGCATGCAGCGTGTTTACTGGAGGACAGGACGAGCAAGCAGCAACCTTGTAACTCTTGTTGAAGATTTTTAGAGGTTGTAACAGTAGTACGTCCCTGCAGCAGCAGCAGCAGCAGCAGCAGCAGAGTTAGACACATAATTCAGCTGAAGCTCGGAGTACTGCACATCACAGCATACTGGGGGAGTCTCTTCATCGCCTTCATCAACAAGGGATGAGCAGGAGTATCTGAGGTAATGTCAAATCAGCACAACACACACGCACGAGCCCATGTGGTGCTTAATGTTGCTACGCCAAGTTTTATTCTGTGCCTTTAAAACTCTCGAGGAAGGTGTTGCATTAATGTAAATATCATCTTTTATGCTAATTGGAAATATAATTTTTTAAAATAACGAGGATGAAACCTTGCTTTTTATCGCAAATGAATGAGCAGGTGCTCACGAGGCACGTTGATTAGCATATGAGGATCCGGTGTGCGCGAGAGGGTTTAACGTCGTTTTTGATAAACAGTAGGTGTTTGTAAATGTATTATCAGAGTGGAAACCGCTCAAAATCCTGTTAAACTGCTTCATGTGTCAAGTTCTTTGATAAAATGTCCCATATTGTGTGTATTCGTGTGTTGTTTTGAGCTCCTGTCGTTAATGAATGCAGTGGATGGCAGTGAGCGTGAGCCGCAACGACCTGTCAATCATCTCATCCCTTACTCGTCTTTTGTTTGGCCCCTCCTGTTTGTGAGTGAGTTACCATGGAGAGTCTTCCGGTTTTTCTCCTCTAATTACCTTATTTGGAGAAGGGGCGGCTGTCACTAGCTGGACTGACGGTGTTGTTGGTTAATGGTGCTGCATTCAGGTCCCAGGTGAGAAGCCGGTAGAGTGACTGAGCCTTAAAACAACGACCACAGACCAGGCCACCAAGGGGGCTGGAATTATGTTCTTAGTGGACACTAATGGCCTCAGGAAGTGTTTAAACACAATTATGGCCTCTAATTGGGAGTATATCCAATTAACTTACGCCAAGTCTGTATGTTCTCTGTAAAAAAAAATCTTTAAATACTGAACTCAGACCTACTGAAAGAAGGTATTGGTTATAGTTAGGGTCTAATTTATCCCTAATAGAGTGGCAAACTAATTTACATTGAATCAGTCTGATTATTACAAGACTAAATATAAGCGCTGGCATTTTCTTGCCTCGCAACATTTAATTGTTTACTGTATGTTTATCAGAATTTTGACTAAATTTTAAAGATAAAACAGTTTAAAAAAATCATCTGTAACCTTGACGTGTAAATTGATAATACAGACTAATAAGTTGCCCATTGTTTGGCCATACAATCATGAGTTTCTAACGCTCTCATGCTCACTCTGTCCCTCTGCTTTACTAACACACACCTGATCCTCTTGCTCTTCATCTGCTTTGCTGCAGATGTGCGTCTGCACTCTCTCTACTATTGAAGAGTGACACTTTTTAATGCTAAAGTTGTATTATTCAGCGGATTTTGTACGATGTAAAGTTAGAGAACAGACGCTGTTGTGTGAGTGGTGCATGCTGCAATGTGTTTGAGTGGGAAATCATCTCACTGTTGGTAATTTATCATCTTTCTAAGCCAGAAAATGAGTACTAGGAGCAATCTAGAGTCAGATTTAATAAAGTGTTGTAACATTTTACATCCAAAACCAGCCAGTGAATTATGTTCTTAGTGGACACTAATGGCCTCAGGATGTGAACACAATTATGGCCTCTAATTAGAGAGCATATTCAGTTAACTTGAAGCATTTCATCTGTATGTTTGTCAGAATTTTTACTAAATTTTGAAGATAAAACAGTTTAAAGAATAATCTATAAGGGAGGATAACCTTGACATGTAACTTGACTAATAAGTTGCTCATTGTTTGGCCATACAATCATGAGTTTCTAACGCTTGTTAATGCAGCAGCTTCACCCTCATGCTCACTCCATCTCTCTGCTTTACTAACACGCACCTGATCCTCTGCTTTGCTGCAGATGTGCGTCTGCACTCTCACTACTTTTGTCATAATGGAACTGAAAGTGACTCTTTTAATGTTAAAGTTTTATTATTAGGCTGATTTTTTATGCATAGCCAAGAACAGATGCTGCTGTGTGAGGGGTGCATACTGAGAGTGCATACTGCGGTGTGTTTGAGTGGGAAATCATCTCACTGTAGGTAATTTATCATCCTTCTAAGCCAACAAATGAGAATCTAGAGTCAGATTTAGTGAAGTTTTGTAAACAGCCACATTTTACTCCCAAAAACCGGCCAGTGAAATGATTTTCTGTACACTTTGCAAATCATCAGGTTTAAGAATTGTGCACTGTAGCAGCAGAGGGTTAGCACGACCCTACAGCTGTTAAATAACGAATGTGCATATTCTTACAGAACTGGAATTGGATTAGTAGAGGATACACAAGCAGAAAAAATAGTCTTATTTGTATGCATTAGTTTTCACAGCAGGTTTGTAGTAAAGGCCACAGGGATGATGGTGAACTTAAATGACTTTGCAGCAGTGTTTTATATTGTACCTTGTTTATAGTTTTATGACCCAGAATGTGGAGCATCGCCAAAGTGAAATATTATCACCCGCTGTAAGAAGTGGTTTTAATTTTAAACTTAATGTCAAAGGTCAGCGCCGTGGCACACCTGTTTGTGCAATATGGAAGTGTTGAAAAGCAGGGAAGAGAAACACACTCAAACTAGAAAAAAAAAAGGTTGCAGGTGCAGGGAAAGAGACAGATCCACAGGAAGCACACCAACACTGCAAAAGCTATTTTTGTTCAGTTCTGCCTTGTTGTAAATCTCATGAAGTAGGAGCGTAGGAAGTGAAACTATAGTCTTAAAATGAGAATATCCACACCATTCTTGCTCAGCATCGCCATTTACAGCTACAATACAAAATACAAAATACCTCTTACTGCATCAGCTGGTGGCCTACAGTATATTGCATCTGAGAGACATAGTCGGGCATTAATTAGAGGTCTGGTGAGGCTTCGTGATGGCACTTAATCAATCCCAGGCAGTTTCCCAGTCCTTCTGACCAGGTTTTGAGTTCATAGTAAGTTACT